TGAGCATACTTGAGTAAGTCAATCCATCGTCAGGGCTTAGGTCAAGACGATCCCAAGGTTTAGGAAGGCTTGAGAGGTCAACCTTCCGTAACAGTGATCTAATTATCTATAGGTCTAGTATCAACCTTACTATCCTTCATGGCGTTGTATTAAATTAACGCGCTAATCTTCTATTCTTCTAGTAATAGAGTAAAGTCGTCCTTAAGCTTCTTTAATAAGTTATATAGGTCAGTCGAAGAATATAAGCTATGTAAATCCTTAAGTAGATAACTAATTAATAACATAATCTAGTTATATACAATAGCTCGCCCTTTCTAGAAGAGGATATATTAACTATTCTCCACATTAAATATTATTACTCGATGATTATATTGTTGCGTTAATTCATTTAAAGTAGGTGCCTTAAGGATAGCAGGCTATTAAGGCACCTTAGGTTTTAGTATAATATTAGGATTAATATATTCCCATATTCCTATAAGAATTATAGATGTCTATATAGCTTTATACTACAACCACTAGTCGTCCTTGCTATTCAAGACGACTAAGACCTTAACGGCTTGGCTATGAAGCAAAGTATCCTCTATATTAATAGACTAGAGCTACACTAGTTCAGGGAAAGTTTCGCGCGTAATTAGCAAGGTCAGAATAGCTTCATAATAAGCCTATTTAGGTAATAAGGGTCCGGAGGTGGATTATAGGTAATAATAAAGAAGAATATTCCTAGCAACCCGGGCTCATAACTATCGTCCGGGCCGTTGAACTAGGTGGAGGATCTAAAGAAGGTTGAGAGGTCTATCATTCTAAATAACTAGGGAAACAGCACTATTTAAGCACAGGAATCAACTAAACTAAATAAGGAAATAGGGGCTATCCAATATTACTGCTCCAATCGCTGTATCTCGTGAGTCCTGAGAGGAATGTTCGATGGAATGGTGAGAGGAATGCTTGCGCGGGGTCCGGAGCCAGGGGCTCCGGCCGACACTATTACTTGCGTTCCGAAATCTGGTCAAGGCGACACCACGCCTTTCCCATTCTTCTTGATCGCTCTTTGACCTTTCCGAAGTGTCTCCTATAAGGATTATAAAGCCTTATCGTCATGCCTTTCTTACCAAGATAAATTCTCCGGCATTCCTTTTATTCATATATCTCAGTACAAATAAAAATAGCCTTACAATTGATATAAAGTCTAGAACATGAATGCTAAGTTGGAAATTAATAGTAGTATATGATAACCACTAAATAGTAAGTTTAAGATCATAAAGTCCTCTAACCATGGTTTCTAGGTGGTACATGCTGTGGTGTGACAAAGAATATAAGTTAATAATAAATATATTATGTTTCCCTTGCTATCCCTTGCATCGTGATACTATACTTAATAATATATGTCATCATTTCACACCACCATGGTGGTTTGCATTCATTTTCCAGCTTCCACCAACTTGCATAAACAGATGTGCATCCAACAAGAGACTTTTAAATACAGGCGACGCAAACACCAAAGACGTCCAGTACGTAGGGGAAAGCTGCCATAAAATCCCTCTATATCTACATCACCAATGGACCCGTTCACAGCAGGTGGATTAGCCCTGGGGATAGTATCACTATCCTTTCAGGTGTTTGCTGGTTGCGTCAAAGGGTTCATGATACTGTCAAGTGCCCACAATTTTGGCAAGGATGCTTCCTTCCTCAAGACCATGCTCAGCGTTGAGGAATACCGGTTTGTCCAGTGGGCGGATGTGGTAGGACTCACCGGAGCAGACAGCAGAATCCTACGTCAGCTCAATCAAACTCTCGCGGAACAGCTGATGGAACAATTACGAGACAAGCTTGACAGCACCAAACTCAAGGAACGATATTCTCTTGACCTTCAAGAAGATGAGACTTCAAGTGATAGAGCTGACAGCTCCATCGGCGAACAGTCGCACGCTCCAAATATGCTATCCAGAGCAGTGTCTAACGAGCGGCGGTCAGAGATCCTTCTGCGGGCCCAACTGATCCAAAGCCGAACACCATTTCCTAAGCGACTTCGATGGGCGGCTATAGATAAGTCCAGGTTCCAAGATCTCGTTTTGGATCTGAGACAAATTGTGGATTCTCTTTGGAATCTTCTCGAACCGATTCGTCTGAGGGAGCTTTCCCAGCAGGTCGCCCGAACTCTGACAGCGGTGGTCGACATGAGCCAAGATCTTGAGGCCCTCAAAGGGCTTCGAGCTACTTTTACTAAACAGACCGCTGACTTTCCGGGTGATACGATTCTCTCGACTGCAGTTGACTTGAAAGTACTACGCAAGGGGCTTTCAAGGGAAGGCAGTAGTGACTCAACCTCGGATTCATCGTTAGCCCAGCGGCCTCTTTACCCCTTAAACCGAAATCTCTTCATACGAGCAGCCGCAACGCGGGGAGCTGATGGGATCTTTATGGCTCAGTACGACGGTAGGCCCGTATTATGCGAGTCTAAACCAGTCGACCCGTGGCACAAACCAAAACTCAAAGTGAGAGCTGAGCGTCTTACAAGGCTACTTTCGTTGCCCAAGAGTGCATCGTTCATGACGCTTCAATGTCTCGGGTTCTTGGAGGACATAGATGAGTTTAAATTCGTGTACGATTATCCACCTGGGTCGGACACCACCGTTCCCCCTCGATCTTTGCTGGACTTGCTTCGCGATCCTACGATGCAGAACCCAAGTGTTACCACGAGATTGAGACTCGCTCTGTCAATTTGCAAAACGCTCTTAACCATACATACAGCAGGCTGGTTCCACAAAAATATCCGCTCCGAGAACATCATATTCATAAACCGCGAGCCGGACCTCGGGAAACCATATTTAACTGGATTTAGCTTCGCACGCACCGATTCCCCAGTCGAGATAAGTGATCAAAGGTCAGCAGATCCGCTTTTGGACATCTATAGACATCCGCACGTCTTAAGAAAACCACCTGAGCCTTATTCCATTTACATGGATCACTACTCTCTAGCAACTGTCCTGACAGAGATAGCTGAATGGCGTCCGCTCAAGCATATTGTCTCGAAACATATTGACGTCACCAACACTGACTTGGACATCCCGCTTTCTGCTTTGGCTGGAATTCAACCCTGGTTGATTAGAGCGTTCACGGAGAATGGACAGGTTGCATATCGTATGGGAGAGGTGTACGCAAATGGTGTTTCCAGTTTATTGAGACTGGAACTCGCGGACGAGCGTAATTATTCTTCTACTGAACAGCTGCTCGCTTACCAAAAGTTTGTAAATGAACTCGACCTTTGCTATGTTTGATGTTTTTTTTTTCCTTTTTTTTTTTTTTTTGACGCCTAATCCCATGGCCGATGGTCTACTGTATCCTAAGGGGAGGATAACCCGAAGTGTCCTTTTCCTCTTCAGGCTTGTATCTCCCCCGCTTATATAGCGGTCATCAATATTTCCCTCTTATCATGTCTGTAAATCTTATGTTAAGGATAAACTGGACATCAGCGACATGGGTGATCTGAGAGATTCAGACAATTTCGCTCACTGGAATTATTCGCTCGCCCGATTCGCGTTTTTGACGATTGGGTCATAACAGGGGACACTCAGGTCCTATGGATACCGCTAAGAATATCAATAGTGGACGCCCTTGACTGTGAATGGGAACAACTGTGGTCTTCTTAGAGGGCGCTGGACTTCTTATCGGCCGCCACTTCGCCTATGCTCTCGTCGAGAATAAAAATAGGGATCAGCGTGACGCTCAAATACCCTTTGGCGGCGGACGTGTGATCGGCTAAATTGGGATCAACGCGGTGTGCCCCAGTCCAGAAATAGGGTACTCCATCCATCCGGATTACTGGGATAAAGCATATGCAACAGAGACGCTGAACGGACTGTTCGAGCTGTGGTGGAGTTTGCCTCGTCAAAGCCAAGATGGTGACGTTGTTGAGGAGACAGACAGCGTGTTTGCTATCTGTGAGAAGACGACCTTGGTTCGGCCAAGGTTCTGAGGAAATGTGGCTTTGGTGTACTCCGGGAGATGACTGGAGAACATGACGGCGGTCTTGATGAGTTGTTCATGTGGGAATTAAACCACCCGCCTCGGACTAAATAGGTCTTTCTTCCCACTATTACTAACTGTAAATTAGCAGAGAACAGCAAAGGTGCCAAAACGTCATCTCCTTCTTCAGCGAGGATCTAGGTATTTCGCCCTATTCTATTATAATAGCACATGACGGGCTTTAGCAAGGAATAAAGCTTTTATGGCATCTGCAATGAATTCCGTTGAAAAGACCGTCATATGCCCCGAGATCATCCGAATCATGCCGCGATTTCCTGTCCCGTAAGATCCCCTCGCCCTTTCCTTTAAGTCACTGACACTGTATTATTAAACATCGCCTAATATCCGAAGTAGTCATGTACGCAACACTGCTACCAACAGCCGAGCCACTATTTCTCGAGCGAGACCTCAAGAAAATGGGGCATGATGATCCAAAGAATGTACGTTATATTGCAGAAGCATTTCACTAAGCATTTGCTAGCTTACCAGTGTCCTAGGCCGGCTCTCTCCAGTAGATAATGGAAACCTCCCCCGCCAAAGCCCTGTCTTTGACTGGACAAGTGGTACATGAAGCCATGCCCCTCTAATGTGGCTTTGTGCACGGACTTGCAACAGTAAGAGTGTGGTACTTGTGCGGACTTTGGTGCTAGTATATGGACTAATTATTCTGACAACAACGTATCCAATCCATGATCTCTGTTCCCACCCCGAGTAGATCGAGCCGCTCCGCCTCGAGCTGAAGGCACAGTACAGTGACTTCCTCCAAAGGAGTCGCAGCCTTCGATTACTCGAGAGCTTTATTAAGGAGTCTACAAGTTTGACGCCGGTTGAGTCGAGTATACACCACCTTCACCCCTGATATCTGAAAATCGCAAATAGAGGCAAAAGAAGATAGCCGATATGCACACCCGTCCGCGCAATCACCCAAGACCCAACGCTGTACCCAGACCCTCTCGAGTTCCATGGGGGATTTGCCAAGTTCCATAAGGAGGAAGCTTGATTAACAACAGTTAACTTACAGACTTGTCATGATTTCTCCCTTGGAGCTCTGTTGATAGATGAATTGGAGTTTGTTCTGCTTCAAGGGGACTGCCTATATAGGTGCATGCTTGGTTCTCTATTAACATTCAAGTATATACATAGATGGTGTTTTAAAAAAGCACTACCTACAACTACATGCGGAAATCATGGGCACACCATTTCGCTGGAAGGAATCCTTGGGGGCCCTCGAGCTTTTCGTGCATATTGTGCTGACGTGGAATCTATCAGCATTGCCTTGTTCCAATACTACGAATTGATATGAACACTACAGAGGCGTGATTGCTCCGACATCAAGCCAAGCCGAGTTACACTAGGTGCTCGTCATCTGTTCCAGCTCTCGCTGCATGAAATTCTCCGGACTTGGCAAAGTTATTCAATCCAAATCCCATGTGAAGCAGCAACGCCTACACAGGACGGACTGTAACTCACCAGGAGGCCCGGGTGGACAAGGACAATACTATACTACAGCCCAGCCTCCCTCGCAACCCCGGGCCACCTCTCCTCGAGGACCCTCATCGTCTGCTCGAAAACCTTGGCCTGCGCCCTCCGCCCTACGTCTTCGTAAATCCACGCTTCAACATCCTGGTTCGCACCATCACTCTGAAACCCCCCGTGAGAGCTCGCGGGCGCTGAGGCCGCGAGGACAAGGGTCCGGCTGCCGACTTCGACTGTGCGGTCGAGAAAGCCCCGGATTATCCGCACGAGGAGCGGGAATGGCTTCCCGTCCGACCCCAGAGTTGTTGAGCAGAAGCCGGGGTTGACGAGGTTGATTATTACGGGGGGTGGAACTTCAGCTTCAGGTGTGGCTGGTCCTAGGGGTGGATTTGGTGTCCGCGTCTACGTCTACATCTTCGCCTTTGTCTTTTGGCCTAGACCGGCGACGAGCTCGCGGACGAAGAGGACTTCGATGAGCTTGGTGGCGCAGTAGCTTTGTGTCTCCTGGTTAGTATATTACCCGTCTAAGTTATGAAGCAAATGAAAAGCGGCCGGGGATGGATTCGACCTACCGACCGAGGAAACTGGTTCCAGCCCTCCCTCCCACTCATCCCCTCATACAGCTCGGGCGCATTAATCTCCGGAAACAAGGTGAACCGATGCGCCTCGGAACTAACGACAACAAGATGCGGAACCGAATCATCATCCCTCCTCCTACTCTTCTGCAGCTTCGGCAACAGCAACAGCGCAAGCAGGCATGTATTCAACACATTCACCTGAACCGCCTGCTCGACCCCCATCGACAGGCTCAAAAACCGCCGTGTGGATCGCCGCATTCTCCACGAGGACATCCACGCGATCCAGCTCGGTCTTCACCCGGTCCGCAAAGGCGATTGTCGAGCCCGTGCTGCGGAGATCTAGAGGCCCGACTTGAATAGTGGTGGTATCTGATTTGGAACATGCTCTGCGCTTAACACTTAATAAGATGTCCGCTTTGGCCGCCTGGCCCTTGTCGGGGTTGTGGACGGCAAGGATGAGTCGGGCGCAGTTAAGCCTGTAGAAGTGGCGCGCAGCTTCGAGGCCGAGACCCTTGTTGGCGCCAGTTACGATGATGGTTTGGTTTGTGAATTGGTGCGTGGGATACAGTGGGGTGATGAAGAGCTGTTAATGGAAGAAGACGCGGAGAGTTGTACTAACTCTTCGCGTAATGACAAATTTAGGGGCCTGAGAGCAGGTAGGCATTGTAGATAGATCGTTTGACTTGAAGGCGGTCCGAAATGAAGATATAGTCGGTAAGATGAATTTGTAAATATACTGGATGTAGGTGAGATGAAGAGTCATGTCGTCTGGGGCATCGCTGGTCGCCGGGTAAGTCGAGCTGGGGGAGGAGAACTTGAATCACATCCCCCAAGGTCATCCGCCGTTGTCAGATTATATAACATACAGCAGCTGAATGGGTAAGGGTGCCACAAGCCTTGGATCCTGCTTTCTCAGAGTACCATGCCAAATTTATGTAACCACACGCTACATAGGAAACGTTGTTCGACAGCCCTTCGCCCTTGAATAAGCAGTGGCCCTAAACGTTCGTCTCGAAGAGGCCCCTCACACCACTACCACCACCGCCACCATCACCATCACTATCCCCGCCAAGATCATCATCCACAATCGGCATGAAATGGATCCGGCTGGCATTGTTAACCAGGACGGACATCGAGCGTGCCTGTGCCTGCGCCTGTTCCTCTTCCGCTCCCACTTCCATTTCCGGTTCCTTTGTCGGTAGTAGTATGTTTCCTCACAGTCTCAGGTAGCGGCGATATGCGCCGCCTTTGAGCACACGTCCAGGGTGAGGAATGTGACGTTGGGCAGGTCGCAGAGGGCACACATCTTTGTTGAATGGCAGGCTATCACGAAGACGGGATGGTTAAAGCGAGGCTCGAGCGGATTCCGGGGTCGCTGCAGCCGGTTATTAGGACGGTTGGCCTGGGGAGCCTTTTGATGGGCAACAAGGGGTCTTGAAGCTGAGTCGATTCGATGGATTCGGTGGGCCATGGGATTGTATGGTGTGGAATGGGTCTTTCGGGCTTCTACCTCGGGAAGGAGAGGAATGGGAAGATTGGGATTGAGGCTCCAACTGGCTGGTACTACCAAAGGTATGGCGATAACAGTATGGAGAGGCCCAGGCTGGACTCTAAAAGTCGATATTGGGACGTACTTCACGCTTTTGTTTGCCCATGGGAGTTCTCCGTCAGCTTTTACCAAAATCAGTAAGGCGGGGGTAATGATCGACAGTGATGACACAAGGCTGATTGCATGAGTGACGGGCCTAAGACGAGTCTGACACTGGCAGTAAGCACTAACTATGCAAGGAGTGAATACAGGCCAACTTGATTAGTTAGGGCATGGCCACCCTGAAACCGAGAGGTATGACTGAAGAGTAGGATGGCCCGTTATAACGGGTACACTGATCATGTTTTGCCGGGGAGGGACATCATATTAACCACTGGCCTAGCTTCACTCTCCAAATACTATCCCTACTACTCCTACTATGGTTTAATATACCTACTCTCCGGCGGCCCCAACGCACTCTCCTCCAACCCCCCAAAATCAAGCACAATCTTCTGCAGCACAACCCCCGGCTCGAGCAACCACAAATTCAACCTCTGCTCCCCAGGCCCCACCTCAATCTCGGCCGTAACGTTCCACCCTCCTCGAATAACTGCCGTATCCCAGTCCGCCGGTAACGAACCGGGCTCATAATCCGGAAGAACACGCTTCGTCTGGATTGTGCTCACATCGTCACCTATTGCGAACGCAACTTCCATCGGCCTCTCAGGATCAAAGTCGAGTGAACCGCCAAGGAAGAGGATGAGACTTGCGTTTCGTGGAGTGTTTGAGGTGGAGAAGAAGTTGTAAACAAGCTTTGGTCCCGCCGGTGCGCTCTGCGAGGGGGATGTTACGGGCCAGAGTTTTACGCCGGAGAGGGTGCGGCCGTAGTATGGGAGCGTGATGTACGAGACCCCTCGACGGGATTCTGCACGGGTGTAGTGCTCTGCTTCGATTGAGATGATGTTGTTGGTTTCGACGTGGCCGGTGAATTTGCGCGGGACGGAGAATTTGCTCAGGGGGAGGACTATGCTTGTTGTAGGTTGGGTGGAATCATCGGTGGAGTTGCTGCTGTTGCTTTCTTGGGTGAGGTTCAGCGATACCCAGCTTCGGCCCCTTGGCACTTGATCCCAGTCGACGGTGATTACGGCACGGACGTCAGAGCTCGGTCCTGGTGCAGTGAGCGTGCCCGTTTGATTCGCGATGGAAACGTAGGAGGCGTTTGTTTCGAGTTTATATGCAACCGTCCCGTTTCTGCGCGTGAAGATGTCAAGGTACCGCGATTCAGCAGGCGGCATGTAGGGGTCCATGGGTCGGAGGGTTATGGTCTCGCCCGCTGAGGCTGGGTCAGACTCTTGTCCTTGTACTGCGACTCCCAGGATACCGACATCGCCCACGTCACTGTCCCTGATCCAGGAGAGGCTAGGTATGGTATTGCGCGAGGGGAAATTGGTGGTTGTATACCCGATATGCGGACCAGACATGACGCGGTCCCATTTGCCGTTGTATAGCGCGTGATAGCGTGAGGTGATGGCCGCATCATTGGTGAATGCTTGCTGAGCCTTCTTGGACAGACTGTTTGTGCTAGTCCGCAGTTGGGTTTTGTATAGATCACCAAGATGCTTTGTGATGTAGAGCTCCATGACGGTTTTCCCTGCGAGCACGGGGTGCAAGACTAGTTCGAAGAAGCTTCCTTGTGTATCATGGCTAAGGGAGTCGTATGCTTTCTGAGCTAGGGTGAGGAGGTCATCCCATTCTTTGAGAATGTTGGATGCTTCATTGTAGTTGACTGTGCTGAACGCGAATGGACTCATGGATAGAGTCTCGTACTTGCGACGCATTACCAGTCTGCCGTGGAGGTTGTATATTTCTGCGGCAGTGTGCGCGACATCAGCACCGAATTCTCGGCTGGCCCAGCGCTTCAGCCAGTCTGTTGCAGAGTCGACGGTCTGGAAGCTCGACATGTCGTACGCCATGTCTAGGAAAAAGGTCATGGGAACCTCCTAATGATACGTGTCAGCAAGAGGGTTAGAGAGAACAGAACGAAAATAGACTCACCCATCCCTTCAGATCCTGTATATTCGCAATCCAGATTTCGCGTGCTTCGCGCTGGTACGCAAAGTGCATCTGCTCCCACGCTTTGACAAGCTGGTTACTGCTGATCCACTCGTAGCTGCGAGGGGCTCCCACATAACCGAAGTGGTAGTACACCCCAGCGCCCCCTGTTCGTTTAGTCTCATCGGCTGTGGGTACACGAAGAAGATTGCCAAAGTTGTCATCAGTCCACATCAAAGTGACCAGTTCGGATACGTTCATTCCTGCTTCCCAGTATTTGCCGACTTCCTTGGCTAGAGTAAGCTACGGAGAACAAGCACGGGCGAATGGGTGAACGGACCTTGTAAAGAGACCAGGTCTGGCCGACCTGCTCAAGTGGCTTATCCACATATTCCACGATCATCTTCTGCTGACGCTGTATGATCTCTTCCAGCTGGGTAGAGTTTAGAGTAGGAGATTCACGGTCTCCATCCCCTCGCATGCCCATGGTATACAGAGTCTCCCAACCCTTGGAGCGCTCGACTCCTTCCTCCATAAACTGCGCGACGTTGTTCTTATTCGTACTCCAGTCCCAGTTTCCCGTCATCAACTTCTGCTGTTCGTAGTATGCCCTTGTCATTGGCTCGTGGTGACTCGTGCCCATGACAATGCCGTATTCATCAGCCAGGGGGCCGTTCTCGGGATCGTCGCGGTAGAAGGCGTTGTACTTTTTCATCCCAGGCCAGAAATAGTTTGCCTTGAGTCGGAGAAGTAGTTCGAATAGGTGCTCGTGAAAGCCGCCTGTGAAAACACCTCCAGTACTGCTCTTAGGAAAGTTGTTCTCGGACCACTTCATGAGTTCCCATTCGTCGTTGATAAATATTCCGCGGTACTTGACTGATGGCGAGGCCTGGACATGGTTTCCAGAGCCCAGGTAGATTGCATCTTTGGTGTTGATGGGTACATCCGCCCACCAGTACCAGGGCGATACCCCGATCTTCTCAGAGATGTCGTAAATGCCATAGATTGTACCTCGTCGGTCGCTGCCTGCAATCACCAGAGCCCGAGAGACACCCTTGACCGGATTGCGAACAACGGCATGGACATATGACTCCCACTGGCCTTTGATTCTGGAAATGTCGAGTTTCCGGGTCTGCACGAGCTCGTCGATAAGAGCCGTACCGACTGTTCCAACAATAATTGGCACCCCTGTGCGACTGGCTCCGGAAAGAGTGGTAGAATTCCGATCAACCGACCCGTTGACGCCAACCACACGGCCAAAATCCAGGGCGAGGTCATTCGCAGCGCGAGCAACCCCCTTGTACTCAACGGGGGCTACCAGGATATTAACTGGCGGCCCATCTGCGCTGGCAAGAACGGGGCCACTGTTAAATGTGACGACTTGGCATTGAGCCAGCTGAATAACAAAGAGAAGAGCTGTGTATACTAGACGAGGAATCAGCATCGTGATTGACCCGTCGACTGTGGGTTGATTCAGCGGCCTGTGGTAAAAGGAACTCCATGGCCAGAGTACCTTATAGACTCAATCATTACGACATGACATCCTTGGTGAAATTTCGTAGACGTACTCGGCGTTTATTCACCCGATCCTCAGGGAAGAAAAGCCAATGTTGACCTGCGGCATGTGGAGGAAACGTGGGGAAGAAAAAGCCAAAAGACTACTTCCACCAATCCCCGTGGCAAAACCCTCCTTTCCACGTTTCTCGAGGGTGCACTCCGGAGACACTGGATGGAGTCGGGGTCTTGGAGATCCAGCTCAATGCGGGGATTTAGCCGATGATCTGCTGGCGCATGCGCGAAGAATGGATGAAAGAGCGATCCTTTCAAAAGCCGACTCTCTCAAAGGCCGAAAGCGGGTTATGGTCGCGGAGAGCTTCTACTACCTATTACAAGCATTATGTTGAGAGTCTGCGGGCTATACCTCATCAAAATAAGGCAGGCGACACTTTCATATCTTTACACTTGAAGACCGAATATAGTACTCTTATGTAAAACACCCTTGAGGGGTCTGTGATTTAGATAGGTGCATGAGTTCTATAAGAGGGCTTTACCTCCTTCACAAGATATGAATGCACTGGGGATAAAGCGCTAATTTGTCTATATAAACTAGTCCGGTCTTGTATATTCCGCTGAAGAACATACTCTTAACATTACTTCGACCAAGAACGTGTCAAAGTTTGTCGACGTGTAAGACAATGGGTCTCTTGCTCGTACAATTATCGTCATAAGACCCCCACAATAGGCATAAACTAGAAAGGACAGTATCCATTTAGACCATCCAGGCCTTGGTAGTGCATACTAGAGAGGAGAAAATCTTACAGAAAATAGAAGTTGATACTAAGAACCTAGCACCAGACCCGAGTGCGAGGGCTTGGTAGTTAGTAGCCTAGACTTGTCATTTCAGATTCCTTTTGTCCAGCACAGGGACTTTCCCGCAGTAATACTGGCTTTCTCCTCCTTCCTTACCTCCTTCCTCCGGTGGAATTCAACGACAACAAGAGAGTAGTCCCTTAGCTCTGAATCGTTTCCTCTTTAAAGCACATGTTTCGACTGATCTCCATCTTTTTCCTCCTCTTCCTCCTCCTCCTCTTGGAGATTATCGTCAACCTGGACCAAGATAGTCTTCCATCCTATTCGGAACATCGGATCGGCTCCATATTCCAACAACATCCGGACCATCTCGCCGCCATCTGGGTGTCTCATGGAGTGCCACAGGGGTGGCGGAGTAAATACCCCATGCCATCGGCCATGTCTTCCCTTACAACTGGCATTTACGTCGGCCCCATACTTCACAAGGGCCTTCACTACTTCGATATGGCCCAAGATGCAAGCCCTCTGCAGCGGTGTCCCTGCCACTTCGTTGTGTTTGTGTTTTGAAGGCACGTAGGTCGGGTCGACGCCGTGCTCCACAAAAGCCAGACGACTTGCGATATGAGGCTATTGTCGCACTGGAGGAGAGTGCTCATCAACGAGCCAGTTGAAAACGGTAAGTGCGCATATTGACATCGAATCCTCCCACGTCGAGCAAGGACTTGACGATATCCCCTTGGCCGTACTGAATTGCCGGGATGGACGCCTCATACGAGAACGTGGATCGTCTCAGTCCCTTCTCTGGATAGTGCTTCTCAAGAGTCCGAACCGTTTTTCAGTCTCGCCCTTTTAAAGCGACTTTCATCGCATTTTCGATGTCACGGGCCCGATACGGCACATTCGGGTCCTTGATCCCACTCTCCACCGCCAGCCTGTTCCCATACTCCGCCACGAGTGTGATTCAGAAGTGTTCGTGTATTGAAAGCGGCATATTGCCAATCAGGATTCGGGCCGGAAGCAGGCTTAACAGAACAAGGATATATGGTATCCTCAATAACGAACTGGTCAATCCAGTCTAGGGCCAGGTCCTGACATTTAGTGCGCTGCGCGAGGTCATGACAGAGAGTGAGTAGATCTAGGTCTACTTGCCAACAGAATTGGGGGATAGACTTGGTCTTTCGCAGTTGTGGTGAGAGCTCAAGTAGAACTCATACTAGTATTCTGAACTTGCTTACATTAAGCCAGTTCTCGGACGACCATTTCTAGCACTGTAGTCTGCTCAAGGGCCCAATCCAGCAATGGTCGGAGTTCGTCATGCGGCACCCTGAATGTTTTCGTTGCATTATCCAGATCCCACATGACCACTTCAAAAGTTCGATTCATGATGGCCCAAGCGTTCACCTCGGTGCTATCTTCGCCTTCCTTGAAGATCTCAAAGCGGGCTCCAGACGGGCCCGTTGGTTGCAGGAGGTCTGCGGCTGGTCGAGTGATATTTGGTCTTGCCGTCCCCCAATTGTTACTTGACCGGAGGATGTAGTTGCTCAACAGCCCCAGCGTCGTTGCAGGATCTTCCCATGGTCTTGGTTGACATCTTCCGGTATTCCGCTGCTCCACGACAGGATCCCAGTCTGTAACCACATAATGGGACAGTACGGTAGATCCAGCAACAAACAAGAATCCTTGTCAGTATTGGTGGATCGATCTTTCAGCTCCCTTTCCAATTTCGGAATAAGATGCCTGGCCATTTCAGCTCAGGTGAGGCGAAGTAGGAAAAGCCGTGAGTCAGCGGGCGGCATGCGATAGGGGAGCGAACGGGTCGAGTAATGCGAGAACTGGCTAACGTAACTCGTGAAAGATCTGACACCGCGTCGACAAATCAGTTCAGTAGAGTAAAGCGTCCAGAGCGCTGAGGAATGTGGTCCAGTCAAAATAGAATAGACGAGGAGTCGATCCAAGGGATTGAGCCGCCTAGGAAGAGATGTGGCAGCATTTGGTGGTTCGTAAGGCAAGTATAAGCCTGATTCTTGGAATATCTCAAAATATCTGAACAGTACCTTCCAGCTTTGTTTGCAACGGGTTATGCTTGAAGACTTGAAGGCCTTAATTGGAATATCCCAGCTAGGGCTTCTGCCCTTAAATGCTGTGCATGTATTCTCTGGGAGTGATGCCCCGATTTGACAGCACCGGTAGTAAAATTCAAGCAAGTCGGCACAGATGTATTCGCGAACCATGACGTTGCTCCAATTGCATTGGAATACTAGTTCGTCCTCGCTGAGATGTACCCAAGGACAGGTTTTCAACGCTGTGGCCATCTTCTCCTTTCCTTGGATGACGGCTCGGAGAAAAAGAGGTCCCATATCAAGACGGTGAATAGTATTCTTGCCGAAATGTTGAAGTAAGTAGTTGACAAGACTCGAGGAGTCGAGCCGCATAGCCTTTCTGAGGATTTGGTAACATACCGCTAACCGCGTTTCTGCAGGAACCGCGTTTGGGTTCTCACGATAACTCAAAGTTCCATGGAAGAGCTGGCAGAGTAGCAAGTCTGCATTTCGAAACTTGGCGTGGACGATGGCAGTATCAACCGCAAGTAGCATATCAGTGAGCCCAAAGGCTGCTGCTTTCGCCAACACTGAAGACAAAAGGCCCTCTGAACTGCATCGCGCAGCAAAGAGCATTTCCACCTTACTTGGTAAGTATCCTGCTGCCAGAATGCGTTTCGCAATGTTCTCACGACCAGCCACTATAGCAAGCTTAAGAGGCTCGCCAAGGACTGAACCACCGCGGATTTGTAAGCCCCCATCGAGGAGTCTGTTGACAATCACTTCATTCCCTGCGGTGATGGAGTGGCAAAGCAGGTAGTATCTTGGCCACAAAGGTGTCTGGTACGCATCGAATGGAATTGTCAGGAAATCGGATTTGGCCTCTTCATGGCGTGTTCTCCGAGCGTAAGCGTTCCATTTTAGACAAGCTCTCGGGGATGTGAACAAGTCCATCGCGCTGGCGGATACATCTTCCAGATATTCATTGGAAATGAGGGCTGCGTGTGAAAACCACCGAGAATAGGCGTATAGGCTTAGAGGATACTCGGTATCAGTGTGGTCAGAGGTTGGCTGGATGTCCAAGATATGGGCGATATACACCAGGCAACTTCTGGCAATATGTCTCTGCGCAAGGCTTATATTGACATAATAACCGAACGCAGAGCCTGACAGAATACGTTGACTAGAAAGATATTCCATGACCGAAAAATGAGCAAGGCTGACGGTGTAGTACCGATGTCGGATTGGCGTGGAAGGGTCCGGAGTTGGATCTATCCTAGTCAATCCAGGGAGAAGCTCTAATATGTCATACCCGCTGAAACGTTGATATTCATCAAAAGGTTCAGTGTCTTCAGGTCTTATAATGCAAGCTTCAGCCAGTTCTTCCAGAAACAGAGGGCGGCTTGCACACGCCAGCCATTTCAATGCTGCTGTAGCTTCATCGGCCAAAGAAGAATCAACGGAAGTAAGGATTCTTTCATATGTAGAGTCCAGGTCCTTTGGTAAGGAGGATAGTGTCGTCTTGATGTCTCTGCTCCGCAAGATCCTCTTCATCCTTAGCTCCTGCATTTGCAGTGAAGCCCATCGGAACCTGTGTGAGTGTCGTTAAGAAAGCATATCCGGGATCTTGACCCAAATGACTTACATGCCATCGGCGCCATGGACTAGCTTGTCCTTAATCTCCTCTTTGATGTTCTCTGGCTGTCCATGGAGCTTCGGGTCCGCCGCAATTTGAGAGGTAATGTAGATGTCAAGGTCCCTCTCAACATTGGCATAGGAGATTCTGAACGGCTTCCATTGGGGATTGCTGAGCAGAACGGATTCAATGTCCCGTTCTTGTCGGCTGCAGGCAATCATATGGACTTGTGGGTTCTGGAGGCGTGAAATCTCCTCAAGGAATTTTAAGACTCTAGATCGTTTAGGGCCGTACGGAATCTCATCAAGCCCATCCAAAATGATATACGTCTTGCCTGACGGGGCCCCTGATGCGGTGCCCCCTTGACTTGCTTTTGTACCCAAGTCTAAAGCCTCCAAGAATGTAGACATCAAGATCTGGACAGACGGTTGACTTGGGGTGTGCCAACGGCACACAGCTTCCACGAAGTCGAGTGCAATATCATCCACGCATAATTGAGCCAACACAGACTTCAAAAATTCCGAAAGATCTTGCCGGTTGGGGTCGTTGAAGGAGAAGTAGAAGTATACCAAATTGTCGTGTTTTTCTTTCCGGCCAAGTATTGAAGATCGTACTTTTTCTATTATCGAGGCACTAGTACCAAGACAAACTGTCAGGGGGTCTTTGAGCCTTCGGAACGTGGTGAGAACTCATACCATAATACTGTCTTTCCACACCCCACTGCCACGAGTCAGTGTCCTAGCAGTTTTTGCTGGAACTGCCCTACACTTACCGTCTCCTGCAATCCAAAGGTGCTGGCTCCCCTCCATTTGCCATTGACTAAACCATGGCCCGTCCAGAAACCATTGTCCAGTTCCTGGATGGTGCTGCTCAAGAGCTGATAAGTGAACTGGTGAAACATCGCCAGGCGCTAACCAGTCCTTGACTACCGTCATTTTCGTTTTCTTTGCCGCATCTATTAATACCATAAGCATTGAAACCTAGGAATACAACTAGGAGTGCTTACCTCTTGCGGATTCCTCATCTCTTTTTGATTTTTCTTCGATACTTGACCTCAAAGCCTCGAGTCCTTTGTTCACATTGCGGACCTCGTCTAGACTGGTTGCGGTTGTATCTCTACCTGTTTGTCAACAATGAAAAAGGAAAAAAGAAGGGTGTTGGAAACTCACAGATTGAGTAGGTCAATGGCCAACCTCAAGTCTTCACGAATCTCAGTCAATAGAGCTGTCACGTCCTGTATCTCCTTGCTATGGTATATATATAGAACCTTCCTAGTTATGGTCTTGTATTTCGAACGCAGACCTTTGGGTGTCCCTTCTTTCTTGACCCTGTCCAGCAGCTTCTCGAGCTTTTTCACATTGTCTTCGCAGCTCTTCGTCGTTATCCGGATTATGTTGGCAATCTCTGCTTGAAGGTTGGGCTTCCGCAAAGTAATATCCAGTTGCGTAAAAAGGTTGCCTAGCCAGAGCAAAGAGCGCTGGATCTCTTTCACATCGTCGTCACAGTTCTTCAAGAGCTCGTAGTAGTGCAGGAGCCCTTGCATCACCTGCAAAGCGAGGCTGACAACAGCCAAGGAGGACCCGGGGTCCGTCATGAATGAGAGAGAAAGTCGAGGTTGGGCAGGCGACCGAAAAGCCGCAGCATCGAATAACACAAGTATAGTAGTGGAACTGCTTCTGCCTGTTGCTGTGTGCCTCTCAAGTAAATAAAGGAGTTAGCCTCTTAAGTCAAGAAGACATTGAAAGATCGAAAGCTCGCGGGAATGCTGTTGGTGTTTTAATCGGATTTCAGCCGCGTGCAACTCGCCAGACGCTAGCTATGATTCGCACCACGTTGCGAGGCGCCTCCTACGAGAGCAGGTAGGTTTACAAGGCAGATCACGATGCTGAATAGTGTGGCAGTGCTGAGGGCACCATGGTGGTTGCCATCCCTGCAGGTTGGTTGATCAGGCTGAGAATCGTGGCGGTGGCCTTGGTATTCCCACGTCACCCAAGCCCACTCATGGGCAATGCCAGCTATTGGCATTCGGCTCCCGATGGCTATCATAGCCTTGCGTCTTTGCCCATACACAAACACCTCCGCCCGGTTGGCGTTGAAACAGTGTTGATAGTTGAACTTTTGCTTCCTTGCCTCTTCGAGTGATACATATAGCATGTAAGTTTTTTGCTTTGTCTTGCCTGTTGTGCCCAGGTGGCCTTAATTTCTTACTAGAATTGGGGTCCAGTCAACTACCCTAACTTTGTGTTTCTGATGTTAAGAGGAAAGACCAGCGCGGGTGGTTTTATATATAGCGATCAACAAACTAAACAAGTTCGTCAAATTTTCAGTAAAAACTATTAAAAATCTACTGTGGTTGATTAAAAGAAAATCAAAGTCAAAATCTCCTTATTTATCCATCTTCTCCAAATCATTGCTCGAGATGGCAGATGCAACACAGGAAATAATTGTGCCTAGTTTCCAAGAATCCACCAAGGCGATCGCACGTGCGCCGGTTGACCGTCGAACCCAACTTGGCTCTCTCCCATCTCCCCTCACCAACTCCTGGCGACTCACTCACGGAGGCTTCTTTTCCATCGACAATCCTGCTAGCGCCTTATCGGAAGAGTTGAGACCGACAAATTTAACCATCGGCTCCCACAGCTTCAAACACACAGGATGCACTCCTCTCCCTCTCCAGCATGATTCCTCCCCAAAAGCACCGAAGCTCTGAATACATCATAGGGGCCGAAACCTTCGTTCCTCTCGACCCAACCAAGGCACTTTAAGTTAGCTGCTTGGTTTGACTCAGGGACCACGGAACCTCACAGCTTTCCTTCCTTCTCTGTTAATCTTATCATCGCATATTTTCATTCGATCCCAAATGGATTTCACGCAAGACTTTCCGCTCGCAGCTGGTCTGCTCGCGCTCGCTTCCAACCTCGCCCCGACACCGTCCTCCGCGAATACACATTCCTTTCCTGCACCCGTCTCGAACGTCGGACATAATCATGGCGATGGGAAAGGCACATACGAGTGGTCGTCCCTGATCGGTATCATCACGGCTCTGGCCGGGAATGTGCTGATCTCGTTGGCACTGAATATTCAACGATACGCCCATATCCGGATAGACAAGGAATGGGAGCGTGAGAAGCTGCAACAGGAAGTGGGATGGAAACCGATACATCGCCGGCAAACATCCGGGAGCTTGTACGGCGCCGTCGACGATGGACACAGCTCGGCGGAGGAGGAATCGATAAACCGGCCGGAGAGATTCAGAGACAACATTTCGAGCCCCGACAGCAATCTGCACGAGTCTGCGTTTTCCGACCAGACGGTCCGACCGGGGTCCCCGCAGCACGGGAAGCGCAAGTCCTATCTTCGGTCTCCATATTGGTGGGCGGGGATCATTCTTATGACGCTTGGCGAGCTTGGAAACTTTATGGCATACGGTTTTGCTCCGGCATCTATTGTTTCGCCGTTGGGTGTTGTGGCTTTGATCTCAAACTGTGTGATTGCGCCATTCATGCTGAAGGAAAAATTCCGAAAGCGTGACTTTTGGGGCGTCATTATTGCCATTGCCGGCGCGGGCGTTGTTGTCCTGAGCGCAAAGTCTTCGGAAGAGAAGATTGGACCTCACGATATCTGGGTGATGATAACCCGATGGGAATTCGAGACTTACTTGGGTATTACCGCCGCGCTGATTGTTATCTTGATGTGGGCGAGCCGCAAGTATGGATCGCGGACCATTTTAATTGACGTTGGCTTAGTTGGACTGTTTGGTATGTCCTCGCATTCATACGCCTTGTGCAATATGCTAACGTCCTGCAGGCGGATATACTGCTCTGTCAACGAAGGGTGTCTCATCGCTACTCTCGTTTACTTTGTGGCATGTTATAACATTCCCGGTGACCTACTTGCTGGCATTTGTCCTCGTCTTTAGCGCTGTGATGCAGATCCGGTACATTAACAAGGCCCTGCAGCGCTTCGACTCCACTCAAGTCATCCCAACACAATTCGTTCTTTTCACTCTCTCTGTGATTATTGGAAGCGCGGTGCTGTACCGTGACTTTGAATCGTACACCGCGGCCCGGGCAGGGAAATTCGTTGGCGGCTGCTTCTTAACCTTTTTGGGAGTGTATTTCATCACAAGTGGGCGAGTTCGTTCAGACGACGAGTCCTCTTACTCGACCGATGAGGAAGAAGCAATCGGCCTTCTACCCGGAGAGCGGTATCAGGACGGAGTTGACCTATCTCCTCCTCAAATCGCTCAAGGGAGGAATAAAACAGTCCCGCGGACACCCGCTCTTCTTGATGGTGCGCTTGATTCGCCCGCCGGCTCGCTACTCAGCCGAGGTCTAGAGGATCTGGATGATAACCAGTCTACTCCTCGCGCTGCAGCGGTCTCCGCCGCGTCTCCGTCTCCTGCTGGCTCCCTAGCTGCCGATTCGCTTTCGGAACCATCCCCCGGCTCCTCTACCTCATCTAGACCCCTGTCTTTGTTGAGAAACCCATGGGCTGATGGTCAGGAACCGGACGTGAAGACTGCTATCTCTGAACCTATTGACCGGCCTACCACACCTCCACCGCGGCAGTCACTCAACACCAGCTCCACCGTTCTTCTTCGCTTCCCTCCGGCTCCAGACGCAGATGGCCAATCCGCAGACGGTACACAGACGAATGCCAGAACCCCTCAAACACCCACGAGAAAAGCACGGACTTCCATTTCTTCGCACTTTTCACCTGGTCCCTTGTTTTCCACATTGTCCGGAGGCTTCAGTGCAGTGGTTGCGGACTCGATTCGTCGCGGCGAAATGAGTCCAGCGAAGGAGCGGCGGATTGCAAAGCGAGGCGGTCGGAAGAAGCACCCTAGCAGATCTATTCTTGATGGTACTCTGCGTACCACGAATGGTGAGGGTGTGGACGCAGATGGAGATCCGTGGGATGGACGTCCTCAAGCTTCGACGGCCACCGCTCCACCAGACGCTCTTGATGGCCTTGCCACGGCGCCTGCGAGTGCTGGGCAACCGACTCCTGGTGAGGAACCTGGTGAGATTCTCCGTGGTAATTCGGACGACTCAACCACCCTTGCGCGACTGCGCAGTCTCAGCGATTCATGGAGCAAATCGGTTCCATGGCTGGGAGGTGTACTGCAGAAGCGGAAGGATAGCGAAACCGGTGCCGAGCGGGACAATGCCGGCGAAGGCTCTTCCGAACAGAACGATCAGTCGCGATAATCAGCAAAACCCACAATCTTAACGAGGGTTTGTTCTCTCGACACTCACCACTGTATGCCTACAGGTACATATTTTCCTTTTCTTCACTGTTGATATTTCCAACCATGGCCGGCGCATCCTTGATACCATTGCGAATAGCATCTTCGCGCTTTATTACTTGTAATTAGACAATTTCTCAGCTTCCTTGTCTCTTCCTTGTCTGCATCATCGCATGTCTGTTAGTCGATTAATCCCTGTAAATATATCAGCAGATGGGCAGCCGCTATTTTACCGCGCAGCCTTCGATAGGTGGAAAAAGCGACACAGCGTCTCTCGCACGACCCTGGTATATTCTTGTTGAAGATCTTTACGCCATTCGGAGATCAATCCTCATGATGCCTCCACAGCTAATTGACTGAAGCTGCAAGCACGGGCCAAACCCCCTCATTTCACTTTAGCCGTGATCTCCATTTCTTCTTCCCTCCCCGCCGGGAATTTTTCTCCTCGTCTACTCAACACTGCCTCTCATTGATCAATTGTTTCCCCTCAATCGGGTCTAAACACTTTCCTGGCCCGGGCTCATCTCCGAGATACTTGCACTTTTCTTCCCCTCAGCCTTGGCCACTCTGTCGCCTGCTGTCCAAGCAAGTACCCTGATCATGCCAGGGCTCTCCCCACAAGCAAGCATGAGCTCTATTGGTCTTCTTTTCCCTATTTTCCTTCTCTCTAGCTAGCAATTTGGCAAAGCTCCGTTTCAATGATGGAAGCTCGGAAGCTCGCAAATAAATAAAAACCGCCGCGGAGTCCGGCGCATTGTGTTTGTTCTCGCATGGAGAGAGTCTGAATCTGAACACTCAGTTACACTCCAAAGCAGACGCGATGTTGCCGAAGCTCATCTCGCAGGGCCTGCTGCTCCTCCAGCTTTGCGCTGGCCTTACGACCGCGCAGGACTCTTCGCCGCTCTACAAGGATCCCAGTGCGGACATTGAGGATCGCGTTTCCGACCTCCTTGGTCGGATGACTGTTGAGGATAAAATGGCGCAGTTGATTCAGGGTGCGTTTTATCTACACTGCTGGCTTCAGCTTACATGGCGTCGCGTCAATGGCCTCTACCGGCCTCGCTCTATTGCAATCCTGACTGTGGCTGAATGAATCTAGGTGATATCACCAACTGGATGAATGCGAGTACAGGAGACTTCAACTATACCGGGCTGGTGGAGAATATGAAGGTCAAGGCGGGAATGTTCTATGGTTTGTCCATCGAGCTTCGTTGCATTTGAAGCGAAGGCAAAGCGGTGCTGACGATAGTCCTCTCGCTTAGTCGGATACCCTGTACCCTGGGACTGGATCGCGACGAATGTCAAGCGGGCTCAGGATTACCTGCTGGAGAACACCACGCTTGGGATTCCGGCGTTTGTTCAGACTGAAGGTATCCACGGGTTCCTGATCGGCAACGCCACGATTTTCAACTCGCCTATTGCTTATGGCTGCTCGTTTAACCGAGAGGTACATATGTCTTCCATGCTTCTCTGCTTGCTATCTCTTGGCTCTAGTGGTTGTCTAACTCTTGCAATAGTTGATCTACAAAATGGGACAACTTATCAGTCAGGAAGCCCGTGCTCTCGGAGTGAACCAGCTCTTTGCTCCTGTTGTCGATCTTGCGCGGGAGCTAAGGTTTGGTCGTGTACGCATACCACCTGATATACTTGGACCGGAATGCTAATACAATGGTCTAGGTCGAGGAAACGTTCTCCGAAGATCCTTACCTTGCCGGCGAGGTCGGATACTACTATACCACCGGAATCCAGAGTCTGAATGTCTCCGCCCAGGTAAAGCACTATGCGGGCTTTAGCCAGCCGGAGCAGGGCATCAACACTGCCCCTGTTCATGGTGGGGAGAGATACCTGCGGACTACGTATGTGCTACTCTATACCCCGTTAACTGATAAGAATGTGCTAACGAATGCAGCTGGTTACCTCCATTCAAGCGAGCGATTATCGACGCCAAGGCATTGAGTGTCATGAGCGCGTACCACTCGTAAGTCTCATTTCAAACAAACATATTCAGGCAACATCTGATGAGGTTGTTTAGATATGACGGTATCCCTGCTGTCGCAGACTACCACCTCCTAACCGAGATCCTCCGCGAGGAATGGGGCTACGAGTACTTCGTGATCAGTGACGCCGGCGCAACAGACCGACTCTGCAACGCCTTCCATACCTGCGAAAGCTCACCCATAGACTCGGAGTCCGTGACCCTCCAGGCCCTTCCCGCTGGTAACGATGTCGAGATGGGCGGTGGTTCCTTGTACGCTCTCACCTCCTTTTGTATCCTGTACTGAACCAGAATGAAACCCTAACTAACTGTCCCACGCAGCAACTTCCGCACAATCCCGCAACTCCTCGAATCAGGCAAACTCGACATTGAAACCGTCGACACGGCCGTCTCCCGCGTCCTGCGCTCGAAGTTCGCCTCGGGCCTTTTCGAGAACCCGTACCCGGCTGCGCCGAAGAAGGATTGGAAGAAACTCATCCACAGCAAGGAGGCCCTCAATCTCGCCCGCGAACTCGACCGCGAGTCTATCGTCCTCCTTGAGAACCACGATGATATCCTTCCGCTGAAGAAGAAGGGCGATATTGCTGTTATCGGGCCGATGGCACATGGGTTTATGAATGTACGATTGCATCCGTCTCTCTCATTCATCCCCCTCCTTCATTTTGTTGATATCGTTCGCCCCTCGCTAATACCGTCCAATAACTGCAGTACGGCGATTACGTCGTGTACCAGAGCCAATACCGCGGCGTCACACCCCTCGATGGCATCAAAGCCGCCGTCGGCAAGAAGGCCCGCGTGCACTACGCGCAGGGCTGCGAGCGCTGGAGCAACGACCAGTCCGGCTTCGACGAGGCCGTCGCTGCAGCGGAGAAATCAGACGTCGCGATTGTCGTTGTCGGAACCTGGTCGCGCGATCAGCAGGAGTTGTGGCAGGGGTTGAATGCGACGTACGTTCCCTCCTCTTATACCTACATCCAATCCCACCCCTCCTGTGAAGACCATTTATGGAAGTATGTGCTAAAACCCAAATAGGACAGGTGAACACGTCGACGTAAACTCTCTCACCCTTGTCGGCGCCCAAGCGCCCCTAATCCGCGCGATCCTCGACACCGGCGTACCCACAATCGTCGTTTTCTCCTCCGGAAAGCCCATCACGGAGCCCTGGATCTCAACCGAGGCCTCAGCGCTCGTGCAACAGTTCTACCCGTCCGAGCAAGGCGGACACGCCCTCGCTGACATCCTCTTCGGCGACCACTCGCCCTCGGGCAGATTGAGCGTCAGCATCCCGCACTCCGTCGGCGATCTGCCGATCTACTACGATCATCTCAACTCCGGTCGATCGATTGGGGATTCGGGGTATGAGCTTGAGAACGGAACCTTGGTTTTCGGACACCAGTATGTTCTCGGCACGCCTGAGCCACTGTACCCCTTCGGGTTCGGGCGGTCGTATGTGGACTTCGAGTATGGCGAGGTTCAGCTCGATAAGACGGAGGTTACCGCGGGGGATACAGTGACTGTTTCCGTGGATATCACAAACACGGATTCTCGGCGCGATGCCGCCGAGGTCGTGCAGGTTTACGTCGTCGATGAGCTTTCGAGCGTTGTCGTCCCGAATAAACAGCTGAAGGGGTTCGAGAAGGTGGTTATTCCGGCTGGGGAAACGAAGACGGTTACTGTTGAGTTGGAGGTGCAGGAGTTGGGGCTTTGGGATGCGAGGATGAAGTATGTTGTTGAGCCGGGGGCGTTTAGGGTTCTTGTTGGTGGGGATTCAGGGGCGGAGAGGGGGAATGCGACGTTTTGGGTTCGGTAGTTTGTTACCTATGATTCAGGTGGCCTTGGATTGTAGGGAGCTGGTTGTGTGAGTGGTTGATTAGTGAGTGTTAGAGTAGATACGATGTATTGCCGCCTTTTGAGTTCAACTGAAGATCATCATTCGTTATATTTCGTGTTCGATAAAAGAGATATTGTGTATAAGATATCAAGATGTCAATGTCATAGCTCGGTGAATTACGCATCACCAGTCTTAACATCTGGCTCATTAGACGCTTTGTCTTCCCCGCTTTCCGTCCTCGCAGTCTCGACCGCATTCTGCTGCGTAGTGTCTGCGCCCGCATTATTGCCAGCACCCCCATTCCCACCTCCGATCTCCGCACGCCTCGCCCTGGCATTCTCTTTCAAATTCTCCCACCGAGCTTTATGCTTGTCAAGGTAAAGCTGAAGGCGTTTATTCTCCCTTCCGGCCTGTTCGAGGTCCTTCTCGTGGCGCCGGACCATCTCTTCGAGCTCTTTGATGCGGAGGTCCTGCTCCGATGGTGCCGCCGGGGCTGCCGAGAGAGCTGCTGGAGAGGGTACGGCGGATGTAAATTGGGAATGTTGTTCTGGAGACGGCATGTGGTGCATTGCTTTTAGGGACTGCTGGAGCGCCATGGACGAGGACTGTGCGTTGACTTCCCACATGTGAAGACGTTTGGAGAGGGTGTCGGACAGGTGGCGAAGGGCTTCGTTCTCCATTTGCAGTTCCTCCAGGGTTTTGGGTGGTTGCATGCTGGTTAGTTTGCTACTGCGGCTCGCTCTCGCTTTGCCTTTGCTGGCTTGCAGGAGCTCTGGTGAGGAGGGGGTTTCTCGGGCATCGACAAAGTTGTCCTCTGCTTCGTCGAGACTGTTTCGGCGAGCTTCCTTCTCGGCTCGAGTGAGGATCCCTGCGTACGATACTGTTCCGCCCGTAGTAGGTACCACGTAGAATGATTCCGCTGGATTACTCGTCCCCATTCCGCCTCCTCCACCACCACCTGACTCCCTGATGGCTTTGAGGGCGGCGCGGGAGAAGATTCGACTGATGTCTGGTTCAGCTGAAGACCCTGAACGATCTGATACAGCGGTCTGTTTGTCGACTCTTGTTTCTGGGGAGGATTTACGTGTCGCAGTTGCACTGCTGTTATCTGTTCCAAGAGGAAGTCCCGCAAAGGCTAATGGGGCAGAGATTTTGGAAATGAGGCCTTCGAACGTGGAGTAGAATCGCTGAAACGGTTCTTCAGCGTTTGATTGCCTGTACGATGGGCGTGTGGACTCCGCCACCTTCGCAGGAACATATTGCTGGGATATGATGTCTGTAGGGCTACCCGACGGCGGGGACCACGGCTGCTTCTGGCTCGGTGTACGGCTCGTGCGGTCCCTTTGCTCAGGGGTCTGTGTGCCTCGCAGCCTCGATTCGGTTGTCCTAACCTTCGCGGGTCCGTCTGTCATTTTCGCCCCCGCCTGCTGGGAAGAGAGTGTAGGAGACGCAGGAGAGGACCGGCGGGGCAGAGTTGGGATCCCTCGAGCGGATGCTAGATTATTCGCGAGGGCCGATGATTCTCTTTTGACTAGACGAGGGGCTCCGGTTAACTTGGGAGGCAGTTGCTGTGCGTCCGCCTTCGAAACTGCAGAATCCGAAGGGATCGTCTGGGGGTGCATCCCGGCAGCTGCTGCTGCTGCGCTAGTTGCAGCTTCAGATGGTGGGTTTTCATGCTGGAAACGAAGGATCTGAGCGAGCTTTTTGTGGTGTTGTTCGAGAAGATGGAGCGTTCTCAATGCCTGCCAGTCACACAAAGGGTCAATACCAATGAGCGACAGAAATAAAGAGATGAGAGATACCTCGCGGTCTTTGCTGCTCTGGGCAGCCGTCGCGAACTCACCAGCAGCCAAATCGTGCTCTTCGCTGGCGGCGACGGGGTTCGACTTGCGGGTTTCTAGAACCGCATTGCGGGCATGGGTGTGGGCCTGTCGGTGTCAGACGCTGGTGGTTTCAAGGCAGGACGTCTGTGCGGTTCAACTTACCAAGGTGAGTGGAGCGGCCTCCATAACTGCAAGAAAATGGCATGAAGGCCACTCTCAGAACGTTTGTTGACGACTATGAGATGCGAGCGAGGGGTTAAAGAAAAGACCCCAACCGGTCAAAGGTGACGTTATTCAGCAAGAATGATGGTACGGTAACGTTACCATTTCTAACCATATTTGGCTGAGATCCGGGTCTAGATCTTCAGCTCCGCGGTATTCGATGTATCGATGCTGCCTGGGGCATGAATACTACAAAGAAACAATACCACAGATTCTACGAATATACGATAACTCTTGAGTGAATATCTTCGAAACTCAACCCAAATTAGCTGTCGCCTACCTAGTTACTAGACACCAATGGAGCAACTCGTGGAGTTTTGTGGAACAGAAACAAGAACCTGGAAGTCCCATGGTGGTCTGAGTCGAAGCATCATGTCGTATTCGTATCGTCTCAGCCCAGCTGCCAGTGGAGCTCGCGACTCGCAGTCCGAACCCCAAGACTTCTGACGACGACTCTCCGCTTTCTCCGTCCTCCTCCTCCTCTTCCCCTTCCAACTCATTCTCTCGCATTGCCTGTTATCCTGTCGGGAGTAAGGTGCAGAGAGACCATGCTGCCGGCTTTGACCCCAGCCACAGCTGTCATCGTCTGGCCCTCCTTCCCCTCTTTTCTTGCGCATACCGGCGCTGTCTCAAGGTCAGCGCCGACGCACAGGGCATAAGCAGCTCCGCTAAATGGTGATCGAGCTTGCACCACTTCTCACTAATCGAGATATTTCATGCGTCGACAGCTTCATTGATTAGCTCGACCCCTTGCGCTCGCTTAACCGTACCCTCGCTATGGATGTACCCGTACTCCCCGATCCCCCCGAGCCCGCGACCTCCGATGCACCTCTGCCTCTTGCCAAATCGCTCCGATCAAAGACCACCCCCGCTGGTTTAGATACGGCCGGTAGCTCTAATCGAAGCAATGGCCGCTCTTCAATCGATTCCACATCGGACAGACCGAAGTCGCAAGCTGGGGATGCTGATTCGACCAAGTCGGGATCAAGCGGTCTGTCAAAACTGCTTGCCTCGAGACGGAAACGCAAGAAGCAGAAGGAGAGCTTGAAGCTAGTTGACGAGTTACCTGCGACCATCGAATCCGGGAGTATTGATGGGACTCAGCGCGCCTTCTCAGAGACGTACCGTGAGCGAGCTGCTACTACCTCGTCATTACCCGAGAACCATAGTCCCCAGGATGACACCTCCAATCTTCTGACAGACGATTCCGAGCCAGATAGGTATGTTCCCTTTATCATGTGCCATGAGCGGCAGTGTATAGTATACAATAGTTCTGACGTTCATTTCCTACTCTAGGACCCCGCCCCTCACGTCCCACGATTCGCATTCCGGCTTCTATACCTCTTCCTCTCCGTTGATCAAAACCACATCAGCAAACGACACAGATGAGACTCGAGGCGATGCGGAATCTGCCATCAGCGGTACAACTGCAGACCACTCTAATCCAGACACGGAACTGTCGCGACCCATGAGCCAACCAAACTCTTTCACGTTAAGCGTGCCAGACCGCAATTCGAAGAAAAGAACTGCTTCTCGGAGTCAGCGTCTTAAGAACGCCTTTACATCCGACAAGAAAAGCTCGAATCGAGACCGAGCATCCTCCACGTCGGGTGAGAGTGCGTGGAGCATTAGCCGCAGGAGCAGTTTATCTTCGAAAAAGGCCCCTGAGATACCTGCCGCGGATCCGCCTCCCCCGATTCCCTCAATCCCAAAGCCAATTCGCACCGATTTAACCGAACCTAAAGTTCGAGAATCACCAGATGTCCCCCGTCTACAAACACCACCCCACACCGCGATCCCCGCACCATCCACCACGGTGACGCCCCCAACCCCGCAGTTCGAGCATGCACCAGTTCTTTCTTCATCCAGTCTCACGGAATCACCGTCCTCAATAAAATCACGCGACTTGCCGCCTGGAGTCATTGTGAGCCCTTCCGGCAATATGATCTCTCACCGACGAGTGCGATCAGCTTCTGCTGCGAATCCAAAACCTAGCAAATTATCCAACTCCATTGCTGCTAGCCCAACAATTGACGAAGGCAAATCCGGCAACCCTCAGACTGGATTTTTCTCCTCTGTCTTCTCCGCCGCTCAGAGTGCTGCTTCAACCCTCACAAATAGTCTCAATGCGCAAAAGCTTCGCAATCCAACTATACCCGAGGCTAGAGACTCGGAGGAGCAGCCGCCCACTGACACTGCTCATGAGTCTGAAGGTGTTGAAACTCCGGTCGAGGAAAAGAAACCTATGGCGATCGACACCCTGGGGTTGGGCGATCTCAACTTTAGCCACTTGGATATCGCCATGCCTCCCGGTGGGTCCGTATCAACGCCAGATGGGGTTGTTATTACAAAGCCGCATGAAGGGCTAGACAGACAGAAGAACCCTACAGTCTCGCAACGAGATGAAGCGTCTGCGAAGCTCGAAGATCGGCGTGTCGCTCGCGCAGTCACAATGGCATACGAAAAGCCCGAAAGTACAGTCAACCTACCGACGGAAGACAGCTTCGACGCTCAGACTAGCGCTGTTATTCCTAAAGAGCCTACCGGAGCCCATACACCTTCGGGAGCCAGCACATTTGACGGGGAAACGTCAGTGAGACCATATCGAAGCAGTAGCGTACGGAGTCGGCTGGCCCGACGACGTCACCGAGGCTCGTCAGGCGCAACCTCCTCCACGATCGGTGCGGCGGGTGCCAGTGCTATTGCCCTTGGTGTTCCAGGTGCCAATGCTAGTCTACCACGACTTACAGGATTTGCTGTAGCAAGCAAAAAGCGTAATCGGGATTTCCACCAACTCTTCCGCAGCGTACCGGAGGATGACTACCTCATTGAAGATTACAGTTGCGCCCTACAGCGAGAGATCATTCTGGCTGGACGCATTTACATATCGGAGGGTCACATTTGCTTCTCAAGTAATATTCTTGGCTGGGTTACCACACTCGTGATCAGCTTCGACGAGGTTGTAGCGATTGAGAAAGAGTCAACAGCAATGGTCTTCCCAAATGCGATTGCCATCCAGACCTTACACGCGCGACACACATTCCGAAGTCTGCTAAGTCGAGAGTCAACCTATGACTTGATGGTCAACATCTGGAATATCAACCATCCTACCCTCAAAAGCTCCGTGAACGGTACGAGGGTCACAGATTCTACCGGCGACAAGACGGAGAAGGCCGCAGAGAGCGAAGATGAGAGTGATGAGGATGAGGATGAAATCTACTACGATGAAGACGAAGACGAGGACAATGCCGACAGCTTCACTGACGCGGGCGACGATAGTGCGCGCGGTAGTGATACGTCATTACCCACGAAGAATCTCGCGCGACAACCATCAGGCCCTATACCAACTGTTTCATCTAATCTCAGCGCCAACGGCCCCTCGAAAGGCGCCAAGGGGCCTTCAAATGGGGATTCTGATAGCGATTTCCCTGGTCCGGCTACTCATGCGCCAACTCAGTATGACGGGACTGACGGCCAGTATGACAAGGTAATCAAAGACGAAACGATTCCAGCACCTCTAGGAAAGGTTTATTCCTACGTGTTTGGTCCTGCCTCCGTGTCGTTTGTCCCTAAATTCCTGGTTGAGAACCAAAAGTCAGGCGAGCTCGACTTTAACAGTGAAAAAACAGGGCTCAACAACGAGAACAAGGTCCGAAAATACTCCTACATCAAACCGCTCTACGGTTCTATTGGGCCCAAGCAAACGAAGTGCATTAGTACGGAGCAATTGGATTTCTTGGACCTAGAAAAGGCAGTTCTAGTCACCCTTAGCACTCAGACGCCCGACGTGCCGAGTGGAAACGTCTTTGCCACCAAGACCAAGTACCAGTTCACATGGGCACCAAACAATCAAACGCGATTCCTCATGACCTGTAATATCGAATGGACGGGGAAGAGCTGGCTAAAGGGTGAGTCAGTCGCAGTAGCCTTTCCATCAAATCTAAGAATGCTAATGGCGAACAGGTCCTATTGAAAAGGGTGCTATTGACGGCCAAACCACGTTCGGGAATGACCTGATCGCTGCTCTAAAGACAGCAGTTGTTCCTCGCGCTCGTGCAGCAGGCCCCAAGAATGGCGGCAAGGGTAAATTACGACGTAAGAAGGGCGACGCCGCAGACGAGGAAGCAGTTGCAGCCATTTCAAAGGCAGTCAATGACGCGAACGGCAAAGCGGCTGAATCATGGGGATTCTTCGAACCGCTCCGTGGTCTGTTGGGGCCATTTGTTGGCATATTCAAACCCTTGTGGAATGGCAACATAGCAGTACTGGTCATTGGTATTCTCCTATTCATACTGCTCTTCCGCGGGCCTTCACGACAACCCGGCTTGTCGCCAGACCTAGCCTTCTCCATGCCTCAAAGGCTCGCCGCCTACGAAGAAATGTGGCGCAAAGAAGAAACTGAGCTCTGGAATTGGCTGGAAGACAGAGTGGGGATGGATGGAATCCCAGTCCCTATTGTGAACCAACAAGTCGAAACTCGCTTACCGCGGAGAGCCCGAAAGCTACAAACTACGGAGCGCGAGTTGAGAGATTCATTGACTGAAGATACCTTGTCAGACCGAGAGATGGATCACGCTATCCGCACCACTCGGGAGCGACTAGACACCCTAGAGAGGATTTTGTCCAAGCGAAGAGCCCAGCCTACAGCAGGGGAAGACACACCCCATGAGGACCTCTAGAAGTTCTCCTACGACAGCCATTTCCTCTCATATATCTCAAGCATACCTGCTTGCTTACCAACTACTTACTCGCATACTCAAAACTTTCATTCCGTTCCAACAGCGCGCCAAGGTCATCGGTACCAACATCCTCATGAGCATATCATATCCAATCACTTACCAATCATTTCTTACTTCTTATATCTATTTCGGCAATAGCGATTCGAGACTCTGCACCACTGTCCAGCGAGATTACTTTCCTTGTTTATCCTATCTTCTCTTGTATTATGTCATAACATATGTTGGTCATTTGCGCCGAGTTATCCAATTTCATGTGCGAGCTACTGAAGGATACTTGACTTCCTGCATAGTACTAGTTTGTACAGCTTTCATCTCGTCCGAGTCTTGGTCATGCTCACACGCGCAACATCAATCTACCATTCCACTGCGGTCTGTCCACTGGCATATAGTAATGCAACAGCTGAGGTTCCGTCTTTTTTTATCTCGACATTCGATCATGGTACCCTAGGGCACCTACCTGCCACGGTCAACGCCAGAACTGGTGCCTACGCGCACAGGTCTATTCTAAGCATATCAGAAGGACAGCTTAAACCCAAGATCCCACGCCACAGTCAGCAGGACAGTCTAAAGCATAACTCAGGTAGGTACTATGTTGTCAGCTGCAGCAAATGGAACTAGCAAAAAATATAATTGCCCCAAACCGCTTACAGAACTTGAAAAAGCTGTTACGGGAGTCTCACACATCCCTTAGTAAGGCTTACACATCTCATCTGCGTGATCAGCTCTTCGTTTTCTGCACAGATGTATGGGCGTAGCTTGGCAGGTACAATTAATTTACTCGATGGCCTGATAAGTAATCAAAAAGCTTGTGTTGCCGTCGACTCGTGATAATTAGGAGTATACGTAAGAGAAAGGATAGGGTACACTCAGAGAGAACAAAAATAGAAAACGCTTGATGGTATCACTGGGGACTTCGTACGCTAAAATAAGAGATAATCGTAACCAAAACAGAAACAGAGTATAATGGTTAGTTAGATAAGGATGAGCCAAAGTCAGTGTGTGTAAGGCGAATTCTATAGCCAGGACGGCGTACAGGTGTTTTGAATCGTAGCGATCATAGATCAGCATTAAATGAGTTGTGGGGAGAAAATGGGTTGCCAAGAAAAAGAATTTGGGATGAAGACCAGATATCATGTCATGTACCCTGATACGGCTGGGGCATGTTGGTGGAAGACTCGGATACCGACCCCGAGTGTTCGCCAGCCTGTTTCTCCTCTTCCTTTTCCTTTCTCTTCTTCTTCTCAATCTTCTTCATGGCTTCCTTGGTCAATTGCTGGCGGAACAGTCGCTCGACAACCTCCTTCTTCCGAGTCCGGTGGTCTCCAACACTGATTAGGATGCCACCGGTAATGTTGCAGGTAAGGGAGCAGCAGAGAATAACGGTGGTAAGGGCGAAGGGGCGCTTATGGTGGTCAATGCCCCATGTACAAGCGCCAAGGGCGATTTGGAAGAGCGAGTGGAAATCCAAAAGGACGACGATGACAATGAGGAGGCGCAGCGGGAAGGCATGGTGAGTGAATGTCTCGTGGGGCTTGTAGAACGTATGGGATTTGGCGAACTTGTTTTGATGGTGCTGCAATTTCTGCTGCTGCTGCCGAGTGAGCACGCTATATTCGTTCTCATGGTGGTCGCCGTTCTCGCCGTTCTCGCCGTTCTCGCCGTCCTCAGCCTCTTTCTCCTTGGGGGGAGGATTGCCGGCTTCGAGGTCCACTTGACCCTCGGGACAGCCTGGTAGATCGTTCTTGTCCTTCAGATCTGGGAGATGGCGCTTCTCGCGAATCTTCCACGTTAGGAACGTGTAGCGGGCGATGAATATCATGTGGTATGTGTCGACTGCACGGAACGGGGCCAGCCCATCGCCCATGACGGCGAAGAGGGCCACCAGTACGTAGTCGATATAGTTGATGATTTCCAACTGTCGCCCACCAACATTGATCCAACCTATATTCTCAATTAGCGCCGCAGGATTTATTAAATGCAATGCAGATAAGGAGCTGTACCGATGAGGAAAAGCACCCAAGCAAGTCCAAAGAGAGTAATAAGGGTTGCGTATAGAGTAATCAAAAAACCAAGAGCTGGGAATGTCAGTCAGTCAAAGCTTTTCTGAAAGAAAGAGCGCTAACGTACGCTTCGAGACATATTTTCCAAAACCTTTCATAGATCGTTTGAACTTCGAGCGGCGTGAATGAAGCATATGTCGTACATGGTCATTCAGCTGCTCGACTTCTTCATGGGTCCAACCATTGAGCGTTTGTCCATCTGGCAAGATGGCAAACCGGGGTTCTCCATCATCTAATATCGCTGATATATCCGTGGCTCGTCTTTCCAAACCTGGACGAGTTTCGTGACCTTCTCGTTCTTCCTTCTCCTCATCTTCTTCTGTTGATGTTGATTCGTCTTTTTCCAACGCAGGCGGAGGCGAGAGAGTATACGTTTGATTGCGAGTCAGGAATGAGCCCAGATTTGGGACGAACAATGAGTTTTGCACGTTCGTAAGCGTAGTTAGAGCTGATACTTCCGGGTCTATTGAAATAATTAGTCATTTTTGCCCTAACGGCAGCTCATGTGGTGCAGTGGATGACTAGTGCTTACCAATAACATCTAGGACATCCACAAGATGAGAGTCGTACTCCCGAACATCCGTGCCGGGCACAGGAGTAGCCCCGCCAACAGTTGAAGCTCGGTTCCTTGAGATTCGATTCATCGCCGCCTCACTCGTCCTTCGCATAAAGTTCCTTCGAGGGTGCACCAGTGCCGGTAAGATAGATGGCCTGTCGACCTCCGAGATCGGTCGGCGGGCACCAATAGAGGTCTGAGCGTTTGGTTCCTCCATCACGGTGTTCATAGGCTCGCCAGCTTGAAGTCGTGGTAAAATAGTCGGGTTGGGTGCGGACCATCGTCCAGGGCGCGGTTCAGAATTGCTGCGGCGACGGCCACCTTCCCAGCCGGACCCATCGGTCTGCTCCTCGATAGGGGAGACAGCGGTATGAGAGACTTGACTTCTGACATTGCCGGCGTCGATATTCGATGTGGTTTGCTCAAGTGGGGGAAACGCCCCGATCGAGGGTGGGCGTTGAAGTCGAATTGAGGAGGTGTTTGAGCGCATTGAACCAGCGCGCGGTCTGGTCTGCGATGACGTCGGCCATTGTGAAAGAGTATTTGCCGCGGACGAACGCCGCGTTTGCAGCGGGGGCCGCAAGAGATGGTCCTGAGACGGGCCTGCCGGCTCTATAGGATCCATTGGGGGTGTTGTGATGAAACTTGGGGAAGGAAAAGCGGAAGAGAGAAGCGAGGGAGAGGGAACTTAAAAGAGGCCGGCTCCAGAGGGTCCAGAGGGCGTTGTCAGGCATTAGTCAGTGCTGATTGCTGTGGAAGGGCTATTGGAGAATCCCGCAGTCATCCGCCAACCATTGTCGTGGTGGCGCTCGGAGAAAATCTTGTCGAAAAACAGCTGGAACGTGGATGGGCCAAGGAGATCGGCATGGCCTCGTCAATGCAGGTAAAGAGTGTGCTCTGAAGTCGACCCGAAGCATTTGACTGGTGGAGACCATACAGATATTTGTTGCCTCGAGGGTGGGTGAGACAGCTTGGCGCCTAGAGATCTCGTTGCTTTGTCGGCTTTCAGTTGTATCCCTTTATGCCTCAGGCGGCGACATTTGTACTGGCATCAAAGAGCATCAAAGAGGGAATTTTATTTATTCACTGCAACTAAGTGCTTGGATCATCTGGCAGAATCAAATAATCAGTTCCCTACAATGGACTTTTTCAAACCCCGTTTAGTCTACAATCTTCCCCTGCAAAAACAGCTTGTCCAGCGGAATTCAATCTCTCGATACCGATCCTCTGCAGGTAAGTCAGCCATGTCATTCTCAAGGGCTTTGCTATTGTGCGTAAAGATCAGTGACCCTGATAAATGCTAGTAGCGCCTCCTTCAGTATCCTATCTTACCTACAAAGACCGTCACCATGCCGAGCGAGCGTCTTCTTTCACCCCTTCTGGAATATGGCTCGGACAGGGCGCCCACTGCTCAAAAGGGAAATACTAGGATTCTCGGCGCGGAGAACAATGGTTTCGGCTCCCTCAAGGATTCTTCTGTCGAAAAGGACCATGAAACTACCGATTCGATTGAACCAGCTCCAGACAAAGCGTCTCCATTTACCAACGAGTTCTTCAGCGACCTGGCAAAGGCTATCATTCGCAGCTTTCCATTCGAGCAATTTGCCAAGGATCATGCTTGCGAGGTTAATGATGTCGTCCAGGCGATCCAAGCCACAATTGTTAAGCCTTTCTCGAAACCCTTGGGTCAAGCGCACAAAGATCAGGGTTCTTTGGGGTTGAAGCAAGCTCTCCCGTCGAGGACTGGAGAGGTTAAACAAACGCCAGGACATGCAGAAGGCAGAGCTGTACCTGCCACACCAAGGAACAAGGGTCTCTTGTACTCTCAAGGACTTGTTGATCGAGGATCGGCCCGCCGCAAGACGTTGGTTCCTCTGGGCGTCGGCCGAACGCTGGTGTATCAAGACATTTATGGCAATTATATTCCCGTCAGACCGGTAAAGGACAGTCCTCCAGATCCTCGACAGTATAAGCGTCGTAAGGTCAAGAATGGACGACAAGATTTGCGGTACGCACCGATCGACCGGCCTTTGGAGACTCCGCAGCGCGAAAAATCAGACTATGAATTCTCCTAATCTGTGGTTTCTCAATTCAAAGGATTTGCGGTTCAAATTAGAATTTAGATTTTGGGCAGGCTGCGAGTCGAGAAGAATGCCGGGGGGAAGATAATGATATCAAGAACCATGCGGTTGAAGTGCGGAGGTCTGGCCAAACATTGTTGGTGTGGAGTGGGTCCCTGTTGATGATGCAGCAGCTCTTCTGCAGATCGTCTTTGGGATGTGAGATGGAACATGAAACCATAGATACATGATAAACAATAGAGCTTGACTGTTGAATGAGCCAAAGGAAATAAGTGTTTCGTTATTTTAGATTCTGCATCAATTACTTCCACTCTTTTCCCAGATCTTTATACTCTCGATCCGGTGAGCTCATAGATGCCTGAGGCGGGTAAACAGCTTAGTCACACATGCAAGGTTCCAGTTTCCTTTTTCTCGCTCCTTCTCCTTTCTCCCCGTTGCACCTCCATCCTTCCTTTCAAGGCAAATCGTCATCGCGTTCAACCAGACTTCCTGTCAACCCCCACCGTATCTAGGGCACCAAGCTACCCTTTCCTCCTCCCCCCTCGTACTTTCAACGATCTTCAACCCACAGGCAGCCTAAAGCTACCCTGAGTCACCGACACACAAACCAGGTCACCTCCACCGCCAATCCTCAAGTCCACCTCGTCACTCCGACTTTGACCCCTTTGTGTCCTCAGCCATCAAGATGTCTACTGCCGTCGACAACACTACCACCGACAACCAGGCCTCCACCGTCCCTACCACGGAGGCCACCAACGGCACTGCCGCCGCAGCTCAATCCACCGTCGATGCTGCTGCTGTCAGTGCTGATGAAGGACGTCGGTTGTACATTGGGAACCTCGCTTATGCGACCACTGAGGGGGAGCTCAAGGAGTTTTTCAAGAGCTACACTATGTAAGTGACTGTTATTGTCTCTTTTTGCTGTCGATATTCCCTCCTAGCCGTCGCCCTTTGTTGTTTTTGGTTTCGCTCTCCGCTCGGAGCTGCGATCCGCGCCCTCATACTGTTTTACGCTAGACGAATCGTCCATCGTTCTGTGACACCGCTTCTTAGGGGTTTATCTAGCTACATCTACTTACACCTGTCTCAGTGAGAGCGTCTCTATCCCTGTGAATCCTCGCAACAACCGCCCCGTTGGCTATGCTTTCGTGGATCTTGCTACCGCCACCGAAGCTACTGCCGCCATCGCAGAACTTTCTGGACAAGAGATTCTTCAGCGCAAGGTCTCCGTTCAACTTGCCCGCAAGCCTGAGCCTGCTGAGGCCAAGGCGGAGGGTGCTGCAAGTGGCGGTGAAGGTGCGAGCGGCAACGAGGGCCGGAAGAGGACAAGTGGGCGCACCCGTGGCCGCGGCCGTGGTCGTGGCCGTGTAGGTCGCGGAACACGCGGAGGCCGCTCGGTATGTTACCTTGCTCCTTTACCTCCAGCTAAACATTTTCTAACCTCGATGAACTAAACTAGGCCACTGAGACCCAGGTCGCTGAAGAGCAGCCTACTACTGCCTCTGGCGAGACTGCTCCTCTCTCTGAGGTTACCAACCAGAATGATGTCGTTCCTTCCACCGAGGCTGGTAAACCCGCCGGCAAGCCCCGTGTCCGTCCCCAGAAGCAGCGCGGACCTCCCGAGGATGGTATTCCTTCCAAGACCAAGGTTATGGTTGCCAACCTGCCGTACGATTTGAGCGAGGAGAAGGTGAGTTCGCAATTTCTTTACTCCATAACGACTCTAGTTGTTAACCCCATAATAGCTCAAGGAAATTTTCAACGCCTACCAACCCGTTTCCGCCAAGATCGCTCTTCGCCCCATCCCCCGCTTCATGATCAAGAAGCTCCAGGCCCGCAATGAGCCTCGCAAGGGTCGCGGTTTCGGCTTCGTTACCCTGGCCTCCGAGGAGCTCCAGGAGAAGGCTGTGCAGGAGATGAACGGAAAGGAGATTGAGGGCCGTGAGATTGCTGTCAAGGTCGCCATCGACAGCCCCGGCAAGGAGGATGACCCTCTTCCCGCTGGCGAGAAGGCCGATGAGGTTGCCGAGACCCCGGCCCAGGAGAACACCGCTCCTACCGCTGCCTAAAGGACAAGATCGTTCCAGCCCGAACGAGCACGGTTCCTATCCGATGATATACATCGAATCTCAGGTGATAAAATCGAAGTCGGAGGCTGTCTTGTGTCTGGAACATCTCGTTTATACGTGTTGCCAAGATGCGCTACTATGAACGAAGAGCCAAGAAACTTCGGGAAAAACCAAAGAAAAAAGAAAGAAAAAAAGATTTACGAATATTATTCCTCTTCGGCCCGGACCTAGGGAATAAAAGTAACGTGAGGATGCGCTCTTTTATATGGGTTCCTGTGCGGATTGCTCCAGGGCATCGTAACGAGGAATGGAACGCCGTAATGTGGTTGATGGAGACGTGACCTGCTAACGAATCTTGCTCTTCTGTTATAATGTATCTTAGCAACCATTTAACTTATGATAGCCGCAAGGCTGGCCTTGTAACGGTGTTCCCTGTCCAATTGTCGTGCTATGTGCTCTGTACGTAGATCGCGCTGGGGTATGACGACGGTTGGGGCCACTCCACAGACCACAGCTCTTGGCATGATGGGCCTCACTGTCCGCACTGTTGTACTCTTGCCCAACTTGCCTCCTATTCCCCCCCATACCTCCTTTTGACCTCGCCTCCGCCTAATATTCGGCTTCCTATTAATAGATCAACACGCACGTAAACTGACACCTACCTTCTCACGAGACGCGCACGAAACTCGGCAAGCACTCGGTACAACCGCGGAGCAATTGTGCTCGATTTCCTACCCCTCGCAGCACCTTGCTTCCTCCCTCTACATCCATACAACTCATATACATCATGTCTCGAATGTGGGAGGTTGATCCGGAGACGAAGGCAAAGGTATGTTCCATGCCTTTGTTTTTGACACGGTCCTCCAACGAGGGTTAATCCCAGAGGCTGCGGCTAATATCGTCTGGTCCTGTGCGATTATAGCTCCTTCAGTACTCCAGAGTCAACGGCAATGACCGGTGTTGCGACTGTGGCGCCCCCTCTCCTCAATGGGTAAGTGCTTCTTGCCTAGCTATCTTGAGATTTATTATCCCCAACCTGACGCTTTCTCTCCTCGCGCCAGGCATCCCCGAAATTCGGCACATTCATCTGCCTAAACTGCGCTGGCACACACCGCGGGCTCGGCGTGCACATCTCCTTCGTCCGCTCAATCACCATGGACGCCTTTAAGAACTCTGAGACACAACGCATGGAACTAGGCGGTAATGACACGTGGAAGGAATTCTTTGACTCGCACCCGATAACGCAATCCGAAGGCCGCACCTTCGAAGACTCTACGATCAAAGAACGCTACGAGGGCGAAGTCGGTGAGGAATATAAAGAGCGACTCAGCGCGAAGGCCGAGGGGCGGGAATACGTCCCCGGTCAACGGCCTGCACAACCGACGAAGAAAAGCCCTGATGCCGTGAGCTCACGGTCAAACACCCCGCTTTCCAACTCAGGAAGGGCAGGTCAGGGCTCATCGTCTTCTCCGGCGTTGCAGGAGGGGCCTGGTGGGGTTGAGGGTGCGCAGGCTAGCAGGAAGGCGCGCAACGAGGCGTATTTTGCGAAGATGGGTTCTGAGAACGCGACGAGGTCCGAGTCGCTTCGGCCGTCGGAGGGTGGGAAGTTTACTGGATTCGGTGGAGGAATGCCCGTTTCGTCGTCGCCGAAGCCGCAGGGTGGGAATGGGTCTATACCTGGGTTAGATGACTTCCAGAAGGATCCCGTGGCCGCTTTGACAAAGGGGTTCGGCTGGTTCACAACGACTGTGGGGAAGACCGCGAAGACGGTTAATGACTCGTATATCCAGCCGACTGCGAAATCGGTATGTCCTTTTTATCCCTACCCCATCTCCCACTACCACTCCCATCCAGCCATACGTGCATCAGTCTAACCAAGGGAACAACAGCTCGGGGAATCCGACTTCGCCGCACAAGCACGCCAACACGCCGCTCACTTCGGGCAAAATATCCAAGTTGGCGCCCGCGGTGCTGCAGACTCTTTCACGCGCTTCGTTGAGGGCCCGGATAGCGACGCCTCGCGACGCGGCCGACCAGGTTCAGGACCCAGCGCTCGTGGACCCGCCGAACCAGAACGTAAGGACTTCTGGGATGACTTCTCCTCCCTAGCAGCGCAGGATAACCATCGCCGTAACGCGTCGAAGACTGGTGCTCTGGGTACGGCGGCGATGAAGCCTAGCCCGGCGCCTTCGTCTGGGACGGGTACGGGGGCAGTTAGTGGAAGTGCTGCGACGGGGACAGGGACGGGGACTGAGAAGCAGGGGTCGAGTTCGGGGAAGAGTCAGGATGATGGGGGGTGGGATGATAATTGGTGACGGTTACCGAATGAAAGAAGGGGGTTTTTAGATGGGGACTGGTGAGTAGTAGATAGATTTCCCGTTGGTTTGGATGGGGTGGGGGAGTATATCTTGGTGGTTTGTGTTGTTTGTATATCTGTATCTATGGAAGTAGCATTGGTTTTCTTTTGGGGTCTAAATTCAGACGATCTTCAATGACGGCAAGTGTCTTATCTATTTTTGTAGGATATACTGGAGTTGGTAAACTTGATGGTTTAGGGTTGACTGGGCTCCTTTGGGGCCTGAATTTGCGTGTTTTGCGAGGCTGCGGGAGGCTCCGTCAAGTCCTGTGCTGGAAACCTTCGACCCTAATTGTCGTGTGTGAGTTATAGAATGCTTATGTTGGAGAGTTAGAGTGTACCAGGTCGATACTACAATGCACAGTAGTGGTTCCATGTTTGTTCAAACAAGCAGGTGCTGGATATATATTTTCCGATTTCTTTTCATCAAACAGGTGGTAAGATCATAAATATATCTCAAAGTAGGGTCTATAGAGCCATCTATTTAGCAGTATTTACTCATCCAAATATTGTTATACAGTCATATCGTACATATTCAGCCCACCAGATCATTTCCAACAGTATGGCAGTTTAGGTCTAGATTTAATACCCGCCTCTCAAGTCCGCCAGGACAGCCTTCTGTCTCGGCGCACTCATCTTCTCGAACCGATCAACACTCATGACGAACGTGCCCCTCCCCGCACTCAAACTCCGCAAATGCTTCAGGTACCCAACCATCTCCTTCAACGGGACCTTGGCAGTGATGGTACGCGGTCTGTTCCCCGAGTCCGTGGGCAAACCAGCTCCAACCACAGTCGGGGACTGGAACGGATCTGGGGGCGCATAGATTCTCGAGGGGTTGATGGGAGGGAGGTCGGTATCGAAGTCGGATTCTATGTCTAAGTTCTTGGATTCTGAGAGGTCGGTGGATGTGATGGGGAGGTCTTCGTCTAACGAGACGATGTGGCCACCGCGCGAGGAGGAGATGTCGTGGACAACTGCGCCGAGAGAGGCTTCATCAATGCTGATGATGACGTTCATGACAGGCTCCATGAGCGAAGTTCCTGGGGATCCACTGGGGACGCCGGCGGGGTTGTGGAGGAGATTTGAAAGGGCATTAGAGGTTGCGAGGCGGGAGGCGGCGGAGAGCGATGCGGCTGTCGTGTCGCTGCCGAAGATGTGGGTTTCAGGGTGGAGGGTTAGAGTAATGCGAGTGTTGTGCATGGGGAAGGTGAATTGGGGCCCGCGGGCGAGCGCCGCGACGCACCCATTTTGGAGGGACGTGCGGACGGTTTCGACGTCGAGGCCTGCGGGGAGGAAGGGGCTTTCTTCGAGGCCCTTTTTGTTGATTGATACTTGGAGTTCGGGGGCGAGGACGATGATTTGATTTCCGTTTACTGTTTGGACGGAGAGCGCATGTGGGTCTGGCGCGGGTGAGGATTCGGGGTCGTAGACTTCCACGAGTGCCGTGCAGCCAGCTTTGCCTTTGCGGCCGGCGATTTCCTTGTCAAAGATCTTGGTGACTGGGCCGGAGGGGCCGAGGGGGCATTCACGGTAGCCGATCTCGATGCGACCCATGGAGGCTTTGGCTTTCAGGTCGTTAATAAGTCGATCGCGCGCGATCTCTAGGTGCAGCTCTCCCATGCCGCTAAGAAGGGTCTGCCCAGAGTCTTCGTCGACGCTCACATGGAGACTAGGGTCTTCGCGAAGAAGCATAGCAAGCGACTCCTGCATTCGTTTCTCCTCACTTAGGCTGTGTGGTTCGACACTGGCGAAGAAGACCGGTGGCGGCACGTGGATGGGGCGTAGCTGGAGAGTATTCAATGGCTCAGGAGGGTTCGCCTTGTTGCCTGTAGAAGCTACAAGCGTGTCTCCGGTGCGGGTGTGCTTGAGGCCTACCACGACTCCAATGTGTCCTTCGGGTATGGAGTCCACATCAACTGCATCATTGGCGTACATCTTCAGCAAACGCGGCGCACGCTCTGAGACGTTCAGATTGGTGTTGAACAACAGACTGCCTTTATCCAATGACCCGGAGTAGACACGGACATAGACCAAAACACCTCGTTTCGCGTCGTTGACCACTTTGAAAGCGAGTGCACAGCCATGAAGCTGCTCAATGGCGCTTTGACTATCAGCTACCAGAGCGGACTTTTTCTTCTGCTTGGCCGGTGTTTCCTTCTCCTTCTGTTCCACGATTAGGTCGCCGGATAGCAACTGTCGGAGACTCCCTTTCACGCCTCCGATGCTAACCTCCGGGTCTGGCGTCTCGGTTGGACTGGGCAGCAAGTTCACAACATTGTCGAGTAGCGGCTGGACTCCGATGTTGCGGAAACTGGCACCGGCAAAGACAGGGATAATCTTTCTACCTTTGCCCTCCAACAGACAACGACGTAGGCTGTCTAGTATGTCCTGAGGGGCGACTAGAAGGTGGTCCTCATCAGATTCCAGGAACTTCTCCACCATAGTGTCGTCGTGTTCACTTAACAGCTCGACCAGAGCTATGCGAGCTAATCGGAGCTCCTGTGCGAGCGGAACCTCGACTTCGTTCAGTTCTTGAAGACTGAATCTTTTCACGGATTTGCCATCGCCTCCTTCCCAGCGCAATCCATGTAAATTTATGACATCTGCAACACCGCAGAACCGCCCATTGCCTCCCTCGAACCACGGAATCTGGCATACAGCTGGCCATCCTCCCAGCCGAGAGCCGACTTCTCGCACCGTTCGTCCAAAAGCCGCACCGTCTCTGTCTAACTTGTTGATATATACAATTCGCGGAATATTGTATGTGCTCGCTTGGTGCCAGACCTGCTCGGTTTGCGCCTCGACACCAGCCACGCCGTCTAAAATACACACTGCGCCATCCAGGATGCGCAACGACCGCAGCACCTCGAAGGTAAAGTCCGCGTGTCCCGGAGTGTCGATTAGGTTCACTAGATGCGGGGATGCCGACTTGGGACCTTGCGGGTCTACCTGAGTGTTGTTGCTCTCTCCGGGCGGCCAGTGGAAGGTTATAGCAGCGGATTGAATGGTGATGCCTCGCGCGCGTTCTGCAGGAAGGAAGTCCGTAACTGTAGAGCCCTCATCCACATCTCCCAGCCGTCGTGTGAATCCGCTATAGTAGAGCATGCGCTCTGTGGTTGTCGTCTTGCCCGCATCAATATGCGCAATGATACCAATATTCCGAGTTCGTTCCAGATCTGCTTGCAATTGAGGGGAGTATGTTGAAAAGATCTGTAGTCGCGGAAGTCTAATGCCATTGTAGAGGAAGTTTGATAAGGAATTCAGTGACCGGCACTTGAACTGGGAGTGGAGGTATTGACTGGCTCGGCCACTTTGGCGGGCGCGCAAAAGGTGAGCTGAAACCATTGCAGCTGCAATTGTCGATGACAGAATGATGAAGTGACTCAATTATTGCCCCATTGCAGCCTCTGGTGTTTTTGGCTCAGAAAGAAGGTCTGTGTCTCAAAACCATTATGGAGTGAAGGAGGGACTCATGCAGTGAGAGGAAATGTCTGGGTTGAGCTTAAGGTCGGGATGCCTGACCAATAAGGTTCGCGCAGGCAGCAACGACGTAACCTCCCCGGTCGCTGGGCTGCGGATTCTCTCACCTCCGCATCTTACTCTGTCCTCAATCTATCCTCTCGGCTCTGTATTCGATTGCCATACAAGGCTGAAGGTACGTAAACTCAATCCTTCCCATATATCACACCCGACGAAAACAAGCTAATGAGTGCTCCCCGCATTGCGATGCAGACGTGGCCCCTTCGGAGGCATACCTCGTACCTAAACACGTCCACACACGGACGAGACAAGAGATGGACTATTCTAGTATCTCGAACGACCCTGCGGGCACCTCGCCCTGGGCTTCCCCTCGACCTACCGAAGCGACCTACACCCCGTCTGCTACCAGTGACATCCCGTCGTCGCCATTAGCCCCACAAAATCATTCTCCGTACGATGCCGACGCCGATACACATCCTACAGGCCCTTTAGAATCCAGGGCACCTGCTGAGAGCGGAGATGGCTCACCGAGCTTAGCGGAGCGTGTGCAGAACACTCATATAGGCGAACACGGTTACGGCGCGGGGCAAGCTGGTTCCCCGACTCAACCCCGGTCACAGCTCCCCGCGCGGTATCAAACAGGGGCTAGGCAGAATGCTCGACAACCGGCCCCAGTGTACAAAATTCAAGCTAAGATAACTGGCCTCGAAAGAACGGGCAAGAAGGATCCTATTCTCCGATTTGATGTGCATGTAAGAGGCATTTGCACCAGTGTCGGGTTTTCCGCTAACTCCGGTGCCAGACCAATATCCCCAAGTTTAGAACCACCCAGTACCGCGATGTTAGGCGAACACATTCGGAGTTTGTCAAACTCGCCGATCATCTGATGTCGGCCAACCCGGAAGCACTTGTACCCGCCGTGCCTCCGCCGTTGACTCCCGCGGGAGCGGGGACCGACGAGGACGAATTCCGAGTCAAGGCGTCTATGCAGCGATGGCTGAACGTAATTATGAACAACGAGGTTCTAACCCAGGATGATGAGGTGGTCCTTTTTGTTGAGAGCGATTTTGGCTACAGCCCGGTTGTCCGCATGAAACAGCCAGCTACAGGTGTCCGGAGAAAGGTCCTGAAGCAGTTCGCGCCCCCTCCAGACGACACACCGGAACTACAGAACGCGCGGCCTGTTGTCAAGATGTTCTATCTTAGTAGCATGGACGCGGGCCATAAAGTCGATCGCGTCGTTAAGGCTCGACGGGGTACGTTGATAGTTCCGCATCCTTTGTCTTACTCTAATGCTTATGCTACCTAGGTTTGGGTCTTGCGGAGTCGGACTTTGGTGTAAAGGTTGGACAAATGCATGTCCAAGAAACTCACCCTGGTTTATCCAACGCTTATCGGAAGCTTGGGAAGGTCATCCAGACGGTTGGCGACTACCATGCAGTTCAGGCGACTGCGGAAGCGACCACTCTCGGCGACCCTCTCAGCTACCACTCCTCCGATGCCTTCATTGTCAAAGAAACCCTCACCAACCGCCACATCCTACTCCGGGAACTTCTCCAAGCCCAACAAGCCACCCGCAGCAAACGTGCAGCGGCCGACCGATTGAAGGTTAGCTCCTCCGTCCGCCCCGACAAGGTCGACGAAGCGATCAACGCCCTCGATGAAGCGCAAAGCCACGAAGACTACCTTACTAAGAAGACTCAACGTGTAACATCCAACCTCCTAAGCGAAAAACGCCGCTGGTTCGAGCGTACCTCCAACGACCTCTGGCTTGCACTACGCGAATACACCCTCCGCCAGATCGAGACTGAGCGCCGGACTCTTGCTACCCTTGAGAGCGTCCGGCCCGATATCCGCTCCATTGACGCCTCCGGTGGTTTGAGCCGTCTTGGCCGTGAAAGCCATCCCACCGCCCGCCGCACCAACTTGGCGTCTAGCCAGGGTCCCAAAGGGGACGCGTGGAGTGGAATTGCGCGCCGTAGTGACAGCATGGGACGTAGCATGAGCGGCAGCTTTGTCGCGCCGGCCCTAGAAGAGGACGAGGAAGCGAATGGACAGGGGGCCAAAGGTCGCTTGCGCTCGCCCAGTGGTGTGGGTTCGATTGCCGAGGACGACGAAGATCGACTCGATGCCCGGAATGCCGCTAGCCGGCTAGCTACGAGTACCTTCTAAACTTACTGGATCTTGATGTTTTGTTGTTGTCTATGCCTTGCCTGCTGTTCTTGTAAATTATGAGTGTGCTTTCTCTATGAGATTCCCCTCAACGATGATTGTTTCGCAATGACCCATCTACCCACTTTCAGTGCGCTTTACCGGAGATATACCGGTTACCTCATGCCGAATTGTTATACAGTACTGGATTTGACGTTGTCCTATACTAGCTGTTTCCATGCTCTGATTATCGTGGGGAACCCGACTCCCCACCAAAATAGACAAGGCGGCGCCCAGCACAACATCCCTTGTATAACATTGTAAGGAAAAACCTGCATATGTGTTGCAGATTCTGTGATGTTATCAGTTGTTCGCCATAGAAACCGGTGGTATATTCGGGCCTGCTCGCCTGACCCACGTCCCACACCCCACTCGAGGTATGATTTCAAAGCGTCCATGATGCAATAGAAAAGAGCCAAGCTCCGCTGCTGCTCACAAGCTCACCAATCCTCTTTAACTCACTTTCAACACCCTCGTTTCTAACTCAAGCTCTTATCGCTTGACTCGAATTGAAATATATGTAAAATGGCTCCACCTAAGGTCTTCCTGTAGGTTACCTCATCCACAAATGTATCACTACAAGGCACTCATCAATTCACTAGCACTGGAGCAACCGGCTATATCGGCGGAGATGTTTTCTACGCCGTGAGCCAGGCTCACACCGACTGGGAGATCTCTGTTCTTGTCCGCAGCAAAGAAAAGGGAGCCAAGCTCGCGGGCGAGTATCCGAAGGTGCGCATTGTTTACGGAGACCTAGACTCGGCCGATATCATTGAGGAAGAGACCAAAAATGCAGACATTGTCTTCCGTGCGTACACAGCCCTTCCGGGATGACCGGCGTCATAGGATATGTCTTACTGACTTCTTCATAGACTGTGCCGACTGCGACCACGTCGCCTCTGCTACTGCTATTGCAAAGGGCGCCACCCACCACACTCCTGAGAGGCCCCTCTGGCTCATCCACACCTCAGGCACTGGCATTTTGACGGTGGAGGACTTCCGTACCAACACCTGGGGTGTTGAGCGAGCCAAGCAGTATGATGACTGGGACGGCGTTGATGAGCTTCTGAATCTTCCCGACGATTCACTCCACCGCAATGTCGACAAGATCATTCTCGCGGCTGGCCAAAAGGCCCCTGATAGTGTGAAGGTGGCTATAGTTTGCCCACCGACGATCTACGGTCCTGGCCGTGGGCCCGGGAATCAGAAGAGTGTTCAAGCGTACTGGCTGGCCGCTGCGGTTCTCAAGAGGAAGAAGGGTTTCTTAGTTGGGGAGGGAAAGAATGTCTGGCACCAGGTTCACGTCCAAGACCTGAGCGATCTCTTCCTCCGTCTGGGGGAAGCAGCAGCAGCCGGCGGCGGTGATGCTACCTGGAATGACAAGGGATACTACCTGGCTGAGAATGGCCCCTTCGTTTGGGGAGATATCCAGCGGGCAGTCGCGAAAACGGCTTACGAGAAGAAGCTCATCCCTTCGCCTGAGGTCGAATCGATAAGTGATGCGCAGGTGAAGGAGCTGAATGAATTCGGACTGTACGCCTGGGGCAGCAACTCCAGGGGTACATCGTACCGTGCAAAGAAACTCTTGGGCTGGTCGCCAAAGCAGCCCAGCTTGCTGGACTACATCCCCTCGATTGTGGATATTGAAGCCAAAGAGCTTGGGATGGCTTAAGCGACCCTTGACTGTGTATTTTGGACCATGAGAATGAATGACATTTAATATGATAAATCAAGGGTACTCCGTAAAGAACAAGTAAGGATAAGAAATAATCCAAGCTTTGAGTCGCGGGAGCTTTAGTTAGACGGGGTAAGCGAGATAGACGCGCTAAGCGCAATCTTCTTTGTTGGTAACCATTTCCCTGCTCTGTCACGATTATTACGTTCTGGTCCCCGACAGCCAATTCACAATTTCCACCCAGTTGTCGTGTTTTTATCTCGCTTGGCATTTAGACTACAGGTTGCCCTCCCTCATGACCGCAAAACTTCAATTCCCACATTGCGCGCTCAAATTTCTTCCGGTCGGTCGCCAGGATAGCTAACGGTTGCCTCCGACATCTAGGATCGCCCCATGACTTGCGACCTGTCGGAAACACACCGGTTGTCGACCTGACCATCCTAGCTTTGGAAGAAGCTGTCATGGCTCCAGGTGCCGGTGGCAAGAGAAAGAAGGTTGAGAGGTCGTGGTCCACCGATTCAACAAACGACGGCCAGCGCCCTTCTCCTCATCGACCGGGCAATCTCAACATGGCGCAACACAACCATGGCTCGCAGTCTCCCCAGTCTCGCGGTGAACAATCCGATGCGCGCGGGAGGTTAAGAAGGCAGCCGAGTCGCGGCGGAAGGAATAACACGGGACAGCGGCCGAGCAACGACAATCAAACTTCTACAGGCGGTCGGAGAGACTCAGCAATGTCTCCCCCAGAACTCGTCGGGAGAGATACATCGGATCAAGGCAGGACAAATGGCACAACGCCGTCTGGAGCTCAGCCACAGGCTTCGCAGCCTTCTCTACTGCCCACAGCTTCGACACAGCCGTCGCAACAGCCGCCTCAGCCTACTCCGACTCCGCATTCGCAAATGTCACCAGTTCCTCCTGCTCAGACACCATCAAAACCGCGTGCGCCGTATCAATATGACTACATTACGAATGAGGTAGTACAACAATGGAAGTCCACAGGGAGGCAGGCGATAATCGAGAGCGGAACACAGGCAAGGAAAGCAGCCGATCTCGTGGTGTTAACTTCGCTATATCAGGAACTCATATATTGTGCCCTTGATGGTCGACTTCCTCCTCAGGAGATTGGCGCTACGATCAAGGATATAATTGGAGAAGATGTTGCGGTTGAGGATGTTGATATGGATACCCAGGACCGACCCTCAAGCGTTCTTGATGATGCTCGTACGCTCTTTCTCGATACATTATCAATTGTTACGGAACCTCTAGGTATAGATCCGAAAAAGCCGCATGATGTCCTGAAGTCTCTTGTCTTCTCGACCGGTATCAGTCCTGCTCTTATGCGCCATCAACTCGAGACTCCTCTACTCCAATTGCTTGGTCTCGTTCGCGACACATACGCGCGTATGAACATTCGGAAACAGACGAATCTTCTCTATCGTCAATCGAACTATAACCTGCTTCGCGAGGAATCCGAGGGCTACTCCAAGCTGTTAACTGAACTCTTTACGACAAGCAATAACGAACCACCGTCTAGCGAAGTCGTTGAAGATACTTTCGAACGGGTAAAAGCGATGATCGGTGCCTTCGATATGGATGTGGGTCGTGTTCTTGATGTAACTCTGGACGTTTTCGCTGCCGTGTTAGTCAAGCAGTACCGCTTCTTCGTGAAGCTCTTACGAGCGAGCTCCTGGTGGCCGAAAGAGGATACTTCTCAGGGTGGGAGATCAGTTGAAGCTGGGCTACCCAATTGGGCGTTACCTGGATCTTCAGGGTGGGTGACAACCGATGAGGAACGAGCCGCCGCGGCCCAAGCGAATTCTCAAAGAGACCGGGAATTTTGGGACCGAGTTCGAGAAGTTGGAATCCGCGCATTCTTCGAAATTGGTCGCAAACCAGTCTCGGAAGCTGAGCTCAAGCAGTTACTCCCCGAAACAAATCTTACCCCAGAAGAAGCAGATACCCGCAAATGGATTGAGGAAACAGGAACACTACCACCAAAAGGAAGCCGAGTCGCCGCACAGCTGCTCGGTTTTAAGCTTCGATTCTACTCTTCCCCAGCTCGCGCAAGTTCGGATGTGCTACCGGATAATCTCATATATCTGGCGGCGCTGCTGATCAAAGTTGGCTTCATTTCGCTTCGTGACCTATATCCTCATCTCTGGCGACCTGACGATACCATGGATACACTGAAGCAGGAAAAGATGAAAGAAAAGGCGGAAAGAGACAGAGCCGCCCGACCTGGTGGTGGTGTCAATGCTCTCATGATGGCCGGTGCTCTTTCAGATGATACGCTGCCTTTCCCCCGCATTCGAGAATCGGAAGCTCGATCATCAACACCTGGAAAGGATGTGGAGGCCGACAAGGCCGCGGCAGCCAAGGCTGAGGAGAATGAGCTGCCTGAGCCATCAGATCAGAAGGTCCTTCTCCTGAAGAGTCTACTTGCGATAGGCGCTATTCCCGAATCACTATTTATTCTCAGCAAATTCCCTTGGCTCATGGATGCTTATCCCGAACTTCCCGAATTTATCCATCGTATCCTCCACCAATGTCTGAGCAAGGTGTACGCTTCCGTGCGCCCACTACCCCCGATTGAGGAGCTTCGGGAACAGAAGAAAATACCAAGTTCCGATCAGGCTGGCGTACCAAAAGGCCATATCAGATTGACCTCGGGCCCGCCAAGGCGAGTCTTGCGGTGGGCTCAGCTCGATAAGGAAGACACCAATGATGGGACGGATTACAGGTTCTACTGGGACGATTGGGCGGACAGCATCCCTCTGTGCCAATCCGTTGACGACGTATTCGCGCTCTGCAAATCTTTCCTGAATCTCTCGGGTCACAAGATTGGGCAAGATCCCAGTCTCTTGACGAAACTTGCGAGAATCGGCAAGGATAGCCTTCTCAAAGATGATTCCTCCGAAAATAGGGCGCGTTGGCAAGACCTCTGCAAACGACTCTTAGTTCCCGCAATCAGTCTTACCAAAGCGAACCCTGGTGTGGTGAACGAAGTCTTCGATCTCATCAGCTTTTTCTCGAGAGATGTTCGATACAACATGTACGCGGAGTGGTATTCTGGACAAACATCCCGGATCCCCGATATCAGTTCCGCTTTCGACCAAGCGCGAGCGGAAACGAAAGACGTTCTCAAAAGACTGAGCAAGACCAACATACGCCCAATGGCTCGTGCGTTGGCGAAAATCGCATACGCCAATCCCGGAATTGTGATCAACGTTGCTATTAGCCAAATCGAGTCCTACGAGAACCTTATCGAAGTCGTCGTCGAATGTGCCCGCTACTTCACTTACCTTGGTTATGATATCACGACGTGGGCTCTTATCAATTCTCTCGGGCAGAAAGGAAGAAGCCGAGTTCAGGAAGGTGGTCTACTCACTAGCCGTTGGCTCAATGCATTGGCTACCTTTGCGGGTCGGACTTTCAAGCGCTACTCAGTCATGGATCCTTCCCCCGTCTTGCAGTATGTTGCTGAGCAGCTGCGACAAAATAATTCCACTGATCTTGTCATCCTCGAACAGATGATCAGTTCAATGGCCGGAATCATCACTGATACGAACTTCAACGACTCCCAGATTCAAGCAATGGCCGGTGGCGAGGTTCTACAATCACAGACTATTCTCCAACTGTTGGATAAACGACACGAGTCTAAAACGACATCCAAACGTCTTATGAAATCGCTTACTGTCTCAAAGCTTGCTGGTCAATTGCTTATTGCTATTGCTCAAGAGCGTGTTACCTGCATATTCAAAGAAGCAGAGACCTCTTCGGAGCTGAAGTTGCTCGGAAACATATTCGATGAGATCCACCGTGTGCTCGCTCAATATCTGGATCTCCTCCGTAGCAACCTATCTGTCGAGGACTTCGACTCGTTTGTCCCTGATCTTGCCTCCCTCATCAAGGACTTCGGCATCCAGCCCGAAATCGCTTTCTGGATACGCCGCCCAAGTGTTGCTCGCAAAATTAGTGATCTAGACAAAGAATCGCCCGACACAGCTGGTGCAATCAAGGCCAAAGAGGCTGAAGACGTGCCGGCATTGAAAGCAGAGGTCGAAAGGATTGAGGAGGCAGACGCTGGCGAGGCTGCACAAACAGAGACATCAGGAGACGGCCAGATGGACGTGGACAACGAGAAGCCCAGTAACGAGAGCGAGAGTTCTCAGGACCAGAAGGCCTCAACTGGTCTAGACTCCGCTGAACATCCTGCTTCGAACCCTGTCATGCAAGACCTTGAAGATCAAGTCAAGGCCGCCCTGCCCGCAGAGACTTGGGGCATTGTCGGTCTACCTTTCTACGTGACCTTCTGGCAGCTTTCAGTTTACGACCTGCACATCCCTCAAAAGTCCTATGAAGAAGAAATTGAGCGGCTGAAGAAAAGAGTTATTGCAATTGGCAATGATCGGTCTGACATCAGTGTTGCTGGAACTCAAAGGAAGGAAAGGGAGAAGAAACAAATCACACAACTGCAGGACCGCGTGCTGGAGGAGAATAAGACTCATCTGGTAACATATGGTCAAACAAGATCCAAACTGCAAAAGGAAAAGGACCGCTGGTTTGTTGGCATGCGAGGAAAGCACGATTCGCTACACATTGCTCTGCTAGAACAGTGTTTCCTGCCTCGTCTCCTCTTGTCACCCGTCGATGCGTTCTACTCTTTCAAGATGCTAAAATTCCTCCATACGGCTGGTGCTCCTAACTTCCGTACCGTCGGCCTGTTGGATCAGCTGTTCCGGGAGCAGAGACTCACTGCCTTGATCTTCTTGTCTACCTCGAGGGAAGCTGACAATCTCGGACGCTTTTTAAATGAGGTTCTTCGCGATCTCGCTCGTTGGCATGCTGACAAGAATGTTTACGAGAAGGAGGCATTTGGGGCCAAGAAGGATCTCCCTGGCTTTGCTATGAGTGTTGACCCAGACGGCAAGCCCACGAACTTCCTTGATTATGAGGATTTCCGCCGTCTCCTCTACAAATGGCACCGTCTTATCTCCTCGGCCCTGAAAATCTGCTTGAACGGGGGAGAGTACATGCACATCCGCAACGCCATCAGTGTGCTCAAGGCCATTGTGCAGCACTTCCCAGCCGTTAACTGGATCGGTCGCGACATGCTTACCAGCGTGAACAATCTTAGCCAAAACGATGAGCGAGACGATGTCAAGATTCCTGCTGCCTCCTTGATCGGTGACCTTAACCGCCGCGAGAAGAAGTGGATGCTACCACAGGCCTTTATGATAACCAACCAACCGGCCCCTGGCAAGGGTGGACAGCCAGACAAGACAACTGGTAAAATGACTGCTTCGCGACCTCAGTCGACTACTCCAACTCCCTTCAATGCTTCTGCGCCAGAGTTCAAACCCTCCAATTCCACTGAGTAAGTCAGCGCGAATTCTATAATATCCTCCACAGCTAACTGTCTAGAAGCTTGAGTGTTGTAACGAAGCCCGAAGCCTTGACCAAACAGGAAGTGGAAGACGGAGAGATTGAGGACGCAAAGATGGCCGATGCACCCAAAGATATGTCTGACAACCAACAACCGGTCCAAAAAGCAGCCGAAGCCGAATCCCAACAGCTCGGAACAGCTAACCAAGCGCCTGCTCCTGAGAGCCGCCCAACGAGTGCTCAGGATGAGAAGCCTAGGAACTCGCCTACTATCCCGGCCCGTAAGGCTCAGGCTGAAGGTGGTGCTCGACCTTCTCCCGCATCTATCACACGCCAAGAAACTCCAAAGGCTCCCGAGCCTCGAAGGCAATCAAATCTCAACAAGCCCCTAGAAGCTGAACGAACTCCTGTTGGGGGCCAGATGTCGCGTTCGCAACCACACACACCATCCCATCCTTACCGAGAAGAGCGGAGGCTGCCACCGCGGCCCGATCTCCTAGATGACCGACGAGAACGTCATCCAGATTATCCTCGGGGCGGTCGTTTGCCAGCAGATCATGAATATGGTAGGTCGTTTGACCGTCCTATGGGTGAGGGCGGTAGCTTTGGACGCGTTGATAGAGATTACGCCTCGAGACCGCCCGCAGAGGAGCCATTCCGTGGTCCTCCATATCGAGACTGGTCTGATAGGTCTGGCCGTCTCCGCCCTCCAGACCCCCGTGACATCTCGTCTGGCCCACGAACCGGACCCCAGACGCATCCTGATCGGGCAGATCTCATCCACGATATTTCAGACCGGCTTAACGAACCTCACCGCCGTGAACCGCCAATGCGTCCCGAGAGAGATGAGCGCAGGCCCGTACCCCCTAGACCCGTATCTCCTCCGAGATTGGAACTTCCGAACCGCCCAGAACGGTTCCCTGATAACCGCAGATCTGCTGGTCAGACTCAGCCACCTCCTCGTGCCGAAGAATTACCCACAGGACCACGAAGTGGCCGATTGCCGCGACCTTCGATCGATGGCCCTGACGCACGTGACTCGAAACCTGGTCCTGACCTTCCTATCGGACGGTCTCGACAACCCGACCTGATGGCAGACGTCCCCTCTGGACCCAGAAGTAGGAATGCCTCTGGCCGTAATCCTCGCAATGCACCTCCCCCGCCTCCTCCGGCAGGCCCTGCTAGTAGTAGCTCGACGATACCCGATCGTCCGCTGCCAACGGGCCCCGGACGACAAGGAATGCGAATTGAACAACCCCCTGCAAGCACTGCGTCTTCTAGTGCCGATAAGCTTGATACTAGCGGTATCCACCCCGACCGTCTCAAAGCCTTGCAGCAGTCAGACAACCCAAGCTCGCGCTCAGGACCACCGCCAATTGTCCCTCCATCGGGCCCTCGCGGTGGTGCAGGACCACCTTCGAGGCCTTCGCCCGTCAGCCGGGGCCCGCCTGGTGGAGAGTTTCCCGGGGAGCGTGGACGCACTGATAAACGGTTCGCTGGAATCAACACTACGCTTCAGCAGTCAGGCGGTCCTGGCCCAGCCATTCGAGGCCGGGGCGCGCCTAGACAGTCAGGCGGCACTCGACCCCCATCGCCGCAGTCAGCTAGACCTCAATCATCCGGGGCTCCTGAAGATGGACCCCGCTCAGGTGTGTCGACGCCAAACAGACCTGACCTGTCTAGTGGCAGAACCTCCGGACACCCTGAAGAAGAGGGGCATGCTCGAAGCCGTTTGAGCACCAGTGGGCGTAACGAACAGATCGAGGAGACTGGCTCTGATGGGCGGCGCTCTCAGCGCTACTCAACCGGAGGTAGCTTTCCGCAAGACAGGGATCGAGAGCACGATAGAGAACGCGGACGCGAGCGGCGTGAAGGGGAGGGTGATGCGGCGCGGGCCAGTAGCAGACGAGAGGACGGGCGGGATCGCAACCGTGAGCGAAGCCGTAGAAGCGATGCACCAGCCGGGCCACCACGCGAAGAACGCTACGAGTCTCGCGAAGCTTCACGACGTGGGGTCGGCACTCGCGAGGATAATCGACGCCGTCGTGACCGAGAGGACGGACCAGACCCAGCTCAAGAGCACGAAGGACGCCTGCGCCCCCCCTCATCACACGGTGGACAAGCGCCTCCACCCCCTCCGCCGCCACCTCCCCCGGGAGGCCCAGATGATGACCGACGCTTCGGCAGCAGTGGACGCGAACCACGAGATCGTCTCCGCGATCGAAACCGCGATCGACCTCGCGAGCGCAACTACACCCGCGAAGGCGGCCCCGGTAGCGGCAGTGGTCCTCACCGCAAGCGCGGACGACCTGGAGATGAAGGTGGGCAGAGCGATGGTGGTAGCCGCGGAGGACGAGGCATGGGCAACAACGAAAACAAGCGTGCTCGGCGAGGAGCCTGAAGTTGATACAGTACTTGTGAAGACACGCGACGCTTACTCTCTCTCTCTCTCTCTCTCTCTCTCTTTCTTTTCTATTTGTGTTCTCGTATCATTGTGTCTGGAATTTTTGGTGATATCATATGAAGCATTGTTGGACGGTGTTAAGCATTCTGCTCTGCTACATTTACATTTCTGGGCATGTTAGCAAGGAGCCCGCCTGTATTTCTCATCATTTTCATCCCTTCTCAATAGCATAATGTGTTTATAGATGTCGATAATACTAGATCTGCATGCAAGCACAAGCATGATTTACCTGGATGTAAAGATCCACGGCATCTCAAATGGCTGACCCGGCAAACGAGTACTAACCCCGAGTTGCGATTCCTGCTGCATCTGGAGAATCCTTGCGCAGGTCAGGTGCTCTGCTGACCTTGCCGTAGGCAATGCGGACCGAGACTCCGTGTCTCCCCCAAAAGTAGTGGTAGGGTCCTCTCGTAAACAGCCTCGGTGGAGTAGGGTCGTCGGGGGTTTCTTACGCGCTCGCCGAACGCTCTCCAAACGGTCTACCAGCTGATCTTCGGAGACACTGTCCGTGCCCTTTTTGGTTCCTGTCTCGATCGTCATTGCTCCACCGTTTCTGCGGATTATGTCCGGCTCTTCGACACTCGCAATCTGACACGCTAGTACTGCCCCGCGGTGCCCCTCCATCGCGTCTGCTTGCGAGACACGATGGGCAATTTACCCGTGGCAGAATTTCGGCGTTCAGACCCACTGGACATGCTGCCTCAACCACCTGGTTGCAGATGTGGATCTCCAAGACAGATATGTGAAGCCGATATTACTATGTACCTTGTTTCTCTTGATACGTAGCTAGCTGGCGTGGGGACTCGGGGAGATGGAGGTATATCTAGAGCTCCTGATTCCGCGAGTCTCACGGCTTTCTGGCTAATCTTTTGTTCTCCCTCTGACTCGACGAACGCTGCGGTGACTCGTACTCTCACCTGCATTATCCTTCTTGGTTCTTTCAAACACTTCTTCTGTTGATCGGAGGAAGTCCATACTCTTATCGCCCTTCCTTACTCTACAATGCCTCTCGACGTCGAGAAAACTATTCAAGAGCTTCGGCTCGGGGAGAAGATCGATCTCGTGTCTGGTAAGAAGCGCTGAACTCTTCCCACCCTTTGAGCGAAACTTATAAACTTGCTTTTAGGAATTGATTTCTGGCACACCGCATCCGTCCCCCGCTTAAACATCCCCAGCATCCGCATGTCCGACGGCCCCAATGGTGTCCGTGGAACCCGCTTCTTCAACGGCGTGCCAGCCGCATGCTTTCCCTGCGCCACAGCCCTAGGAGCCACTTGGGACACCGAGTTGCTTCACAAGGTCGGCCAATTGATGGGTGAGGAAGCCATTGCCAAGGGCTCGCACGTCATCCTAGGTCCCACAATCAACACACAGCGCTCCCCGCTGGGCGGTCGAGGCTTCGAGTCTTTCGCCGAGGATGGCGTTCTCTCTGGTCATTTGGCTGGACATTACTCCAAGGGTATTCAAGAGAAGGGCGTGGCAGCGTGTCTAAAGCACTTTGTGTGCAATGACCAGGAGCATGAGCGGTTGGCGGTTGATTCAATTGTCACTGATCGTGCGCTGCGTGAAATCTATCTTATGCCGTTCCATCATGCAATGAGGATCTGCAAGACTGCCTCTGTGATGACGGCTTACAACAAGATTAACGGAACACATGTTAGTGAGAACAAAAAGATTATTACGGATATTCTGCGCAAGGAGTGGGGTTGGGATGGTCTAGTTATGAGCGATTGGTATGTTCAACGGATGTTGTGTTCAGAGCAAAGTATACTAAACGTACTGCAGGTTCGGAACGTACAGCACATCAGAGTCAATCATTGCCGGCCTAGACATTGAGATGCCAGGAAAGACACGCTGGCGTGGAGGTGCCCTGGCACACGCCGTATCTTCGAATAAAGTTCACGAATTTATCCTTGATGAACGAGTCCGCAATGTGCTGAACCTCATCAACTATGTCGAGCCATTGGGCATCCCAGAGAACGCCGAGGAGAAGGTGCTGAACCGCCCAGAAGACCAGGCCCTGCTGCGCCGAGCTGCAGCTGAGTCTGTTGTCCTCCTAAAGAACGACGACAACGTCCTCCCGCTTAAAAAGGAAAAGTCGATCGCTGTTATCGGGCCAAACGCCAAGATTGCAGCATACTGTGGAGGCGGCTCTGCGTCGCTCGACGCTTACTACACTATTACTCCTTACGATGGTGTAGTGGCCCAGAGCAAGGGCGAAGTCCAGTTCGCGCAGGGAGCATACTCACACAAAGACCTTCCTCTGATTGGCCCTCTGCTGAAGACCGAGGACGGCAAGACAGGATTCACCTTCCGTGTATACGACGAGCCCGCATCGAGCTCTAACCGCGAACTCCTGCACGAACTCCACCTCGTCTCATCTCTTGGCTTCCTCATGGACTACCGCCACCCCAAGATCAAGTCTTTCCTCTACTACGTTGACATGGAAGGTTACTTTACCCCCGAGGAAGATGGAACCTATGATTTCGGCGTGACCGTCGTCGGCACGGGCAAACTTCTCGTCGACAACGAAGTCGTTGTTGATAACACCAAGAACCAACGCCTTGGATCTGCTTTCTTTGGCAACGGCACCATCGAGGAGCGCGGTTCGAAGGAACTGAAGGCAGGCCAGACCTACAAGATCACCCTACAGTTCGGTACAGCACCGACCTCCGACATCGACACCCGCGGCGTCGTCATCTTCGGCCCAGGTGGTTTCCGCTTCGGCGCCGCCCGCCGCACCACACAGGAAGAACTCATTTCCAAGGCCGTTGCCCTTGCCTCAAAATCAGACCAAGTTGTCCTCTTCGCAGGTCTGACCTCAGAGTGGGAAACCGAGGGCTACGACCGCGACGACATGAACCTCCCCCCAGGATGCGACGAACTAATCAGCCAAGTCCTCGACGCCAACCCTAACACAGTGGTCGTCATCCAGAGCGGCACGCCCGTAACCATGCCGTGGGCCAGCAAAGCCAAGTCCATCTTGCAGGCCTGGTTTGGCGGCAACGAGTGCGGCAACGGAATCGCGGACGTCATCTACGGCAACGTTAACCCCTCCGCAAAGCTCCCAGTGACCTTCCCCGTCCGCCTCCAGGATAACCCCAGCTACCTGAACTTCCGCTCCGAGCGCGGCCGCGTCCTCTACGGAGAGGACATCTACGTCGGATACCGCTATTACGAAAAGGTCGCCCTTCCACCACTCTTTCCCTTCGGCTTCGGTCTCTCCTACACCACCTTCACCCGCGAGAACCTCACCCTAAGCACAACCCCGGAACAGCCAACTCTGCAGGACGGAGAGCCCATCACCGCAACAGTAACAGTAACAAACACAGGCTCCGTCGCCGGTGCGGAAACGGTGCAGCTCTGGGTTGTCCCACCCCCGACAGAGGTCAACCGACCTGTCCGCGAACTCAAGGGATTCGCCAAGGTGTTCTTGCAGCCTGGCGAGTCGAAGACTGTCGATATTGTTGTTGAGAAGAAGCTTGCGACGAGCTGGTGGGATGAGAAGAGGGAGAAGTGGGCGAGTGAGAAGGGTGTCTATGGCGTGCAGGTGACGGGTACTGGGGAAGGGGTCCTGAAGGCCGAGTTTGAGGTTGAGAAGACGAGGTTCTGGCTTGGATTGTAAAGGCTGGTCGACCTCTACTGTATGCCAGCTAAGGTAGCATGACTGACTGCATTACTCACGATATTTATGGCAATATTTATGGCAATAGGTAAATTGATGTTTGAGATGATATTAATATTCTAATACCTATGATGATTGTGGCTCGTTCATCGTCTTGTCAACTCCAAGGTTTCAGCCAGCTAAACCCTACTAACCATTATATCAGGTTTATTTTACTCTAGACCATACTCCTCTTATCATACTTCCAAATACGGAGCGCGGCTGCACCCACCGGGTAGGGTGGGGCGTGGCGTTGATGCATGCCCCTCTAAATCCTCAATAGCAAGATAATCACTTGAGCGAGCCATTGCAGAGTAAATGTCTGGGGCATTCTCAACAGATCGATCGTCTAGGTCCATGCACTAGGTATATAGAGGATGATACCATTGGCAGATCGCCTGCCTTATCTAGACTACTGCGAATACGCGCCCTATGGTTGACGAAAACGCTGACTCTGTCGATAGAGCTGCCTGGCGTGTTCCCTGATAAAAGTTCTGTAGAAACTTCCATCTTACTCTACCTACCCACCACCTTCAGACACTGTTACATATCCAACAGCCATCCAAGTCTACTCCACAGCTAGCTACAATGGCACCCACAGTCGAAGAAACCGCCTCCGCCGCTCTGCAAGCCTACAGTCGGGTGGAAAAAAGCCCTACATCATCAAAACAGCCCTCCTGCTCTCGCGAACCACCACGACCACCAACTCCGCAGAGGCGGATCAAATAACGCTCCTCTTCAAGACGGAAAACTCCCAACGCACAGGCTCGTTCAAGTTCCGGGGTTCCTGGTAATCACAACAAGGACACCTTGAGACAGCGACAACAACGGACGAAAACGACCTGACTCGCAGAACCAAAAATCACAAGTACCACCAATAGAAAACAAAAGGCAAATAATAACAGCCTACTCGGGAAACGAGCCATCGGCGCCGCATGCGCGGCCTCTATACTCGGGAGTCATCTTACCGGTGGTCTCCCAGAGAACGTCGTGCAAGCCAAATTAGAGAAGACCAATGTCTACGGCGTCGAGGTTATCCTACACGGTGCCGAGACGGGTCTTGCTGAGCAGTACGCGCAGAGTCTTGCGGGGACTGGTAGGTATACCTATATCTCGCCGTATGGTGATCCTGATGTTATTGCAGGGGAGGGGACGGTTGCGGTGGAGATTTTGGAGCAGTGCAAGGATATTAACGCCAATGGCAATGGCACTGTGGGGGTTAGAAGGGTTGTTGATAATTTCTTTGTTGCCATGAGCGGGGGTGGATTGATTCGTGGGATGGGGTCTGTAATGAAAGTTTTGAGTCCTTCGACAAAGGTGTATAGTGTTTCTGCGGTGAATTCCATGGCTCTTCCGGCGAGTACGAAGGCTGGGAGTGTGGTTGGGGATGAGCATAGAGAGACACTGGCGGATGCGGTCGCGGGGCCATTGATGGAGATTCGATTACGGTGTCGTTGGCCATGGTGGTTGTGGATGTTGTTGTGGAGTGTGAGGAAGGGGGAATTCAGAAGACGATCAGGGAGCTTGCGTCCAGGAGAGGATGTTGGTTAAAGGAGCGGTGGCGTTGGCGTTCGCGGGGTTTAGGTGAGTGAGGGCTGAGACAGGGCTGAAGGGGAAAACCATTGTTGTTGTTCTGTGGGGCGGAAACTTTGGTGTGGAAGTTATGGGAAGTGTACTTGCTTAGTTTAGAGTTCATATGTTAGGCCTATATACTAGACATTTTTTTGTTCTGTCCATTGATAATGCCCAAAATCACTCCAGATATAAGATATTGGAGAACATCCAGCTATGCACAGAGACACCAGTCACATCAAGCTCATCTTGATAGGCCTTCTCATTCCACTGTCCTTGGGGAGACGGGCCGTTTAGTAGCAGCGAGTCTATCAAAGTCAGTAAGCTACTCCAAAGCCTCAGTAGCCAGAAAGCATGGAGTTATCATACGCAGCAAATGCGGATTGAACCCGCTCCGTCACACTCGACGAGACCGCTATAGACAAATGTCAGCATCGAAGCCGATATCCGAAGGAGATATAAGACAGAGCAACTCACCGGTCTGCGCAGCTCTCAGGGAAAAAGACCTCCTAACAACGGACGATAGTCAGTAACATATCCTCCCTAGCTTAAGCGGCCAGCTGTGGTGTATACGTACAACACAGTTCTCACCCTGCTGTCTCTTTTCCAGAGAAGGAGCAGCGAAGGCAACAGCCAGGAGGGCAGTGAAGACAGCAACGACACGCATGGTGGATGTAGATAGGTGAAGTAAATGAAGTAAGTAAGGGAGTGATAGTTCGTCTGAGATGTTTGGATGTGATTGAGAAGAATGATGCGATGATGAGGATGGATGGTGAATTCGATGGAGAGAGGCAGGCATTTATACCTTTTCTCTCACTCTCTATTTCCAACACTTTTCCAGAGAGGAAAAACGCCCCGACAGTCCCACTAGCGAGGCCTTCCGTGAGCAGAGAATGGAGCACAGCACAGCCTTCTCTTGACGTACTTTCTCTCACTCCGTCACACGAGTCCAGAGAGAGGGAAAGAGCCGGGGGCCGCGAATAGCCCAGCAGCCAAGCTAAGATCGTCTATCCTATCCTCTTCAGCTCTCATAGCACTCAATCTCGGCACCGGACAACACTGGAGAGCGCACGCTCATATCGGCCATGGCCACTATGGAGTCAACCCAGGATTAGACGAGGAAGACGTGGACCAAACAATCGAGACCAGCACCCAACAGAGCCAGACACGTTCTCCAATTCTGATGTCAGACTTGGCATCCCAGAGAAGGTATAGATCTGTTATGCTGCAGCATCGATCTCCATGTTTTTAACCTGTTCCACGTTAGCGAGCTCCACTTCCTTCAGGGCTCTTTGGAGGCCTTACGGTTGATCGTCGTCTAGTCTTGCCTCATTGTGGAAGGCTACAGTAGAGGCTCAGATGTCAAACGAGTCATCGAGCTTCCCCATGAGTTGAAGATGCGGATCGGCAAAGAATTTGCATAGCGAGTAGAGTCATATCTTACCAGCGCAGCTGATGTTTGACTTTGATATGCGTGTTATCGTAAGCTGACCACGCACCTCTCTCATTGCTTAGAGACAGGGGAGAACTACCGAAGTCAGTTGTCAATCGTCAACCGTCACAGAAGTCGCCGCGTCGGGGAACACAAACGTATTCCGTGCAACAATGTACCCTCAAAACGACATCCTAACCCTCAAATGGCTTCGACAGTGACCAGGATGTATAGGTGGCCGAGCATCTCAGCTTGGCCGGCCCGCCCACTCGTCACTGGGATCGACGACAACTTCTTCGCACCTGTCGACGAAACCCTGAAGAGACCAAGACTTGAGAGGCAGTGAGGCACCGAAGTAGCCGGGATCGTCCCGCCCCCACATTGCCTGGGCGCCTAAACGCCGAAAACCTATTCTGAGGTGCAGTGCTGTGTTGTAGTTGTCCCTAGCAGTATAGTACAGTAGACGACGGAGAACAACGTGGTTTGAGGAAAGTGCGAGAGTCCGGGTCGTGCCTTCCCAGTGAGTCAAGTTTGGTGGGTGGTTGGAAAGGGAAGGGACGACTGGTGGATGCGCTCCTCGTTCCTTCCTATTCTGCATAAGGAAGGAGCGACTGAACCCTGGACAGAGTCGCGCCTTCTTTGCTTGATCGATTGGTTGTGTTCCTCCAGGGTACTCTGGAGTATCCACTTCAACGTCGGGTAATCTTAGGGGATGGCGAAGACTCGGAGGTTACAATGTAGATGTTTATAACTTTTATCTATTGACACTCACTTCCTAAACTATAGGATACCTCACTACAGTGCCTAGTGTTCAATCCTAAACTGCATGCTCATAACTATATCACCCCACCATGAAAACCTGAAAATCAGAAGTCCGAAATCAATCAAAAACAAGGAAACCCTACTTGTTTGCTTGCTTGCCGTACCCCAAAACGCCGAGCGAAATGCAGAAAGTGGACATATACCCAGACCAAGTCAAATCGTATGTAAAAAGAGAAGAAGGAAGAAGCGGTAAGTGAGCCCCAAAGCCAGGATCACTGGGCTGGATTGACTTTATGGCGGCGCAGGCTCAGGGAAGGATATCCTTTATCACCTCCTTCGCACTCGCCGACAATGTCTCTGGGAACTTGACATTTGCACGGACAATCAGGTTGCCTCGTTCGCTGGGTTTCTTCGAGATCGTCATGCCGAGGCCTGGGAATTTCTCTTCCTGCCCTGGTTGCGTGACGGCGGTTCTGCTCTTGACGCGGATTGATTTTCCGTCGATCGTGCGAACAATGCGTTCCCATTCTGTCAGCGCTTCTTTGAGTGTGATGTCGACTGTTGTGATGAGATCGTCGCCGTGGCGCTTAAATGTGGGGTGTTCTTTCTACTGGTTGTTAGTACCTAACTAATGCACAGAGGACCTGAAAAATTAGGGCTTACCTCAGTCACAATAAGATGGACGTCCTGTCGACCACCTTCCTCCTGGTCACCAACACCGCGGAACTTGATCTTCGAACCCGTCCGCAGTCCAGGCTTGATATTCGCTTCCAGCGTCACATCTTGCACGGTGCGTTTACCGCTCGCATCAAACGTCTTGCTCTTAACCGTCACTTTCTTTGTGCACCCTTGAAATATCTCCTCCAGCGTCAGCGGCAACTGCTTCTCGATGACCGTCGGCTCCGGCGTCGGCCCCGCCCGCTGAGACTGTTGCTGGAACGAACCGGGTTGACTGCTTCGGTATCGTGCGCCTCCACGACCACCAAGGCCGCCACCTAGCATGGAGAAGAGATCGTCGTCATCCAGCCCGCCCATTCCGCCGCCGCTGGCTTTGGCAAAGTTTCGGAAGATATCGTCGGCGCTGCTGAACCGGAATCCGCTGCCGCCGCGGCCGGGTCCGGTTTCGAAGTGGAACGTGCGAGTGCCTCCGGGCATGTCACCGAAGGAGAAGCCGCCGGGCATGCCACCAGCGAATGGGTTTGCACCCGGGCCACCGCCGCCGCCGGGTGGAGGGGCAGGCCCGCCGCGGAGGAGATATTCGAGGCCAAATTGGTCGTAGACTTTCCGTTTCTCGGGATCAGAAAGAACTTCGTAGGCTTGAGATACATCTGCACAAAAGAATTTAGTTAGCATAACCGTAAAGCGAGTATCAACCGACCTCCCTCGGAGAGAATATAACATACCTTTGAACTTTTCTGCTGCCTTAGGATCATCCTGGTTCTTATCCGGATGATACTTCAGCGCAGCTTTTCGATACGCCTTCTTGATTTCATCTTGCGAGGCATCAGGCTTGATGCCCAAAGCATCGTATAGTTTCGATTCTGCCACCATTGTTGTGTCGAGTAATCAAAAGCACCAAGCGGTGAGTGGTTTCTTATGCAAGGTCAAAGGGTGGGTAACGCTAATTGGAGAAGCTCGCGTTTGTATATATGTTGCAAGCCGCGAGAGGCAAACGTGCCTGTCGAGGACAATAGGTCTCGAAAGCCAGAGGGAACTCGAATGACGTAGAAGCTTCGGGCGGCCACAGCACACGGGAGGCTGCGGGGAACTAGCAAGTATAAGTCGGGTGAGTGCAGAGGCGACAAAGGACCACGCAAGGCTTGAAATAAATCAGGCCACGCTCCAAGAGATAGTCAGAAAATGCCCGGTTTTCAACGTCCAAAATATGAAGAGGGCAGATGGTGACGCCTGGTCGATCTTGACATGAGCCCCAAGTGACGTGTGACGTTGGAGCGGGAGCTGAGGCAATCGAAGATTCGAGAAGCTTCTACGTAAATGTGCCGATACTGGCTGCGAGACTCGACATCGGAGGTTTTTCAGAAGTCGAGAAGCGTCATTATATCTGCGAAAATGCGGTCAAGACTGCACTGAGGCAGGCTGTGAGTGTTCACATTGGGCAAACTTGGGAAGCGACCGTGGGTGCCTGAGTGTGCCTTATGCAGCGCTTTCTCTTGGATTAGCTATTCTGGGTAAGTCGGGCGGAGGCTAGATGAGGATCCACCACATCTTCAGTTGAAAATAGTATGTATTCACAGGTCTATGCAAATTTATTTACACAGTCTATAGCCGGATTGGTGTTTGTACCGCATGCATATATCCAGAGCTCGGTGTATATACTCAAGAAGACGGTTGGTCGACCACAATGTAGTCTTTGATCAAAGCAGTCCCATCAACAACGCTCTCAATCTGCTCCACTGTGCAATAAGAACCAAGCGAAAGAATATAGCAGGTGGGCGCAGGGCTATCAGGGACGGCGTTCGTGACATTAAACGTCGAAGATGGACCCGTGGTGGAATATGTGCCATTCTTGGCTGTTGAGACATTTCCTGTTGAGATGTCTCGGTTGAACATCGCACGTTGGAAAATCTCATACGCTGTCTCGGGTTGGTAAGCAGGGACTTCATGTCCGGCTTCGAAGACCCTGGTAAAGGAGAAGTTTCCATGCTGGCGTACCAGCCCACCGACGTACGAGGCGTTCGTATGTAATGGTGCGTATCCCGCTGCGCGGAACTCAGCCGCATCGCTGTAGTCGACCTGCAGACTCACTTCCTCGCCGCCGTTCCAGGGGCAAGCGTAGTCGCGGTCGCCGTAGACAAGGGCTACCTTGATACCTGAGTCGAGCACGTATGCAAGATCCTCGAGGTACCCATGGACGTCGGAGCGTGGGTAGTCGCCAGTGCTTGAGAATCCAGTGTACACGCTGTCAACGGACTCGGTAAAATTGATTGGGACACCGAGGGCATCTTGAACCCAGTGTTGGCTCAGGTAGCCTAGGTAGTATGGTGGAGGGAATGGATCGGGGTCAAAATGGGAGATATCGTAGTAGCCACGTCCAGAGAACAAAATGTACGGTCCCTCAACATTATTACCGCAGTAAATATCAGCCTTGCGACAAGCACCATTGACCGTCTCGTTGTTCCCGTACATGTGCGGGTCTCCTTCGGACGCAAGACGGCGACATTCGCTAATCAAATCCTTACAGCCACCAGGCTTGCTCCACGCTTCCATCGCAGCCTCGTACACAGTCGCATTGATGGCTTCAATCCCGTAGGTGTTGTTATAAGCCATTTCAGGATATGACGGTGCCTGCACGAGCAGGTCAACGCAGCCGTTGATGATTCCGAGGGTGTCCAGGTGAATGTAGTGTGATGCGCCAGGCGTGTTCAACGAGCCATTTGCGATCTTCTCATTCTGCTCCTGGAAGAACGCAGTGAAGGCTGGGCCATATCGGCCTCCATAAGATTCAGTCCAGATACTGACTCGATCATCATGAGGCTTGTACGCGGGGAACTCCTCAAACCAGGTCTGGGCGAAATGCCAGAGTGCGCGGGCAGCGTTCTCGGTGGTGTTCGCGGAAGTAGAGGCATTCAAACTGGGGAAAGTACCAACGTAGAACGTATTGTTCTGCTCTGGCACAGTCAAAAACGGCGTGACATCACGAATGCCCGTCAGCTGGTCATATGTCCCGTTAGTTGGCACATCATAGCTAAACCCAACCTGACTCGGCTGGTCGATATAAAGCATATTAACGTGATTATTCCACGACCATGGGTTCAGCTCGGTTGAGTTCGAATCGCCATTGACGCGGCACGGACCATTTTCCTGCATGAGGCCAATCATAGAAGAACTGCCCGGGCCGCCATTCATCCAAATCGACAGTGGCGCATTCTTAGGATCGTTTCGGGACTCGAAAAACCAGAAGAATGTATTAATTGGGTACTCCTGATCCAATCCCAGGTCATTGAGGGTCCCCGGAGGAAGATGCACATAGCCCGAGTAAGATCTCACGCCGGGCGTCGTCTCACAGATTCCAGGCTATGAACCGTTGTTAGAAACAGGGCCAAAGGCGGAAACGATATCCGGTCCATTCAGGGGTAAATTTTGTCACAGGAGAGTTTTCGGCTATAAACATACCTCTTTGTATGAAATGGTCACACCTTCTTGATGCTTTGAATGGATGACTCTGACATCTTCGGGAGAGGGAGGGAAATACTGGCCGGCGGCAAGGCTGGCCAAACCGGCGGAGACGCCGACGAGCGACGACAGCGAGGGCATTGGGAAATGAGAGAGCACTGACGAAGTGAGCCAGCCGGTAAGCTGGGAGAAGAGGGAGACGGACTTCCCCAGAGGGTCTCCGTCATTTATCATGATTTCGGTTGTCCAAAGTGCGGACGCAATAGGGGTGATGAGCGGGGAAGGCCGTCAATCAATGTAACGAAGCCGGTGTGGAGGACGAGCGCGGACCGCCGTGATAAGCCGCATCTCTCACTAAGCAAGGCTTAGTGCTGCTTAGCGTCTTCAGGCACCCTTGCACAGTGCAACCTCAAGTGATAGGCAATGTCAAGCATCGTGTGCTGGCCCAATCGTTCTCAGTTTCTTGGATTGTTGGGTGACAAAAACGCCGATAACTCTTTCACCTCGGGCAAGCGGGAGCCTGACCCGTGGACTATGAAACCATTCCATGCCGCCAGGAATACCAGCAAAATATAAATTGTACAACATCGCCGAGGCAAAGATGCCCCAGTACTTCAGCCCTAATAACTTTGTACCATTGCGGATTAATACGCCTAGATACACGATGCATAATACCAAATATCCATCGCTCCCACCCGAACACGCACGGTAACAGACAAAACCAACGCTGCGCCAGAGTGAGGTATCCATAATCAAAAGAATCAAAGATCGACATTAAGCAGCCCATAGTCGCCGCGACGCCGCTGAGTGCCACCGAAATGTACATGCATGTGCTATAAATGAACAGAGGTATCCACAGACCGAACACAAGGGTAGGTTATATATACAGAGCAAAGTACAAAGTAGACGAATAAAGTAAGGGTATCGGGAAATATAGGATGTTAAGATGTCGCGAGTATGCAACCTCAAGAGTGGAGTGGCGCTGTGGGGATGTTTTCTTGCTTTGGTGTTGTGAGCTCAGGGCTGGTGGGTTTATCAGCAGTCAAAGCGATGCCGGCTTCTGATGGTTCTTCTTTCGAAGTCATAGCCACGCCTTGAGGTTTGGCATCTGTTTCAGATCCATATACCGATGATCGATCACTCAATACCGAGTGGAACTCGTCGTCTTTGCCCACGGGTGTCTTGTTGGAATCAGTCGTCTCGTCTAAGGATGTGCCTGGACTCGAATTCTTCTTGGTGTTATCAGTGGATTCGGTGAAGGCGTTAAGCGAAGCGTGTGTAGAGATCGAGGTTACAGAGCGATTGTCGTCTGACGAAGCATAAGGGACAGGTGAAGCTGGGTTGGAGGTTGAGGTTGACGCTCGATACGGGTTTCGAGGAGGAAGTGAAGGAGGTTGCCGTTTTGGGATTGTAACAAGCCGAGCACGAGTGAAACTAGGAGAGTGGCGCCCAAGAGCGACCGGTGCAGCCGAGTCCTCAGCAACGGGTGAAGCAGTGTTGGGTACGCTGTCGCGCCTCGAGAGTCTAGCACTGCTGACTTCGTGTACTTCAAGGTCCTCATCATTGATCAGCTCATCCTTCACACCCTTGTCTTGAGTGCGGAAGTGAGCTTCATGGTGTTCAGGAATGACAGTCTCCCAGCGAGACTCCTCGTTATCCCACGGGTTTGAATCCCTGCGTTCGGGAAAGTCCTTGTTGCTCCGCGACGACGCGCGGCTGATCGTAGTCGGAGCAGTCGGGAAGTCGTCATCGGTTTGAGTGCCTCGCGTTGCACTTGTATAGCTCTGGACACTAGTCCGCCAGCTGTTGCGCGGCGAACTCTCGAGACTGCGTCTGAACGTCGCATAGACAGGGCTGTTCGGACTTGGTTTAAATTCAAACACATCCTGACTGGGTCGGGCTTTTGAGCCCGCCTCACGGATAAAGAGGCCTTCGGCCTCCAAAGCCTTGACTCCGAAAGGGTCAGGATCCTCCGGGTCCGGGACGCCAAAATTCGTGGGTTGCTGTATTTCCATGTCTCCGGGTGTCTCTCCGGGCGAGGGAAGCAAATCTTCATTCACATCCGTATCGCCCTGCGCGGCCTTGATTGTTTGGATGAGAGTTTCGATTGATGCAGGCGGATGTTTCGCTTTACCCGCCAAGATGTCGGTCACCGATATGCGCTCGCCGTAGAATCGCTCATTCTCGTCTGTGCGCTCGATGATGATAGTGCCATCCACTTGTACACCAGCATACAAACCCCGACTCTTCATATATGTCCAAATCGGCGCCTGTCTTTTGTGCACCTCAGATTCGAGAACACCGCCAATCCCAAGTGGACCAGCAGAAGCACTGACTTCTCCACCTAATGTACACCGAACCTTCTTGAAAGCGTCCAGAGCCTCATACGTGTTGATAACAACGACGCAGTCGTAAATGTCGATTCCAGCAAGAAACCCAATTCCAACTGTGTGCAACATGATACCAGATGGGGGGCTCCATTCGCCAGTTTCAGGAATACGGGCCAACAGCACGCCGCTACCACCAGAGCCACTAAGCCATAGACCAGTGCGCATGGTGGTAAAGATGGCGATGCCTTTGGCATCCTGGATAACTTTGGTGGGGATTTTCTTCATCACCCGTTGTTTGCCCTTGGGTTTATCAATCTTGCCAGTCTCCTTGTTGAGGACATTCTGTTCCTCTCGTAGATCGACCTCCTCGTCAGCGTAAAAACCGTCTTTGCAGAAGCTCCGGAGAATGCGAGCAGCCTTGTCGCTTTCTTTATCGATGGTCATGGGCCAAAAAGCCTCTGCTCCGACTCGGTTCGACATTCGGTTGACCGGGTCTCCTAGCTTATCAAGGGCGTGCCATGCCTTGTCGAAGCCTTTCTTGGAGGTACCCTTTGTCCGTTCCCAAAACGAGGGAGCCATTTCGGCGGTTCCAGAGGCTCCCGCCTTGGGAAACAGTCGTCCTCAAAAAAAAAAAGTTAAACTAAACGAGTCGCGGGAATTCGACGACCAGAAAAATGGGAAATAAACCGAGCGCTATAAGAGCGGACGCTGGTATCTAAGCAAGTCGGAAGCACCGGAAACAGCAAACATATATTGCAATCGCTTTCTCAATGCGCTTGAGGAATGCACGATGAGCGGGTCCCGGGCAGTCGAAGAATGCGCGCCTGGTATAGGAATGCAAAAGCAGACGATCAAAAGGCTAGGCTGGAGATATCAACGACGGCAGGTCGGATTGATAATCACTTTTCGTCGGAGAATCGCAGAATGATGTAGCCGATTTCCCCGATGTTCTGCGTTCGAGGCCTGGTCAGATGAGTGGCAACAGAAGGATCCAGTGGCATACAAGGAGGGGAACCGCGGAACCGACGACCAACAACTAACTGGGAAGAGCTGGGGAAGAACTACCAAAAGAGCCAGAGTGAGACGGACAATCGGAACTCGGCGGCAGAGTAAGATAAATTCACCCTCAGCAAGATATCAGGAGGATATGCTCGCTGTGTAAGCAAAATAAGATTGATGATGTATGGATGCGTCGCCAAGGGCTACCTGGATGAAGAAGGAAGGATGATGCTCAGTCCGGGTGCCTGCTGGCCGCGAAGCAAGAGGGGGAAACGGAAAAGAAGAAAAGAATAGGCATCAGAGGGAGGAGAAAATGTCCTATATGTAATCCCACAGGAAAGCGCAGCAGCATTGCCCCAGTCAGCCCAGGAACGCATGGGTAATCCATCAACGGCTGGACCGGAAACGCATGGTTGGAAGAGCAACTAAAGACGTGCGTAGTGGCTGGACCCTCCCCAGTCCAGCTCAGGGAACAAACTGCTCTGCAGCGAAAGAGGGGAAAAAGAAACGAGGCTAGAGGAGGAGTATGACGGAAAGGATGGCATCATAACTCCGGCAACTACACTGAACTAGGCTACACTGCCATGATCGATAAGCAGTCGATCATCAATCTTAGTCACTTTTAATGATCTTTAAGTTACATCTGCAGGATGTGGAATTGAAAGAACAAGAGGATACATGATGCACAATCCCATAGTCCCTGACTCAAAGCATTCCTCCTCAGCACAGAAACAATGTCATCATCGACTACGTACCCGATGGGCCCCAAAATCCTCAAACCACGCCTCCAAATCTCAAATCACCAAGAAATCAACCAAAAAATTTTCACGCCTTACAAACTAACAAGCGATCGATTGACTTTGGCTGGCTAATTTTGAATTTTCCCCCTTGGAACCGTTGGACCCAGGGAACCACGCAGATTGGACCCAAGGGTACAATTTCCAGCCTCCACCTCCATGCGATCTGATCCTCTAGCGCGGACTATATTGTATGTATCGCATTCTTCCCGGCCGCGAGAATATGACAGCTCAGCTCGAGCGACCCTTGTTTAGCCAGCCAGCCAGCCTCATTTCTGCTCTTCAGCTTCGCGCCTCAATCTCCAATTCGATCTTGCCATCTGTCGCGGCGTCGCCTAGAAAAGTACCCCACCGAGATCTCGATCGTCGCCTATTTATCCTGCTTCCATCCTTGTCGCCATGATACATCCTCCCGCATCTCTCACGCGGCATCCCGGACCGAGCAGTAGTAGTTCGATAGTCGGTTCTGGGCCAGACTGATGGGTATTGAGGAATGGACTCGTGTCCAACTCAGTCGACTTGCCGACCCAGCTGTGGGTTTTGACTCCCAAGTGGTAATCTCACAGTTGGTACCTGACATGATGGTGATGTATGTATGCCTCTTGGACGACCCACACTATTAGGCATAGTACTTGTTTATGCCAGGAACATTCAAAAAATTTTAAATCACATTCTCCCTCGTTCCCGACTGCCAACATGAAGCATCATTCAATGATACGAATCAATCACCTGCCCGATCGCTCATTACTGTTTGATTGCGTGACTCGATAGATTCCATCCCCATGTCAAGACGGTTGACCGGAAACCTCAAACCAGACATCTTCTCACAAACTTTATGGGACTCGTCCGCGGACTCGACCGCAATACCCAATAACACGTCACATGCACTTTGCAGTTTTACTCCATTACGTGGAGATATCTCTCACGATTTCTCAAAACACGTTCGTAAGACCTCATGGTCCAACTAATAATATGTACATACGAACTGTTCAGAGCCTCGGAGTTCGCCGAGATTGGCGTTGTGGAGTCTCATGCACATTGACTACACCTGCACATGCCCGAGTTGAATGCAAGAAAAAGACCTAATCTAGGTCTCTGCAAGTAGATGGAGCCCTCAAGTGAGCCCTTCTGACCATGAATGCTCTGAACTAGACTTTTTCGAACATGCCTGTGTAGATAATGAAGCAAGACTGCTGGGCTCGAGGATAGCGTTGATACTAAAGTATAGCGTCTAGCTAAGTTACTTGGTCTATGGAGTACTGAATATATAGATCACAACTCCCAGAACAAAACAACCCACCATAAACTACGGCAGATACATACAGTACACCTACTACCTACTCTCCAGATCAACTCCAAACTATTGCAGCGCTTGAACAGAACCACAAGTTCATATCCACAACCGCCATACCCGAGCAAAACCACTTTCCCATAACCAGATCCAGCGGGTTGCCCTGCTAACTAGTTGCACGGAGTAAGACATCTCATATCATCCAGGTGATACAACCGCGATCCGCAAGACGTATCCCCGGCCGAACCGGAACCACTGGAAATCTGCTTATGCACTATGCATATCGTTCATGGGGAAACCAAAGTAGCGCAGTACCACGAGAGGAACCTAGCGGTCTAGAGTCCAGACTCCAGCGTTCCGCACCCCGGCGATGTATCTTATGGATCGTGAATATGTCATGTTTATTTGGCCCTTTTCGATTCCTCTGGACTTTTGGGGACGAACGGTGGGGCATCAGGAGTCAGGAGGTTATTGCCTGTTGGTTCGGCCATTACCGCCAGAGAACGAGGTGTCTGATTTCGTCTTTGAAATAGGCAGGTCGTTCTCGAGAGTGAGCTAGCGGAGATAACATGATGATGGTGATATAGTTCATGAACAGAAAGTAAATAGTCTAACAAGCATAGGTACAGCCACGGTCGTTTACATCAACATCACAGAGCGCCAAGCTCCTTGAGCTTCGAGATCAAGCCGTCGACATCCTCGACCTTGCCGCCACCCTGCCGAGCCGGGGGTTCTGGAGTAAAGCGTTAGCACGAACGTAAGACACAAAACCCAAGAGGCTGAGCAAACTCACCTGTAACCTTCAGCGTCTTCAACCGCTTCTTGTCCTCAACCCCAAAGTCCGCAAGCGTCTTTTTCTCCAAGGGCTTCTTCTTCGCCTTCATGATATTCGGCAAGCTTGCGTACCTCGGCTCATTCAACCGCAAATCGGTCGTGATAACCATAGGCAACTTCGCCCTCAGCGTCTCAACACCCCCATCAACCTCATGCGTAACCTCGACTGTCCCCGCCTCATCCTTGATCTCCACCTTGCTCGCCTGTGTCGCCTGCGGCCACCCCAGAAGACCCGCAAGCATCTGCCCCGTCTGCCCCTGGTCCCCGTCAATCGCCTGCTTCCCCAGAAGCACCAGGTTGATGTTCTCCTTTTCAACGACGCCGCGGAGCATCTTTGCGACAGTCAGCGGCTCCAGGCCGCCGTCGTTGCTGTCGGGGACGTCAATGTGGAAAGCCCGGTCGGCGCCCATGGCCATTGCTGTGCGCAGGGTGTCGGCGCATTTGGGACCGCCGGCAGAGAGGGCAAGGATGTTGTCGACCTTTAGCGGGCCCTTGCGTTCGCGGAGGCGGACAGCTTCTTCGACGGAGAGTTCGTCGAAGGGGTTTAGGGAGTGCTTGACGTTGGCGGTTTCGACGCCTGTTTGGGTCTTGTTGATGCGGGGTTTGATCTGGAGTAATGGTGGTTAGTTTTTGTAGTTCAACTTCCGAGTCCTTATATCCCCGCAGAAAGCAGCAAGAAATTGGTATGTATGGCCGGCATAGGTGGAAGAACGATTTCGCAGACAGTAGGAGGCTGCTCGCGCCGAGGCCGGAGCAGAGTTCAAGCACTTGCAGAGAACAAAACCAAACTTACCGCATAGTCGATAACCCTCTTGATAGGAACGAGAATCCGCAATCCACTGGTCATTGTGGAGGATGTAATGAGGAAGAATGTATTTCCTCCTGTGAAAATATGATTGACAATCAACAGCGGGGACCGGAGCAGAAGGTATCGAAGGAGGAACTTCACTTGATGATGGCCGAGTCGATGGAGCACCGAGGGCAGAAAACAGGTGACATTGCAAGGCGGAGAGGGCAGCTGGGCGGGCCGAATGTCCAACCACAAACGCCTTCACATTCGTTTCATCCGCCTCCAACCGAGGTTACCCATGGTCAGCCATGACGACGCATGTAGCCGTCTCGTTGCTTGCCGGGGCTGTTGATCAGCTTTTAGTGGGAAACTTGATGTTTGTGTTGCGAAGCAAGATTATGATGCGCGAATTGTGTGCAATAACATTGGCAAATGTGGTTTTCGGGTATAAGCTGTCTATTGTACTGTATCTATATGTGAAGATGTCAAAATCCATGTCACCAAGTCTCTTGTTTATATCGCCCTGTCTTTTCCATTCCCACCAAATATTCCTCGGCCTCTCGCCGGCTGAATTGTTGCGATTCAGCATCACCACCATACTGGAATGCTTCTGTCAATGCCTCCCGAACAGCCTGAGGCATCCGCCCTGACGAACCGCATACAAACACCGCACCGCCCTTGTCGTGTAGGAGTTTGAATACTAGCTGAGAGTTCTCTTTGATGACATCTTGGACATATATTTTCTTTTGCTGATCTCTCGAGAACGCCGTCAAGACCTGCAGTTTGACTAGTCCGCTCAACTGCCGCCATTCCTCCTCGAAGAAGTAATCCGAAGCTCGATTTCGACCTCCGTAAAGAAGAATCGTCGGTTCAACGGGCGCCTCCACCCCCGGATTTTCTTCTTGGTAGGATTTGACGATAGCAGCTTTCTCCCATAGCATTGATCGCAGCGGTGCAACGCCGGTACCAGGTCCGATCAGCATCGTCGGGCCGACTAGTTGGCCAACAGATGAATTGAGGCCGCCACGCTGTAATTGGACTTTCAGTATGCTCCCAGGCCGAAGATTGGCAATGTATTTCGTGCAAACACCCTCCCGGATCTTCTTGATGACAGTGCGGTATTTGACAATGGCAATCAAGAGCTCGAATCGTGCGCCACCTTCTGGCGTTCGCTTGAGCTCGCCCCCGCTGGCGATGCTAAACTGTCTCCCTCTCAGTATCGGAAAGGCCGATGTCGCGTGTTGCCAGGGAATCTTGACTGTGTCGAATTCGTGTAGAACCTCCAAGATGCTGCGCCGTGGACGCGTGGTATAATCCCAGAATTCGTCAAGATACTCTGGGTTCGTGAACTCTAGTAGCCGCTCCTTGTGCATCTCATAACTGGTATAGTGCGCGATTGCCGAGAAGAATGAGCGTCGCGGAATCGCTCTGATTTCTAGATAGTTGATGAGTAGCTCACGCAGGGTCAACTTCGGATGTGAGTCAAGATTATGGATAGGCGGAACGGGCAGCTCATCCACTGAGCGAGTTCTGTCGCGAGGGGCCAAGGAGACCAGTTGATCGGCTTGGTCCTGCCAGCCCATCAGCTCAATCAAGCTTTGGACATCTTCCGGCGTGTTTTTCGGGGTAATGGCGAGAACATCTCCTGGAGCATAAGAGACTGCATCGGGAACGGTCAAGGATAAATGGCGCACGTCCTGCCAGTGTGTCTGCGGCGTGACTCTCTCGTTCTGAACCAGTGTTGCTGTCAAGCTATCGTGGAGCGGCCGCTGGTCAGTGTCAAGACGGTACGAGTCCGGGAAATCGCCTGATATTGTCCCATTTTCTGACACTTTACGAGCAGTGTTCTCAGCTGGCGATAATGCGCTTTGATCTCGGAGTTCCAGAATCCATTTTGGCGGTAGCTGAACGTCTTCCGGTATCGGATCCTGCCCTGGTGGAAGGGGATATTGCTCGAGCAAGTGCTTCCGGAAACTCGTCAACCACGGAATGAATGTGCCTTCCAGGCTGTAGCGACGATAAGTAAAAGAAGGGCATGGCGATAAGAAGCAACATACCCTTCCGGATGTTGGTGGTCAGCCTCCCCACCAGGGTATATCTCATCTGCACCAAGTTGGAGTAATCGCTTGTATAGTTTGCGCGCAGCCCAGTTGAACCTGGGATTGTCAGAAATCTCCGAGTATTATGGTATTAAAGTCCGTATTGTCTCACTTCGGATATGAACTGTCCCCAAGGCCAAACCACGTAAATTGTACCCCGCTCAAAAAGGTCGGCGGCAGCTTCTTCAACAACAACGATCTCCAAAACGTCCTCGCATTTGCGGGGAGATCTCCTTGCCCCGTTGTCGAGACAGCGAATACGACAACCGTGTGAGAACTGAGCGTGTCCTAATTATGCCCGAAATATTCATTAGCAAAGGCCAGGTAGAACGCGTGGTGCGGAACGAGGGAGACAAACCGCCTTGACATGGTTCAACTCAGAAACATGAGTCGTGAAATGCAGCCGCTCGGCGAGAGCGCCTATCTCTTCGGCAACATCTTGGGCGTTGCCAGTTTCGGAGCCGTAGAGCACGAGAGCGGAGCGGCGATGCGGTTCCCTCGCGCTCATGTTCGGCTGGCTGATGAGCTGATGCGAGATGTCCTCGAATGATCAATTGAAGTTGATGCTGCTCGTGACTCAATGTGAATGTTTGCCCCGAGAATCTTTTGGCCTTAGTTTCTGTGGTTCGTCGGCAGGTCTCCGCGGATCGGAATGATGTCATCCGTAGATCGGAGGGGTTTTGATAACAATTATTGTATACAGAAGAAGTGGCTTGAGCGGGGTTGATTATGTTTGACATTCGGGATTGCAGACTAAAGAGTAGATAGTAGTACTCTCGAGCAGAGGTACCTCCTAGGCTGAGCTATAGCATGTATCCAAGCACAAAGAATTGTCCCCTCAATTTGATATGCAAAGCAATGATCGCTCAGTATACAACGTAGTCAAAGAAAAAAACAAGGGTATCTATGTAAACGCTTTTTAATACGTATCTTCATCACCACCGCCGCCGCCGCCATCCCCAAACCCATCATCTCCATAGTCTTCCTCTCCACCATCAAAGTACTGCTCCGCGTTATAGTCCCCGCCCATCTCATCCTCATCATCCTCAAAGTCATCATCCACAATCTCCTCTTCTTGATCTTCATCTGCATCCAGGATATCCGCTTCCAGATCTTCACCCTCCCCGCCCTCGCCATCCCCATCGCCCTCTCTCCGACGCTTCAAGGTCTCTTCATCTTCGTCATCCTCCTCAAATCCGCGCTTGATCCCGCTCCGTAACGTCTGAGGTATGTATCCGTCAAGCGCCGCATCCGGTTTGAAATTGGGCTGCGCAGTCGGCCACAGTTCCCGGGGAAAGAATTTCAGAACTGCCCAAAAAACAAACTCGTCAGCCCCTGTCCTTTCAGGCCGTAATATCTTGTAGCACTGGTGCAATGACTCACCATACGGTCTCCCCTGTAGCTTCGGCACAAGCCGCTTCTTCTTCTGATATTTGCCAGAGTACGACGGCATCCCGTTGAAAGGATCAAAATTCGCCTTCGAGCTAGCCGTATAGCCATTCGATCCAGAGCAAGCGCCTAAGATAGAGTAATATGGTCCGTCATGGAAGCGCTCGCGTAGTGTTCGGTAGAGGTTGACTTGGACTTGTTCGCGGTCGCTGATGGGTCTTGCGCGTGGAACGGTGTATTTCTATTCTCAAGAAAAGAGATTATAAGCGCAAGGACTAGATAGCATCTGTAGGGGAAAATGCGCCCGACGCGAACGATCATGGAGGGAAATTGCTCCGACGTACAGGGAAAAGGGGAGTGGGTGCTGTGTCTGCTTCCCCGCTTGGATCGGTGGTGTCCCAGGTGAACTCTGCACCGGGGAGCTTTTTGCCCTTCTTGGCACCGAAGCGCGACATGGTATGTGGTAGAATCAAAAAAGATTGAGGATAGAGACAATTAAGAAGATGTTCTGCAAAGATGACTTTGGTACAGTAGCAAGAGAAAAAAAGTTCCCGCGGAGCTCGACTCACCGCCCGGGCGGGGATTAGGGTTCGCGACTCCGAAGACCGCTTACTCATCAGATAACTAGATCGACAGCAAGGTGCGGAATAAGTATATGTACAAGGAGTTGGTGAACACAATTATAGATTAGCAAGATGTCTTGTTCTTTTTGTGCTTTAGTACATCACAAGCCTACAGTCTCCACTTGAGTGACAGTTTGCACCCCAGGACCCAAAGGTCCATCATCCACCCTTTTCTTCAATGTCTGTAATATATCTTCAAAGCCCGAGCCTTGGTCCTCTAGGTTCCGAAGGGACCTGTATAACGACACCAATACATCATACCTCGCAGTTGCGACTTTCCAGACTGCACTTTGTGGGTCGGCGGCGCCGCCAGCGACAAACTCCGAGTATGAGCGTGGGGGCTTGAATAAGAAAGGCAGCAGGGATGTTAGGGCTGGAGGAGAGATGGCCACCCAAGCCCCTGATGAAGGGAGCACTCCTTGTGTTGCCGGAGATAAGCGACCAAGTTCCTCTTCAGATGGCAACTGGTAACGAGAGGTGCCGTGTACGGTGCCGATTATGTCCCCGGACAAGGCCTGCCAGTTAGCGGTGACTACGGCGTGCATGAACGATATGGCCGAGAGAGAGATATCCTTCATGGCCAAAACATCAGCTGCGGTGACGATGTCTTCCCACATTGACGGATGATGATTCTGGTACATAAAGTACACGGCCCGCGCAGCCGCTGCTTCCTTATGCCAATCAGTTTCTGTCTGACCAGAAGCGTTGAGTTCCATGGACTCCGACAGGGCAGGTCTGGAAGGCCCGTGGAATATCTTTCCAAGGGCATTGAAGACCTCTTGGTTGGGGGGATTGGTCGGAAGAGCTAAAACGGGATTTGTGCTTTTCTTATTGGCCTCCACAAGAAGGACTCGTGGTAAGGATGAAAGAACATTGAGCTGGCCACTTGGAGTGGGGCCGTGCGCCCACTGCAATGAAGAGACTAGAAACGATGCGTTGATGCGCGACAGAATTCGGTCCAGTAAAGCTGGCGGGTTTTGTAAGAAGTGGTTAGGGTAGAGTTCAGCATACTGAGCAACATAGGCCATGATCGGACCGCAGAGAAAGCTCAGATCCACAGGATCCAGCTTCGACTCATCCAAGTAGTATTCCAGTAGGTTGTTGTGGATCTCATGCGAAATAAGGAAATCGAGAGGGGGAGAGGAGAATGTCGACGCTGACTGTATAAAGGTGCGAGAAGTGAGGTTGGGAGCTTCAATTTCTAAGAGATCGCGGAAAAAGTTCAGCTGCGTCATGTGCATCAAGACATCGCTCTTGTCGACCATTTCACAGGCCGCAAAATGCAACAAACTTTTGCTCCTGTACTTAGTTTCGATGTCCGAAATTTGAGAGCATGAGATAGAGTCCCATCGTAATTGGCCTGCTTTCACGAGAAACCCCATTAGCCTGCCCTGGGCCACTGTCTTTTCACGCTTCGATAGCCCGCCAGGTCCAGGTTCCGTAAGGCTGCAAAAGGCGAATAGACGCCCGTAAACATCCTTGTCGGTAAATACCCTTCTCCATACAAGACCTTGTCCTCCGGAAGCATCTTCAGATTGTTCCCCATTTTCCAATGTGCTCGCTAGGTCGACCTCCAAAAGCGCCCAGAGGGCGTCAAACGCCGCTTGAGCAACAGCAGTTGAGGAAGTCGAGAGCCAAAGCTCCACCAGCGAGGTGACTAGCTCTGGATCTCCAGCAACTATTGCAGCATCGCTTGGAGTATGCCCTGCTTTACTCAGCAACGCCAAAGCAAGTAGATTAATTGGTGGTGATGGTGCTTGGAAGCCGGCGATGAAATTGATGGGAGGATCAACGGCACGGAGGTCAGTGAAGGTAAAGTAAGCGGCGGACTTGATGCCGAGGGTAGTGATGGGTGTAGGGTCTTCTTGAAGAATAGGGAGAAGCTGTGAAATCTGCGTCAGAAGCTGTGCGGGGACTTTGCGATCCGTTGTCTCTATAAGCTCCAACTTCAGCTTATCAAGAAGGGCCTGGTCCAGAGGAGTGGAGGGATCGCTCTGGACTTGCTGCAAATGCGCTGTAACATCATGATAGGCAGAAGGGACCGACATCTCGAATTCAGATGGTTTGCGTCGATGAGTGATGAGAAAGTTGAATGGTCTCTCGGAATCGTTGGCGGGGAAGCTGAAGCAAAAGGGTGCAAACAAAACAAACTTGGCTCTCTTCCTCTGGCATTTGGGGATCGCAGCTCATCAACCGCAACTCAGCGACCGACAACACTCAATTTGACCTTTTAGGACTTTTTCTTCCATTGTGATAGCATATAATCTTGTGCGCGATGGCGAATCAAACAGACTCCCTTTTATCACAAAAATCGTCTGACTCCGGCCTACACATTCAGCTCCACCCTCTTGTACTCCTCACGATTTCCGACCACATCACCCGACACGTTAGACGGGGACAGAAAGGGCCGATTCTTGGAGCTCTACTGGGTCAGCAGCATGGGCGCGAGATAACAGTGGAGCATGGCTTTGAGTGTCTTGTGGTGGAAGAAGACTCGAATGGCGAAATTCAAATGCCGAACGAATGGTTTGTGGACAGAGTAAAGCAATGTAAGGTCACTCAAAATGCCCATACCGGCCACTCTAATCGATGTAAAGATAAGGATGTTCATAAAGTTCCTGCTCTCGATCTTGTTGGATGGTGGTCTACAAGCCCTCCATCTGGCCCGACAAAAGCCCATCTCCCAATCCACCGGCAAATCCTTCAAAGTCACAATGAGTCCGCGATATTCCTCGCTTTCCATCCCACCCAGGCACAAAAAGTCTCCTCTGGCAGATCAAAACTCCCAGTGTCTATCTACGAGAGCGTATACGAGGGGGAAAGCGCGACAGATGGCGGAAAGGCCATGCAAGTGGACGGCGAGGAGCAGTCGCTGAATATCCGTTTCCGAGAAATACCGTATACCGTGGAAACCGGAGAAGCTGAGATGATTGGTATTGATACGGTGGCTCGCACAGCTAGAAATGCGGCTGTCATCGACCATTCTGCCACAGCCACCTCAACCTCGACAGATCCAACGAAGCAGCAAGAGAACCTAGCACCCACCACAGACCTCCTTTCACCAGAAGATGAAGAATGTAAGTTCAGTTCAAGCCAATATGCGTACCACAGTTAGCTCACTCAACATTTCCAAAGTAATCGCATCACTCAACACACGCGTCAACGCCATCCGAACGCTGCAGTCCCGAATTTCTCTTCTCAAATCATACGTCTGTGGCATATCCCCATCGTCTGAAAATCCCCAAGGAGAATCATCTGCACAACTAAACCACTCAGTCCTCCGAGACATTAACTCCCTGTTATCGAATCTCTCCCTGCTCACCCCACATGAGAACAGCGCCTTTGCAACGGAGGCGCTTGCGCAAAACAATGATGTCAATCTTGTAGCCCTTCTGGGTCAACTAAGCCAGAGCATTAGCGATATAAAGGATGTCGGCAAGCGCACGGCAATCGTGGCCAATTCAAGGCGGACTGCGGCAGCGCGCAAAGGGCAAGGCATCCCCAGTCGATATGAAGATGACATCATGGCTGGAGCTGGAATCGCACCATGAGAATTTGACTTCAAGTGCGTTCCTCATTCGCGGAAGATGACTATTTATGATGTTCAGAAAGATAACGACTTGCAGCGTTCACTACCAATGGAGCATTTCCTCATGACTAGATCTATGCATGAGAACCGATCTTTAATTTGAGGAATATCTCTAGCTTAGATATGATTGTCACTCCAGCTAAGAGAATGAACAGTTTATGATCGATGAACCAAATCCGTACACAGGCTGCTCAACGGACCTCAGAGAACTTTATGGTTTGTCCAGCCAAGCGGGACACATTATTTTCCCGCAAAAATGCCCGTCGGATTTCCCGCCGAGAGTGGACCATCAATTTCAACCTTTTGGGAAAAGCGACGCGATGCGATGCGATGCGATGCTTGATCGCTAAGTAGTAAGTGGCTCTTTTTGCACTCCGTGCCTACATATGTTGTCTCCCTCCTAAGCACACCCCATCCACCATGCCCTCTCTTCTTCCCTTCCCATGAACTCCTCCTTGAGATAATCAAATATCTTGACCAGGACCACACGCACGCCGACGCCTATGCCAAACTTCAACCACCCTCGTTGACCCCTGCACTCCCATGGTGGCACCGCTCCACCTACTACAAGCACATAACAAGCGAGCCCACTGGCATGTCCTCTCCACGCTTTCTTGGCCTACACTCACTCCTCCTCACTTCGCGTCGCCTCTATAAACTCGTGAGACCATTTGTATATCGCCGCGTTTTCGTCCGTGGTGGCGATGAGAGTTCCCAGCTATTCTACGACAAGGTTGTCCGAAATCCCGAATTGTTAGATCGGCTTAACCGCGTGATCGTCGGTTGCACTGGAGTGGATACTTTTAAGCTGTCGCGAAAGTTGTTCTGGGCCCGATCCCTGTATAAACTTACCCTGGTGGAATTCGATGACTGGATCTACCCGCGGGTTAGATTCGATAATGACTACAGCGACGACAACGACAACGACGACGACGATGAAGACGAAGACGAAGATGAGAATGAAGATTTGATCGAAACAAGTCCACTCCAATACCTGGAGTTGATGAGATGCAGCGCGGACGGAGCAGCCTTAAGCAACTGCTGAACTGGCCATATGCCCTAAAATCCCTACATTATGATGTGAGCCATGAAGTATGGGCCCGACATTATAACAGCGTACCTGGAAGCCGCAAACCAGTTTGGACCTTTGAGTTTGTGGACGTGATGGAGCCGCACTACGAAACGCTGGAGGAGCTTGCCATGACGGAATCGGATTACGACTGTGAAGGGATCGTATCCTTTGGAGATGAGGTTGACTTGTCTGATTTCGAGGCACTCAGGGTACTACGAATTAACAGCAACTTTCTTTCCCCGTTGAATAGGAGCTGCGTCCTTTGTGGGAGGTATTGCCGGAAGGGTTGAAAGAGTTGGAGGTGTATCACCATACTGAGTCCCAGGATACTTTCTTCTTTCGAGGTTGGTCTGACAGGCATATGTACTTGTATGATATCCCCGGTTGGTGGCCTGGGGCGCACTGGCTTTTCGAGCTGCTCCAGGCGCGGAAGGCAGGTGAAATCAATCAGAAAAGTGGCAATCTGCACGCCGGAGCGCCATCCGACGGTAAGTGCAGATTCAGAGCATGTGCCCTCTGAAAAGGATGATGCGAGCCCATCCAAAATAGTCACTACTTCGCAGTCGGATGCCAGTTCTCCACAGACAGGTATTCAATTGGCATCTTCCAACTCGCGTGGCTAAATTGGCTAGATCCGCCAGAGTGGAATTGGAGATCTTGCTCGAGCGTGAGAACCCAAGATTTGATGAGTTCGACGCTTTAGATATTCTTCAAGAAGTCATAAGATTTGGGGAAGTCCTAATCGAGGACACTTGGCTAATCCATTTCTCCTTCTAAGCGAAATGATCTGAACTAAAGACGCCATGGTAGTAGGTTGACTAGATATACAAGTCTAGAAAGGTCTGTCCCAAAGTCATGAACAAATAAGAAAAAAGAAGTTCGCTTAAACCATGCGTGCAGGGTATTATTCTAAACATCAATGTGAAAGAAAGCGGTTAATTAAAACCGAAGGCGAGCAAATGCAGTCGTTATACAGATAGGCAGTAAGCGTCACCGATGCCGTTGATCTGAGTCATACCGGGTATGTGATGGCTGGTACGAATCCGGTAGAGGCATTGGAGGCTGTTCTTGTAGATCTGCCGAAGACGGGAAGCGGCCGTGGCTGCTTGAATACTCCGAGGAAAAGTGTTGCCCGGGATTGCGATAGTAATTGCTTTCATCAGATGGTGTCCTCGATGGTTCAGAATGCACGTCTTCAAAGGGGGATATTGGCCGAGAAGCGCGTAAATCTGGCTCTGCGAGGTGACCATCGCTTGAGTGGTTGCCGACCAGATAAGAGCGACTGTGATTGCCCTCCTCATATGGTGGAGGGGCGACCCCTAGGTCGGCGGTCGATGGGTTGGGCTGCGCATGGGACAAAAGCACCTCCCCTTCATCGTCTCCCAGACGACCGTAACGACCCGAAACACCACCAGCCATCATGGCTCCTGCGCCCTCGTACCTTGTATCAGAGGTGTGTCCCGCATTGTCCGTTTGGCTGAGGCCGATAGTTTCAGTCGATGGCTGGTAGCTGGGGTCCATAGTACGCTTCTTTCGTCCGACAAACAGCCAGCGTATACTGCGGCCTATAGCTCTGACAAGGTCGATGGGATTGAGAGAGTCAGCAAGAGCGCCCAGCCCCCAGCGTCCGCCTTGGTACGTGGTTTTACCATTTCCATACATGTCGGTTATCTCATCAGTCTGGAAGCCAGTCGCGTAGGGCTTCCATGGGAAGGACCAGAGATGCAGGATGGCGAAGAGGGCCATTTCAACACTGATGATTAGGTTTGCGAGCGAGACCTTTAAATCTGGAGCAGCCATCTTTTTCGAAGAACTGATGACTCCAGAGGAAAACAAGAAAGATATGACACTCTAAAGCTATGTTAGAACGGCAAGCCCGGTGCAATGTATGAGTTCCGTACTTACCGTTTGCCAAAAGGAAAGGAAAATGACGAGCTTGATTGATAAGATTTTCAAGAAAGGGGAGTATTCGCTGATCTCATCTTTGATTTGAATGTAGAACTGGATGAGGCAGTACATTGCAATGGTGACAGCAACACACTCAATAGCTAGAACCTGTTGGCATTATTAGTATGAGCTTTAGGTACATGTCAATCGCAGCGTACCCAGATGTGTGCAAATGCTGGATTGAGTGATTGCTCGCAGTACACGTCGAATTTCTGCGTCACGACGGCCACGATGGTCATCAACACTCGCAACAGACAGTATTGAAAGACACCGACCCAAACGACCTTGTCCAACGTAGTCAGCCTTCAGTTCCGCAAAGATAATGATGCGCGCCGAGATTTTAGAGCATCCATACATTGAACCATGTCAAGCCACTGCGCGGGACCCTCCACAGACCTCTCTTTCCACCTGAACATTTCTGGAGCCAGTTGACAGGCCACACCCAGTTCTTCGGCTGTATTCCGCGGAAGTAATCCTTCTGACTATGCAGATCCGGTGCGATATAATGGCAAAGCAAGGCAAAGAATGCAGCAATCGTGAACGCTTCGTAACAGTCGCCGAGAACATCGAAGTATACAGCGTGCTTGTAGTAGTAGGTACTGAGCCAGGCGACGAGGGCGTAAATAGGTATCATCCACAAGATTCGAATAATACTGTATGAAGAAGCGGGGCGTTAGCAACAAGGAAGTATAATACAACCAAGAATCGGGTACAGACTGTCGTTGTTCCACGGGTTTGCTGTAATGTGTAGCATGGCGCATAATCAAATAGAAGGAGATGAAGCCGGCGACGAGCGCAAAAGCGCCGATTATGATCAAACAGAGCTCATGGAACGTGAGTCCGCCGTCCCACAAGTCAACTTCATGTACTATAATCGAGAGGTAAACCGGTTAGCAATCGCATTGTTTTTATGATGTAAAAATAGACCTTGCGGAAAGCATACTAGTCTCGTCCTCCTCCGTCGTGTTGCAGACCGGCCAGCCCATTTTCGCGCTGCTGGTGGAGGCCCAGAGGTATAACGAACAGTAGTTGATGTAACTTCACGGGGAAAAGTGGAAAGTGGACGGAGAGATCGAAAGAGTCTTGAGGAATCTTATCCGCCGAGACTATTTTTGGGGCCTTGCGGAGTGGCGGCAGATCAACCCCTGGAACCACGCGACCGGCAATCTTCGGTATCTTTGCTTTTTCCCCCTCGTTCCTGGGAAGCAGGTTTTTGCAGACTTTAAGAGTACAGACGTCTTGAAGCAGAAAACAGCTCGAAAAGCTAGAATTTGAGAAGTGAAAGCGCTGTGAGAATCGCAGACAGAAACCGTGGAGTCGCGGAAGGCTCGCGCTCTAAACGTAAGGCTTACCTAACTAGGAAGTGTTTTTCAATACCTAGCAGCCACCATGAACCCTTGGAGGTGGCGCGGCGAGGATTGATTGTTCTAAAATTAGACCTGTTTGAGACTCTTAGAGAAAGAGGGATATGAGAAGATCTGTCAAAGAGGCGACAATTGAAGAAAAGCAAGAGAATGAATGAGACAATTGTTCAGGCAGCAGAGAAAAACCAAGACAACCAAGCTTTGGACAAGCCGACTGAGCCGTCCAATGCTGGTCAGCCGCCAAGTGCCAGCGATGCTTGTCATACTCCGAGTCTGTATAGTTTCATGGGTAGTAAAATGTGTAGCTCAGAGAGTTAATATACATTGGTGTCGCCATGGCTTTTATAACATCCTTAGCTATAATACACCGAGCCGTACGTACGAAACTTGGGATATCAAAAGCAGCTATATCAAGCCATCAATATCGATCCCTCCGGCTATCCCTCCGCGCATTGATTATTCCTCCACCACGACCTCCTCGACCGCGACCTCCGCCTCTACCACGACCACCGAATTCCGGCCCAATGTCGACAAACTGGTCACCATCTTCAAACGTTATGCGCCGCGTTTCATCTCCGCCTCGACGAGGGTATGATCCTTTTCGCAACAAGTCATCGAACCTGTCCAGGCGTCGGTCTGCGATATCTCGAGAGACGGGGAGATAATAAAGCTTCGGCTTCGCGGTCGTCGATTTGAACAGCTCATCTAGAGGCTTGAATCCTTGCCCAGGCTGAGAGCCACGGCTCGGCTGGGTAGGGCCGCTGGGACGTCTCCCTTGGTGCTGCATCTCAGCTCTGGGCCCGCGAGGAGGAGGGTGTGTAAATTCTTTTTGTGCTGAGCCCCGACGAGCCTGATTTCCCGCGTTCTTGTGGTTGACCTCTTCCAGGATCGCCTCGACCCCTTCATCGGTCCGATCGTATCTAACTTCCCATCGTGGGGGAATCCCACTGCGCCCGCGTGCTTGCTCTTCTCGCTGGATCCATTCCTGTACTTTATTCTCTGGGATGAAATCGACAAACAGTGCCCTTCTGTTTCGTTCATTTGGCCAAACAGAATCATGAAGAGAGTTGCGCACCCTCGAAGCAGTCGAAACGTCGATAAATTGGACGAAGCAATGTGTCTTAATGGTATCTAAATAGAACTCAACAATCGAGTCAGGGTTTGGTGACGAGTCGGGAGCAGTTGCCATGTTTAGTATGTGATTTTTGAGAGCGGCCGGTTGGAGAGGACGCATAAGGCCATCTATGAACAGTGCAGCTGTTGCAGCGTGTAAGGCGGGCTTGACTTCAACATCTTCCATTTCCGCATCGGCGGAAGGAGATGCGGGGCGAGCCCTTTGGCGTTCCGGCGCAGTAAAGAGGCCTTTGAAACGCATATCCTGCTTATGGGACTTGGGCGATTCGTGACTGGGCTCTGCGCCCCCTGCATCTCTTGAAGGTGGGTTTTCCTGGAGTGCAGGTTGCGAAACCTCAGGTGCGATAGGCGCATTATCGGCCATGAGGGAATCACCAGAGCTCGTTTTCTCAATGTCGCCCGGCTGTTTCTTAGAGATTTCCTCGTCAAGGACCTTAGCCTTCTTATTTGCGACTGCCTCTAGATGCGGGGCGGGACTCTGGCTGCGACGCTTCCTTTTTCTGACATCATCAATAACCTCCTCTGCGGGAAGCGGCGTCGATATCGCCGTATTAGCGCCAGATGTTTGAGCACCAGAAGGCGCGGCTGTTGCAGCAGCCTCAACACCAGCACCAGCCTGAGTGATCGAGGAATCTGGTTGAGCCTCACCTCCAGGAGCCTGCTCATCTGTCTGGGCGGCTTCAACCTCAGATTGTTTTTCCTCCCCTCCAATTCCCTTATCCTTATCTTGAGCTTCTTGCGTTTCTTCGACGGGTTCTTTCGGGGGAGACTGTGGAGGGCGATCGACCGCATCTTCTTGGGGCGATGGCGCCTGAGATATATCCTCCGCTGGCTTTTCATCGGCGGCCTTCACCTCGGGTTGTATTTCTGACTCATTATCAGGCCTTCCGTCCTGCGCTGGTTCATTCTCAACGTTCTCAGCGGTCGTAGGCTCCTCCGGCTCGACAGTTTGCGATTTCTCAGGTTGCTGTTGCTCAGTAGCGTCGGCAGCTTCATTTTGTTCCTCATCGAGTCCCTTAGCATCTTCTTCTGCCAGTCTCTCGACGATCTGCTGCTTAACCCGCAACCCTGTCTGAGGAATACCACGTCGCTTGAGCTCCGCCTTCAGATCGGTGACCTTCCATGACGAATAATCGGTCATTGCGGCGAGTATAAGAAATCAGTGCTAGAATCGCGTGCGTTGTGCGGTTTCTCTCGTGTTTCTATCAGCCAAATTCTGTCATACTAGGGGGGCTCCCTCGTTTGTTCGATGGTTTGCGACGTTGAGTCGGTATGCGACGCGATGCTCTCGTCCTGTTTGCTGGAGCTTTTAAAAGGCTGGGGAAAGAGCTAGTCCTATTCCGGTGAAGTGGCTATTTAAACCTAACTTTCTCTGATCTAGCGCATACTCCACCGAGCCGACCGTAATCTTTCCTCCTCTTGCCTGTGAATGGTCACTTTAGGAGCAACTCTCCATCAATAATACGAGCGACGAGCATCGAGTCAAGGTTCCAGTGACTCAATTCATTGGATACATATACCATGGAGGCACCCAGCCCATTGAAGCTCTTTTTGATCTCTCTCCAACTCCAAGACAGCGTGAAATCTGAAGAGAAATTCGAACCTAAATTGGTGCATCATGACCGTCCATACTCCACAAAATGAGCTCGCAAAGCGCCTTCGAAACCTCCATGTCCCGGGAGACCCAATTGTTTTCACAAACGTCTACGATGCGGCGACAGCTTCATTCATAGCGAATCACCCAACAACGAAAGCCATTGCAACTGCTAGCTTCGCCATAGCTGCCTCTCAAGGCATCCCCGACAACGAAATGACCTTAGCACAAAACATCGCAACTGTGCGATCAATTGCGAGTGCTCTCACTGTGGACGGCCTGCCTAAGCTTCCATTATCTGTGGATGTACAAGACGGCTATGAGAATGTCGCCGAAACCATCAAGGAAATTATAAGCCTCGGGGCGGTAGGATGCAACATCGAAGACTTCAATAACCGCACGGAGCAGATGAGAACCCTTCCAGAAGCTGTGAACCGGATAGGACTGGCGATTCAGACAGCTCGAGAGTTGGGCGTCCCCGACTTTGTGATCAATGCTCGGACAGATATCTTAGGTCACGGGGGATCAGTCGACGATGCAATTGAGAGGGGCAAGGCGTTCCTAGCAGCTGGAGCCTGTACAGTTTTTGTATGGGGCCCAGGCGGGAGAGGTGTAAGGACCGAGGAGGTTGAAAAGCTGGTTGCCGCGCTTGATGGGAGGCTCAACGTCAAGCTTGTCATCAAGGACGGCTACCTCACTATCCCAGAGCTGAAATCGGCCGGAGTCTCGAGGATCAGTATGGGCCCGGAGTTGTACAGGGCAGCAATGCGGGCGTTTGAAGAGACGGCCAATAACTTGCTAGAGTCCTGGAAATGAGAGACGTATTGCTATGTATATCGTCTCTGATATCAGCCGCATGAAAGGTTGTGGTAGTGGTGGGGTTCTGTTTTTTCTTGCGCCATCATCAGGCGCCAACGCCGAACTCCGATAACAATAGCCACTATATAATCATCCCCGCACCCTCTGCTGCCAATCGTCTCCAAATCTCTTCCATTTGAATCAACCATCCTTTGAACGAGTAGAAACATTGGAATAAACCAGCAAACCCACCACTTAGAATGCCTGAACTTCCCGACTTTCTACCTGTCGAATACTCCACAAAGCCCTTCTGGCGCACGGAGCTCCACGAACTCGATGAGCTCCGAACAACCCCAGAGCTACCACAGCGAAGCGATTTGGTGATCATCGGCGCAGGATACTCTGGAGTTAGCCTCGCCTATCACATCTTCAAGCAGCTTCCCGCCTCCGACCAGCCCCACCCCGCAATCACCATTCTTGAAGCAAGACAGATATGCTCCGGAGCGACTGGTCGGAATGGTCAGTGACAGCTGCCCAGATATTCAGCTGCTCCTCAGTTGTTACCTATGAGAGTGGCTACGTGCTAACACAAATTACAGGCGGCCATTTGCGTCCTGACCTATATGGCAATATCCCAAAGTATATCGAAAGATATGGCGTCGAGGCCGGCGCTGAAGTCGCGAACTTTGAGATTTCGCACATACCAGCATTGAAGAAGGTTATCGCTGAAGAGAATATTGATTGCGACTTGAATCTGACCCGGAGTATGAATGTGTATCTTAACGAGCAGGAAGGGGAGCAGGCGAGACAGATCTATGAGGCGCTTGTCTCTCGAGGGCTCGAGTATACATCTGATCTCCATTATACGCCCCAGAAGTATGCTGAGAAGGTATGTTGAAGTGTTGCCCATACGATATGAGTGCTTTGAATCTTCGACTAATGAGGAATAGATATCAGGCGTCAAGGGTGCTAAAGCCTGTATCTCATACACAGCAGGCAGCCTCTGGCCGTATAAGTTCGTGCTAGGACTTCTCTCAAAGATTGCTGATTCTCCATTAGTCAATGTGCAAACATCAACCCCGGCGACTTCAGTGACCTCCGAAGATGGCGTGCATATTGTCCACACACCGCGTGGCTCAATTCGCGCATCTAAAGTTGTGTATACGACGAACGCTTATACGGCAGGACTCTTACCAGAGTATTCGGCCAATATTGTGCCATGCCGGGGTATCTGCTGTCACATCTCAGTCCCAGAGGGCAAGGATGCTCCCTTCTTGCCATACTCTTATATTCTCAGGACAGCCGATGGTAAGGGCGTGAGCTACCTGACTGTACGGCCTGATGGAAGCATCATCGTTGGTGGTGCTCAGTACACCTTTTTCGACCAAAGGGAGCAGTGGTATAATGTAGTCGACGACAGTACACTGATCGAACCGACGAAGAATTATTACGATGATTATATGCAGCGTACCTTCAGCGGCTGGGAGGATACCGGCGCATATGTGAAGGAGATCTGGACTGGCAGTAAGTATCTCATCCTCACCTCATGAACGCGAATCGCTGATGTGTTTGGAAAAGTCATGGGATACACAAGCGACTCTTCACCCCATGTTGGGGAGATCCCAGGCCAGCCTGGAAAGTACATAAGCGCAGGCTATGATGGTCATGGCATGCCAGTGATTTTCCTGGCCACGAAAGGACTTGCGGATATAATTGTAAAGGGGCTGAGTTTTGAGGAGACCAAATTACCCCGTACCTTCAAGACGACGGCTGAAAGGATCCAGAAGGCTGCTAACGGTCCTGAGGGTGGAGACATCTTTGCGGAGTGACTAGATGATAGTTCAAATATGAGTCAACAGTTATAATAATGAGTTCGAAGTAAAAAGTAAAACAAGCTACGAAGCACCTTGTGCCTGAGGCACCAGACTTTACCCTCTGTATCGGCCGTATCGTCTGAGCTTGGCACGGAAAAAGCATTGAACCGCGCAAGTAGTGGGGCTCTGAAAGAGTCATCGCCTTGGAAGTTGGGGGCGCCTGGGGCACCTTAAAATTCGGCTGAAAAAGACCGACTCTCGCCCCTCCGAGTTCTTTTCTGACAATGATGAGAGCATAGTCACTTGCTTCAATCCCTCTTCTCTCCTTCTTTCTTTTCCCCTGACCTCAGGTCAATTCAATCGCTCCCTGTTTCGTCTCTTCCCGTCAAGACAAAAGTGGTGCACAATGGCCACAGAAACCCCCACTCAGCGACTCCGTCAGTTTCCCCTCATGGCCCCTCCCTGTTCACCGTTGCGTCGGACAGCTACTAAATCCCGTAGAGAGAGTCGATTCTCAACCTGAGAACCCTTTTTCGGCCCTGATTGCCGATCAATCCTTCGTCACGGTTCCCTCGTTCACCCTTGAGTCTGGTGTCACCCTACATAATGTTCCCGTGGCGTATACGACTCGCGGCACTCTCTCGCCAAATGGCGACAATGCGTTGGTCATCTGTCATGCTCTGAGCGGTAGCGCGGATGTCGCAGATTGGTGGGGACCACTTCTCGGTGGCCCAGGACAAGCATTCGATGTCTCGCGATTCTTTGTGGTCTGTCTCAACAGCCTTGGTAGTCCTTACGGAAGTGCCAGCGCAGTGACGTACAAGGATGGGAACCCGGAAAACGGCCTATACGGGCCGGAGTTCCCACTTACAACGGTTCGCGACGACGTGAAGTGAGCGTTTTCTTCTGCTGCAGCTACAGAGCAATATGCTAATTTAGTGAAGGATTCACAAGATGGTTCTGGATTTCTTGGGTATCAAACAAATCGCAGCTGTGGTTGGTGGATCAATGGGCGGCATGCTCACACTCGAATATGCATACTTTGGCAAGGACTATGTCCGGGCCATCGTTCCCATCGCTACGTCGGCCCGCCACTCCGCATGGTGTATCAGCTGGGGTGAGGCACAGCGCCAGAGCATCTACAGCGACCCCAAGTATGAGAATGGATTTTATCCATTTGATGATCCCCCAGCTACTGGTCTTGGAGCTGCTCGGATGTCGGCCCTACTGACCTACCGAAGCCGTAACTCCTTCGAGTCGCGCTTCGGAAGAAACGTTCCGGATCCATCAAAGCGTCAGAACATCAACGGCACTGAGAGGCTGCCCACCCCTCCGAACGAGCACTGGGCTATCCACAATGACGGCCACAAAGGCAACTGGAGCCCAAGCGGTCGCAGCTCTCCCGCTTTGGAGAAGACCGAGGTGCAATACATGGACCCGCAATTTTCTGGGACAAAGACGTTCAGCAAGACCATTGCGACGCACGATGCGGGCAATACGAAGCGGCCCCCGACATATTTCTCGGCCCAGTCCTACCTCCGTTACCAAGGAGAGAAGTTTGTGAAACGGTTCGACGCAAACTGTTACATTGCGATTACTCGCAAGCTCGATACACATGACGTTTCTCGCCAGCGGGCCAGTCCCACGTCGGAGAATCCCGTGCGCGAAGCACTCGGCCAGATTGAGCAACCTACGTTGGTGCTTGGAATCGAAAGTGATGGTCTCTTCACGTTCGAGGAACAGAAGGAAATCGCTGAAGGCATCCCTGACTCGCGGCTCAAGCGTATTGAAAGCCCGGAGGGTCACGACGCCTTCCTTCTTCAATTCGAGCAGGTCAACAAATACATCCTCGAGTTCTTCCGCGAGGTCCTACCCGACATCATGTCCAAGTCTCCTGCCGATGGCGCCGCAGTTGACGGCGTTGGCAAAATCACCAAGAGCAGCACCTTTGGCGAAGCCGAGGTCGAAGATATCACCGCTTGGTAAGATGGCTAAGCAGTGTTCATATCGTTGGCGCAGGGATTGCAGCCTTCACATCAGTTGACGCTATGGCGATGAGCATGGGGTCACTACTACGCCTTCTCTCGGCCAAGAGAGAACGCACCGGCGACCCTCGTCGTCGCCACAGCTCAACAACATACGGGAGTAGTTGTGCAGCATCGTTATTTTCATTCTTAACCAGTCAGAGAGATGAGCATCCAACTGCCTCTCTCGTAACCCTCTCACAGGTCAGACTGTAAAGAAGCATCCAACTGCTCTCCATCAAACAAGCCCTCGACCACAGGTCTCTTGCGATACCAAATCGTGAGGGTGATGGGCATTTATAGACGGACGTCTAACATAGTACAGTATATGATGTCTACTAGTATAGGTCATGAACGCATATCATCTCCTTTTCCACCTTCTTTCGAGTATCCTATGGTTTCTTTAACATCATGGCCCCAGTAAAAGTCGAGCATTGGACACTCATGAAAGTGATCTGTCACGTTGAGCGTTACTCGGCCAACCCCTTGAGTTATCCCTTTCCAGCCCAAAACGCCCCCTTGCGGCACTCTAGGTGAGCCAGCCTACCAGCGAGACCCAGATCTGATTCCTCAACAGGACCATGACGACCTATCGCCCTGTGTATGACTCGCAAACCTCAGACAGGGCTGCCGCGTCGTGCCCATGATCGTGCGATGGCACTCAGCTCTGTGAGACCCCATATGGCACGAGTCCCATGCGCGACGAAAAGAAACGCCCTGTTTACTGACAGTGGCCGTCTCTGATCCACGGCTCTCCTCCTTCTGAAAATGGCGATCTGAATCCAAGCAACGGGTCAAGTTTCAGCCTTCGATGCTTGTTCTTAGACATGGCAAATGACCGTCATTTCTTTTGCTGCAAGCGCTGGCGTCTGGGATGCTGCTTGCTGGCCCCGTGACGCTGTGCAACTTTGGGCTGCCTTTTCTCGACTCGCCCTGTCTCGGTCTGTCTTCGTCTTCTTCTCTTCTTCTTCTCTCATAATACCGTCGCTCCTTTTCGTCCCTTTTTGTCAGCTTTCTTTTGGTTAGGAAGTTCTCTTCTTACATTGGATACCATCCAAAACAGTCCTTTCCCTATATTCAAGTCTTCAGCGTGAGAGTTTACCTGCTCATCACGCCACAACTGCCTTTTTCGCGTCCGATCCCTCGAGACTCTCCTGTTGTGCATACGTATGTGGCAGACGGCTTGAGGCTTAATTGTCGAACTTCCCTGTTTCTATGCGACTCGTCTGAGATCTTCAACAGACCCCGCTCGAGCCCGATAATTGGAGTCATTCGTTCCGAATTGTTTATCTTCCCCGCATTCCAGTCCATTCATCCCTTTGGATAACCTCTTCGTTCATCACATTCCGATCTTGCGGTCCAGATTGAATTGTTCACATAGCTCTCCTCCGTTTGCCCCCACCGGTTGCTCAGGACTGGCTCCCAGCTGTGGTTATTTTTGCCATATCCTGAGTCAATCTTGAATGATCGTCGCTATAAGTCTTTGATAATTTGGTACCGAGATCTGCCATCTACGAACTATATGCTTCGATCCGCAAAATGGATGTCCTTCTTCCCAAGAAACCCGCGCTGAAGAGGCGCGCTTCTTTATCTCTTCTATTTGGGTCGCAGGTGAGAGCGCATTATTACTACCTATTTTGCTTGGGCGCCACTAACATAAACAGAAACCAACATTCGCAGCCCTAAACGATAAGCCTACCCGCTACTACGATTTCGTCGACACGCCGGCCCTCCGCAAGCCTGCCTCGCCATTGATCGATCGTCAGGATATCCCTCCAGAACTCGAATCGAAAATTAAATATGCCTGTTCATTGCTGGCGTACAGGATTGAACAAGGGGTTCCGTCTCCTCCCAGAAACCAAATCCAGCGGCGCACCACGCGGACAGGGCTAGTTGAACAAATGCCAGTAAAAGCTCAACTAGAGTCGAAGTACCCGATCTCGAAAATGGGCATGCAGACCGGGTATGATTCCGGTGTCGGTCTAACACAGCAGCCAAGTATGCAGACAATGAGGGTTCTGCACTCTCGCTCCGGCGATGCATCAGATTCTGGAGACACAAGAACAGTGTCTATCTTCAGTAATAGCAATACGCGTACTGGAACTTCCTGTTCCAATACTAGTGCCATTAACTCAACAACGCAAAGTCCTAAACAGAACGGGAACGAGCTGCAATCAATGACTGGTGAAAACGTCCCGGGGCAGGCACAATACCAGGACTGTGATACAAAGGCTTTCCTCACCGAGGCATCACAGCCACTTTCCTCACATCCTATGACCAACAGAAATGGGGACAGCCCTTCCACCACCAACAACAGACGCGAAATCTTCCTCAACCCAGACACAACCACAACAACAAATCTCTCCTCCGAGACCCTCTCCTCTCACCCATCCCCAAGTCTAGGTCTTTCACGAGTTCCCGCACACCAATACCAACCCTCCAACCTGCGCGACTCATACCAAGCTCAAGAGCCGGAACAGGAGGACGGGCAAGATTCCAACATAATCGGTCTAGGAACAACGTGCACCAACAGTTGGTCTCACCACGGCAGAACCCGCAGCATAATCATCGACTCTGACGGCCGTGCCCGTCTCCTTACTCCCGACGAAGAATCTCAGCGCAACCAAGCGCTTCAGCAGGCGGTGTTCGCGAGGATGACACCGGGTTTCATGAAGTATAATCCGATACCGATTCGTCAGCCCTGCGAGCGCCAAAGAAGGGAGACTACATCATCCGTTACACAAGACGGGCAGGCCGTTGGAAATAAAAGACATACTAGTAGGCTTTCCCAGCTTGGGCTCTTACGGCCCTTTATGGAGACAGAGGGGTTGAGCGCAGGTACAGTAAATGACAAGCGAAGCGGTCATTACTCGACGAGAAGTATACTACGACGCAAGTTGCGGCTAGGTCAAAGACCCCGAGAGGACGAAGAGGATCATCAGAAGCAGAGTGATGGTGTGTCCATGTTAAAAAGGTTTGGGAAGAGATTCTTCTCTCGCGAGCGCGATGGTTGTTCGTCTGCCTGAATCAGTTCAATTGTGCCTAATACTTTCTTGATATCCTCTTTCCCAGCCAGTAGTTAGAAGCACATGATTCTCTTTGCTGTTTTGGTGAGGGCATTCTGCATACTTCGTGGTATACGCTAGGGTAACAATAGCATGCAAATATATAGCAAGGCACTTTGCCAAGGGGCACTTGGTGCAATCCATTTATCACATATTGCAAAGAAATCCTGTGTATACCAGCTTTACGCATTTTGACCCATAGTACATGAGTTCTAAACTACCTAGGGCCAGTTGATCTCGAATTCACCCAGACGTTTTTCCGCCTCTGACGACGGCGATTTCACCCTGACAAGAACTTAATCTTATCGCCCATCGACTAACCCCGAAGCAGCAAAGCGCCGCCAGCTCCAACTCCCCAGTTTGCATGATTTCTCCGCATCACCTCCGTGTCCCAACTCCCAAGCTCACTTCCTCAGCCCTCGAAACCCGAAAACAAGAGATACAAGCACAATGCGCCGCCGAATAACCTACATTCAGCCCCCGCACGCCCCCTTCCACCCCTCCCAAACAACACTCTCACCGAACACGCTCACAATCAGCAACCTCGACGCCGCCCGCGAGGAACGCATTACGTTGGGGTTTGATGAGTTGAGCGGGGAGGTATGTTTGCTCTCACCCTCATCACGTTACGCTTTTCCGATAACTATGTTGCTGCTATTTGATCGAATGGGAATAATTGCTGATTCATTACGTCTGGAGAACAGCTTTGGCAGGTACTGAAACAATGTCACCAGGTACACGTGCGGTGGGCGCGGAGAGAGCAATACCAAGCCGTCTCACCGTTTTCGAGTCGTGTGAGTCCCGGGTTGCATGTGTTTTACTCGCCGATTCCTTCTTCAGGTCATAGTGGATTGGACAAGGAATCCTTGTGTATATTGTTAAAGAAGGTTTTCGATTCGGGGTTGGGTTGTGAGAGTCCCGAGGTTCGTTCTTCCCTCACGTCTATACTTTCCGTCATGAATATGGAACTCAAAGGGCTCATGGCTTCGGTCTAGAAATCGTTCATTACGCCTCCGATCCTCTCGACGCGATTTGCTTCGACCGCTGCGTATCAATTCTACGAATTACTGCCCTCGCTCGAGAACTTGGTGACGTATATACAGCAGAAGCATTGCGGGCGGGATGATGAAGGATGTTATCGGCGCGCGGAGTTGATCTCCTCGGCTGATTCTATTGATGTCAACTATGATAGCATATCGCACTCCTTGACGATGTCCGGGTATTGGTCGAAGGCGCCGGGCGGCGCAGATGGGTGGACCGAGGTTATCCAGAAGTATCAGGGTGCCAAAGGTCAGGTGGAAGTTGGGCTTCTGGGCGCTGAGCCGGCGAATGAGCCGGAGGAGATTAAGATGGGCGGGTTGTTGGCCGTTGTTGGGGAGGATACGGAGTTGAGTATGTTTAACTCTAACCATGGTTGAAGCCGTAGAAGGTTGGGCTGACTGATTCGCAGAGCCAACTCTTTTCTCGTTTCCATCGCGACATCACCTTCACCCCGAGGGCGCGGCGTACTCAGTCTCGTTCTCGCCTCCTACCGGTCTGCATCCTACGATGACTATCTCGATGCCCCGGGAAACGCTCAAGGGGCCACCCGGGCGCCCGGACGCCGAGTGCGCTCTGCACGCCTACCTAACCCTACCATCCTCGGTCTTTGGCGACAAGTACCAGCTTTCAACGTCAGACGAACTATTCCTCAAATCACATAACCTGGTTGCTCTCAGAGCGGTGGCTGGTGAGACAGACCTCGAGGCGCCGGATTGGTTTGTATCCCACTGGGGCTCAAGCTGGTTACTCGAGCTTGCGACTCCGTCCCAGTCCGATAAGAACCTCGAGGACTGGAACGTCACGATACCCCTGCACCTGCGATACCTGCATCCCTCCGAATCAGGGTACCGGACAGCTTTCGTGCCCTGGCCCGTAGTCTTCTGGGCTTGCACCGCGGAGGACGGCACAAAGATGGGGATGAACCCATTTGATCGTGTGAACCTGGGATGGGAAGGTCTATTTGGACCTAAATCCATGTTCTACCAGCTGCAACCTTCTCCGACTAATGAGGATGCTGTCCTCGTAGAGGAGTTGAACGTGCCGGTTCTCACTCTGCAAGAAGGGGGCAGTCTCTTCCAGAGTCGGATTATTGAGTTGAGCACTGTTGCTGTCATAACTCTTGGCTTCCTGTGGGTATTGTGGAAGCTGGGGCTTGTGGCGGGGTCCTCGGGGATTAGACCCCAGCGGAGAGAGGCTGACAAGCACGCGAAAGCCGAGTAACGCTGCATGATACTATATTGTAATTTAGCGTTGTTTCACCGATATCATTGGATAGACGTCATGTTGCATACTTGCAGCCACCTAGCCTGCCATACGTCTTAGAATTATGCTGATAGCATTGAAAGACGTTCACAATCATAGTCCCTCCATATCGAAGTCTCGAAGACTGGGAATATCAACAAGGATATCACTCAGCCACGAAAATCCCGGATAGTCCATAAGCGTATGATCGGACTGCACAGCCGGTTCTCTAAGCTGCGTCTCAGCGGGGATCGAGACAGATGGGTTAAACTGCAGAACATCCCTCAGCGTCTGCATATCCTCTTCCTTTCTCCGCTGATGCATCATAATCATCAAGTACGCCGTCGTGTATGCCTCGCGCATGACTTCCGTGTCATATGCAGACGCCACTTCATGCAGTGTCCGCATCGCATCCCGCAGCATGGCGAGCGAGGCACGATTATCAATTGCTAATAGCGTGCAGACTACCTGGAAGGGCACATTCGCGATTTGATGCCAGGGGGAGCTTGTTGCTACCAGCTCTGATGAGGCTTTTAGCCCCTTTCCGGATAGCGTGAGGACACGGTCGAGGAGGTCGCCGGAGATAATAGAGTTGAGCGCTCGCAGGCGGCGGTAAATGCAGAGCATCAAGTTGCATTGAACGAGGGTAAGATGCGGCTGTATGTAGATGATGTCGAGGACGTCCGCCAGGGCAGATTCGAGGTTCGGAACGTCCTGCGCTTCGTTCGGATCTAGGCTTTCGGAGATGGGGAGGAGGTTGAAGATGTCGGTTGCAGTTGTCGTTGCGAAACCATTTGTTGTTGGTCGGGGGCTTGGTGGAAGGGAAGTTGCGCCTTGTAAAACGACGCGGGAGCGGCCGAGCTCGAATGAGATCCAGACGTTCAGATGGCGGGCCATGGCGAAGAGGCGCCGGCGGGTTTCTGGGTTGCAGGATTCGGTTGTCGTTGCACGGTCAAGAGCTGTGTTTGATGAGGGTTCGATGTGCATTCCTGTTGCCTCGATGAGGTGCATCAGGGAGCAGCTCGCCATCCAGGCGGCGTGAGCGGTCGTTGTCATGCGTAGGTACGCCACTCGGAGCACCCATCCCGTCACTGTGTCGACCGGGGAAAGTGGCTCGTTCTGTAGCCCCTGCTCTAGGATTGACCGGGCAGACTCAATAAGCTGCAACTCTTTCGGAGCGGCCCGTCGGCGCGAAAAAAGATACCCAAAAGCAGCAACGCCGCATAGGACAGCATCGTACGGCCCGAAACCCAAAGACTCCGATGTCACGGGCAGCCATCGTCTGCTCACCTGGCGCAATAGAGTATCCCGGTCGATGAAGGGATAACACGGATCAACTTTGTCAAAGAAGATACCCGCGAGCGAGCGCATCTCGTCTTGGGAAATGATGTCGACCACAGGCAGGGCCTTCACAGACGCCAGCGCCTGTGACCATTCTGGGATTGGGTAACGGGCACCGACGTTCCAACCGAAGAGGTGCAGCTTCGGGGCACCCGCAACATCATTCTTTGGATTCAGGCGTCTCGCAAAAGCGGCACCGGAGTTTGCTTCGAGGGCCTTCAGTAAGAGCCCGGCCAAAGCGGCTGGATTCGTTTGTTGATCGTGTTGTCGTTTCGAGGCAAGGTCGTTCTGTACGGTTGCTGGGCTTAGAAGGGAGCTTGCTGCTGACTGCGACTGAAAATGCCGAATGTCTTTCTTCTTGCGCGCGAGCAGGTCATAGTGACAGTCTGCGCCAAATTGCGCGCAGGTTGTACATGGCTGGTCGCCAGAGCATTTGCGTTTGCGGGACTGACAAGAGGTGCAGGCGATTCTGGATCGCTTCCGGTTTTGCTCAGCCATGCCGCCAGCTTTGCTTGCTTAAACCATGCAGAGCGGAGTTGCGAAGATTAAGTTAGAAATTGGAGAAGTACAAAAGTCAGAGAAGCCTATGATTCCTGCAGATGTGCTCGTGAAATGGCCATCACGTGGATTCGCGTCTTGAGGAATTTACCAGATCAGGTTAAGCCCGACGCCAACCGAGGCTCTTTTTATCCCTGCGATTTTCTCATCTCTCTCCATGGCATGATCCCGCTTTTCATTGATATGGGCTTACCTTCGGCTTTTGAATCTGGAATTTTAGATTGGCCCTGGTCCAGACCTTAATCCTGAGCTTCTGATCTTCATCTAGCGTACGCCAAGTGGTGGAGTTACAAATCGTCATACTTCCGCCCATCTGGGTAGCGCATGAGCTTTTTCAACTCATCCAAGTCAGGCATCCCAGCGGGGCCGGGTATGTAATGCAAATTCTCCCGAAATGATGTTGCATTCCACCACAGCTCGTTCTTGTGCAGTACCTCTGTCATTTGGCCCTGGTCGATAAACGTTCGGACCTCGACCATCTGTCCTTGATGCCACCTCGTTACCCAGACATTAATCACATCAAAGGAGTCCCCTGGTTTGCCTCAGCATAAATACTTCAAGGCTATGACTGCGAGGGAAGGTACCTGAATTCTGCAAACCGCTAAACCGGATCTCTTGAACAGACCATCGACTGTTACAGCCACCATGAATCGCCTGCGGACGAACCTCGAATGACTCGGGGTGGTCCATGAAGCACATCGAGGCTCTACGGAGTGCGTTCACATAGAAATGAAGTAGGTCGTGGTAATGCCCTGCAATTGGGTGATGGCCCATGACGTGGAAGTCGACGTCCTTGTTGACATACGTGAAGAGTTTGCCCATGTCCTTCTCCAGGACCTTAAAGACATCGTATATGTACATCTGCGTAACATACTTGCAGTCTGTTGATGGATTGTCGAATCTGAAACCTCCCCTCCGGGGGTCGGGAGGGTTATCTATGAGTCCATCCCCGTTGCATCGGCCATCTGGATCAACTATGCCGGATCCATCGCAGCCAGGCGCCTCTGAAGGGGTTCGAGAATCAAGAATTGAGGGCTGATAGCCTGCCCATGCAAGTGAGGCTGCGTAGCTGAGGGCGCTGATCGATATTATGCAGGCTGCTAGAGCCTGCAAGTTGTATTTCGGGACCATCGACTGTGCTGAAAATGGTAGGGTCCAAGGCTCCGAGTATATTCCACGGAAAGGGTACCTTGAATAAATCCATGGATAACTCGGTACCTTTAGTTCTATTTAACATGGGTTTAAATCCCCGATCATCTCTAGAATATGCCGAACCCATGCTTGTGTGACTACTTTCAGCACAGACTGGGAGGGTCGAACAAGGGCACTCACCGTCCGGTTGTACTATGGAGAAAAGAGCCGATATATTACGAAGCCCATGGCCTTTGTATTCGAACTGCTTGGAGATGATAACGTATGGTTCTGATGTCACAATTAGCAGCATCTTCGATCAGCAATCCACTGAGGCATCGATTCTCCAATGCTGCTTGATTATTCAAAGCCAGGCTCTAGTATCTTTGAAAGGCGACCGTGATAAGACCCTTTTTTCCATAAATATGACCTGAACAATGAGCAAATGCCCCACCCAGCGCCGATACCAACAAAGAAGTTGAGAGAAGCGATCTGGAGCCTCCGATAACGCGACGACCAAAAGAAGCAATATGCCGGCCATGATTGGCGGGTTGCGCAGAAGTCGGTGAGGTATGCTCACGTGACCGGTGACCGGCCCGAGACTCGCACTGCAAAAATTTGAACACTTAAAATCGGGCTCCCGCCGCCGCTCCCCTCCTGACTCACTTCTTCCCCAGTTCCAACCTCTGTCCTGCCAAACAACGCCAATTCATGCCTCTCTAAACTATCTTCTTCTCAAACTTCAACTTTTATCAGTTTAAATAACTGGTAGCTCACAGTCGCGTTCATGCGTTTGGCACCCTCCACCTTCACTTCTCAGGTATGCTCTTGGGAATCCCTTCGTGGCTTTTCCGAAAGTCAGTTGTACTAATTTGATATCTGTAGGACTACATCTCGGATCACCTCTGGAAAGCCTCCGGAAATTACTGAACCGACCTTAACATATCATTGAATTCCTGTTGTCTCTACACACACACAACACTCTCACCTCCAAAATGTTGTTCACCCGATTCGTCAAGACGGTTCCCGCCAGGGCTCCGGCCTTTTCATCTCCCATGAGCTCCTTCCAGACGCGCTTCATGGCCACTGTTCGCTCTCAGAGGCCTCTTGAGCGAGCAACTTTTACGATCCGAGATGGTCCTATCTTCCACGGAAAGTCCTTCGGTGCCCGCACCAACATTTCCGGAGAGGCCGTCTTCACCACCTCTCTGGTTGGATACCCTGAATCCCTGACTGATCCCTCCTATCGTGGTCAGATCCTGGTTTTCACCCAGCCTTTGATTGGTAACTACGGTGTTCCGTCTGCTGAGAAGGACCCTCACGGTCTTCTCAAGTACTTCGAGTCGCCCAACCTCCAGGCGGCTGGTGTCGTCGTGGCTGACGTTGCTGAACAATACTCTCACTGGACTGCCGTTGAGAGTCTCGGCGAATGGTGCGCCCGTGAGGGTGTGCCTGCCATCTCTGGCGTTGACACTCGTGCCATCGTCACGTACCTCCGTGAGCAGGGTTCTTCCCTTGCTCGTATCACCGTTGGTGAGGAGTACGACGCCGATCAGGATGAGGCTTTCACCGATCCCGAACAGATTCACCTTGTTCGCCAGGTCAGCACCAAGTCTCCCTTCCACGTGAGCGCAGCGGACCCTCAGTGTCACGTCGCTGTTCTCGATTGTGGAGTCAAGGAGAACATTCTGCGCAGCCTCGTCAGCCGCGGTGCTAGCATTACCGTCTTCCCCTTCGACTACCCCATCCACAAGGTCGCTCACCACTTTGACGGTGTTTTCATCTCCAACGGCCCCGGTGACCCTACCCATTGCCAGGACACCACCTACCACCTCCGCCGCCTGATGGAGACCTCTCAGGTCCCCATCTTCGGTATCTGCCTGGGTCACCAGCTCCTTGCTCTGGCTGCTGGCGCTCGCACCATCAAGTTGAAGTACGGTAACCGTGCCCACAACATCCCTGCTCTCGACTTGACTACTGGTCGCTGCCACATCACCAGCCAGAACCACGGTTACGCCGTGGATGCATCCACTCTGCCCTCTGACTGGAAGCCATACTTCGTCAACCTGAACGACTCCAGCAACGAGGGTATGATTCACAAGTCTCGCCCCATCTTCAGCACCCAGTTCCATCCCGAAGCCAAGGGTGGCCCTCTCGACTCTTCCTACCTCTTCGACATCTATCTTGACAGCGTGAAGAAGTACAAAAACAGCCAGCTGGCTTTCCACCCCAGCCGTGAGACCGCTCCTAGCCCTCTCCTGGTTGACTTGCTTCCTAAGGAGCGTGTCGATGTCGCGCCTACCATCGGTATGCAGAACGTGGCTGCTGCCGCCGCTGCCGCCGCCGCCGCCGCTTAAGGGATTTGTATTTGGATTGTTATAAGGAGTCTGGTTAATCGTCTGGGTCTGGTTTTTGGTTTGGGTCTACTAGTTCATACGTATTACTTCAATTGAACAAATTGTTTTTTTTTATAACAGTTTATCTTTACAACTTGACCTTGTCGGTAGTCATTCATCGCGCGTAGACATCAAACCAAGCAGTATGCTTTAGTGCTCATGAAACGTTTCTAGATAGTTCTCTTAAAAGGCTAATCTACTTCGCGACAATCGAAACCACATCCTCATCCGCAACAACATGCGACAGCCCCACCCGTTGCGGGATATGCCTAGCACTAGCTCCCCAAACAAGCGCGTACTTGAACGTCTCCTTGAGCGTCCGATGAATCTGGTCACAAACATCCTCAATCGTCGAGTTACTTCGCACAATCAGAGCCTCGCTGAAATCGGGCTCAACGCCCTTTCGTTTCGTGTACACGCGCATCAGCCGCAGTTCCTTCCAGATGCGGTCGACGACATCTGTCACGGCGAGATCGAGCTCGCAACTCATTACTGCTGTGTGTGGTTCGCGGGCAAGCTGGTCGAGGAATTCGACGCTTACGCTGTCGACTTTGTTGTAGACGTAGAGGCTGGGAGATTTGTCAGGATTATGTGATTCTCCTGTAATGGTGGTTAGCTTACCAGGGGATGTATTTTCTGTGGTCTTTCATGATAACATCGATGAAGTCGTCGATTGTAGCTAGCGCCGGAGTGTTAGTACCTTGTTTTGCCTGGGTGAAACTTGGGTGGAGGAAGGGTTGCCGTACCGTTCTCGTCTCGGACAAGAACTTCGCAGTTAAGCATCTTGTAGTCTCGGAGGACGTTGTAAATAATCTTCTCGTCGAGGTACTTGGGTGGTGTTTGGAAGGTAATCTTCATGCCACCGGCCTTCTTAGCTTTTAGGTAGATATTTCTGTTCTTTTTTAGTGGGCTGAATGCCTATAGTTTGATAATGGAAAACTGACGGAGGCTCCTTGTTAAGTCTGATACCAACGGCATCCAATTCCGCCTCGAGCAGTGCACGCTGCTCGGCCTTCTTTGTAGCGTCCAGGACCATGAGAATCAAGTCACTCGTCTTTACCATGTCAGTAAGCCTTCATCCGAGACCATAGCATAACAGCACCCGCAAGGCAGAGCGAAACACACCTTAGCAGCAGAAATAACCTGTCTTCCTCTCCCCTTGCCCTCACTAGCCCCCTCGATGATACCGGGCAAATCAAGAATCTGGATCTCCGCACCACCATATTCCAACACGCCGGGAATAGCCGTAAGAGTCGTGAAAGAGTACGCCGCAGCCTCACTCTTCGTCTTCGTGATCTTGCTCAGAAACGTCGATTTACCGACGGAGGGGAACCCGACTAGCGCTACACGAGCATCACCGCTCTTGCTGACATCGAAACCAGAACCGCCGCCGCCCGAGGGCCCGGTGGGTTCGAGAAGTTGGGCTCGTAACCGGGCGAGTTTTCTATACCATGTTAGTCCTGCGAGGAAGCCGGGGTGAGAGATTGCGTACCCTTTAAGAAGACCGAGATGGTATTCTTCTGCTTGTTAGAACAGGATATCCTATGTACAGGGGTTATACTAGGTAGTGCCCGCACCTGTGGCCTTGTTCTCTGTTATCGAGTTAGTTGCGGGGTTCATATATCAAAATGTCTGGTGGAGAAGAGAGCTTACTCTGCGTCCGGCGCATCTCATCCTCGATCCTGGTATAGGTGTAAGTATATGTATTCCCCGTCTTATCAGCGTCTGCTATAATTCCAACACATACTCCTTGATCCTCTCCGTAATGTTCACCATGTTGCCGTTTCAAGAGCCCCGCGGACTCGAATGTCAATTTCTATGCGATTTCCGGTGCGGGCAGAGATGTGAGAGGGCTTCTAAGGGAGTGAACAAGGATTTGATACGCAGGAATGAAAGAAATAGCACAAAACAAAGCGCTTCGAGCCGAATATGCTTGATTTTGTCGGCGGAATCTCCGCAGCTTCAAATTCGTCGCAATGCCAAGGCCTATCAGTGGCTTATGTAATAGTATTTATCGAAACTTTGGCCGTTCATTCAACCTCCAGCTTCAAACATTTTCTCCGCAATCACAAATCAACCACATTTCCGCTAGTGATTAATCTCTCACAATGGCGGACACAGCAGTCTTCGATACACCACCGGCTCAAGTTCCCACAGACACACCTGAAGAAGATGATTCGACGCCGAATGACGACAATGCCCTCGTCGCACAGCAACAGTCAGAAGAATCGACAGCTATGACTGCCACCGATACCGCCGCTGACGGCACAGTGAAGAAAACGAAGAAGATCATCCGACGAAAGCGACGACCTGCGCGACCACAAGTTGACCCGGCGACCGTCAAGGCTGAGCCGCCACCGCAGACCGGAACGGTGTTCAATATCTGGTATAACAAATGGTCCGGCGGCGACAGGGAGGACAAGTATCTCTCGAAGACGGCGGCGACATCACGGTGCAATATTGCGAAGGATAGTGGGTATACGCGCGCGGATAAAGTGCCGGGTTCTTATTTTTGTTTGTTCTTTGCTAGGGGGGTACGTCTAGTGTTCTTTCTTCTTATCTTCCCGACATCTGCGCTGTCTCTACAGCACGCGCGATCAAACTTTATAGCTAACAAGTTGATTGTACAGGTCTGCCCCAAGGGCCACGAATGCGAATATCTCCACCGCCTCCCAACCCTCCACGACCTTTTCAACCCCAACGTCGACTGCTTTGGCCGGGACAAATTCAGCGACTACCGCGACGACATGGGCGGCGTGGGATCTTTCATGCGCCAAAACCGTACACTCTACGTTGGCCGCATCCATGTAACTGACGATATTGAAGAAGTCGTCGCGCGCCACTTCGCAGAATGGGGGCAGGTCGATCGAATCCGAGTCCTCACTTCCCGCGGTGTCGCCTTTGTCACGTACACGAATGAGGCGAACGCGCAGTTTGCTAAGGAAGCCATGGCACATCAAAGTCTGGACCATAGTGAGATTCTCAATGTGCGGTGGGCGACGGTTGATCCGAATCCATTGGCGCAGAAGCGGGAGGCGAGGAGGCTGGAGGAGCAGGCTGCTGAGGCGGTGAGGAGGGCGTTGCCGGCAGATTTTGTGGCGGAGCTTGAAGGGAGGGATCCTGAAGCGCGAAAGAGGAAGAAGATTGAGGGGAGCTATGGCCTCCAGGGGTATGAGCCGCCAGATGAGGTGTGGTTTGCTAGAGCGAAGGAGTTGGAGGGACCTGGTGGGGAAGAGACGAGGGAGCTTGAAGCTCCGGAGCAACCACTTATGATTGAATCTGCTTCCACGGCACAAGGTGAAGTTGGTGGCAGCAGAATATTCTCAAGCTCGACGGTTGCTGCGTTGAGGGGGCTGAACGGTGGTAATGTGACTACAAAACAGGCGCCACAGGCTTCTGGGCCTCTGGTGGCGTACGGAAGTGATGATGAGAGCGACTGATTTTTACGATTCGCAATTATTTTAGATGTATAATATAAGAGATACCTGACTTCCTTTGTCAAAATCCTCTATTCTTCTGTGTTCGAATCGAGGCGTCTGGGTATAATTCCGTATAAAACTGTCGCTGAGAGGAGACTGAGTGCCATGCGTGGCTTTAAAAAAAATATGTACGACATCACACATTTCACATACCACATGAGACGTCGTATAATCTGTCGGTGTTCTTACCGGTCATTCCCAGTTTTCAGGTCATAGTTGATACATGACCCTGTCCGGAAGTTGTAGATGAAAGCGTTGCTGGAAGTTTCTGCGCCGTCCGCTCGGCTCTCGCTCGCAAGGTCCAGGAGCAAGTCCTGCACTTGGCCAAGATACTTTCGCTCTGTGAGAGGCGCGTTCTGAATGACGGCGCGCCAACTGTCGGGGTCTGAGAGACGGGTATCCCTAATTGCGTCGAGCAAGTCGTCGCGAGTGTCTATTGCGGCAATTGGGCCTTCCAATGCTTTTTCAACTACCTCTCTAGAGCGCAACAAGGCTGTTTTTGTTAGTCTAGATGGTACAATTTCTGGGTTCAACCTACCTGACTCAACGATGTTCCTCCTGTTTGTCTTCTTGCTCCTATGCTGGGGGACAAGGATGCGCACATCATTGGCTCGCTCGCTAACGGCCGCGTTGGCTTCCGACTGGCTAAGACGAGCATATCGGGAGTTGTCCGTCGTCCCCTCACGTGTATTGCGAGCGCGTATCTCGTTCCGCAGCCAGGGGATAAGCTCGGTGTTCCGTATATCGAACTCTTCCTTGGGAACAAGACATCTGACTTTGAACCCTCGCTCCTTGCTGTCTTGCTTTGCGATCACAATCCAGCTATGATTATGCTCTTTGTACTTGACAAGAAGTTCTTCAAGAGATGATGCATCTACTGCCAATTCTGCACTGATGTCATTGGCCCATAGATCCTGGGTCAACTTGACACCCGTTTCACGAAGGACTGTAGGGTCAAAGCTAGCGACGAGAACATCACACTAGACAATTGTTAGAGGCAAGTGTACTAGTTGGGGCCTTTGTCAACTTGCCCTTCTTGTCTTCCAGAAAGCTCCCATTTCGGCTTCAACGTACTTCGACGAGGTTCGCATAGGAGTCTTAACGTACTCAACCATAATAGAGCTAAGCACATCCCAGCTCAAATTGAATCCTACAGCGTGCGTCTGCGAGCGGCTTGCTAGAACAGACGGGCGAAAGTCTTGAACCAAAGAGTCATAGCGGCCGCCCGCTGCGAAGACTTCTCGACGCTTGCTGTCGAATATGCATTGGAACAGAATGCTGCCGCGGAAAAACTTGTCGTTCAAACTTCCCAGTGGGTTGACATAGACCTTCCGTTTAACCTCAAAACTCTGCAGGTAGGAGACCAGCGAGTTTATTCTGGCAAAAATGGGCGTTAATCGCTCGGCGAAATGAGTGCCTTCCATGATGCCTCGCAACCGCTTCTGGGTTTGCCTTGGTGAGTCTACACTTTGTTAGCAAGTGGGATATCGAATGTACACTGAGATCATACCGCTAAAATCGAACCGAGCAAGATCATCCAAGGAGGTGGAGGCAACCCCGATCGCTGGAGAGCGCAGCTCGCTCCTGATCTTTTGCATAGGCCATTTGCCGACGTTTAGCCTGCTTATTACCTCTTTAACCAGGGGAATTTGAGAGGGAGTTATGCGGCAGAACTCCAGGATCAGCTGGAGTAGATCGGAGTGGTTAACCAGGAAACACATGGAGCTGGCTCTCAAAGGCGGGAATTCCTCGATGATCTCGTCAAGCACCTTGATCACTTCTGCCTCTTTCAAAGCCAGGTCGAGGGTATTGCGCGACACGATATCAAAGTCCACTTCTTTGTGAGTTTTTGGCTCGCCACCATGTGGTGACTCCCTATATACAGTGCCGAATGTGAAGGTCTTCTCTAGGGAAGAGTCCTGCCGTGGAATTGCACGCGCGTTGGGGAGTGTCAGGTCAAACGGCAGTTGAAGGGCATTGCCCGAAGCGTCAAGGAGCCTGACAGCACCACTTTTATAATGTTGAGACTTAGGAAACAGCATCTGTCTCGTGGTCTCTACTGCACCGTGTCTGCGAAATATCGACGTGAGTCGCTCCCTGACAAGTCCGCGGACTAAGAGCTCATTCGCTGCAGGGGCTTTACGCGAATCCATATCCCACGCGATGTCTTCAAATTTCTTTGGAGACTGGGAAAATATCGCGGAAAGAATCTTCTTGTAGTCCGGCGAGTTAGGGTCAGAAAGCAAATGCATGATAGCGCGCCTGAAGGTTTCCTCCTCTACCTGAAGTGGAATTTGGCCACTATGAAGCAATTCTGAGGCGGAGGGTCGGTCAGCTGGATTGTGACAGACAAGTGACTCGATAATCTTGCCCTGAACGGCTTTCTCAGAGTATTGGAATGTAGCAGGAAGATTATGGTGTCTCTCCCTGATTGCTCGAAGGGTCTGATCACGCTCCATACTAGTCGGTAGTGAATGGCACATTTCAAAGAAAATGACACCCATCGAATACATCTGTCAGGTTCAGCAATGGAAAAGGAAGCTCACTGGTGCTTAGAGATCATGCACTTACGTCAACTTTCTCGTTATAGTGCCCTGAAAACCCAGACTTCATCTCCGGTGCTACATAATAAGTAGTACCAAGGCTCCGAGTAAGGTTGCCCTCGAAATCTGCAGCTGCAGAAGAGCGTACAGCGGTAGTAAATTGTCCGCTGGTAGCTAGACCGAAATCACCAATTCGAGGGTTGTTTGCAGCATCGATGAAGATATTATCAGGCTTGAGATCACGGTGTATGATACCATGCCCATGGATATGCGTCAAGCCATCAAGGATCTGGCGAAAGAGACGCCACGATCTATCGACATCATCATATAGGCCGTTCTTGATAAGATCTCGAAGCGTCTTTTGATGTCAGCGTGTTCTAATGCGATGTTGTGAAGCGGGTGGCCATGGACTTACATGTCTTTCACAGTATTCCATTTGGATGTACAGGGTGGTGAGCACAGGTCTACCCTGCGAGCCCGATCGCACTCGGCTAAGTTCCTTGCCTGTGCCGCTCTCTGTTCCATAGGTTTCCGGTGTCTCGCCTTTCTCTCTGGTAGATACCGTGCCACGTTCATCCTCGTCACTATCGTTCGCGAATTCAATGTTGGGGTAACCGCTCGAGCTTATGAAGTCGAGGCCACCGGTAGTGCTATAGTCAAAATCTGGAGAATGTGTGCTTGCAAAAGAATTTTCATCCGTGAACGAGATAGCCTCTTCATTTTGCTGATCATAGTCTTCCTCGAGCCAGGCGGTATAGTAGCGAACAACATACGGATGATTCAGTCGCGACAAAAGCATGATTTCTGACAAAGTGTCCTTCAATGCGGTGGCAGATTTATTTGAGATTTTCTTGACGGCATAGAACCGACCGTCCAGTTTGTTCCGTGCTTTAACGACTTCGCCGAATCCACCTTTGCCTAAACGGCCAGCTTCATCAAAATCCTGATTATATCGGGAGAACGAATGGAGCCCGCCGCCACTGATGGATTCTAGGCGCGGACGCCTCTGTAGTGACATGGAGTTTGAAGCGCTCGAGCGCATGAGCAAGGGACTGTCGACGCGAAAGAACTCCGACGGTTGCAACTGGAACGCGGTTGGCCTCCTTTTTGGGTTCGGTCTGAAGAACTCTTGGAGTAAATCTTGCAATGAGGGCGACAAATCGAGAGAGTTCATTAGGGCATTCGCGGAAGTGTAACGTTGCAGCACATCCCTGCCGAAACTCATTTGCAGGAAAACTATCCCAAGATCCCAGACGTCCGTCTTCATGGTTGGAGAGGCACTCTCGTGCGTTAACTCTGGGGGAAGCCAGAACGGAGATTTAGACGTAGTCAAAGGCCTTTTGCTTCCAGCTGAGTCGGGTAGGGCTCCTTCGATGCTGGATAGTAGCTTCACTATGGTCGCACCGGTGGCATTTCTAAACAGCAAAACACGACCGCAATGAATATCTCCATGAACAAAACCATTACGGTGATAGTATTCGAGAGCTTCAAGAAGTTGGATGGTCCAGCTACGGAGCATCTCGACCGCCACTGTTCCAACCATATCCAGTAATTCGGACAGAGGCCCTTTGTTTGCATACTCGACGAGTGCAAAAACAGTCCAAGTGCTGTGTTTGGTAGGATCAAGCGGCCTCAGGATTTTAAAACCAATGAACTCAACAAGGTTCTGGTGCCGAAGCTTCTTCAAGCCCTCAAGCTTATCCTCGCTAGAGCGCATTTGCTCGCGAAAAGCTAAAGCGTCGGCTTTCTTTTCATTTATCGAAAGCTCCTTCAATACTAGGAGAGGGGCACATGGTCGGTTTGCTGGAAGTGCTGGCCTTACGACGAATGTACTCACACCATGAGCACTTTGTAAGAGCGTTTTCCCAAATACTGCTCGGAACAACAACGGCCCCTCGTCTGCGTCCGATATGACCAGGGGTGGGTCGAATGTGATCGCACCGGGTAAGTTGAGTACGCCATCGGTATCTCCATTTGTTTCCAAGCCGCTGGTCCTACTCTTTCGCCGCCGTGCTTTGGTATTCCGCTCTCGAATCGTATTTTGCAGCAACTGCTGAAGCTCCCGTTCCTCTTTCGCCGTGGCTGCTTGCTGCGCTCGAAGCTCTTCCTCTCTTGCACGTTCTGCTCGTTCAGTCGCCGCTGCTTCTTGCACAATCCGCTCCTCTTCTAAGCTGGGTAAGTCCTGGTCGTGGGCCTGAGCTTCCGCCGCATCCTCCAGAACATCCTGTATTGAGACGCCTAGCTCATATATCATTTCCGAACCCAGGAGAGTTTTTGGCTTATTCCGTAGTATATCTCGCACCCTCGACTGAGCACCGCGACGAAGGTCTTCCAAGTTTTGCGCCGTAATATTGGGACATGTCTTCGGATAGGTTGTCGGTAGTGATACGAGGAGATCTAAATGAACGTCGGGATTTGACGAAGCTCGCAAGTGGAGCTTGAACGAGACCTCTGATGATTGCTGTCAAGAAGTCAGGGTGCCAAGATAACTATAGAAAGATAGAAAGTTGGACAAAACTTACGTGCCACGCAGAAGGCCGGAGATGTACTTCCTCAAAGTCATCGCCATAGATCGAGCGAAGGGCCTCAACCTCGTTTTGGTGAATCTCCTGATAGTTCGTGGTGACTACTGATGGCGATGCGATCGATGCAGGCTCTGGGGAAACATGCTTCTTCTTCTCCGCCCGGGGAGAGGCGTTCTTGAGGGCATTGGTAGCGGTCTTCTTGGGATGGTGAGGCATAGCGGGGCGCTGGGCGGTGAAGTTGGAGCTCTAATAAACACCGAATGATTTGATGGCCTTCGCCACGAGTAGCAGTGACAAAGATGCAGCCGAAGCTGCAGCCCTCTATATCTCGGGATTGGACATATCTAAAACTAAAAGGCAAACAAAAAACGAGGGCGAAACTGGGTGGGAAAGCGTACTTTCGCAGCAATTGGGCACAACTGGGGAGGGGAAAGAGAAAGTCAAGAATGCACGCCAATCATTGCCAAAGATGCTCACTAGGCTTCACCGCCTGGCAGTAAGCAGAAGCGGAGCAGAGAGTAAACAAAGCACGTCCTTCCACGTCAACCTAGCATCCTCCTTCTCCGCTCCATCGCGTCTCTTTCGCCGGTAGTGGCTCCAAATGATGCATAGGTCGCCGACTCTGGATGTTTGAATAAGTTTGCCCTGCAACTACCATGATGGGGTGGATTGGTGGCCAGAACGAACAAACCGCAGGTGCGTGTCTCTATACTACTGTTTTCTCCGAAGCGATTCCTGCCGCATTTAACTTGCCGGGGCCCTCTCATCAGGCGATTGCGCGCTAATATGATTTTCTCTATGTCTTAGACGAATCCAAGATTATGGAGCCTCCAGAAACGCCCGCGCCCATCTTCGCGCTCCGCGCTTTTCAGAGCGCATTATTTGGGACGCCAAAGGCCGGCGATGAAGATATCACGAACTCTAACCTAAAACCGAATCAAGGGACACGTACTAGTCAGATTAGTACCAGTATTATTACCCAGAAGCCCGCCGAGCAGAAGGAAAATTCTGCAACTATCAATAAGCCAGAACCCGATCCAAGCTCCACCGCGATGTCTCCGACAAAGAGCATCCTTATGACCCCGGGCACTGCGTCAAACCGTCGCAAAACTGTCTCCTTTGGAGAAGGCGTTGTCGACAACGAGCGCAAGCGCGACGACGCCTCCAACAGATGGGTGAAAACGCCAGTCATGGCATCAGGCAACATTAGCAGCCAGTGGACATCGTCCTCATTGGAAGGCAAGCGAAGCAGACTGACTCAAGCTTTGATGGACTCGCGAGAGAAACCATCTAGAGCGCCTGAAAAGCCTGCACAAAAGTCCAGTCAACCTGGTTCGTCGGAAACGGGTTCGAAGCCAGCACATACACCCACACAAGGGGGCGACGAAGAAGATACGATCAACATGAACGAACCACGGTCTCGCTCCGGGCAATACTGGAAGACGGAATTTGACAGCTACAGAGCGAAGACCGCTCTAGAAATTAAGAGACTGATTCAGTATCGCTCGGCGGCCAAACAATATGCCAAGATGAAAGACGACGAGGCATACCGCTTGGCTACGAAGTTGAAGGAAGAAGAGCTCAAAGTGGAGGATATGGAGCGCCAGGTAATGCAGCTCGCGTCCACAATGGTAGCCCAAGACACAGGTGCCGACGATCGTCAACTCGTCCGCGATCTTACAAAGCAGACCACTCTCGCGTTAGAGTGGAGACACAAGGCCAACCTGCTGCGTGAGGCACTGGAAAAGCACGGCATCGTTGGCAATGAAGTCGACGAAGTCGCAGGGCAATCAGAGGCGGTTGTTTCGTCAAAAGAGGAATCAGAGGCGCTGACTGAGACTCAGCATGCGCTGGATCAAGCAAACGCTAAAATTGAGGAGATGAAACAACAACAACCGGACTTTGAGAAACTCCGAGGTCTTGTCCTCAGCTCTGAGCAAAAAGCGTCAGAGCTTGAGAAAGAAAACGCCATGCTCAAGCATACGTTAGCCCGCGTCAAACAGGAAACATCCAAGTATGAGGATCGACGCAAGGAGAGGGAAGCAAAGTTGAAGCAACGGGAGACCAAGCTAGAGACAAGGATTCGAGAGTACCGCGAACGCCTGAAGACAACCACACAACACCACCGTGAGCAGGAAGAGGCCATGAAGGCATCCTTCGATAATGAACGCCGCTCTCTCCGGGAGCAGAACGACGCGCTCAGAACAAGAGTACGAGCCCTAGAATATGCAGCTCGCCAAACGCTGTCGGGTGACTCTAAACAGCAAAAGGGAAAGGTCGTATACGACTCGGGTCCCGTCAGTCCTCAGAAGGAACACTTTGACGAGACAGGGGAAACAGACTTGCCACTCAGTCCCAGCCCGCGCGGCCCTCGCATGATCGGTGAGCTAGCAGACGAGGATGCAAAGAGGGCCATGGGCATCAAGGATATAGATGAGAGGATCTATAACCTACCGATATCGCCTCTAAAAGGATATAAGGGTCCTTATCGCGACCTGACCGATCTTCTCTTACCATCTTCGCCCCCGGTAAATCCGTCAATTGAAACCAATGCCTTGCCCAGCGCAGACAACCGACGCGCCCATGCAACCGCATCTCTCCCCAGCCGTCGACTCCATTTGGAGAGCGGTTCCGTCAGCCTCCGTCCAGATCGTCTCTACCGTGCCCGGCCCTCAGCTACGAAGTACAGCCTCGCCGCATTATCTTCCAACATCCAGCAACATGATCGTGCAACAAAGAGGCACACCCTACCTGCCTCCCAGCGCGATCCAGTACCGGTCGAGCGCAAATCCGCCGCTCACAAACGCCATGAGCAGAAGGTGGAGGCACGTCAGGAAGGCAAGGAAGGCAAAGAAAGTCTGACTATGCGAACAGCCGTGAAGACCTAATTCCCTCGAACCATTTTTATTGTTATTTCTGCGTTGTGTCATGAACAAGGTTGGGGTCCGGGTGCTGCCCTAAATTGTCTTTGGTGTGGTTGGGGTTTTGGCGTGATTTTGGACTGAAGGCTGCGGCTTTTGACATAACTTGCGAAGTTTATACCCTTGCTTCTCCAGATCATACTCTGATAGATTGAGAATACTCTATTTATTTCATCAAGTTTTTTATTATCTATAAATCATGACAGCCATAGATCTATCCACCGACACCACCCAAATCTAACCCACCTAATCTATATCTCTAGACATGTTGTGGCATGCTGCTTTGTATGCGTCCTAACAGACGGAGGCAGTCTTTAAATCGTCAATCGTAAACCACCAATCACTCAAATCTTCCCATCACAGAACGACACAACAGCCCACTTCCCACTCCACGCCCACTCACGGCCACCGGATCCACTACCGGGGTACTGCTTCTGCAGTTCCTCGTCCTTGCCCGCGGGCAGGCTGACGACGGTATCGGCCTTGCAAGTACGGAAGGACAGCACGCGGAGACCAGAGTGCGGGCCAAGGGGCCCGATGGCCGTTGTGAAAGGAGTGGTCGGGTCCCAGGCCGCCTGTGGTGAGTCGAGATTAGCATCTAGTATTAGGGTTGGTCTGAAAGGGGACGCAATGGGGACGTACGTCGCTCACTAGCTTGCGATAGTTTAGATCACCCTTGAATAGGACGAGTTCAGCCTCTTTAAGGTCCTCGAAGAGATCTGGTGCAGTGTGTGGAAGACGCCAGTAGGAGCCTCCAGCTGTCCAGAAGGGGTGAGGGCGAATGATGAGCTTGCCCTCTGCGTGGAAGTGGCTCCATTGTTCGAAGAGGAACTTGACCTCTTCGACTTCCTTATCTGCGAGAGGGGGATATTCCTTGCCCGTCTCGTCGGGCGCCGTATAGAAGCCCTGCGGATCCGCGAGAGCCTGGATAAGGTCCACGAAGTCGCGGGGCACCACGTCTGACACAAACCAGGGGATGACCTTGGGGCGGAGGACCACCGTCGTCGCGATCCCGGCGGAGAGGAGGTATCCAGCTAGAATGAGGTCGACAAAGAGCTCGAAGCCCGCATTGTCGAGCACAATGTCGACCCTGCGCTCCTGCTTCTTCTCCTTCTGCGCTGCACGGAGAACATCGAATGCGGCATCCATGTCGTTGACCAGGATGTTCTTCTCTGCAGCCTTTCGCGCCTGGGAGCCTTGCAGTTTCTGAATATCCTCGTATGTAAGAGAGGTTAGAAGGGAGAGATCCGTTGCGTTGCCCCATAGACATATCTCGCACATCTCGGCGAAGAGCAAGCGGTCGGATTCCTCGGTGTTGTGTCCTTTCTCTGCTTCGAGAGCCAGCTCCTTGTATCTGGCGGCTAATTCAAGTACGGCGGGGCGGGAGGACTTAAATGTGGACATCTTCTGGCGTGCAAAGACATCGTAGTTCTTCCAGTGTCTTGAGCGGTTGAAGAGGGTGGCTATGCGTCTGTCTGTTTCCGAGTGTCCACATTAGCTTCACTTCTGTAGTTCCGGTATCCAACTAGACGTACACATATAGCACTCCGAAAAGAGCCAGGCGACATCATGCCAGTTAGGATTCCCCCGCTCTTCCAGCTCCTCATTGTATTCCTCGATACCGGGCTCGCCATCGTCGATGAGAGGACTAAACAACCGATAAGCAATTAGCGCACAGCAATAAACCTCAGATACAGTAACGACTCACGTCAATTGTCTATTATGCTGAATCTCGTATTTGAGCGCTGCCAGTCCCTCAATGATGGTTTTCCCCTCTTTGCGCTTCTCTTCATCAGAGACGTCGGCGACAGATCGATGGAGGTCGTCAATGGCTCCGGTCTGGGCGGAATCTGATCAGCTGAAATATATCAATTTGTCGGACAGCTATACTCACGACAATGACGGGCCATCGGTCGTTGACGGACTTGTTGGCGAAGCTCTTCTTGTCGGAGGTGAGGTATTGCGCTGTGAGGTAGAGCGGGGTTAGTCCGATGCCTTTTCTGAGGAATGACGACACTCACGGGTTTTGGGATCAAACTCCATTTTGTCCGTGTGAATCAAAGAGTGTGTAAATTGAGGATGTTGGAGAGAGGAAGGGTAGAGGAATGATGAAAGTACTCCGACGTTTATGTCATAGGTGGATTGACCGACAACTGCATTTGACAACAATCGTGGGGTCGCCGGGCACAGGCCACAACTCAGAGCGATAGTACGATAGCCCCATCATGGGCTCGATATGCTTGTCGTATCTAGGCTACGTAACTATGCTCGAGGTAAGAAATATATCAGTATGTCTTGTCTATTCATTAATCAAATTCTATGCCCATAACAACCATCTATGCTCAGCACTTTACTATAGGCCTTGCCTTCTCTGTCCTTACCAGTGCCAAGAAAGGCGAAACGCTTAATATAACCGAAAGTGTAGAATGCTCCTCTATCCAAAGCATATGATTTGCGGTACGCGGATCCTCATGTAAGGCGCCGAGAGCTTTGGTCCTTCAACACTCGTCTTCGTTTTCGTTGAACAGTCTCGTCTCCCCCATCTCCTAAAGGACCAGCCTTGTCAGAAAACCTTGCATCGTTCGCCTTCCGTATGAGCTCTTCCCTCTGCTCACTAGCCCAGTCCCGCGCGTTTCTGTACACAGAAATGGCCCCCAATAATTCCTCGGGGCCATTGATTACACACCAGGACCCAAGGCGCGCCATGACTTGTTCGGGATCTTGGTTTGGCTCATCGGCCCGTTTCCTTTTTCTTGGATGAGTTGTGTAGAGCGTTAGCGTCCCAGTAATGGACTCGAGCGTGGCAGAAATTGTGTAGGCATTGTTGTCAAATAGTGCACTTTCTTCGCCTTCGTTTTCATCTTCTTTGTCCTTTTCTGCCGTTGCTTGGTGGATGTATTCACGCAAGGAATGCATAGCCCTAGATCCAAACGCACCATTATAACAGGCCTGTCGTTTTACGACATCCCCTGCCCCACGAGGGCCTTTTACTTCTAGAGTGAAGTTCGGCAAGATGGTAAGCTCATCTTTTCTCGAGGGTATAATTGTCTGACTGAGCTCACGGCAGACCTGTTCGTTGAGAAGTGCATGGGCGTGTGAGCCATAAAACCGGTCCGGTTTTGGGTTCACCAGCTTGACTTTCGCGTCGGTCAACGGGGCGAAGTTGTCCCATACTCGGCCCCCTTTGCACAGAAATCGATCCTTGAGTCCTTCAATAAAAGGCACCATCGATTCTATGATTTCTTGCTCACAGCAAGCGTGATCATGAACAGCCTCGATTTTGTTGGACATATTTTCAATAGTTGAGCGCGCGAGAGATGCCCGGCGTCGGGCTAGCCGACGTTTGATAGAGTTGAAGTTTTTTGGCGGTGTCAGCCTTTTGTCGTTAGTGTCCCGAAAGGTGTAGGGGTATATTCCGTGTTGAATTAAATGTCTTTCGAAGTTCGCGTCATAGGCGGTAGTGTTCTTTTGCTTGTTCTTCTCCTTCAGCATCACTGCATCGATGTCTCGAAGGAGGCCGTAGCTGGAGGCGGTATTCTTACGGCGACCCCTCCCCTGTGTGGCCGCTGCAGCTCTTCCCTGGCTTTTGCTCAAAGTCGACGTAGTCATACTAGTACGTGTTGCTCTTGTGGATGTGGAGGAGCTTTGTCGATTACCCTCCGCCAAAGCCAAGGTCGGTGGATGATGCGAGTATACACTTTGGTCCTGAGGCAACGGATACTGAATTCATTCCTAGGGGTCAGCACAAATTCGGTACGCAAAAGAGAAAAAAAGTTGCTAAACGGCAAAAGGGCCAGGTACATCTCGGAGGTCACTGATATCCGGTCCCCCGCGTCGCGCGAATCTCTTAAGGTCTTTAATGCGGTCTGAGTCCAGACAGTCGAGGATGGTAGTAGCTAAGTGCGAGGGTCTCCAAAAGACGTATTTGTTAGCTAAGTCGAACTATCCATGGCTTATATGTGAAAAAAATGATACCTTGAAGGTTGGACTGGGTAGTCCTGACTTGTCTGTCTCCGTAGCTCTCTCAAGGAGAGTTTTGAGAAAGTGATGCGGCTAAGTGTTGTCCAGAAGCTGGGATCCGGCAAGTAAGATCCAGAATCCCGGCGTCGATGCTTACAGGTATTCATGAGGTAGGTTGAGTGAAAGTAATGAGTAGATATTTTGAGACACACTGTCTGGGTCACAAACGTTTAAAAGAGCCATGGTCGACAAAGAAATGTTAGAGTCAGGAAGCTGGCTCCCTTCTGAACAAAGGGAAGGATAATGGGTCAGAATCCAGGCATCCAGGTGCTTTGTTACGGGTGGCCTATTTATGGATCCATTGGCTAGATACTATAAATCAAAAAATCATCAACAACAGATAAAGAATAGGTTGAAGCTAGATAGATTCCCGCCAACTTGAAAAAGGGCCAGAGCTAGTCAGTACTAGTGCAAAGGGTAGCAAATACTTCAAATACTTCAAATCTGTACCGATACATATACACACAAACTTAGTTCTTTTGAAATCGATAACCTCTTGAGAATCAAAGTACCTATAATGTTTAATAATTTCCCATATAATAGTTAAACCATACAGGTTCAAGATGCTAAGCCTTGCACAATCTATCCTCATAGGCAACATGAAATAGGCGGAGAAAAATGCCCCATAAGACCCAGGCGGTAAATTAGCTCGCTATGCAAAAGTTTGCCCAATCGTAAAGCAACGAGTAAGCACTGACCGGGGCATCCAACCCATCCCACTCGAAAGGACGCCAGCAAACGAACTGTACTTGCAAAATGTCCATTGTTTTGACTAGTATTTATCCACCAACGCCCAACCCCATCTGAAAGAATGTGCGCGCAGTCATCTCACATCATTGACATCAGGGAGCTTTGAGCATAAGCCTAATTGTGGTCAGTTTGTGTTGAGGAAAAGGGTCTGGCTGGGGACTTACCATCGGCTTGATATCTGGGTGAGGCACGGCCTCGAAGACCTGGTACTCCAGCTTAAGCTCCGGGCCAATCTTGATAAAGGCGCCCTTGTTCTCCGTCGTATCGCAGTACTTAGGTGCTGAGAAGACAGTAATACACCGTCCGTCATGCTCGACTTCGTATCCGTTCATACGAACCTCGTGTGAGCGGATGATGGCCTCGAGACCGTTGTTCTCGCAGAAGCGCTTGGTAACATCCGGACCAAACTGCAGACCGACACCGCGCTTGCTTGGTCCGCGACCAGGTTCGGTCTGGGGATCTGTCCAGAGCATCTCCATCATCAAGCCCTGTTGGCCGGGCTGCTTCTGGTTGTGGCGGTTGAGTTTTCGAATATCCTCTAGCGATGTCTTGTCGTTGGAGAACAGACCGCCGTGAAGCACAAGGAACTTGTTGCCGATCAAAGTGGCGAGAGGCAATGCAGAAAATGACTCTGAAAAGACCTTGAACATCGTCTCGTTGTACTTGGCCTTGCACTCGCCCTCAAAACCGTACACTTTGTTCATGTCGTCCGTCTCGTGGTTTCCGCGGTTCAGGAAAATGCCGTTCGGCCGCAGCCACTTGTAGGCGTAAAGCAGAAGAGCGATTTCGGTCGACCACGAGCCACGATCCACAAAGTCACCGTTGAACAGGTACGCGTGGGTGTCCGTTGGGAATCCATTGAGTCGGAAGATCTCCAAAAGATCGAAGAATTGCCCTGTGAGAGCAGTCAGTCAGCCGTGGATCCACCACCAATCAGCAGAGGAAGGAACGAACCATGAGTATCACCACAGACAGTCAACCTCTTCCCCTCATCAACCCCAATCTCCACCATCGTTGGCTCAGCATAAACAATATCCTTCACAGCCTTGACAATCTGGAAGGCATACTTCCTGTGAATCTTCTTTCCCTCCTTGAACCGCACAATCATATCGTCAATGAATTCCTGCGTCATCTCATCCCCGAGCCGTACCCCATCATACCCCTCCTCGACATTAATGGCGCCTATGTCAAGTCCTTCAAACGCAGATGGCGGATCCGATACCTCAATTGCCTTCTCAAACTCCAGCCGCCGAACCAGCTTTTCGCACTCGGCGGCTTTTAACTTCGCATCGCGGTTGCTCGGATCCCGCTTCAGGACTGCCTTGAAATCCTTTACGGCTTCACGGTAGTTTAAAATGGCACTGTTTGCGAGGGCGCGCCGCCAGTAGGCCTTGAGGTAGCCGTCGTCAAGTTCTAGCGCCTTTGTGGCGTCTGCGATTGCGAACCCATATGCTTCGAGTTTGATGTGTGCCTGAATGAACCCGAGGGAATATTAGCATGCCTGTGTTTAACTCCGGTTCGCCTCCCGACAAGGCTGGGTATCCCGGGCCAAACGTACCTGAGCCCGGTTGCAAAAGAACGACGGGTCTTTATCATACAGCTCGATCGCCTGGTTGTAAAAATCGATGGCGGTAGGCCAATCATGTGACGTAAAGGCCTTGTTTCCCTTCACCTTCAGCGCCGTGGCGGCCTCTCGGTTATCTGGCGAGGCCATCGTGAGTGAAGGAAGTCGTGAATCGGAGGAGGGTGGGCTGGAGGGGCGGGCGTTTCGGTAGGAGAGCACGAGAGCGAGAAGAGCCCGTAGGTAAGGACAGGTGCGGGCACAGAGATGACGAGGATAACCTGCTCGTAAGATGATAAAAGAAGTCCCCGGAAGTTAATGCCAAATCAGGTCTTTGTTTGAGGGCGCTGTTGTGAGAAGATCAAGGTTCTCTTTTGATGGGCGAGCAACTCCTCCGGTCTTGGCGTTTTGCCGCAAAATGAGGTTCGAGAAGCATCCGGCCATCGGCCGCCGACTTTCATTATTGACCTTGAGCAGGCAAACTTCAGCCTCATCTCACCCCCTCCCCCACCCCGGGCTTCAATAACTCAGAACTTCAGGGTAGGCTCATCCCTGGTCAGGCGAAGACCAATCATTCTCTCTTTTACTTCTCACCGCGTCGACACCCAAGTCCACCCTTCAATGTCCTTCTACGTCGCACCCAGCCAGCAGCGCACCCTCCGCGCCTGCATGGTCTGCTCGCTCGTCCAACTACACAGCGTGAGCTCGGACCCTACATTGTCCTATTTTCTCAATTCCTTTCTTCCAAATCCATCCCAAACTAACCCCTTCTTACAACCAGAAATTCATGCGCGAAGGCTGTCCGAACTGCGACAACGTCCTCGGCCTCCGTGGCAACAACGACAACATACAAGAATGCACATCGCAGGTCTTCGAGGGCCTAGTTACGGTAAACGATCCGGGAACAAGCTGGGTGGCGCGCTGGCAACGACTCGATAGCTATGTACCAGGGACCTACGCGGTCAAGGTTACGGGGTCGCTCCCTACAGAGGTTATTGGGCATTTGGAGGACGCGGGGATAAAGTACATTCCTCGGGATGGAAGTACGGTTGAAGAGGAAGGGTGAGCGATTTCACGGGTCTGCGGGAAAGGGAGAAAGTGATTTGTGCGCTAGGCGAGGGGACGACTGTTCAAAGCGAAGCTTGGTTGTTCCGCTCGGTCATATCCGTTTAGATTTTTCTTTCCATGGGATCAGAGGATGCCAGAGATACCCCTCTGCTCTCTGTTTTCTGTTTCTTGCGCGGATCTGGAGTTTATGGGTCTATTTGAGCTCTCGATGTGCTCTGTTATGGGATTTGATTCCAGGGTTCGCCGTGCGGAGTTTGATATCTACGTTTATTTTTTTATTTTTTTTTTTGAAACCAAATGAAGAACTGTCAATTGACAAAACTCATAACTCAAATTTTGATAGCACGCTATCTCCATTACAGTGCTACCGGGGTCTCAAGCATAACCTCATATATATTCATCGTCAACGATGCAAGTCACAAAGCACCCTACCCAAATAAAACCATTTGAACGCCATGGAAGAAAACGATGCATAAAGATAACAGCTTACAGCTGCTTGATGATCTTCTCAATGCTCTCAAGAAGGATATCGGCTGGGAGAAAAAGTCAGTATGGTGTTCTAAGTCGGAAATAACAAAAGGAGCTTACCGTGATGCTTCTGGAAGATCAGCATGGGCCGCAGACGCACAGCGCTCTGGCCGCTTCCACCAATGTTGATACCAACGCCCTTGCCCTTGACAAGGAACTCGTCGCGCTTGGGAGTATCCCAGGCGATGAATGTACCCTGGCCCTTGCCACGCAGGTTCTGCAGGTGCTCAGGGTACTGCTTAGCAAGGCGCTCAAGGCCAGCGTAGAGGTAGGCGCCAGTGGCAGCTGTGTTCTCAACGAGCGACAGGCGCTCGATTTCCTCAATGATGCCGCGGAAGATGAGGGCGCGGGATGGGTCACCCATCCAGGTGTTGAACTGGCGGTAGGGCTTGTTGGGACGCAGGGCGGGGTTGCCGTAGTAGTAACCGGCAGTCTGGGCCTTCTTGGAGAAGGTGACCATGTCAGGAGGGGTCTGGAGGTTCCAGTGGTCGTGGGCCCAGAACTTTCCGGTGGCACCGACACCAGTTTGGACCTCGTCGACAATGAAGAGGACGTTGTTGCGCTTAGTGATCTCACGGAGACCTTGGAAGAACGCGGGGGAAGCGTGGTTGTCGCCACCCTCGGACTGGATGGGCTCGACGACAACAGCGGCAACGGGGTTGTGCCATTCCTTGATGAGACGCTCAGTCTCCTGCAGGCAACGCTGCTCCTCCTCGGCGTTCTCCTTGGCGAATTCCTCAAGAGGATACTTCAGAGAGGGGAAGGGAGCCTGAGGCCAGTCAAAGGCAGGGATATCAAGCTTGTGGATGGGCTTGCTGCGAGTGGTAGACAGACTGCCGAAAAGACGGCCGTGGAAACCGGCCTTGAAAGACATGATAGACAGCTGAGGAGAACCGGGGGACTGGTTGACCATGCTGGACTGGATTTCCTCCTCGGTGAATTCCTTCTCAGGGCCACCACGCTGTTGTTGACGGTAGTACATGAAAGCGGCCTTGTAAGCAGTCTCGTTGGCATCGGAACCGGCCATGGCAGTGAACACCTGGTTCAGGCCCTTGGGGGCGACCTTGAGGATACCAGTCTTGAGGATGTGAGACCAATCGGCGGACGGGAAGTTTCCGAGAGCTGGTCTGTTGATCAGAGAGGTGGCCATCTCTGAGGATCTGGCCACCTCGAGGAGATGGGGGTTGTTGTATCCGACAGGGATAGAGGCAATCTGAGCGTAGCTATAGTTGGTTAGCTTTGTCTCATTATAAGCCCTCCAGAAGATATACTGCGATTGACCACATACACATCGAGAAGCAGGTTTCCATCGAGATCAGCAATGCTATAAGCTGTCAGTATCGTCGACATTGTGCGGGGTAACTTGACGTACTAGTTTCCAGTAGACTTGGAATAATCGGCAAGCATGTTCAAGCTGCGGACGTCAAAGACCTCATTGAGCTCTTCAGCAGCCGCCTTGTTCTTGGGGCCAGGAATAGCGGTGGCTAGCTTGGGAGCAGCAGGCTCGTTGGAGAAGTAAGGCTTCTCCGCAGCGCGAAGGTGGGGTGTGGTGGTGAGGGTGCGGATAGCAGGGAGACGTGCCGAAGCGCGCAGCCTCAGGCTGGATCGGAAAACAGCAGCCATTATGTTATTGGTAGGGAGTACGATCTGAGGAAAATGAGCGGAGATTGAGGGGCGAGGAAGAGCCCTTGTTGAGGGATTCCCGATAAGAGCGGAGATTGGTGATAAGAGCTGGAGCTTCGTCAAAGATCACCAGCTGGTGTTGCGATTACCAGAGGGAAAAACGAGAAATCCGAGGATGCAGAGTAAGAAGAATATACAATTGAGATGCAGTCAAAATAAAGGGCAAGAATTGGCAGGCGTGTGACCTTTATACCGAGTGGCAGGAGTGGGATCGATGCTCGAGATCACTGGAGGTGGAGGTGGAAGCTCCAAATGCTTCGGCGATTCGAGCCAATCATAGAGCACAGATACACCGAACGTCATCCAGATCCTCCAAAAAGCAAAGAGGCACAGATTCCGATTGATAACAGCTTCGATTTTTCGAGTCTTCTTTCCCTCTCTGGTGTCGGCGAATCCACCCTCCGGCGCGAGTGCTCAAGTCGGTTTACTTTTCTTATCGAGAATGCGGGACAGCTCCTGCGCACTAACTGTCGCCGAGCCTCTTGCCATTGGATTTCGGAACCAGATGCCTAAAGCTGTTGTCAGCACGCGGCAGTCTTCATCCGCTGGTGTCATCTATGGTGATAATGTCTCGTCCTCTTCATCTCACCAAGATTCGCTACTCGACGCACGTTACTAGCTAACATCTATCTAGAGTACCAGCGCTATGAACTCCTTCCAGGGTTGCCTTTCTGACCCCAAGAAAACCAGTATTGCTTCGCGAAGGTTATGGCGTCTCGTCCTAGCTCTCAAGCACTCCACCATGACAAGCTAGAAACATGACCTCATTTCCCTAAGAGCGGAACGCAAGGGAATGGATAGTCGGAGGCTATATCGGGAACGGGTAATGCCTCATCATAGGATATATGGACGAATCTGTGGGGTAAACCCGGGGTCCTGGCGATAATGCAGCCTCATGGAGTCGGTAACTATGACACTGCACTCATCGGTACAGCACCTGACACGAAACGTGGCGCATACTACACACCAACCATTTCAAGCTAACGGTCCACCTGTTGGAAATATCAACAAACTGCAGGGATTTATGACTTTTGCTGCATTCGCTTTGCATGCTTCCCACTCATGCTGCGTTCAACACGATGGCTTTTCTCTATAGGAGGTTCCGCCTCTTCAGCCCTCTGTCTGAGCTGCAACACACCTATCATGTCGGCTATAGCGATCCTGCACCCATCGTACCATGTCCATCATGTCAACTTTCGAAGATTGCCGGGGCGCAAATCTTGCTGGTCTCCCTGGGATAGATAAGTCTCTCGCCGGACCGAGCTGAAGAAAGACACGGGTATACAGCACGGCCTACGGATACAACACGCACTGGCAACAAATGCTTCAGCTCATAAATACTCAAATGCAACAGAGACTTTATTTCGGACGATAACTGGGTCTGCTTAGCCGCCAGCGCCTCACTATCGTGGTCAACATAGCCAGGGGTGGCATCCCACGTTGCCTGTGGCCACTTTCAGTCCTAGGTTCTTGTGGCAGTAGACGTCTTGAAACGCAAATCCACTTCATATTCCATGGACACATAATCTCAACCCTACATATTGAGACAAATCACAGAAAGAGCGATGGGGCTGAAAACTCCACTAAGAGGATGATTCGAAGCCACCACGGCCGTCACAGAACCCTGACATTCGCTTTCTCTTCAAATTTGTTAGATTTTCTCATGCGGAATAATGTATCATTTCCGCAGGAAACCTCACTGGTAAAAGATGCACCGGAAGGCTCGTTGATTGTTGGAGCTAGGGTCAAGGTTCACTTGTGTGACGCTGATGTAGACAGAAGTCAGTCCTCCCCTCTTTTGAGATGAGTAGAGCTTTTGCTTACCCAGTGTCAAAGTCCTCGCACTCTCCTTGCTGGGCGGTCACGAGGTTCCATTGGCCATTTTGCTGTACGTCCTGTTCATAATCTGTCAGATCAGGGCTATCTCAGTTGTATGAATTCCGACATCCTCACCATATTAATAGCCATAACAGTTGAGGCAAGCAGCCCGAGAGAGAGTACTGATGTGGAAGCCTTCATAGTAAAGATAAGTCAACCATACAGATTCGCGAGATATGGAGGTGTAGGCGTGTGATGAGAGGGAGATCAGACTATTTAACCTCCAACGTCAAGAATAAGCTACTTGTCTGCCGACTAATATCTTACCCAGTTACGATGGGAGAAAAGAGCGGCTTTATACCAACATAGCTCAGTTACATCCACAGTTCTAGAACTGGAAATAGTTACCTGCCACCTCGAGAGTATGATAGGCCATGTTTCCAGATATACTTCACGGCTGGCCGACTCTCGTATAAGAACGCCACACGCGTTGACACGTCGTAGGGTAACCCGGCTTGCGCGGCTTGGCATCTTCAAGCGATAATGGCAGACTCTGAACGTGGGGGTATATAGCAGTACTTTGAGCGCGAGGCGCCAATAAGCCTTGAGATCTCCATGTTCTGGCAATGGGGCAGTAGCGATGTATCTTCGTGCATAGATTAAGCCTTTAAGTACTAAGCTGAAGACTTCGTGATGGAAAGCAAGCAGTTTGAAACAGCAAGATTTTCGCCAAATGATACCACTCCCACTTTCCTCTTCAGATGCTACGCAATGTTTCGGGGCGATACTGATAGTATTCACTCAATAGATACTCCTTGTAACTTGTACAGTGTATAAAAGCGATCGACATGTGTCTAAATACGTTCTTTAGGGCTAAAACGGACGCTAAATACTATAAGAGGGGATAGATAAGACTAGTGTCGGGACTCATTTCCGTAAGTATAGAACAACTTTTTTGTATATTGACTGTGAAGGTTTCAAAGAAACAGCTAATACAAGGATAAAAGCCGTTTCTTCGAACTAGCGAGCCCTGATCAAAAAGTGTGATCGAGGATGATGATGTACGACAGCCTGATGAGGTTCCGCTCATGGGACTGGAATGCTAACAAAAAAAGGCTTCCTGTAGACATTTTTTCTGAGATATTCAAGCATGACTCGTGTGTGTAAACCTTGAAACCTGACGCATTGACCTGATTTAGTAGATATAATATAGGTTCTCGTAGATTCTAAGCTCACTGGGCTGGTTTGAAGTACGACGATTCAGTGTTGGGCAGTTGCGATCTGCACCCCAGAGCAGCTGACAGCTTTCCTGGTCAAGTAGGTGTAGACCTGATCAATCGCATGGATTGAGTGATGTTTCCGTCTTAGTCCGACTGATTTATCCTGAAGCCACGTAGGATTGTTCAAATCTGCTCACTTTCAAGGCCACCGTCTCGGCTTTCAACTTCAAGTTGTAGTTGTAGGGAAGCCACTGTAGAGGTATTGCACTTTGGCCCAGGCGCTATACCGTATTACTGCACTGGTGGGAGATCAATCCGGGGGAAAAATTCTATGCTCAATCAATCCTCGGAAGTAGACAAATAGATAGATGTGGGCAGCGATTGACAACACATGCCGGTATTGCCAACATACTGGACGTTGCACAAGTCATTCAAACCGATATGTTGTACTCCCAACCCGTCGCGAGGTGCTTGTATCTACCCAGAGATGCATCGACTCGCACACAGAAAAAGCCGCACGTCCGGTTTTCAGCAAACGATCGAAGGGAGATGTTGATAGAAACCGCGGAAAGGCGCCATTTTTTTCTGAATAGGAAAAGCTGAGAAGACATCATGAAGACGTAGGTTCCAGATATTCTGATCTTCGGCAGTGGAAGGTTTCGAGGAGGATCGCTCAAAATAGCTCGTCGAGAATTAGCAAAAGACATAATTGCTGTGCTGAATCCATGGTTGAATCTGGAACCTTTAGCTTTGAGGTATAGATGTGGTGATTAAGCAGCTTTTGGAGCCGCTGATCTGGGCTAGAGGCTCCGGGTGTTGATATCATATCTCATTATGATCACCTTGATATTGATTCCTGACTTTTGGGAGACATCGACGGCACGTATCATAAAGATCAAATGCCTCGATTTCCTCGATGACGTGCCCATAAAGCTTAGGAACGAACAATTCGGGCACTTTGAGCCTGTTTTCTTTTTCCGCAAACGGCGATGTGCTCGAAAATTAGGACAGCCTGAAGAGATGGAATCACCCTCCAAGAGTCAATCCATCACATCTCCAAAATTCGGCAATTATGTGCTTGTTTAGGGTCTTTTGGTGCTGTCAGACGCAGCCAAGAAGCATGGCCCAATCCTTCGCACGAATGAAGGATGCCCTAGGCCAAAGTAAGCCTCGGGCGCGTTTTAGTTGTTGCCAGGTGGCAGGACCAGGGTTTCCTGACGATTTCTTATTCTTTGGGCCAGCCAACTTTTAAGCTCTTCCTCGGAGTGTTCGCACTGCGCAGTACGCAGGGCGACTACGACCGCCGCGGGGTAGCCTGAGCGGGCCAGCGGCGAGCTCGAAATGACTCCGAGGTCGCCACACAATCTCGCCACTACTACTGCCAGATCTTCTAAGCGAGTCTTGAAATCCATCATTCACTGGATTTCAGCTGGAATATGAATTGTTATCTGATTGGCCTGGCCTCGGTTTCAAGAGGCCCCCGGCTAAGCTTCTCAAGGGGCTCTAACCAGGGCTTACGCAAATGCTCCATAACCCCTCCGACTCTCCGAGTCTGGCTCATCAGCTTGACCGAATCAGAAACCTCTCGCTCATCAAATTTTTTCGGTTAGACGAGTTCGGCGGGCCAGGAACGAAAGAACCCGGGATACGTTTACGCATTTAGGACCAGTCGACTCAATTGCCTCAATAATAATACCTCGTGCTCCCCGCGATCATACTCCGATAAATCGCCAGTAGTGGAGAATGCTGTGAACTACGGGTCCCATTTGCCTATCGTATCCGCGAATTAAGTGGGGAAGAGCCTTTGATAGCCACTATACTTGCTGCTTCCACAGTCACCAACATGGGTTGGAGATGCACATCGCTCATCGATTGGAGGAGATAACCTCGAGCCGTCGGCTCCTCATCTGATGATTGCGGCCAGAACAGCCATTGGGATTTCGCGCAGTGCGGCGGAAGCGAACAAGAGCGATTGTGCGACTTGCAGGGCATCCGTGGATCATCTTTACACTATTGAGTTTCCTCCAATTCCTGGCCCTGGCCTGGACACCCCACCCATCCCAGGCACACCTCAGCTCAGAAGGATTTAATGCAGCCTTGTTACCCTGCATCGATGTAGGTTCTCTCGACTTTGTGGCTTCGTTGCGTGCCTGTACTCGACTCTTCTCGATTATGCGCTGAGATGACTGTCGTCCTGATACTATCCGGGTTGTCGATTCCAGAGCCCAACCGATAATAACCTGAGTTGATCAGAGATTCCCATCATCATACTACCCATACTTGAATACTCGCACACGGATTACTATTACTGGCCGCCGGACATTGATCGTGAACATGCAACTTCCTCCCACCGAAGTTCTTCTGACCTGGCCGACGCCGAACTATACAAACCCTGCCACCCGTGGAAATGCGGTACTCATAGTGACCATCATTTGCTTGATCTTATCTACGCTCGTCACCATTCTTCGAATCTACACCCGGCTAAGAATAACCTGTACAGCTGGGCTAGACGATGTGCTCATCATCTTTGGTCTTGTTCGTGCTTCCGCTCGTACATCGGATCTATACCTGACTGATAATAGGGCTTTGCAATTGCCATGGGCGCTGTATTGTCTGTGGCAGAACAACAATGGGGCTGGAACCGCCATATCTGGGACGTACCGCTAGATTGGCTCCCGACGGTCTCGAAGCTGAATCTCACCTTCCAAATACTCTTCTCCTTGTCGTGCTCTATAACCAAACTTTCCCTACTCTGGTTCTGCAGGCGGCTGCTCGGTGCTGGAAGCAAAGGTCTCTCTTCGCCTTATAATATCGGGATGATAGTAGGCATGGTTGTTGTGGGACTGTCCAGTGCGCTTTTTATACTCTTTAGTATATTCCAGTGCCTGTGAGTTCACCATCCCCTCGTGACAATGCATTTGTTCTAACTTGCGAAGTCCGATTCATGCCTATTGGGACTTGGAGCCGCAGTACTCGTACCGGTGCCTCAATGACGGAGCGATCGTGTTCTCTGCCAGCGTCATCAACATCTTCACTGATGTTCTCGTAACCATCCTGCCAATGCCTTTGATCTGGAACCTGAAACTACCCACACGGCAGCGTGTTGCTGTGATCTCTATTTTCGCTTTGGGAATCGTGGTCGATATTGCCGGATCAATTCGAACAGTCTATGTTTGGAAGAGTATGATCGCGTCATATGACACTACATGGGAAGGGTGGCCTGTTCTCCTCGCAGCAACGGTGGAAATCAACCTTGGTTTGGTACGTGAACGCCTTTCCCAGCACATCACGCCTTAAACCGTCGCTGACCTTCTTAGATCTGCACCTCAGCTCCTGCGCTACGACCCTTGGTCACATTCTTCCTTCCCCGCCTGCTCGGCTCTACCCACCGATACGGTTCCAACCGCCAGAGTCGCTCCTTGAAGCTATCCTGGAAAATACGATCAACAACAGATGCGTCAAAACAATCCAGAACTTCGCGCCATTTCGCCTCCCAAGGGGAGACTCCAGCCGAACGACTAGAAGTGTTCCGCACAGTGGAGATGAAAACATACTCCGAATCTCGCAAAGACCAGTCCATCGGGAACGCCTATGACATATCTACGGACCGCAACTACCCGAAGCAAGCGGACGAGATACACCTAACCAACGGAAGTGGAATCTTCCACGCCTCATCCGCCAGCGAGAGATCAATAACCCCCCCTTCGCCCTCGGTCAGGAGCATTCCGAGGGGTATTCCCCCCCAGCCGGGCTAACGAATCAGTGTAACAATATTCATTCGCTTCTTTCTCCTATGTTTTATATATAATGAGCTTTTTACGGGGCGCTATATGGGCGGATATACCCTTTAAATTTGTATTAAATCAATAATGGATCATGAATTCTGCGCAATGGACTCTTGAAGGCCTTCGGTTGCACTGCATCTTCACATGAAACACCCGGAGCGAATGGAACTGCGACTCGTTCTCTTGCAGGGATCGGAAATTACGTTGACACCTTAGCACGTTTCTTCGAGTTACTGGACTTGCTGAGGTTCTGGAACGGCGATAGAGTTTGATGGTTCCACACTAATGTCGGTGGGTTTCAATCCGAGCGGCCAATAAAGTAAGTTTATGTACTGACACTGATGAAGACTGTGGGAGTCTGATTGAAGTGCCGAGGTGATCGGACTGCAATATCACCTTTATCAACTGGACGTCGGCTCCGGGTGGTGAGAGTCCAGGCTCGAGAGATGGCACCGAGGTGTATCAATGCGGAGATGTTGTAGACGTGATCAACATCTGCATACGATTATTCCATAAGTGCCGGTGTCTGAGTCCCCGTGGTGTGGCTAAAAAGGGAGGGCAGTCCCAGGAACAGGATGGGCGGGCAAGAAGAAAAAAAAAATGATCCCCAGAGCCAGAATCGAACTGGCGACATTCTGATTCCAAAGTAATATTACAGTCAGACGCGATAAACCAACTACACCATCCGGGGATAAACAATATAAAACCTTAAATCTATTTGCCACTATCAATGGTCGAAAGAATAAACCTCTTGAGTCACTTGGCAACCTTTGCTGAAGTTGCGGTGTCCGAGCATAGGGATTGCATCTTCCAGTTATCTCAGAATCCGGCCGATTTCAACTCAAGTCAACTCATCTCTGTCACCCACCGGACCGCATGAATTAGGCGCTGGAAAGCGTAAGTAGCTTTGCATCTCAAACCGGTAACAGCAGAAGAGAAGAGCCGTCAAGTTATCAGTCCAGAACGAAGTCGGTCCAGTAACCCATGCCCCTGATCCGGGCTTGAAACATATAAAACTATAGAGTTGGCTGCATACAAGGCCCCTATGCTATATTATTGTTATATTACACTCAACAACAAAAATGAGAAGCCGGTAGCAGGGAGCACTATGGAGTAGATCCCTAATGTACCTTCATCAACTAGCCTAAGAATCGTTGACGATCTGGCCGCAATCGAGCTCTTGCGAGCGCTGATAAGCTCAAAGCAAAAGTAACTCGTCATGAACACCACCCCCGATGGTCTAGTTGGATATGGCGTTCGGCTGTAATGGAAACAATCTTTGTAACCGAAAGGTCGCCGGCTCGATTCCGGCTCGGGGGAGTTCTCCTTTTTTTGCCCTCAAAAAGCTCCCGTCTTCGCCATCTCTTGGCCATCCACTTTTCTCGAGTCCTTTTCTCTTTTGTTTTTGGGCGCCCCTTGATCTGATTGCATATCAGCTGACAAAAAGATCATCGTTACTCGCGTGGCCAGACGCGATAGCACTATCAGACACTGGGATATGCCGCAACGCTGGCCGAGGGAATGGTCACGCAAAATATATATATAAATAGCAAAAGGTATATTATATAGATCCCCAGAGCCAGAATCGAACTGGCGACATTCTGATCACAAATAGATATCCATTACAGTCAGACGCGATAAACCAACTACACCATCCGGGGATTTATGGACAGGGTCGCGAGATTTCGTGACTTGGATTTCTTTAGGGCTTCATTTCCAGCCCTAAACCAATCGATGCAATGGATGACTACCTATCCACCATTGTGCTGATGCAAGAAATCTTCGCTACTTGATGATGCACATGGGAGAAATGTACTTACTAGACTGCTGCAGGAGCGAGCATTCCATCTTTGTATACTGCTTTTTGTTCTTTTTCTTTGAAGGAGGAGGAGCCCTTCGTCTACGGCAGTGATATACACTAGAACCCCCAGTCGCCAAGTGGTTAAGGGTAAACCATCTGGTTCCTGAACAGAATCCGCTACAACAAACAACCTTGTCTTCGCCCAGCTCCAATACCTAGGCACGTCTCACAGACGATGCCATATCCAATGAGCCCGAGTGTCTCGCCCGGCTAGGGTCTGATCAAGGCGGCCACGGAAAACGAGACAGCCCAGTCTCAGCCCCCTACTGTTTCAGTCGGAACCTTAGGATCCTATCAAGTGGCAGTGGCAAGCCGGTCTATAGGTCTTGTAGAGATGTTCGGGGACTAATTTAGTCTTGAGAGGCATCGGTGGTCGCAATCCGCACGCTGCAAAGACATTGAAAATTAACTGGTGGAAGAAAAGAAAATTTAACACAACAATGGCTGGTCCTTCTTAGTTAGGGCTTGTCGAGCGAGACTTTTTGACCATATAGTTTTAGTATTCAAGTTGTCAAAAAGTGAAAAAAAAAAAAAGGTGAACTTGTTCGTCCCCCGAGCCGGAATCGAGCCGGCGACCTTTCGGTTACAAAGATTGTTTCCATTACAGCCGAACGCCATATCCAACTAGACCATCGGGGGGTTGTTGTTCCGGTTTTGACACCTTTGTTTTATCGCCCTGTTGAACGTTTGTTCCTGAAGACTCAAGCAGCCATCTATCCCAATGTCGCCTTGATTCCAACGACGTCCTGAGTATGAGTACCCGCCTTTCTGCAGGCCAAATCATACCACCAGATTCCGAATTACGGTTAGGTTCGCCGAAAGACTTGTTTTGCTCCTCGAATCTCAGAGAGACGTATATATTCATATATCACGCCAAGTTGCTGGACATTGAAAACACTTTTGCAAATTCCCAGTATATAGCCGCGGGGTGTGAAACAACACCAAGCACCAATTTCTGCCTGTTTGCTGTGTCATCCCCCCATAACAATGCAGCTTCTGGAGCATGGCGGCTTTCGCCTCTTCAGTCCCTCTTCAAACCAACCTTGCCAGCCTTCCTCAACCCGAAAAATCCAACCACCGTACACAAAATCATGAACCCAAACATAGTCCAGAAACTCGCCCGGTACCCAGCCATCAGGGCCTCCGCCGATTCGTCATCCCGCTTGTCCGTCACGACAGTCGAGATGACCTGCAAAACAGCCAGACCCAGAGCACTTCCAAATTGCGCCGCCGTGTTGAAGACTGCGCCCGCGAGTGCCTGTGTATCATCTGGGAAACTATTCGTGATGACAATGAGACCAACAGTATAGAGAGCGTCGAAGCTGACGGGTTGCAGAAGCTGTGCAACAAAGGCGTTACCCCAGTATGGCCAGGAGGGCTGCACTACAGCCATGAGGAGTGGGGACCCAGCGCACAGGATCGATGTGATAGTTACGATCCAGACGGCGGGGATCTTGTGCACGAAGATACCAATTACAAGGTTTAGGAGAACACCGACGACGAGACTGGGGAGAATGCGGATGGATGCGTCGAGCGCGGATAGGTGCTGGACTTCCTGGAAGCTATCGGGTGGTCAATTGATGCGAGGGAGAAGAATTACGCGTGGACTGGAACATACAACAAGCTAGCAAAAAGCTCCATGGAGTTAATGACTGCGTTAGACATGGCGATTGTCGCGCAAATGCTGGAGAAGGCCGTGTTCCGCCATAGCGAGTTTGGGATAAGGGCTGGTTTACCCCTCTGGACTTGACGGTGAGCCCAGCCAAGGAAGGATGGTAGAGCCGTGGCAGCGAGGCACAAAATGACAATGCTCTCGGCAGACTTGATCCGAGAAGGGTTGGCGCTCAAGATTCTGTCCATTTATCAGTTCTCCGAGGTTTCTACAGGATTCTTTGGTACTCACGCCAGGAGATAGCACAGCAAAGCCATGAATGCAGACGCCAGGCCAGCGCCTACCCAGTCAATCTTGGTCCGGACATTATGCATAAGATCCGCGTAGCGAGTCGTTCCACCTCGAGGTAATGCCCACAAACCAACAACGGAAAAGAAGAGAGTGATGCCTCCAGCAAGGTACCAGCCCGAACGCCAACCAATCGTGTCCACCAGGATGCCTCCGACAACCAGGCCCAGCGAGAACCCAAGGGGCTGGCTAAGACCCAAGCACGAAAACGCAACATTTCGGCCTCTCCCGGGGGGCAAAAGCTGCGTCACGATGGAGATTGAAGCGGCCAAGTGCATCGCTAGACCGACTCCCTGAAGAGCTCTCAACACAACCAACTCCTGACCTGTTCGACAAAAGCCCTGGGCGAGCATTAGAGCACCACTGGAAAAGCAGCCGACCAGTTCGACCCATCGCGGACCAACCGTGTCGGCGAAGGAGCCTGCGAGCAGAAGAGTCGAGGCAGTAGCGAGACTGCTCACTGAGGATGGCCAAAAGGAAAGCGAAGACGGTATTTGAAGGTCTTTGGTGATTGTAGGCAAGCCAACAATAACCAATCCATTGATGACACTGGCAGTCAGAGTCACGGCGAACAGCTGGCTCAGCGCAACACCTTTTCGCAATCGGGAATCACGCACTGGTGGCCGCAGCACATGGTGGGCTGATACAGTGTTACTAGCAGTAACTTCAAGCCGCAGGGGCTCGACTGGAGCTATTGTTGCAGTTGTAGTGACGGACATATGGCATTGGAGGATGAACAAAGGTTGAAGATAGACGACGCAATAATGTGCGTTTTTAAAAAAAAAATGCCCAAGGGCTGAATGACGAGGCTACGCCCTTGGAGTTTTGGTCTGTCTGGTGTATTTCCGAGAAATCAATTATGGTGGAAGATGGAGTCATGTGGAGAATTTTTTTTTTTAGCGTTCCAATGCGTATTACACAATAATGCCATCGGGTTGGATTTAAGCGATCATACAAGTCCAAGGTCACTTTCGCATCTTGACAGCTGCAAAGGGTGATTTTAGACACTTTCGCAGATATGGTCGATTGAGTTGACATTTTGATACATGCGCCGCCGCACAACTTGCAAAGCATGCAATGCCAGACCCTTGACGGTGCAATATTTGACTCCAACTTCTATACTTTTGTTGCCATAGATTGCCCATGCATAGGATGTATGTAAAGCCATTCAAGTCTGTTATATCTGTTATTGAAGCACGACGTCGCGGTAAGTTTTCCCCGGGAGAGAGTACTACAGAGAAGACTCTGCCGCTCTTCCCACGTGCACTTTCAACACCATTGCCTCATGTTTAGATTGATGACTAGTGTATACTGCCAGCGGTGTCCATGGCGCTGGTTGCACTATCTCGAAATGAGGATTGCGAGCCACCGAGCGGTGATTCGATCCTGACAAGACGCTGAATCAAAGCGATAGCGAGCCGAAGGGCACTGAATTCCGATGGTTACTCTCGCTCGGAGGGAAACGCCGATCTTTTGAGGCTGGATGACGGATGTTGCTATTGCGTCTTGGGCTCTGACTGTCATGACCGATGGTCGAATATGAACTACTATGCTGATACATGCGAGATCCCAGTTCGCATTTCTAGTCCTCGCCACAACTCGGCCAGGAATCGACTCTGTTCGGCCAGCCTCAGAGACCCTGAGGTGATCTGCTGCGTTCCGCGCAAAACATACCTTGTACTTCATTGATAATGGAGCCTGAGTCCTCTCCGTCTTTTCGAAGCCGGCGATTCCAAACTCACCCCCCTTCGTTCTTTTCTATATAGTCGCGCTCATCTGGACCGATACACACCAATAGGTCCTCAGGGGAAGCAAAATTGCCGCCGTCTTCCGTAACAAGCAGAATGTCAAGGTATCGGGACCTACGTTTCCAGAGTCGCAAGTTAGTACTATATACAAAGAGCGCGAAACAAGAAGCATCGAGCTGTGTGCCCAGAAAGAGGCCGAGAGGCATTCAAATACTCGAGGAGAACTGCTGGTTTTGAATGACCTCCACGGTGCCGAGAGATGCGTTGGTCAAAGATGTTGAATGACCCTGGAGAGCGTTGTGAAAGTCATCAAAGCGAACACTGGCTTGGACTATAGACTGAGCTGAAGACTTCGAGTTAGGGCTAGAGACGACCTTGATCCGAGTACTACTGGTTCTGATAGTCCTACTAGGCCTACAGGGCTAAAAAAAATGATAAGATGCCACTTTGGCATTCGGGGAGTCTCGTCTGTTTCTCAGCCAGTACCCATGTCGAGGGCTGGCTGCACGTCGCATCGTCGGGAGGGACCACGGCAGAGTCCTGCTTCCCTCTCTCGGTCGTCACGTCAACAACATCCCTTACAGAGATCGGTTTTTCTTTTTTCTTTTTTCCAAGTTACCGGACAACTTGAGAGCCTGGCGCAGTTTCTTGCTTTGGCATAGGCTATTAATGATTAATGATACATCATAAATTCACACTCCCTCGACTGCTGAGTAGATACCTCGAGAGTCAAGTAGTAGCTCTGTCTCTGTCGAAACAGTCCGTAAAGATACTTATTTTGTTTCTTCTTAGTGTTCATGCTATTCAACGTTATTTAGGAGTGACGTAGAGCTCATTATATCGCTAAAAGACTAGATCTTACGTAATCATGTAACATTTACCCCCCTCCGCCCCCCTCCACAGGCAGCTGCAATCTTCCCAGCTTCCTTCTCTTCTGAACCTACTCACGTTCAATAACTTTAACACGCCCAGACAGCTGTTGACCATCCGCTATGGCTTACTATTCCCGTGCGAACTGGACGTTTCCAAGTCCTCATCATCTGTGTTTACGAAATCTGACTACTCTTCGAAATCGGAACCATCTTCGAACTCCGAAACGTCTTCTCTGGCCAGTGATGTGGAACATCCGTTGACCCGCTTGTCGAACACCCTCAATCCCCCAGATTATCCAAAAGAGTACCATTCCGTGGAAAGTCTTTTTCAGCTGCACAGACAAGACTTGAGTGCGGAATAGGACGCGAGAGCAGTTCCTTTTGTTTACCTGTGTTCCTCCGTCGGCGGTCGATAGGCTCGCTTTAGACAACAGAGAGTCAGCCGTTTCGTGCGTATTCACTATAACGCAACGACACACTGTCTTGTAACTAGGACTGTGCCCGGGGCACACGAAGAGGCGATTCGGTACACTGATGTCTTGATCTTCAAGGAGCTTCAGACTATGCAAGTTGATGAAGAAGTCGAGTACTCAGGGTCGACGACAATAACTATCGGTGACTGGGCAAAAGAAGCGGATTCCAGCCGGGGTCCTTTTTCAGCGAACCATAAGTCATCTCTTGTTTTGGAGGTGGGAAACTCTTGAGACCGATGGTCACCTTACAACAGTCGCCCATGCATGGTTAGAATGTGCCGGCGCAAACACGGTTATCACACTCGCAATCAGCCAGGATTCCCCCAAGATAGACGTGAAGAATTGGGTCTTGGTACCGAATGTGGCCTCAGTCACCCGCGCTTCCCCCGGAATCGCCCGTTGCACCTCATCAATCACCATCTTGAAAGTTGGAACGTCTATAGCAATCATACCAGACACTTGTAGGGCCACAACAATTACAATTCCATTCGACAAGATATTGGAGAGAGACGCATTGAATCCCTCGGAACGAAATCTGGTTTTGACAGAATCCATGGTAAAAAGATTGGCCGAGAGAATCTGGCACAAGCAGTCAATGTAGAATGCCCCGCGGCGCCTTCGTCAATCACGCTTCGCCTCGTAGATATCGCCAATACAGGTGAGAAGGGGTCTTCACAAGTCTACACTCCCGAGGTAGTGACACCACTTGCTGGCATTCGCGCAGCTCCACCCGACGCCGAGGTAGAAGAGTTGGCCGCACAGATCGACGTCGTTATCTGCGTCGCGGGGTACGCTTTTGCAGAAGAAGGCGAGTATGTCATCCCTGCATTACAGGATATCCCTGCCTTCCGAGCCGTCCTCCCATCCCCAAAGACCGACGAGGACCGCAAGACTGTCGCCATCCTAGAAGGCAAGTCCAACAGCAGCGGCGACATCACAGCCGGAGCTGGCGGTGACCGCATCTCGCTACGGCTCCGCGAAGAAGACGAGAAGCTTATCGCTACAGTGGCGGCAAAGAACAGCAAGACTGTGGTCTCGATTGTTACTGCCGGAGCGGTTATCGTCGAAGCATGGAATGATAAGGTCCCCGCGATACTGATGAGCTGGTACAGCGGATCGGAAGGCGGACATGCCCTTGCTGACGTTCTCCTGGGAAAGGTCGATGCCAGTGGCCGACTACCCTTGTCCATCCCAACAGAGGAAGCACATCTACCATTCTTTGAAAGGGATGCCACGGAGATCCATTACAGTCAGTGGTAAGGCCAGCACCTGCTCGATAAACTCGGTGTGGATGCAGCGTTCCCGTTTGGATTCGGGCTGTCCTCTACAACGTGGAAAGTCGAAAATGCGACAGCAAGCAGGGAAGACCCCCGAAGTATCGAAGCTATCAAAGTTAGCTTCAAGGTTACGAACACGGGCAATCGAGCGGGACGCTTCATCGCACAGGCATATGGCATGGCCGCGGTTGAAGAGTTCCCCAGACGGGTTCTGCTGGGTTTCGCGCCTGTTGATGTGGAAACAGGGCAGAATGCCAATGTTACTATTGAGGCTTCGTTTCGGCCTATCCAGCAGTGGAGCTCTGGCACTTGGAGTCTCCGAACAAAGGAGTTGGGAATTGAGGTTGCCAGGTTTGCGGGAGATGGGGAGTGTGCAAAGACCACAATCTCTTTGTAGGGTGGAGCGAAGAGAAACGACGGGAAACTACCTAGGTACTCCCCCTGACTTACCTATTAAGCTCTTAAAAACGCATTTCATTCAATCATCATAAGCTTACCTATAACTTCTGGCATTACTACAAAACCCTTGAACCCAACCCATAAACCTCAGATGCAACCTCCCTAATCCTCTCTATCGCAATCCTCTGCAGCGTCGGACCAAGGCTAATTCTTGCAACCCCGATATCACTTACTTCGTCCACACTCAGTCCGTCCTTCAGCTTTAGCAAAACACTCAGCCTCCCATCGAACGCCTCAACAAGTTGCATAACCTCCTCCCTCTTCAAACCACCCCTCGTAGACCCACCCCAAACGAACACCGTCGTCGCTCCGGCATCGAGATATGCCTTTCCGCGCTCAATTACTTCTTTAATCGCGCCGCCATGAGCGAGGATATCGCACCGCGCATTCACCACAAAGTCCGGAACGCCTTTCCCTCTTGCTGTAGTAAGAACACGACGAACACGCTCCGCAGCATTGGGAAGCGGGAAGAAGTCATTCGTCTCGCGATCAAAGTCCTCGAGGTTTATGCCAACGACGCCAAGGGAGACCAGTTCGCCAATGGCATGTTCAAGGTGCGCACCATAGCCATCCTGGAGGTCGACGGTTAACGGCTTGTTGAATGGCTTGATTGCCGAGGCGATTATGCGCGTTGCACGGAGATTCTGGGGGAGGGTCAAGTCGTCGTCGTCGATTCCGGCGGCTTCGGCTATGGCTTGCGAAGCGGTTGCGAGGGCGCGGGAGCTTGGAAGGGCGGCAATGGTCTTTGCAGAGATACCGTCGTAGATGTTTGTTAGGAGGAGGGGTGTGCGGGGTTTGTGGAGGGCTTTGAAGGTTTGGGCAAGGGCGTTTGTGTCTACGGACATTTTGGGGGATGTAGTAGGTCAGCGTAGACGGTCGCTTCAAAGAGGGTGCAGGGATTGAATCAAGAGAGGACTGTTAAGTGAGAGTTCCGCTGCTCAATAGAAGGATAGATAGCATCAAGTGTAGCTGAGGTTGCCGTTGCCCACGTCGATGCCCTGGGTACCTCGTATCCAAATGCCATGATGGCGGTCTAGTGCCGAAACGGGAATTCGACGCCAGACTAAGTACCCCATATTATTTTCCCAAACGTGTCTTGGTCGTACAAGCTCTCGGACAAATGAATTGCGCTCGCTATCTGGGACTGAACTGAGTGGAGCGCGGTTGACTTTGAAATGGCCAAGGCGCAATGCCCTGGTTAGATAATTCTACTGATCTGATCACATGGATGTCATGATTTGAATGGGCTTTCAAGAGGAATAATGTGGAGCGTCTGTGTTCCGCGAGCAGTCAAGCAGTGCTACAGGAGATACTACGTAGATAGCCTGGAGTCAGCAAGGCTCGGGGCAGTTAGCATCAATCCATGCAAAGCTGACAGCAAGATGGGGCGAAAAGGGACGAAGGTGCCCCAACTTTTGTCCAGCACCATTGACCATTCAACACATCTGACAAAAGGAAAGCCATGGTTGCGCAAAAAGTCGTCATTTGCAGCGCCTTCTGCCCTATAATCCAGATCTCTCCCGGCCCCTGGAGGTTCCTAGCAGGGATAAGCATGTCTCGCTTAGCACTCACATGTAGTTCATATCAATGCGGCTCATCTTTGGTAGCTGAACCATGGAGGCCATAAGATTCAGAGCAAGGACAACCCCGAGAATCTCGCTCGAGCCCAAACTATCATGGGAAGATCGGACAGTAGATCTCACAGAACAATGAGGGCGACCTTAGGCACTGCGGATGGATAATTTGACAGGACCTCTGGGGCGTTGTGCTCAGTTCCATAAGCCTTTTGCGGCATATGACCTGTGCGTTGAAAAGCACGACAAAGCTGTCACACTTCTCAGCTGAACTCCAGAGTCCAAACAGAGCGCATAAAACCCCTCAGGCTCCAATTCCTACCAATCAGACATGAAAAGCCGGATAATCGGATTGCTCAGCGGAAACAGGCGTGGAAATTGCATCCGGACGAAAATGAGCAATGCAGCAACAGGCGTTGGCTGCAGCGTTTCCCTGCAGCTGGCCAACGGGGGTTTTCCTCGCACTGGCCCCTGAAAACGCCAAGGAATACTTCACCAACCAATTCTGCAGCACCGCGGGCAAGCGTTGAAACAGACCCAGATCCTCCGGCGTTTCCGCGTCATCATTCTTGCTGGCACTGGCAGCTGCCACGAGCGGTGATATTGTTCGGCCTCCGAAGTCTCTCTTCATCTTTTGCAGCAGACGCTCACATGGCAATTGAGGCATGGCCATGCACGCGGAGAAGACAAAAATAGGCGATTCTTCCATTTTTAGACTGCACTATTGAGCCGATCGCTGGGGCCCAGGGGTGAGTCATGCAATTTGATTCTGTGCGTCGGCTTGCAGGCTTGCAGCTGGAGAACAGTGCCTCAGCGGTGCGTTGTTCAGTTGTGTTGGCTCGTGTTTCATTTTCGCAGCCCGCCAAAGGCCTGGATTGCAAGGTCGAGCCGCGTCGAGCCAATCGAGGCCGGAGTTTGGCTGGGGCGGATCCTCCCGTCTGACGCTGGGCTCTGCGTGGCGCAGACTCGCCCGTTAACATGGTTAACTTGCGTAAAGTTGCGGGCTTGCGGGCTTGGGGGCTTCTCCATTCTGAAACAGGGGCCTGGATTCGGCTTCTGCCGTGTCCCAAGGTTCGTTCTGGCTCTTCCCAAAAACCTCACATGGTGGGCGAACCGTGGACTTTCTGCAGAAACAAAGAGTCCCAGACAGCAGAAAATCCGGAGCAGCCCAACGGCCTCTCTTCAGGATTTGATACGTCCTTGACTCTTTGTCCTCAGAAGTCGTTACTAAGTGGCGTTCTTGCATCGTAGATGGTTAAATTGCGCTCTGAAGTCAAGAAAAAAAAATCCCAATCCCCAAGCGGCTGACTTGGCCCAGGATCCTCGACTCCATCTAGAGCTTTCTCTGGCCGTTGACCTTTTTTTCTCCTCCCTCTTCTCTTCTCGCCCCCAGCTCTTCTTTCTCCCACATCTCTCTTTTAATCGTGCTTATGAATTGACCCGGATCCTTTCTTTCTGATTTCCTTTAACTCTTTCTACTCGTTTCATATTCCATCTAGGACACTCTCTGGCTAGACTGTCCTATTTCATTCTTTCACCTACCTACCTTAGAAGCACCTACCAAACTACATAATGGACGGAGGCGGTCACGCTGCACCACCAGCCGATGCTGGCGGCCACGCTGCTGCGCCAGCTGCAGATGGCCCTGCTCCCGTCGTGGCAGAGCGTGCTGGCCACCACGGCGCCGCTGCGAACGGTCACCATATTGACGACAAGAACTCCAGCCAGGAACGCATTACGCCGCGCCCTACTTTCCTCGAAAACCTTGCTAGCTCCCGAGATTCCCAGTTCATGTTCGATCGTCGCGACTCTGACGATCTAGATCGGTATTTCGTATGTCCGGTTCGACCTATACAAGTTGGAGACGTGCTAACGGGTTGTTTGTCTAGCACGGCCCGAGAGACCTCGACAAGCACTCAAAATGGCCCATTATGCTTCGTATGCACGGCAGTATCATGCCGAAACTGATCCTTCCCATCGCCTTCGTTGCCGGCTGGTCGACTTTGATAACCCTACTTTCCAAATATGTCCATAACCGTAAGCAATGCCTCATTGGATGGTGCCCTGGTGGGTGGTTCGCTGATTGATTGGAACAGTCTCCGTTGATAACATCCTCCTCACGGTTCTCGGTTTCGTCGTCGGTCTGTCGCTCTCATTCCGAAGCTCGACAGCATACGAAAGGTATGGCTATACTTGGGCCTGTTCCATACTAGGCTTCGGAAGCTAATTATCACGTAGATGGGCCGATGGTCGAAAGTCGTGGTCCCTGCTCATTCAGACATCCCGAAATCTTGCTCGCACTATCTGGGTCAACACGACGGAGCGTGAAGGCGAGGAAGGAAAGGTGGACCTCTTGAGGAAGCTGTATGAGACCCATCCTTGGCTTATCGATCAGCGCGTTAACTGTTATCAGTACTGCTATCAACCTTATTCTCGCTTTTGCAGTGGCTCTGAAGCACAAGCTGCGATTTGAACCCGATGTCGGGTACGATGACCTAGCGGGCCTAGTCGGATATCTCGATACCTTCGCCAAGGAAGCTCACGACCGTGACGTTCTCCAACCCAAGAAGAAGTCGCTTTGGAAGGCTACCGGCGAGTACCTGGGCGTCTCGTTTGCCGACTCGAACCCCAGGAAGCTTATCAAGAAAGCTACCAAGCCCTTGGGACATCTACCCCTTGAAGTGCTCAACCATATTTCCGCCTACGTCGACTCTGTCATCAACAACGGCACCCTCTCCATCAGTCTTCACCAGTCTCAAGCCAGTATGTAGTCACGATATGATGATTGGTTCAACCTTCTTGCTAACTCTCACAGTCACCTACCTTGCTCAGCTGAACGAGGTTGTCACCGGCAGCGAGCGTGTTCTCGATACTCCACTTCCTGCCGCGTACAGCATTGCCATTGCCCAGATTGCCTGGATCTATGTCCTTGTCCTTCCCTTCCAGCTCTACGATTCTCTTGGCTGGATCACCATCCCCGGATCAATTGGTAAGACCGCTTTTCATTCTCTACAGTACTCGCTCTAACAGGTCATAGTCGCTGCCTACATTATCCTCGGACTCGCCACCATCGGTAGCGAAATCGAGAACCCCTTCGGCCACGACGTAAACGATCTGCCTCTCGACACCTACTGCAGACAGATTGCCCTCGAGCTGGACATCATCACCGCCACCCCCGCCCCCAAGGTCGACGACTTCAGCATCCGCGAAGACAACTATGTCCTCTACCCGCTAAGCACATCCGGCCTCCCCTCCTGGAAGAACCGCAGCGTGGAGGATATCCGCGCCGCTCTCCGGGCCAAGGTCGTGGCGAACTGCTCGCCAAAATCTGCCTCGAATGCATCGACCGTGGTCGAGCATGTCAACGCGAAGCTCGAAAAGCTCGAGCAGAAGCAGCAGTCGGCGGTATGACATCTTTTTTGATGTCGAGATTTAACAAAACGTTGAATGTTTAAGGATTTCTAAACCCTTATAAGAAACATAAAACAAAAACTCTCTTCTATCGCGTCGCAAGCATGGGAATTGGGCGTCTAAGTGAGCGTGTGAGGTTTAATTTGGTGTTTATAAACTCTTCGACTGTCGTTACTGTGCTACTCACTGTGGATATATCCGGGCCTACGTGATTTAGGGTCTCTGCTTACATACAAATTTGCGTATCTAGAACTAAATATGTTGTATTTATCTAAAAGTAAAAATTATGTCGTTTTGCTGTCTGAGTTCTTTCTGAGGAGGTGGCTGGCGTCGTCGTAGGGGATGTTGTCATGGTCAATGGCTCAGTCACCTTAGTGCCTTTTGTCCTGATCTTGACACTGGTCTTGACCCGGGTGGCCACGGGTCCGATCATCCTGGCCAGACCTTGCCTCTTGTCCGCATGTGACGAAGCGCTCCTACGAGCGTCACGGTATGATTTTCACCACATGCGCAGCATATCGCACGCTCGCTTGATCCCAGACTGCCGCAGCAGCAGCACAGTACTACTTGGTGGATGAGTACCGCATAGCGATATATCAGGTGGGTGATAATCCTGAACACAGGAATCTCCTCCCATCCTTTTTCCAATCGGAGTTCACGAATTCTTCCTCCTTCACCCGAGTTCAGGAAACAAACAAATCCCTCCCACCCCCCCTTACCAACGCCCCCAAAAAATTTCCCTTCGCACACACCCTCCACGCAACACCACTTTCCGCGTCCGCCGTATCAGAGCCCGCCCCACCAATCCACGAACTCACAGCCGTGACGACAGCTTGCGCGTCCTGGCGCGGAACGCGGATCCATATCGTTTTGTCTGTCGATTGTGATTGTGATTGAGATCGTGAGGGTTCAGTACTAACTTTGAGGATGTCGATTGGAATCGACGTCCCCATTTGACCAAGGAACTGCGATAGCGCGGAGGATAGGTATGTGCGTGCTGTTAGGGGGTCGAGCGGGGTTTGAAGGGCGGAGGTAGAGGTGTTGCTATGGTGTTGGTGAATTCTAGAAGATTGTGGTTAGTTGCTGTATATTGAGGAGATTTGATGTGATGTTGGATTGGCGAAAGAAGGGGGAACTTACAGCTGGAGCTTGAGGTACGTCCAGGGCGGATTGCGCGCGGTGAAGGTTGTTGTTTGCGTGTCGGACGCGGCTTTTCGTTTTGTCGGCGTCATTTTAGGACAATTCGTTTTGCTGAGCGAGGTCGGGTCAACTTCGAGATCTCCGAGCTCTGGCTTGTATCGGTCGTTGGGGTCTGCGGGGACAGGTGCCAAAGTAAAAAACAAGAAAGGGGAGGGATGGTGGGGGGCGGGGGGTGGAAAGGTCCGGTGTCAGGATTGAGGTCACGCCTGCAGCAGCAGAGCTTTGAAAGAGATAGATAGCATGAGAAGAGGGAAAAAAAATATACGACACCTGTGAGATTCGAACTCTGGTTCTGTTAGAACATGTTCTATTCCTTTTAGGAAAGGCTACTGACCACGCTCCCGAGGGAAATGCCTAACTTCCTGATATGGAATAGCAGGGCATCGTGGTTAGTCATATCCTCCTGACAGGTACAAATAATTTACTAACCTAAACCTAGAGTTCGAATCTCACAGGTGTCGATTCGATTGATTTTTTTTCTGAGGCGTCTTCTTCATGAACTCGGTCACAACTTCATTCCCTTTTTATGACTTATTTCCTCATGCATCAAGGCTTCGACAACAACATCGTCATATTCTAGCACAGGATCCAGGGCCTTGAGCACATGAGTGCCTGCTTACCGGAGGTATATGCGGGCAATTGGCATGGGAATATATACAGAAAGCCCGTTCAATAATTAAATCGTCCCGGCGCTCGATACCGCACTACACAAGTCTAGTAGCTGGAATGATGATGTATGTATGGAGCCACAACTTGATACGATACATGCTTTTTTCATGTTGTAGCCTGGTGATGTGGCATGGACCAGATAGAAACCCAACACAAGTCCTGAATCCGGACCACGGGCTAGGAGATACTCTTGAGAATATATACCAAGGGGCGAAGGACCTGAGGTATTCCACATCGGCAGATATAGGCGTAGGCAAACCCTAGGCCAACTTAAGTGGTGAAACATACAGCAGTCGAGATAACGTACTATCAATGTAGCCTGGCGATGTACTAGACGTGGATGGCGAGGTCACCCCTAAGTTGGTGCTGCTACACCATTGATGAGAATTTGGCAGTTTTCGACTTACGTTGCAACTTACACATACTTCATCTGGAGCAGGCTGGTGTGAGATTTGTCTAGATGTGCAGTATAATAATGTCGAGACAGGTGTGGATTATATGGCCAGTCATATTCTGTAAACTTCTGATACTCCCTTAGTTCTGATGGCTCTGGAAAAAAGGGTGGATCTCAGGATGTTGACCAGATAAGTAGCGTGCAAAAAACATAGCTGGAATATATAACTTTAAATTACATAGTCTGCCACCAAGGCACTTGTTAACCACTCCGCCAAAGTGCCTTGTTGAAAAACCGAATCCTAGTTTATATTATCAATCTTAATCAACTCGACCCGTCATTTAAGGAACAACAAATTTGAGGCGTCCCTCGTTGATATCGCTCATCTACAGAAATAATCATTCTCTACATGCTAAAATAAAGGGGGGTTACTCGAATTTTTGAAGCCAGACATGATCTGTAAGCTCACATAGATATCGCCAAAGAAAAGCGGGGTAGAAAGAAGGCAGTGATCTTGGGCTGGTATTCCACCCATACGAATCCATCAAGAAGATACTATTCTAGTATGGCCTCTTGGATTGCACATCCTGCCGTCCTGCTAATCACCCTGGGGAAGTTGATTCTGGGTGAAAAGGGCGAACACTGGTTCTCAACCACAATCTATTTGTGGGAAGACTATCATCGCACATCAACCCTTTCTACTGCTCCATCTTTAATCTCTTAATTATTGGTAGTATATTCCCATCATTATCGGTATAAGCACCACCAATAAACGGCTTCAGGACGGTTGCCGTGCACTCTGGTTTTGACTGAATCAAGAGATAACGGCCTGGTCTTTGAGCGATTTCCTCGTCAGTTGCGCCTAGCATCCAGTCCACAAAGCTGTTCGCCTTTTTTGCTGCCTTTTCGCCAGAGACCGAAGCATAGAAGCTGTGTTCCTTCCCATCTAGGCTCCTGAGAGTGAGGTGAAACGCAAGTCGTGCTCCTGGATCTCCATGCTCGACATTTTTGCCAATACTTAGGATGATGTCTGTCGGGAGCGCTTATCTCTGCTCTGGTCTTTACAATTCTGAGTTTTTCGGGGTCTGAGAATCTGCACAGAACTACCCTGTCAGCTTGAAAATGGATTTCCATTCTGTGAGCATAGGCTCGATAATACATCCTCCCTCCGTCCCCTCGATATGCCACCTGGGACTCCGCTCTCCCGCTGAAAAGTGCCATTTGTGTCTTCATGAAACGACGGTATGTTTTCTTGGTGTCGGGGAGGCTGGGTTAGAAATGACATCTTGCATCGTCTCAACGAGTCTGTCTTGGGACGAAAGCCGCAATTGAGCAATGCTCCCATCGCCCACGGCAATATCTGCAGCCTCGACCCGGTCTTGCTCAAGCTCCTGTTGGACCTCGACCGTTTCTCGATCTACAAGGCCGATACAGGGCCATACGGAGATATCCCCCGATGGTATATTGGCCAGGCGATCACGGCCCAATACCTCGTCCAACAATAGGCGAACCCTGGCCGTTATTTCTGTGCCAAAGACAGTGTGTCTGCGCTGCTTCGAGCGGGGAATCATGGACCCGGCTCTTTTGATAGGAGCTCTGGGTACTAGGTGTGTAAGTAGAAGAAGAGCTTGGGTCAAAGACTCTGCTGATGCCTCCAGTCGACGGATGTCATCCGTGCCGAATTTCTTCTGCTTCAGCCATGCGAGCACGTTGGGGTCAATATTGTCAGGTGTCCATTCGGCGTACCCACCCCTCTCACGAACGTATTGCCGGATGATCTGCAACACGATAAGCTGAGAAGTGGTTGAATTATGCAAAATGTCCTTGGTATCTGTCATAAGTGCAGAGAAGCGGAAAACCATGGACAGCTTCGTGGCCTGGGGCCAGCTGTTTGACCAGAGGGCAGTCAATGGTGCAGGAGATTCAATGTAGATTCTCCGAATACTGTTACCATGCACATCGAGCCATGCATGAAACTCAGTGCCCTGAAGAGTGAAATTAACACTCTTTAAGTCCTATTTTATAAAAGCCTTCTGCACTATCTCATCGCGTATCAAAACAACTCTCAGGTGACTCCGTTGCAGAACTTCAAGGTTAAGTTGATGGAGCATATGGGCGCTACGAGCATCTGTAGGATGTACCTGTGCCTCTGGGCAGCTTGCTCTCATCCGGCGAAATTTATAACTCCATACTAGACAGTTCGCGCAATTGAAACCGCTCTGCGAAAGTCCAGCTGGCAACAAGCTCTCTGTAGATTCTCCGCCGCTGCTTATTAGCTCATCCCAGATAATGATACCGATTCGAGCTCTATAGGTCCCAAATGAAAGGGCCATAGTATGCACTGCCGTCTCGTTTTGCGCCAGGGAGCTGGCTTAGCCTTGCTTCAAGCCAATCGTGGCTCGTAGGATCCATATTCGCTGCCCAGTCTGTGTCACAGCTTTGAAATTGCTCAAATGTCATCTGCACATCGGGACTAAACGAGATAGCCTCGAGGATCGCACTTTGACATTCTCCTTTTGTCATCTGTTGAAAAGGCTTACTGCAAGAAAGTTGTAACTGACCCTCCTGCTGTTGGATCCGAAAGTCAGGCCAAGACCTTATATCCTCGTCGTCTGAATTGCGTAGTGGTGGGGAGAGTTCACGCGGACCCAGGGTGATAAGGAGCGGCCTTGGAGAAGCGGCGAGATAATGTTCAAGCCGAAAAACGAGTATTTGCCCTCTTCCGGCAGCCCAAAAGCCTCGTCCAGCTGCTCAGGTGGGAGTGACTGAAATGCCCTCGCCATAACCATTTCCAATATATTGTTCAGCGTAATGTTGATGGCTGGATCTAGATCATTCGGAAGATCTATCGACCAAAGCTTGATAAAGTGGGCTGTCCGGTGTCCATCTCCTTTGCTGATCACAAAGTAATGGAGTGTGTCTAAGCTCCCACACTGGATTGCTCGGATATGTTGCTTAATTCGATGAAGCGGATTCCTAGACTGCCCAACGTAAACCGCCAATACGCCCAGTCGCGATCACCCGTCACAAAGCTCATATAGCCGTTATCCATAGTCCATGATATGTTTCGCTCAATCTGTTGTTGTCGTACGTTCTCAAGTCTGTAGATCAGTCAGTATTAGTATATATATATCAATCCATTCACTTGTGCGGACGAGGCCTGAATTTCCATACAGATCGCTTGTGATTATCCGCCCTTCCATGCTTCTGACTGACACATCAATGGTATTAAGCAGCATTTCAGCGAGGGACTCCGCTCCACCTAACTGCTCAACCACCGCCTTGTATGGAATGTGCTGTAAACCACCTTGCTGGCCGAAGGAACCTTGAAGCGTACGCAGAAGAGAAATAGTCACCTGATGAAGGGATGGGAAGTTGAATGATGGCTGTGGCTTTATTGTTTCGCGACTCTAGTTTCAATTTAAACCTTAGTAAGTGTCTGGCATTTCTGTGATTTCAGGACTTTTTGACTCACTTGGTTGCTTACTGTCAGAGGATTTGCTTCCCCGCAGGTGCTTAGAACACTGGCCTGAATAGGGAGGGTTGGCTGCCACTGGATCCTTGAGCCTGGATTGTTTTCTCTGAGAACCTGTCGACGGGAGTTTTCTCCTTTGTGTCCTTTTCTACTGCAACAGGGACATGAATGTATCTTAGGACAAACGGAAATCACATGTCCAGACTTCCTACAGCAACCGCACGGTAAATCTGGACATTCTCTTTTGGCGTGGTTCATACCGCCGCAATGATGACATGCCCTTCTGGGGTCTTCGCCTTCAAGATAGAATGGCATGATATTGCTAACACAAGCTAGGCCGAAGGAGCCTGAAGCAGACCCGAGACGTCTAGGAAGAACAAGATTTGAGGAATATGTAGGCATTGCGAGTGCAGTGATTGAGGCTTGTGTGTTGTGCGTACGAAAGCTCTGCAGTGGTCGCGCACTTCCAAAGGTGATTCCCAATCAAACGAATCATCAGCAGATACTTCCACCTATTCCGGTATTTCTCTCAGACGCTCAGAAGATAGTTGCACTTGAGGTCCTCGGGCATTACAGCGCATAGACTGATGCTGAGGCATATAGCAGAATAAGGACTGAATGCCAGCAGAGACTCACTCCTCTTGACTACTTTAGCTGAACATGCCGCTGATGAAGGACCAATGATGTCGTCTTTCGCAGAGTCCCATTTGTTCAGCAGCAATCTACAGGCGAGGATTCCCAATGGATGACTTGAACCTCGACTTTGAAAATTAGGGGACATTTTAAGAGCGCAGCCCTGGAGCAGAGCAAGTGCTTCACAATAATGCAGGCTTGACTGGTGGCACTGGGTGTGAATAAATGGCTAGCCTTCTTGGTTGTTCGTATGATTTTGCGCTTGTGGGTTGTCTCAAAGTAGTAAAAGGGCTAGGTGACTCAAAAGAAAGGAGTTTCTTATTGTTAGGAAAGCCCGCATTGTGATTTGTGTACCTTAGCTTAGGAATAAACTCACATTGCGAGGACCATCAAGACTAAAAGGTGGGAATGGCTATTCCAGATGGCACTAAACACATGACATGAGTTACAATATGTAGGGACTTGCATTGACTTTACTATTGCCTAGGACTGATGGAGATGCAGGCAAGTTCCAAGACACATGAATAGGCAAAAACCATCAATTGATTTCTGATTACTGGGAGTGCCCATGTCATTTGATTGTCTTCCATTGTTGGGACAGCCAGCCTCTATTCATGACCAGAGTCTGCGTCACAGCCAGTGGAGCCGATGCCCATCATTGACCAGGACCAGCTCATGACAGCATTCCTGCTGCTCTAAAACCTATGGAGGCTTCCAACACCCTTTCAATTGATGAGGCTGGGTAGGTTGGCCTTGGGGCGGAACTGGTGAGGTTCCTACTGGCAACCTCAGATCCAGCGACGAAATCGCCGTACAACAACACAGAAAAAATGTGGATTATAGGCACCATTAGGCTCATTTTGAAGAGAAATCCAACTTGTATCCTATCCGCACAAAATAAAGTTCCGTCCTAAGTCTCCGCGAGGAGGACGGGCCTACTTTTTGGGGTGTGCGGAGAGGAGGAGCAGGAGTGAGAGAATATCTGCTCACTCTCTCTCAGGACCGGAATCCGCACCTCAGCCTGCCCAGGTGCAGACCTCACCGAGCCTGATCGGGTCTTCTATACCAACCCCCCCTAATTGTTCGGTAGCCCTGAGGGACGAACAATAGATTTCTCTTGCAGCAAGATGGAATCTCCTAGCCTGTCACTCTCTTTCCTCATCGCTCATTTCCCATCCAAACGGTCGTTCGTTCTGCTTAACTCTCATTTCAGTTGCATTCCCATTGATTCCAAGCGGGGTATCAAATTTCGGAGAGAGACTACAGGCTCATAGCAACTGCTCAGACAAGTTCAGGTGCGCAATGGAGCAGAGGTGGAGGCGGAGATGGAGGAGACCAGGCTAACGCTTGCTTCCAGCCGAAACCACGATGCCTACTCGCAATAATCGTGGAAGAGTTTCCAAGCCTGCCTCAAAGAAGACAGGGTCTCATCTTCCAAGCAAATGTGAGTTATCTGCATTCCCTTTTGCGAATTAGACACTGACATTGCAAAAGCGGTACCTAGACAGGACAGTCCCAGGGCCAACGATACCAAAAACCGCACGCTCCACCACGCTGCTCAGACTGAATGGACCTGGGAAAACATGCCCGATATAATTTATCAACTCAAGCCCGAAGGAAAATCCAACCGCAACGAGGAACCGCCTATGCTCCCATACAGGATTCACAACAACGACGTGCGAGACCTCCCTATCCTTCCGGACAATATCTCGTCAACTGTTGAAGAGTTTCGAGTTGAGGCATGGATGCGCCTTGATAGACGTATCCGCCTCAGGGATATCACTGACCGTATACATCCTGATTTCCGCCTAAGGGAGAACGCACTACAGCAGCGCGGCGTGCGCTTCCGTCAGGCCTTTGGCTTGCTTGCGTGGGATTCGGGAAATAAACGCAGTCTCAAGCTTGAAGAGAACCTCCTAGCCAAGATGAGGAATCTGGGACTAGATCCTAGATTAAACTCTACCAGAGGCATCACTCCTGGGCTTATCAACCCGAAGGCTGGCGAGGAGGGTGGTCGCGTGCCTCTCCCTGTTGGCTGGGGCCCGAACAAGTCTTCTCGTAACAAGAAGGTACAGTGTATCGAAGCTGAGCTGCTCAAAGAGACTAAAACTGGAGTTGAACCTTCTAAATCAAGAGCCGAGCTTCCCAAGCCCAAGGAACCCACACCAGACCCTGATCCTTCGGGATTTGAGGAATACATGAGGAGCGTCGAGGAATCACTACAAGAAGACCTTGTCGAAGACGCCGAGAGCCTCAAGCCAATGGAATACGAGCTTAATAGCGAGGCTTCACTATCTGAAGAAACAAAGAGCTGCGATCCCGTTCCACAGATCAAGTACACTCCCGAGTACATTATAGCAGATGAAGACCTCCCCACATCCGTGAGCATGGCAGACCTCGATTTGACCAAGGGCGTGACACAGCCCGAGTCAGAGCTAAAGCTCCGCTACCCATTAGTCGATGACAATTTCAACCCCCAGTCTCCGTTCTGGTCGTCAAGCTCTGTGGTATCTCCTCGCGGCTTTTGCTCCTCCACTTGTTTTAACGATGCCCCACAGCAGCCAGACGAGCTTCTTAAGGCTATACACATACAGCCTCCGTTCTGTTCTCAAAGCACACCCCAGACACCATCTACAGATGGTTTTCACTTCATAAACCCGAGTGATCTCGACACGGTCAAGCAGCAGACTGAGATGAATGGCTACGACAACATGCTTAATGAATACTACTCCGCCGAGCGCCAGCTGAACGAGATGACATACTATCACTCTTTCGCATTCTGGTGACTGATCTTCTCCTACCTTCTTTTCAAGTCTACACTTTACAGGCTGGTCTTGTCCTCTCTCGTCCCCTCTCCCTTCCTCCTCTCCACCTTCTCTTATATCTCCTGTACCATATACTCGATCTTCGGGAAATTCCCTTCAAGGATATACCCCCGTACAGCACCACATGCTCTCAATACTCTCATACTTTCAGCGGAGGATTGGCGTTGTTTTCCTCTTCTCATCAGGGTTCTGGTCTCGGTTCCCACCCGCTCATGCTCCAGGCCTCATCCGAGCCCTAGCTTTCCATTACGGGCTCCAAGTTATTGGCATTCGTGTTGTTTCAGGCTCTTGTCTCTGTACTTGTTTTTAATTTTGTTCTGGTCCCTATGCTTGCCTTCATTTTTCCTTTCTTCGATGTGTTGCTTTTGTCCGGCCTTTACATGTGATGGCACCAGAGCCGATCGCGATATACCTGTTCAAACTAAAGAAGATTTGTTGTACACAAGAGTTGCTTGATGATTGATACGTTTAATATGGGTGGCCCTAGTGTTTTTTGATCTTTATTCTCGAGGGTTGAATCAATTTATCCGCAATGTTCTTGATCCTTTCCTGGTACGTTCTAATGATGGGCGATACCGTAACCACGCGACCAGCCGCCAGCCAGCCCTAACTCCTGAGCTTATTGCCCCCGGGCGTCTTGGCGAAGTTTATCTGGACAACTGTTTTGACAACGATGGAATAAAGCGACGGTGCAAAAAAAGACAAGTTTATAGTGTAACCAGAGTACCAAAGAATCAGAGCCTTACTATATGCATTTACAGGAGTGTCTAAGAGAAAACACGGCCTCTAAAAGAGCACTATACTATCTAGACTCGAGAACCCTGTCGCAACACCACCTTCATTCACGCCCTCAGCCTTCGTCCTCATCAACCATCCACCCTGCTCATTATGCAGTACTTCGCCACCAGCCTGGTCCCAGAGGATAGTGCCGTAAACACCCAGCTCGCCGATCACACCGCCGGCAAGAACTTCGCCATCGCTGCGGAGAGCGACGTTTTTCGCGGCAGCCGGTGGGTGGATGAGCTCCATGAGGATCCAGCGTTTCCACTCGTTCTCGGGAATTGAGCGAAGGAAGTCTGGAATCGCTGTTTTATAGATGTTGTTTCCGCCGCCTTCGCGCTGGGGTTTCAGGACGTGGTTCGAGGCTGTTTCGGGGTTCAGGGCGAGGGCGCGGCCCTGGCCGTCGAGAGAGAGGTCGTACTGCGGGGCGAAGGTTGCGCGGAGACGGCTGATGAGGGGTTCGGGAGTGTCGGGGAGGAATGAGGTCAGGTGGTCAGGGCCTGTGGTAGTTGCGAGGACTTGTTGGATAATTTTGGAGCCGGCGAGTTGGTTGAGAACTGTGGGGCATTTGATTGAAGCGGAGCGCTCGAGGTGTGTCCGGGCTTGCCAGTCGCGCGGGGAGTTGTAGTCCGTTGGTGTGTAGAAGCAGCGGAGGTAGACGGTTGTTACTTCGAATTCTGTTCCCGACGGGAAGTAAGGCGGGTGGTAGATGAGAGGGCGAGCTGGATTGGAGTCCGGGATGGAGGTGTGGTCTAGGACTTCGGAGCTTAGGAGACGGAAGACGGGAATCTTGTGGACCTTTGTGAGTTGTCGCGAGAGTGCGAGTTGGTCGAAGATGTTGCGCTCGTTTTCTTGAACCACGAACAGGATGCAGGTGGGCAGCTTGGGGTTTGATCTGGACGGTCCGTATGCGGTATGTGCTGTCGCGAGGCCTGCGGAGAGCGTCTCCACCGCGGTATTCTCCGGTACTGCACCGGAAGTAAGTAATGGGTGTTGTGGGTATGCGAGAGGATGCCCCGGAGGGGAATTGAGAAGTTCAGAATGCAAGGAGGTCACAAGCGATGACAAGCCACCGAAAGACGATGAGATGGTGTTGAACTCCACCTGCTTTAGCTGGGGACTTGTCGAGCCGGACGGGGAGTGTGCCATGTAATCGGACCGGTAGAGGCCAAGGGAAAGCGTCTGTGCATATCCTTCCTCTTGGACAGTGATATGGACTTTCCAGAGGTTCGAAATGAAGTCATCCACGTCGATAAGACTACAGTCAAAGTCATCCTTAGTTATATTTCTAGACATCTCCCATAGAGCATGGCCCTGAAACTCGCAAAACAATTGAACACGGAAGCTCTTACTCTTCCATAATCTTGCCAATCCATTCTTTATTACACGTTATCGCAGCATAGAGCTTATTGTACACGGTCTGCAATGCCTTCGCCTCTTCGAAACTGCTTTTCGGGAACGGGCTAGGAAACAAAGTCACTGGTGCATTCGTCGCGAGCACGCCGTAAGGATTGGAGTCCTTCGAAATGAAAGTCGGTGCCGGCCTGACCATCAGGCCATTTTGTGTAGCCCAATCCTTGACTGTCTGTACCAGGAACTCCTTCTGTGCGGGGTTCAAGTAGGGGGGATAATTTTCGTAGACGGAATCGGACATGGCGTAATAACTGGATTTCGGGCCAGAAACATATATAGGAAGAAAGTGAGGTTTGTAGATCCGTATAGAATAGTCTATAGACGAAAAGAAGCAAGTGAAAGTTGTTGACAGAGTTCAGGTCATCGCAAGTACTCGTTCTGATGGAGGGGTCTTTTTGATTACTAATCGCAATCGTTATCAGTACCCCATTATCTGCACCGCCCCAGCCGCCGCCCACGATGGCGGCGGAAAGCCTGTGGAAAAGTCGAAGATCGTCACTCGCGGGCGCGTCTTGGATTTCTGGCTGATTGCTCGATACGGATGCAGCTATCCGGCTGTTGAGACCAACAATCCGTCGTCTGAGTCTCTTCTGTATTGTCTTTGTTTACAGCGGACTCATGCCTTCATTCCTTTGCAATCTACGAGTCCTCCATTACCGTCTCGTTCTGCTCACTTTCCCCTCACTTGCTTCTCAGGTTTCTATACACTTCGCGGAAAATGACGCGTCTTGCAAGATCATCTTTCGTCTGATGGGCTATCAAAAGCTTCAACCATTTTGCAATGTCGTCTGATAGTGAAGACCCGTTCGATTGGACGGTGGAAGATGTTGTCAAGTTTCTATGCTACGATAAGGAGACACCATGGTCACGGTCATCGTCCCGCCCTCCACGACCCGATACCAACTCATTTGAGGCCGCGCTGCGAGAGAATGAGATAACGGGGGAGATATTACTGCAAGATGTTGATAAAGACGCTTTGCGTGCTGATCTAGGTCTCAAAGCCCTCGGCCACAGGAGCTCAATCATGATGGCCATCCGTTACCTTCGAGGAGGCTCACGGAAGTACCAGCAGTCTGTCAGCCATTCCCCACGAGGCGATCAGACACCTGGCCTGGCCTCTCCCTCACATATTTATCCCCGTGACCTTAGCCCTCGACACTTACCTACCGAAAATCCGAGCGTACAGTCGACCAGCGTCGGAGCAACTTCTGCCACTCCCTCCGCCAATCGACCTCTCAACATGGCTATCATCTCCGATACCCTCAGACTAGGAGACGGAACCGAGAGGTTATCGGTTGTGACTCGGACAGGGTCACAAGCCGAGCGGGTTGACATTGGTCAAGTGCGCCCTTCAGAGCAACCAAAGTCCGAGAAACTGGAGTCCGAACACACCTGTCGTGATGAGGAAATAGTGATTGACAGCCATGGCAGAAAACGCCGAAGGCTCAATTTGCACTCTCCTGCTAAAGGTGGGAGTAGTGAAATTATGTCGACACTGAAGCTGGACAAGGATATCAAGGCCAGTGATTGGTATATGGGTCCAGACGTGCTTACCCCTGGCCAAATCTTCTATCCTCTCGACGCGGAGCAAGAAAATGACCGAGTATTCACCATGACCCCTTCCAACACGCCAGTCGCCCAGCGTTGCTTTGTGAATAAGCGTCTTCTTCACTTTTACGGCCAATCACCTATTGAACTACCGCCAAGCGAAGGGCGTCAGGAGCGAGCTATTGTCCCTTATAGTCCCTCAATAGCGAATGCACGCAGCGATAGCTTCTTCACTCTGTACACGACGAAGCAAGGAGCAGTTAGCGTCACCAAGGAAAGAATCTCTGACTGGCCGGAGCTCGAGGGACGATATAAAGGGAATAGTGGAGGGTCGTCAACTGAAACCATCAAACCCTCAGATCCATTTGCCTACCTTCTTGAGAAGTATCCAGTACAGCCAGACCTTGAAGACGCCTATCCTGTATACGGAGATTCGGGATCTGAAGGAGAATTCGATGAGAAGACCTGGCAAGAGATGCTGGAGGAACGGAATGAGCCTCTGCCTCCTCGGCAAGGAAAGCTTGGGCCTAAGAAGGTTGAAGTAATCGTCAAAGACTGCATTGCTCATTATGAAAAAATCTGGCGTCAAAATCAATTACCGAGGGAAGAGTACAAAGCACGGAATGTCTGGCTTGCTGCTAGGAGAGGAAAGTATGTTAACCAGGAGGTCATGGCTCTTGCAAAGGAAATCGCGCACCTGGAGACACGTCTACAGAAACTGAGCGAGGAGTTACACAAAACGGAATTCTCGACCGAAGCCGAACTACGCACCCAATGCCAGTGCCTAGAGCATACAGTATCCCATATCCAGAAGCAGCTGTGGCGCATCTCTGTTCTAGAGCAGGAAACATGTCCACCTAAAATGCAGGCGCCCCCGAAACCACAGACAAAGCCTAGACAGAACTCAAAAGATGAGGAGTCGCTAGAATCAGAGTCGGATTCGGAATGGACCCCAGTTGATTTTCTTGACGATTTCATTATCGATGACACGGAGTCTCTCAAGGAGCCCCTCAACTCTCTTCAAGACCCCGAGAGCCCCTCCTCGTCTGACGGTGACGACGATGTTATCAGTGTTTCTGGCACAAGGCGAAGGACAAGAGGCCAGCCACCGAGAGTTTTCGCGTCAGACAGCCCCTCGCCACCTCACTCCGTTTGGGAAAAATCAGACATCATTGACTTGACCATTGACTCCCCGGAGCCTGAGGAGCTCCAGATTGAGACACCGCCCCTCAATCCAATTGAATCCGACTTCCGTGATACCTTTGTGAGGAAATCCGTTTCCCCACCACCCAGTCTTGGCTCACCGGAGCGCAGCGTCCAAGTGAAAACAGAAAAAAGATCACGCTCTTCCCTTCCTAAGGTTAGTGACATGGACGGAATAATGTTGCTGGATTGGGCGCTTATCGAAGAGCGTCAAGACAGACGCAGGCTACTTGCCAAGTTGATCGGTTGCCTTTCTGATGGGGAACGAGGACGTTTGGGAGATTATATTCTCGGATATCAATACTCCAACCTCACTCGACTCATAAGGAGGGCTCTGGCTACCATCAAAAGACGCTCAGAAACTGTTGCAGGGCTTGACTGTCTCGAAAACGGAGTGATTATGCGGACTGCTTCGTTTTACATCTCGTGGGTACGTTGTATGCATTTTGGCCCCGCCGGCATCAAATGTAAATTCGTCGAAGAGGCTTTAAACGATCTCAACAGTGGTGGGTTTGCAACTTATTATGACGAGCTTTACAAAAGACTTAAGTCTTGCCGAACAAGAGAGTCGAATAGGGAGGAAGAGGCAGGAGATGATGCTGATGATGAGGTGCAAAGAGCGGGAACTAGTGATACGCCTCACAAGAAGCGCAAAAGGGAGGTCAAGGAGAGTCAAGAGGCCAAAGTCACGCAGGCCAGCGCCCAACTCCGTGTGGCACAGCAGGAAAAACAGCGAAAACGGCTCGAGATACGGCTGCAGAACACAGGCATTAGCAACGACAACCCTAGTCATCAGGCTGTCAGCTTCAAGGAGCCTGTGATTTATTTGGATCCTCACATTGGCCTTCGCGTGAAACCCCACCAGCTGAACGGCGTCCGGTTTATGTGGCGAGAGTTGATTGAGGACAAAGATCAACAAGGATGTCTGTTGGCTCATACAATGGGGCTTGGAAAAACGATGCAAGTGTAAGTGTTGGCCTACAAAACTATTATCAGCCCTGCAGATGCGCAACTTGATTTGATTACTGACTGTCTACAAGAATTTCGCTCCTCACAACAATCTCACAAGCGGCTTCCTCTGATGACCCGGAAATCCAAAAGCAGGTTCCTGACTCTTTCCGCCGTTCTCAAACCCTGATCATATGCCCGTCTTCATTGATCGATAATTGGTATGACGAATTTGTCATGTGGTCGCCAGAAAACTCACCTGTGGGCCTGGTCAGACGAATTCTACCAGCCCAACCGCTAGCTACTCGGCTGGAGGAGATATCTGCTTGGGATACAGAAGGTGGCGTACTCCTGATCAGCTACAACATATTCCGGTCATGGATAATCAACAAGGGAACTGAGAAAAGATTACCCCCTTTGTCTGACACAGAACATGCCAAAGTCTCAAAATGGCTCCTTGAGGGACCGAATATCATTGTGGCTGATGAAGCCCACAAGATGAAGAACCCTTCTTCTGGTATCTTTGTGGCGGCGAAGAAATTCCGTTCAAAGAGTCGAATTGCCTTGACAGGCTCTCCGCTAGCGAACAATCTCATTGATTACTACACAATGGTCAACTGGATTGCGGATGGGTATCTTGGGCACATGGTTGAGTTCAAGGCAAATTACGTCGAGCCAATTGAACAAGGCCTGTACCTGGACAGCACTTATACTGAGAGACGCAAATCTCTTATGAAATTGCAGGTCCTTAAGCAGATTCTTGAGCCGAAAATTAATCGTGCAGACATTTCTGTGCTTGAAGGAGACTTGCCGCCAAAGGTTGAATTCGTTATAACCGTGCCATTGACCGAGGTGCAAAAGGTGGCGTACGACTCTTATGCCGCGTTTGTACTTGATGGAAGGACAGATGAAGTAGGACAGGCTCAGTTATGGTCCTGGCTGGCTGTTATAGGCTTATGCTGCAACCACCCAGCATGTTTCGAAGAGAAGCTGATCAGTCGGGCCAATGATGCTGCTAAGATGGGAGATGCTGAGACACAGCTTCCAGGAGATGAGCCTATCACTAAGTGGGAACTTCCTAACATAGCAACATTCGTTGCTGAGCAGCAACAGCATTTTGCACAAGTCCCTGACATTATGGCTATTGAGCTGTCCGCCCGAGCTGAATTGATGAACAGCATAGTTGACGAGTCAATCAGAGCTGGCGATAAAGTACTTATTTTCTCTATGAGCCTGCCAACTCTGAACTACATCGAACACGTGATGAGAAGTAACAATCGAAAATACTCGCGGTTGGATGGACAAACACCAATTTCCAGCCGGCAAGCCTCCACAAAAAAGTTCAATTCAGGTGACGCAAAGCAGGTTTACCTCATTTCAACCCGAGCAGGCGGGCTGGGGCTGAATATCCCAGGCGCTAACCGGGTCATAATCTTCGACTTCTCTTTCAGTCCCTATTGGGAGGAGCAGGCAGTTGGTCGTGCGTACCGCTTAGGTCAAAGAAAGCCAGTTTTTGTATATCGCTTCCTTGCTGGTGGGACCTTCGAAGAGATTATCCACCATAAGGCAATATTCAAGACTCAGCTTTCCGTCAGGGTTGTTGACAAGAAGAATCCAGTTCGTGTTGCCCAGAAGAAAGCGGGTGACTATTTATTCCCTGTGAAGCCTGTACCTCAACAGGATACCTCAGAGTATCTAGGCAAGGATCCTCTGGTGTTGGACAAAATCCTTCGACGGGACACGCAGCGAGACGAGAGGCTGATTCGTTCTATCACGCTTACTCAAACCTTTGTCAAGGAAGGCAATGAGAAGCTGACTGAAGAGGAACAAAAGAGCGTCCAAGAAGAATTCGATGACGAGAACCTTAAAAGGACCGATCCCAACGCATATCACGAGAAAATCGCGGCAAGACATCGCCATAGCCATCTGTCAACTGGTCCATTCCCAATCACTGCTGGCCAGGGAATTCAGGCTCCTCACGTTCCGCCCAGTGCCCACAACTTTGGTCCGCCTGCTCTAGGGCCAGATGTGATTTCCAACCCGAGTCCAAATCTGAACCCGAACAATAACACATCCTTGAGCGCCGCTACTTCATTTCCAGCTTACCGTGCGTCGGATTCCGGGCAATACATCTCAAACAATCCCCCGCAGTCTAGCCAGGGGGCAGGAAACCACGCCCATCCTTCCCAACCTTGGAAGACAACCACCGCCCATGCGTCTCGACCAGGGCTAGCCGTGATGAGCAATCAAAATGCTAGCAACCGTCAAGTAACCCCCGCTAAACCATATCAAGAACAACAGGAAAACCCAGGGGCGGTTGGTAAACAACATGCAATTCCACTCGGAGGTCTAGTTGCGCCGTTCCAATCAGATACCGCCGTTGTCGAGCCACCTAAAACCAGCTCAGAAGCTGATGTTGCAGTTTCGGCGCAGGTAACAACCTCCTCCGGCGATGATCAGACAGATCCCTCCAACGAAAGCACAGGACGTCCAACAACTAGCTGCAGAAACCAGTGATGGTATTATGTTCCAACTTGCAAACCAGAGCGTCGTCTTCCCTCTCTCGGTTCTGTTCCTTGTTGCTCTCTTTTCTCTCCAGATCATTTTTTTTCATCTTGTACATCGTAAGTACCCTTATGTCCACAGTTTTTATTCCTGCAGATCCGCTTTCTCCATTCCGCTTTCGTGATTCGATTTTTAGCGGGCGATCACATTTCCTTCCCTCTCCATAGTTAGCATTTCTCTCACGCATGGTTGCTATGGCGGCGTTTTCCACGGTGGACTTTCTGTTTTCATTGAGATACCCCAGTATGATACGGATGGACGAACTGCACGAACTATTCTCTACTCCAGTGTTCTGAGTATGAATCTCATCATATGCACTACTAGTAGTGGCTGCATTCGCACATGGAATTACCAATATCATTACAACCGACTTCAACTTGATTCTACTGAGTTTACTTTTCAGGTAGTTCTTGCCTAATATCTATCATATTCAGAATTGAGTGAAAGAAAGTGAGAGAATAGTGACCCGAGAAAAGAAAACCCGAGAGGTGTATAAGACATGAGGAGGCATAGTTACAGGCAAAGTAATTGAACCCGTTAGAAACAGCCCTAGGTAGGAAGGTGGAAGTCGAACTCAGACATGGTAAAACACAGAAAGAAGAAGAGGCAGAGGAAGTCTCAGGTGGAAGGAGATAGAGAGGTGTGTCTTAGAGAACGATATAATTTAAGTCAAGAGTTTCTCCAAGTCAGCAACCCTTGTACCACGATCATCGACCTTCTTACTCGCTTTCTCTCTGAAAGCTGCAAGCATCAATTTCCGCTTCTGCCCCTGGACAGCCAGCACGCGGTCTTCGATGCTGTCCTCCATAACAAGCCGCCAGACAGTCGTCTCGCGCTTTTGACCGAGCCGGTACACGCGATCGACGGCCTGGTCCTCAATCGCGGGCGCCCACCAGCTATCAGACAGAACAGCCTGGTTGGCGGCGACGAGATTGAGGCCAACACTGCAGACGCTCAGACTAGCCAGGAGGACTGTGCATTGCGGATCTGTGGAGAAGCGGTGCGTGGAGTTATCACGGGCAAGTGAGGTCATTTTCCCGTCAATGCGGGCAAACTGGATACCGGCGCGTTCCAGGTGCGGTTCGACGAGGTTAAGGAAGGAGGTCCATTGACTGAAGACGACAGTCTTCGTGCCCTCAGCCTGTCCCTGCGCGGTGAGGATCTTGACAAGTGCTTCGATTTTGCTGCTTGGATTATTGGGGTCTGCGTTGATTGCTTCGTCTGTGTCCCCCTCGCCCATCTCTGCGGCTGGCTCGACGAGCGTAGTGTTATTTTCAATCTCGGTGCGGCACATGGGGCATTTGTGTTGGCGGTCAATGACCTGTTCGATGCATTCGCGGTCGAAGGCATGCGCGCAAGCGGTTATGACGGGGTGTTCGAGGATGTCCAAGCAGATAGGACAGGTCTCTTGGCTTTCAATGCGGATTTGGAGCATGTCTTGGAGGGCTTTGATGTTTTCGGGTGTGAGAGGTACAACTTGCTGCTTGTCTAGGAGGGCGGCGAGTTTGTCGATACGGGTTTTGGCTAGGGCCCAATGGTTACAGACTTGGCGGAGGCGGAGGATGACTTCGAGGAGGTGGGAGTAGGTTGTACCGGTTTTGTCTTTGGCTTTCATATCCTGGAGCATACCTTTGGCTTCGGATCTGCTCTACTGTCAGTGATATAAGGAGAGGAAAGTGGACGAGAGACACGTACTGGAACATATCATACTTTTCCTGCTCATGGGCATGGAACTTGATGCGTAGGACTCGAGATGTGAGCGACGGCAGGCGCAAGTTCACGAAACTCATATCTTTCCTGCGGCGTAGACAGATGGTACTCATTAACGCCTGGAGCAGCAGCCGTGAGTCCGGATCATCAGACATGAGAGGTCTAATAAGCACGCTGCTAAACACGGGAAACTCTTCAAGTCCGCCGGTAAGCTTTAGGAAGCGGATTTGAGAGTAGAGATCTTTGAGAGTGTTTATGATGGGTGTTCCGGTCAATGTCCAACGAGACTCAGCTAGTAGGGCACAGGCCGCCGAAGAGCCTTTCGAACGTGGATTGCGAATTGTATGGCCCTCGTCGAGAACTACCCGGCGCCACTTCAGCGAAAACAGGCCCTTTGATGGGGTAGCCTTGCTCTCAGGCTTGTACTCCATTGCAAGAGCGCCGTAACTTGTGACCACCACATCGTACTCGCCGAGCTTCGCAGCCTCTTTTTTTCCCGCTCCATGGTAGATAAGAACACGCGGAGTCTGGTCCGGATGAGTGTGGTCTTGGATCTGGTTTCTCCAATTGCTCATCACACCTACAGGAGACACAATCAGAGTAGCTTTGGAGGAGCCTTCTTCTTTGGGTTCATTGTTTGATAAGATCAAAGAGATGATTTGGATTGTTTTGCCTAAGCCCATGTCGTCAGCTAGGATGCCTCCCCTAGCAAGAGGCGGTGGTATGGGAGTAGAAAAGTTTGTGGCAATATTGGTAAACTTGTTGCCTTGCTTCTTCCATAGCTGCACCACGTCGTCGGCGCCTGTTGGCAGCTGTGGGTTTTCCTTGTTGATCATCCATGCCAGGCCTTGACGTTGATATGGCAGAAGGGTCGTGGAAAGGGGTGGAGGGTTGTCCGCCAAAGGCATATTCTCAAGGTCAGACTCCTTGAGCCCGAAGCTCTCAGCCACCTGGCCGATCTCTCGAGGGTTAAATGTACTGCTTTGGCTGATAAGCTCCTGCATGCTCTCTTCTCCAATAACTTCATCTCCGAATGGCCGGGAAAGGGCAGAATAGCCCAGTTTAGCTGCAGCCCCCAGGAGCTGGCCCGTTCGAGCTTTCTTAGCAGCTTCTTTCGCAGCCTTCTCGCGCTCTTTTTCTTGCTTCTTCGCTTCACGCTCGGCTTGTTTGAGATGACTGAGTGGTAGCTTGTCTTGTTCCATTTTGCGTTTCAAGGCTTCTCGCTTCTCGGTCTCACTCGGGCCATACAACCTCAACACGATTGGGCAGTCGTACGCGCCAATAACTCCGGTCAATATACCCTCAACTTCCAACAGTTTATTGTCCTGGAGCAATTCGAGAGTGTTCAGATCACGCCCGGCCTCAAGTTATCCTCGGTTAGGGAAACACTTACCATATAACCCGCGAGCTTTGCAGCCATATTCCTCGGAATATGGCCAATCTGCGCTCCCATGACGTTGTCGACACGAATGGCATTCCTGTCGTATTGATTCCGCGGCTCTCTTTTCAGGACGACGTGCTCTCCAATCGTGGCCTGTCCTCTATAGTAGCGAACACCCACAATCTTCGTATTCACGTCACCGTAATGCAACTGTGCAGAATCCGCGTCGCCACCATCTTGAGTTGCTGGTATCAAGTCTGCAGCTTCAGCATCTTCTTCATCGTCCAGAGAAACGTGCGATGCATGGGTGAGAGGAACGAAAGTTGTATCCTGACCGAACCGCTGGCCAGAGATACGTGGATATTTCGGAGGAGCCGAGGGGCCAACTTCATGCACCTCATCAAGGCTCACGTCAACGTACTGTATAGGCCTCTTTCCCGATGGAGTACCCATAGTGGCGGGATTCAAGGTGTTGGTTGGTCAGGGGAGGCTATACTACTTGGGTTGGAACAGGCGCGTCTTGACGCGTTGCTAAAGTTCCGAGAGACTAGAGACGCAGATCTTCATTAACTAGCCTTATTAGGGAAGGCGCGGCTGACTTACTCACTTTCGCGACCTAGCTTGCCAGTCTTTTAGCTGGGTACTAACTTCTACGTCACTCATAAATCACCCGTGGATTCCAATATTACATGAAAGTGAGAACTGAGAACAAAAAAAAAGTGAACATATTTACGGACTGTCGGGTTCGATAGAGCCTTGGGCTCAGAATTTCTTCACTCTCTAGATACTCAGCAGACGGGAGTGTGGAACTCTGATGTATCATTGATCATAAATAGGCTATTCTAAAACAGGAAGCTTCACCAGACCGCCCGCGGCCCTCATCAGGAACGTGGCAGAATAGTGGGGCGGGTCAAAGATCCAAGTGTTGCTTGTCGCCTCCTTAATCGGATTCGTATAGTCTGGCAACCACTCCTATTGCTGGCCAAGAGCCAGTCAAGATGACCATACCTGGACTGAAGCCTGATACAACTTGATGGTACCTATTATGCTCATGGGAAGAAGGACGGTTGCTTACAAGGCGGGACAAAGGACCCCTGGGCCCGCTGCAGGTTCCGCCGATAGATATGTTCTTTTTTCCGCCCTGCCTTCTTTTCTTCTGATTGACCGATGGCAGCGGTGGCGTTCGGGGTCGTCTCGGACCAGGTACCTGAGTTGAGAATCTTCTTCTTTTCCCTTACGGAGTACAACAATCTTTTCCCCTCAAGCTCCCTCGGCCAGCTTTTCTATACTCGCTTACTTTTGCGCCTTGTTTACCCATGGCGGACCATGCCTTCATTCGCTACGAGCAAATACTTCTTGACACTCGCAACCGCCTGCATTCGTTGATTCGACGAGGAGACGTGAAACCATGGCTGCTATGGCATGCCCTGCTTCCTATGGTGCTACCCTTTGTGGCGCTTCTTATCCCTCGGCGCAAAGGTGGCTGGTTTATACGACCGATTCTCTTTTCCGCTACGCTTAGCATAATCATCGAGATTATTCTATACCGCCGTGCACTACTAGGAGCCAATGGATACATGGTTGGGTTGATTATGGTATGGTGGCTTGTATGGAGTTCGACGCTTCTCTTCTTCAACGATATCGAGCGGGACTTTCGCCGGATTGAGCGAATACAGACCATCAAGACCAAGAGCCTTACTGGCCAAGGGCATGGTCATCTCAATGGCAACAATTCCAAATCTGATGTGGTTAACTCTTTAGTATGGCAGCCTTATCCTCAGTCGTTCGTACACCGTCTAGGTTGGACAGCCGCTCTGTTGCTGAATTTGAGAGGCCCTGATTTCAGCTTTAGGATCTCCTCTCTCGATCCATTGCCTTTTCAGCTCGCTTCGAAACAGCACACTGCCGCCAGCAAACATTCATACACTAGCGCAAAAGCACAATTACGCGCCGCTGCTGCGCGGTTTCTCATCTCCTATTTGGCTATAGATGTGCTTAAGCTGATGTTCATCCGGGATCCGTACTTTTTTGGCACCCTCTCTGCCCCAGCTCCGTTTCCGTTCAATTACCTCTCAGCGGTTCCATGCATGGTGCAAGTATATCGCTTTCTCGCGACTGGCATGGGCGTTTACTTTGCTCTTCAGTTTGTGACTCCACTCAACCCGTTGTTTTTCCTTGGCCTTTCCACGGCTTTTCCCAATGCGATCCGCGCATTCACAGCAACACCTCTCGATGCCACTTGGCTATATGCCGACCAATTCGGCCCTATCATAGCTATCCTGGACAGTGGCCTCGCCGGCGCCTGGAGCACCTGGTGGCACCAAATGTTCCGGTTCGGATTTGTCTCCACAGCCAAATGGATCATGTCGTTTTTGCCGCACGCCATTTCCTCTCGTCGTATTATACGACGTGTAATCATCACAGTCGTCGCCTTCGGTATTAGTGGCTTGATGCACGCCTCGGGAAGTTACACTCAGCTCGGCGACACCTGGCCCATTGGCCCTTTTCTCTTCTTTATCCTTCAAGCTGCTGGAGTGTTCATTCAAGATTCATGCTCTCGCATCCTAGTACCAGTACTTACGACTCAAGGCATCCCGCCTGCGTGCTGGCTACGTAGGCTTGGTAATGGAATCTTCGCCGTTGGCTGGCTGCTGCTTACTGCGAGTTTTATTGCCGATGATTTTGCGAAGGGCGGGCTATGGTTGACTGAGCCTTTGCCTGTTAGCCCAATCCGTGGACTCATGGGCCGAGGCTGGCTCTGTTGGCGGACTGCCTGGTTCGAGTATTATGATGATGGGACTTTTTGGGGGAGTGGTATACGTATTATATAAGCGCGCTTGGATATATACAATCTGCCTCTTCCAAGTTTGAACCTTCCGGTGTTTCTATATACCACACCAAATAGTATCGGAGATTTTGGGTACACCAGTTAGAGCTCTAGAAAGAAGTCTCATGATTCTGCCATGGAGTTGCCATGACTCCATGGTAATGAAAAGTTCATATGGTACCATACCTACATGCCTCAGCGTGGCAAAAGAGGTAATATCAAACATGGTAATTCGGCCATCATATCCTCATGATTTCGCCATTATTCCGCTACTAGGTATACTTCTCGATGATCAGCGCTCGGGCTTTTTACTCGGAAATCTTTTCACGAATCTTTTCATGAATTACATCTAGACAGTTCTTATCAACCGTTCGATCCTCTACCGATTACTATCCAACCCTTGCTAAGTGGTAGTTAGATGAGAGTATCTGTATACCCAGTACTATATAGTAGATTACTCCCTTAACAATTACTCCTCCTCCTCCTCATCAGTATCCGGCTCAATATTGAGCGTCGGCATCTCATCATCGCTATCTTCATCCATCACCAAGGGCTGCGTAGCGGTTTGCACTTGAGAAACCGAGCTCTGCCCCGCAGTAACAGGCCCTGAACTACTTGAAGCTACAGCATCGACATCGACATCGAGCATGGACGTGTCTTCCTTGAAAGAACTGGACTGTATCGTCGTTGTCGAAGAGACAGGCTCGGATTGACCAAGAGGGGATGTAGATACTGTGCTCTCCACTCTTGCTTTTTTGATTTGGACTCCACCGGGATTGGTCGAGGTGTTTGATGAGATTAGGGGTTGTTGAGTTTGAGTGGCTGGATCTTCGGTGTACGTGCGTTTGCTTAATGATGTGGTTGTTGTTGTGATTGCGGATAATTTCGAGTCGACGAGAGCCTGGAGATTTGGTGTCGTGGATTGTTGTAAGAGTCCAGTCGATTCGGGGAGGGTCTCAGAAGCCGAGGCAGGGTCGATGATTTCTTCCTCCTCCTCTTCATCATCTTCTGGAGCAACATACTGTCCAATAGCGTTCGTGTTTGTGAGAACGGGCATCCGCGGCCGGATAAGCGCTTCAACGTCCATTTCGGAGGCGTAACTTCTTGCAAGGAAGGGGACAATGCTGATATTTGCTCCGCGGCCGCGCGCCGCGGGGAAGGGGTTGAGAACACTGGCAAACATTGCGTCCTTGGACGAAGTCATGATAATTGTGCGGTCGATTTCAGCGCGGAGCGGGGGCGCGAGGTACTCTGTGCGTAAGTTGGTGAGGATCGCTGGGAGGAGAGTTGCGGCTGCGCGAGCGAGTCTAGGGAATTCGCTGGAGCTGGAAGGGTTAATCAACTGGCGGCTTTGTTTGAGATTAGGGTTGAGGAAGGAGTCCGCGTTTATGGCGTTGACGTTGGTCTTCGATTTGCCCTTTGAGTCTGAGGTGGAATCTTTTGTGCTGGTTTCGGCGTCCTGCGGAAGAATGTCGGTGCAGCTGGTTCGTACTATGTCGTTGAGAGACGAGACGTTCTTCTTGGTCATGGAAGGGCCGATACGGCTGATCAGGACGTGGATTAGGTTGTAGACTGAGGCCCTGATTTTCTTGTTAAACTTTTCTGCGCGGAAGACCCAAAGTGTTTGCTCTAGGATGGTCTGGGCGATTGGAAGAGCAGCGGTCTCTAATGTATTGACCAAAGTACGAAGGAGTCTCATACAAGCTGCATGAATGCGAGGCAATTCTGTCAAAAGATGCTCCCTCTCTGTACGACTGATAGATGGGTTGGCCTGCACGCCGCCAGCATCGGATGGCACGGTCACTGACATCAGCCGCGCCGTCAAATCGAGGATAGACCCGACTGGAATGGAGACAGTGGTAGCCGTAGCAGTTTTCAAGAAGGTGGAGAGCATGCGCAGCAGCATAAGCAGTCTATCAACACCAGAGTCGAGTCCCCGCCATCCCGTTAGGCCAAGGGCATCCGCATTAGGACTACCTACCTCACTGCTATAGTTAATGGAATGCCCCAGTTGCTGTCGTAATGACGGGTCGACGGACTCCCACTGTTCTACAACAGCTCTCAGAACATGATTCGCAGTCGCATGAATCGAAGTAATTGTCATACGGCAGGCATTCTTCCATTCCTCACCGCCAGTATTCTTCGGCGCGCAATGATGGAGAGCGATAAACAGCTGTTCGGAAATGTCCACTACCGATTGTGAATGAGATGCTGACTTTGAGCCGACAAGGGCCTGGAGGACGCTGTGAATTTGCGCGGTAAACGGCCGGAAGATAGTCGGATGCCGTGCAATGAGCTCGGAATAGGCGCAAAGAACAACTTCGAGAAAAGGCGAGTTCGGCTTCAGTCTCCGAGTGGGCTCAGACGGGGGCTTTACCGAGACAAGGTTCAGAGTAGATGTGACAAATCCGGGTAGCGACGGCGTTGTGATTTCGCGGACCAGCGTGGGATACTGGTAAGTTAGATGGAAGATGCGAGTTAAGGTAATCACGGCCATGGTCTTTGTAGAAGTAGGATCGGGTTTCTGCTCGAGAATATATCAGCATTGAGTCGCATAGATAGGATCTTCAACGGATCGAGTCTCACATTCAAGATGCCCATGAGACCCCGAACGAAAGGCTCGCTACCGCGCAGAATCTCCCATTGACCTGCTTCCACCACGGCCTTGATCAGAACGACGGCAGTCCATCGGCCCTCAAACGACCTGTCCTGCAGAAGACTCGAGAGACGAGTTACCAACTTGTGTACCTGAACCGCATGATCCGAGTCCGTCCTGCCCATCCTTTGCGACTGAGGGGCAGAGAGAAGCTCCCCGCATTCTGAAATGGAGGCCGCGAGCGAAGCAGCAATGGCGGGAAGTTGCTGAACTGGTAGACTGGTCAGTCGATGGTTGACGGCACGGAGGGACATGATCAAGTGCGCCATGGCGTAAACCGAGAGCTAGCGATTCGCTAGCCGCTGTCTAATCGCGAACTTGAAGCCCGTGATGCCTGGAGAACTTTTCCTGTCGGAATCGAAAATGGTAGAAAAAAAAAAAAAAATTAAGCTTGGGCCACATGAAGCCTCGGGACGGTAACGTGATACCGTACGCAATACAGAAGGGTGGATCTGGTGGTAATTCTTGGTCTTTCTTGGTCGAATCACGATTGCGATCATCAAAGACGCTGCCTCCTGGTTCCTGGGGAGCGTCGTCGTCGCCCTTGTCGTCAGTCGTGCCAACTCGGTTCCCTCTTTACTAGTTTTCTCCTGCTAATTCGAGCCTCGGGGTGGGCGCTCGTGATGGACCTTGTTGTCACTTAATTGCCCTTCCCCGGATTCTGACGCTGTTGTGTGCCCCTTCATCCCTCTCCATTCCTCACCATGACTGTAAGTGTATCTCGTCAACCTCCGCTTGTACCTCTTCAGCCCCGCGGTGCTGCGCTTCGCAGGCTTATTGACACATGCCTCAGGCGCGAGAATCTGAGAAGGGCCATCGCTACATCGTTGCCCTGGATAGCGCTCGATCTCACAACAAATGGGACGAGGTTCCTGAGCTGATCCGCAAGGTCACAAAGCATGCCTCTCATCTAACCTGTAACTCTAGTCCTCGTCCCTTATATCAATCGAACACATTGTCTGACGCAACTGAGTATAGGTTATCTGGATGTAGCTAGGGCCGAGTATCAGATCATCACACATATTCACAAGAGGCCAAGCTCACCGTCCACACGCCCTCCCTCATCTTCCGGTCTACCAGGATTAATTCCCTCGCTTCTCTCCACCATAGACAAGGCAGACGCCACGCCACAAGAGTTGTTCCAAGCACAGGTCTGTTTAGGATGGGTACACTACACGCTCAATGAACCGGGCTTGGCCGCAGCTCGCCTCCCAAAGGACTTTGGTGATGAACTGAACACCTTGGTATCGGCCGGGGAGGAGCTCACATCATGGACCAAAGTGTGCCTTGTCAAGGGCTGCTATATCAAAGGTGCTGCACAGCAAGCGGTTTCCGGTGCTCAGGATGCGTTGCATACTTTCAATTCTCTAGCGCCATGGCTAGGAAGTCAGAACTATTCGACGTCATCGACCCAGTTCTTGTATTGGTCCGAGAAAGTATTAGCAGATGGTGCATTGATTGCAGGGGATGAAGTCCAAAAAACCATTGCGGATCCGAGTCCGGAGTTTGTAAGGGTTGCTCTAAGCCTCTTCCGGGCATGGTCGTCCCATCCCGCCGTGAAACCCGGGGCATCTCCTCATGGCTCACATACTGAAAGCTCATCAGAGCCAGTTCCGAAATCATCCATCTGGAAATCATACTACGACCTTCTCTCTGCCATCCTTCAGCATGGCTTGCCATATAATGCACCTACCGGTAGCCCTGAACGACCACAGCTTGCCGACGAATTGCGCCGCGTGGAGGCTATATGCGAGGCCAACCTTCTCCGCGATGTGAAATTCCCTACTGCTGACTCGGGCAATAAGAAAATCGAGGTCTGGGTGGAGCAAGTTATCAGGAACTGGAAGGAACTTTGCGGACCCCATTGGCATGATGAGGAACTGGGAGCAGGTGGGCAGCATGCCATAGGGAAGAATGTTCTTGATGTATGGGCCGATTGCGAGCAGGATAAAGTGTTCGAAATGCTAACTGTCTGGTTTAGATTCTCTACCGAGCTGCGACCAGGACATACCATTCTTTCCTCATCCTAAGACGTCTCTTCCACGTTCATTCAGCACTTGCAGAATTCGATCTTGCTTTTAAAGCACTCGACTCGTATATTGAGATTGTCTCGGGTGCCAAGGAGAGGGCTGAGAAGTCAGTGCCCAATGAAGAGCTTGAGGATGATGGTGTTTTTATGCGCACCCTTTCCGAAGGCATTACTATCCTTTGTTGCTTCGGCTCGAACAAAGAAGCGGAAAAGGCAAGGGATCTCATTGCAATTCTGAAAAAATACATCAGCAAATATGTCAATGACCACCAGCAAGGGCATGAGAGGACAATGGTCGTTGAGCCGCAAACTGCTTCACTAGCGGATATTAGTGCCACATACCGTGCTATCGGCATTGGTCTCGCAAACTGGGCAAGCTGGACCCCAGTCAATGAGGACAGAGATGACATTCGAACAGAGGCTATCGAGTGTCTTGAGCGAAGCATCGCTCCCGAACTCGGCGACCAGTTCAATTATTCCTCTATTTACACACTGGCTCTGCTCCTGGCAGAAAATCGTGACCTTGATGCTGCAATTGACTATGTCAAGTCAGCATTGGCGTCCAATAAAGATCCCGAGGCCTCCGCCAGCTTTAGCCGCGAGCGAGACTTGATACCTCTTTGGCATCTCCTGGCTCTTCTTTTGAGCGCCAAGCAAGAATTCGATATCGCAGAACGCTCATGTGAGGCTGCCTTTGAACAGTTCCCCGCTGCCGCCACCTCCCTCGCCGATAGGGAAAGGCGACCTTCAAAACACCAGTCAATTGCGCAAGAACAATCGAAGCTACAACGTGCACTAATCGGCCGATTACGGAATCGAGAAAAAGAGCGGATCATTGAGACTCGCATGACCCAGCTCGCATTTGTGGAGGTCCTGGAAAGCCCCGAAGCAGCGCTCAATCATAGCGAACAACTTCTCGGCCTTTTTGGTACTCTGTTCCAAAATCTGGACCTTGAGACTGAGGGGCAAACAAGGACAAAGACAGATCAACTTCCGCGTCCGAAAAGCGCCTCTGGAACAGTCAGAAGCTTCCGCGGCAGCATCTTTGGGCGACACAAGGCCTCTCGTACTCCCGATCAGAAAGCCCCCGAGCTTAAGGCAGACTCTCCAAGCCACTTGGCCCTTCATCCTAGGTCGTACAATCTCGATGGTGCGCCCGCTATACAAGAGACTGACGGAAACGGCTCAACTACCGATGACGTTCATTCTTCGATAGGTCGGTCCGACTCTCGGAAACTGCGTAAGCGCGGCAGTACTCTCAGAAAACCAGACATCGCCCTAGATCAGAATGGGGGTCATATGAATGGTGATAGCGCAAATTACCATAACTCCGAAGACGGGGCGCCGAACGGATCTCGCCCAGGGGAAGAGGCACCTAGCTTAGACACTGTCCGTAACGCAGTTTCACAGGCGACAGGCCAACCACAGAGTGCGAAACACACGCTGAGCCCCGTTGCCCACAATATCAAGCACACACACCTAGAGCCGCCCGCTGGCCACGAAAAGCAGCCGCCTGAGCAGGATATTCGGCTGCCGACGTCTTACGGCTTCGAGTCTCCAACAGGAGCGTTGGCCAAGTTCCCGCACATTCAAGCCCAAAAGCATGCCTTGTGTATCCTAGCCAAGATATGGCTCCTCATCGCTGGACTTTACCGGCGAGCCTCCTCCTTTGATGACGCTGCAGAGGCATGCGAGGAAGCTTCGAGGCACGTGAAGCGGATTGAAACACTCACAGCAGCGCAGGACGCCTCTGCTCGGTCATTCCGAGAACGCGGATGGGCAAACCCGAAGAGCTCCGACGAGCTCTGGGCTGATATCTACGCTGAACGTGGCCTTTTATTGAACATCCACTCGCGCCCGCATGAAGCAATAGAGCACTTCGAGGAGGCACTACTGTACAACCCCGATCATCCGAAGGCGACCATCAGCCTGGCGAATCTGCTACTGGACATCTGGGACCAGAAACTGCCCCTCCAACCTTCCGAGCCGGGGGTGGATGCAGGCCTGTCAACAATGACCCCTCCGCCACCTAAAGGCACCAAATCTAAACAGGGAAAACGCCTTAGTAGAGTTGGAGTCTCTGAGCCAGCCAAACCGAAAACTGAGAGCTCGAGCCTCGCCACCGAGGATGAAGACCCTAAGGTGATCAACCGCATCGCAGCTCGTGAGCGAGCTTATTGCTTGCTATCCGCATTGACCAAACGCGGAACATCCTGGGACAATTCGGAAGCTTGGTTTGCCCTTTCCCGAGCATACGAGGCCGTAGGTCAAACGCAGAAGCTGAAAGAGGTTTTGTGGTGGTGTGTCGAGCTTGAAGACCGCCGACCGATCCGTCACTGGTCCAACCTCGGCTCTGGTGTGTATGTTCTGTAGTTCAGCAAAATCTTGTCCTAGTTCTTTCCTCCTTTCTTGGCCGTCTTCGATATTCTGGTTGGGAAGGGGTTGGGTTCAGATTACCTCAAAACGTTGTTGCATCTTCTGCCATTTGCTGTTTTGTCAATACGATACCTTTTTGCCGTATCGCATCCATTTTTGCGAATCTAGACGACTACTAATCTGCACTGTACAAGAAGCACAATTACTGTAAATATATCTTTATTGTTGATTGGAAACGGAATAGGGACACCTTTATTTACACATTGCTCACAAATACACCGATAATCATTGGTCTAGCTAGATGAGAACGACGTTGCCAGCTCACCGGGGAGCAGCAACTGGGGTCCAAGCTGTATACTTGGGCTTGACACTAAAGGGCATGTCAGTTTGTCATGAACAGATCTTGCAACCTTTGGGTAACGGGGCAGGAAATGACGGTGTACTCACGTAGAATAAGTCTTGAAAGCCGCACGGCTCAGAGTAAGAGTCGGCCTGTGCTCTGTGAGCTCCCAAGTACGCTGACCAGTCTGCAGTAGCTTGTCGCCGGTGGGGGGAGTGTCGACCATGTACGAGATCCAGGCGTGCCTGCAACCAACAAGTCAGTAAACGGCGCCCTCGCTAGTCAAGAAATCCAGATATCCTTACCAGCCAGGCTCGATCTGTGAAGGGTCGTATTCAATCTCCTTGTAGTCAACCCAGCGGGTTCGGACTTGCATCACAGTCAGCCTCATTCAAGCTCGAGTCTCGTCTCATGGTGGGTCGGTTCAGTGCCGAACTCACGGGGAAGCTCCTCCTCCACGTTCTCATAGAACTTGTTGCCGAATCGATCGGTGCCAATCAGGGTACCAGCTTTGGTATCACCTGCAATTGACTCGCGTTAGTCAATACTCTTTCTTGAAGTCCCTCACGCAGTACAAAGAGGGGTTGAGTAGCAGAGTATGGGGGTGGGATCTCGTACCCATGTACTACATGCCGCGTAGCTCCGGATCAGCATCAATAGCCCAAACAGACACTACTCAATCCAGTTATCCCGAACAAGGGCTGCATACCTGCATTTGGTGGCCATATTCCTATACGACGAAAGGGTAGAGGTTAGCAATCCTGCGGCAACAATGGGCCCATGTTCCTCGGTCGCGGAATCGCGCACCTTGAAGCCAATCCTTCGCAGATTCCGCAATGTACGGAGAATAGTCGACATCTTGGACGAAGTGCCGCCGGGGGACTTGGTTCGCTAATGTAGAGGAATGGTATGTCGTCGTCGCTCTGTGTCGTCGGTCTTTCCGTTCGGAGGTTGTGTCGTCCGAATGTGGTCTAGTGGAATCCCAATGTTTGTTCAGTTTGCATGGCTGTGCTTCCGCCGCGGAGGATGAAAGCCCCAATTCTTGACAGTCGCAATCGCGATTGCTGTTCTCTGATTTCTGGTCGTTTCAGGAGTGTGTGGCGCTTGGATACTGCGCGCGCGATGTTTGGACGTGTTGGCGGGCATACTATCCGCTGCGCTATGCGCAGCCCCATTGTTCGGCGGAAATTCTGGGAGCGCAGCTTTTCAACACATACTCCTCATGCTGCGACTACCGTGCCTCCGTCAAGTGCGTCGCCGCTAGGGAGCATTACGACTGAGTTGGACCGGATAGCGCCGTGCTTCGAAGTCCCAGCGTCTCGGATATCGATCTTAGACTCTCCCGCCAGCTTCTACAAGACACTTAAGGTTTGAATCCTCCTAAATAATACATACACCCAAATGGCTAATGTGAGGTCTGTATGCGGCGATAGGACAAAATCCGCAGAGCCAAGACGCGCATCTACCTCTCTACGTTATACATCGGCAAGACAGAATATGAATTGATTGAAACTCTGAACCAAGCTCTTCGCGATAACCCCGAGCTGCGGGTCTCGATTCTTACGGACGCTTTACGGGGTACTCGAGAGACCCCGAATCCGTCTTGCGCTTCCCTTCTGGCGTCGCTTGTTGCCGAGCATGGGCCGGATAGGGTGGATATTCGCATGTTCCATACGCCTAATCTGACGGGGTTGCGGAAGAAATGGATTCCCAAGCGGATAAACGAGGGCTGGGGCCTTCAGCACATGAAGCTATATGGGATAGACGATGAAATCATACTATCTGGGTAAGTGTCAGCTATACAAATGGGCAGGATGATTACTGACTCGCGCAGTGCAAACCTCTCGCGGGATTATTTCACAAACCGTCTAGATCGGTATCATGTCTTCAACTCAAAGGAGCTCACAGACTACTATGCGCGCATCCATAACGCAATCTGCGGGGTCAGTTTCAAGGTGCTTCCTGACGCTGATAACGCCGCTGGATATATACTAGACTGGCCCAGCGCCAATGGTGCTTCTTCTCCCCTCGACGATCCAGAAGAGTTCATTGCGTATACCACAACCGTACTCAAACCCCTTATACAACCAACATCCAACCAAGCCGCGGTTGAGCCGAAATCGCCCAGTCAGACTTTCGTGTACCCCGTCGCACAATTCACTCCTCTCCTGAAACCTGATACCTCAACCGAGTTTCCTGCTGTTATAACAATCCTCCGCCTCCTCTCTGACTCCTCCGCCTTCTCCGGCGCTCGCTGGCTCTTCACCGCGGGCTACTTTAACATACACCCTGTCCTCTCCTCTCTCCTAATAGCAAGCACATCCGCCTCGGCCTCTCACGCCTCAACCCGCGGCACCGTCCTGACTGCCTCTCCCTGGGCCAACGGCTTCTACGGCTCCCCTGGCGTTTCAGGCATGCTCCCCGCAGCATACACACACCTCTCAGCGCGCTTCCTCGATCGCGTCGCTCTCGCTCAGCGCACAAACTCCATCGAGCTCAAGGAGTGGCGCCGCGGCACGGTCGGTGAACCTGAGGGATGGACATACCACGCCAAGGGCCTATGGGTGACGCTTCCAAAGGAGGAACACCCAAGTCTAACCTTCGTCGGGAGCAGCAACTACACGAAGCGCAGTTATGGCTTGGACTTGGAGGTCGGCGCGCTGGTTGTCACTGGGGACGAGGAATTGAAGAAGAGGTTAGGAGCTGAGACGGAGTGGTTGCAGACGCACGCCAGTGCGATTTCGCGAGAGGACTTACGGAGGACAGAACGGAGGGTTGGCTGGAATGTCAGGCTTGCGATGTGGATTGTTGAGAAGGTTGGTGGTGCTTTATGATATACGCTCTGTGGACCTGGGAATCAGGGCTGTATTTATAGATAGACTTGTACTTATATGATGAGCTCGAAGAGTTGGCCTGTAGTAGAGATTGGATTCTTCTTAACTTCTATAATTGAGACCAAAGAAATCTGGGGATGAAAGGTAATGCATGCGTCAAGGGGATATTCAGTCAACTTTTAGATGCAAGTCCGATCTATGATATTAATTACCTCAAACCTAACGCCGTAGACAGTGTTTTAACCAATCCAGACTCGTGACCGTAAAGAAAATAGGGGATATCGTTATGCTCATCAACAAGCTTTCTCCGGAGACCGAAAGGAAGCAAATCATGCCCTGCCCGGAACTCTTCCAGGAACTCTTGCAGGCCCCAGGCCCTGTCTGACTTCATCCAGCATGCGAATACCAATCGCCTCGTTGCCGTTCTTACCACGCTTGGCCTTTGCACCCTTCCGCTTTGCCTGTGAACTTGTCTTGTCGTCCCATCCGGACAAGAAGTCATCCATGATGTTGTTGAAGTCATGGCGCGGCGCGACTGCGTTGCCGTTCGCATCAATAAGACTTGGTGCTTGTGAAGAGGCGGTCGAGAGGTCGGTCATGCCGGTCATACCACTAACCATGGACACGGAGTCATCGTATTCGTCTTCTTCATCGACGGCATAAAGTGCTTCAACGCGGTCGAACCGGTCGTCAAGGAGACGGTGGCCCTCGGTACGGGCTAGGGAGGAGGAGGTCATGGAGTAGGCAGAAGGGTTGGTGAGGGCGCCCTTGCGCTTCTTGCGGCGGATCGGGGTACCGCCAGCTGTGAAGACCGTTGAAGCGAGGGTGCTGCGCTGTTCGGAGGGGACAACGCTGGCCGGGGCGGCGGGGGTAGCTTGTGTCTTTCCGGTTTTCTTGAATTTGGCGAATTCACGCATCCAGTCCTGGTCGTCGGGGTGCATGTCGGGAGCTGGGGCGTCATGTTCAGGAAGTTCGCCCGGAGCGACGTCTTTCTTCGTTTCTTGCTTGATGGATGCGGTGTTACTTGGCTGGTTGGGGGCTTTCTCTGTAGCGTCGGACTCCCACCCTTCGTCTTCGTCGTCCTCATCGAACAGTGTATCTTCCCAGTCACCAGGGTCAATCTCCTCCGCGTGTGAAGTCAGCTGACCGAAGAAATCGTCGTCCTCTTTCTCGTCCACATATTCCTCATCGTCGAGGGCCTCGAGGACCTCCCGAAGTCGGGGATCCATATCCGGCTGGAACCCCGCAATGGCATCCGGGACGTTCTGCTGGTCCTGGTATGTCGGCTTTCGGGAGTAAGTAGAGGCGGTAGAGTATGCTCCGTAGGCGGAGCCCACTGTGCTGCGGCCATCCCAGGTGCTCCTTGTGTCCTCGTCATCCAACGAAGTCTGCGCGAGCGCATCTTCCAGCTTCATGGATTTGCCCTTGCCTTTGTTCTTGCTGGCGGCTTCGACAAAGTACGAGTCCCCACCTCCGGTACCAAGTTCGCGCAGATGTTGCATATAATCATATTTCGAGTCGTCGTAGTAGATGCCATAGTTGGCTGCCTCACCCTCGTTCTTTCGAACAGCACCGGATCCGAATTCGCTCGCGAGATCGTCTAGGTTCTTGGAACGTTTCGCCGAGGTGGCTGGATCTTCTGAAGCAGGGCCGTATACCGGGTGAAGGACACGGTCGTCGGCTGAGGGGTCGTGGATGAGGGGGTCATGTTGGGATCGATGGAAAAGCTGATAAGTGGTAGCATTTTTCTTATCGCTAAAAAATCATTAGTTACTGAAGTGGAGGCGAACTACTGTAGGATGAGCAACATACATCCACTGCTTTCGGGGAGGCATCTTGAAAACTCGTCTTCCGGACAATGAGGGGTGTCCAAAGATAAGAAAAAAAAACCGGAGATAAAGTGAGGCTATCCAAAAAAAAATTGGTGGGTCACGTGTCAACCCCTCCTTCTGATAACAGCGAGAACACAGTGCGAGACAAGGCTGAGTAAAGAAGACTGTCTCTATGGCGTAGACTATTACTATACATAGGCTTACTGGCCAAGTCTATATTATTCGATCTTTTCTCGAATTTCCATAGCGTTGCAAATAGTTAGAAAAACTGGTGCTGAGTCAGCGTCCGCGGGGCTTTTTCTAGCAGGTCAAAATTCCATTAGAAATCCAACTTTCTTCAACACACTCACTTCCCACCGTCACCATTATATCGATTCAAGATGGTGTTGGCAAAATCCAAAAACTCCGTGGGGCTCGGCCAGAGCCTCATGAACGATCGGTTCGGTAAAGGCAAGGCCTCGAGCATGAAAAAGGCGTCGCATAATGCCGCCATCGCACGCAAGGACATGAATGGCGAAACCTACATTACCCCGGGCTCCAAGGAGGCATCATGGGTCAAAATGCGCAGTATCACGGAGCAGGCAGCCCTTGACGAGTTTTTGACGACTGCCGAACTTGCCGGTACCGATTTCACGGCCGAGAAGATGAACAACGTCCAGATTATCCATACCGATCAGAAGAATCCTTACCTGCTTTCTGCCGCCGAAGAGAGATCCGCTATTCGGAAGCACAAGAAGAACAAGGGCCGACTTACGGTGCCGCGTCGCCCGCATTGGGACCAGACAACGACCCGCAACGAATTGGATACTATGGAGCGTGAGAGTTTCATGGACTGGCGTCGGGGGCTCGCGGAACTGCAGGAAAACAACGACTTGCTGATGACGCCCTTCGAACGGAACCTCGAAGTTTGGCGCCAGTTGTGGCGAGTTATTGAACGGTCCGACATCGTTGTGCAGATTGTCGATGCGCGGAACCCTCTGCTCTTCCGCAGCGAGGATTTGGAACTTTACGTCAAGGAAATCAACCCGAAGAAGCGCAATCTGCTGCTCGTGAACAAGGCCGATATGCTGACGGAGAAACAACGAGAGATGTGGGCGGACTACTTTGAGAATAATGGCATTAGCTTCCGATTCTTTTCCGCGCACCTGGCTAAGGAGAAAAACGAAGCGCGGCTGAATGAGAGCGAGAGCGAGAGCGACGAGGAGTCGTTGGCGGAAGAGACGGAGGCGCTTGATCTACAAGACGCCGGTGACAAGGAAGCAGACGGCGGCGTGGAACTCTCCAGCGAACCGGCAACCTCCAAGCGAACCAACATCCTCGACGTCGATGAGCTAGAAGAGCTGTTCCTCTCCAACGCCCCAGAAGTCCTTGAAGAGGAACCCAACGACGAAGATGACGCTCCGAAGCCACCAAGAAAGACAATCATCGGCCTTGTCGGTTATCCCAACGTCGGAAAGTCAAGCACAATCAACGCTCTTCTCGGCGCCAAAAAGGTCTCCGTTTCCTCTACCCCTGGTAAAACCAAGCATTTCCAAACCCTCTACCTCTCTCCCGAGATTATGCTCTGCGATTGCCCCGGTCTCGTCTTCCCCAATTTCGCCACAACAAAAGCCGAACTCGTCGTCAATGGTGTCCTCCCGATCGACCAGCAGCGTGAATTTACTGGTCCCGCCGGCCTCGTCGCCCAACGTATCCCCAAGCACTTCCTTGAGGACGTCTACGGCATCACAATCAACACACGCCCCGTCGAAGAAGGCGGCACAGGCATCCCTACAGCGCACGACGTCCTCCGCGCCTATGCGCGCGCCCGCGGGTTCGCAACAACAGGCCAGGGCCAACCCGATGAATCTCGCGCTGCTCGCTACGTCCTCAAGGACTACGTCAACGGCAAGCTCCTTTTCTGTCATCCACCGCCACCGCTAGACGGCCCGGACGGCGAACCCATCGACGAAGTCGAATTCAACAAAGACCTCTACGATTGGGAGCATCTCCCACCCCGCCGCCAAGCCATGCTCCTCGCCGCTCAACAATCGCAATCGTCTTCAAAGGCCCCCATCGAAGGCCTGAAATCTCGAACGGTCGACAAGGGCTTTTTCGGTCCCGGCGCGGAGTCCTCAGGCGGGAAACTCAACCTTCCCTTCAACGCTAAGTATACCGAGCAAGGGAAGGAGATCCGTAAACCGCTTACGGGACGAAAGGAGCGTATTATGGTTGCGCTGGAGCGCGGTGTCGATGTTTCGGAGGTGAGAGGGAACTCGAAGAAGCATTTCAAGGTTAAGCATAAGAATCAGAAGAAGGCGAGAAAGGGACCTGTTGATGATGACTACTGATTGCATACATTGATGGCATAGACGGGCTCGCTGGCGAGTGATACAGAAAAGCATTTTCACTGACCACTTGGACATTTGTTTATATCCTTTTTCGATTTTCTTTTGTCGTTTATGTCGATTATGATGACGACGGGCTTAGATGGCGTTGTGGTATCTATTAATCTGATCTGAAGAGCAAATATCCTTTACGATTATCGAATCTTGGTCGTGGTATTCAAATGGAAGTAGTTAAGCTTACGATTATATTATATACGAGACATGATTGCTGATCTGATATGGTTCGATATGGTTTCCCCTTATCAGGCTACCAATATGGTATATAATTCAAGGTAAATATTCATGCACATAACACAAACCCCACAGAGTAGATTCACAAAAAGCAGCTTATAGAGAACTCTTCGTCTTGGGGAATCCAGCCGCGGTCAGAATCCTATCGCTCGCCTCCCTCTGCCACGCCAACCTCTTCGCAACTTCGTCCTTGCGGACCTTGTTCTCCCTCTTTCCGAGCTGCTGCAGATGCACCTCATCCGGACCATCTGCAATCCTCAGCGTTCGGATCAACGCCCACAGGTATGCGAGCGGCGTATCCTGAGAGACACCGGCAGCGCCGTATGCCTGAACGGCGCGGTCAATGACCGTCAGTGCGGCTTGGGGCACGAGAACCTTGGCCTGGGCGATCTCCTTAAGGGCAGACTTGGCGTCACCCTGATCGATCTTGATAGCTGCGTTGAGGACGATGAGGCGAGCCGAGTCAATCTCGATGCGAGACTTCGCGAGCCATTCAATGATGACGCCGTGCGAAGCGAGAGCTTGTCCGAAGGGCTTCTTGCGCTCGTCGTTGATGCGAGCAATCAGCCAGTCAACGGCCCGTTCAGCCGCCCCAATGGTGCGCATCGCGTGGTGGATACGGCCGGGACCAAGGCGGCCCTGGATGATTTCAAAGCCGCGGCCTTCGCCGAGGACCATGTTGGCGACCGGGACGCGGACGTTCTTGAATGTGATGTGGGCGTGGCCATGGGGAGCGTCGTCATATCCGTAGACGCTGAGCATGCGGTGAATGGTGATTCCCGGGGTGCTTGCCGGGACGAGGACGACAGATTGCTGCTTGTAGGGGTCAGGGTTGCTGGCATCGTTCTTGCCCATGACGAGGTAGATCTGGCAGCGGGGGTCACCAGCGCCAGAGGACCACCATTTCTATGCTTCTTAGCCATGTGCTATAGTGGGTTTTGGAGACGACAACGTACAGATCCGTTAAGAACATACTCATTCCCCTCGCGGCGGATATCAAGCTGAATGTTGGTCGCATCACTAGAAGCGATATCCGGCTCGGTCATGAGGAACGCAGATCGGATCTTTCCATCAAGCAGGGGCGCCAGCCACTGCGCCTTTTGTTGGTCGTTACCATACTTGGCCAGGACCTCCATGTTTCCTGTATCGGGAGCAGCATTGTTCGTAGCCTATTACACATCATTCATATTAGCCTTCAACTCTAGATATCTGGAATTTAAAATGCGGGGAAGCCACTAACCTCCGAAGCGACCTTGCTCTTGCCCAGATACTCCGCCATCAAACCATACTCGAGATTGCTGAAGCCAGCACCCTGGGTGAAGTGGTTCTTGGGAAGGAACATGTTCCACAGACCGAGCTTGCGGGCCTTGGCCTTGAGCTCCTCCATGATAGCCGGGTTGGTGTTCCATCGCTGCTCACCCTGGCCGAGCTGGGCGGAGAAGAGGGCTTCGGCGGGAATACATTCTGTCTCGACGAATTCCTCGACCTAAGATCACATTCTGTTAGCGGTGTACTTGTCACAATTCGCTGGAACAGGGCTCGGCGTGTGAAGCGACGTACCAGGTCAAGGGTCTTCTTTGCCTTGTCGCTGACAAAGGGCTGGGCGATCACGGGGATTCTGGCGGAGGCAGACATGATGACCAGATATAACAAATGTGGGTATATGAGGTAGAGGACTTGTGAGGAGAGAGTCGAAAGTCAAGAGGGGGTTCGAGGAATAATAAGCGGCGCAAGACGAGCTCTCTCCACGATGTCCAGGCCGAACTGCAACTGGCAGTTGCGGAGAAGCCGAGGTCCATTTCGGCTGCGTCCCAACTACTGCATCCTTCCAGGGAACAAGCAGCACTTCCGATCATGCCATACCCCAGAGTACGAGCTCTACAGCAGCCAATCATTCTTTTTGTTGTTTTCTGTTTCGATGATCATCAGATTTATGGTCTGGTATCCCTAGGTTTTTTTCGGTCACTCGGTCAGAACCCCGATCTAGAACCGAGCCCACGACTGCACAACCTCCATACAAAAATAAAGACCGGAAATCGAATCCCATACAGTTCGATCCAACTCATATGAAAGTAATGCTTTAGAAGAATAGCAACAAAATCATTAGACAGACAGTTTCCGATCCCAATCCCGTCCGAACCATTCCCAGAACACATTCATTATTGTTAATTGAATTTCAACTCCCGCGACCTGCGCCAACCGGAAACATCCAAAAGAAAGCATCAGAAGAAAGAAGCAAAGAGGTCCAAATCATTATTAAGCGGTCTTCTCGATGTTCTCCGCGGCGGACGACTGCTGCTCGAAGTTCTTCTTGCCCAGCTTGGCGAACAGAGACTGGGGCTTTCCGGCACTACACACATCATATAGGTTAGCATTTCATGTACCATTTGAAACCCATCAAACAAGGACATACTTCTTAAACCGCTTCCCCTTGATATCGCTCAACTTCTTCGAGCAAGGGCTCATGAGTTCGTCTGAGGGAGAGACGTAGCTCGCTTGTTGTCTGTTACAATGTATTAGCACCTACTTCGATTCAATCCCAAGAGGGTATTGCAAAACAAGAGAAACCGCACTTGTCTTGGTTATCCAGCTTTCCCTGGAGGATCTGACGGTGGTAGTCCATGGAAGTCATCTTGCTTGCGGCGTTCTTCTCCTGCTCGTGCGAAAGAGCGAGGTGGGTGTTTGGTGAGCGGGCAGCGAGAGGTGTAGAGTCCATATTGTGGTTTATATGTGTGAAAGTTTTTTTCGCGTAATGAAGAGGAAGAAGAGGATTTGAGAGCTTGACAGTAATGTACTTTGGAGGAAGTGACGTGGTGGAGCGGATTCAATTGTCAAGAAAAAGAGAAAAACTGCCCGTCGATTGTTGTCATGGCAACCACCAATTCTATACCCAACGGCTAGACTAAAATCGTTTCATTATGACAGGCACCGATGATCTGCATTTGTTTCATCATTCATTGAGTCATCGCCTCATTACGGTTAGTTATCTCGCTAGGTCTATTATGCAGCTTTATACAATGCTGTACTCGTCCAGCTGTCCGTCACAACCTCTCCGAGTCGGAATGCGAGGACTCGGATTCCAGCCCTTCAGAGCCTTCCTCATCCTCTCCTTCATTCTTCCCCTTTAGATCCGCCGGGCTACTATTCGATCTGTGCAACTGAGGAGCAGACGAGGGCAGAGGAGGACCCCGTGTCTCCTGCTGTAAGCTCGAATCATCCGACGTTGGAGTCGGCGGCGCATACGCAATCGTTGGGCTGAGTGATCCACCCTGCGAGTCCTCCGATATCTGCCGTCGGTGACTGGCTGCGCGACGGTAGGATGAGGCTGCTCGTGGCGACGCAGGACTTTCCATTGCAGACCCGAATGTTGGGGATGAAGACCGTAGGCTGTACGACCGCGAGACCATGTTCTGTACACTAGGGAATTCGATGTAGCCACCAACAGTGCCACGAGTAAAGAGCACAAGCGCAAAACAAATAAGCACCATAATACTCTGAACCACCGCTACCCGCTTCTGGAAGACCAGCTCATCTGCAAGTACTCCCAGCTGGTTGTTTATGGACTGAATCTCCTGATGGTACTGGATCCGTTGGTGTTCAAACTCCAGTGCCACGCTTCTCCAAGCTTGATCGTATTGTTCACGAAATTGCTTCAGCTCGCTGACTACCGTCACATTGAGGTTTTCCAGGAACGTCGTCGTTTTTGCCAGCTGCCGTTTTTCGACCTTATTAAATGCATCCCGTAGAATACGCGATTGGTCTTCAATATACTGCAGAGACAAGCTCGAGTTAGTCTCTAACATTTGAAGACGTTTGTTGACCGACTTGAAGAACGACTCCTGTGTTGTGGGGTTCGCTGAAGGTGGCTGTGTAGTCGTCGCTCGTGTAGAGTCGGCGACTTGCTCATCTTTAGAACCGCCAGAAGATCGCGTGTCGGATTCAGAGGTCACATTCTGAGGAGCTACGTCGGATGTAGCTCCGGGAGAGGCATAGTCTGCTAAAGACTGAGCGTTGGGATCGGGAATCGGGGCTTTAGTATCCACGATCTCTGGAGAAGCAACATTGGCTGCAGGAGTATCGCCTGTCGAACGCGTGCCCATATTGGGAGAAGCCTGGTTGGGTGCTGGAGCACTTCCACCAGATGCGGTAGGCCCCGAGGGGGCCTCCCAAGTACTGCAGACGTTGAAATCCCAGAGACCCAAAAGGACCAACTGAACAGCTGTCTCGAGATTGGGACAGGCTCCCGAAACAAAAGACGACACCTCAACGTTGCCTGCATAAAGCGGGGGTGGGGACGCCGACGGTGGGGTACCTTCTGCCTTTGCGGTGGGATCGGCCTCTGAAGCTGATCCCGGTACTTCTTCAGCTATTTCCTCTTCTACCCGGTTCGCCTCCCCATCATGTTTGTACTCTTCCATCATTGTAGTGCCGTGGACCCGTATCAAACTAATAGGGCAGAACCACTCGTGTCCGTAGTGCGTCAAAAACTCAATCCGTAGGTATCTAGCCCAAATGAGGGGATTCGTGACCGCGAAAGCCTGCACCTCGCGAGTGTTCCGCGCCTCAAAAACGCCTAACTCCTTCCACTGGTCCGGTTTTGCTGGATAACGATCCGAAACACTAACTCGGAAAGTATGAAATATCGAGCTGAAGAACTCATAATTGGCCAAGACGACCGTGTCGACCAGAATGTCATCGCAAAGCTCAAGAATTAGGAACTTATTCTCCGCGCGACACTCGTTCAACATGTAGCTGTCTTTATTCTCGATCAGAACAGACGATGACCCCTTCGCTTGAGGGTTTGTCTTGAGCACCGTTGCGGCGCAATCGAAAGACGCGTAGTTGAAGCGCTCTTTGCAGGTCGTCCCAGCATCCTTCGAGCGCGGCCCACCCGAATGAGGCACTACTTGCCCAGCTGCATCGACAGCACCCTCACGGCCCGCATCCAGGCTTTGCGCCGCATCTGCTCCGTCCGAAACAACATGTGCGCCCCAGGCGGGAGTAGGCCTCGTCGCTTCCGCCGCATCGGCTCCAAAGCCGCCAAAGTCAAGCTCAATCTCGCCATCGTCACCAAGGGAATCAAGAGCATTGTTGATCCCCGTTGGCCGACGGCGGTCTTTTCCCGCGGCCCCAGCCCGCCGATGTCCACCAACATTCTCCGCCGACTGACCTGCCTTGGCCAGATTTTGCTTCTTCCAGTCCTCAAATGAGAGAAAATTCGCATTGTCGAGCGGGGAATCGGTGTCGAGCTCCTGGTCTGCTTCGCGGCCCGGTGGTGATGGTTGAGCGTTCTCTGCCGAGACGGTGACTGAGCTCAGCTCGGTAGTAGTCTTTTGGGTGTACGATGTCGGATTACCGGTTGTCTTCCTGTCCCACCGTGTTTCAACACAGATTGGCCTTTGGATAAACCCAGCTTCGACCTCTCTCCAGTCTCGGGCGAGACATATCGGTTGCCGGTCATCACTTCCTGTTCGCTGGCTCCAGGCTGACGCACAAACTGCCCAAGGAAACGAACATGCCGTTATCCACCATGCCGTTATCCACCAGTGTGCCAACATCGTTCGTTAAGAGAGATCACTTTGAGATCTAGGAGTCATTGCGTAGGCATTGTCTAGAGACCTGGGCAAGTCAGCTATTTACTGTTCTGAAACCCAACAACTCGTGCGTGGGACAGACTGAATGGGACTTGGCGGCAAGCCCTTATCAGCTTCTGTGGAGATGCTGACCTTACGCGCCTGAGTCTGGAATTGGGGTCTGTTCAAGTGTTGCCAAAGAGGGCTTCAACGAGGATAATATACCAAGAAAGGAGACACTCGAGATTCAATAAAATATAATACAAAGCAGATACTATGTAAGAATGACTGTGTAGGGTAAGAGAGAGAAGATGAGGACAAACAGGTCTTAACGCTGAAGGGGAAGGTTCTCCAAATGCTCGGGCTTCACCGCTCAGCGATCTCCAACAGCCAATGTGTCGAGTACATAGAGACCGGGGTTTGGCAGAATTCAAAAAACTACTCCACAAGCACTACTTGAGGAAGAGTGTACGAGAATCACTTTTGGATTATATTTTCCATGACTACCCATCCAATGTCCTAGTAACTAGAGTACACAGAATCCAGTCCAATACCAGACCAGGACCATGTTCGCCTGGGTAGAGTCAATAACATCGCTTTTCCCGTAGCTTTTCTTTCTTTATTGTTGTTGAGATGAGAGGATGCCCGTATGTCGCAACCCTCTCCAATATCCTTCGCCTGCCCGTGACGTTGAAGCTGCGATATAATGAAGTGATGCGTCGAGGGGAAGAATAGGGCAACCAGAAGTCGCCTGAAGAAGAGAAGATGAAAAGTGCTAATCGCAAAAAGAACCATTCCCTCCGGATTTCACTTTTGACAGTTTCGCGCCACCAATTGCTTGTTCAGAGAACACGATATTATACAGGAGTGGAAAGTAACACTGAACATGCGCTGCGTGCCGCACAAGATATGATCTATAAAGTTTGTAATAGAGAAGAATGAGAACAAATATGGGTGTGACACCGGTGGCAGAATAGTATAAAATGTCGAATGTATTCAATAGGCATCTTCAGACGCGGTGAGCAGAATCAACGGAACACGGGAGACTCCAGACAGGAGAGAAGAGGTATGCGACTGAATACCGCTTAAAGGTGGAGATCGTGCCAGCCACCCACGAGATCGAGATCCTCATCGAGGCTGCCATGATAGTCGTGGATGTTGGCTTGCTTGATGTTGACGGGTCTCTGGGTCTCCAGAGAATCACGGCGCCACTCCTTGTGGAGGAACGGACGGCGACGGCGATCTTGAGCGAGACTTTCCTTCTTAGCCCATTGTCCATAATCGAACCCTGAGGAACCCAGACCCCAATCCTTCCGCCAGGTCATGTTGTTCGGGAAACGCTTCGACTCGAAGGAAGGGTCAGACGGTTTGAAATTCCGCCTCTTATCGCCCAGGGCAGCCCATTTGTCAACGTTAGATTTCTTGGGAGAAGTCCGTGGTGACCGTTGAGTTACTTTGGGTGCGATGACTACCGGCTTCTCAAACGATGATGGATGGGCCACTTCAGGCGATGAGGAAGGCTCGCATCGGGGGTTGAGGATCGAAATGCTTCGGGCTTCGCGCAGACCAGGTGTAACCATGTGGCTTGCGGGAGCAGAAGTACTCTCGTGGCTCCAGCTACGAGAGTTCTGCTCACGTCGTTGCTGCAGGGCCACTTCCTCACCTTCGGACTCCTCTTCCTCATCCCATAGATCGCTCCAGCTCTTGGAAATCTGGTCAGCCTTGTTATTCCGACCGAAGACCATGGAGAGAGAGGGGATAGGCTTGGCGGTCTGGCTAGGAAGAGACCCGGTGATAGTCACAGGGTCCGAAGGTGGCGGATATCGAGGAGCGGCCTTTGCAAATGTGACAGATGGGTACGAATCGCCAAGAGCGGACTCCAGAACCGAAGCCATGGATGGGGTTTGGTGGACAGAAAACCAGGAAGTGCCAGCGGTCTCCGAAGGCGGAAACAGATCTTCCGAGTAACTCTCGTCGGGAATGGCGGACAACTGTCGAATAGCCTGGGGTGGGCTGGATTGAAGAGCCTTGGCCCATGGGAACGAGTCGCCCTGGTTGATATGCGGGCTCTGGATGGAGGGAGTCCGGAGAGGCTCCCGATTGGCACTTGCGGGCACAACCTCGCGCTCATCCGTGCAGAATTCATCCAAGACCTCATCATCCGTGGTGAAGGTAACAGCTCGAAGGATCCCATCCCGAAGACCGGAAAGCGACCGCTTCTCCGGATCAACAGCCATGGCAATCCTTAGAATCTCAAAGGTGTCCTGAGACATGTTGGGAAAGATGTCGAAGAGGGATTGTCGGTCTCTAACATAGTCCGCATAGAGAATGTCGCTCTCAGTGGGGGTAGCGAACGGGTTCCTAGCGAAGAGTACATTGAGCAAGCAAATGCCTATCGCCCAGATATCGGCTTTGGCAGGGGAATATCCGTTATTGGCGGGGTCGTACTGCTCCGGAGCCATGTAGCGATCACTTCCAACGCAGGCCTCATAGCACCAGGCTTCTCGGGTTGCAAGACCCAAATCACCGAGTTTCATAGAACCATCCTGCATGAGGAAGATATTCTCTGGCTTGATATCGCGATGATACAAGCCATTGGCGTGCATGAACTCAACAGCGCTCACAAGTTGGAGCATGAAATCGCGCACATGTTCCGTCTCAAGGGGACCACGGTTCATTCGGATGGCCTCGTAAAGGTCGCCATTTGCGCAGTACTCCAAGACAAGATAGAGATGATTTGCTGTTTCGAAGTGATGGACGAGATTGACGATATTCGGATGGTATGCGAGGCGTTGGTGACAATCGAGTTCCTCAAAACGGTTCCCGCTGAGTGATGGATTCCATGACTCATTCGGAGACGACTTTAGCATGCACTTGATTGCAACGTCTCGGCCGGTCTGAATATCAGTTGCGAGGAAGACCATGCCAAAAGACCCGTGATTGAGAGGGGCCACAGTGCGAAAGCGGCCATCCAGGAGCTGCCCTGGGATGAAGCTATTCTTCAAGGACTCCATAGCGAGTATGAAATCGAACAAGACAGTATTCTTCCAGAGATATGACTTGTCACAGTCCGACAGAACAACGTATGACGGCGAAGGCTAGGAAACGGCAAGCCCAGAAAATCGAGACAACTGCTCTATATGTGGATGCGCTGGGACGCGGAGAGGACGTCTGACAAGGCCGGTGCGAAAATAAAAGCGACTAGATAACAAGTGCCGGCCTGCGATTCCAGAAACTTGACCGCCGAGAGACCAAAAAAGGAGATGAGATGTTGGCGAGATTATACTAACGAAACAGAAGGACACCGGGATTGTGGCTCATAGAAATATGCAAGAGAGGATTCGGTAGACGAAAATAGGAAAAGAGATTGAGATGACGAGACAGCGCGAGGCGCGGAATGAAGATACCCGGAGGGGTGAATGACGCTAGGAAATTGTAGAGACCGTTATAGTTGCATTTGTATATCGTTCGAGTGCTGACTGGGGGTGTCGATATAAAGATATACAGTTCGACGAATGAGTGTCTGAAACGAGACGACAGCCGTGGAAAGATCACGGGTCGTTGATTGATTTGAGATGGGACAAAAACGCTGCGTAATATCGTAAACCGCAATATAAGTTGTATTAAAAAAAAAGGAAAGTCTCGTTATCCGGCCTTCGAACACCAGGCTGAAGGTCAAGTGGTCGTGACTCAGAACGGGGCAGGCGCTAAAGTGTCATAAACTGACCCGGAGCCGATAAGTAGCAGTCCAGCAAAGCAGATGCTATATATTCAGGATCTGAGGCTCTAGACGACTGGCAAAGGGTCTTCAATGCCTGATTGGGCGAGATGAAGAACCAAGTACCAGCAGCCGGCCCAGGTTGCGGGTAGCGTCCAATGAACAACTCAGCAATCTCGGCTTCCTGATTGACAATATCCCGTTCTTCTGCAGGTTGTAGCAACGTAGCGCGGCTTTGGGAGCGAATTCGTCGACAAGTCGTGGGTCCCAGAGCTCGTTCGAAGTGGAGGGCTTGCTATGAGTCACGGAAGGTGTTCGAAGATTCGAGGAACAAGACGAGGAAATCGGTATGTGGTAGGATTCGGCCAGCAGTACAGACGATTCAGAGAGCAGATAAACGATCTTATCTAACTTTGGCTTTGCACGAGTACTGTTGTGCTTTGGCGATGTGGTGAGTGACGGGGTGAGAGTATTGAGGGTGCGGAAGAGGTCGGAATTGTAGGAGGAGCGGGTCGAGGAAAGAGCAAAGGACGAAAGAAGAGGATGAAAGGAAGCGGTGAAGGGGAGAGAGGTGATGAAGGAAGGAAGCGGGATGGAGCAGACGCGAGAGGAAGATGAAGGTTGCAGGGAGGTAGGAGCAATAAGAGGAGGGATGACTGGATGGATAAGGAGGTACTCGGACTTGGATGGTCTGGGGGAGGATGATAGGCGTGAGCTGAGGGGGCGAAGAAGCAGAGGGAACTTGGAGACTGCCAGACCTCCTGGTAGCATCCACTTCAATTGGTACGTGTGATCTCCAAAGCTCTCCACTATGCGTTGGTTTTCCATTGGGCACCGGCTAGGCGCTATCACTGTTTCCGGGCACTGCCCCACACCCCCCTGAATGTACTCAGAACGTTAAGTAATCGCGATGGAACTCGGAAGAATTCACCGTCGTCATCACCTGAGCCGAGGACAGGAGAGGGCCTTTCTGGTTCCGCGCCATCAATGGGAAATATGTGACGAGGAAATTTGCTACAGAGTCTGGTTCAGGAGGTGAAGAATGAGCAAGGATTTCCTGTATCATTCTGTCATCTCCAACCTTGATGAGCAATTCTCAAACAGACCACAGTGTGTTTCAGAAGCATGAGATACCATAGTCATGACGACTCTTTCTTCTCGTAGCCGCGGAAGGGCCAGCCTGGCAGTCTGTGTACTCCGTAAGGTTCGTGCGGAGTAAGGCATTACTATTGTTAACAAGGCAGTGCTAACTTCGTCTCAGGTACTTTGACGAGCATTATCAACATGCTAATCTTGGAGCAGTTTTCAAGAAAGGTTATCTTTACTGTTAAATCTCCATATCTGATACAGCGACACAAAGACCACAGTTGTCCTCCAGAGAGGTTGCATAAATATTAAAACGAGCTTTCCATAGGAGGACAAAACAGCCAGTCAACAACGAACAGACAAGGATTCCAGCCTGGGCACAGGGCAGCATCGTCCCCAGGATTAGACTAAGGCCGAGTTACTGCAGGTCCAGACAGGATCCAGCAATCAAGTTCAGACACTTTCTATCTCTTGATTTCGTCCCCATTTCGCAATTCTCCATCCTGTCTGAAGAACTCCACTTTGTGAAACCTGATGATGGTCAATGCAGGCGGAGATAACCAGACCTCAGTGCCTGACACAGACTCCAGTACACATTCCCAGCTTTCCCGGCCGATGCCGACGCAGGTTGCACAACTAGGACCAAGAAACGTCAGCATAGCGCTAAACCTCAACAAGATTGTTGCGCAGACGCTGGACTGGGGCCTCAGGCCTGCAGGCCAATGAGGTAGGGATGACCACCTGGGCAGTCAGCCATCGCCCTCGATTGCGCCCACGTCTCGAATTGTCTGGGGTGGTCTGGACGATCTTCTCGCCGGGGCATTCCATGTTTATTTGTTCGTCCTCTGGATGAAGATAGCAGCAATCCATGGATACCAGGATGGCGTGTCAGTAATTCTGCGCAGTATGGGATCCCACGTTTCAAGACCGTCTGCGGCGTCCCAACAACAACGGCCAAAGCCAACTCCGTAGTCCGTACCAGGAGCCCTCGAGGCTGCCGCGTTTCGCTGATTTGCTGCCAACTTGCCGCAGCTCCTCCTGCACAGGGCACTGCTGCTGTGGTCTCTGAACCAGTTGGTGGTGGGATCTGGCGCTGATGCGTTGGAGGGAGCTTCACCGCTCAGTTGTTTGGCCCAAAGAAGGTTTAAGCCTGCAGGCACTCTCCCATCTTTTCAAGTTCCAAACATCGACATACGTGGGCTGTTGGGGGAGAGGTGCATCTTCCCATCCAGAGTCGGCGAGTCGCATCATGAAAGTTCGCTTAGTTCGTCAGCAACATACCGCATCGTGTGATGCTACTACACCACTCACAGCTTCGACTCTTCAGACCAACCTCCTCCGGATCGCTGGACAATGGCTGGTCCAGTGATTCGTCGCAGATTTCCTCCGTCCCGGCAGCGCAAGAGCCGACCGTGAGGAGAGAAGGGAACACGGTCACCTGTTGACTAACTAACCATGTCTATCTAACTTAATTACCAACCGACGGTGACGAGTGTCAAGAGCGTCCCTTCAAGGAAACTAAACCCGATTCTCAGACGGGCTAAAACGAGACTATTGAACGAACAGATCAAAACATGGTCGTCTGCTCACTTACCCCGCACGATCTTCGCAGGGCTTGCTTGAGTTTGAACTTTAGAAGAAACGCCAGAATGCTGATAGGCGAATTTTCGAATGTGATCCTGAGGCAGAACCGCGAAAGGCTCATTCCCCGGATTTCGGCCACATGATGCCTGGTCGAATTTTTTTGCTTCTCCCCACGTCGGACACTGGATTCTTCATCTGGCACCCTGGATCTCTCGCTTTCTGGATAGCCTGGGATCTGGAGTAATTTCCAATCGATGGCATCGTCTGGGACTATCGAATTCTCTCGAACTCTCCCCTCCCCCAGACAATCCGCAGGACTGCCACCCGAGGAATGTAGGAGACATCCAAACAAACCCCAAGACTGAATCAGATCGTCTGCAATGAAAATCCCGCGCGGTGCGCCCCCTTTCCGACTTTGCTTCCTTTTTCTCCAGTTGCTAGGCTTTCGGCAGCTATCCGCCTGCCTCATGGTTTGTCCAGCCTACCTCCAGTATGGGGTACATCAGATGATGTACTCCTACTGTCCTCCCTAGTCACTCATCGGTGGCGGGACAAAGAATCAGGATCTCATATCAGATGGTTTGTCTGCGATGCAGTAATCCGCTTGCTCCTCCGCTGCCGGTTGGTGATTCGGGTTCATGCATGTCTTCCTCCGTCCTCTCCAACAGGACAGGTCAGACTCATGCAGTCGACCGGACCATACTCCGATACCGTCGAAGAATTCGCCACCAGCCACCTCACTGCTACTGGGACAACCAAACCCGCCTCCGCAGCGACAGCATCTCTGTTATCAATTCCAAACTCATCCCTGGAAGCCTTATTTGTTGTCGTTCGTTAAATCAACAGCAAGGGACTCGGAACAACGCTCCCTGTCAGACTCGGTTGGAGACGGGGGTGCAGCCTGTCATTCTCGGCTGAGATCACGGTTAACACAATGTCTCTTCCCTTACCTCCTCAAGTGACTGACCCGGAGGGGGAGAAGACCAGGACGGAGAATATCCAGAATCTTCGATGCACTCCAGCCCCTCATCGCTCCGCCATACGGAAGACACAGCTGAGCAGAAGAGAGCAATCGTACATTGCAGGAGCTGGACGTGGACTGTAGCACAGAAACCGTCATCTCATACTTTGCTCCATACCAACTGCCTGTCCGCTTTAACCGCCGGAGCCAGGCTCTCCATTAGAATATCTGAGATTTTGTGTTAATGACTTATACAACAGAAATCAAAGTAGAGGCAATCAATTGTGGCTCCCAAGTATGCTCGAAATCTCCATATGTTGAGTTGTTGACAACAGATACTCACAACAACAACAACAACAACAACAACAACAACATCACCAGCAACAATCACAACAAACAAACAACCATCTTCTCTTCCCATTAACCAACCATCCCACCACCCATTCAATCAATCAAGAACAACCAATAAGAAAAACTCGGACCACTCCCCTTCCTCCAGTTCCAGTAGTACATAGCCAACGGGGACCACCCACCCAATAACCTCCCTCCCCTCCCCTCTCAACACCGTCGTCGTCAGCACGCATCACACCATCATCCGACCAACCAGTCGAACATAGACAAGGCGTTATCAGGGCACGTCACGATTCTATCTAGCTAGTAGAGCCTAGCCTCGCTGCACCCTCTGCAGAACGTTTCTGATTTGCGGAACTGGTATTCCCCGGGCCGGGCGAGGGAGGTCGAGGGTGTGGCATCTTGTATGGAGAGCGAATGATCGTGCAGTGCAGCATGCCTTCCATATCAATGCAGTAATGATGTTTCAAGATGGAACTAGTGCTCGAGTCTTGGTTGCGTACGTTCCGCAGAATAGTATGGACTCTCAATGCAAAAGGAAGAGGGAATGGTACGAAATTGGATTGGACTGGATCGAGCTTTGTTTCGTGATGCTGAGGCTAAAGAGAAAGGGAGGGATTCTAGCGGCTTCGGATAGTTTCCATTATGAATGGGTGGTGTATGATACGAGACTATCATTGCTTGGAGATGTACAATGTTGTTTCGTAATTGCTTGGGAGACTAGTTGGTTGGGGTATAGGTGACATGATATATACCAGGACTTGGGGATTCGCGTTCAGCGAACACAATAGTTGTCGAGGCAGATACCATGTAGTGAAACGGAGGCAACTCATAGAGCCCACTCATCGAGGTTATCGGAAGATGTTATGAATGGTTTATCGATTTGTTTGATCGCGTGATCGCCGCAGAGGATGCTGTTCGCTGTTAGTCGCCAGAATCGATCAGAGAGAAAAAGGTGACCTACCAAGCTTCTGCGATTAACCCGTCTAGCTCCTTTACTATCTCTTCCCGTCGTGCAGCTGGGAGAGCTCCCTCGTTCAATTGCGCCTGAAGGTCCCGAATGTACTTCTTCTTCCCTCCGGCGCCTTCAAGGACCTCTCTTCCGAGACAATCGCTATGGAAGGCATGCTGACAGGGGAAAACGAAGAACTGCCGACTGAGTACTGGGAGCGAGCAGATCCAGCATTTCTCGCCAGGCTCGACAATCGCGTAGCGTGTGTCAAGGCCGGCGATCTCGGAACGTATCTGTCGTGCCGTTTGCGCAGAGTTATCCATCTCTTGTCGCAGGGCATCGATGTGTCGGGAGTAGTCTTCCAGAGCGCTGCATATCTCGTCCTTGAAGTCGTCAATGACGACAAAGTCTGGGAAGAATGGTATCAAATCCTCAATTCGGAGCAGCTCGCATCTTCGAAGGAACTCGATGGCATCCTTGATGCCTGTCCCTGGCTGCCGGATCCTCTTCTCGGCAACCAGAAGCCAGAGTTTCTTCCGTAGTTTATTGTTTCCCTCTGGCCGGTCAGCGATAATGGCTGCCATCTCAATGTCTTCGTGCTGTAAGGCCAACTCGACCGCCTGCAAGTACTGTTCCATGGCGCTGTAAATGTGGATGCATGACTGAACACGCTGGTGCTGAATACAAAGGCGTAGAGCGAAATCGGCATCGTATGGGGGTGGGGATGACGGCTGGGATTGCAAGTATGTTAGAAGGCCTGCTTCTGAAGATGAGCGGCTAGAAGCGTGTAACGATATGAGTGTATTATGAACTGCAGCCGAAGGTCTTGGATGGTTAGCGATGATAAAGTTGAGATATCGAACCGCTTGGTTCTGATTCAAGGACACATTCACGGTGTTGTTGTAGTTCAGCAGCGCAGGTATGAGCTTCTCAGGCTCCAGGTTTGTCTGTCGCATCAAAATATCGACTAATCCGGTCGAAGCGTGGGTCATCAAGACGCTGCTGTGCTTGTAGAAAACTTCGGGCTCACTTTGTCTTTGCAATACGTTGAGAGCCTCAATCCAGTTCTCCCTTTGAGTCCAGTACGACAGGACAAAATTATGGTCATTGACCACAGTAGCAAAGTACAATAGCTCCTTTTCTCGCCCATGGCTACTGATGATATCGTATGCAGTCTTATGATAAAAAAAAAACTTGTACTTGGTCACGAACTCCTGGAATTCACTTCGAACGGCCCGGAGTTCAGTCTCAATTTCTTCAGTGCTTGCCCCTTCAGCAAGCTCTGCTTTGGTAGTGATGTTGTCATCGAGCGAGTTGAGTTTCGTCATGAAAACTTCAATCAGCCAGCTTGCAACCATGATCCTTTGCATTGAGGACGACTTTTTATACACTGAGAGTTGAGAAAGCAAGTACTTCCGCAGAGCATCATGTTGGCCACGCTTGATTAGTGTCAGGCAGACATCCTCAAAGCCTTTGCTACTCTTACCCCAGACTCCCGCCGCTTCTAGATAGCGGCCTTTGCTGGCAAGATAGTCGCCCGAGGCAGTGGCAACAGCATCTTTTTGGGAGCTGGTGTGGGCATATTCAAAGGCTTGGTCGAACTTTTGCTTCTTCAAGAATATCTTCCAAACGTCTCTGTCTTCGTCTTCCACACAGATTTCGTAAATCTCTTGGTTGGTGAATAGCCAGTAGGTGTGTTTCACTGCATCTGTTACAAGACCAAGAGCGCCCTGTCCCGGTTCCAAAATCTCCTGGTCAAAAACAATCTTATCATTCATGCGGTTCACGGCAATGATCCTGCCTTCGACAAGCACCAGGATATGCCATTCGGACAACGTCATGGCAGTGATTGGATCTTGAATAAGCTTTTTACCTCCTCGGGCGGATTTCGAAGCTGGAAACACAGATCGCGGGAGCATAGTCGCGCTGTCAAATGGCTTGTTGATATTGTCCACCGAGGTCGGAAGTGAGCCGTGATACACACCCTGTGAACTAAGCCATGCAAATTCTCTCTCGGCCGGACCATCCGCGTGGTGAGCATCGGACCCAGGCGGCGAAACAGCCAGCGTTGACGGTGCAGAGCCAGACGGCCGGTCGATCTCATAGATAACGGGCGTCTCCCGTTGGAAGAGGTCCGCGTATATGGATCCTCCACCCTCTTTGCCGGATCTGCTGGTCCGTCCGACGAAACTTGACAGCCTACCATGCGTGGCTACTAATACCCTCCGCTGCTCGGCCCTCGCGGGTACCGGCTCCGCCCATATACCTGTCACTGGAGACGCATCCGGCGTTCTGTATATTGAGGTGGCGTAGCGCTCTTCTCGACGGTAGAATTCGGTGGACGGTTCGATATAGGTTTCCCAGACTTGGCCATCCGTCGTACCCACGAGTATTTCTCTTGTAGAAGCTGTCGGCAAAGAGGGGCTCCATGCAATACTTTCAATGAAAAGTCCCTTGAGCCGCGACAGTGGTTTTGGCTGCCTGGATTGGGTGTGAAGGTAATAGTTCTCGCCTAATGTTGTGGTGACGATCAGGTGGGAAGCAGAAGGGTCGAGGAACATTCGACGTATCACGCCTATCTCCGACGATTTCTTCGGGAGGTCAACATCTAAGTACAAGCAAGTCAGTACCAGCCTTTCAGTTCACGTGTCTGTTCGGGGCCATACCATCAATGTGTTCCGGGTTGTTTAGGTCAATGCGCAGGATACGTCCCGTCGACAAAGCCAAGATAAGAACGTTGTCGGCTACCTGCGCAGCGACAAAATCGGCGGCGAGTGGGAATTGGAGCTGGACATGTTTAATGTCGAACATAGGGTACGACTCCGGAGGCTCGATCAGGTTGTTGTGAGCGGCATACCCGCTGGACGTCTCCAGCGCCATGGTGCGCCAATCGTGCTCAGAGAATTAAGACCATACCGAGACTGCGATATAGGTTCTTTGGTCAGGAAAGAGCGCTAAAAAACATAAGATAGTGAAGATGATCTGGGTTCATGCGGAAAGCGGAGCTGCGCGAGCTACGTCGGAGCTGGAGAAGTGGATATGATTTAAAAGATGCCTTGGCCAATTGTTGAAGCCTGAGGCATCAATTTTTAGAGGCAATAATTTTTAGAGGCAACGATCTGGTTCAATAATGTTTATAGCCATCGCCTAGATTCCAAGTGAGGAACTGTGGGATTTTATGTAGATAGATAGCAGGTAGCAATATTCTTCATAAAAGCACTCTCTGGTGTAGTCAAGAGAACATAGGCATCAGGCATCAACCACAATATATAGCTCTGGGAGGAAGATGATAGATAACCTATGTTAGCCTGAAGTCAATTATCATGAGTCATGAGACCTGGTTATTATAGTAATATATCTTCTATTGCACGCGAGCATACAAGGACGAAGAAAATGCCATGCATCGCCCTCCAACTCACATAACAGTACATTCCCGTTCGAGTTTGCGGCCTCTTCTTTCTCTTGACTTCCCCTTCACCTTCTCTTTCTGCCTATCGGTGAATCTCGACCGTCTCGGACTTCTGTCTCGAATCTCGCCGGACTTGATACTCTCGACAGTGAGCCCTGTAGATTCATTCTTGGTGGTCTCATCGTCATCGTCGTCAATTGCAAATGAATCACTGCCAATCTTGTCCTTGCTTAGGCGGCCCGCGAAACGAGAAAACGTCGCACTGATCCTATTCTCGCTAACCTGGCTTCCAGCACGGCTTCCTGGATTGGACCTTGTAGCGCGCGATCCGCGCCTCGAGAAAGAAAATGAGCTTCTACCTTCGTTCTCATCCCTTGGGACAAGCCTTGGTGATGTTGATGGCGCAGAGTGCAGCTCTAGACCTGCAATAGTGCTTTGAGCATCCGTCGAGTCCTCAGTAGATAAAGTCAAAGAGCTCAGGTCGTCAGCAACGGTGATTTCTAAGCTGGGCCGGCCAGACTTGTATCCTCCGCTGAATTGATTGGGACGTAGCCTGGGCGATAGGTCTGTTCCTTCCAGGTCCTGAGGCTCCGCCGAGCCTACAGACGACGGCGCGTTGTTTGAGAGGTTGGCGGCCGCTGCATCAACGTCAATGGGCAGAATCTGATAGAACAGAAGGTATGGCGATTCGGTCTTTAGAGCTTGCTCGATATCGACAAGAGTGACCCGTTCTGCGGCCAAATCATCAAATCGCATCCAATATCTCGGAGTATCTTCGCTGGATTGTTCCGAGCCATGAGAGCTCGATGGTGGTGCACCGGCACTAGTCCCCCGAACGATTGCTATGTAGTGCCCGGAATCAACCGAGTTGCCTCTATGGCAGACCAGGGCTTGCAATGACAGCTTGAAGTTTCCATATATCGGCCCATCCTCCTCCATATTATCGTCTTGGATAAAATGAGGTAACCCAATTTCCGTCGGAATATCAATGAAAGTGTTGAGTCTTATGGCTTTGCCGTTTGGTAGCATTGAGTATCGCTTTAGGCACATGCCTAATATAGGTCGTTTTGAGGAGAAATGCGCCGCGACCTGAGAGTCATTCATGGGGGAGTTATCGGTATACCACGCTTTGCGCTTATTAGTATTTTCCGATGAATATATGTATGCCACACTCACGAATCAAGCTAAAGAACTGCCATGCCGGCATCATGACCTCTTTCCTGTAGGAACCCCGACCATCTTGTGTTAGGTCACCGTTCTTCTCTGGATCAGGGAAATATTTCTGTTGGATAATGCTGCTTCGACGATATCTAGAAGGTTCCCGCAATGGCGTTTCCGCTACTGTGGTGATTGGAGTCGCTAAAGGCGACATCGTTGTTGGCGAGGAGGTGGTGGGAGTGCTCAGCTCCACAGTCTCAACATGGGTGCAGGAGCCCTTGACCAGTGATTCGACGGATTTGACAGATCCGACGGTATTATGGCGTTCAAGGTACCGCTTCACCTCTATCCGGTTATTGAAATATGACTCCAAGCAATCCTCCAAGGTGACGGTGTGTCCCTCGCTGGGTTCCGGTATCGCAACTTCCAACAACCGCTCATTGATGAACCGGTGATCGTCGTTCACATCCTCCTTACCGGTATGGTATATATCCATTTTGAGTGTGAGGAGAGGCAACTCTAATTTCTCCGTGATGAAGGTGAATGCTTCTGATGTGTCCTGCTGATGGAGCTTGGCGGCTTCTTCCCATCCGCATTCAGCGAGCGCTTCCTGTATATGCTTCGTCTTTCAACGGATTAGCCTTGCTTCTGAAAGGAGGGGGGGCGGCCCAATTCCATACAATGTCTGTCGTTATGAGCTTCCCCGACCGTAGCATGTTGACCCACAGTCGTAGGAGCATAGCAAGTTTCCGACGAGGCTCATCACCAAAGTCCTTGTATAGGATTCCCTCGAAGGAATCTAATCGAGCAAACATGGCGAAAAGAAGCGCATCCAAGTAGCACGTAACGCCCTCGCGGTTCTCGGCTCCAAGAAGCTTCGTGCTTGGTGAGTATCCTTTGATTAGTCCTTCGATTGAGTCCTCAAGGAGCAGGAGGAGCTCAAAGGCTCTCTCCACATCCCCCTGTGTATATTTCAAGGCATAGGTGAGATGTTCTTCGTTCAGCCCGCTGATGCCAAGCTGTGAAATACGTCGTTGGAGAGACTTGATCTGCTTCTCTGTAAGTGAGGACCCGCACGAAAGATTCGCGAACGATCGAATCGAACAAGTCGCACCTTCTTCTGTTGGTCGCTAGAGTCGCCGTTCGTAACTTCCGACGTGAAGAAACCACCGAGGTGAGGGCGGGAGAGGGTGTTGTTAGAAGACTAGAAGAGCGCATCATTAGCGACCTCGTCCAAGCAAACTCCCTCACGGAGAAACTAATCACAATGATAGTACCTCTTCTTTGCTGCGCTTCGTATACCTACCGTTGCGCTCGCGCCTTGTGAGAAACCTGTGAATGCCGCTCATCTTCAAGGAGGGGTAGTGAGTCCGATAGTAAACGAATTGAGGGGTGGAAAAGCGAGGGCGAGGTCACGAATCGACATGGGGAAAGTAATATATCATAGACCTTGAACAGGCCACAGAGTTATAAACGAGGTCGCAACGGAGTTTCTGTTTGGTGGAAAGAGAAATTGTATCAGGTGAGAGGCTCTTCTGATGATGAATTCGCCCGAGCGCTGGCAGGAACTGCTGAATGAGTATGGTAGTAGGCACCAGCTGAGCCAACCCAGTGACATCACAGTTGACCATGCAAGGAGGAAATTATCGCTCAGAAGCTGAAAAAGAGAGGAAAGAAAACGGTCTGGGAGTGATATAAGAAAGTAGATAAACTTGGATTCGATCGATATATGCCCCACTGCAAGCCAATCTGGTGTCACTGCATTTTCCGCAGATCCCCTCTTTCATGCGGCGGGGAGCAGTTCCTTGTTCGTCAAATGCGGAGCTTCCCGCCACAGTGCCAGACGCGCCCTGTGGAAGGGGCCTGAAGTTTCCTTGCCTTACAAGGCATCAAGTGTAAAAGTCACGTGGATATCTCCGAAACTCGCGCGAACAATTTTTGGTCTCCCTATGTTGACATATTCGCAGCACCAACAAATACCATCGACTATCAATGGCTGCCAGTGAGCCATCAAGGACCCTGGCAAGGTCATTGCCGCGGGTTTTTGCACCCTCTACCCGCGCGCAAGGCCTCTGCTGTCGGCGCTATGCTTCCGATCAACCGTCGACCAGATCAAGCTCTGCCCTTGGAGACCTGGAATCGGACGGCTCTCTAAAGGCTACAGCAGCGCAGCAAGACGCTGCAAAGTCATTTGATCCCATTGCAAGGGCCAGATCGCGGAGAGTTCAACTTCCACGGAGTCGGTGAGTCGCGCATTCTCTAAGCAACCAAAAGGCCGCCCCGAGTTTTCAGACTCGGAGCCTCGAATAAACCTCATACTCACGATTTATTTAGATACCAATTTCGATCACCCAAATACGACCGTGGTCCATTGCACCCCCACAGACCTCCTCCTCCCTCCGACCCCTCCTCCCGACTTTTCGTCCCAGGCCCCTTCTCCCTACCACGAGTAGAACAGACGTATGAGTCAACCGTCGCCTCTGACATTCTCACCCTCTGCTACGTTCACAATCCTCCCGGCTTCAAGCCTCCGCCGAAGGCCCCGCGTCTCCGCTCGTGGGATGGAGACTCACCCTACCACAAGAATCGTGCTCTTCGCGGGCCTCGTGGCGGCGATGTCCTCCGCCTTCTCCGCAAGCCCATCACCTTCAACAATATCCCCAAGCTCGAGCGGATCACCATTCACAGCTACATTAAGGAAGCCGCGACTGAGAATTCTTCTTGGCTTCACGTCGCCGGTATTGCCCTCCAGGCTATCTCAAATGTCCGTGTACAGACGTACAAGTCGAGGTCTAGCGTTGCTCCATGGGGTATCGCGCCTGGCAGAGACACCGTGGCCGCCAAGGCAGAGCTTCGCGGCGAGGATATGGAGCACTTCTTCGGAAAGCTCGTTGACGTTGTGTTGCCCCGTCTCAAGGATTGGCCCGGTGTAAAGGGCACTAGCGGTGATAGCAGTGGAAACATCACGTTCGGTTTGTCCCAGGAGCAAGTTGCCCTCTTCCCCGAGATTGAGGTCAACTATGACATGTAAGTCACCTCCTTCTCCATCGAAAGTACCTGGCTAATTAAGCACGTACGAATCAGGTATCCTCCTAAAATGATTCCCGGTTGCCACATCACAATCCACACAACCGCCAAAACTGACAAGGACGCCCGTCTGCTCCTCAGCGCCTTAGGAATTCCATTCTACGGCAAGATCGTTGACTAGATTGGTGTGCCAATAGACCTTTGTGCTGGCGTAGTACTTCGTCATCAGCATCTTGGATCAACATGTAACCCCATATAAGATTTGTATCTGAACACTTGTATATTACTCTCGGTTTTAGTATTTTCATTGCACAGAATTTATTGGTTGCATCATCCAGGTGACTCGAAGTAGTGGTCAATTATCGTATTTTCTGTCCTAATTGAACAAGCAAGCAGGGATGGAATAGCAGTGTCCAAAACAGATAGTAATTTCCTTGTACATGAGTTTGACGCTTCCATTGATGACAACCATAAACTAAATCTTGGGATATATATGCAATCCAAATCTATCAACGCCATTATTTGGGTAGGAGGCTGAGCTAGCAAAGTTTCAAGAAAGACGACATGTAACTCCAAAAGAGATAACGAGGACTCCAATACTCCAAATTCAGGTTGTCGAGAAAGAAAGAGACCCTTTTGTTCAGCAACAAAAATCATAACTGACGTTGAATCAATTGAGGGAGGTTGCGAGGAAGGAAGACTTGAGGAGCTCATCTGCGTCGGGTCTATTTTCAAAGTCAATTTGGAAAGTCATATCCAGGAAAGCATGGGCATCTTTGCTGGCATGTTCTGGAGCTGGCGGCCTGGCCTGGTTGCTTCCAATTGCAAAGATAGCTTGGAGCTGACTGCAGTCTGGAAATGGGTGAGATCCGATAAACATCTCGACGACCAGACAGCCTAAACTCCAAATGTCGGCCTTTTTCGTATGAGCTGTCTGTCGCACAACTTCGGGAGCCATCCAATAAACGCTACCCTGGAGAGACGGTCGATGGATATGGCCTCCACCACTACTTGCACGAGATCCAAGGACCGTGGAAGCCTCGACACGCTTGGAGATACCGAAATCGGATATCTTGATACCGCCCTTGTTGTCAACGAGGATGTTTGCTCCCTTGATGTCGCGATGGATGATATCCTTGCTGTGAAGGTAGGATAGGCCAGCAAGGATTTGACGCACGAAGTTCTTGATCAAAGGCTCTTGGAAAGTGTTGTACTGCTTGAGCATGGTGGCAATGGAGCCTCCCGGTACATATTCCAAGAAAATGTTCAGATACTGGTCGTCAGCCGTTGTTCCTAGATACTGGACAATGTTTGGATGGTGCAGGCCCTGTAAGAGGTCGATCTCATGCTTGAGCGCGGTGACCATGCTGTTCTTGCGCTTGTCGAACTCTGTGCCCTTGGTCGCCGAGGGGATTTCGACTTGTTTGACGGCCATGAGCTCACCGGTGATTGAATGAAGTGCAAGAAACACACTCCCAAAGGAACCTTCACCAATCAGTGAGCCCTTCATCCAGTTTACGAAATTGTTCCCGGCCAAGAACTCATTAAGCCCGTCGTCTTCATCTTCTCCATCATCAGCCACCAGTATGCTGAGACGTTCATTGAATGAACCTCCGTCGGTGGCAGCAACACTGGCATTCTCGTCAAGTAGACTGTGGCGCGAGTTGGTTGGATCATCCGAGCCGCTATCAAAAGATACATACGACTTGCGATTCGGTTCAATGGGCGACTCTTCTTGAAGTGGATGAAGAGAACTAGAGGCAATTGAATCTCTGTAAGAGGTTGAAGGGAGACCGGGTCTTGTCGAAACAACAGATAAAGGTCGCGCAGCCCGTGTGGGAGGCGCACCATTGTTTAGCCAAGTATCAGCAATACTTGGGATAGGAGGTGCGTCCCTCAGACTAGACGCATAACTCGTATTACTGACGACGCTCAACCGACTAGCTGCTCTGCTCAAGCGTTGTGACCTGCGAACAGACATGCGCATAGTCTTCTCGATATCCTCTCTTTGATGACCCGGAAAGTATGACGAAATCTCGTGGATAATCATCTCGCTTGGGGGTCGGGCACCGAAAAATGACCGCAGCTTGGACACGGGATGTCGTTCAGTCACCTGGGGAAGATCAACACTACTGGAGTTGATGTTATGACGCGATTGTACAGGTGACATGGGTTGTCTGATGTTGTCCCATGATTCACCAGTGAGTTGCTGTATCTTGATCTGGTTTCGCATATTTGAGCTGCTAAGCGCATTCATATGCGCTACCTGGCTCTCATCCATGGCGAGTTGGGATGCGCGACGAAGCTCATCAATGTCTGGCTCACCAGCGTGTATCTTCCGAAGTATAAGCCTGCCCCGTTCGGATCTGTTGACTCCCTCGCAAATATCCATTAGCTCATGGTCAGCAAGTCTCCTACAGTTCGACGGATCAGGCTCCAGGCCGTCAAGTACGTAGAAACAGTAGTTCCGATATTGATGTTCAGGGAGTTGAAGCTTCTTTAAGACGCAGAGGATGATTTCATCAGGCGTCTTGCAATGCTTGATGTCCAAGACTTTCGTTTGGCCGCCAGTATAGATGACTCTAATCACAGGAGAGTTGCCCGGCAACGCTGTGATCACACCATCAAGACTAGGAGTCTGTCTCAAATGCGAAGCGGTCCGCTGGCCATAACCTGCCTCGGACGGGGTTGCAGGGTTGCGGCCAGAGCCAGAGCCCATGGCGAAGTACCCTTGTGATTGGTCTTTCCGTCCAGTTTCCATAGGGCTCGCAACATAGCGATGTGGTCGGAGAGGCGATCCCGGTCGCGAACTTGGCCTGCCATATTCGCCAGCCCTAGATGATCGGCGAGCTGAGGTTTGCTGGCGAGCTGTGTATGACCGGGAGGGGTCGGAGGCTGTCTGGCTTGCCGCTTCTAAAGCCGCCAGCTGACGCTACAGGAGATGAGCAACTGTAACCAGATAAGGGGAGTATTTACGTACCAGATTCTTCTGTTTACGGTTGGCCACTGACTTATTTCTGAGCTGCTTTATAGCCACAAAAATCCGTACTCTGTCGCCGATTTTCTTAATGCCCATCTCTTGGAGAATCTTTTGGTCGCATTCGATAAGGTTGTTGCCGTTGAAGTTGTTTGCTAAGAGATCTTAGCATAGTCACAAACAATGCATAATGGCTAGCGGTACCTCTGAATAAAGACTCATACTGCTGGCAGTTGATGGTATGGAGCCATGCGATGACCTGTTTCTCATCCCAAGATCCACAAGGGTGTCAGCACCAAAAACATTACTCGGAAAATCTCTGATTAGGGGAATCACCTAACAGCATCAAGTCCGTCATCAACCTCAGAGAACTCCGATTTTGTCGGACTTGTATAGAGTGTTCCTGGTTGTGTTTCCGAGAATGTTGAGGTCCTGAGCGATCCGGTATGATACGACGCTGTTGGGGTTTGCGATGCAGACAACCCCAACGCGTTCGCATACGGCGGCTTTGAGGTTAGCATTGTGAAGGCGTGATTAGGCGTAAGTCGTGAGTGGTGTAGGTTCCGTCACAGTATCAAGGGCGGGAGCTGTAGGCAAAGCCGAGAGATGGTTCGGTCTAGTTCCACGAAGAAGAGGGCGTTCTGCTGGAGTTATGGGTGATTAATGCATAGTATCGAATATCTAGTCTGCTGAATACCTGCGGTTAGCATTGTCAACTGAACAAAGAGGGATGCGGTCGGGGTGAATGTAAGGACAACCCCCACGTCTCGACAATCGGCCGACGTGAACCAGGGGAACGGCGTACCAAAGCAAAGCAATATCAGAGCAAGTATGAGTGGTGGGCGCAATGTGGCTGTAAGCGATAGAATCACTGGTAGCGATCTTCTTTGACAGGCGGTTGTGTTGAGTCTGGACCACGCTGGGAGAGAGACTAGGCTGACGATCGGCTGCTATCGTCGATAAAGCATGCTCGTCAACAAGGTAGCCCGAAGGAGGGGAAGGAAGGAGAAAACAAAGGGGCTAAAGAGGGGCGAAGATGAAGAGAAGAGCACAGCTGATCAACAGCCGCAAGATCTCAAAGAGGGTACAGAAGATGGAGGAGAAGGAGACGGAGAGGTCTTATTTCACAATCCCAAGTTCCTCCACTCTGGAGTCTCAGCGATGGCTTTGTTGTTTCAGGCTATTCTGCTTTAAGGCTGGGCCACGCGTCACGTGCCTCTACTTTTCAACTCTGCATCATTCTCAAACAACGGAGATCCATCAAAACCTTCCGTCTCAACTCGAGATGAGCTTGCTCTGTTTATCTCTGTCCTGATATACCGACCAAACGTCAGTCACATCCTGTCTCGGTAAGTATCTCAGCACGGGCGGGAAGTGATTTGTCAACAGTCATCTGAAACAATAGGCTGTCGCGGCTGTCAGACTATCGCGCCTCTGCTATTTTGGTCCCGCCCCTGTCTCGGTGGTCTCATACTCCGTACATGGTTCCATGGAAGCACCTATGCTTCTCCTTTCCAACCGATTTACTTTACAGAGACGTTATCTGGCACATGTTTCATTGCTCTCTGTTCCAGTGTCAATTGCTCGAGGTATCTGAGTCTATCAAAAATTAAGAAGCATATACCTCTCAGGGAGCTCGGCGAGGCACTCGGAGCTCTTGAATTTTTGACCAAAGAATAGCTCGAGTTCATTTGATATTTACATCAGACCGGCAGCCCAAATCGCTGAATGCCTGGCTCCAGAAAACAGACCGCCTGGAACCACAGCCTTGAAAGCAATACGTACGTCTCCCGCCGGAGAATTGCAGGATGTCGGCGGGCTGTATTGGCATCCGGCGGCCTCAGGAAGGAGTGTGGAAGGCAGTCCGTCGATTCTTCAAGCCTGATCAAGGGGCCATGGTCTTATCATGACCCGTGCTTATCATCCACAAGGCCAAGGATGTGTGCTCTTAAGGTCCTCGCGTCTCACGCATCAGATATTCAATTGATCCAGAAATAAGACCCTTGGTAGATAGCTTGAGCACCGTGGGGCATTTCTGCGCCACAAATCGAACTCTTCAACTTATACTCAGTGTTCTTCTTCACCCCACCAGACCATGGTGTATGCGAAAGGAACCATACACAACTAACATTGACGGTCCGGTTAGATGCCACCAAATGTCGGTCAATCCGAGGACAGCGCACAGATATTGAATAGCATGAGCGAGAGGCTGAACGAAAACAAGCCAGTCCTCTGTGCAACCAACCCAATGCTGATTGGAACGAGCGAGAATCAAGGACAGAAGCGCATGGAAAGGCCGGTGCCTAGTAAGGGTTGGCGTTTCGATAAGGCGACTTGATTGTTCTCACCACACATGCATCTTGTTCTGCGCAAGTTCATATGTAAATCAATAGGATTAATGGGAGTGTAGATTGGCTTAGGTGAGGCCGAAGCTGCATCTCCGCACCAGGGAGGTGGGGATGTTGATGGGCGCACTCACCTCCAAGGCTCCAAGGGCACAGGCAAACATTTGCACGAGGAACGCCAAGTATTCTCCAAGGTTCCCTTCCCAAAACTTGACGGCAGCCTCGCAATACAACAAGGACAGAATTAGGCCAAAGCAATCACATCACTGCTACGCAATGTGTTTCCCAAAGCCCATACCCTTTGGAGACAGCACTGCTGCCTCAGGAGTCAGGCTGAGATACATCCTAATTCCGGCGAAATAATGGTCCGTGACTACCTAGGGTACCTCCAATTCCCCCGCACCTAGATTCAAGCCTAGCCCGTGCGTCGCATTGGCTTTTCTTCCCCACCTGAGATTCATTCAAGAGAGCATGCTCCAACCCCCAGGGCCATTCGCCATGGACGATGAGAGGTCAAATTCGGGGAAAGTGAGGAAGAAGTCGACTACCGCTCATCGAAAGTCACTATCCTGCGAATACTGCAACCGCTCTTTTGCCCGCCTAGAGCACCTTCAGCGCCACCTCCGCACCCGTTGAGTAACCCTGATTCTGCTCTCAAGAGGACATTCATTTGCGATAATAGCCCCGGCTAACCCATCTCCCCAGATACCAAAGAGAAACCGTTCTCGTGTGATATATGCTCTAAATCATTCGCAAGGAGGTAAGTTCTCGGCCAATCCGCACCATACCGCACACCCACTAATCAACCATCACTTTCTCATCCAAAGCGACCTGCTTGTACGACATGAGCGTCTAGTTCATCCAGCCGAAGCCGCAGCCAATCGAGAACATCGAAACCACAGCAATCACGATGTCTCTCAGACACCCTCCTCTTTCGTCCAGCCGTCGCATCATGAATCTCGAATGTTAGAGCTAGCCGACGCCGTCCCGCTACAGACTCAGCCAATTCCTCCTCCTCCTCCACCCGAAGTCCAGATTCAGCCCCCTCCCATTGTTGAAACACCCCACTTTAACCCTTCTTGGGGATATGATTTGAACCTTTTATCGCATGCTGCAAGCCATGTCGCCCTCGAAGGCCAACAAGAGAGTTTGGAGAGCATGCGGAAGCCATCACAGGCCATTGCACCCCCTCCGCTCTCTCATGTCCCAGAAAGGGCGATCACCGATAATTATGGTGTTGAACCCTCAATTTTAGATCTCACTGATCTTGGGGACCCGGTCCAGGACTTTACCGTCTTTTTAGAGAGCGTTGGTCTCTCCTCAGATTGGGACTCTGGCGTGTTTTCAAGTGTTGAGGATCCAATGATGCCGAGCAGCCTTCCAATGGATTCAAAACCTACTGTTCGAGAAACTTCCAGGATTGGACCCGATCTTATGGGCGATCCCAGAGGCGCTGCTGATGAGCCTCCCTCTTTTTCTAATTTCGGTTCTCGGCTACCTTCGCTCCAGCCAGAAGCCCATGATGTTGATGACCGTCTAGGCTTCGGCGACGAGGGCCCGCGACCCGCTTGGGATATATCCAACGTTGACCGTCAGGTCTTTGTTCAGAAGCTGGATGAATTCGCTCACGTTCTTCCCAAAGGCTTTATTCCTCCGTCCAGACATGCCCTGTCTCGATTTTTTGCAGGGTACATAAATGGCCTCAACGAGCATCTTCCCTTTATCCACGTCCCAACACTGTCTGTTGCCAAATGCTCGCCAGAACTAACATTGGCACTGGCAGCTGCGGGGTCCCACTACCGCTTTGAAAACAATAGAGGAATTGATCTTTTCCACGCTGCAAAGGCCATTCTTCTTGAACGCCTACGAAGAAGGGACAGCAAGCAGGTACCTTGCCCTACCTGGAACTTTCTATCCCCTTCGTCGGGCTTTCATGGCTCGCGTGGTTCATCTACCACGTCCAACAGTCCGTACCAAACACATCAACATCAACCTCATATCATGTACCCTGTCGATCCATCAGGCTACGCCACCGAAGATTCGGACGCTCACATGGAGGTGATCAAAACTTTTCTACTCCTTACAATATTTGCTTCGTGGGAAAGACACCCTGAACTTCTACGGGAAATTCTCTCCCTGCAAAGTACATTGGCAAGACTTGTTCGGGAGCATGGTCTCAGTGAGCCAAGTATTGGCTTAGACCCAAACAACTGGGAAGAATGGGTTCGACGGGAATGTAGCAGGCGCACGAAGCTCATCGTCTACTGCTTCTTTAATCTTCATTCTATCATGTACAACATTCCTCCACTAATCCTAAACGCAGAACTCAAGCTCAATATGCCTTATTCGCATGATGTTTGGAAAGCAACAAACGCAGTGCAATGGCGGCGGCTCCTTCGCAGTCGACCAGGGTCGGAAGTCTCTTTCCAGGAGGCTTTTACCAAACTGTTCCTCAAGTCCAACATTACCAGCACTGCGCCCATTTCACCCTTGGGCAACTACATCCTGATACACGCTCTTATACAGCAAATATTCTTTGCACGGCAGCTTTGTCTTTCTGCGCCGAATTTACATGGGACAAGTCTGAGACCTGACGACCTGAACGTGCTGGACAACTCTTTGAGCTCATGGAAAGCACTGTGGAAGCGCACGCCGGAATCAAGCATTGACCCGCAGAATCCCGCGGGCCCAATTGCCTTTACATCTACTGCCCTGTTAGGACTCGCATATATCAGGCTGCATGTTGACTTGGGACCATGTCGCCGCCTCGTCTCCCAAGACCCGGGTCAGATCGCAAGGGCTCTGAACGAATCGGCTCCGATTGTACGAAGTCCGCGCCTAATCATGGCCCTATTGCACTCCGCACATGCCCTCTCAATTCCAGTACGCTTAGGTATAGACTTTGTCGCAAGAACCCACTCGTTCTTTTGGAGTATCCAGCATTCTCTCTGCAGCTTGGAGTGTGCTTTCCTACTGAGCAGATGGCTGCTATCGATACCAATGACACAAGCCGAACAACGTCTCTCTGAACACGAGAGAAAGCTCCTCGTATGGATCAAGAGCATGATGGATGAAACTGACATGGCTGTCGACCCACCAGGAGCGCCCGATATTGACTTTATGGCCAATCCATACAAGGCCAAACAGCTCAGCGTCGCCATTGTTCGCGTATGGGCACGGACGTTCAAGGGCAACACAAGCTGGGCAATTGTAGATCTAGTTGGATCAAGCCTGGATGCGTACGCCGATCTCCTAGAGTCCCAGGTTTAGTGGGCTACAGTACGCCTAGCTTTCTCCGAGAGGGAACAGAAAGAAAAGTCCGCCCTTCGTGTCTCGTATGATGTATGATGTTGGTTATACCCTTGTCCTTGTCTTTGCGTTATCTTTCCTGTATATAGCTTTTCCTTTAATATTTCGAGTACTCATGTCTGATTATCGTGACCCAACCCCCCTATGTGTTGTGTTAATGACCGCGGATGAAGGTTTGTCATGGGAAATAGGCTGGTTGGGAGCAAAGTGTAAGCTTCGCATTGTTGCGGGATTACTTCCGGTTCTAGCTCTGTTATCTCTGATTTCCTGTTTGACGTCTGAATGAGGGATGGGTTTACTGGTATCGCAATGCTTCTCTTTTACGAGCTGGACACGAATTTGCTTGTCGGTTTCTCATCCATCTTCGTACGCGGATCCTCCACATCCTAGTGCGGATTCAAGCCGTCACGTAACCGGCCAGCAGAACAACCATAATGGAGACGGCAGACTTCTTCTAAACCGATTGTACTCGTTTCATCATAGAACATTCATGCTGCATTTCACCCGCGGAAGCCAGCATTATCGTTTCGAGAACGTGCGATCAACTGCCAAGGTGGAGGTACACCTTCCTCTCCCATGTCCGAACCAAATGTAGAATGTGCCATGGTCGTTCTTTCCGGACCGGAAACACCAGAGAATCAGGAAAGTGCGACCCAGGAGCCGGGTAGCGTACCTGCCTCCTGGGAGTCTTGTGGAAACAGGGAAAGAACGACCGGCGTCTCACTCTAGTATGGAAGGCACGGTGGTCGCTCTTTCCCAACCACCATTCCATTAAAGGAAGGCAGAGGTCCAACCCAACCAGTCCCGCCTTAAGTCCTATGACCAACTCTTCCTTTGTGAACTACACTAGTAGGGATAAAACGCAGCGCAGACATGGACCTTTCGAGCTCTGCTATCTCTGTCTCCGGAAGCCCAGGTTCCGGTTCAGACGGGGCGTTGAGATGAGAGCTTGGAGCCGAGATTGATGTTTGTCGATGTCGCAGCCGGCCTTCTTGGGGCGAGTTTGGCGTACTAGATAGCCGACGCCGATGGGTTTGCATCGACCGCAGCATAGACGTTTGTCTGTCGATGCCGTCATTCACGATGTAGAAGTTATAGCTCTGAGTCACTTTAGTCCTTCTGCATCTGAGAAGATCCAAGTGATGGCAATACCTTGGGAAACATATGCTTATCTATGAGATGCATTCTGCGCTTTTGCGGTGTAGAGCATTTTCGCTCGCAGTTTTCGACAAAGCATCCATACTATATCCGATGTTAGCTGTCTAGATCTATACAGGGCAGAATAAATCCATACGGTTTTCTCGCCCCGTTCTCTCCTCGCAGCTATCAATGGGTCATGGTTCTCCTCAATGTGCAAGTTCAAGAACCGGTCTGTGGGGAAGTTTCTCGCGCATTCGGTACATCTGTTGACATGGGCTTGCTGGTAGTGTACTTCGTAGTCATCGTACGAAGAGAAAGAAAGGGTCTCTCTATGAGGCGGAAGGGAGCAGCGCATCACTTCTCCAACGGTAGGTATTGACGATGAGTCTGGAAGATGTATCTTGGAGGGAATTGACGCCAACGACTCTGGGGACAACGGTCTTGACCGACTTTCTGGTCCAGGCCCATTGAGCGATGATGTTCGAGAACGTTTAGCCATTTTCCCCTCACGAGTTACGGTGTTCTGCTAGAGACAAGATTGTTTCATCGACTGATTCTCTCATGGTTGCTCCAGTTGCTGCCTCTTTCTAGTTAGCAGCCATTCGACGGTCGACTGAAATAAACCATGAGAGAGAGGTAACAATGATACCTTACCGGGATGTATCATTCACAGCACTAGCCACAGCACGTGCTTGCCAAATGAACTGCCACAAGCCACAGACCAGTCACCACTCACTCTCGGAAATAAGGTACTCAAGTTCCCGTGATATTGGGTTTTTCTTGACAACGAGCGGCAGCTTTGCTCGTCGTCTCCTCCTCTTTCGCGCACCAGGGCTCATTTTCGCCTCATCTTCCCTACCATCAGCGCGTCATTGGCGTCGAATCCGAGAGCCCCACAACCCCCCATTGCCCGCCATCTTCGATATAACACTGATGGATCGTTCACTGATCCTACCGCCCGACTCCCAGCCAGCCATAGCCATCTGACGGGCGAAGCCAAAGGTGGAGTGAAAGGGGAGAGACCTGGCTCATCGCATCTTGAGCATGGCGTCTGCGTTTCAAAATGCGTGGCAGTGAGTTCCCTCGTTTTCACACTTGCGAACTCAGTCTGGGATTAAAGTTGCACAACTCATGAAACTGACTTGATATTGTGCTCCCGCAGGTCTGCGCTTGAGGTTGAAAAAGAGCTTATGAAAAGTCTCGCGGACAAAGAGCCCACGTTTGCTGAAATCTCTCATATCATATCGGAGTTAGTGTCCTCCAGTGTTGTGTTGCTGTCGACTGGAGTTGCGCGCAGGTCGTCTAACTAGCTGCTTTGCAGACTCCGCAGTGCTTGCCAGAATGCAATTCTCCAGGACTTTGAGACTGCGCGCTCCAATGATGTGGAAAGCCGCCTTTGGGATGCCCATCTGAAGATAAACACTCGGTTTCGAAAGTTGCTTTCTCGCGTGAGTGACGCATTCTTCATTACCACCCGCCTGCCCACTAATCTTTGACGACTTAGTTTCGCGAAGATAATGGAAAGAAGAAGAAACTGGTCGAGAGGCGAAGGATTGAGAAACACTATCTCGAATTCATAAAGTCGAGCCAGCGATTCTATCGCGGCTACATTCAGCAACTTGCTTCTCACTTTGGCGGGGTTTTGGAATTGGAAAAGGTCGCGCGCAAGTTTAGTTTTGACAGTAAGAATTACCTGCCCCCGTTTCGCTTTCCCAATTCACTTTATAACCGACACGACTGCAGAACTCTCCGCGGATCCCCCCGTCACACCGCCAGAGTCTCTTCGCAAATTGGTCCTGGGTTCATGCCACGCGACACTAATCCGTCTGGGCGATCTGTCACGCTACCGCGAAACCGAATTAGTGACCAAAGACCGCAACTGGGGCCCGGCGATCGGCTACTACGATCTGGCTACAGCCATCTATCCTACTTCTGGCGCGTCACACAACCAGTTGGCCGTCATTGCTCTTGCGGACGCGAACCATCTTAGAGCCACATACCACTTATACAGAGCATTGGTGGCCCAGGAACCATACCCTGCAGCGAAAGGCAACCTTGAAATTGAGTTTAGAAAGGTTATGAGCCTATGGGCTAAGAGGGAATTGATCGTTCCTGAAGATGCCGGTATTCCAGGCCGAGCACTGGCCCCTTGGTTTGTGTACCTTCATGCTCAATGCTACAGAGGGGTTGACTTCCCTGAGCACGATGAACTTGAAAGTGAGGTACTTAATCAACTGGCTGTTGACCTAAAAGAACGCTCACTTGAAGGGACCTTGCAAAAGTTTTGCTTGATTAACATCGCTGCCGAAGACTTCTCTCGCACCCGTTCCGATGGCGAGTCAGTGTCCAATGCACGTCTGTTCTTTCAACGGATCAACGTTAAGACCTTCTTTACGCTGCTTCAAATCCTGCTGGCCGAGGTGGAGCGATTTGCGGTCGAAGACGCAAAAGTCGGAGCCGACAAAGTGACCGTCGTTGCGCGTCGTATTCTTCCTGCCCTACGAAACTATAGCTCTTGGCTCTTGACTGTCAACCACCATCTGGTGGCCTACAATGAGAACGACACCCCACTCGCCGTTCAAGTAATCGAATTCTGGAAGATCTACGCAAACACGCTTACTCTTCTGGCTTCGACATTTGACGTGATAAATCTCCCCGAGGTTGATTATCTTTTAGAAGAAGATGAAGAGACATTGTGTTTTATGCCACTCAGCAAAAGCGCCACAAATCGCCGGTACTTAGACGTGCAGGATAAGCAGAAGCCCCGAATGAATGATCCAGGGGTGGAAAGAAGCCATCCCAACATTGAGATGCTCTACAGAATCCGCGAATTCGTGATTGATGGGCTGGATCTTGTTGTGGGCAACGTATGATAAGGCTACTGAACTACTGCCAAGTATTGCTGCTGACACTGTGTAGAAAATCCCCATTGCCCTTGTTGACGACGAAGACAAGAAGACGTTTATTTACAAGGAAGATGGTCTCCCTTCTCAATTTTTCGCGAGCCCTTCCGGTCATCGCCATACATTATCTTCTGCAAGCATTGAACGAGAGGATATCCAGCAAGTCAGGCAGGAGGCTCTGAATGCGGACTCCAGGAGCGCTTTTGACGGTTCGCAATCCGCTTCCATCTCCATGTCAACCAACATGCATGGAATTCTCGAGGGCGTGGAACGTTTAGTTGAATCAGACACATACGAAAATGCTCCGCTGGTTCCTGACCAGCTGGGCTTCTCAGCGGGTACTGATCACGAGCAACAGCGCCCTGTTTCAGCACAGTTCTTTGATCCCGTTGCAAATACTGCTCGACGAACCCCTATCGCTCCGCCTGGGCTCGGACCCCCTACTATGACGAACCATTCCGCTTCCCTGAATCGAGTTCCGTCCTCTCAATCATATACACCGCGACCAGCTCTTCCTGGAATCATGCCCAGCATTTGGAACACCACCTTTTCACCCGAGGCCGGTGATGCTTCTCCGCGTACTCCACCAGGCCTTCGACCACCGATACTTCCAGGAAGCGCTAATAGCCCCAGCTACCAACAGGCGTCTCAAGACGCTGCGACAAACGACCTATTGCTTTGCCAGGGCTTGCTCGCACAAAGTCAGTTAGAAAGCAACCCGCTCAATGGGCATAGTCCTTTATCCCCATGGCTGGCCGCACCAGGCTCGATAATGCATCACCAACGTTCCCCTGTCTCGCCCTGGGAACGAGACGGCTTTGGGCCGACCCCGTTTTCGCAGCAGCCTTTCTCTCAACAGCAGTTTCCTCACCGTGCCACTTTCGATCTTCCCAGTCAATCAATATCTAGCAGCCTGGCCAACGCCTCCTGGGCCAACGATGCGTTTCTTGCGAGTACCATGTCATCTGGGGTCGGATTTCAGAGTCCCGGACTTGGCAATGCTCGCAAATCCCAATCAGCTCAGTTCGGCGCTATTGGCCAGTCCCCACGTTTAGGGCATGGAGGATGAAACTGTGTAAGACAGGGATTGTTTCATCAGAAATACACTCTCTAGACGAACCACGCGATATCGCGAGGTTGAGAAGTCAAGTGAGGTCCTACAGATTAGATATGCCGGCCATCCTCGAAGCTATCTCTCTGGCGTGGAGAAAACAAGCTTGCATAGTCAAGTTATGCCTGTAGTCTCACATATACGCTATTGTGTGTCTCCATGGCTTCTGTCATCGTCAATCTGCTCCAAGAAAGGACATGGTCGCCCTTCTTATCCTGAAGTTCGGTCAGCTTTTCATATTGGCGGTTTGACCTGCTTGCTACATGTGTGCCCTTGAGATCTTCTAAGGGTGAAGATGAGCTACCGGTTTCCTCATTCTGGTTCTTTGATGCTTTTTATGCGAACTGTATGATGTATCTTCTATCGCGCGCGTTTTCTACACTTGGAAAGTCGCAAATGGGCGGATGGCGATTAGCTTCGGATTTAGGTATCTATCTAGATAGGATCTGAGCCGTGAGGTCTGCGTTCAATTTGCCATAGCAGATGTGATGTTCAGATAACCTAAATTTCCTGATCCTCTGCCGATACTGTCATATAAATTTTATCAGACAATAGCCTAGTAAGACCCGAGATATGCATCGTAACCAACACAATGCATCAATAGTTGTTGAAAATATGTGAAAAGAAAAGTAAAATGAAGTCCATCATTATAATCGTTGTTGAGAACGCCTTCTCTTGCAACTCCTGTCTATCATATTTTCAATCATCAAGGCATAGTTTTGTAATATAATGGAAGCGCAATTGCCCCACTGGAGGGAAAAGTGGAAATCGCACAGCGCCAGTCTAAGACGTTAAGTCAAGGACGAGATGGGTATAGAAGGTTGAAGAGTCCTAAATTGAGAACAAAATGAAAATTTATGCCCCAAGTCGGGCGTGGTGGGCGGCGGAAGAGAGCTGTGAGGTGTTTATGAGCGCTCGGGGGTGTAGGTTTGCTTGGGGAACGGGAAGCTAATGTTGTTAGCATAGAGCCTAACATTGACGTCGAATATAGTGAGTGGTGAAGGTGACTTACGAAGGACCCAGCTCCTGGATGCTAAGCTTGGCGAGCCACTGGCCGAGATCGACGCTCTCCTCGAGCGACTTGCCCTGCACAACACCGGCGGCGAAACCACCAGCGAAAGCGTCACTGAGTACAGTTAGTACATGCTTCTCCTTAATTTCGACGTTGACTTACCCAGCGCCATTGGTGTCGTTGATGGCGTCCTTGGAGATCTCACGGACTGGGAACTCCTTGACTTCGACCTCGCCGCTGGAGGTGACAGTGGCAGTGATGGTGGGTAGAGTGCCCTGAGTCACGACAGCAACCCTGGGGCGGCTGGTGTTCTTCTTAGGCAGTTGAGCGAGCTTCTTAGCGATCTCGACAATATCGGTGGTGCCCCATTCGTGGCTCTCAGCGTAGGCAACGGCCTCGGTCTCGTTGCAGAATGTGTAGTCGGTGTAAGGGAGAACGCTGTCGAGCTGGTCTTTGAAGAACTGGGCGATGAAAGGAGCGGAGATAGAAAGCATGAAGACCTGTTCAATCAATGATCAAAAGAGTTCAAATAAAGCGGTCGAGGTGCGTCGTACCTTGTTCTTAGCAGCAGCCTCCTCACCAAGAGCCTGAATGGCAGGGACGCAGACAGTCAGGTGGTATCCACCGACGTAGTAGAACTGAGCCTTCTCGACGAGGGACCAAATGTGCGGCTGCTTCAGGTGCTCAATCTTGTACTCGTTCGCAGCAGCAAGATGGGTGCACATGCTGCGGTTGTAGCCAGTAATGATGACACCGCACTTGCCAGTGGGTTGTTCATCGTCGACGCGGTACTCAGTGTGGACGCCGGCCTTTTCGCAGGCCTCCTTGAGGAAGTCGGCATACTTGTCACGGCCGACACAGCCAATGTAGAGAGTCGAGTTTTCGGGGAGGATGTACTATGAGCAGAGCATCTTAGCAACCTGATTGTCTGAATTCGAGCAGGCTAATACCTGAGCGCCACGAGCAGTATTCTGAGCGGCACCACCGGCAATCAACTTGGCATCGTTCTTGAGCAATTCCTCGTAGAGACCCATGTGCTTGTCCTCGGCGAGGATAGCATCGTTGGCCTTGAGTCCATACTTTTCAAGGAGGGCCTCGTCACTATTTAGACGTCAATTTGGCCCGTTTAAATAAGATTACGGCCATAAAGCATACCCGACAGCTTGAATATCTGTGACAGTGTTAGCAGACTGGGCCAATTGACAAGAGGACCTAGCAATCGCTAAGTATCCATGCTTTTCACATACCCAGGAGGGGGTTCTCCAAGCAGAGAAGAGGGTAACCCTGAGGAGCAGCCATGTTGATTCAATGCTGGAGCTAAGGTTCGGAGGAGTATGGAATAATGGTTTAGAATCAATGATTCAGGAAAATAGAGGAGAGCAAGCCGAGGAGAATAAGAAGAAAGGTGGGGGAAGCCGACGTTGAGGATATTGACCGAATAATGGAGGGGCAGCCAATCGGCGGCGGTGGCCTGGATGCCTGAGGCCACAAGCAACCTCACCTCGCATCATCGCTCGGCGGCCAGAGTATCTCAACCTGGAAGCCCGTTCCTCAACTACAACCAAGCTCAAACCTTCGAGTCGCGAGTGCTTTTTATACACTACACAATGGCCGACCCCGCTATCCAGGTCGCAGAGACCATTCAAACCGCGTCTATCAATCGAGCGCCATCCGCCCAGCGTGATATCAACCCGCCGACTGCTGCTTCGACCTCGGAAAAGAAGGCTGTCCCCGTCGAGCTTACGCCTTCCGATGCTGACAGCATCCCCTCGGACGTCGTTGACCAACACCACCGTGTGCTTAGGCCCGTTTCACGACGGCATACTTTGCCCCCGCTACCTGATCTGCGGTTCGAGCAGAGTTACCTTGCTAGCATAAGGGGTGCGGACACATGGGGCCGAGTAGCGTGGATCACCATCAGAGATCAGGTACGTGACGTACTTATGGCAATGTGCCTTCGGTTGTGGGAGACAAGTCTGATTCACTTTGATGTGTAGGTCCTCTTTCCTCTTGCCCAAGGTACACTATGGACACTGGCTCTTTCGGGCTGGCGTTACTGGAACCGTACTGCATCGCTTAGCGGACAGACACTAGGGAGCAGGATCCGGAGATGGTGGTATGAAGTGAATAACTGGAAGCTACCGCAGCTGCCGAAGAATCCATCAAAGGCCACTGCTGCGCAGGTAGAAGACGTATGTGCCGCATGCCCAATTCCAATCCCATATCCTTGACTGGGTATCTTTTTTCGACAGCCACTGACACTATGGAGTTTCTGCAGTTTTATACGGCGCAATTTTCCAACGCTGGTTCCGACTAAGGTTCTGGATTACTAGAATCAGATCAATGGTGGCGATGCCTTCCTCTTGCTTGCATTCAAGGCGTTAAGGATATAAAATGGTTTATTTATGTCATATATCCCGAATTCCCTCTGGAATTGATTGAGATAACGTGTTGTACATATATTGAAGATACAGACGCCTCAGCCTGGCGCTGATACGCTGACACCCTTGATGGTCATTATCCACAATAACCCTGTTGACCAGCGTCGATTTTATGATAATACATTTAAGAAATCATCGCTAACGAGTACAATGACTTACATTCCTCATACACATCACGCTTTTCTAGACGAGGGTAGATCTACCCATGTAAGTCACTCCGTGCTTCGGATCGCGCTATGACCTATAACCCACGGGAGGTTATAATAGTTCTGATGTCCCTTGACTGCATAAAGCCAGGTATATTAAACTGTTCCACCGTATTGCTGAGGCGGAGTTGGTACAAAAGTGCCAGGGCCATCTGCACTGTGTACAGTACCTTCACTCGCTGCTGAAGCAACCGGGCCAGCAGGTGCTGGGACAGGCGTAGCCTTTTGGTTCGCATCTTCTGGAGGTTCTTGGGGTGTGTTCAAGAGTCCATTGACGGACAACGGTTGCGGTTTGACAGCAGGCGGCGGTTCAGTATGAGCGGTTGGCGCACCAGTAACAGTCCCTCCCTGGGTCGCGGGATTATGGCTGGTTTGCTGCTCTTCGACTTGGTTTAGCTCGCCCTTTCTGCCGTATCTGAGCTGCACCACAAGACTAGGAGGTTCCCCGTTTGCCACGGATTCATCTCCACTCAGCTCTTCCTCATCATCACCCTCAAACTCATTATCATCCTCCTCTTCACCGCCCTGCCACTCATTTCCACTCGACTGTCCTTCGTTCGAGCCCTCGTCGTCATCTTCTAAGCCGTAATCCGTGTATCCATTTGCCCTGGTACTGCGAGTCCTCTGCTGCCTATTGGAATCATCCTCATCAACTGCAGGCCCGTCCTCTCGTTGGCCAGCAAGTAGGCTCTCCCCGTACAGGCCTCCTGTGCGCAAACGGATCTGCCTCCCACTGGCAGTAAACCTTGGACCCGACGGCTCTGCAGGGGTGGAAAGGCTGGAAGTGTTGCGCCCCGATCGCCGAGGCGCTGGAAGACCGTCAGAAAAGATCTCCTCGTCATCCGAGTAAGTGTATTTCAACTTCTTCCCCCGAGTACGGCCTTCGTAGAGTGAGAACCCAGGCTCTGGTCGAGCGAATTGAGCTTTGCGGGCAAGCCGATAGTCGCGGCGTTTGCGTTTCTGGTACGGTTAGCAGCTGATAATTCACAGCTCACAATGAACATACCTCTTCCGAACCCTCAAATCGAGGAATAGAGTTCTTTATCCTCTCACTTAGTTTCTTCGAATTTGTCCCCTTCTCCTCTTGTAGCTTTTCTGCGACAGCTTGTAACTCAGGGATCGTCCCGGCCACGCTCCACCATGTTACGTTCTTCAATGCTGGGTTGCTCTCGCGATAGAGCCTAAAGTGTGTATCATCCAAACCCTCAATGAGCCAATACCGACGCTTCAGGCTATCGCGGCCCCATGGCTGCACGGACAGAGGTTGGTTTAGGTCATCTTCGTGTCGTGATTGCTTATACGAGTCCTTGATCTTCGCCTGCACAGCTTCGGAGGATGAGAGGGACCAGAGGATCAGTGACTTCAACAATTGTAGCTATTCCCGGTCAGCATACCCCTCGTAAAGGACTGAGACCATCAAAGACCACATACACGTTCTTCCGGGGTCATTGAGGCGAAGTTGCGACCTCCATGTAGGGGGTTTTTGCCTTGCCAGGCTTTGGGCCACTGGGTCGCATGTGTCTGGATAGCTTCTTCCAACGGGCGCTGGTAATGATTTCGCCTGTAGATTACAAAAGGGAGCTGTCAGCGTCTTGCTGAGCTGCTGAAAAACGTGTAACCGGCAACTGAGCGATGTCCTCGGAGCTCATCGGGGGCATGACGCGAGGCGGAGATGGTAGACTTACTCCACGTCCTTCTTTCTGTTCAACACAAGTCCAAGTAATGCGCATAATAATCGTTCGATATGATCACCTGGCGCAGATTCGGCCACGCCTCGTTCAATGTCCTGCGGCCCAAAGTGTGGTGTTGATCGAGGGAATACTTCATGAAAACGCGCGCGGAACGTGACGATGAACTAAGAATTGCGATGCTTTAGCAGCACATTCACCAAGAGCCCCAGAAACGCAAAAAACAGGCAATGCCAAGCTTGAACGAAGTCACGGACAAGATATAACTTACTGCAATATCTGGATTATCGGCCAACACGTATTCATGGGGTGGTGATGGAGCTCGTTTCGGTGGCGGTGTCTCGGACTTCTCCTTCTGAAAGTACTTGGTGATGCCTACAGGCTCATCAATAGCCATGGGCGTAGACTCCTCATCTGAAGGAGGCGCCGAAGATAGCGATGAAAGATCCGAGTCGGACAAGGACATTTTCGAGAATTTGCGCTGTGACGGTGTCCGGCGTGTGATGTTCGGGGAGGAGAAAATGCGTGAGCGTCCGCGTCGCAGGAGGTTCGTTCTGGTGCGCTCTCCCCAGCTTCAAACGCGGCTTCAACGCGGTTGGCTCCAATGAAATGACAGCCCTTATCAAGGCATGATCAGCACCCGTTTAATCCATATATATACATTCTTTATACTACTAGAGACACCGGAATCATGCTGGAAATTCAAGCAACAGATATAAGGAGATATATTGAGTATATAATACGTCTTTTTATGTCTTACAAGCGCAAAAGAGCTCCAGGCGTTGATCCTATGCAGTAGAAGAAACTGCATTTTGTCGAGGCATAAAGCAGACGGCCCGAGTGGTAGCACTCGAAGCCTTCCAAGGCACAATGGACGTTATCCATGGAGCGCAAGGCAACACACTGCACAGTACGGAGTAATGTAGATAAAAAGTTCACTTGTTGTTCGTCATCGAGGCGGAGCGGCCCCCGACTTCAAGGGACAGATTCATAGTCTCCGGGCTACGGAGTAGGAGAAGCGCACGCCAATGCAAGCACGTCTTGAGACTGAGGCAAGCTCTGATAAATAGCTATATGCTATGGCCAGAGACTCCTTTGCAGCGAGTCATAGTCCTGACTTGCATTGTGAGGGTAAAGGTTGAACTGGGACAATATCAACCGCATTTGCCCACCAAAGGCCAGCGGGAAGTGTGCAAGATCTCTGCCAAAGCCTGTTAGCAGGTGATTTGTAGATAGACTCGCTCAAAAACAAGTAAAGTACGAAACCACGTCAGGCCCTCAGGCTCGAAACAGCTGTACGCCGATGTGATCAACAGCGGCGCTTTTACCATAAGCTGCCTCCTGGAAGCTCAGACTTAGATACGCGACGTTCAACCATTATGGCCAAACTAAGACCATCCCAACGACAGCGTAGACAGCACAGCTTTAAGCACAGCGACAAGGAAAACACCTCCTCGAGCTCGTGCTTTGTGGATCATGATGGACAATTGATGTTCCCGGTGGACTCAGCCGCGGATCATGATTGCTGGAGTGAAGTCCTTGTGGATGCCAAGCCACTAGTCCCATATTGGCTAGCCCGTCAGTAGCGACTTTTGGCCCTAACCCACAAACTTCGAGATTGAATTCTCGATCAAGTTACAACCCGTCAAGCCAATCTTCTTGAGGTACGACGACCACCATCCACCACAATCGCCGCGCGATTTCTTGTCAATACTAACCTTCAGGTTCGCATATAGAAAGTCGCCATGGGTCGTGTGATCCGCAACCAGAGGAAGGGCCGTGGCTCCATTTTCAGTGAGTGCGACCGCATGATCGCTGGACGACGGTGATATGGGAATTCGAAAAGGAAGAAAATTGCTGATAAAACTTCTCCTTCAGCGGCTCACACCCGTCTCAACAAGGCTCCTGCCCAGTTCCGTGTCCTCGACTACGCTGAGCGCCATGGATACACCCGCGGTGTCGTGAAGGAGATCATCCACGACCCTGGCCGTGGTGCTCCTCTCGCTAAGGTCCAGTTCCGTCACCCCTACAAGTTCAAGCACATCACCGAGACCTTCATCGCCAACGAGGGCATGTACACCGGCCAATTCATCTACGCCGGAAAGAACGCTGCTCTGACCGTCGGCAACGTCCTCCCCCTCGCCTCCGTCCCCGAAGGTACCGTCGTTTCCAACGTTGAGGAGAAGGCCGGTGACCGTGGTGCTCTTGGCCGTACCTCTGGTAACTACGTTACCGTTATCGGCCACAACCCCGACGAGGGCAAGACCCGTATCAAGCTTCCCAGTGGTGCCAAGAAGGTTGTGAAGAGCACTGCCCGTGGTATGGTTGGTATCGTTGCTGGTGGTGGTCGTACCGACAAGCCTTTGCTCAGTATGTGCCCTAGACTGGAAATCTGCTAGAATTGGCAAAAACAAGGCGATGGGAGGAACAGAACGCTAACATCTCCCTACAGAGGCTTCTCGTGCCAAGCACAAGTTCGCTGTCAAGCGCAACTCGTGGCCCAAGACTCGTGGTGTTGCCATGAACCCCGTCGATCACGTAAGGCTCTTTCTACCAATCTGGATCTTCAAGACAGTGATTGACACATTTTTCTACAGCCTCACGGTGGTGGTAACCACCAGCATATCGGTAAGGCCTCGACCATCTCCCGCTACGCCGCCCACGGTCAAAAAGCCGGTCTTATTGCCGCCCGGAGAACTGGTCTGCTCCGTGGTACCCAGAAGACCAAGGATTAAACGTGATATCATATGGAGTTTTTTTCTTTGTGACGGGTTGAAAATGCTCTTTGCTATGAGACATATGTACTTAGGCGACTGCGGACGCGTCCTTAGCCAATCAAGGTTGTGGCCCACAAAACAATTTCATTAACGGTTTAAAAAACGCAAAGTTGGAAAGACGTGGGTTTCAGGACTCGATACTCAATGCCTTTGGGTGCATTCTACGGTTCATATCTCAGGCTACAGCGGGGGCATTGGGCCAATAAAAGATCACGATTTCGCTTTCTCAAACTGGAGCCACATATCATGACGGTAGTCAAGCTACGAGCCGGCTCAGTCTTTGAAAGTCAAGATAATTGCTAGAATCCTGATTGTCAATTAGTAGCACTGGCCCCTACTGATAGCGACTTCAAGTTGGATCTTTAGCCCCATACGGAGCACTTACCAAATTCACTACGGTACATTGAATGTTCTTCATACCTAGTGTAACGATTGCTTCCTCTATAGTACCACTGCCACACTGCCACAGGCCCGTCTTTGCTATTCATACGTAGTCAGGAGAACATCCAGCATCTCCGATTACTATTCAGGATCTTCCCCACTTACTATAAAATCCAAGCATCTGAAACCATGCATTGAATCTCTCTACCACTTTATCAATCTGATACATCTATTAGCTATTATGTCTAGGGTCTTATCCCGACCCTCCCTGAGCCGCAGCCACGACATGCATTGAACAACCTTGGAATGCTTGTTGCTCTCAATGTGACCAATCAGCGTCACGATCCCGAGCTCCCAAGCCATCATTCAAGAGTCAGAGAAACATGTATTTAAGAAGTGCTACCCATCTTGCGACTTCTCCATCTACCTCGTGTTCTTTCTTATTTTATTGAGAACCGCGCCATTAAGCCTAACTCTCTACCTATCAGATGTCCCCAAAACCAACCCCTCAAAAACTTCCCCCCCTCCTCAAACTCAGCAATCCATCAACCTCCTCCTCAGTCTCTACCCCGGCAACAGCCAGCGCCAGTGCTGTCCGCTGGCAAGCCGTCGTAGCCCGCGATGCAAGCGCCACCGGCTTCGTCTACGCAGTGATAACAACGAAGATTTACTGCCGCCCATCATGCTCGGCGCGTCTCGCGCGACGCGCAAACGTCGAGTTCTATGATACTCCGGCTCAAGCTGAGCGCGCCGGATTCCGAGCATGTAAGCGCTGCAAGCCGGAAAGTCTGAAGCCTGCTGTAAATCCGCAACTTGTGTCCGTGCAGAGGGCTTGTCGCACGATCCGTGAGGATATTGGTGCAGGGAGGAAGCCGACTCTGGGGAAGATTGCCGGGGAAGCGGGGCTGACGCCAAGTCATTTCCACAGGGTCTTCAAGAGGGTTATGGGGGTTACGCCGGGGAAGTATGCGGAGGGGGTCTTGGCTGAGAGAGTTAATGCTGCCAGTGGTGTCGATAGTGATGGTGTGGGTTGGATTCAAGGGGAGGTGAGGGAGAAAGGGGGACCAGCAGACGGGATTGGCGGATATGGGAATGAGAATATCACCCCCATGTTTTTTCAACCTTGGGATGACAAGGTGTGCAGGGACTTGGATGCTTGGTTGATGGGTGGGAACTGGGGTGATACGGCTGGGGCTATTGGCGCCGATGACAATTCCTCTATGTTATGGAATGATTTCGATGATTTGATAGCTGCGGAAGCCCAGTTCGGATCGGGAGAGAGCTCCGGTTGGCCATTGGGAGGGGACACCTCTAGTGGTGACTCTCCGGGTCCTGAGATACTTCATGGTGGGCGGACTTCCTCATCTGCTGGTGGTTAAGCAAGCATCAACTCAGGATATGCTCAGCAATCTTTGTTCATTTTAGCCCTATGCTCGCCGCCATATTCACATACTCACCCTGGGCTTCTGCATCAATCTTTCTCGCATGGTTTCCCACATGGATGCAGCCGCCCTGAAAACAATGTCCGGCACTCGTTCCCGGCTACGTCAAACATCTTCTAGTTTGGTTCTCTTTTCTCTCCGGAACTCTACCGGCGTTGATTCAGAGTTCGTGACTATTTCAACGTGGACCATCAGATCCGCGAATGACAGCACATCCTGACAGAAGCGGAATTACTCGCCTCATACCGTCAAAATGCTTTGGCATATGCTTTTGACCCTGACTCTCCTACTAGGGCCTGGTGTTAAAGCAGGCAGCCCTAGTTCCAGCTTCCCATCCGCCCTCAGCCCCTTACAGTCCCGCCAGTCCTCAGATCCGCTGAGCGAACTCCTCACAACGCTACAAGGGCTGACGGCGGCCCTTACCCCAGCCCTCCTTACAGACTTGATAGATGCGGTTCACTACACAGCATATCTTCTGCGTGCTCCAACAACAAATACGACGCTGGCTCTCATCGCCACTACATACGAGCTACTCAATCCCGATACCGTACGCAAGATCTTTGCAGCTGGCACGGCCTTGGGACAGATGATCACGCCTGAGGTCATCAATCACCTAGCTCAGTTTGACATTAATACGTTGTTGGGAGGCCTTGTGAAGGTGTATATCACCGTCAAGAACATTATAAATGCCTATAGCCCTCTGGTCACGAATATGGCATCTTTCCTATTGGGACTTGACATTCGCCCCGATTTATTCGAGTCTGTGCTTCGAAACATCCAGCCCTATGCTACTTTGGTGGCAACAACCCTATCACGACCTGAGAGCATCGAGATCATCTTCACCACACTCACTGTCCTGATCAGCGCATTCAGCTTCGCAATCACAGCAGAAAACCTCCAGCAACTAGGCGAGATGGTTAGTATAATCTTCAGCGTACTCACGCCCGAGTTCGCATATGAGATACGCAGTGTGATTACCTCCGACATCCCGGGCTCTCAGCCCCAAATCTCCTGATGGGATGGGCAACCACCTGGAAACCGGGGAGATCTCTGACGCCTCAATTCTTCGGCGGCACGGAGACTGTTTCGGGCTCTGTGGCGAAGGTAGGACTTTCTTTTTCGGGCTTTGGGAAGTGAAATAATTTATCGCCGGTCTCAGCGGTGGTGGAGAAATGCTCTAATTCTTGGGAATGTATGATATTGCCTACCGTTGTCTCGCCCGTGTAGTTACTATCTAGAGTGAGCTTGGCCAAGTCAGTCGCCATCAGCTTGGAAGGTCTAGGATAGAGTCATAGTGGATCAACCATCCGCTTGCGTGAATATACTTTGATTAACAGTGCTCTATTTCCCAATAGCAGACTATCCTGAATACACAATAATGGCATTAATTTGTTTCTCTGATGTTGCATTTAGTTATTTGGATAAGTGTACTGACCAGACTACACTAGTATAGAATGCTAGCACCAACCCAGAAACTCCTTAAAGATGGTTCTGGGTTCAACCTTGTATTCTAGATGGATTTTATCATCGGGTGTCTTCAAGCTCCGCGCATTCTAGATAGTGCGCGTAAACCTTGGGAGTGCGTTCCAAGGTGCCTAGAAGCGATGCTCCCAGGGGTGGGTTGGTTTGAAGGAAGTACATGCAAACAAGGCACTGACCACGGCGCCCTCGAGACTAATTTCCAGGCCAAACAACATCGGATATGGTCGAGCCCCGGTCACATGCGACAGAGCTTCGATATGGACTGGTGTAGTATGTTCACGGTCTCAATAGCTCTTCTAGAGCCCCGGCAAGTCGCCGGACAGGCTTCGATGTGCCGGTCCTGCTTAAGTCTATCATCATCGGTGCTGGTACACGCCTCTTACTGCACTCCAAATTCCGAGTATGTGGGCGATAGAGGTTGTGCTACTAAGGTCTGTGTGTTGGGCTTCGAGCGCATTGTGTAACCGGGACCTTGCTGGATCCGTTTCGCAATTTGACTAGGATATATATATTCACCAAGCTGCTCGAGTCGCCGAGCACGAACCAACGATTTGTCGCCCCGAACTCGAGTTTTGGCGCCACCTTGAAGGCGCCAAGTATTTGCGTCAAGAGTGGCCTTATTATGGTACCTGTCTGTGCTCATTGAGACTACGTTCCTCCCGGAAGCAGTTTACGAGTACGAGTACATCGTAGGTACTCCGTATATCGCTCCGATGTCTTGGGACTGAGAGTCGAACTCAATTAACGGTAATACGCTTGTATTGTTGCCACCATTCATTAACTTGACCAATGATCACTGTCGGAAGTGGTATTGTTTGGTAAAAGAATAAAATTTTGAACGCATTGACAATCACTGCTGTTGTCAGACCAGGATCATCAGATACTTTGCATTTGGTGGCGCTTCTGGACACAAAGCGACGAAGATCAATGCAGTTGTTTCATCCAAAGCGCCAGTTTGGCAGTCGATCAACAGTCCCTCACCTATCAAACCTGTGCTGTAAATAGAAGTGGCAAAGAGTCCAAACCCGAGCCTCGATTATAGTGGGTGGCCCAATCGCCCGGCCCGCAAACGCGTGTCGCTTTGCAAATCTGGGCGAGTCAAATATTGTCCTGATGGTGATACACCTGAAGGGATATCTCGATAATCGATTTGTCCAGCCATCTCATGTTTCAATCCACTCGGTTTCAGGTACACACTACTGACCGTCAACCGGTGGCTGTGAGCCCCGCATCTTACTGGTAGCTGCCAGTGGCCAGCGCCAATTTGAGGAGGTTCCAGTGTTCGACCTGGATGGTCCAGCCTCCACACCAGTGCACCAACCCATCTGCTTATCTTGTTGGGGGCTCACCCCCAAGAAACATGGATGTCTGACCCTGTTCAGGCCCAAACCCAGGATCCTACCCTCCCTTTGCGCCCGTGGAGAAGAGATTGGGATGTCTGTGGCGCTTCCGGCAATGGGCTCTGGCCGATTGCGATTGGCATGGTATGGCGTTACTGCCTGTCATTCCTCAACGGTTGCCCAAGCGCTTTTCGGCATTTCTGGTCGCAATGATCATGCTAGGCAATGGTAATGCTAGCGGATTCAATGCGATTATTAGTGGTTAAGTCAACGTAATAGCATGCACCTGTAAGCCTAGCCTATCTGCGAAACAGAAAAATAAAAAAAGGAGATAGAGTGTTGGAGGGAAAATTTAGCTGGGGGTGGGCCTTTCGCATTAATTATCAGGCACTCCCCTCTGCTGTCGCAAGGTCGTCTCTTCTCTTTCTTCCTTCCTTCTGCATCTTTATCGCACCCTTGGCTCTCGCTCGACGCAGACGAGCTCTTTGTCCCCTCCTTGTGTGTTCTGTTGAAGATATCATTGAACTTGACACTCACAAAGGTTCCTTCGTTTACTACCGCATACAGCGTATTTTATATGACGGGCCGCATCGCTCTGTAAGATTTATATCCATTTTTCGAATCGCAACTCAGGCAGTTCGCTACTATCAGATCAATTTCTCAAAATGAACGTCAACAAGAGGTTCGACCGTTTCAAGCAATGGGCCGGAGAGCGTATGGGTGGTGAGGTCAAGACAAGTGTCTCTGACGACTTCAAAGCATTGGAGACGGAAATGGGCGTGCGCCATGAGGGTAGGCTATCGTCATCAGTCCATCATGATTTGAAATTCCATTAATTTCCCCTGGCAACCACCAGGTATCGACCGTATCCACAAGTCTATGACCACATATGTCAAGTCCATTTCAAAGCGCAACGAGGGCGACGACAAAGAAAAGACCCTGCCCATTGCTCAGCTGGGTGGCAGCATGATTACCCACGGAGAGGACTACGACGCAAACTCCGAATATGGACGCTGCCTCACGAGTGAGTACATTTCATTGAGGACAACATGCCAACCGAGAGTCTGACTGTTCGTTTAGTGTTTGGCAGGGCCGAGGAGCGTCTTGCCCGGATCCAAGAAGCCTACATTGCACAGGCGACATCGAGCTGGCTCGAGTCCCTAGAGCGTTCCTTGACCCAATTGAAGGATTATCAGGTGAGGCTCTTTCAGTTTGACAGGCTTTCCATCTCTGATTTGGACTCCACAGGCATCTCGTAAGAAGTTGGATAGCCGCCGACTCGCGTACGATACCTCCCTCTCAAAGATGCAGAAAGCAAAGAGAGAGGATTACCGCGTGGAGGAGGAACTACGGACACAAAAGGTCAAATACGAAGAAGCGAACGACGACGTCCACCGACGAATGCTCGACATCAAGCACGCAGAGCCGGAGAATGTGATGGATTTGCATGCCTTCTTGGATGCCCAGCTGAGCTATCACGATCAGTGTAGGGAGGTGCTTCTCCGGCTGAAGAATGAGTGGCCTAGCGAGTAAGCTTCACCGAATATCAGTGAGATAAGTTCCTTTAGAGCTAACATGAGATAGGCAATCTTATATCCAACCTCCGACTACCCACCGTGGGACACGCTCCCGCTCAAACACTGGACATTCGTTCCATGAGCGGTACGAGCCGCTACACGAAGAGCAGACCAATGCCGCAGAATCCCGGCCCATCATTCGATCGAACACGCACACCCTGGTCGAATCTCCCGCAAGAAAAGTTTACGGGCAGGATACTTCCCCTCACAGGCCTGTTTTGAACCGTACCCCGACATTCGAAGGGCCGGCTCAGCTGCGGCATGTCCAGGAACACCCTGCATCTACCCAGTGGGCATCACGAGCAAACAGCGAGAACTTTATCACTCGAAGAAACAGTGTTCAAGTGCGCCCGGCCAGCAGAGTGATCCCCGAGCCTGCGGATGATGCTGGTTACCATAGCGGAAGTGTCTCTGATCGTTCGGACAATGGCTGGCTGGAGCCTCGTGCATCACCATTTGGCAACTCGGTATCAAGGCGGACCAGCTCCAGCACGCTGAACAGCTTCCCTGCACACAAGAAAGCTCCTCCTCCACCACCACCCTCGCGTGCGAAGAAGCCTGCACCACCCCCTCCGATGAAGCGTCCCTTGATCAGCGCGGCGCCGGTATAGGAGGCTCGTCGCCTGTCACTTGGCTTGAATTCTGTATAACTTGGTGCTGCGAAGACTATGGACTGCATTATGGGTTTATCATTGTACAACTGCTTGGTCGTAACTGTATTGTTTTCTCTGCATCACCTCGCTGGGCGAGCTTTAGAAAGGCAGATATCGGTTGCGGTTTGCCGGAGGATACGCCTTGCGATTTTGAGATTATGTATCATTGTTAATGCTGTAGGCGCAAAAGACGGCTTACTGAGCCCACTATTAACAAATGAAAATTGTAAATTACTTGCGATCCTCTTATATTTGGGGAGGCTTGGTGAAGACAGAAGGGTAAAATCGGAAAATGGATTTACCGATCCGACCCTCATGATCAGCAGACTTCTTCGCTGGGCAACTCCTCTCTCGCCTTCTGCTAGCACCGCCGACCAAGGACAAAGTCGCGAAAAGCCCGTCCCTTCCCATCCATTTCATCAACACTGTCTTTCCACGCGCTTTCTGGTCTTTATCCCCCCACTCACATCGCGGCAACCTATCTTCCTCCCCTTCCCTGCTGATTGTCCTGTTCGTCGCCTACCGCCCCGTGCCCCCCGACCAGTCTAAACATCACGAAACCTGTCTCCAGGGCTTGATACAGGTCGCTCTTGTCGCATTCATCGACAAAACAACTTTCCCGCTCTCCATTCTCCGTGATTTCACGCGCTTTGTCGCCTTTCCGTCGCGAACTCGCAATTGGCCTCACGAATTTGTTTTTTTCCACGTGTTTCTCGCTCCCTGATTTGGACTCAGTCGCATCGAAAACCCGCTTCCCGACGTGTTTTCCATGCATCTGAATAGACAATCGACGCGCTAGAGCATGGCTTCCCTTCAGGCAACCCCCAATGTGGGGGCTGGGAATATGGGCTTGCCCCCGAACTTGACCCAACAGCACATTCAAGAGGTGCTTCAGGTATGGCAACCTTGCCTCACTTCTCTATCCTTTGCGTCCAGTCTAGTTTTGTATTGTTCCCACAACCCTTTCTAATCCCGTCCATTTCCACATTTGCTGTTATTTCTGCCTCTTTCAACGTAAATGTCTCCCTTTGATAATGGCTGACCATTCCGTAGAAATACAAACAGATGCAGGAACAAGGTGTTCGCCACGATGATCCTGAATACCTCAAGGCTCATAATCTTCTTGCCGCAGTTCAGCGGCAACAAGCGTTTCAGAAACAGCGGCATTTCCAGCAACAGCAGCTTCAGGCGCAACGGCAGCAACAGCTCAATGGCACCGGCCAAGACTCTGCTGGGCCCAACGGAATTAGCAGTAAGGCCTATTACATTACTCTCTGATCCCTATTTTTTGTAGCAGTTGCTTACCAGCTTATCATTGAAGGCCGCAACAACTCCGTCGCGTCCGCCAACATAGCTGTCCCGGAAGCAGCTCCAACCTCGGTTGCGAGCCAACAACAGGCATCGCAAAAAGGCGCCCCGGCTGCTGCCGCTGCCGCCAATGGCAGTTTCTCCGCAGAACAATTGGCGACACTCCGCAATCAAATAATGGCTTTCAAGATGCTGTCAAAAAACCTTCAAATACCACCTCGCGTCCAGCAACAGCTGTTCTCGTCCAAGAAACTCCCCACACCCGCGCCGTCAGATAGCGTCTCTACTGCCGAGAATGTCTTGGAAACAGCTGCGCAAGGCAAGGCCGAGCAAATAGCAACCACTGGAGAGGGAGCCAATGCTAGGGAGTTTTACGAAAGCTTCCAATCGCCCTACGACTTGATTCCTAAGACCATCACCTTCACAGATCATTCATCCCGTGCCCATCGTATGCGTATCCCAGCTCTGATGCCACCAGGTATCGACCTGGAGCAAATGCGTGAGGAGAGAGAGATCGCTCTTTATAATCGGATTAACGCGCGAAAGGCGGACCTTGCTGAGCTTCCTGCTAACCTGAGCGCTTGGAACTCGAGCCAAAGCGACTCTGCTACGGGCGACGATTCGCTAAAGCTCAAGGCTTTGATTGAGTACAAGATGCTCAACCTCCTACCGAAACAGAGGTTATTCCGCAAGCAGATTCAGAACGAGATGTTCCATTTTGACAACCTTGGCATGACTGCTAACCGCGCGAGCCACCGACGCATGAAGAAGCAATCTCTACGGGAGGCCAGGATCACCGAGAAGCTTGAGAAGCAGCAACGTGACGCTCGGGAAACGAGGGAGAAGAGGAAGCAGTACGACCAGCTGCAAGCAATCCTCAACCACGGGGTCGAGCTTCAGAACGCGGCCAACCAACAGCGCACACGCATGCAAAAGCTTGGACGTATGATGCTCCAGCACCACCAGCACATGGAACGTGAAGAGCAGAGACGCGTTGAGCGAACTGCCAAGCAACGTCTGCAGGCTCTCAAGGCCAACGATGAAGAGACATACCTGAAGCTCTTGGGTCAAGCCAAAGACTCTCGTATTTCCCATCTTCTCAAGCAGACTGATGGCTTCCTTAAGCAACTTGCTGCTTCCGTCAGAGAGCAGCAACGTAACCTGGCGGAGCGTTACGGCGAAGACCATCAGATCGAGGACGACGAAGACGAAGATCTCGAATCCGGTAGCGATGAGGAAGGCGATGGCCGACGAAAGATTGACTACTACGCAGTTGCTCATCGTATACGCGAGGAGGTTACCGAACAGCCGTCGATTCTCGTTGGTGGTACATTGAAAGAGTACCAGATGCGTGGTTTGCAATGGATGATTTCTCTTTACAACAACAACCTCAATGGTATCCTGGCTGATGAGATGGGTCTCGGAAAAACGATTCAGACCATCAGTTTGATTACCTATATCATTGAGAGGAAACGGAACAATGGCCCATTTTTGGTCATCGTTCCTCTTAGTACACTGACCAACTGGAATCTCGAGTTTGAGAAGTGGGCGCCTGCCGTCTCTAGGATTGTTTACAAGGGACCGCCCAACGCCCGTAAACAGCAGCAGCAAAATATTCGCTGGGGCAATTTCCAGGTCCTGTTGACAACCTATGAATACATCATCAAGGACAGACCCATCTTGAGCAAGATTAAGTGGACTCACATGATCGTCGATGAAGGTCATCGCATGAAGAACACGCAGTCTAAGCTTAGCAGCACTCTTTCTCAGTACTATACCAGCCGTTACCGATTGATTCTGACGGGTACTCCGTTGCAAAACAACCTTCCGGAACTGTGGGCTCTGTTGAACTTCGTTCTGCCTAACATCTTCAAATCAGTCAAATCGTTCGATGAATGGTTTAACACGCCATTCGCCAATACCGGTGGGCAAGACCGCATGGATCTGAGCGAAGAGGAACAACTTCTCGTTATTCGTCGTCTGCACAAGGTTCTTCGCCCATTCTTGCTCAGACGTCTGAAGAAAGATGTCGAGAAAGATCTTCCTGACAAGCAGGAACGTGTCGTCAAATGCCGCTTCTCTGCCCTACAAGCCAGGTTGAACAAGCAACTTGCTACCCACAACAAAATGGTTGTCAGTGACGGCAAGGGAGGCAAAGTCGGTATGCGTGGTCTTAGCAATATGCTTATGCAACTGAGGAAGCTCTGCAACCACCCTTTCGTCTTTGAACCTGTTGAGGATCAAGTAAACCCCGGACGAGGCACTAACGATCTGATCTGGCGTTCTGCGGGTAAATTTGAGCTACTGGACCGCATTCTTCCCAAGTTCAAGGCAACCGGTCATCGTGTCCTCATGTTCTTCCAAATGACCCAGATTATGAACATAATGGAGGATTTCCTTCGCCTTCGTGGAATGAAGTACCTGCGTCTCGATGGATCGACGAAATCCGATGATCGTTCTGACCTGCTGAAGCTCTTCAATGCTCCTGGATCGGACTATTTCTGTTTCTTGCTCTCGACGCGTGCTGGTGGTCTCGGTCTCAACTTGCAGACTGCTGATACCGTCATCATCTTCGACTCGGATTGGAATCCTCACCAAGATCTTCAGGCTCAAGATCGTGCTCACCGTATCGGTCAGAAGAACGAAGTCAGAATTCTTCGACTCATCACATCCAACTCTATTGAAGAGAAGATTCTTGAGCGTGCTCAGTTCAAACTGGATATGGACGGTAAGGTCATCCAGGCAGGAAAGTTCGACAACAAATCCACCAATGAAGAACGTGATGCTCTGCTACGTACCCTGCTTGAAAGCGCTGAGGCCACGGAACAGGCGGGAGACCAAGATGAAATGGACGATGATGATTTGAATGAAATAATGGCTCGGTCGGATGAAGAGATAACGATATTCCAGCGTATGGACAAAGAACGCCAGAAAAATATCCCGTACGGACCTGGTCATAAACTGCCGCGTCTCATGGGCGAAAGTGAACTTCCTGAAATTTACATGACCGATGAGAACCCGGTTGCAGAAGAAACCACCGAGGTTGAATTTGCTGGCCGTGGGGCACGCGAGCGCAAGGTTACTCGCTACGATGATGGTCTCACTGAGGAGCAATGGTTGATGGCAGTGGATGCGGATGATGACACCATCGAGGAGGCGATTGCGAGAAAAGAAGCAAGGGTTGAGAAGCGTCGTGTCAATAAGGAAAAGCGTACACGCAAGGGTGGAGATGGTGCAGAATCTTCGCCCGAGCCATCTCGCGAGAGCTCCGAAACACCTCAGCCCAAGAAGCGTGGTCGCAGAGGTCCTGCTCCAAAGCGCAAGGCAGAGGAGCTCGTCGAGGAGACGCCCCAGCCAAAACGCAAGAGGGGCAGGCAAGCAAAACCTATTGAGACCTTGAGTGCTGAAGATCGAGCTGCTATTCAGCAAATCCTCAACAACGTCTACCAGGCTTTGATGGATATGGAGCAAGAGCTCCCCGCCGACTCTTCCGATAGCGAGGACGGGCCTGTTACGCGGTCTATAATTGAGCCGTTCATGAAACCGCCGCCCAAGTCGCAGTACCCCGATTACTACATGATCATACACAATCCTATTGCAATGGAGATGATTCGAAAGAAGATCAACCGTGAAGAGTACCAGAACCTGAGAGACTTCCGGAACGATGTCCACCTCCTGTGCCAGAACGCTCGAACGTATAATGAAGATGGCAGTATCCTCTTCCAAGATGCCAATGACATCGAGGTAAGTCACTCTTGTGTTTTTGTTTCTTTTGTCAATTACTCACATGTATCTAGGCGATGTGTGTGTCTCAGCTGAGAAAAGAAACCCAAAGCTACCCACAATTTGCCAACTTTGATGACTCGTCAGCGGTTGCAAATGACTATTCAATGTCCTCGATCTCTGGAGTCGAAACGCCAAATGCAACTGCCACGCCAGGACAGCCGAAGTTGAAACTCACGTTCAACGCTGGAGGTGCTATGGCTGGCATGAACGAAGACCAGTGATGAAACAGTTGGACCCTTGTTAATACTTATTTGTTCTAAAGATATCTTGCAGAGATGCACATTTGCTCTTCTCACGTTGTTTTTTTATTAAAGCATGTACTACTCCCATTCCAAGGTTGCTCCTGGGTCGGCGGCGTTCTGTGACTGGGCGGCAGGTGAGCAATGATGGCCGACGGCGCTGTCAGACTCTACCTATTTTCTTGCAAAGACAGGGAAGTGTTTTCCCGAGATTTGCCAATATGTTTACTATTTATCATTTGCCTTCGCCTTTGTCCTTCAACATCCTTTTCATGGCGAGCTTTAGAATTCGAGAACATCCTCTGCCACATTTGGTCACTATACATTTCTATAAGTTGGGTCTATACTTCTCTCGGCCTGCGACGTTTTAAGTATGAAGACGATAGGATCGATCGTTTGCGGGGCTTATATTCTGTGGCTCGGTAATCATGCTTGACCAGCTGCTATCTATAGAAACAGACAATATTGATCTCGATCCCAGCGCTGAGCTACATGCGGAGATTCTAGAATCAAGCAAATGAATAGATAGGTACCAGCTCGTAAACGATCACCATACCCGCAGCAGAAGATCATTCGTCATGACCAGACAGCAGCGACAGGTTTAAAACTGACCCTCTGGTTGGTTGTGATACGTCATTATGCCACGTGACCTACAGTTACCGCCAGCTCGTCATTCTCCAACTCTGGAGTCTCACTCTTGATAACGGCTCGACCACCCAACCCTCTTCTCCTCGCTTCTGTCTACCTCCATCACTCTTGTCCACCTTTGACTGCTTTGTATCCTCAACTCTTCCCAATTGCACAGATTCATTAAACAAAATGGCTAGCTTCCAGGACCGTGCTCAGCACACCATTGCCCAGCTCGACAAGGAGGTAAGTTGTTTGTGTGCGTTTTAAGTGCTGATCCCCATGTGTGTGGGCTATCTCGATGGTGCTCGGAAATAGCCCATCTGGTGCTCTCCCATCACCCCTTGAATTACTCTTGTCGCACTTGGCGAGAAGGAAATTGCTTCCGCACTTTCCGAAGACGAGCTTCTTATCGTCGCACTTGTCCCTCATTTTCGGGTTTGCCTAAGCTACGACCTCAGAGCTAACCAATTCCCGCTATCACAGCTTTCCAAGTACCCTGTCCTCAACAACCTCGAGCGCCAGACTTCTGTCCCCAAGGTCTACGTCGTACTTGGCCTCGGTGGAATCTACACCTTCCTCGTCTTCTTCAACATCGCCGGCGAGCTCCTTGTGAACTTGGCTGGTTTTGTCCTCCCCACCTACTACTCCCTCAATGCCCTCTTCACAGCTGGAAAGGCTGATGACACTCAGGTGAGCTCTCTCTCTCTAACCTATCGTAAAGGTTGATATGCTGACCCATCCCGTGACACAGTGGTTGACTGTATGTACTCGTGATTCCCTTGCATCCCTGCAACTGCCGGGACAACTCGCCTAGGCATTTCGCACGTGATGCCTTATCGCGAGAGCCCCAAAACTGACATGTGAAACAATAGTACTGGGTGGTCTACGCTTTCTTCACTGTTGTTGAGAGTGCCATCAGCGCTCCTTACTGGTTCCGTAAGTACTCGCCTATAGCGAAACTGGATTAATTGGTAAACAGATACTGATTTGCGCTCAACCAGCCTTCTACTACATCTTCAAGTTTGCCCTTGTCCTCTGGATGGCTCTTCCCCAGACCAAGTAAGTCAATCGCTGCGACAACCTCGGGCAGGTAGAGCGGTGCTAACAATGTCCTCTCTAGCGGTGCTCAAGTCGTCTTCAACTCTCTCCTCCAGCCCCTTGTTGGCCGCTTCTTCACTAGTGGCTCTACCTCGGCCAACCTCCGGGCCCAGGCTGATGCCGCTACCAAGTCGCAGTAAATAGACCGACGGTGAATATGCACTTGTGGCTGTCTAGCGCAGCCACAAGTCTGGTCTATTCTCTGCGCACTTGGTGAAATAAAAATTATATGATGACGAAAATGATCACGAAACTCGCTGATCTTGAGTTAGATGGCGGTGGTGGTGCGGTGAGAGCCATGATGGACTGCATGGTAGTGATGTCGAGACATGGGAAATCTGTTTCTCTTTTCATATGATTGTTGTAGAAGGTTTGCGATCGTCGGTGATAAGGGCGGGAGCTGGTTTCGTTCGGTAGGCAGGTATAGGTATTTTGATGCATTTATCTGTTGGGTAAACGTTGTGCACTATTTCTTTGCGCTCGGTTCCTGACTATTTGATATCTTTCTCGGTGACGTTCCACGAGCGAGCCCAGGATCTGTACTCGCCAGTAGAATTGCTATCGGCATACGGGTAGAAAGAACGAGAGGAAAGACAGTCGGCAATCCGCCCTTGATGGTATGTATGATATTGCTAATAAGACTGGGTACCGTAGCCCAGCAAAGAAAAAGCCACCCGGTGGATACTTTACACAGGAAGATTTTCCAGTCATTAATAGAGGCCAAAGCGATTCTGCCAGCTATCTGAACGGGGATTCAGGACAATGCGGTAGGGGAACGGATTCGAGTCGCTGGTCGTAATTGGGGGAATGTGATCTTTCTCGTGGTTCACGATGGAGAGGATCTTCAGCGCAGCTTTCTGTAGCATATTCTCCATTGCCCTGCGAACCTTTGCGCGCTCTGAGCGAGGGTGTTGGTTAGCATCGGGGCGCCTCTTAAGATCAACGCATGGAAGAACAAGAAATGGCATACCAGACTCCGTCCTCGGCGTCGCAATCGTCACCTCTAAATTCCACACCTCCCAGCAAATCTCCTCCTCGCCCTTCCCCGCTAGCCCCGGAAACCATATCCCCGAGCGCCTGCGCTTCTTTTCGTAGAACTCTACAGCAATCCGCCCGCGGACGCCGCCTGTTCCTCCCCCGGTTGCCGTCCCGCCACTGCTAGGGTCGAGTCCGTGTCCGTGTCCCGTCGCGGAAGAGGAGTGCTGGCGGACTAAAGAGGAGATGCGCGAGTCGATGAGGGTTTCAAGATCTACATCGTTGATTGCGGGGAGGGTAAAGTCAAGCACGTCGAATGTTTTGGGGCGAATGGAGGGGAAGTATCGGTGGAAGAAGATTAGGTTGAGTATTCCTGTTTCGAGGCGGTTAGACTGATTTATGATTGAAGTTTTGTAGATTGCGTAGAAACCTTTTAATACGTCTCTCACGGTTGTGGTGTCTGCGAATATCTCCAGGACGTACTCTGGAGGGGTCTTGCGGGGTTCCATTGTGAGGTTGCCGGGGGTGGAGAGGGAGGGTCCTTTGACTTTGGGGATGATGCGGCGATGAATATGAGGTTGATTGGTCGTATATATTCTGTCAAGTGCTCAAGCTGACTGTCTATATCGCTGGGAGAGTGAGTCGGAGGAGGGCTGGCTCCGGTGATGACCCAGCTGGGCTGGACTCCGTAAGGGCGGAGGAGCTGTCCCGCTACGTGGGGGAGATAAGAGCGGGTGCTTGTTGGGGAGCAAAATCGAGCGATGGGTGAGCTATGGAATGTTGGTTGGAGAGATAGAGAGCGATAAGTAGAGTTGAAGAGGGGGAAAGTATCCTGAGATGTTGTTTCTTCATGGAGGACGCATCGTGTTCCAGGGGGTTAAGGGCCCCTTTCGTTCAGTCATTCAAGTGGAAAGAAAGGGAACAAGAATCATCCATGATTATTCTGATCCGGGGAGGAGACTGCTAAAATACGAACTTGTATCGCCGTGACGCCACATGCCCCTCCACAACCAGGTATTTATCTGCTGCAAGTTGTATTGCTATTACCAGTTTACTATTTTCACTGATCTGGCATCCCACTTAGCTGAGTTATGACCGTGAGTCTCCTGCCAGCTATGGCTCTTTGATATGAGATTCTGGCGATAATAGTCCTGAGAGCCTCAAGTATGCTCTATGTTTGCCCAAATTGACCTCGTCGTATGTTATTTTGTCACAGACACGGACCTTATGACGTTGCAGCGACCTGGTCCCCGTGACCCTAGCAAGCTGTCGGAAGACGTAGAGAAGACCTAGACTGCTGCAGTCTCAGGCTGTTGCCGAAGAAAAGCTGTCATACGAGCATTAAGAGTACCAGCAGGTCATGTTGGGACAGACTGGGGTTTGGGAAACGCCATTACTGTGATCTCCAGATTCTTGGGTCGTTCACATTTCCTTATCAGAAGGCAAGCATCGTTTAGCCGAGGCCGCTGCTGGCACTGGCCATTCTCCGACCGTCATTCTCGGTTGCTGCCATCGCCATCAATGACCTGGCCTCCCTCTCTTCGCTTCACCTTTTTCATTTTTTGGATCTATTCATTTTCTCAGTTAGAGCATCTTTCTCAAGTTTCGATGATCTATAATGAACTGCATTGACCGAATACCTTCTTGAAGCTGAATCCCGAACTCCCTTTGCTCCACCATGATCAGTGCTACGCGGCGCTGGTTCCGGCGCAATCGCAAGACCCTCGCAATCGGCACCGGTGTAATCGGGGTTGGCTACTTGGCTGGACAATATGTGATGTCCAAGATCTCCGAAGCTCGAGAACGCATGAGTAGTGACCGTATCGCTCGGGAAAAGTATGTGGCCAGCTTCTTACACTTAATCGCGTGCTCGGCTACGCAAGCTGACTATCCCTCCGCCACGCAGCTTACGGCGACGTTTTGAGCAGAACCAGACCGATTGTACATACACTGTCTTGGCACTTTTGCCGACAGCGGCGGAGGACATTCTCGAGGCCCTGCCGGTGGAGGAATTGACAAAGGAATTGCAGAAGAAGCGCGCAGAGCGTTTGGCTCGCCTTAATGCTGGGGAGGGTACCGCCACGGGCTCGGACATGAGCTCTATAGCACCCAGCTTACCTGAAGATGATCGGAAAAGCCTTTCCAGCGAAAGTTTCTTGCGGACCAGCCAGTTAGGAGAGTCGACTCTGGAAGGTGATACATCAACCCAACCGAAGCGGAACAAGACCCAGCTTTGGAATGAGGTTAAGATTACATGTATGTCTTTTATTGTTTGCTCCATCATTTAGTAGCAACGGCTGACTCGATCCAGCCATTACGCGGTCATTTACTCTAATCTACACTCTGTCCCTCCTGACCATCTTTACTCGTGTCCAACTGAACCTACTCGGCCGTCGGAACTACCTCTCTAGCGTGATTTCCTTAGCGACACCTCCCGCAGACCCCTCAACTATCAGATTAGAAGACCACGATGATGATCTCACTCAGACATTGGGGAATGACTTTGAGACCAACCGGCGATACCTTGCCTTCAGCTGGTGGCTGCTTCACCGTGGCTGGAAGAAGTTGATGGAGGAGGTTCAGGCCGCAGTGGTGGAGGTGTTCGGATCTCTTAACCCAAGAGATGATATATCTTTCGAGAAACTGTCGGAACTGACCCTCCAAGTCCGTAAGAAGATCGAAGGCGATACCGAGGAGGACAGAAAGTATGCCCTCACTGCTGCTCGATGTTTCTACTGCTGTGGCTGTTACTGACTGATCATGATCAAGACACCGAAAATGGTTGGCTTATCTGCTTCCGCCTCGAGAAGAAGAAGATGATGTACTGGAGGAGTCCGGTGTCCTCGGAGTCACGGAACCTTCAACTCCTCAAACGGCTGCGACTTTGCGGCATCTCTTAGATGAGACCGCGGATCTTATTGATTCTCCAACCTTTACCCGTGTTCAGATGCTTCTCAACAATGAATGTTTCGAGACATTGATTCAACAGTGCAAAGTGGACGCATTTAAATCTGCAGGGCCTGTAACCGCCCCGCAATCATTCGCCTCTGTGGCTACAGTTGTTCCGTTTACAGAAGACTCGCAACTCAAGACGAAGCTCGCAAATGTTCTCGCAGTCCTGGCCCGGCAGGCGCATGTCATCGGTAATGGGACGACTCCACCCAATCTGTACGTGACAGCGATGGATCAAGGCGTACGGGAGCTGGAAGCTTTTGCCGCTGTGGTTTATAGTTCAAACTTTGACTTTGAACTTCTCGGCGCGGGATCAATATCCGAATCCTCTGGAGTGGCAGCTCGTGAGCCAGATTCGGCTTCCTCCTCACCTGTGATTGTCAGCCAGGGCGGAAATGGATCTGATTATGGCCAGTTGGCTGACAGCAGACCGGTGGTGGCAAGCGCTGATGACAGCGCCTTCGACCAGGCTTGGGGGAGAGCGGTAGAGGAACAACCGACCAGTGAGCCGACTGCATAGGCCCTCGGGAAATGTCCGATGTATAGACAGACTCTCAGAAGGAATTCGACCATGACACCAACTACCTTTCACCTGTAACGATTTGCGCGTCGGCGCCTGTAATATACATGAAATTTATGCCATGACGTTTGTCCTGAGATCGAAGAGAGCCGCTTGAAGTTTTCAGCTCGGCGATGGGGGTCAGATCGACAGACCTTGGTCCAACGGAGCGATTTATGATGGTGACCACTCGCGGGATTGAGACCCCGCAGTAGGGTGTCATCGCAAGACTGGGCTGTGACCTGGTGTCGACGACAAGGCGGTTTGTACAGCGCAATAGGCTAGCGGGCAGACCCGACTCCCGGGGTAACAGGAGATAAGGACCAAGAATGGCGATTTTTATTATATAATGTTGAAAGAAGTTGCGGGGAAAGCCGAATAGCCGAAGGAGGAGACTCCGGTTCAGGGCCTGGCTGAGCCGCTGAGCGGGATTGCGCCGCTGGGGCTGCCAATTGCTGGGGTCAAGATTGGCCAGGATCGCAAACGCCTGATAAAGTTACACCACCGGCGCCCGCCGATGCTTGGGCATGCTTACAACTATGTAGTGCACAACGCCATCAGCAGCCAGCTGGCGGAAAATTATAGTATCGAAGTTTCTTACCTGCAGCGGGCATTATTTGTCCATCCTCCAGCAGATCCAACACCTGATTCGGGGTCGGGGCCTCCGATCAGCGATGCTGCTCGCTCGCCATCATGCCGGAATTTCTGGAATCCCCCGAAGCTTATTTATGCGCGAGACATCCGTGGAATGGTTCGGTCTCTTTTCTTTTCCTCTTCTCCCTCCCTCTGCTCCCCCGCGTCGTGGTCAAGTGAACAAGGTGTTATACGGCACAGAGCTCCCCCTCGCTTCTCTCGAGTCTCGAGCCATCCTCGCTTTAGCAGGGTAGTGTCTCCGAGCTCGGCCTTCCCCCGACACCGGCCAAGCCCTTCTCCAAGTTCTGGCCCCGTGCTGTTAGTTTGCGCCGGAGCTGTTAAATAGCGTTTCTTCTCCCTTCTGACTCACGGGCCTGTTTATTTCTTCCTCTCTTTCTTCTCCCAGTGGCAAGTTTTCGGGTCTCATCGCATACACCATGGGAGCTACCGGTACGTGCTCTAAACCGAACCCCATCGAAATGAACCGAGGCGCTGATGTATAGCTCGGAACAGAAGATCCCCGCAGCCCTCCGCCTGAGAAGGTCGAGACTGAGAGCCAGCTGCAGTCGCCGGTGCCCAATGACCTCCCCTTGCTCACTCGGACGACGGAGCGCAAGCTCATGGCCAAAGTCGACTGGCACGTCGTTCCCTTTCTTTGCATTATGTATCTGCTTGCCTTCCTGGACCGGTACGAGCGAATACCCTCAATCCCATGAATCGAGTAGAGCCCGAACTAATGATCCCCTTTAAAGAGTGAATATCAGTAACGCCAAAGTCCTGGGTCTGGCGGAGGACCTCAATATCGTCGAGGGAACAAAATACAACACGGCCTTGACCATCTTCTTCGTCCCCTACATTATTTTTGAGATACCTTCCAACATCTTGCTGAAGAAATTGAAGCCTCATCTTTGGTGTATGTGCTGAAGTTCCTTGCATGGGTGGCGCTCTGCTGATGGTTATAGTGTCCATGTGCATGTTCCTTTTTGGTCTTGTCACTGTATGTCAGGGTCTTGTCACAAACTGGGCTGGTTTAATGACCACCCGTTGGTTCCTAGGTATGCGCCTTTTTTTCATTATTGACCATCCGTGACTAACGTGACCAATGTAGGAATGTTCGAGACAGGCATGTTTCCTGGATGTAAGCATCTCCTTACCAGTCTTCCTAGGTGATGGACACTAATAAGTTGAAGGTTTCTATTTGCTAGGAATGTGGTATAAACGCAGCGAGGCTCAGAAGCGTTTCAGTTTCTTCTTCAGCTCTACCACACTGGCCGGTGCTTTTGGCGGTTTGCTTGCCAGTGGACTTGGAAAGATGCATGGACTTGCCAATCTTGCAGGATGGCGTTGGGTTTTCATCATTGAAGGAATTCTCACTTGCGTTGTCGCAATTGCTCTGTTCTTCCTCCTCCCTGATTTCCCCGAGGAGGCGAAGTGGCTCACTGAGGAGGAGCGCACGTACATGCGAGCCAAGCTAGCTCAAGACTCGGGACACGCTGGAACGGATGCTGACATGGGTTGGCGCGATGTTCTGGAAGTCTTCAAGGACTGTGAGTGTTGTCTTCTCTTCGAACGACTTTCTTTCAATAACTGACTTTATACCCAGATAAGATTTTCATTGGCGGCCTGATGTACTTTGGACAGATCGTGACAGCCTATGGTTAGCCCACTCCTTCCATCCAATAAGCGATGTTGCGAGACTGATATGCCTCAGGATATGCTTACTTTGCGCCGACTATCATCCAGTCTTATGGATATGGACGTTAGTTCTTCAACCCCCATTGCTAGACGATTTGCTAACTGGGCTTAAGCAATTCAAACCCAGCTGTATTCTATTCCACCGTGGGCGGCAGCCTTCGGCTTCTCCATGGCAATCGCTTTCGTGTCCGATAAATTGCAACACCGGCTCGCCTTTACTATCTTTCCGATGCTGGTCTCCATGGCTGGGCTTGGGATCCTACTCAACGTACACGGCGAGGACAACACGGACATCCAGTATGGAGCGCTCTTCCTGGTCACAGCCGGATGCTACAGCGCGATGCCTGTGGTTGTCTGCTGGTTCGCAATGAACCTCGGTGGCCACCGGCGCCGCAGCGTTGGCACCGCATGGCAGGTTGGTTTTGGAAACAGTGAGTCCACCAATGTCCATCCCTACGCCGCGATGTTCAGCACTACTAACACGAAATCAAAGTCGGCGGGATCATCGCTACGTATTCTTTCCTTGCAAAGGACAAGGCCAACCACTACAAGCCTGGTTTCAGCATTGGTGTCTCTTTCCTTGCCTTCTCTTGCGCATGCTGCATCGCCTACTTCCTGGCGATTTGGCATCAGAACCGACAACGGGAGCGCATTATGGCGAGCGGTGACCCTAGTTATGTTGAAGAAGATGGGGAGCGTCTGGGAGATATGGCGACAAAGTTCCGCTATGCGTATTGACCAGTCTTCGGAAACGAACGAGTTTTGGATTCTTCGACCAAGTAGTAATAGAGCCATTGGAAGCCTTTACTAGGGCTAGGGCTCTGAGATTATATACCCACAATGAAGATATAGGAGATATACCAACTCTTATCATCTTGGAATAAAAAAGTTATAGTTATCATTAATAACACACAACATTGAGCAATCCCACGGTATGGATGTTCTCGTTAATTTCTTGATGTCATGGATGTTTTGTTGAGCACTCGGTAAATGTGGTAAACGGCCAATGAGAGGCTTTTCAGCTCTGTTTGTGGAGTTCCTTCCTCGGACTTATTGTCACGTGCAAGCTCGCTAAGGGCACCCACAAAAGCGCCTCTGGGCTTTCCATCTCCGTCCCTCTTCCAACCATCTTTCATCGTCGCAGAATTGTGAGTACCAGCTCCCCCATCCGTCTCAATGGCGTTCATTGTTCGATGACACGGTTACTAACTGCCTGACCGAGTAGAACATCTACGAAGATGAGAGCCAAGTGGAGAAAGAAGCGCGTTCGTCGTCTCAAGCGCAAGCGCAGAAAGATGAGGGCTAGATCGTGAGTATCTCCAGTGTCAATAGACTCGAATTGGGATGTGTCTTAACTGTCAATGCAGCAAATAAACAACTCGCCCCCTCCATCTCAGCTTCTCATGTTAAGCTCGGTGTTGAGCACTGAACACGACAAAACGATGACGACGTCACGATGATGATTTCCGGTTATGATCGTTTCGTGGTTTTTCCGCCTCCTCCAGTAGGGCCTCCTAGTCTGGTACACAACAATTGCTCTCCTCAAATTTTTTTCTTGTTGATCTCGGAACCCACATGCTCAACGTGGAATGTCGTCCCCGATCTCACGAAAAGGATATGACTTGCCATCACAATCCCTCGGGTTCATTAAAACGTGTTCGACTGTTACTTCAGACTAGGTGGTGGGGTCATATGATTCTGTCTTCGGAGGGGCTCAGTGTGTTTAGTCGGGGTTGTGAGGAGTTAGCGAAAAGGAAGGATGGTCTTCGGTCTTCCTGTACTATCTTGTTCTTATGCCGCTGATTCCTTTCGAGCTTGGCCTGGGGACTGGTCAATTACTCCGGAACCTGTAGACACCAGCCTCGGTTGGTGCACCTGCTTGTTCCGCATGGACGGTGTCCTCGAGTGTTTATACTGAATACGAACCAAAAAGTTCCTACGACCTGTCTGAACCACTGTAATTTTCTCATTGTACTATCTTTGATCATCATGGAAACTTAGTAGTCGAGCTCTGAAAGCTTGATTTGTCTGCCTCCGAAAAAATGGACTGATTTGTGTGCATTGTGGATTGCGACTCTCTCCGCCTTTTCACCTCTCACCGCCTTCACTTTTTTCTCCAACTTTTTTTTTTTCCCAAAGCGACCTTTGCGCTCAGCAAACTTCAATATCACCCTATACCCTTGAAGCATCGCGCAATGGCATCGGATAAGGCAGAGAAGAAGCGCAAGCGTGCCTCAAACGGCCACGAACGCCCCACGAAGAAGCCCGCCTTGGATCTTCGAAGCTTGCCGCCGCTGAAGGCCAATTTGATTAAAGACCACAGCGAACTCACTCCTGTCCTAAGTAAGACGTCCACCGATGTACACCTTCTCAGCACGTTCTAACCACTGCCTTGAATAGTTACCACCCCCGGTGTTACCTCAAAGCCGAACATCCAATTAACTCCATACCTAAAACCACGAAGCGAAGTCTCGACCTCTTCTGGGAACAATAAGGGCATAGCTTCGACAGAATTGCTACTTCAGTCTTCGCAGCATTCCAAGTTAGACTTTGTCGGCCGCGAGGCTAACGACGATGCGGACTCTCAGCTGAAGCATTATGTTGCTGTTGTTGATCCGGCGAATCAATCTTGGGAGTTTGTGGAGGTGCGCAAGGTTACGCTTCGCGGGGCTGTGAGGAAGGCGGCTGCTGGTGATGAGGAGGTTGAGGAGAGCGAGGATGAGGAGATGGTTAGTTTGCACCTTTTCTTCTTTTCTTCAATGGGTGACAGGACGAGGTTGGGTTGCTAACATTAATCTTACTACAGAGGACTATGCGCGAGCAAAAGACCGACCTTACATACACATTCGGAACCAAGAAATCACGAAAAGCAACGCAGTCCATGGCCGAAAACGCTCAGCTCTCCAACGCTCCCTCTGGCGCCGCTACAGCTGCAGAGTCTGCCCTGCTGGACTCCATGCCCGCAGAGGCAGCCGCAGACCTCGCGGCGAAAGCTGCCGCCGTGCAAGCCGAAGTCCAAGCCGCGAAACCCATTCCCCAGGCCGATCTCACTGCGAAACACCCATCGGAAGTGTATCCCATCGAAACCCTCATCCCCAATGGAAGAGCCACCCTCCGCGCGCTCCCTATCAAAGATTGGCAGGATACCATCTCTGCAGGACTCATGGTTGCGACAACATCACGATTCGTTTCAAACCGCGTCGACGCAATTGTCGAATCAGGCAACACAACCCAGCTCCAGATCCTTCGCTTTATCCTCGTCCTCCTGGAACTTTACCGCTCCCTCCGCCGCGGCGGCAAGCAATCCGCCAACAGCGGCGGCCCTGGAAGCAGACGCCTTCCGTCCCGCGAAGACCTCCCCGGGATCCTCTCTGGCGGTACAAGACTCACCTCCACATCATCAGACGATGTCGACCCCTCTATCGCCTCATCCACCCTCTCCGCCCCCACAGTCGACGCCATCCGCCGCAAATTTGCGCCCAATCGCACCTATCTCTCCAAAAACGACGTCACCTTCCTTGAAACAACCATCTGCGCGCTCTCACTGCACATCCCGCCTCAGCCTGTGCGCGACGGCGTCCCCACGCCCAACGGTGGCAACTCGCCGAATGAAATGGCCACAGATCCCTCGGATCTCCGCGATGATCTGCAGCTTGAGAATAATGAGATTCTGCACTATTTCCGCGAATTGGGTTGTCGGGTTGATAAGCCCCGTGAGACTGAGTTTGAGAAGTGGAATGTGAGAGGCGGCAAGAGTGAGGCGGCGACGAGGAGGATTGCGCGGTTGAGGATTCCAGTGGAGTTCCCGAAGGTTAGTCGGGGTGGAAGGAGATAGAGCTGCGCATTGGTTGAATGAGTGGTGGATGGGAAAGAGAGACAAAATGAAGATAGAGTGATGCCATGATGTATTTGTGCAAAGCTGGCGTTTTTCTCAGGTCGAACCCGTTTATTGTAGATAAAAGATCACGCATGGATACCAAAAATGATGCGGCTACGTTGGTAGATACAATTGAGCTACGGCTGCAGAGCATAAATAGACAGGATGAGGATATGCTTATGAATTCGGACCTAAGAATAAATGATGGGCCGGCCCTATAGAGCATCCATTATGTATGAACCCGGAGGGTAAGTTGACCGGAATATAAGCACAAAAAATGTGCTACTAGGTATAATGTAAGGAGCGGACGGGAGAGGAAAGGCTATATAATGCCACATCACATCCCAGAGGTTGTTTACGGCAGGTGCCGAAGGGCACTTAAGCGGCAGCAGCAACGGGGATTGATGCAGCAGGAGTAGCGGCAGCAGGAACAGCGCCAAGGGCGTCCCCGGCTTTGAGGACGCGAGGGGTGCGGAACTCGCGTTCCACGGCAGCCTCTAGGGCTTCGTTTGGCTGCAGGTTCAGCTGGGCGTCGGACCAGATTGGCTGGTTCTCGAGCTCGGCTTGTTCGACGCCGACGCCGACGAAACCACCAATGGCCTTCCAGTCGCTTGCGCGCTTGATGCCCAGGTCGGTCCAAACGGTGTTCACGGCATCTACGAGGTGATTGCGGAGGTCCTTGGTGTGGCCTGGGGTGGGTGTGATTCGGAGTCGCTCTTCACCGCGGGGAACGGTGGGGTAGTTGATTGCTTGAACGTAGATGCCGTGCTCTTCGAGAAGCTTGTCGGAGGCCTTTTTGGCGACCTCGGCATCACCGACTAGGAGAGGAACAATGTGGGAGGGGTTCGGAATGACGGGGATATCCAAATCCTTGAGGGATTGCTTAACGGCACGGGTGTGCAGCTGCTGCAGGACGCGGTCCTGCTGGTGCCGGGATTGGTAGCGAATGGCGGCATCTGCGCCGGCCATGGTGGCTGGTGGAAGAGAGGTGGTGAAGATGAATCCGGGGGCAAGGGAACGGATTGTGTCGACCATGGCGGCAGAGCCAGCGATATAGCCACCAACGCATCCATAAGCCTTCCCGAGCGTACCGGTGATAATGTCAATTCGGTCCATCACAGTTCCCTTTGTGCTGATGGGGCTGGCGGTATCCTGGGAAGCATAAACTTCGTAATCAAGGTGCTCGGCAACACCAGCACCATGAGGCCCGTACATGCCTACAGCATGAACCTCATCCAAGAAAGTGATGGCTCCGTACTTGTCGGCTAGATCACAAATCTGCTCAATGGGAGCAATCGATCCACACATGCTGTACACCGATTCAAAGGCGATGATCTTGGGAACATGTGCCGGCAGAGACGCCAATTTCGTCTCGAGGTCGACTAGGTCGTTGTGCTTGAAGACCATCTTCTTTGCGCCGGAGTGGCGAATGCCCTGAATCATCGAAGCGTGATTCAAACTGTCAGACAAGATGACACAATCAGGCATTTTGCTACCTAGAGTTGCCAGAGTGGCATCGTTGGCCACAAAGCATGAACTGAACACCAACGCGGCCTCTTTGTGGTGCAGAGTCGCCAGAGTATTTTCCAATCCCACGGCATGTTGATTGTGTCCGGAGATATTACGAGTTCCACCCGCTCCGGCTCCATAAGTATCGAGCGTCTTGTGCATTGTGGAAAGCACCTCCGGGTTGCGTCCCATACCGAGGTAGTCGTTCGAGCACCAGACCGTCACCTTCTCTTCCTTGGAAGCAGTGTGGGCGCGGGGGAACTCCTGGGCAAGGCGGTTGATGTTGTTGAAATAACGGTAGGACTTGTCCTGGTGCTTCTTCTGCAGCTCCGCATTGTAAAAAGCGTTGTAGTCGAATGGGGCAGCCACGGGGGCTCCAGGACGAGGGCCAGACACAGTCGCGGTCGCTCCAAGCGGGTTCGCAGCGGCTTTAGAGAAGGTCGGGTGCACTAAGAGAATCCTGTATTAGAACCTGGAATTCGGCGATTGACTCGTTTGGCCAAAACATACCTCGCTGGGCGTCCTTGTGGAACTCAGTGGTCATGTTGGCACCATTTCCGCCAGTGGAGTGCAGCGCTCTCTTGCCCGCAGTAGTCCGAGTAGACTTGGCCGGAGTCGGCACACCGGCGGCAGAGGAAGTGAAGCGCTTGCCACCAGTCATGCGGGCACTCTGCACAGCAAGGGCCTTGCTCATGACCGGGCAGCGGCGAGCCAACCTCTGCAAATTCGACATGGTACCACCACCGGGGCTGGCACTGGGGCGGGTGGCCGTGGCAAGCGAGCGGAGAGTAGTCGGAGAGCTGCGCTTGAGGAACGGACACATGGCCCGAGACTGCTGGAGAAGGGCCTCCATTGAGACGAGTCGATTAGCTGTGTTGATGGAGAACAATTGAAGGGTATGAGAGGGTAAGTGGGAAACAGAGGGATAAGAGACAGGGGAAGTCAGGGTGACTAAATATGACCGACGACGGGATTCAACTTTCAAGACTGGTGCAAATTTCGGCATCCAAAAGCCGTGACACTGTCTCCCGTGACTGCGGGGAGATGCACTAGCCATATACGGTATAGTCTCACCTGCAATTGACAATCATCCAGGTTTGATTGGACACCTCCCCCTCCCTGGTCGAGACTCTTAAAATTACGGATAAATTACGGCTTGTATTCGGCGACTGACTAATACATGGTGCACACAAGTGCCACACATGGGACAGCGCTGAAACCTGGAAAAACAACTTCTGAAGTTTCGAGGGCGTTTGCCTCGTTGTGCGGGTAATCGGAAATACTATACGCTTACTCCCAACGGCTCCAGACCCGCTGACCGAGGCTAACGCCTCTTGGAACACTTGCCGGGGTCCGTCCGTCTGCCTGTGATCCGCATCGTACGTTCAAACGTTGGTTTCCCGGCCAGGAAGGCCATCGACTGTCATTCCCGAGTAATCGTCCATGTGTAAGGCTTACGTTCGCCCATAGCTGCTTTATTATAACAATATTGAGCACAGTGGCCATATTCAACCCCAGTTCTCTTCGAAAGCACATGTATGAATACGTTTAGTTAACATCTCTACCCTCCATCTGACATCATGCTTCCACTCTTTACGTGGAGCTTGCATAGCATATCGCCATCTTCGTGTTAATACAGGCAAATGTAAAACAGTCCCATCCGGGCAGAGAAGAAGAGAAAACAAATAGTAGAAAGTGAGAAGAAGCCGAAGAAAAAGGGGACCAAGAAAATGGCGAAGAAACAATATAGAAACACTAGACGCCGTCATGCAAGTATAATAAACCATCAACTCGCCATTAACCACCAAGACCCCCATCACCATCTATGAGACGAAGTCGCTCTTTCGTCGTTTTCGCTCGTTTGGATGTTCCCTTCGGACCTCGCCCGCGTCCTCGCTTGGGGACTGGCGTGGCAGCTGATGGGGTTCCAATATTCTCTGCTGTTGATACCGGAGTCGCAGCTCCCGAGGGTTTGGCACTAATATCATCAAAGTTTCCTTCGCCTATAATGCAGAACATAGAGTCAGCGGAGTATTTACCAGGAGCGGGGTAGTTCGGGTTAGAATCGTACCTTCGTGATACATATCATCCAGAGTGATATCCCTCTTTCTCTTCTGGGCGTTCTTCTTGCCGCCCTTACCAGCACCAAATGTTTCGCCCCGTTCAAGGGCTTCCCGTTCCTTTTGCTCGATGAGTTCGGCCTGTTCGTCGTCGGCCAGCCACATGGCAATGTCCTTGGTCTTGCTCTCTCGATTACGGGTGTTGAAGTCAACACCGCCAGCTGCGCCACCTGAAATAACAACTCGTTGAACCTCCTCTTTTTGCAGGGCTCGTTTGCGGATACGTTCTTCGATTGTATTCCGAGTGATCAATCGATACACCGTGACCTGTCGAGTTTGACCGAGACGATGAGCTCTGTCCATAGCCTGCGAGTCGATGGTTGGATTCCAATCTGAATCGTAGAAGATGACAGTGTCTGCAGCAGTCAAGTTGATTCCCAGACCACCAGCACGAGTAGACAAGAGGAACACGAAGATCTCCGGACGTTGCTGGAAATCAGCCACAGTATCTCGGCGGTCCTCAAGCTTCGTGCTTCCGTCCAAGCGGCAATACTTGTAGTTGCGGTAGGTCAAGTATTCCTCCATGAGGTCAATCATACGTGTCATCTGGAAATACAGTAGCACACGGTGGCCGCCCGCCTTGAGTTCTCGCAGAAGTTCATCCAGTTTACCTAATTTACCGGAGTCCGTGACAAACCGTCGCATGGACGGTACTTCGATGTGAGTGTAGCGGCCCTTGGCTGAAAGTGGCGCAGGCAACATTGGAGGGAGAGAATAAGGCGTCGGATCCAGTTGTTTCTCAATGATTTGCTCTTCCATGGCTTTCGAGGGAACACCGTACAGCGCATGGCGAACGGAAACATTGAACAGACTGTCGGTGGTTTCCATCGAGGCCTCTTGACCTGAGGCTACAAGAGTAATCGGAGGCGCTGATGCAGCGGGGCTAGCACAAGGCTCAATGACGTTTAGCCCCTCTTGCTCAAAGAGTGACTGGGATACGTTCATCAATTCGCGCATGTATCCCTCGTGCGTTATGTTATGAGCAGCCTGTCTGTCGTTGCGCTGAGCAATGTTGAACAAAGCATGAGGCAGAACAGTATTCGTCAATCGATCCTTCTCTTCATCGTATATCACATTAAGATAGGAGAGTCTGTTCGTCTGGCCGCGACGACGAACGGCGCGCTCAAAAACCCCGAGTTGAGACAACTCTGATGCCTCTCCGATAGAAGTATCCACAAACCGCAGGAAAGAAAATGCACCGTCGTCCTCTATGCTCTGTTTGATATTTTCCGGTGTGAATATGTTCATCATATGTCCCAAATATTTAGCACGGAAACCTGCCCTGGAGTTGTTTGGCCCCGCCATATCAACGCGGCCATCGGACTTGCAAAGGATTCGCGGGACGGTGAACTCGATCAAATTGCGTGTTGAGTAGGCGACATCGACATTGTTACCCTCACGAACGAACGAAGCGGTTTCTGCAAAGTGTGCAAGCGAAAATGGTGAACTAGTCTCGGCGCGTTCAAACAGGTCAGGATGGTTGCAGACCTTTCGGAATTGCATTACCAAGTTCATCAGCGTCGTGCTGTCCGTCTCATCACCAACGGCAGCCTTCTCAATTAGATCCATGATGCTAACCCGATTTCGTAGATTGGTGTAGTAGGCGCGTTGGCGGTATGTAAGATCACAGAAGACGTCCTTTTCGACTTTATCGCCGAGTTCTTGCTGCACGTGCTTTTTGACACGCCGAAGCATGAATGGCTTCAAAATCATGTGCAGACGCTTAAGCTGGTCTTCATTAAGCTTCGTGTTGCTTTGTGCATGTGATTCAATATCCTTGGAGAACCACTCGCTGAATTCGTCGTGAGAGTCGAATAAGGTGGGCATTATGAAATGAAGAAGGGCCCACAACTCCTGCATGTTGTTTTGGATAGGAGTACCGGTCAGCAAGAGTCGATTGCGGCAGTGGAAGCCAAGGAGACTCTTCCAACGTGAACTCTGCGAGGACTTGATTGCCTGAGCTTCATCAAGAATCATGTACTGCCACTTGACCTTCTGGAAGTACTGCGCGTCAAGGACAACAAGCTGATAGGACGTTACTAGTACATGGAACTCGGACTCCTTGGTATAGGTAATGTGTTTGCGATCCCAGAATTTGCGAAGAATCTTGCGGTCTTTGGCAGATCCCCAGTAGGGCAGAACCTTAACATCCGGGACGAATTTGGTGATTTCCTGCTGCCAGTTGTGGAGTGTTGATGCGGGTGCAATCACCAAGAACGGACCCCAGATATTATGGACTTCAGCCAGGTAGGCCATGACCGAGATGGATTGAATGGTTTTACCGAGACCCATCTCGTCCGCCAAGATACCGTTGATGCCCTGTTCGTACAAGTTGACAAGCCAATTCAAACCCTTCAGCTGATATTCTTTCAACTTGGCTGTGAGCATATTAGGCTGCGAAATCTCAATGTCTCCCAGACTGGTCGGGTTTTGAAAGTTCAGCTCGCTATCATCCATCGCATCCATGGGGTTTTGGTCGGGGTTGAAAGCGCGCGCCCGTTCCTGGGCTTGTTGCACAGCGTTCTGGGCATTAGCCATGGCAGCCTGGCGCAATGCGGTTTCATCCTCTGCATCAAAGTCCAAGTCTTCGAAACTTGTAACTTTTGGACCCGCAGCACCTAGTTTGGCGACCTCCGCTGCTGTCTCTTCAGCCTCGTCCCCTTCCGCTCCCGGGATCTTGCGACCGATGAAGTGAGAGTACAGCTCGGTCTGTGAAATCAAGAAGTTGAGCTTGCGCCTCTGGCGATTAGCCTCACGCTCTGCTTCTGCTCTCTTCGCCGACTCGAGTTCCTGCTTCTCGGCAAGGCGGCGCAAATCTCGCTCTTCACGTTCGTTGCGCTTCCAGAAGGACATCATCTCACGCATTGTTCGTTTGGCGCGAGCTTGCGTATCTTTCATACTCTTGTTCGTCCGTTCTTGCCACTTGCGTGACTGCTTGCTGGCTAGCTGGGCAGTTTTGCGCAAGTTCTCTTGACGGGTGCTGAGGGAAGCGGCTTTGATGCGGTAGACTTTGGGAATATCCTTACGTGCAATATCCCTCCAGATTTGTTCATAAATCTGGTTATAGCCTTTTGAGTCATATGTCGAGATCGGTATCGGTGTGCTTTCTTTCGAACGGTTTGCTCTAGCTTCTTTCTTGAGAGACTCTTTTCGCGGGTCTTCCTTAGGAGCAAGAGGCAAGGGCTCGTCATTCTCCATTGCTGCATAGGCGGCTTCGGCTGCATCCTTTTCAGCTTGCTTCTGCTCCTTCGACTTCTTGGGTCGTGTAACGGGACCGCCACGACCAGACTTTCGCCTTGATGGGGAGCTTCGACCGATGTGAAAGGAGCTAGTAGTGCCCCCCTCGAGGTTGGGAGCCAGCGGAGTGATCTCGCCGATTTCTTCGGGAGAAGTGACGCCTTCCAATGCCCTCTTGGTAGTCTTGATCTTTCTTTGGGCCCGCTCTGCTTCCCGCAAGAATTTCGCTTTCTCAGCCGAGTCCTGGGTCTCGTTCGCCTTGAGTTCCGCTTCAAGCTTCTTCTGCATCTCCATTCGCACAGTATTTTCTCGCCGACGCTTCCGCTGCATATCCTTCTTGCGTTCCTTCTCATCTTGAATTTCCTTGGCCTGGACTTCGGAGATGACGGAGGCTTCGTTTGCGATTCGGAATCGATCCATACCTGCGTTCGCTTGTTTGTCGAACGACTTTCCGAGTTGTAAAAGAAAATCATGACGACGGCGCTACAATTCGTGTTAGTGTGCATGGGACCGAGTTGCAATCCCGGGCCATACCTTGCGCTTGATCCCCTCAGCTCGGTCAATGTCACGTAAACGCTTCTTCCCTTTCGCCAGATAGCGCTCGCGTTCTTTCTCAAAGCCCGCGGCCTCTACATCGCTTTTCTCTGCACTGTCGATTTCACTGATAATCTTGTTGACTATGTCTGTCTCCTTCTCAGACAACGTTTTGCGAGGAGGACGAATTATCTTTGGAGGTTCGGTTACTCCATTAGTTAAGATATCGGTGGTCTTTTGGTCTTTATCAGTGGTGCGTCGACGTCTGTCCGTGCTGAGTTTCTTGTCCAATCGCGCTGTTGAAGCAGCCGGCGCCGGTTCAAGCTCTTTGATTTTGGACTGATGGAGAGAGGCTAGAGGTGGGGGGCTATGACTGGTTGCGTTAATAGAAGGTGCAGCCGAAGGGATCGCAGAAATTCCTGGCGGGGGTGACTGTCTCTTTGGGGGAGAGCGCTCCCCTGAAGGTCCTGAGAGGATACTAGCGAATGACATAGGGTCGGCCGCGCGAGAAGGTTTCTGCGAGTAGGAGTAATAAGGCGTTAGTATTAAGATTCATGCAGCAATGAATTGATTGTGGAGCTAGCGGCGATGAGATTGAAAGATAAAGGACCAACGTACCACTTCTCTCGGAGGCGAGCTTGGTCTGGGCTCTCGCAGGTGAGATGACGAATAAGAAGGAACGCCGTGGCTCAATGAGAACGACTGCTCCGGCTCCTTCTTTGGTGACACATGAGGGTGGCTGTCTGGTCGACTTGGAGGATGTGCATGGGACGGGGTCGAAGGGCCGTATGGAGATGCGCTGTTTCCGGGAAGTATAGATCCATGATATGGCCTCCCGAGAGAGTATTGCGGAGTTCCTGCAGCCGAATGGGACTGATATTGCGACGACGGATCAGATGAATGCAGCGGCGGGGGGCCATTGCCATTTAATGGTGGTAAGGTGCCTGGTAAAGGCGAAGGCGCATGGGAGTAGTGCGGACTCCGAGATAGATTGGGCTGCGGGAAGGCAGGGGGAGTCTGCGGTGGGCGCTGCTGATATTGGTCATTGCTGGGATAGAAGTGTCGCGGCTTATTGGAGGGTGAATATGCAGGATAGCGAGACTGCTGAGTCGGAGACTGCGGATTGTACGGCGGAGCCCCCGTCATGGTGGCAGCCGCGTGTGTCGGAGGCGCGGCGACGAAGGTTTGAGGACAGGGACAGCCGAGATAGAGAGAGCAATTGAGATGGATATCAGGAGGTCATGGACTGGCAAGGTATACGGCAGGTGCCTATGCGCGAAAAAGGGCCCTTGGTCAAGGGAGCGATCACGCGTTCGTGACTCGTGAGCCGCTGCGCTATCTGCTTGAAATTAACTATAAGCAAGCGGCAGGCGATGGGAGGAGTGGATGGATTCGAGAAATAAGATGAACACAATCTCGAGGGCGGATGAAAGAGGATGGCGGAGGACACACTGGGAAGGAGAAGAAATTGAATGGGATGGAAGGGGAGTTCGCCTTACCGGGTCTGCCAGGAATCTTCTTTCGGAGGGTCTGGCTCTAGTGTCTCCTCGTTTGGTGAACCAGCAAATCTTCGCGGGTCAGGCGTGGTCGGGGAACAGAAGACTCAAGCTGAAGCCATCTGTTTGTGGTACAGTTGTACGCTGACAAGTGTTGTAGCTGAAGAGGAGTCGAAGGGCTCGATAGGACAACGGTGAATGGGCAGGAGACGGTGGTCTAGTAGTAGTATCCTTCAATGCTGGCTCGACGGTGATGGTGACGATGAAGGAAGAGAAGATGAATGAAGAAGAATGGGAGGAGGATGTGGTGGAGAGGGTGATGGTGACGGCGATAGTTCCAGTATTTTACCTGGTGCTGATGGACGGTGAGCTCCCCCTTTGCGTTGCCCAACTTTTCCTCCTCGTCTTCTTTCGTCCGCCAAAGTTCTTTTCTTCTGCTGCTTGTCGGCGATCCGAACACGCTTTCTTTCCGTACCGTAAATACGTTACCACTTCTCACTCTTGGGAGTCTTGGAGCAAACACAGTCCCTGGTTTGCAGCCCGCTAGTACCTACTATGTAGTAGTACTATCTTATGCTGTCACTACCTTCAAGTCAGCTTCTAAATTGAGCCTTCTGCTGTATGTTATTCTTGTTAAGGAGGCCTCTCGAGAGAGTATGTCTCTGCTCGAATATGGACATCAGATAAATCAAGGTGAAATGCTATATCATCGCCCATCCCCTTTCTGAGCCGTTTGACGTGTTAGATACGGTATAGGACAGAGGGAGGTAATCGAATTACATCGCCAGATTCCAGCAAGATCGGGACGCCGTTTCGCAATCCAAGCCCCAGCCAAAACTGCCCGCAGAGAACGAATCCCCATCTTTGTTGGATAAAGTACCTTCTTTGGAGCAATAATCGTGGAAGTCATGCTTGCTGTTCGTTGGATCATTACTGCCCGGTTGGCCCATACTCTCTAGTGTTGCCTCTTACTGCTTCCGTCTTGCTTCATCTATTATCCCCAAGCTGCGTGGATGGTCATGGTCTCAAAAAGATGCGTGGAGATACCGACCTTGTTCAGGTGGGCCCTGGATAGCCGCTCTGAAGACGGCCTCGGCATTATTGAAACCACACCCTCGAGATCGTGATCATCAAGAAAACACGGTCTGTCGGGAGGAAGCGCTCTCCGTGAAATGAGACCTGGCTGGTTGCCAGTTGGATTTGCTTTGTTTCAGGGAAACGGGGACCGGATATCTGCTGCGCCTGCATATTGACCGACGCGAGGGTCAAACATAGCCGACAAGATGAGGCACCTAACGGCCCTCTGCGTGCAAGTGCCCTTTTGAGACCTGAATTAGCAACCCCCCTGCCCATCTAACATGTGGTGAAGTTCCAGCATCATTATACAACGTTGTCCTTCATGTTCCCCCAAGCTGAAGGTGGCTCGGGAACCCAATTACTCTACTCCATACTTAGTCGTACACGAAATATGAGCCTGAGGCAGCGACATCCGAACAAAAGAATATCACAGCGGCGGTCCCCGTGTTTATGTAAAGTCCAGCCGCTATGATGCCGTCTTATATCGTCCCACACTCGACCAGCTTTCGGACCTCCCCGCACAGCAGTATGTACTTCTCAGTCTCATTGAGAGAATTCTGATTAATATCAGCTTGGAACTGGAAATCATTATAATCATCATACCATTCCGATTCCTGGGGCCCCAGGCCGAAACCCACCTCACAACTACCCTGACAGACCCATTACTACTTCTATGTCACATCGACATGAGCTGATCCAAGGCAATTTGTTATCAAAATTTGCCGCAGATGAGCGCATATAGACTTCAAAATCCCGCATCAGCAGATCCCGATGAGGAATGCGTGGCGAGCGTTTGGAACTCCGACTCCGTGTGACGTCGTCTATTTTTGCTGGTACCGTCATCCACAGCGTTCTCTACCAATCTCCTGATGCGAGCTTCTAACTATCTTGCTGCCCTGTTTGCCGGGCAAAGGAAAATTCTCGCCCGAGCGTGCAGTAACTGGTTTACTTCCTGCCCGTCATCAGTGTGCCCTGATCTATGGTTGTGGTACCACAATTCTTGTTGCTGTATCCAGACCTTAGTAGATTAACATAACGAGGGTTGTCTTTACCATATAACCCGTCCAGGACCCTCCAGTGAAGACAACATACCTAGATTGCCAACTTACTGATATTTTATTATTTCTTCAATCCTATCTTCTTTCACGATAACCTACTGTCCCTAGCCAATCATGTCCATCCCCGACATGCAATGGGCCCAAGTGGTCGAAAAGACAGGCACCCACCCAGTCTACAAACAAATTCCCGTGGCAAAACCAGGACCAGATGAGATTCTTGTCAAGATACGCTACTCCGGGGTGTGCCACACAGACCTGCACGCCATGAACGGCGACTGGCCCCTAACCTCCAAGATGCCTTTCGTAGGCGGCCACGAGGGCGCCGGCATCGTTGTGGCGAAAGGCGACTTAGTTGACGACAAAGACTTCCAGATTGGTGACCACGCCGGCCTCAAATGGCTCAATAGCTCCTGCCTCTCCTGCGAGATGTGCATGCAGTCAGACGAGCCTCTTTGCGCGGACGCCCAGCTATCAGGTTATACCGTCGACGGTACGTTCCAGCAATACGCCATTGGCAAGGCTGCATTGGCTTCCAAAATCCCAAAGGGCGTACCCCTTGATGCTGCTGCACCCATTCTCTGCGCAGGAATCACCGTTTACAAAGGCCTAAAGGAGGCCGGGGTCCGGCCTGGTCAGACAATTGCCATAGTTGGGGCCGGGGGCGGCTTGGGCTCTTTGGCACAGCAATATGCCAAGGCAATGGGCCTGCGCACTATCGCTATTGACGCTGGGGATGAGAAGAAAGCCATGTGCGAATCGTTGGGAGCTGAGGTCTGTCATCCCCTTTTCCAACTCATTTTCCCACTCATTTTCAAACACTAAGCAAAATCAATACAGGCCTTCATTGACTTTAGCAAATCCACCGACATCGTTGCCGACGTCAAAGCCGCAACACCAGGCGGTCTAGGCGCGCACGCCGTGATCCTGCTCGCCGTTGCGGAAAAGCCCTTCCAACAAGCCACCGAGTATGTGCGGTCTCACGGGTCTGTTGTTGCTATTGGACTCCCCGCAAATGCATATCTCCGCGCTCCCGTGTTCACGACTGTTGTGCGCATGATCAGCATCAAGGGCAGTTACGTGGGTAATCGCCAGGATGGGGCTGAGGCGCTGGATTTCTTTGCGAGGGGGCTTATTAAGGCGCCGTTCAAGACGGTGCCGCTGAAGGACTTGCCGAGGGTCTTTGAGCTAATGGGTGGGTTCCATTTCCCTTCTTTCGGCCCCTTCTGCGCCTTTTTTCTTTTTTTTGGTGGTACTAATGCTAATAATTACGTTGGTTTACAGAGCAAGGAAAGATTGTTGGAAGGTATGTACTAGAGATACCAGAGTAATGCAATGCGAGGTGAGAGATCAAATCTGCTGTATCGTGGTTGCTGTTGGGAGGAGTAATGCAGTTAGTAAACGAGAAAGACTGGTTTTTATATTACGCAACATGTATACTGAGAACTTGACATTTACGAGAATTCTACAGTCAGCCTACCGAATGCCCTGTAATCTAAAAAAGAAATAGCTGCCCAGCAGCGCGAATCACCCCATAGAATCAGCCTTGCAATCGAAGAAATGACGACCGTCAAAGTCTCATTGCTGCTATCTACATCCCTACCTTCTCAGAGCGCCCAGTCCCTAGGTTTATCTCAGACGGAGTAGAAGAGGACGATGCCGATTGCACCGTGGTCTGCGGGCCCTTGTATGTCTTTCGCGCATACAGAACGTAGTATAGCAAAGCACCACCCCAGAGCGCACCATTGATGACCACGGTATAATTCATATCCTCGGCTAGACCAGCAAGGCCTAGTTAGTACACAACCAACCGCAACGAAACAAGGAAAGCAGAAAGTGAAGTAGAAAGTGACGTAGAAGGAGAAGGAGAAGGAGAGCATACCCGTCGGCCCTGGTCCCAGCGTCGGAAACATACAAAGCACAATCGCAAACCCCAAATACACAATCGCCGTAACAGCAATAGGCTTGCTAAACCTCCCGGTGTAGAACACGCCGGGATGGAACCGCTCCTCACCCCAGACCAGCCGGCAGAGGATTGGCATCATCCAGGCAAGATCGTTTCCGGCGACTGCGAGTGAGAAGAGTGCGTTCGCAGCTGCGGCGTTGATGAGTGAGAGGAGGCCGATTATCACCGCCGCGGCCACGACGCCCCAGACCATTCGGACGGGCTGGTAGCGGATGCGTTTACTGACATGGCGAAAGTAAGAAGAAAATGGAAGAGCGCCGTCGCGGGAGAAGGCCCAGCTTTGGCGGGAGGCGGCGACGACCTTGTCCTCTTGAGTTAGGGCTTGGTTGGGCCTTGTACGTGGGGGTGGGTAGATACCAAGCTTAGGCCCATGAAGAATTGGACTAGGGCAACTATAGCCATAAAGCCGAGCGCGCCGGATTTTCCGAGGCAGTCATAGTATATCTACAGGTAAGACTTAGTATCATCAGACCGCTATAATAAAGGGAAAAGAAGGCCTACTTGAGCCATCGGCTGCCCGAAAGCAGTGCCCATGACTGCTTCCAGATCCGTGTTTATGACTGCCGCAATGACAGCTAGCGAAAGAAAGCCCAGAATTCCGCAAAGCCCGGAAGACCACAGAATCCCAAGTGGAACTGCGCGCGCAGCATTGGTAGCCTCTTCACTCATGTGGACACAAGAGTCAAAGGCGCCGATGGTCCAAATGGGCGAGAGCCAAGCGAGCATAAACGCCCATCCTGTCGGCCATGTGGTGAGATTCTCCAATTGCCCAAAGACGTATGTGCCCGAGTTGATGCTTCCACCATTGACCGCTTTGCCGATGGGCAAGGCGAGGACAGTGGCGATTACCAGACCGATGTTCGTAAATATACAGGCGGACTGGATCTTTGGCATGATCCTTGCGAAGAAGGTTGCGATTAGCCCGTGGACAACTACGCAGCCGACGTAGGTACCGTAGACAACTGGTCGAGAGGCGGACCAGTTGCCATCGCGCGCTATCGAGACTATTGCGAGCAGCATGGTAGCGAATCCATCTGGTCGGTTAGTTTCCAGCAAGCAGCCATAATGTGTGTGACTCACAATCTATAGAGCACACGCCTCCGATGAGTCCAATGGTGTTGCTATACCCGACCACGAAGCTCAGAGGGTTCTTCCACTTCTCTCCGCTGAAGTAATGTGTCCAGAAGTAAAGGCCACCGGCGGTAGGCATCGCAGACGCTAGATCGGCCTTGTCGATACGTCAACTTCATGGGAAATTAAAGGATATGTGAAGCAGATCATGTTACCATAGCTAGCCCAACGATGAAGATAAAGAAACTCGCCGCCAGCCATCCTGTTTTCCTAGTCAATGACCAGCTGAAAAGAGTATAGTCTAAGTTTCCTTACCCTATTCACTTTCAGTCAATGTCTCATGAGATAGCAATGGTAGGTAAAGATGAACCTACCCAAACCATGCCAACAGGACCAGCTGGTATAGAGAACGACAAGGTTGATGCGATGGACGGCAACAGTCCCATGATACTGAAAGCAATCGCGAAGACCTGAACTGTCGAGTAATGGCGTCGTAGCTCCTGCTTATACCCCAGAGTTGCTTCTCACTTTAGCCAGGGTAGTTGCATACCAAGGTAATGGCAGACTTGAGAATAGGTCTGAACTCACCAAGCAGCTGGGTATCACCTCGCTCGACGGAAGGCTCGCCGCTCATCTTCTCGGTTTGATCTGCCATGTTCGGATAGATAGATTGGCGATGTTGATCGGAAGCTAGAAAAGCACAATCTGTTTGATCGGGGGGGGGACTGGAGAGCTTATATGGAATGGAGCCTCGAGCTGCTGACGCATGACCACTACAACAAGGGATCATCGCAGTCCGGAGTTTCTTACGTGCGTGCGGTCGGCCGACATCTTCCAGAGCTGTCAAGGTGATACGGATGCAAGATTATCATTCTTATCGATGGCGAAATCTCCAAAACCCAATCCAGAACTGCAGACGGATGATAAGAAGCCGTAGCGCGTTTTAGCCTGGAGGCTTAATCAAGATTGAGGGGAAGACAGGAGCAAGACGGAGAGTGAGCCTTGAGGAGGCCAGGTCCGGCGCAAGAGTTGCTTCTTTGGGCAAAATTCTCCCCAGGGTTGCATGAAGATGGTGCTTTGGTGCTATTGATTCGTTCCGTCAAACAATCGATGCAAGCCACTTTCAATGCGCTACTATACATACCCAATCACTACAATCAACAGTTTACAATAGTACCTAGGTAGCGTTCTGATTCGAACGATAAGAAGTCTGAGACCCAGCCAATCCAAAAGACCCAGGTGTAGTAGATACTAGGCAGAACAAGGGCAGATGTTGACACAAACCACAAAAGCAAAGTGGTAATTCATAAGCGTACACAGAGCGTAAATCTAAACAGCACCAGGCCCCTTGTGGTTCGACTGATCCAGCAGAAGTCGGGGCTTGATATAATCTTCATCCAACTGCCGGAACCAGGCAACATGATCCCCTGAGGGTCCGCCTGAGAAGAGGTCCCGGATCGTCTCGCGTGCAGTTCGTCCCGTTTCGCGTCGCGAGGGTGATGCGCTCTCCGATTCTTGCGGTGTCTGCGATGGGGTCAGATATTGCGGCGGTTGCGATGGTGAGCGCCGCATCCGTGTGGGGGCAGCTGGAGGCAAGTCATCATCTGAATGTGCTTCATCCACATCAAGATCAAAGGCGTCTAGGTGGTCATTATCGTGCGCTCGGCGCTTGCCGGCGGCCTTCAGGCCAAACTCATCTTCGCTGGCGCTCTCGCTACCGCTATGACTTCCGGGGCGTGCACCCAGGAGAGTCGCGGTCGATGAGCGGTCACGCGTTGTATGGGTGTCTTTGAGGCCAAATGCGTCTGAAAACATTCGGGAATGCCCTCGTCCCGGTCGCGACGACGATGTGGGGCTGGGGCGCCGATTGTTACCGCTCGAGTAACTGTTGTTCCGGTCTATATCCCTTCGCTGCACCCCATCCAGGGGTATGTTGTCTGTACGGCGAGGAGTATATCCCAGGCCGGTATCAGAGCGTTTGTAATAAGTTCCTCCGTTGGACAGTTCAATATCGAATTCATCATCAGACTCGATTTCTTCAACCACACCGGTTCTGATCCCAAGAATCTCCAACATACGCGCTGTTGTGCCTCCAAAAATTATCACGGTGAGCACCACAACGACAAGAACAGTCGCGCGTAATGCTGGTCCATTTACACCTCCTAGGCCTGCAGCTAGTGCGACTCCGACAGCGCCACGCAAGCCAGCCCAGAAAAGCATTGCTTGGTACGCAAATGGCAGCTCATCGGCCACCTCCTGCCCCCTTCGACGAGCCCTATAGCGGATAAACCAGTTAATCGCCTTGGACAAGGGAAACACCGCAAGGTATCGGGCAAGACAGATACCGAATACGGCAACCAGAATGAAGAGCGGCTGGAAATGCAAATCCTTTTGGACCAGTAGATCGAGGCCCAAGTAGATGAAAATGAAGTTCTCCGACAATTGCGCCATTACTTGGAAGAGGTATTTCGTGGTCAACTGTGTTCGACGGGACATGTTATAGTAGGCATAATGTTTCAGAGTAATTCCGCAGAACAATAGAGACACAATTCCTATATCAATCAGCATCGAGAAATGAAATATGGAACTCCCCAAACTTACCGGACAAAAGAACACCGTTGGAGAAAAAGTAGCTTGCGTAGGCTATAAGCACAATCAAGCAGCTCTCAATCTTCGGTTGGCGACGGACGTGAGTGTACTTCAGGCCGAGCGCGGTCAGGATTCCCACAATGACACCGACCAACATACTACCAAAGAAAACCAAGAGGAAAAGCCCAATAGCCTCAAAGAGGTTAAGGATCGACAGGGACTCGGCGTCGCTGGACGCATATTTCTGCGCCGTTTCGAAGAGAACGATGGCAATAGCATCATTCAAGATTGATTCGCCGAAAATAACAGTGTATAGCTTCGGCTCGACTTTATAGAGGTTAAATATGGCTAGAATCGTAACGGGGTCTGTCGCAGAGAGCGTAGCGCCGACCGAGATAGCCTCGACAAAGCTGATACTGAATCCGTCCAATGGTATCCTTGTCCAAAGAAACAGGACTAATCCGAGGACAAGGGCCGAGATGAAGGTTCCCGCGAATGCAAACGTGAGGATCGTGCCGATATTTCGGAAGAAGTTCGCTTGGTGTAGCTCGTATCCCGAGGCCAGGATAATAGGAGGAAGGAGAAGATTGAAGAAGAACTGGTAGTCGAATGCGACGAAGTTCTCGATGGGCGACTCGGATAATCGAAGGATCAATCCGACGAACATGCCTAATTAGTTAGTAAATTCCTTGTATAAACCGAAAGAGACAAGCAACTGCGTAGAGATTAACAGACACCTACCTCCAAAGATAGACAGAACTGTTTCATGCACTGCTTCGATCTTCCGTTGCTGCAGGATGTAACTCGTGAATAGAGCCATCATCAGCAGAGCAATCATGATAAAGAGCGCCCAGGAGCTGAAGAACTCCTTGGTGCCTGCTTCCGGAGCATCTGCTATCACCCCATAACGTCAGATTCAGTACGACAGCTATGCTATATTCAATTGTGCGGAGACCGCGGTGAGGGGAGATCAAGGCGCGTACCATCGTCGGGGTCTGTGTCATAATCGGCAGCTCTTCCTAGAGTTCAGGTCACAGTCAGTTACTATCTCACATGAAGCTTCAAATTTCGAAGCAAAGCGTGCGGCTGGAACGCGCAGGAGAGGGCACATACGGAGGAGGTGATGCAACGCATCACCCATCAGTTGCCCAGCCATTTTGTTGAAGTCTAGCAACCACCACGACGGACACCTAGCGGATAACTCCAGTGGCGATTTTCTCACACCAATGCGAAGCGCACATACTAATTCACGGGTCTGGAGAGTGTGAGGCGGGGATAGGAGAGCAGTTGGGAGTTCGAGGACAAGGGCGAGATAGGGACAAGTTTCGCCTTCAAGTTGTTCGGAGACTCTCCCGCCCCAGACAAAGCCAAGACCGGCACAAGGCTGCAGTGATCTTCAGCCATGTTACATCTACTAGTACTACTTCGACCAGAAACGCTGGTAACGTAAAATTGTCCTCTTATCTCAGTCATTTATTTATCCATGTAATTCCTGCTGTTCAAGCTAGAAACCGAGAAACTTTTCCGATCAATTTACGAGATGTCCCTAGTGTCTATTTACTTGTTTAGCAGCTCCCACTTGTGTATGTACATGCCCATATTCTTTTCTAAATATCATGAATATTGTGTCATGATCACTACTCTAAGTAAATGTTCCTATGTATCATGTTACGAGTGCCTTGCTGCTCTCCCTGCAGTGCCCTCGGCCAGTCGGCTTGTCAACCAGGCTGCAACCAGAGCAGCACATCCTCCAAACCGCAAGACCCATCCAACACTGTCGTCCCAAGGTTCTCCTCGAGGCTTCTGGAAGGCTTTGAATATGGCACTGCATATCAAGCTCGAAACGACCTGCGGTGCTGAGATGGCCACATTGTGAAGCCCAAGAACGATACCGGCCTGCGCCGTATTTTCCTCGTCTCTGCCTTTGAAAGAGCTTGAGAAGGAACCCTGCTCAAGATCGTCACCGTTTTCAGCGAGATCAGGCTGGGTAGACCTTGAGGGTGTGTTTTCATCGTAAGGCGCCATCTCCGACTGACGACGCCGTACTCGGTGCTCTTCGTTGATGGTTGCTATCTCTGTTGAGATAAATGCAAAAGGTGCCCATAGTGTAAGAGCCCATGGGATTCCCACAAGACCCACTACAGCCGTTGCCGCTTGGATAGAGGATATCACAAAAGTGCTGAACATACATAGAGCAAAGAGTAGATGCGACAAGAGCCAGGCTCGTCGTAATGTAAAACCGGGTATTTGCAGTTTCGACATCAAGTTCCAGCTTTTCGACCCGCCTGGCTTGTCTTTCGACATGTGTGGATGTAGTTCAGAGACCAGCCCTACCTGGATATCTGAAGTCGACTGTCTCTCGAGAGTCAGACAGGGTTCCGTTTCAGGATAGTTGTCAGGGTCGTCAGAGACAGCTGCTTTGTATGTTGGGACGACAAAGATTGGAAGGGTTATGTTGGCTACGAACGAGACTGTCGCGTATATGAGCAGCGCAAAAGTCCCTATTCTCGTAGCGTCGTCCCATGCTTTATCGATATCTGGCTCTGAAAGGTTCCCATTTTCGAAGATGGGGTTCACGTAGATCTGCCCAATGTAGGTGGTTGCGTAGTATAAGAAAGGGAACCAGGCAACCCATGCCGCAAGCTGAACCTCGCAAACCTTGGTAGCTTGGGGTGGAAGGTTTTTGATTGACTCGAAAACCTGTTCGAAAAATGCACCGACACCTAGGCTCTCGGAGGATGGTGGCCCATCAAGCCGTGGGTCGCGTTCCTTGACGTAGAGGCAGCTAATCACGAGGGTCACCGCAAGCGCGGTCGAAGCTAGTGCACATAAGATCTGGAACCGCGTGTGTCCGAGAAAAGGAAAGATTTTGGGTAGGTCGATATATCCGAAAATGTACCCAACGATATTACCCACGCCAGTTAATCGACTGGCCCAGGCATTGGCCGAGTCCTGTTGATGCGCCGGCGCATTGTCAACAATGAAGCACCGAATACCAGCCTGTACTATATTGGAGACGTCAATTGGAAATCTCAAACAGCTTAAGGGCAAGGGTCTTACCAGTATTTATAGCGAAATCCAGACACCACATCATTATTGTCGCCACAATAATAGAAGTGATTTTGGCTCCCTCCGACTTCTGGTCGCCCCCAAATATGCCGATCACTCCCTCTACACCCTCCCTAACCCAGGCAAGGGCAAGAAGAGTCACGATTGTCACCGAACCTCCGACAACCATAAACGGCTTCCTTTTGCCCCATGATATCCGGCAGTTGTCACTGCGAATTCCGACATATGGCTGCACCAGCGCTCCCGTTATCGGACCTGCAATCCAAACACAGGCAAGAAGGGCCTTGCTCATTCCCAGCGATAGAAGGTAGGGCTGCATTCAGAGCGTCGTCAGCAAATATCCTGGGTTATAAGCACATAAGGTTCTCGCATACCGACCCGCTGCCTAGCTCGACTGACCATACGACTTGAAGTCTGTCATCCTGTTAGTATCAGGTGTGACACTGGGAATGGGCGTCCTAAAGAGAGCCAATACTTACCCACCAATGCTCAAGGTTAGCAAGAACAGATACCAGCTGCTCTTTGTTTCAGAGCTTTCTTGAGAATTCTTGCTCCTGCCAAACCCCGGGGAATCACGAACAACAATTACGGGGTCTTCAACGTCATCAGATGCTCGAGGTCCCACCAGGGGTGAGTTCTCGTGTGCATTTTGTCCACCACTCTCCATCCTTGGGCTCAAGTTCTCTTATCAACTTTCGCGTAGAAGTTGCCGCAGAGCTCTCGTACCAGATGATTCTGGTAGCGGTATGCTACGTTGGATTCATCGAAGGGTTGCAGAGAGTGGATGATAGCGACCAAAGCAGAAGTATCCGATCGGGACAAGACGCAAGTAAAGGGTGGTACAATCTGCCTCGGAGATGTATGAAATATATTGCGAATGGAAATATCGAGTAAGTAAATTCTGCAGCAAGTACGAGTCAGAATAGAAGTTGATTTGAGGCGTCGCATCACTCCCAGACCCAGAGTGGTGATGTCGTCTTCAAGTTCGTCATATCCCGTGCACGTGACCCTGTCGAGCACAGCCAACGAGAAGTCAAGCACAAGCGAAGGATGATGAATCATAGCAGATTGCAAAACTCAAACAAATGTCTATTTTGAGTAGATTTCTTCCTATGTACATAGTTGACCATAGCCCACCCTCTTTCACACGTAAAAACTTCGTAACTCGGAAATGTCTATCAGTTTTCAGCCAGAAGCCCCAGGCCTCTGAGCCAGATGAGAGTGTTCAAGATCAGCTCCCGTGATTTCCCATAAAGTGAGCATGCTCCTCAAAGCCTGGTACAGTGGTATATCCGCTTTCCTTCCGTGTCCTTTTCCATAAAGAACAGTACAGGCCCTCTGAACAAAGGAAAAGTAAAAAGAGACGAAAACAAAGAATCCAAAAATAAGTCAGAGAACAAGTAAAGGTATGGTACGAGCCACTGCACATATATCAAGACCCAAACATAAACCGCAGAGACAGATAGATGCTCTTTCGAGACGTGGACCGAAAACCGTAAAACAAAATGCCGGCGTCGATGGCTGGTTGTGAAGGACAGCTCGGAAGGAACCAGAAGAGATTAAGTAACCATGTAGTTTGAACAAACCCGTATTAGAATAGCAAGTGAAACACGCAAGACCTCGAGCCACCATGTGACTGCAGACAGAAAGAAAACGCGCCAGCAGCTGCGCTACATGTGTTGCTGCAGGAGCTGAGGCGCAATCATGTGAGATGCCATCATTGTCCCCATTGTCGACGGTAGAGTCATTGCGGTGGGGATCGAGGCTACACCAGAAACTGTATGTTGGATAGACTCGGTCGGAGAGTCATCTTCGTCGTGGGTAACCGAGTCGTTGTCTTCATTATCGTAGTCCTCATCGTGTATGAGTGGTTGATGGCCATCCTGCTGTGCCTCATGGATGCGACGGTGTCTGGGTGACAAAGTAAGAAATATGCCAAAGGCAACTAGATTGATGGGGTGCATACTGTGCCAGGTTATCAGACCTGGAAAACGCTTTGTTGCAGTATGGGCAAGGGTAGGGGCGCTCTTGGGTGTGAGTCCTCACATGTCTATTTTAGATAACGGTCAGTCGGCGGTTAGGGAAAGTATGATGGAGTCACCCCACATACGGGCCAGAGCGAGTCGAGCCATTAAAAGCGGGGTGGGAAATAGCGGGCTAGAACGTACCGTTTCAGATGCTCTAATCTCTTAAAGAGCCGCCCGCAAGAAGGAATCGGGCAAGAATGCGATTTTTGAGGATACGGTCCGAGTTCCATCATCGTAGCGCTCCGTGCACGACGGACAGGGCCTGTCGAGAATCTGTCGGCCTTGTTACCGACGTTATTGTGGACGGTTGTTTCCATGGTTCCGTTTGTGGGGAGAGCAGCCAGATTGTCCGGTGTCCGGGCAAGCGGAATGGAGTTTTGCTCATGATTCTCATCCACGCTAGAAAGAGGGGTTCCATTGCGCGACATTTCTTGGAGCAGATTCTTCTGGGGAAGGACAGCAGGATGATATGTCGCACTAACAGAGCGGTGCAGCGAATCGTGACGCAACTCATCCCCATCTCCAGGAGCGACCGAACTGGAAACAGAGCGCCGCAAATCACTCGGTTTATGAGCGGCGTAAGAAATTGACTGGGAGCCTTGAGCTGGCGCAGGAGATTGCGTGCCGCCTGTGACAGGATTGATAGAGCCGGGTGGGATTGAAGAGCGGCGCCGGCGTTGCTTATAGGTGGGGGATCCCTCCAGAACGGAATAAACATTGGAGTGGAAAGTCCGGGCAGGCGTGGGAAAGTGCCCGCTGGCGAGGTTGGATGGTGGCAGGTGCATCATTGGGTTGAAGGAAGCTCCGGAAGAGATATCTGGGATTGCAGTATACAGACCCGTGTCTTCATTAGCAATATACGCAGGTTCGGCACCCATGTGGGAGCTGTGCTGCGGTGGGGTGACGGGCTCGAAGGACAACCCCCGGTTGCTGTAATCTTCGTAGTGGGAGGAGACAAAGGACGGAGCTGGAGAGTACTCGACGAAGGTAGGCATTGAGGAGTGCCGCTGGTGGATGCGAGCGATGGGCATTCCGTTGCGGTCGTACTGAATGGCACCATAATCCGCCTCGCGCTTAATAATGTTCTGAGCCAGAGTATTGGGCATCGGAATCGATGCGTACATCGGCGGATTCGCTGTCTCGTCCGTGAGAAGGGGGATCGACGGGGGAGCCATCTGGGTAGCCATCTGGGGAGGAGGCATTGCGTCAACGGTCCGAACGACTGGGGATGCAGATTGGCCATATGTCGTACTTGCGTGTGCAGCAAACGATGATGAATTCGCTTGTTGTGCCTTTGTGAGTTGCTCATACAATGACTGGGATGAATCAAACTCAAAAGACAAAGCAGGCTCGCTGACTGCGACAGTGGTGGCTTCCTGGCCCATTTTCTCCCGCTTCAAATCACGCTCTAGCGCATCGAGGAACAGTCTGTCATGAGGCACACTGTACCAGTAGAAGACCTTTTGCTTCTTCTGAGTTCGGATACAATTGTTCTTGTAAAGAAAATCGAGGAACGGGCTCTTCGGTTCTTCAAGAGTAGCATCGGTCCCAGCCTTCAGGTTGCGCAGGTCGGAAAAGATACCTTCCTCGAATTTCTTCGAGTTCTTTACTGGGCGTCCAAAAGCTTGAAATCTGAATGCAAGGCATCGCACGATATCGGTTCCTGAAACGTGGAAAAGATTGTTCCTGTAGCCGAGTGGTGAGTGAGACTGGTAGGAACCAGATTCAGTAGTAAGACTAACCAGAGGACGCAGGAGATGTAATCGCCAGTTGGGAGCAGGAATCGCCGAATGAGTTGGTCTGGCTGCCAATCTACTGGCGCCGAAAGAAGGAAGTATTTTACTGTAGCAAAGGTCAGGTATCTGCTCGGTAAACAAGATGACGGGCGCCAAAAATTGACAAATTCAGTTCTTACAGTTATCAACTTGCTGGAGAGCAACCTGTGCATCGTGAGGCAAGCTCTGCTGCGCTTCGCTAGACAGCATGAAGGTCTCCGGCTTCTGAGGCGGCGCCATAGGGGCACCGTGTTGAGGGTACATTTTCGCGACCTAGAGGCACCCAAAGTTAGAGGGAGGGTCAAGAGCCCGGCGTGCGAGCGCAACTCGTCGGTTATCGCAGCTGCGTCATCGCAGCCTCGATGGGAGTCAGATGGGATGAACGTACGGTCAAGAGGCTCCGGCAGAGAGTCAGTGACTCGTCTGTGCAAGGTTCGAGGTATTGGCAAAATTAAGGCAAAACGAGTAGCGTTTTATAGGTTGGTTAAGATGCTTGTATAAGAAACGGCGATCGGAGATGGAATCCAGAAACACAAGATGAGGAACCAGCCTCCTGGAAAAGGTTGTTAGAGTCAGACGTTGGCGAATAACGACCGTCAACAAAGACAGAAGGGACCAAAGGATAATGAAAGGAGGTAAAGAGTCGAAATGGGCCAGCCCGTTTCCAATTCTCTTTGAAGAGCTCGCACGGCGAAATTGAAATGAAACGAAAGTAGAGCAAATAGAGGCAAGTCGCGATGAGGAGGGGAGGGGGAAGAGGAAGAGAGTTGGATGCGAAGGAAGACTTGCTTTTTCAGAGTGTTGAGGAAATCGGGTTGAGACCAGAAGAAGAGGGAGGATAATAATAAGCCTTGTTATTATTATGCTTGAGGAGAGATGCTAATAATAATGCTGGAAGAATAATAAGGGAAAATAATAAATAATAATGAATAAATGATGATGACAATCTGAACCAGCCAGTCTGGATGGTCGCTGAGGGGTCAGAATCAGAGAAGAATTCAGGGAGCGCCAGACGGGGACGATGCATCCACGATCCATCGTAACTCGCTCGTTCTTCTCAGTATTTGAGGGCGTCTATGAGTGGCTCAATCACACGGCCACTGCAGGGCTATTGAGGGCACCGCAAGGAAGAGCGGAGACCGGCGCTAGGGGAGTGGGCACTCAAAAAGCTGCGATACGGGTCCGGTACACGTATCCTTACCAGGGCCTTCAGTCATTCAGGGCAACACTTGGGATTCTGCTCAAAAAAAAGGCCAGCCAGAATCACAGAGACAGCCCGAGAGTGAAAAGTGGGGTCTTCCCACGATCTGTTCAGAGTTGGCAAGGAGTTTAGGTGGTTTCCTCCCGGATTGACCTCCATGTTTGGTTAGCCTGCATTGAGCACTACTGGGGAAGCTTCGTGCTCTCAGAGTCTTTGGACCTGCGTTTCACCCCGAGAATAGATACTCTGTGGCTGGAGCTCAATGCTTAGGATCTACTCATGATCTGAGAAGGTCATAGTCGGTTGAGAGGAGGTATGTAAAGCATCAGAGCCTGCTCCAGTAGAGAGAGCGCTCAGCGCTCATAGTGAACGACCATGTGCTTCAAGCAACTGGCGATCAACTTGAACGTTAGACAGCTGGAAGTGGAACCCGTCCAGCAACTCGAAGTGCATTAACTCATTCAAGAATTCTGAATAATGGTCGTGATCCACCAAAGCAAACTGTGTAGCCTTAAGTCTTGAGCTCAAGTCAAGCTAGTCGGGGTATGCTTCATTGCATATGCCATACTGCATATCCGACTCGGGGGATGATCATCTTCGATGCAAAAGGCGCATCCGCTTCTCGAGTCTACGGGCTGGACGTTTGTACGGGTATTTGATTTGGGGGCCGCCTCGACAGTAAGAGTATGGAGAAATGTACCTGTCAACTTGTCAAATCATGTCATGGTTTCGCCAGGCTGTTTGCCTGCCAAGGGATGCGAGTCAGGAGCAGCCGACATCCCAGTGGGTGGAACCAAACAATGCCAAGCCTGACAAACATCATCAAACTGGCGCCGGAAACAATCGTGAAGTATTTGCCCCTTGTTTCAGCATATGTGAGCGCTTACCTCAATCCAATGAACTTCCAAGTTTCACTTCATGGTGGCCCCTGGCCTCCAAGGCCCGTCCAGTCGCCTCAGCGCTGGTGATGCCCGGCGCTGGGTCATCTGGTCACCTGGTCATTCGATAGCCCCCATCATCGCCTCGATCCTCAATCCTCCGAGTTCGATCTGTGCTCTGAAAGGCACCCGCAACGGCTCGTTCCTTCTTTAACTGGCAAGAGCTGCTCGACACCCTGGTGCGCTGTCCGCCAGCGTTCATGGAAGTGCTGATGCCTGAATTACCAGCTTCTCTAGTTCGTTCTTCCATAATCTATCGGCCTTGCCTCCAAAGCGTTGTTACACAAATCTCTAGTCCCTCAACACTGCATCAAGTACTCTCACGGGCGGTTGCAATTGAAAGTGCTCTCCAGTAAGCTTCCATCATTATTGGGGCGAGAAATTCGAGCTCTGTCACCGTGCCCTCAATTGACTAAAAATAGATCCATCGTCTCTTATTCTCTCCGCTGTGCTTTGGTCATCTTTTCTGGATGAGTCCAGATCGACTTGCAATCATATTCCGGGTCACTGGCTCCAGAACTTCTGTTACACATCTCAGATCTGGTATAGCTTGACAGTCAAATCTGCTAGGTCCCGAAAGGCATCCAACAGGAGATCTCGATTTACCTTTCCGGCCTTTCCGAGCTCTATCAACAAAATATGATCAATCTGGGTGATAGGTCACTCAAAGTGCCACCTCTATCGTCCTCCATCAGCTGTTAGGGTTGCCGTTGAACTTTTGGTCGACTAGTCTGTCTTGACTCTCAAATCACCAGATGTGCTCGGCGACTTGGATGGCACGATCTCAATAATGTCGGCCGCGGACATTGAGTAGTATACGGAGTACCGGCTCATCGAAGACTCGGGAGATAAAAACGGCCGGCTCAATCAGCTCAACGATCTGTAATGCCGGGTCTGTTTTACGCCATCGCATACCAAGGGTGGGCCAGAAACCCCTTGCTTAAATGAATAGAACCCTAAATAGCGACAAAAAGTTGAGGGTTCAACCGTTCAAGATTAGCGCAATAACTTTGGCCCTTGACCTTCAACTTCCAAAGTTTCTCATCAACTTCAGCCAGGTCGTCCTTTATCAGCCTCGAAGATCTACACGATCATCATTGGCTCGGGTAGTCTTCGGAGATACCCTATATCGGCTCCCAACATAGTATAGCACCCTAGACAATCGTTGACGATGCTGAGATAAAAAAGGACTAGTATTCTTAATCAACGAGAAAGACCAACTAACAAGATAGCGGAACGAGGAAGAACAACGGCGCGCAACTATCTGCTTCGTGAGAAATAGCAATGGGAAGACGTGGTAGGGACGTGGTAGGGACGTGCGACAAGGCCCATAGCAGTCCCAACTACGTAGCAAAAAATTCTCCGAACGGACCCAGCCATTAATGACCCCACCGCCTGTGATCATTGCTCGTGAACGAGGTGGTGGATCAAGATAGCAAGATCTCAGATTCAAAGCAAGAAATTTAGGCACGTCGACGACTCAGCAAAGCCAGGACGCTGCTTAGGCTCGGTTCCTTGAGAGTCTCATCGAGCCACCAGATTCAGGAACAAGAACACATCGTTGAGCCCGCCGAACAGGGCACAGGAGTCCCCCTACAGAAACCATGACCGAGCTCTGTCTTCGACTTCCGGAGATCACTCGCTTCGATTTTCCTTCGAGACCCTGTGGGGACATAGATAGTCGAAACAATTCGGTCTGCACGAGATGCTGTTTGATCGTCCTGACTGAAACCATCTAGAACATACAGCAAAGTTCTTAAAACTCAAAGCTTACCTTGATACGGGATCCTGGTCAACATCCATAGACCGCGATTTCCGGCTCCAACACCACCCTTTTGCATGGTATGATCGAAGTCTTTTTGATTGCTTGGTCCAACCTCCTTTTCCGTGCGTCGAGCGACGAGTCATGGTCACCTTGTTGCGTTAGCTTGTTGTTCGGGGCCGATGCTCGGCTGTGTAGCTTGTGGATACAGTCTCGAGGCCAGTTCCGATTACTGCACCTCGTGCCTGCATGAGAACCTGCGGGGAAATGGTCTTGTAGCATCTTGTGCCGTGAAACCTTCGGCATGGGCAAGAGAGGTTTTCGCGAAAAATAGAGAACAGAGAAATGGCAATTGTTCTTCAGGATTCAACTTCCTTGAGACTGATTTCCCCGCAATCTGATCAGATGACTGACACTCCCGATTCCCCTGCACTTTTGACGAGGCTACGGGACTCTAGGGTAAGGTCTCGATTGACCCAACTTTGGCCTTCCCCTGACAGACTTGAAGACCTGGTTCAGCCCACCAGCTTCTACCACCAAAAGGCCCAGCTGTTCTGTTGCTATTTCTAACAGAAATGTCGAATCTCACCCTCTGATGTATCTCTTAAAGCTCTGGAGGCTGTTCTGGAATCTCTAGAACTTCCTCGGCAAAAAAATCTTGTCATCCTCTAGAGTCTGAACCATCAAGGACGTGCCAAGGAACCAATCCAACACTAACTGTGACCATTACGCAGGCCACTAGATACTTCTCTCTTATTCCTCCGATTCTATCTAGTGCCAGTCCAACTTGGTCAGAATTTGGAGTCAACAGGCTCAACCGAGGGGTTCTCTGGCCTTGACAACAAACTCCGGAGAAATCTCGAGAACCGGGATCCTTCCAAAGGACCACAGAGCGGAAGGATGTCTGTTTGAATACCCAGAATCCTTAGACAGGAATTCTCAACATTGATCAATTATCTACCCCTCCAAACTTCGAAAGACGGTCTCTCAGTTGAGATAGAAGAAGAGGAGCGGTGATTAGCGGCAACTTGGGTACACAACCCCCAGGCTGGTGACTTGCAGAATCTGAAACACGAAGTATATCCTCATTTGACAGTTTCATGCCTCAGCCCGATTTCTGGATGTCATCTTTGCGATGGCTGGACAGATTTGCATGATGCAGTGTTCCTTCATTATGATACTAAAGCCACTGACGCCAGTATTGAAGGTCATCCGTCGGTCATGAGTTGCTTCGTATCCCAGGCGTCCTGACTCCTGCCAGGTTTATCTTCCCACAAACCTTAGTTTAAGGCGTGGAGAGTCGAATCAGTGTGGCCGGCAACCAGGGTGCGAAGAGATGGAAAGTTTCCTTCGAGCTCCCAGGCACAATTGGTTGTCATTGTATTGTCGCGATCCTTCGTCTGTACTTAGGGCCTCAAGGCAAATGGGGCAATTGACAGGCTACAGGATTCCAGAATATTTATTGATGAAGTCGAACGAGCACTGCGACCCAGCACAACAGATGTTTTCGATACGACATCCTCGCGAATGGAAAAGTGCAGCCACAGGATAGTAGGATACGATGAGAGAAATAGCAGGAGAAAAGTGAAAGAGGCTTTCGGTCGAGTTTCCTGACGCGCCCTAGGATTACCTAAAGTCTATCAAAGACAAGTCCACGAAATGACCCTGCTGCTCTGTCCACCCCCAAGCGGCGAAAGATTTCCAGAGGAGCGCGAGCATGGCCGGGAAACTATTTCTCAAACCTTAGCGTTGTCGGAGATTTCACCGTTTCAGGAACGGGTGCGCTTTTGGAAACGCGCTATACTCGGATGAGTTGGGGCGGCCTCTAAAATAGACCCAACTTGGAAGAGGCTAAGGTTTCAAGTCTCCGCAGGGAGCTCTTCGGAAGAACTGGCTTGGCATCAAAAGTGGGCAGGCTGGGTCCGTGATCGAGTTCATCGTGCAAGGAACTGGTTCGAAAGATGGCCGGAACTTGGTCAAGTTTTCAACATCTGTGTCGCGGGTTGAGACTTGAAACTGCCGGTGGGGAGAGAGGCTCAGAGCTTCCCCATACAGGAAAAGAAGAGATGCCCTGAAAAGTCTGGTTCGAGCAGAATCGGAGCTAAAGCGTGACGGACAACCGATCTCGAATTGCAAACTGACGGGAGGCGGGATATCGTCTGCTCCAGGCGAATCGCCAGAAATCTCCCGAGTTTTCCTTCTAACGGCGACCACGACCTCGCCCCCTGCCCTTGCCTCTGCCTCGTCGTGCGCTCTGAACTTGGGCAATGTCACGTTGGCTGAGATTCAGAGTTCCGCCCGCAAATTTTCCTATCGATGGGCCTCCGACTCCTCTTTCGCGTCGTCCGCTGCTGACGTTTGTCTTTGGCGCAGGTTTCTCAAGGACGATCCCATTCTCACGAGCCTCCCTGCGACGCTTGTCTTCCTTGGAAGTGGCTTTGGCTTTGATACCCTTGCGCATTGACGACGGCATATTCTTCTGGTGATAAAGTGATTTCTTCGCCCCAAGCTCCTGCATTCTCAGATCGAGTGCCTTGTGTCGGTTCTTGCCCGTGGGGGCGAGATCGGATGCCGAGTCCAGCAGATGGGATTCTTTCAACAGTCGCTGTAGCGCGAGGTCGTTCTTCAAATTCATCGATTCGGTGTCTTTGTCATCGTCTGCATCCCCGCCTTTCTTCGCATGATCTGTAGTAGATGTCGGGTCAGTAGCGGATGACGGTGGCTTCGCGGACTGGTGATTTACGACGTTAGAGTTGATGACTGTAATGCTCATGCCATAAACTTACCATAAAAGCCTTTCGCGCTCTCTTGTCCATTAGGGCGTCGGCCTTGGTGGAAGGTGCTGTGTAATCGACTACCTCAACCGGACGATTCTCATTGTCATCCTCCCCATCTATACCGCTCCATTCAGATTCAGATCCCGGGTCTTCAAGGTCCTCACTATCATGACCACTTTCAGAGCCGGAATCGTCCTGTGTTGCGCCGTTTTCCTGCACTTCCAGAGGCTCAAATTGAGCTTCGAAGAATTTGCGAAAGATATCTTGAGCGCTTGATTCCGTCGCGGTCGGAGATTCCTCACGGGCTTGGTCTTTCTTGTCTTTCTTTGATCTTGATTCCACAGAGGTATCTCGTTTCCGCTTTCCAATCATTTTGTAAAATTTGTTATCGGATGTAACGCTTTTCTGTCAATAATTGAAAGTTCAAGGGAAGGCGGTTTGGGGAGAATTTTAGATTAGATCTTGGTCACGTGCGATAAGATAAGGAGGTTTCATCTTGGAGGGGAAGCTGTTCCATCAAAGTTGACCCACGACAGAATTCACAATTGAGTATACAGCATCAAATTGAAAGTCAGGTTGCGAGCGGGCGTTAATCTGACGAGTATCCTGCACAAAATGACTCAATTCCGCCCCTGCATCGACCTCCACTCGGGACAAGTCAAGCAGATCGTTGGAGGTACATTAAGTAATGTCGAATCAGACCTGAAGACAAACTATGTATCAAAGCTCCCGGCAAGCCACTACGCAGCACTGTACCAGAAGCATAATCTCCGAGGCGGTCATGTTGTCATGCTAGGTCCGGGCAATGATGATGCGGCAAAGGAATCCCTAAGAACGTGGCCCCAGGGTCTGCAGGTTGCTGGTGGAATTACGGATAAGAATGCGCAGTACTGGATCGAGCAGGGAGCTGAGAAGGTCAGTTCGATACTTGTTCCTGTCGGGCGCGTGCGGGTATAAGGCGGCTATGCTGTCCTGTTTGCTTTGAGGGTGTGGGCCATATGTGTTGAATTGTTTGGTGCTAACCAATATCACCAGGTCATCATCACATCATTTCTCTTCCCAGAGGGCAAGTTCTCTCTTGAACGACTTCAGTCCGTCCTATCTGCTCTAGGCGGTGACAAATCAAAGCTAGTACTCGATCTCAGCTGTCGACGGAAAGACAACACATGGTTTGTGGCCATGAACCGGTGGCAGACGATCACGGAGATGGAAGTAAACCAAGGCACGTACCATTCTACTTACCAGTGTCCTCTCACAAAATTCTCCTGCGTCTCCAAGGGACCTGTTGCGGGATCTTTGTACTGACACGCCACAGAATCAATATCCCTCCTCGAACCATACTGCTCCGAGTTCCTCATCCATGCGGCGGACGTGGAAGGGTTACAACAGGGAGTTGACGAGGAACTGGTCTCGAAACTCTCGCAGTGGTGCTCAATACCAGTTACGTATGCGGGCGGGGCCCGGAGTCTCCAGGATCTGGAGAAGGTTCACGTTAGCAGTCATGGAAAGGTTGATTTGACGATTGGGAGTGCGCTGGATATATTTGGGGGATCTGGTGTCACTTTCGAGGAGTGTATCCAGTGGAACAAGGATCATTGATTTGATATATCTAGGCTATGATCTACGCGTGTTATAAGTATCTTGTAAATATGTCGTCATGCTAGTTGTAGTTCTAGATAGAATATAGAGTAGATATTGTGAAGCTAGCCCGCCGAGGCGTTTCGGTATATTGCAGATCAATTCTATGAAAGCCAAAACATTATATACATACAGCATGATCGCAAGCTGCGTTCTCCCTAAGAACCAGCCAGCTGTTGTCTAGGAAGAATGGCAGTAGCCCGGATCAGATGAGTTCCGCCAACTGCACTACTATCTCACCCTCCAAGAGCACTATGCGACGCCCTCCGCTCGATACTATTCAACGGACAAGCTTCATTGTATATCCAGTACGCAACCAGCCCGAAGCAAAGCGTGTCTGAAAGCTCTTTTCCACCGACATACCCATATAAAGACGTAGAAAATAGACAAACAAGATAACGGTTGCAAATAGGTACTCTAATTCAGAGATATAGCTCCACCTCGGCTGGCTCGAATATGCAGGTACGCCTGGAAGGCACAGAAAACGAAAAATCCCTACATTGTTGTGTCTCGTCAGCCAAGTCGTTCGAATCGACTTTGGAGCTGGGTGCGAAGTGTTTGGCACCGCATTGACGCCGGGTAATGGTGTATAGGCTCGACTTACAATGTAGACAAACACAGCTGTAAATATCGAGGCAGCGACAGCTCCACCGTCCTCCGGTTCGCCTTCTGAACCGGTAAAGCCGTGGTGTTCAGCCTGTTGATTCGGAGGGTTAGTTGCGAGTTTCAATTAGTCTTTAAGTGATGGGGAAGTCGGTTTATATCGAGTCATTGCAGAGAAAGTGTGTATGTATGGATGGCAGAGACGAGGCTTTGAGACTATATAGGGGAGAGCGTCGGGCGAGGGAGCCGGAGTTGACGCACCTTGAAGAGTGATCCGAGGACGGAGAGGATGACGATGGCAAAAAGAGAGATGACCACGCTATATGCAGGAAATAACATGTCAGCTCGGGTCTATTCACAGCAGTGGAGAAGCATACCAGGACCAGGCGTTTAGCACAGATACGACGGGCTTCATTGTGAGGTTGGTTGTTGATCGGGGTGATCAGAAGGCGGAACAGCGCAAGTTTGGTAGCCTGGCGGCTGTGGAAGAAGTCCGGATGACCAGTGAGTAATCGGCCAGTAAGATTATAAGTATACAAGAGCCTTGAGAGAAGGGAAAGACAGATGGATGCGTCGGCAATATCGAAGTTGAACGCCACTCAGCAGTGGGTTGGCGTCTGGGATGATGAAGCTCAGCGGATGACATCCGGCCTAAACCGCTTTTGGCATCGATGTCCAAGCCCCAACGCACCTTAATCATGACGGCAGCGAGGGCAACAAGACGAACGATGGCGATTATGAGGACCTAAACATCTGCTAGAGCTCCTTCATTGTACCTCGCATGCAAGAGCTATGTAAATCCCGCTTCTTACGCCAACTATGCTAAATAAGTTTATCGGAGGTGGCGCCCGAAGACAAATCTATATACAGGAATTCGTTTAATGAAACGCTCCAAGCAATCCAGGATTAGCAAAAGATATGGCCACCGGAAATCTCCAAGAAACGCCGATATAGTCTTTAAAAGAAAACTTTTGTGCCTTCCCGCCTTTGGTATCATCAATCATATCAATAGCAGCAACACAAATCGGAACTCCAATACTCATCATATCTGGGCTCAAACTTCATCTTCAATGGGGTCAAGCATCTTAGACATATACGGACCATCCAGCGTATATCCAAGGCGAGCATAGTAGCTTCGAACACCAACGCCAGAAATGACGCTTATTTTCTGGCTTCCGTGCTCCTCTCGCGCGATTCGCTCAGCCTCTTCCATCAGCAGTGTTCCAAATCCACGGTGCTGGAACTTGCGAGGGTCACGTCCGTGAACGGGAACTGCTGAGCCGTACACATGCAGTTCTCGAATAATACTGGTTTGCTGGCCGGTAAATTCAGGGCGGAATGTGTGTGTAGGGCTGCACTTGCGCAGACGAAGCAGACCGATCAGAATATCCTGCTTGGGGTCTTCATAGGCAAGAAACGTTTCCCAGCCACCATTGGCCGTGTAGTCACGGCGGATAAGCTCAACTTGAGAGGGGCGAATCTTGTTCTTGACCTCATTGATACCAACTTCGCGTGTTCGCACGTCTCGACATGTCGTACCAAAGTCCTTCATGCGCGCTAGAGCCAACTCACGCAAGTTACCATTTTCGACGCCGGAAGTGACCAGGGGCATTGGGATGTCACGTTGAACACGGTATATACGCGTCCAAGGTGGAATAAGAGCGAGAATACGAGCAACGAGGTCGACAAGCGCGTTGGGGGTGTAATTCTTGTAGCGACCTGTCCTCCACAGCTCATACAGTCCGGTTCCACGAATGACGAGCGTGGGATAAATCTTCAGACCGTCTGTGCGAAAAGCTGGGTTCTCAAAATATTCTTCGAATTGAAACAAGTCGCGCTCCATGCCGACATTGGGCAGGTCAGGCATCATATGGCTGACCACCTTGAATCCAGCATCCTTGGCGAGCTTAAAAGTTTCTGCAACTGCCGCAACTGTGTGGCCACGGTTCGTATCCCTCGCGACATCTTCGTAGAGACTCTGTACACCAATCTCAAGTCGTGTGCAACCATACCGAAGCATACTGCTCAAGTGTGTATCCAAACAGTAATCCGGACGAGTTTCAATCGTAATGCCGACACATTTTATGTTGCTCATCTCCCCAGCTTGCACAGCTTCATCAACATTGTCGGTCTGGTAGCCACTTAACGCATTGTGCAGCTGAGCAACAAAGGAGTCTCGATAGTCTTCCGGCAGAGACATAAAGGTTCCTCCCATAATGATATATTCAACCTTATCAACGCTGTGGCCAAGCGACTTAATCTGATCGACTCGTCCTCTGGCTTGCTCGAAGGGATCGTAACGGGCACGGATTGCTCGCATCGACGTCGGCTCATAACCGGTGTAGGACTGTGTAGAGTATTCGAAATCCGAGTCCGGACCGCCGGGACAATAGACACAAATGTTACCAGTGTATGCGATATGGGGGCAACGGTGGGGTTTGCTCATGACAGCGACCACGGCAATTCCGGAAGACGTTCCTAGGAAGTTGTCAGCGACGCGCACTCGCTCAACGGACTGGAAAACATACGAATCGGCTTCGCAATCAGCTTGGGGAGAATATATTTCTTGTAGTGTTCAGGAACAGCTGCAATGATGGCGGTTAAAGGAGGCTGACTTCCTAGATTATGCTTCTTCGCGATCTGGCCGCGAAGCTTGTTGAGATTGATGTCCTTTTTAGGCGCCATAGGATCTTTCTGCGCCTCATATTCTTGGATTAGAGCATTTGCGATATCAGAGCAAGCTCTCATAAAGCGTTCATTTTCCGGTAGTAGCTTGGAATTGTTCTTATGTGTTTTTTTGGTGGTGGGTGGCGGGGCGGTCATTGTGAGAGTTGCCATGGTGGAGGGCTACCACGCGTAACTCGCGGGGCTTAATGGTACAAGGGCAGACGTGTAGAGCTCGAGTCTGGAATATCACTAGCGAGATAACGACATAAAACCGTGATTTGGTTCTGTATCGGGGAGTGGTTAGTATGTATGCAAAAGGAAAAATCAAGGCTGAGGGGAGGCTTCCCGACCGCCCGCGATAAAACTCTCGGATTAAAGCTTTGCCCAGCGTCCCGAACAAATGGCCAAATCCGTGTTTCGAACCGAGTATCGCTGCTCGCTTTCTGCCCTTGTTCGTCCTTCTCAACCTCAATCCCCAACCCTCTAAGGCTTGTCTTGCCCGTCTCGCGGTGCAATCTCCTCTCTATCCTTTGCATTTCGTCCCTTTTCCCTCTTTCCCTCCGACTCTTCCGCTATGCAAGCCTTTCGTCGGAACGCGGCTTCTGCCCTTCGAAATGCTGCCCCCGTTCAGCGCCGGGCATACTCCGCTGGACCTTACTCTGAGACCGTGAAGAACCTTCGCATCAATGGCGACACCAAGGTGCTCTTCCAGGGATTCACCGGAAAGCAGGGAACGTATGTAGAATCCGTCCGGAATCTGCAGGATCAATATCTGGAGAGATGCTGATATGCGCCCCTTTGGCCGTCTATAGTTTCCACGCCGAACAAGCAATTGCCTATGGTATAATCTGGCATTCTCCTCGTCAAGCGGTTTGACGCGCTCATCCACTAGCTCGGAAGCTCACACGTCACAGGCACCAAGGTTGTCGGCGGTACCAACCCCAAGAAGGCTGGCTCAACACACTTGGACCTCCCGGTTTTCGCGAACGTTAGCGACGCTGTCAAGGAGACCGGCGCCACTGCTTCGGCTATCTTCGTTCCGTAAGGATATGACAAGCTATGATTTCAAGGTGCTCTTACTGATATCTCGGGTCTAGTCCTCCCGTTGCTGCTAAGGGTATCGAGGAGGCCATCGAGGCTGAAGTTCCTCTCGTTGTCTGGTAAGCTCCGCTTGCCTTGCTCAATAGTCCTTACGCTGATTGCTGACTGTTTTTAATAGTATCACCGAGGGTATCCCTCAACATGGTATAGACCCACAGGATCATGGATAGCTCACTTCTTATGAAACTAACTGACCCTCGCAGACATGGTCCGTATCACCGACATCCTGAAGACCCAGAACAAGACCCGTCTGGTTGGACCCAACTGCCCCGGTATCATCGCTCCCGTAAGTACTCGCACTTGCCCTTAGTAGCGCGCGGACGAGTACTCATACTGATCGTTTCATCTATCTAGGGCCAATGCAAAATCGGTATTATGCCTGGTTTCATTCACAAGCGTGGTCGCGTTGGTATCGTCTCCCGCTCCGGCACTCTGACCTATGAGGCTGTGAACCAGACCACTCAGGCTGGTCTCGGCCAGTCCCTAGTTGTCGGTATCGGTGGTGACCCCTTCTCCGGCACCAACTTCATCGACTGCCTGCGCATCTTCCTTGAGGATGAGGAGACAGATGGTATCATCATGATTGGTGAAATCGGTGGTAGCGCCGAGGAGGACGCCGCCGAGTTCTTCAAGGCCAACAACAAGTACAACAAGCCTGCCGTTGGTTTCATTGCCGGCATCAGTGCTCCTCCAGGCCGCCGCATGGGCCACGCTGGTGCCATTGTTAGCGGTGGTAAGGGTGGTGCCGACTCCAAGATCTCTGCTCTCGAGAGCGCCGGTGTTGTTGTGGAGCGAAGCCCTGCCGCCCTTGGCAAGTCTCTGCTTGCTGAGTTTGTGAAGAGGGACTTGGTTTAGATTTGATTGTGAGCAAATTCTCTGAATATGTCTGCAAGGGATTTCACTATCTAGGTGCTCGGTCGCAGCATCAACGATGGTGACTGACCTTCCTGCTTTCTGCTAGATTCCCGCTCGCCGTTCTCCTGGCACCTTCTGTATTTTTTCCCCTTTCCGTCATGGTCATTTCATATGTTTAGAGAGGTAGGAAGTAATTAGTTTTCTTATGTAAATTTTGAAGATTCTTTTCCTGCAAAGTGCACCAGTTCTACGGTGGGGGTACTGCTCCACATAAAGTACTACGGAGTGTAGGGCATTGATCGACGTTGATGACATCTGCTTGCTCTATCTATGCTGTTTGAGCAAGGATTGGGTAAAGTTTCCGCTTGCTTTCATGTATGTAATTATCATATAGCTATGCAAGTGAACTTATAGCTTCTCAGGTATATATATCTGGTCAAGTGAAACTACAAATAACGGGAGATATTTACGGGAAGCTACAGTATCCTTCGTAAAGAGTTTTCGCTTGAAACTTCCGAAATTGAAGAAAAGCTCTCCCTGAGAAATCAAAAATAATAAACCGATTGCTAGAACAGCTCAGGTCTCAAACCCCATAGATGAGAATAACATGGAGCAGGTTGTGACGTACCTTACCTAAGCTGCACGTGACGCACCAGCTTTGTTTTCGTTGCTTGAGGAACGGGCGACTCTGTTTATTCTTGCCTGTCCCTCGACCTCGCCAAACCAATCTCCCCAACCGCCATGAGCCCTCTGGAGTACGACACCTTGGAATAAAGAGCATAAAGCTAACGATATTCTATAAAATTAACATTCTACGCCTTTTTCCCGCTTGGGGTTGTGTCCAAGTCGATTCTGAGCAAGGATCAAAACAGACGGGCGCCAGCCAACCTATTATTATTGCCCGTGGTTACCCACTGTTTTGCACCTAGCAACCAGGAAGAACCCCAAGCAACACCACCACCACCGACGTGCTGCGAGCGCAAGAGCGTCTGAAAAAAGAAGATGCCTTCAGATCTTGGTAAGAAGCTGCATTTTCCCTGCGTTTATCCCGCTTGCCCCCAACCCACCCATTGTCCCGGGGGCTGGGACCGACCTCCTCGTCCTAGTTGCTGGTTTGCTGACCTGCGGTGACACTAGGTCGCGCAGCCTCACAGTCTTCCAGTGCGGCTTCTCAAACAACACAGATTGCCGCTTCTCATAGTCGCCCTGGAACAGCAGATCTAATGAGATCGCGCTCCGAGACGGTAGTGTCGAGAAACAGCCGTCGCCCAAGGTCGAGAGGCTCGACCGCTAGTATTCATTCGACCACTACCCAACAGACCCAGGACCAACAACTTACCGATGGCTTCTCCCAGTTCCTACCGGCCCAGGCGTCTGCTGGGCCCAATATCTTCAGCACTAACCCGGAGGAAATCATTATGCGATTTGGTCAGCAATTATCACATACAGTCAATGGAACCTCTTTAGATCCAACAATCCCAGATGCACACCACCATGTCATGGGCAGGGCCGATGATTTTTCTGACCACGCCATGCACGGTCATCACTTATCGCAGCATTCTATCCCTTCTGCAATCCACGCACACGGATTACCAGGCGTCGCAATACCCCAGTACCAGACCATGTATGACAGTGGAATTGAGAACCATGTACCAGACCACCTACTCGATGACCATGAGGCTTCAGAAACGGGCGCCAAGAAGAAGAAAGGCTCTAGCTCATCTCTTGCCAATGATAATGAGCTACGGAAACTTCTGCGACAATACGAAGGCTACACTCTCAAGCAAATGGCCGCGGAAGTCCTCAAACACGAGGGGGCAGGTGGCAAGGCGGAGAAGGTCAAACAAGTCTTTGCGATGATCTGGTAAGAACCGAAGCTATGGTACATAGGCCTGATCGCCGCTGCTCACATGCACTGTAGGTTGAAAGAGAACTGCAGGAAAAGCAGTGGTTCCGTCCGACGAGATCGAGTCTACTGCTGCTACGCAGAGAAGTGTGGTACTGAACGGGTTTCAGTGTTGAATCCTGCCTCATTCGGAAAGCTCGTGCGGATCATATTTCCAAATGTACAAACGCGTCGCCTAGGCGTCCGCGGAGAGTCGAAGTATCATTATGTTGACTTGACGGTCATCGAGGAGAAGCAGCAAAAGTCAACACCACAACAGGCTCAGTTCCAATCCCTCGATGCAACAACGTCTGGCGCCACAGAAGCTACCAATGGAGAAGTGACGCAAAAGAGGTAAGTTGAACTTCTCGACTCGATCATGTCACATGTTCCAAAACTCATGTTGTGTATAGTGCGAGCGTGGTATCGCAACCCACTGCCGACACGGCACTATTTCCTTCTCCCACAACATCGTTTGCTCCGAAGGTTGTCGCGAGCATAGCAAACTTTGGCTGCGGGTGCCAGTCACGGGCTAATGACGACTCTGATATTACCCTGGAAAATGTTGCTAGCCATTCTGGGAAGTTAATACACCAGATGCTTCAACTACCAACCACGGATGGATCCTCGGTAGATACCGACTCCCTGCAACTACCTGATATCAAGAATTTCCTGCCCGCCAATACAGATTCCAGAGTAGCGGCAGCCCTTGCCGCTCTTTATCGTTCTCACTGCATCTCGGTCATTGATAGCTTCCGATACTGCAAGGAGCGCAACCTCCTTCGTTACTTCTCTGCATTTCATGGGACTCTGACCGTTCCGGTACAGAAATTATTGACGCACCCCAATCTTGCCCCGTGGATCAAGGAATGCGACTGGTTAATGTACCAGAAGATGATTGCTTTTGTGGCACCACTGACGACACAAGTTGTTCCCAAACTTGTTCTGGACGCGTTCAGCTCGATATCACAGCGACTCACAGCCCATATTGCCGACACTTTTAAGACTCAGCCTGTACATGTATCATTGGCGCGACTGATACCGGCCCATATCTTTTGCAGTCTCCTGAGACATATGCTCGATGTGAACCAGTCTGCGAATGCCGCCGCTGCATGGCTCTGTCACCCTGACAACCGAAACCAGATGTGGCTTGACTTTAAAACATTGGTCGATCCGAAGGAGATGATCACGAGGGCGAATATTCCAACTTGCGCAGAACAAGCTACGGAGCGGATACTGACGCACGATGTTCGTGCTCTCCTTACGCCTATTACTGACCTGAATCTTTCCCAGTCTGATTCAGAGCGGAGTACTCCGGAACACAAATTTCCTGTGGATGAGTCTGTGGGGGAGGAATACAACTTCCCAGACAAATGGATCTCTTTCATACTCAACCTTCCCAATATCTTCCCCCAACACCGCACGCAGTGCATAATAGAGCGCGTGGACGCCTTGTGGGACTGTATTCTTCGCCGATTGACATTAGGAGGGGCCCAGAGCTTTAGTGCTTGGTGGATGACAAAAGTTTTCTTCCACGAAATGATGTTATGGCAAGCAGAAAAGGGTGGTTTCATGCATTACACACCAAGCACTTTGCAGAAAACAGGTCTGGACTTCGACCAGTCTGGACCCGGAGGTCTTCTTCTGAAACCGTCTTCTAATGCTGCCGATCAGAACGGAAGATCTACAACATCGGATTCACAAACTGGCTCATCGATAGACCGATCACAGATGGAGGTTGAAACAAACCTTAGCCACGTCGAGAACGAGAAGCCCAATGATATGACCGAGAGTCTAACGAGTTTTCATGCCCCAAATCACGACGACAGCGCTATTGACCTTGACGATGACTCGATGTTGATGACTGTGGGTAAATACGGCGATATGATGGTCTCCGACCCAGCAGATGCTGAAGGAGATGTTGTGGTCATATAGCCTTCATGCGGCCCGATTTGGATTTCTGCTCTTCCGCCACTTTTTTTTGGGAAGAATAAAAATTAGCCACTACATGGGTGGAGTTGGAATGTGTTTTATAGGAGTATTGGTTTTATGTTGGTTTTATGTACAAGAAGGGCTGGCGTTGGATGAACATTACACGAGAGACGAGCAACGTGAACATCGATTTCGAGATTCATCATTGATTAACCGACACTGCAGCATTATATCTGGCCGCGACTGATAACCATGAATGTCTACCAGCGTGGTTGAACCCGCTCGAGACGCCGGCAGGTTTTGTCTAATCCTCCTTTTGCCTATTCGCTTTCTTGCTCTATTCGTTGGGCACAGACGTTGTCTCTGTACATATTACGTTGCTGTTGGGCTGCAGCTTATGGACTACCTACCATGACTTCGGTTATAAGGCGTTTGTTACATCTATGAGCTCGATTAATTACCTTGCATTTGATTTCCTCGATGCCTTACGGTTACTGCAGCGAATGCCTACTTTTTACGATGAACCAAGCTTCCGGATTATCCTAACTGATTAAGACATCGCAGATGGCTATCTCAAACTTCGTTAAAGTAGTATTCGACACTGCTTCAAGACCGAATATCAAGATAATCCTTACATGTGTGTTCACATCTACTTCAGAGACAATGCTGTACAAGAGAAGATAAAGGTATAAGCATACTCCGGTCTGAACCGGAGATGTTGCCCTTCGCGACTCACGAGTCCGATCTGACGAGCTCGAGTAGTCTTGTTTTACTGAGGTTGTGTCTGATATGTTCATATGACTGCCGGTCTTCTCTCCACATAGGGTGTGTTCATGCAGATGTCGCAAGTGCGTGCAATGGGTGGACAACCCTGACGAGGAATGACACAGGCAGTCAATGAGCCCGAGCCATACCCGAGTACTTCGTCTAGAACGGCTTCGAGCTACTGGGCTAACTTATCTGACTCCCGCAGCAGGAAAGAATCTCGGGCCAGCATAGCCATGAGCAATGACACTTTGAATGTCTATGTTGCCTGCGTTGTAGGGACTCCATAGTTTGATCAGAATGTATCGTCCCGATCTGTATCATGGGATAGGGTTAGATACCTCCTAGAGAGAAGAGGAAGAAACGAACAAGATGGGTGGGTCTTACGGAGGAGGGTCGAATTTGAGGCTGACGCTACTCTTAGGTCGCTTAATGAAGAATTGAGCAAGGGGCTTCATAAGCTCAAAGTTTCTGGATCGAGAGCTTGGCCCTGAGCGTGGTGCAGAGGGCGCGTTCGGTGGAACTGGCTGTGTTGTATTTCCAATATGTCGATTTCTAGGTATTTCATCTTGCTCCATGGCATATTGACGGCGCATGGCCCGTACTTGTCGCTGTAAGTCGCGCCGGCGTGAGTTAAACGAATTGGATTCGGACGTATCATCGTCCTCGCTAGTGTCCTCTGTCTCCGAGCAGAGAAAATCATCAGATGGGTATAGCGCAGCCATTCTTTCCAATCTCGTCATTTGAGAATTTTGGCGCGATGAGAAATCTCCTCCGGGCCTTTCGTGCTCATTAATTTCCGGACGCTCATCATACTCTAGGGTAACATGAAAGTCCCCTGGCAGATCTGTCTCGTGGCTAGGAGATCCGCATGTGTTTTCACTGGCGTCCGTATCCGACTCCGATGTGGTATCAAAGCCGGCTAGGGCTTCCCGATCTAGTGTCTGTAAAGGCGTTCGATAAGAATTCAAGTATTCTTGTGACAGCTGCATTCCTATACGGCGATGACCACGATAATTATTATTTGAGCTGGTGTACTGGATCTGATGTTGAGCCGTACGAGCAAGGAGTTCGTCGGATGACATGGAGACGAAGACCATTCCTGCTTGTATCCTAAGAAGAACAGAAAAAGCATTAGCAATAGCGTCGACATTCCTCTTCGCTCCAGGTTGAACATACGGGGCGTCGTAGCCAGACTTGGGCGCTTTGATAACAAGCTTATTCAGACAGAACGGAGTTCCCCCCCGGTGTTTCAGGATCAGATTACAGCGGTCTGATTTTGTGCAGTAGACAGACGAGTCATTTCGAAGGATGTTTTCTGGCCATGAACTGTCGCCCTCGGGTTCGTACGTGCCTCCATCGCAACCAGCCAACTCCATTTTCAGGGTTCCGGGAACGACTTGACCATACTGCCCATACCGGAGGCTCTGGAGTCCCTCCCTATTATCATCCGAGTCGAGCTTCCTGCGCTTAGCCCGCCACCTGTCTGTTTGATCATGATCCGGCTCTAAGGGCATGGTGGTTGGGGAATCGAGGCGTGCGATTGGTTGATCGAGAATGGAATCTCTATGCCTCCTACTCCGACCGGGTCGACTGCCACCCCTCACAGCACGGGTCCTTGTAGTTCTGCCGACTGGCGGCGTATTGACGGATGGGCTTGAATCGTGATTCATGACTGCAACATCCAGATCTTGCAGCCTTTGTAACGCTGAGTGGGCAGGGTCAGGGCGCACACCATGAGCGCGACCTCCTCGAGAGGAACCCTCACTTTGTAGCTCCCTGATCTGTTGGTCCACAAATGCTCTCGTTTGGTCAAAGGTATATCGGTCCCTGGCGCGCTCGGAACGGAACTCCTCCAACTCTTGGTTAAGGGTCTCTAATGCGCGGGCGGAAGAGTCTCGATTACGCTCTGAGTTTAGCAAATCCCGTAGATGCTGCAAACGATTTCCATTTTGACGGCGAGGGCGATCGTTGGGTCTAGATCCACGAGCGGCAGGACGGGAGGCGGGAGGATAGTCGTAATTCCCCGACTAGAGTTGAGAAGAAGAAACGAAAAGTCAACAATTGCAAGATTGGCTACAAGCCTCTGGCAGGCTAACGAGGGAAACTCGGTTTAGGACAAGCGATAAAAAAATGTATTGTCTGCGACATACCATCCTATAGAAGCAGGGTGACCTCGGAGGTGAGTGATAGCCTGGTAGGAGAGGGGAAGAGTAACTACGTACCTAATAATAGGGCCAGTGTCCTGAGTGCGACGGACAGCGGGGAAACAGCTACTCCAAGTTCAAGAGGCAGAATGTAAGGGGGGCCCGATCAGCGGCAAAAGAGCAGAGCGAGAACCAAATAACGGTGAGTAAGAAGACGTGGAGGACGATGAGGGCAATGGTGGAGATGAGATGACGCCGGGCCCAGTTGATGCGATAGATAAAGCAGGCGGTTATCGATTGGCGCACGTGATGGCTGTCGTCTGGAGCTCCTACAGTCCTCCAACTCTGCTTCCCTAGCACCTCTTCCAAGAAGTGGGATGTTCTGCCCTCGCTGACTGTATGCATGCTAGTGGCACACAGCGTGATGCTCAACCGCCCGCTTTCCTTCTCCTCACCTTGTGTTGCCCCTCCCTGAACCTCGCTACCTTCGTACCACTTCCTCCCGATCTGCCTCTATCCACCTAAGCCTCGACCACATTGGCTTCCCTTTCCTCCAAGAATCGCTTATCAACCGGGAGTCACTCTGAACGCGCGCCAAGTTGATATAGGCTAGATTGACGCTATACACAGACCACAATCAACATGGAGCCTCAGGACTCGATTAGCGCAGGTAACGAAATACATTTCCGAACAGCCTTATGGAGGAGCGGAGACTGAAATAACATAGACGAGATCGCACTCTACGATCGCCAAATCCGTCTCTGGGGCGTCCAGGCGCAAGAAAAGTGAGTTATGATTAGCAGCTAACACCATGTCTTCTGGCTGACATCAAGTACTTCCTAGGCTTCGATCCGCGAACATCCTCTTGATCACATTCAAGGCGCTTGCGAACGAGGTCGCCAAAAACCTGGTATTGGCGGGCATTGGTAGTCTGACCATTGTTGATGATGCCATTGTCACCGACGAAGACCTCGGCGCGCAATTCTTCATAAATCAAGACTGCCTCGGCCAAAACGTATGCCTCCAACCTGGTTCCGCTGGCTTTCCAATGTTAAGGTGTATACTAATCGCCGACTAGCGAGCGCAAGCTGCAGCTCCGGCTGTTCGCTCCATGAACCCACGGGTCCAGCTTCATATCGACACAGACAACATAGCCAACAAGCCTCCAGAATTCTTCGCGCGATTCGATATCACAATCGCAACTGAGCTGAGTTTCTCAATGCATGCGAGCATAAACGCGGCGTGTCGTCTCGCTGGTCGCCCATTCTACGCCGCAGGACTGCATGGATTTTACGGATTTGTCTTTGCCGACCTCATCGAGCATGATTTCGTGATTGAGCGATCACAATCAAATGTCGCATCAGCATCTCGAGAAACCCTGACGCGGACAATTCTGGACATCAAAACCAAGAGGGAGAACGGGAAAGTTATTGAAATGGTTACAAAGCGGGAGACGTATTCGCCTCTACTCTTAGCCAACACTTCACCACTTCCTGAAGATTACACCCGTCTACCCCGCCGCAGACGACAAGTGACACCACTTCTCAGTTGCCTCCGAGCAACGTGGGAATTCCAGAAACTTAGCCAAGGCAGACTGCCGACCTTTGATGATTTCGAGGTATTCTGGAAGCTAGCCCACGATGTGCACCAAGAACTTAAGCTCGACATTGCTAGCATTGACGCCGTATTTCTACGGAAATTTATCCAAAATCTCGGCTCTGAATTGAGTCCTGTGGCTGCCTTTTTAGGTGGCAGCTTAGCCCAAGATGTCATTAATGTCTTGAGCTCGCGCGAGCAACCGCTTCAGAACCTCTTGCTGTTTGACGGCGAGAGATCTGTCGCGCCCATTTACCCACTTCATCCTTTCTTCCCTCCAGAGATAGAGAACGCCATGCCTGCCGTCGCTCCTGTAGCAAACCCAATTCCACTGAACGGCCATCCCGGCGTGGGACCTCTATAGTCGGCACACCGAAACCCGAATTCGCAACCTTCAGGGAGGGTTTCAGGGCACCCCGCAAGTACGGAACCGCGCTTGGGGATAACAGTTGGATTGAATCTTGGTTCGCGTGAGATTCAAGGACGACATATCTATTTCCACCATTTCTTCATCCTATTAGGCCACCTCTACCTGAACAGGGAATGAATTTATGACATGTACAATAGATTTTCCAAACAAATGGAGACGGCCTGTTTGCTAAGGCACTTCACTCCCTTCTATTATCTCGAGTACGGAGTAGGCTGAACCATACACTATGGTGTGAAGGTGGATGCATTGGTTATGTACAAGAAAGCCACTGGAACGCCAACCGGAAGGACCAAAAGATCAGCCCAATTCTCAGTATTCAACAGGGAATCAGGAATAGCAGGGGGTTCCGTATAGTAAGACATGATATTTTGCAAACAATACCCAAAACACCAATATCCCAGAACCCAAAATCGAAACATTAACTTATGTATTAAGGATTCGTTCCGTTGAAGAAGCCCTAAGAAAGAGCATGAGACACGCGAGGTAGAGGTGAGCAGAAGACGGGACGGGGCCTACTCCCGCTCCTTTCCAAAGAGCGGCGCACTCTCTTCATCCTCGAGTTTCTTCGGCCCTAATCTCCCGTCCCGAAGATCGATCGACTTAGCATCGTCATCCTCATCGGAGATCAGGCCCTGGAGCTCGAAGGTCTCGGCATCCTGGATGCGCTGGGCCTCCGAGGGTGAGCGTGCGTGGCCGTTCATGTAGGCGCCGTTGGGGCGGGAGCGCTGGGGCTTTGAGTTTGAGGGCCCTGCACCGGCATCATCGTCTTCGATGCTGGAAGAGCGCGAGTGGGTTGGCGGTTGTGTGGTTTCGGGCCATGCGTGGACGGCGTAGATATGAAGGAGGATGTTGACGACTATGGAAAGGTTAGTGAAATCTAAGAAGGATGGTTTTGAGTGGAATGGGTGCGTACAGAGGAAGAGGATAAAGGCGATGCTGTAAAGGATGAGCACGTAGGAAACGTGTGTGACTCCGGCATCTTCGAGGAGTTGCATTTGCTCCTCAGTGGCGCCCATGAAGAGGAAGCCCGAGGCGTATAGTAGCTAGTGGTTGAAGTTAGTCTTGTATACCGTCTTATTTATCGTGCATATGGGAACTTACGAAAGGCGTCAGGTACTGGAAGCTGTTCGGGTCGGTACCATCCGCGCTTAGGGTACTCTTGTCCCTCAGAACGAAGGAGATTTCGATGATCCTGGTGAGACCAGCTGCCATCAAAGTATATCCGAAGATGGTATGAATCATAGTGCTGATCATCGAGTGCTGCGGGTGGCCGGACATGGCGTAACCTGTCAAAAGTATGACAATCGCGGGGATGAGGTTCCTCTTAGGTCGGCCATTTCGCTTCCGGCTCAACCAGATACCCAACAAGCCAGCGCACCACCAGACAATTCCCATAGTAGTATGCTGCAGGTCGTTGTGAACCCACGGTCCGCCCCACCGATGCTCCGTAAACGTATTGACACAACCCCAGGCAGCGATGACCAGGGAATCGAAAAATTCTTGACTCCGGCCGGTGCGGCGCAACCAATATTGTCCAACGAGGAGGAGGATGGTAAGCAGGATACCGTACGCGATGAAGGCGCTGCCCATAATGAAGTGGGCCAAGCACTGTCCGAGATGGTCATCACGGCAGAAGCCCAGCGCAGCAATACCTCCAAAGAGCATCTGCACCCAACTGACAATCGGCATCGCCTTTCCGAGGATGCCGTGCAGAATGACGATAATCCGGCGGATCCGGCCATGAATTCCCCTTTCGATATGTAGCTTCAGATAGACACCCAGCGCCACCTGTCCGGCCAGGATGAACATCAGGATATTTGCGAACCTGGCGTGGGCGTTCTTAGCGAACTGGCGGCCCTTGTGTGCATGGCCGAGGAAATATGCGACGAGCGCAATAGCGGCTCCAATTATTTGGACAGGGACGTGCCATCGTGAGCGGACGATCTATGAAGAGACCAAGTAGACAAGATTAGACACAGGTTTCCGGACTGAAATGAGAGACGGCTTTTCAGGGAAACAGCGTACACCGAGAACCATGCCCAGCGGGAAAATGATCCCAAAGGCCAGCCCCATAAGTATCATATGAACCCATAATGTCGAGTCCTAGAATAAGACTTTCTGTCAGTTTTGCGTGGAGCCTTAAATTGTCTTGGGCCAAGGCATGGCATACAATCGGGTCTTCGGAGGAGGCGGAGCCTTCGGGGACATGCGAATGGTCGCCGTGAGCGAGGACAGGCGATATCAGAAGAAGGGATGCAAGAGCCCCACGTATAGTAGAAGGGCCCATCATCTTGCCTTCTTCGCGGAGTGTTTTGCGGAAGAGAATATCAGGAGAGGAGAGACACCGATGAGGCCCAGGCTGCTGACGAATCTGGTCGGAAACGGAAACAAGAAATCAGCACAAAGCGTATTGGCTGCCGTTGTCAGTTCCTGGATCCACCACGCTATCGATCTATGCAACGGGGATCAAAGAAATCATCCATCTTGATTTATAGCAGTGAGAATACCGTTGCACGGCAGACACTATTTTGATAGCCAGGCTATGACCAGGAATAGCCATAAGGATCGATTATTGAATCCTCCACAAACAGTCAGATAACTCCACTTTCTCAACCTAGTTTGCACTTCTCATCAGGGTAGAGCATTTGATATCCTTCTTTTCTCACTCTCATTCCTTTCTTTTGATTCCATAATCTCCTACAAACGATGTCACCGAAAACAGATTTGGCCTCTCCAGCTCCCAAAGCCCAGCAAGGAGAATCCCCTTCTACCCCTAGCCAAGTCTCCCAGCGAGACAAGAAGCTAGCAAGTCTCCTCACTCGGACCCGAACAATCCAGTCCTCGTCCAGAAGCTAATCATTCACCAGGAGACCTTGAGAGCAATGAATAAAGACTTAGAGTCCCAAGTTGCGGCAATCGAGAGCCAAGTCGCTGAGATTCGAGCCAAACTCAAGTAAGTAAACTAAGCCACCTAGTATCATGATTAGCATTCTTTGTTTGTCCATGGTCCATTCGAAAAGAGTCCAGATTGCACCATGAGAAAATGAAACTGAAGAGTCGGTCCTGAAAATGACCTGACATTTGGAAATGTTTAGAAATGACCCCTCTGAAACAGTGAAGCGGCACATCCGGTTGCTACATGAGTACAACGAGATCAAGGATGTTGGGCAGGGATTGATAGCTCTTATTGCGGATGCCTGTGGGATGAGGCAGGTTGATGTAGAGAGGGAGTTCGGGGTCTGTGAGAAGGATTGAGGTCTTGTGAACGGCTGGGTTTAGTGATGCTTACGTTGAGATGATTGATGATGTTTTTATAGATGTTACTGATTACATACGGCCAGCGGCTCGATGGAAAGTCATGGAGCGGAACAATAATTTGCTTTTTTATCTCATCCGAGGTAGAGAAGAGTGTCTGCTATTATACATTGCAAGACATCATAAATCTAATAATATCGCACTGCCAATTGGCCCAAGGGGATCTAGGAACGGGTATAAAGGGAAGGCCATGCCAGTATGTAACAACACATTATCAAAAGGAGAATATATCCAAGAAGGTAATAGGGAGAAAAGAAAGAAAAGAAAATGATGCAATCAATGGCCCTTGCCCAAACTTTGGAGGTTGACGAGTTCGTAGTATCGGCCCCTCTCATGAAGAAGTTCGGTGTGTGTTCCGCTCTCGACAATCTTGCCCTGGTCGAAGACATAGATTATGTCGGCCTTTTGGATCGTGCTTAGTCGGTGAGCGACAGCAATGGTGGTCCGCCCTCGGGCGGCAGCATCCAGCGCTGCCTGGACAACCTTTTCTGACTCGGAGTCTAGGGCAGATGTGGCTTCGTCTAGCAGGAGGATCTTGGGATCGCGCAAAAGCGCACGGGCAATGGCCACACGCTGTTTCTGACCACCAGACAACATGCCTCCTTTGCTACCAACGACAGTATTGAAACCATCCCTATGTCTTTGTTAGAGGTCTGCCCGTTCCAATAGATATGGGGCGGAACTTACGGTAGGGACATGATGAAATCATAGATGTTGGCGTCCTTGCAAGCTTGTACCAAAGCTTCTTCCGGTGCGTCATCTTCAGCGATTCCCAGAAGGATATTCTCCTTGATGGTACCCTGGTACAAGGTCGGTTCCTGGCTGACCAGCGACAAGAAGCGGCGGTAGGAGTTGATGTTCAATTTGCTGATATCTTGTCCGTCAACCAGAATCGATCCAGCAATTGCATCATAGAAGCGCTCAAGGAGCGCGATTGTGGTACTTTTACCACAACCACTAGGCCCAACAAGCGCAACGTACTGCCCAGGCTTCACAGACAAGTTTAACCCGCGGAGGACAGGCTGCTCAGGGCGCGTCGGGTACCTGAAGTGCACATCCCTAAACTCAATCTCACCGTGTACCGACTCGAGAGCGTCTCCCTCTTCAGACCAGTTGTCAATCTCTGGCTTCCTGTCAAACAATCGTCGGAATTCGGTGGCGGCGTTCTTCGCCTTTCCCATGTCTGGAGCGAAAGAAAATACGGTGCCTGCAGATTGGGCCCCGAATAGGATTTCAGAGAAGCAGACGAAGAATCGGAAAATATCGTACTCATGGTGGCCAAGCAGGGTTCCTCCATACCAGAAACCAAGGGCCACACAGAAGAAGACAAGGGCTTGCGAGGAGGCGTATAACACGGATGATTTCAGGACAGATATTAGGCTGGTCCTGCCTTGTTCGTCGAGTTGCGCATGATACATACCCCAAACATCCTTTTCCCGTGTTAGCGAGGCAACGGTGCGGATAGATGATGTTGCCTCGCAAGCAAAGTTTGCAGACCCTTCATAGGCAACCTTTGAGCGCGCCTGGAATTGGGCCAGCATGTAGAATCGGTAGAATCCACAGGCCAAAAGAACAGGCACAACTGAGATGCAGACCAGTGCCAGTTTCCAGCCAATAGCTAGAGCAATAATGATTGCTGCACCCAAGGTAGTAGAAGTCATCAGGATTGTTCCCAATGTAACACCACTGATACCAGATAGATGTTTCGTCTCAGTAGATAAAAAGGAGGTCAAAGCACCAGTGCTGTTTTCCTCCTTGTCGAAGAACGCAATGTCCTGACGAAGCATTGACCTGAAGGCCATGCTTCGGGCGCGGCGAATAAGTCTCTCGGAGCAAATGGCAAATGCAGCGCCGGTAATAGATTGTGTAATGAATTGCACAATTCCAACTACGAAGAACATCAGAGACCAGAAGTTTGCATCATCCCGAAGTTTGCCATACTGGGATGGGTCTAGTGAGAGTGTGCTGATTGCTTTGGCATAAAGCACAGCCTGTGTAGGTTGGCCACCACCAGCAAGGACTGAGAAAATGAGACCGATGATCATGTAGAGAAGCTCGGGACGGTTGAAGGAAGCGATAAACTTGAGCAGCGACCAGAGTGAGTATTTCTGACGCTTTTCGGGACTTTTCTTTGCAAGGATCGCACTTGAAATCGACTTGTGGGTGCCTGTACGGCCGATTGCTGCCTTTTCTTCATCGTCAAGCGAGGATGATGCGCTGGTCGTAGTCTTGATACGTGCAATCTCTGCCTTGGTTTCCTCCGTGTCAATGTCCCCTTCATCATCTAGAGCGGCCGCTTCCTTCTCCTCATTGAGACGCTGGGCTTCGACGAGCTTGAAGTATGTACCACCATGGTCGACTAACTCATCATGAGTACCCTGTTCGGTGATATTACCACCAACCAAGACGACAATGTTGTGTGCTGTTTTAATCGTAGAAAGGCGATGAGCGATCACGATAGTAGTCCGGCCCTCTGCTGCTTTCTCCAATGCTGCCTGAACAACCCCCTCGGACTTGGTATCAAGTGCAGACGTGGCTTCATCAAGGAGCAGGATCTTTGGATCACTAACCACGGCGCGGGCGATTGCAATGCGCTGTTTCTGACCACCTGAAAGGAGGAATCCCCGTTGGCCGACATTGGTCTCGTATCCTTCGGGAAGGGCAGTGATGAAGTCGTGGGCATTTGCCATTTTTGCCGCGTTTTCAATCAGCTCCCGTACTTTGTCCTCTGTTTCATGTTCGAGCTTCGTTCCAATGAGACCGTGTCGAATGTTTTTGTAGATAGTTGTGCCGAAAAGAACAGGCTCCTGACTGACCAGAGAGATTTGTTGACGGAGCCAGCGGAGGTTGAGATCCTGGATGTCATGGCCATCTAACAGGACGGTACCTCGGACAGGCATGTAGAAGCGCTCGACTAGACCAACCACTGTGCTTTTTCCAGAACCTGAAGGGCCTACCAGCGCTGTTGTTTTTCCAGCCGGCATTACCAGAGACACATCCTGCATGACAGTAACCTCTGGGCGGGATGGGTAAATATGCTTGATGTTGCGTAATTCAATGTTGCCTTCAAAGTTCTCGAGGGTCCTTCCTTCATCAGAGTACGGATCCAATGGAGACTGGCGGTCGATTGTTGCGAAAATCTTTGCGGCAGCAGCCACACCATTGGTGAATGCCTGGGCATTTGGTGCAACATTTCCTAGTGCAAATGAACCGATCAAAATAGACATCAGGACCGTAAGAACATCACCAACGTCAACTGAGCCATCAACAAGGAAACGTGAGCCCATCCAGAAGCCGAGACCATAATTCGCGAACATCAGGCCAAACATGGTACCCACCATAAAGCCCAAAATGACCTGGTTTTTAGTTCCCCATTTCTCTGCCTCGGCTAGATGGACCTCGTACTGCTTAGCGAGCTTGTCCTGAGTACCAAATGCCGTAGCGTTTCGAATGGAACTGATGACCTCCTCGGCAACCGTTCCACCTGCACCATAGCTTTCCAGTGACTTTTTGCTGTACTTGATAATAAACTGGGACCCACCGCCCATTGTGAGAACAAGCGCAACGATCGTGGAGCTGCAGATCAAGGCCAGTTTCCAATATTTGATATATGCGATAATAAATGCCGTCACAAAGGTTGCAATGGCTGTCAAAGTGAGACCGACCTTTTCCGAGACACCATCTTGAATGAGGTTGGTGTCGGCTGTGATACGAGTTGTCACTTCACCAGCACCCAGTTTATCAAAGTAGCCGATGTTCTGGCGCAAGATAGATTCAAGGTAGTGTTCGCGGATCTTCTGCGTGACGTGCTCTCCTGTATAGATAAAGCCGACGGTGCTGACGTAGACTGTAACGAATTCGCCAATTCCAAGGTACACGAAGTACAAAACGTTTTTGGTCAGCTCATCGTAGAACTCGTCGTAGGAGATGTGGTATAGCATAATATCTTGGAAGACCGACGCCAACGACCCGAATAGAATCTAGGTATGGTTAGTCGCCAGTTCACTTAAGACCGAAGAGGTTATACATACGGTAAACAGCGGCAATGCAGCGCCAGCAGCAATGGCACAGAGAAAACTGACTACAAGAATGAAGAGATCCATGTGTGTGGCATAGCGCCAGAGACCGAAATACGAAATGTTCACCTTCTTCTCATCTAGCTGTGTTTTCAGAATCTGCCTTTCCTCCTCTGGCAAATGCGCAAGAAGCGCATCGACTTCATTAACCGACAGCGCATTGTTGCTTGACGAAGACCCAGGGCGCTGCTCTTTGCCTGCGGGGACCGCTGTTGAGCTAGTGGTGGCGGAGTGCTCGTCGGATTGTTGCTTTTCTCCAGTGGAAGGTAGGGTTAAAGACTGCTCATGCTCAGCCTTGGTAATCTGAGCATGGTCGCCTTCGCCTGCATTCCCCAGGGAAGAGGGCTCTTTTTCTGGTTGTGACATATTGTTCGGAGCGGTAGATAGAAGCGCCGAAAAAGCTGCCGAGGTCACAGGGGGGAGACTCTGGAATGGGGCGACTGCTCTACTCCATGAGGAATGTGGAAAGACTGTGCGAGGTGCAAATTATAGTAGAAGCGGCTGAAGCAGCTATACTCGAAGTAACGGAAATCGAAGAGATTTAGAGATGCACGTTATTCGTGTTAGAGGGAAAAGAGGCTCTTCAGAAATATGCAGTCGGAGTCGGAATCGGATTGATAAGAGAGGATGAAGAAAAAGAGGGACTCGTAACTTCGCAAGAGGTCGGAAGGGAGTGGTGTCGCTAATAATAAATAAATATGGACCTGCTTAGCCGGAGGAAATAATTAGGTGGACAAATGCATCGTTTCTGTTGACCCGATTTGAATTCCCCGTGTCCTCGCCAGCGATAGTCGTCACCACTGATGCCTCGATTACAGATGCAGGACTACATGCATTCCACTACCGGTTAGCCTGCAGCTAAACAAGGGCGGGTCATCGGACCCCCAAGTTCCCGAGATCTCTTTGTGACATTGTGCAGAGCTAAGCGGTCCAGGGGCAGTAATCTGAGTATTTCTGGGCAACGGGCTGGGTCTGAGCCGACCCGAAGGAATAAGATGGAGAGGAAAGGATGCGATTGATCGTTGCGAACTGCAAAGCTTTACGGAGTACTGTGGACTAGTGCTTATCGAGTGAGCCATCCCGTCGCAGAATTGTTCAATTCGAATCTTGTCTGCCGACTGGAAGGTGCATGGACTCGACTCTCGAGATGATGATGTGCCAGATCGCCAGCCTTACACTTGGCATGATTCTATACCACTTTGTTTCTAGAACCTCCTCTATTGTGTCTCCAGAACTCCGCTGGCCAGGACGGGGACTCTTTTCGGACTGAGATCTATGGAACCTTGAACCTTGCAAAGTGAGTCACCTTGGATTCGCATGATCATGTCACCCGAACAACAATATGAACACTGTCGCCAATCGTCGCGTGCCTCGAAACCTGTTGGAGGCTGCCATATTCATCAGGTTGTTGGAACACTCATGTTTTCCAGTAAGAACTGACATAGTACACCAAAAGAACATAAAAATTATGCACCAACCCATTCTGACTCCCTGCTATTGGCTCTTTGATGTATTATTGTTGGAGTTTTGAGTCAGAGTCGGGGTTCTTTGGCCCCGTGTCCGAGATTTCCTCCAGACTGTTCGTGCTTGATCTTGACGTTCAATTTTGGCGATCCGGCGGGCTTTCCTGAAACTTTGGAACGCGATTGGTCCATAACATTCTCTGATTGGGCCTTTTTTGGCCGCGAAGGAAAGACCACTGGACCCACTCTATGCGGCGGACGCTGGTTTCTCTTCTTCCAAGACTCCTTAAACCTTCCATGCAACGTTTCTATGTGTCACCGTGGTCAATGTTCACTGTCAAGCCGAACGTGTCGTATGCGAGATGTTATATGGACGGTTCGACTTGTTCAAGTTCGAAGTCATCGGAGATGTGTCAACGTTGTATAAGGGAGATCCATGGGCCCTCGCGTCCGCGGGCGCGCGTTCGTGAAGTGGGGACCTAAAGGATTCGATTTGGGCAACAGGCTTTCCGCTCTAAACGAATACGATATCACCAGTTGCGTCCACGGCGCCGCGCCACCTCTCGGAATCAGCCGAGCAATCACAACCACCCCTCGAGTATGTTGTATTATTAACAAGGTCTTTCTGAACCAGACGCTGTCTTACACTCGCCACCATCTTTTAAAGTGAGACTAAGACTTATCACTTATGGCTCTCACAGTACCTCGGTATCTCACCAGTCACGAAGGGTCAACGCCAACCATGTCTTTATCGCCGACACTAGAAGATTGCCATCTTCCAACAACATATCTATGGGACTTGGATATGTTTACGGGGCTTGGATAGGCCCTATCCGCTCAGTAGTATGCACTATTAGATGCTTTATCCTGGTCCGCGATTATTGGAGAGGCTATTACTTCCCAAAGGGCAGTGAATAGAACCAGGCAACCGTTGTCATCCTATCCATCCATATCACTTCGGAAGATTTCGACAAAGCTTAGTTTGACTAGGGCAGGGCAACATGGCGTTTGGGGTGTACGTGGCACATATTATTCAGAAAACATCGGCAGTCATGGTTCGCCCGGGGATGGCCACGGTTGGCGCTCCCGATTTCCCGATGTATTGCAGGCTTGACAGCTGCGCATCGTCTTACCGTTCTCGGCAGGGTTGCTGGCGGCGGAATACTAATGATAAAGACTAGAATATGGTAGATACTTGACGGAGGATGCTTTCGTGTTCTAGGTGCACCTGTCAGTGGTACATGTCCTCCGTCAGGGCCGTGGACGTTGCTGCCTTTTCCCTGTCTCCTTTTATGCATGAGTTTCTGAAGGAACAATGTACACACCCAAGCGGTGGGAGTCGCCAGCTTCTTGTCTTCGCTGCTCCTTTTTTTGAAGGATCCTAGCGTGAGCTAAAGCCATAAGACTGTTGATCTCCGTATCACGAATGCTTACATTGATTGTCTCAGACCATACTGCGTCGTTCTGTCCAGTAGTACATCCTGAAACAATAATGTTGCCCATTTTTGTTTGTCAAAGTTGAAAGTCCTTGGCGGCGGATGTAATATTGATGCCTGAGGCCTAAATCACGTGCTTCGGAAGCGAAGCACACACACTAGCCCTGACCGCACGAAAATTCCACCACAACGAAAGAAGACGGTCGGTCGACAACCTCATTATCGCCAGTCCATCAACTCCAGCTCGCCGTCGCGACAAGTCAATCAAGATGCCGGTTAGTTCTACACCTTGTCCATACTATCACGGAATATCGAACGACATGAATATTATCCTTCCCAACCGAATACTTTCGCTCTTTTCCCAGTCGCCAGACGGATGATGAAGTGATGTGCGCTCTTTGAAAGTGGCCGCTGTGCTAACGAAGTTGCCCCTCGATATAGAGCCACAAGAGTTTCCGCACCAAGCAAAAGCTTGCCAAAGCTCAGAAGCAGAACCGTCCCATCCCGCAGTGGATTCGTCTCAGGACCGGTAACACCATCAGGTAAATACCATCCAGCCTGTCTATACCCGTCCATCGGAACCATGCGCAGAAGAGGAGGAGATGGATAAGAGGAAGAGGATGAATGCACCCCGAAGAAGCCGGCATCGACCACTGCTGTACCGACACATACACAGCAAATCAGCAAACGATTCTCACCACCCTCCGACCGGTCAAACCGAGATATGGCACACGCGCACGAGGACTCAAGAAAAGCACAAACATGAGCATGAACTAACCTTCTCTCACAACAGATACAACGCCAAGCGGAGGCACTGGCGCAAGACCCGTCTCGGTATCTAAGCTCGTGCAATCAACCGAGTCGCCCACGCCCTGTTTTCCCTGGGATCACTTTACCGTTTACCTGTGATACCGCACATGGCAAAGTCTCTTTTGAACCTCGCGATGCTCTTTTGCAACATGCTGGAAATCCATCCTGGACCCGTCCTCGCCTCGACCGATTGAATACCACGCTCTCCCTCAATTTCTTTCACCACCTTAGTCTCTTCTAAAAAATTCTTCCGCCTCGGTGTACAAGTGTCGACTGTTCGGAGCAAGATTCGTCTATATTCGATGAATTGGCAAACAGATCCTTGTTCTTGTTTGGTACCTCGTGCAAGAATGAGCGGCCGGGCAACTTCCTTCTTGTCGACTTTGTGGCTAGGCGGATGGTGACGGGCGGGTTTTAGTGATGTGTTGAATGGCAACATATGTTTCTCATTTTGCATTTTTTGTACGCGAGTTCTTAGGGAAACAAGGCATGAAAAGAAACACAAATCGAAAATCATGATGGGTAATGATGTCTGAAACCTGAACGGAACATCGAGGAAAGAATTACACCTTTTCTACAGTAGACTGGATTCCTTGCTTTCACTCTGGGTTGTGAGATGTTTCAGCCCTGGGGACTCGGAGGCACAGTATTGAGCTTGGTGAGGTATCGCCATTTTATCGTAACCTTCAGCCCTCTAATCTAAGCTACAATGGAAGCCACCAGATGTAGTGTCCACTGGTTACGGAAAGTAAACAACAGGCATGAGAGAAGCGGGAGTCATTCAAGAACACATCCTGAGCGGGGGAACACTGCCATTTCTGGGCTAGCAACATAAACAACAAGTACTAGATACCTGATCCATCAAAGTAGCAAACCGGCGAAACTTGATATTTTTTAGATAAAACGCGGGGAAAGCCAGCTTCAGCAAGGCCAGCAAAACAACGATAGCAATAAAAGAAAGAAAACGAAGAACCGCTGCGATGAGCCCATAACGCCATGGAACTAGTTGGCCCTTCGTTTTGCTGCGTCCGGGGGAATCAAAAGATCGTTGTCATCCGGGGTCAACTGAGTTCAAAGAGAGCAAAGGAAAACGTTCCACGTCAGAGGAGAGGTTTAACGGCTGTAGATTTACCAGTTAGCGGTGGAAAAGAAATCAAGGACCATGGACACTTACTCCTCAGCCCACTCGTTCTCACGGCGGATTTAGTCCTCCTCCTCGGGGGTAAAGTCGTTCTGGATGTTAAAGGTCTTGCGAATCTCCTCGGGAGACTTGCCCTTAATCATGTTGGCGACGGTCTTGCAGCCGATGTCAAGGAGGGGCTTGATGTCAAGGTAGTTGGCGGCCTAGTGAGATGTGCCTTAGTAACGCCGAAATTGGAGTATACGGAGCAGTCTACATACCAAAATGATCTCAAAGAGCATCTCCTGGTCGACCTGCATGAACTTCTGGTCCCACTCCTCAATGTCGGTGGTCTTGCGGCGAGAGTCGTCCTCGTCACCAGTGGTAGGGGGGTCATTACGGTGGTGCGTGCACCATTCAAGGACCTTGGTCAGAACGTTCTCGGAGACCTATAACGAAAAATACGAGTTAGACAAATGATCCATATCGAAAGTTGGGCGGTGACTCACGTTGGGGATGGGGATAGCTTCGGTGGCATCACCCAAATCCTCAAGCATGTTCTTAATGAGAAGGGAGCGCTCGGCGACGTCGCGGGCTAGAGAAAAGTTAGTTTACCCACAGGGATCCTTCACTGGATGGGATGAGGAGATCAGAAACACATACGGACTTTCATGTTCTTGCCATCGCTGCTGGTGAAGGTAAGCTCTTGGTTGTTTGTTTCGGCCATTTTGAAGATCTGGAGTAGAGCGGTGGTTAGAGATCAAATACCAAAACTCATGGATTGTCGAGTGACTTGTGCGAGCTCTCTGAACTGAGTTTCGCGCCTGGAAAGGCGGGAGAGGGGTTCGGAGCGGGGACTCGGGAGGCACGATGGAGACTCACGATTCTAATGAATAAAACAAGTGGTGACTTGACAAGTTTTGGAAGGCAAAGCAGTAGTGTTGGAAGTGCGTGTAATGAAGATTCTGGTGTTGGGAGGAGAGGAGGAGACGACAGAGGTGGTTTTAAGTAGTGACAGGAAGAAAGAAGAGTGGTTGAAGGTTGGTTCCGGCTAGGTTCTCTTTGAGATACGAGCTTGCTTTAGTGCCGAGCGAAACACTGACTGCGCCCCGCGAGTTCCCTCGCCTTTAGTATTGCCCGGAATTCTTTCAGGCACCAGCACCGGATAGACAAAGAAGATGCCTGTTAACTGGTGGAGAACGAGATCCTTTCTTTATTCCTGCATCTCAAAGCGTTCCAGAATATCAACGACTTCCTTTCGCGAGGTGGGATCAAAGCGGAGGGCCTTGAAGGAAGCCTGGAATAGGTACACAGTAGGTCAATTTACGAAACAACTACACGAAGGGGACACGAAGGGGCCCGGGGCCAGGTGCCTAAGCATGGCTAGACGGTTGCGGCTCTTTGAGAGGAGCTTGTATAGAAATAGCACTCGAAGGCTTGAGTTTCAGACAGAAGCGCTTGCTTCATTTGACCAATTTCGGGCAACCAGCCTATCCCAATGAAAGGGAATCGATAGTTTGTAATGGACGCGGGCACTGATATCATCGCTTCCCTTCGACGCGTCCGTTGGACGCTGCTTGCGCTCCTGAATCTGGGTCAGCTTGTTTGCGCAGGAGATCTGTTCTTTTCCGATTTTTTTTGATTTTTTTTACTTCTATTTTTTTTTACTCTCTTTGCGTTCGCTTCTTCTGCTTCTCATTTGCCAGAAGCAAATTCCTTGACTCTACAGTTCTCTTGCGACCACTTTGTTTTCCTGCATAGAATCTTATCGACGTGCGCCTCTCACGGCGTGATGACCCTTGATCGGTGCCACGACCACGACCACGACATCTTTTGATGCAGCAGGCATGTGCGAAAACAGACTTATACTCCGAATACATCCCCATCGTTTTTCTAGACCTGCTTCTTCCTATTTATCTATACCATGTGGAGACGAACATATTTGCTCCTCCTGTTGATCCGCGTTTACTTTGCGCTTTGCCCCAGTTATATTCACCCAGATGAGCACTTCCAGGGCCTGGAAGTCTTTGCAGGTAAGTTCTTTGTTGAGCCATCGGCTTGTCGCCCGTGGTTCGTTGCTGGCTTTTCGTCAGACGATGCGACAGAGCGACTAATTCGTTCCGCGCCCAGCTCGGGCACACCATTGACTGGACGAGACTCGGGAAGCTGATACTTTTCTTTATAGGCCGCATTCTCTCATATCCGTCCGAAGTGCCCTGGGAGTTTACCTCGGAGCGCCCAATCCGCAGTATCTTTCCGCTATGGCCGGTTTATGACGTCCCGATAAGCCTCTTGAGATGGTTCTACAATGAGACTGGATCAGAGAGCCCCTCGCCGGAGCTCGTATACTACGTGGTGCGCGGGGTGATGTTCCTGCTGAGCTTCGTGCTGGAGGACTGGGCCGTGCATGAGCTTGTGCCTCTCCCGCGCCATCGACGGATAGCCGTGGTCTTGGTGGCCTCGTCCTATGTCACCTGGACTTATCAGACGCATACATTCTCCAACTCTCTCGAAACCCTGTTGGTCGCCTGGGGTCTGGTGCTCATCCACCGTATAGTTGAGAACAAGGTTCGACTGGCCGTTGTTCAAAGCGCGTGAGAAACTCTGAAAGCTAATGGTGTTGGCAGCGCCGCTCCTCTCTCTTCTCCTGTGCTGTCCTTTCCTTTATTTGCGTCGCCGGCGTGTTTAACAGGATAACTTTCCCAGCATTTCTCGCCATTCCAGGACTTCAATTGTTACCCCATTTTTGGCGCAAGTGAGTGTCGCGCACAGTGCTCCCCAGACATCTATACTAATGCAGCTACAGACCAGCATCCCTACTTTCGTTCATCGGCTTTGGCCTCATATTTTGCTACGTCGCGATATTTGCCGATACAACATTCTACAGACCTTCTGCGTCATTTAGCGATGTCTTGCGCTCGCCGGTAATCACGCCGCTCAACAACCTTCTTTATAACACCGACAGCTCTAATCTCGCTCTCCATGGACTCCACCCTCGATACCATCACTTCTTAATCAACTTGCCACAACTCCTTGGCCCTGCGGTCGTGGTGATGGTCCTGCAAGTGTACAACCTACGGGCCATTCCATCTTGGATGCAGAATCTTCGGGCTCTCTCTGCCATATCGGCTACTGCCATGTTGTCTATTTTCCCTCATCAGGAACCCCGGTTCCTGATCCCCTGCGTGCCTTTGCTCCTTACATGCCTCCACCCTCGCAAATCGCGGATATTCCTAGTTGCTTGGGTGACATTCAACGCAGCGTTGGGCTTTTTGATGGGCGTATATCACCAGGGAGGTGTGGTTCCAACCCAGCTTGCAATCCCGTCCATTATTTCAACTACCACCGAGGGGTGGCATGAGCCATTGAAGGAACACCGACCTCTCTTTGCAACCGTACTTTGGTGGAAGACATACTCGCCGCCTTTGTGGTTGCTAGGCGACAATTCGAGCCTACTCCTAGACTTGGACATTGAGACTCGAGATCTGATGGGCAGACCCGGACCAGAAATGGTTAGCGAACTTGAGAAACTAGTCCCGGCCTGCCCCACGAAACTCAGAAGCACAAGGAAACCAGCTCCAGCGGGTTTGAGACAATCCGACGCTGTCTTTGTGGTCGCGCCCAAGTCGATCACGTTCCTCGATCAATTTACAACTCCGCAGAGTCGCGACTCGGCGTTTGAGCTGCTTGAACTCTGGACTTATAAACAGCACCTCAGTCTTGACGATCTAGACTTTGGCAGCGATGGCATTCTGCCTACGCTAAAGAGAGTTATCGGGAGGCGCGGGCTTAGCGTTTGGCTTGCACAGAAGCCTGGTTGCCGTCAAGCCTAGGTTATCAGCTGCTGAACCCTTTTGTCATGGGCTGACTACGAGGCTTGCAGCCTAAATACTGCTTCAAGCCTAAATACTGCTTCAAGCCTAAATACTGCTTCACAAGCGCGTGCCTTTTTCCAGCACCTTCCAGCTTTTTCACTCGCCTACAACCCATCCTTTTCTCCCCTATTGGCTGCTCTGTAGATGTTCTTATACCTACTAGAATTTCGGCCTGGCTTTTCTCATTTTCTGCTTACATATACCCCTATTTATTTTTCTCCTATTATATCTTTTTTTTTCTATTCCTTTGGGATATCATTGGCAGTTAAACCGTTATAACCCCCTCCTCTCATGCACGAAATGTCTCAAATGCCGCGAAGTCTAATAACTTAAAATCATCTTAATCTTAACAAACTGCGTCTTTGAATCCAGGATAATACTTTACGGAAACTCTAAAGGGGGACACTCTATGATGATGTGCCCGAAAACTAAACCAATAATAGTATAACCTGTTAAAGTCAAATTCTCATTTTTGTCCCGCAAGCTAGATACATGGCAAAAGCATGGAAATATCAGAATGGTGAATCTGAAAGAAAGCCAGCTACTCGGTGCTTAGTGTCGGTGTACAAAAAGGGTGGATCTGTGGGGGAGAGAGGGAGAGAAAAAAAGACGTGGCTTCAAAGACAGGCTCGTGAACACAGCTAGGGCACGGGGTAAGAGTGCACTATGGAATTGACTGGTAGACCAGCAGATTCTACTACGAGTAAGAGAGAAAGAGACATTTAGCTTGGACTGCAGGGTGGCGGTCTTCATTATGTGTGAGGGGAATAGGTTTGTAAGGAAAGAAGTGGCAGCTGACTGCTTCAGTCTTCACCTTCATCAGAGTTCTCGAACAGGTAGTTCGCTGCAAGCTCTTCGTTCTTATCGCACGCGAAATAGGCCTGGATGACCAGGGTTCGATCAAAGCCGAGACGGCACAACTAAGATTGAATTAGTTGGAAAATCACTACACGAAACACAAACTGAATCACGTACCCGCTCGATAGCATCTCGCTCCTCTTCAGTAACATGAATCTGGGTAGTCCCTGGGGGAACCGCACCGTCGTCTTCACTTAACAGCTGGAGAAACTGTTCCTCGTTTTGTCCAATGAGCTGGGCGATTTGTGGATTTCCGGCGCCAATTTGCTGAAGAATGGGCTCTAACATGTGGGGTTGTTGCTGGACTAGCTGGCGAAGTTGCTGGAAGTGTGGGTTGTTGCGCAGGAAGTCGAGACTTGACTGAGCGTCACCACCGGCTGCTGCTCCACGCGCGCCACCACGAGCCTCGGGATTTCCTGCCTGGGCTGCGGCCTCGAAAAGATTGACTGGCTCGTCTTCGCCGGACGGCGCAGGTGTACCTTCAGTAGCAGGGGCAGAAGTGGCGGGAGTGGCAGATTCGCGTTGCTGCTGTTCCTGTTGGATATTCTCTGGGATGCCCTGTACTCAAAATTAGCACAATTATGATACGCCAACCACCAATAAGACTTACGTTCAAGAGATAGTCGATTGCACGGTCGGGGTTGAAGAAGGCGGCTCTCATCGCACGGGTGATGTCGCTTCTTGCAAACCCCATACTCTCCATCTGGCTGATGACCTCTTCGCTTTGCGAGCCACTCAACAGCGCCGACGGGTCATTGAACGAGGCTCCAGCCGGCTGGGCGGCTCCGGAAGAGGCGGGCGAGGGCGTGGCCGGGACCGGGGCAGCAGCAGCGGATGTCGAAGTATTCGTGGACGGGGCGGGAGCAGGGGGCGCAGCTGGTGTTGATGTCACTGCTTTGGCCGGTGTGGATGGGCCCTGTGAAGAAGCAGGCTGGGCCTTGGGCTAGCACGTCCGGTGAGTTAGCATCAATCTGGACAAAAAAAAACTAAGCAATAAATTTGAGCAGGATCGTACCTTAGAGACCATGCATACAATAAACCCTTTCTCCTCGATGTTGTATGATTCGATCGTCTTGTCATCTTGAAGAATCTTTCCTGTATATTGGCCGAGCGTCAGCCATGACGTCCATAACGAGTAACAAGCTCAGCAGGAGTGAGTTAAGCAAGATCCTACGGCGAAATAGACTAACCGGAGTAAATGAGCTTCAATAGAGGAGCATCCCATCCCTTTTCCTTCGAAATCTTTTCCTTCACTTGACCAACCTGCATTTCACTTAGCCCCGCGTCGATACAACCTGGGAAACTTAAACACGAGAGAACTCACGGTTTCTGAAGGTTCTGCACTAATAACAAACTTCTGTTGTTTCAAATCCTAGAAGCAAAGACGGTATGTTAGACATGGAAAGCTATTGTTCGAGTAGCAGAGCGCGACGTACTTTGAATGTGAGCTGCATCTTGCGCCACTGGTGATGATAGATGGATTGGAAGAGGTGGGGGAGGGGAAGACGAGAGGTTGAGAGTGGGAAAGGACGAGGACCCGGCGGCAAACTTGGCTTTGAGCAGAGATAGACGAGAGTAGTGAGGAGATCGGTTTCAGCAAATAAACCGAGAGGGGAGAAAATAACAGCGATAAAATATGAAGCCAGAAGGAAGGCAGAAGCAGAGGACGCGGAGCTGGAGATGCTGGAGGCGGTCGGAATCACGATCCAGCGGCCTCAGGCACTCAGGCTCTTAACAGCTTCCGCCACCCTTGCTGGAGCCTGGCTCAGTCTCTCTGTCTTCAGAGCCTCGCCTGGTCGGTTTCTCAACTACTCCGTACATACTGTCTCTGGTCGGTATTTGCTTGAGGAACAGCCCCTTCGACGGCTTGAGGCAGAAATGTTGGCACCTTCCATACGTAGCGAACCGTCCTTCTTACACTGCGATCGCTGGTTACCGCTATCCTGAGGCAACATCATCGCACAACTCCGTTTCGCTCTCCTCGACCTTGGAATTGTGCGAATTGATCATGGCGGTCGAACCTGATGGCAGAGCCAAGTGGCCCCGATTTAGGACACGTAGCTGGGCCGTTGGGCGAACGCTGAACAATCATGGCCCTATATCACCCACTGTTTGCAGCGCTATGTTCGGCTCACATCTTAAGCGATTCTGGCAGACCTGACCGACTCATTGCACGATTTAGTTGACTGACCGGCTCCTGGTCGGCGGTCAGTGGACATATCGTATGGATCTGTCATATAGAGGTATTCAAAGGACGGAGCGTGACTTGGTACGACTTTGTTCGCCTCATCTCAGGTCACTGAAGGCATTAACAACCATGGCACGCTCTTCTTCCCCCTATGTATTTGTCCTCGCGGCTACGTCGGAGTCGCTCACAAACCGTGAGTGACTCAGTCATCAGGTCTTTGTACCCAAATTGGCGATAATTTGTCCCCAAGCGTTCTATGGACACGTCACATTTGTGGACCAGAGGTCTATTGGCTCCAACACATCCCGTGTGTGAACAATGTCGAACAATGTCGACAGTTGATAATTGGAAGCTGCTGCGAAGTATTATTGGGGATCATCGCGCGCCAATATCCATTGGAAACAACCGACCCTTGACAAATTGTTCGCTGGCAAGACCTGTTCCATGCAAGCATAGTTCCTTCTTACAGGAACCAGCCAATCATTGGGTTCAATGGCATCGAAGGCAAGCCCTAGACAGCTAACCCGCGGGCTAGGCATGTCAGGCACAGAAAAGATGTGGCTGTCTCTTCATGTCAGGTGTCCGCGGTGAACATGGATTTCGAGTTTTGACGCATCCCTCCCAATCCGAGATCTATCGAGTGGCTCCAGGTGTTTTAGGCCTTTGCCGTCAAACAAGGCTACTTCGCGGTCAAGGGCAGCCTTCTCTCATTGTGTGGGATTGCCGATGGCAGATTGGGAAAACGTCTGGAGACTGAGAGTGCTGTTGCCGGATTTGTATACTCAAATCTTATGCCACTCTTCGGCTCCCAGGATCTGGCCTGTCGTACTTTTTGGTTATTCCTTCGGTATCAACAGTCGCTGGGCCAGGCTCGCCGTGTCACTCGCGCTTGCATCTGGAGTTTACATATGCGATCCTTTCCTCGCACACACCATGTATCCTAAGTCTCAACCCACGTCTCGCAACGGACACTCTTTCGCGGCGCCCATACTCTCTAGCTTATAGGCCAGATCCCTGGTCTCACCGAAGGTCAATATTTACTCAGCATAGTCCTGCTATTCGCTATCATCTCTTTCCTTCTCAGCTCCCTGTCCCACGACTTTTATTCCCCAGGCATACATATAGCCATCCCTGTCTCCGTCATCCTGTTCCCTTTACCTCGTCAAATTGACATTTAACTAAGTGATAAACTTCTTTTCCGACACCCGACTGTTTATGTGATTGGCCAACCCCGAGCGTAAACTCTTCGTTTACTCGACCTCAACAACCGCGCCATAGCCGTTTTTTGTCACACTATTCCTGCGAGATTGTTGAGGTTTCGACTACTTTCACGGGGAACCCACGGGCACTACCTACTTCCCGTGCCCTACTAGAACTTCACCATGCTCAAGGCCTCTCCGGCCTACCTGTTGGGAGGGGCCTCGTTGCTTTCAACAATCATTGTGACCATTCTTCATGGTTCTTGCTACGCGTCTTTGAGAACCTCGGCCGCCGGCGATTCATTGCTTGAGGCCGTCACTGTTAGCCTTAGCCTTCTTAGTTGTGTTGTCGTTCTTGCTTTGATTTTGGTTTGGGCAAATGATTCAACGATAGATCCGGGGGCGCAGCAAAGATGGTGGAAGACGGGCACATACGGTTTCTGCATTGGTTACCTATTGATAGCCACTGGGATAACGGCAGGGGCTATAGCTTGGAATACAGTTCAATCCGAGCCTACGATATCCCCACTTCGACAAGCCCTATTGATCGCCCGCTGTGTGATCTGGGCCATCTCGGTCCTCGGTCAAGGAATGTTATGCGGCTATCTCTTGACAACTCTAACCAACAAGAAAACCAACGATAACGATCAATGGTCGGGCCTCATATCCCACGAACTCGAGGCAATCCTTCCAAGTCGATCAGGCACGATAAACAAGGGCGCGTCAAAAGCTACATCGGTGATTTCTGACTCCCAACGACCATCCATCGATTCAGTGCCCCAGCACCAGTCCTCAATATTGAGAACAGCCTCACAGCGTTCAAATCGATATTCTGGCAGAACTCTGATCCAGGCAGATTCCAAGCCCAACTCACTCGACCTCGAGCCAATGCACATTTCCCCTCCCGAATGCGCCGCCATGCGTACCAGTTCCCACGACCAAGACAGCGAAAGCAGTCCGAGCAGACCCCAACAGCTCCAGCGAAGCAATTCAGAGATCAAAAGGTCTCTCGACAGCGTGATGCTCCGCCCCTTCTCATTCACCCCCTCACACGCACCCTCATCATCCACCTCGTCGACAGAAACCATAACTCCGAAACGATTTCTTCCCAAACTAAAACTTCCCGATGAAAGCAACATCCACCCCTTATTCCGCTCCGACAGCCGATCCCCCCCTCCTACAGCCACACCAAACACGATGGTCCTTGCCTCACCGGATGCAGGCCAGACGATCTCCGTGAAGACTTTGCAGAGAATGAGGTCTACGCGCTCAGTCGGCACGCACACGCCGCGAAGCAGATCGCCGCTCTTTGAACGAGCAGATCATGATTTGTCTTCCGATCCCTTACAGAGGCCGGATTCGGTCTTGAGTTATAATCGGAGTGTGTCTGGTCCGTGTTGAAAGATTTGGGTATTCCCTATGTTTATCTATATCCTGTTAATATAGCGAAAAGCAATATATCATTTGTTATCAATGCCAAAAGGTCAATAGCTCCGCCGCCCGTAATGCAATATCTAAAAACAAATCTAAATCTAATTTTGTTTTCTTCGTAAACCAGAACGCTCCAATTTATCAGGTCTCCTCCAACCCTCGAACAATAAACAGAATGAGCAAGATGGGCTTTCGGCGTCTCATCTCGAGAACAAGCAGTGCTCAGCAGAAGCAAAAATAGACAAGCGACGCCGCTTCAGATTTCGATAGAAAGAGCCCTACAACAACTCCGTCTTCAAAGTGAGCTGTAGATAGGAAGGCCATACAGCGCAACCTGCCAAAGACACCACCACCTCCAAGCCTGCGCATCCCCCGTCTTCAGCATAACACAAGCGCAAACCCAGAGACCCAAAAGTACCGGAATCGCAGAAACCAGAACCGGCGTCTTCCAGAACAGTACACACGCGATGCTCCAAAACGGTACACATGCTGCAATCCACCACCGCGAGATCTCGTCTCCTAGGACAATCGGCCATGTCTTTCGGCCGCGGAGCCGGTCCCCGACCTGGTCTTTGAGATCTTGGACTTGCATGGTGGTTGCGATCACGCAGCCGATTATCGCGAGCCAGTAATAGCCCATCGTTGAGATGCGGATTGAGGCGGCGGCGGTTGTTGTTGCTGTGGCTGTCATGCCGATTCTCAACGAGCTAACCAAGAAGATGTCGTACGCAATTGCAATGATGAGGTCGCGAGACAGTTCGTCGCCACCACGGAGGTCATTGTACAGCCATGCAAGCAACAAGATCAGGGCACTCTCATTCCCAACCCCGAGGGCAGCGCTCAAGGCCAGCACCGCAGGCACAGCACCCAAGAGTAGCTGCCTTGTCTGTGCTTCAGAAATGCGCCCTCGTGGGAGCGGCCGCCACGGTTTGTTTGCCATGTCCTCCTTGACCGACTCCGGGAGCCGCTGGTTTGCGAGCTCGAAGACGAACACATTGGCCCAGTTGAAGAGCAGCATGCGTGGTACGCCATGGATGAGGAGGGACCAGAAGCTAGGGCTTTGCGCACCCTCTACCAATGCTGGAGCTGCCAGTGCAGCGAGGAGGCCGAAGGCTGTGTTTGGGAGGACGAAGGTTGGGATGTCGCTCTCGCTAAACTCCCATAGGAGAGATGCTAGCTCGACTGGCTGTGCGAAGAGAAGGGCAGCAGACATTGCGCGATTTCGTGTGAGGCTGCAAAGATCTCAGAAGATAAAAGGATGAAGAAGCACTGGAGAGGCGAGATTGCCTTCTGGCGAGGTGAAACCTCTGGTTCTTTTATCCATTGCATCGTGTGCAGCGAGCGTATTCCCTACATCGTGAGGTGCGTATTCGCGAAGTATGAGAGCGTATTCGAGGGGATGCAACGTTGGAGAGATAAGCTTGGAGCGCGGCTTGGGAGCAAAGTAAAGATCTTACTCGTCAGCGCTGCCCAAGTGGAGGCCTTCTTCACGGCTCATCTTCAGAAGAAGATCCATTGCAGATTCTGGCTAAATCCAGCCGTGAAGATTTCTGTCTCACTGCGCCTCTGCGGGATTCAACTTCACTTGATCTAGTTTATTTCGATTCATTTCGACAAGGAGGCTTTGCAATCGAAACTGAGACAATTCATGCTTTGGAGATCGCCTCGCATCCGAGCGTATTCGCCAGAGGATGAAAGCGTATTCACCAGCTCATGAGGGCGTATTCAACACAATATCATGGAAAATCTCACGGAACCTGACAGCCCTCCAGGGCACATCATCACCACTTTAAGAGGAATGCCTCCTGCTCACCTCGACACGTTCTATTGCTCGACACGCAGTTTTACACCCCCAAAGCCATGCATACCATACCACCCTCGTTAATCGGAGCTTCTGTAGGGCTTGTAGCCCATCACGGTCTCTTCATACATGGAGAATGGCATATTCACGCTCCCTCCATCCTCCTCTCTCATCTGGTTGGCTTCGCCTCTTTGGTTCTCATGGTTGAAACAGGCTGGCAGATCATCTTGAGCTACCTCTTCGCCCTATTCTCCAGCATCGTCACCTACAGGCTCTTCTTTCACAGACTCGGACACTTTCCGGGACCGTTCTGGCTTCGTACCTCAAAGATATGGCATGTGTGGAAGGCGCGCACCTCACAGAACCATTTCTTCTTAGAAAAGGTCCACAGGAAGTATGGAGATGTTGTCCGGACTGGTACGTGTTCAACTCTAGATTGCTCAAGGGGATGTGGTCTGACCTTTTCTACAGGCCCAAGCGAGGTTACAGTCTTCCATCCAGATGTCTTCATGGCCATTGACGGGCCCTCGAGCAAGTGCAGCAAGGCTGAATGGTATGACCTACTACACCCAAACACGGGTCTGGTCACCACCCGAGAAAAGGATCTACACAAAGACCGTCGGCGTCGATGGAACCGGGGATTCACGCCTAAGGGTGAGTGCCAACCTACTATGAAGCAGCTTCCTTGCCCCGTTTAGCAGCTTACCAAGAGCCGCAGCGCTCGTCCAGTACAAAAACAAAGTCCACACGCCCATCAGCCAGCTCGACAACTGCATCCAGACCGATATTGCATCCGGTCAAGCCTCGGAGCTCTTCGATTTGGTCTTCTGGCTTACCTTTGACCGTATGGGGGAGTTTGTGCTGGGCAGGAGCTTTAACATGCTCACTAACCAGTCCTGGCATAGGATTATTCTTCTCCTGCAAAAAGCCATGGGCATTCTGGGACCTCTGAGCCCTACGCCCTGGGTAGTGCAGATTGCATTCAAGCTTATGCCCCATGTTGGTGTATTGAATGACTGGTTCACCATGACAAATTGGTGCGAGGAGCAAGTGAGAAAGATAAAAGTCGGTGTTTCTCCTAGAGTTTAGGATTACGAGAGCCTTGGTTGACTAATCGTTGTTGATGTGCATAGATGCCCGACGATATGTCAGCCGAATCGCCCATCCTCGCACACTACCTCAAGCACGATACCCACGAGGCATTGACTGGGGACAGCATCTCGGCCATTGTCGCTGGCAGCGAGCCAACAGCCTCGGCTCTCGTTGGTCTCTTCTATGAGTTAGCCAAGCATCCCAACCAAGCAGACAAGATCTGCCACGAAGTCCTGCAGCCAGGGGTCGATATTCAGGATGGGAACAGTCTTCTACGTTCATGCCCGCACCTGGAGGCAGCTATTTTCGAGTCACTACGACTGTACCCTTCGATTCCCTCAGCTGGGAATAGGAAGACGTCACCGAACGAGGGTACTACAATCGGGGGAACTTACGTTCCTCCAAATACCACGATAGTAGCGCCTCGATTTGTTATCTCACGCCGTACGTCCTCTTCATGGCTCTTTATGGCTCATTTCCGCACAACTAACAGACAACAGGCGAAGACTGCTTCGAAGACGCAAACCAATTCATCCCTGAACGGTGGACCACTCGCCCGGAGATGGTGCACAACAAGGCTGCTTTCGCGCCGTTTGGAACTGGTACGTAAACAATCCTTGGCTCTATCTATTCTTTGCAATAACTGATGATGTGTCTCGGGGTTCAGGTGGCAAGAGCTGTATCGGGCGAGCCCTGGCAATGAACGATATGATGCTTGTTGCAGCACACGTCGTATCGCGGTACAAGATGCGGTTTCCGCCGGGTGAGACGGGGGACTCGGTGTTTAATGACTGGACTGATAATTTTACGTCGACGTTGGGACGGTTGCGTTTGGTATTCGAGATGAGGCAATAGTACACTGCAGCATATCAGTGCCGAAGCAGGGCTTGCTCCCTGTATAGATATAGAACAATTTTGTTTAATGAGGGTATAAGGTATATAATACAGAAATCATAACGGATAAACTATCTTACATAGCAAACGGCGGCATCTTAGATATCAAAGTGAGGTGGATTTAAGAAATCCATTTAGTTCCCATCCTCCGTCCTCCCAGTCCTCGTCAAACGATCATTTGAGCTATATATCACCGACGATTTAGCTTACACCCAACCAGGAATAAACGACAAAACTTACCCAGCACCAGCAATCTTCTTAATAACGGCATAACTTAATGCCCCGACCAAAAGCACTTTGGTGAGTCGCCCAAGGCCCATTCCGCGGTATCTCGGATATTCAGGGTATGATCTTCGGAAGTATGATGGGCGAGCGAGGGACGGAGAGTAGGAGTGGTATGAATGCATGTTTGGTAGAGTTGAGCAATGGGATAGAGCGTATAGTGGTGGAAGATGTAGTCAGATGGTCAAATGTAGGATTTTTGGCTTGTAGTTGTTTGCTGAGTTAAATATGAGGGTCACTATAGGTTACTTTATAGTCCTTGAGAAAACACCGAGACTTCGGGGATAAGCCGAATGGGTCGAGGTCGAGCTTGGCCTCGGCCTCGGTGAATTCAATTGAAGCGAATGACAACAACGTTGTAAAGTACTTGCTTTCGCCTCTTCTCTACGTCGTATCATCGCTACGATTAGTATCCCTACCAGGATAGGTGAGAATCCAATCCGGGAAAGACTCTCCATCCCCAGGCTCCTCGAGCACTCCATTATCTTCATCCTCTGCCCACCATCTCTTCGCCCTCCGGACGCACACATCATCTGCATTCCCAAACAGATGCATCTCGCTAAACGGGCCCAAGCCAACATCATGGAATTCATCACTATCGTCCTCGGCGTCCTCTCCAAGCCCGTCGCTCAACAAGACGCTCAACGGCAAGTCCACGTCGTTGTCTGTCGAAATATGGCCGATGGCCTGGTGATTCCGCTTCAGTTTGTAGAGCTTTTCCCAGACGAGGTGGCGCTCGTTAACGAGCAATTGGACCATTGAGGGGAGGATGATGTGCACGGCTCGGACTGATGGGATCTTCCAGGTGAAGGTGGAAACGTCGGGACCTTCTTCCTTGCGGCGGATTTCTTCCAGTTCGATCCTGAGGACCCCGAGTCGTTGCTCGAGTTGCAATTGCTGGAAGGCGAAGAAGTCAAGCTTGCTGCCCATTTGCTGCTTGTGGAAGCGCAGGATCTCGCCCATGAATCCCGTTGCGGGTAGGTGGTCTCTCAACCCGTCGAGATGCGTGAGCAGCGAGAACAGGCCGTCGACTTCCTCGGCGTAGACGCAGCATAGCGCGCCGTCGGGTTCAGCTGGTGCATTTTCCGTCGTGTACGAGTACCACGGATGCTCGCCACTCTTGGACCAGTTGACGCCATGATTCCGCCAGCGGAAGAGGTCTTCCGTCTCCCATTGAACGAGTTGAACTTCGCGGAGGTCGGGAAAGAGCTGGATTGCATGGGCTAGATCTGTCTGGGATCGAGGGTAGCGTTTCCAGGGGAAGAGCGTGTGGCCGGATCCCCCTAGAGCTAACCGCCGGACTCTTTTCAGGTCCTCAGAGTGGAACTGGCCGAGGATACTCCATGGGCACAGAGTGAGGAAGTCGCCCACCCTGTCGCGGTTTCTCCACTTGTCTTGCTCGACGAAGAGCACGTCTCTGTCGAAGTGGAACCAGGTCCGGGGGCCGTTGGTGCGCGTGCGGAACACAAGCTGGTACCCCGAGCGCCTGAGTACGCTTCGCGATTCCGAAAATGCATGCAGTAGACTCGGGATGGGCGCGGTGCTGAACAAAGAGTTATCGCGCATAAGGTGCCATGCATGGTCAGGATTCTTCTCAAGCCAGGATATTGGGATTTCCGGAGTAGATGCTGAAGGTTCCCAGGGTTGATAAGGCCGTCTCCGAGTCCGTACCCCGAAAGCCCCGAGCGTTGGTTGCTTGCTGGGTTCGGGTTCAATAATCTGCCGCCAATTCGGGGCGAAGTATGCAAGGTCGGGATTCAGTTGTAACCTGAGTTTTGTGCGCAGTGAGTCCTTGAATTCTTCCTTGTCTTGGGCTTCTTCTCGAATATGCACGATGCGGGGCGGTGTAGCCAGCATGTAGATCTCGCGGCGGAGATCGAAGGGGAGCAGGTGAAAGATGTGGAATGTCTCTAACGTCATGTTGGAGGTGCAAGTGACTGTAAGGTGAGATAACTGTCGAGCAATGATGGGAAGTTGTAGAGGGTAGCGCAGCCAGCGCCTGTGTAGACAAGGTTGAAATGTTGTGCTGCATCCGTAACATTTGGCGCAAGGCTGAATGTCAGAGTGCCAAGTTCTTCTCCTACCCAAAGGTGCCTGGAAAGCCGACGCAAAATAGATAGGACTCGAAATACTTACCTCACTGGGGCAGCCTATGATTAGGTTGAGATGGCACAGAAGCGCACCTTCAGACAAATGCAAAGCTCAATTGAACAAAGGAGAAAAGCTACCTAGTAGATTAGAATACATGACCCAAAAGCTTCAGCGACACATGCTCATCACCCTCGCCTCACGACCGAATTCCACGCCTCTCACAAGAGCGATTGGGGGAAGAGTGACAAACAAAGTCTATACCGCAACAAAGGACCCCCAATGAGCAGTGAGTGTACAGGCTCTATGAGCGAAGCAGCGTTTAGAATAATAGAACAGGTGGCTCATTTTTGTGGGTCAATATAAAAACACAGTCCCTCTAATCTTAACATAACAGGGAGATTCATCTAAAACACAAACCTTTGCACATCACCCCCTTGGTCTTCCGTCGCTCTGTCACTACCAAATCGAAACTGATATGTACTCGCTTAACCGATGATGAGGGTCTCCTCATCGGGGAAGTTGTATGCGGGAACCTCGAGGTTCAGAGGAGCGGGACCCTTCCTGATACGGCCGGAGATATCGTAGTGGGAACCGTGGCAGGGGCAGAACCAGCCGCCGTAGTCACCGGATTCACCGATGGGGACACAACCAAGGTGAGTGCAGACACCTAATTAAAACGAAGAGTCAGCTAAAAGAACAAAGTCCGTATACGCCCGTCCATCACTCACCAAGCATGACAAGCCACTCTGGCTTCTGCACACGGTCCTCATCAGGCTGGGGATCACGGAGAGTCTTCCAGTCGAACTCCTGGGCCTCCTTGATCTCATCCGGGGTACGGTGACGGATGAACACGGGCTTTCCACGCCACTTGATGATGACCTATTATATTGGGTTAGTCGGTGAAGATAACCTCGGTGTAAACGACGCAGCAAAGCGTTCAACGTACGTTCTTGCCCTCGGGAATGGTAGCAAGGCCGATTTCGACCTTGGCCTGAGCGAGAACGTCGGCAGAAGCGGACATGTTGACTAGGAAATCTGCCGGGAGTCGCACGTCAGCCCATTGTTTACTCGGATTCGTTCCAACCCCATATTCCACCCCGGATATTCCCCTCTCAGCAAGTCGAAGATTCCGCAATCAATCCCTCCCGCTCAATATCACAACGTCCAGGAAACACCTACCCTGAACAGTGGCCTTGGCACCAACGGCAGAGGCGAGACCCATTGTACCGGCGACGAAGTAGGAGAAGACCTGGTTGGAGCGAGGGCCCTTCTTGGAGGCATATTTGCTGAAGTCGGGGATCTTCGTGGTGTCCCTAGGGGTGAACGGGCTCTCGAAGGTGGAACTGTTCCGTTGGCAGGAGGCGACGACGGCGCGGGTTGTGGACAGCTGCTGGCGGGCGCAGGCGCGCAGCAGAGAGGTGGAAACGGAGGAGAGAGCCATGGCGAGAGAGCAATTGCGGATCAATTGCAATGAGAACGACCGATGGATGGCGGGGAGGAGGGGGGATGGGACGCAGGCGAGGCGGATGAGGAATTTCGAGACGGGTCTGAAGGTTGAAGTCGGAGGCCCGGCACTCGCAGCTTTTGCTGCGAAGCGGTTCGGAATAGCCCGCTTCTGATTGGCCGATGGGCCCACCACTACAACCACCAAATCGACGTCAGAGCAGTCTTTATACTCTTTTTAAAGCTGTGCGAGAGATTGAACTACGAAGATGTGCTGGTTGCATTCTAGTAGACATGTTGTTTGGCCATGATCGTGGTTGTTGTTGACTGGGCTTTGAGCGCGACGAATTTATTCCGGGATCGTCATATGATATCCAGATTCCACCAAACTGGGCGGGACACACTGCTACCTGAGTATACTGCAAAAGTTACTACAAAAAGACAAGCCGATGCAATCCAACCATATCCCAAACTCCCAAAGAACTCCTGGGCATGCTGCTAATCCAAAACACTGACCATATCACGAATCCGCCATTTCCACATCGTCATCTTTCGTCTGGGGCTCGGCGCCTCCATCAACCAGCGACATCACAGTTGGTGGTCTCGAACCTCGAGGAACAGAGGCTTCCTTCTTCCCATCTTGTGCATCCGCGTCCACCTCCGGTGCCGGCGGTAGGGCTCCGTTCAATGTGCGCTGTCCTTTCTCGACTCCAGTATCCTTGGCGGTTTCTTTTGCTCGCTTCTCTTTGAATTGCTTATAAGTCGTTGTTTTCGGTATCACATCGGCGAGGAACTCGAGGTTGTCTATTCGTGAAACGGCCGTCGCTGTAATCACCTCTATTAGCACCTCCCGTAGAAACGAACTAATACGAATCAGTTGTAACGTACCTAAGTCCTTGTACTGGATAGTCTTCCGCGGCTTCCGTTCTGACTTGACAACATTATGTCCTTGCTCGGTAAGGTATTGAATGAAGAGTTCCTGAGAGAATTAATTGGCGAATGTGGAGTGGAGACAGGATCGCGTACGGTAGCCATCGCGACGACGAATGTCGCATTGTTCGAGCACTGGACAATATCTTCGTCTAGCTGAATTATCTTCTTTATACGAGCCACTGAGCATGCAGTATTAGCAAGGGAAGTATATGGAATTGGCGTCCTGAACGTACTTGGAAGAGAGCTCTGGCCTGTGATCTCTGGCGGCGCCTGGGGCTCTGACGCGGTCTTGCTGTCTTTGGCCGGCATCGTGAATTCCTTCTCTGGACAGCAGAAGGACCGATAATAGAAGAGGCAATAAATAGACTTATATACACGAGCTCAGGAATAAGCGTAGATTGCGATTTCAGATTGTGGTGGTGAGAGGAAAAGGTGTTCTGGTTCGCGTGTGCCGCATCAAAGAGATCCCTATCGCGTGGCGGGCACTTGATTGAGGTAATCGATAGTTCGGGCAGTCCTCGACAACTCGAATACTTCGTGGAGGGGTTATTACGGTATTATCGGCTTAAGGCAGATGTATTCTCAGTGATTATTCTTTTTTTCCCCAAGAGTATCATTGTCTATTCCCTTCAGCTCTTGTTCCAACCAGATACAGTTCAAGCTCGCCTTGTCTCACGTGGGAGGCCGCGTATCCAATGGTTGTCAGTTCCGACTGTACAGCTCCCTCACTTTAAAGCTCTCGACTACCTAGGTATGCTCCTCCATCGCAGGTTCAACTGAGGCGATGAGCTCAATGCCTGCCCCCTCGTCTCCGCTCCGCTCCCCCTCTCTCTTGTCCGAGCGTCGCCTTTGGCGGACTTTCTCCGGTTTATCGACCTCCTCACAACAACGCGCGAACGCCGCCGATGGCCAGGGTCCGGTGATCACGGAAGAGATCAGCGAGATCAAGCGCTACGAAGATTTTACGACTATCGATTGGGTACAGGATGCGGTACACGAACAAGCGCGACGGCCAATAAAGCGACAAGAAGGTTCCGGGTTTTGGGACAAGGAAGGCACATTTAAATGGAGGCATAAAGTGCGGGAATCCTATGACGCTGGGCAAGCCTGGCTAGTCATCACACTTGTCGGAGCAGCTATCGGGCTGATATCAGCTGTTTTGAATATCATTACTGAATGGTTGTCGGACATAAAGCTGGGGTACTGTACGACTGCGTTTTATCTCAATGAGCAGTTCTGCTGCTGGGGTGCCGAGGGAGGTATGTCGGGGAATTTTGCTAATACACTGTAGCCTCCGGCTAATTTCATCGGTCTCTAGGATGCCCTGAGTGGAGAAGCTGGACTTCATACTGGGTTATAAACTACGTCGTGTATACTCTTTACGCGGTATTTCAAGCTTGCCTTGATAATTGGGTAGTTGCTAAGTCTCTCGACAGGTCCTGTTTGCTTTTATCGCAGCGAAACTCGTCAAAACATTTGCGCCATATGCCGCCGGATCGGGCATATCCGAGATAAAATGCATCATTGCTGGTTTTGTTATGAAGGGCTTCCTGGGAGGATGGACACTCTTGATCAAGTCAATAGCGCTACCACTCGCCATCGCCTCGGGCTTGTCCGTAGGTAAAGAGGGGCCGAGTGTACATTTCGCCGTCTGTGCCGGCAATGTTATCTCGCGGTTTTTCACGAAGTACAAGCGGAGCGCATCCAAGACAAGAGAGGTCTTGACAGCTACAGCGGCAGCAGGCGTGGCGGTCGCCTTCGGAAGTCCGATCGGTGGTGTTTTGTTCTCTCTTGAGGTGCGTATTGATCCGGCAGTGACGTGACAAATACTTACTGGCGCAGGAAATGGCGTCTTACTTCCCATTGAAGACTTTATGGCGAAGCTATTTTTGTGCTCTGGTTGCGACTGGAGTGTTGTCTGTAAGTCGCCTACTACCATATCTGGACAAGGTACTTATACTGCGCAGGTGATGAATCCCTTTAGGACTGGACAGCTGGTAATGTTCCAGGTGCGGTACGACCGCTCGTGGCACTTTTTCGAACTGATATTTTTCATTATTCTTGGCATTTTTGGTGGATTGTACGGCGCGCTGGTGATCAAGTGGAATTTGCGCGTCCAAGCATTTAGGAAGAAGTATCTCTCGCAACATGCTGTGGTCGAATCTGTCATACTCGCCGTGATCACGGCAGTGATATGTTTCCCAAACATGTTCTTGAGGATCAACATGACTGAGATGATGGAGATTTTGTTTCAGGAATGTGAAGGAGACATCGACTATAAAGGACTTTGCGAGTGAGTGTCGACCAATAACTTTGCATACGTGTCGCTGATTTGACTAGAGCCAAATATCGGTGGTCGATGGTATTCTCACTTGCCACCGCTACAATCCTACGGGTCTTCTTGGTTATAATCTCGTATGGCTGCAAAGTGCCAGCTGGCATCTTCGTCCCGTCCATGGCCATTGGAGCGTCTTTCGGGCGAATGGTTGGAATCATGGTTCAAGCTCTACACGAGTCGTTTCCGGACTCGAAGTTTTTCGCAGCTTGCGAACCAGATGTTCCATGTATCACGCCAGGTACATATGCATTCCTAGGAGCTGGCGCAGCTCTGAGTGGGATTATGCACTTGACCATCTCGGTGACCGTCATCATGTTCGAACTGACTGGAGCACTGACGTATATCCTTCCCACCATGGTACGTAACGTAATTCCCCAAGTTGGGCTATGCTAACGGCTGCAGATCGTTGTCGGCGTCACTAAAGCTGTCGGAGACCGATTTGGAAATGGTGGTATAGCTGATCGCATGATTTGGGCCAACGGATTTCCGTTCCTAGATAATAAGGAAGACCATGTCTTCAATGTCCCCGTGTCACACGCCATGACAAGTGACCCAGTGTCCCTTCCAGCATCAGACTTCCCAGTTCGCGAAGCAGAGCACCTCTTGAGTGATAACAAATTTCAAGGTTTCCCAATCGTGGAAGACCGTTCGAGCAAGATCTTGGTCGGGTACATTGGCCGCACAGAACTGCGTTACGCCATTGACCGGGCTAGGATGGAAGGAATGCTGTCACCAAGCGCGCAATGTGTGTTCACAAAGGAAGCAGCGGAAGCTTTGGTAGCCCGCCGGGCATCTTCCACATTTTCCCGTGGCCATCTAGTCCCCGATACATTCGATAACATTCAGAGTAGTGCCGGGGCCGCCTCTGTCGACTTTAGCAGATACGTCGACCATACACCGTTAACTGTCCATCCCCGCTTGCCGCTCGAAACCGTCATGGAGATCTTCAAGAAGATGGGTCCGCGTGTGATTTTGGTCGAGCACCGCGGCCGACTCACAGGCCTCGTCACAGTGAAGGACTGCCTCAAATACCAATTCAAGGTCGAAGCCGAGGAGCAAGCTTTGGCCGCGACTCACCAGCCGGAGCTCCCGTTAGGAGCCTATCAGAACATGAAGGATAACGACACGCTCGAGGAACGGATCTGGAACTTCATGCAAAATATTGGGTCCAAGTTCTCCAAGATTTCAGGACGGCCGCGAGATGTCAGGCCCATCCCAACAGAGGACCGCTCGCCGTCGGGCATATTACCCGGTGCGGAAGATGACGAGGACGACGGCATGGTCGAGCTAGAGGAGAGACAGTGATTTTACTAGACCTAGATCCAATTGCAATGTATAATACAGTACATATACGCCGATAGACGAAGCATTAATTTTGGTGTATCAAACCCAAAAAGTTCCTTCACCTTTCTAATTACAAGTCCATTCAAGACGCCTCCTGCTCCCTCATCCCCACCAAGATACACCCACCCCCCATCATTCCAGCCCCCAGCCACCATAGCCCCGCAACTTTCTCGCGAAACACAATCATCCCCAGCAACGCGGTGACAAGAAAGTTCGCCGACGTGTTCGTGATCGACACCTTTGTCGTCGACGGGCCCGCCGTCAGCGCCCGTGTAAACAAAGCCCACATGATGATGTTGCAGAGGACGTTGAGGCCCAGGCAGATCTGATTATGTTAGCGTTTGTCCGGTGATCAGAAAAAAAAATCAGCTAGAGCAGAGGATGGGTTAATCCTCGAATATCGCGTTGGAGAACGCGGGAGAAGAGAAAAGGGAGCAACTAACCCCCCGAATAAGCAGCAACAGAAACGGGTGATTCTCCGTGCTCGCGCCAAAGATGCTCAGGATACCATTTGCGAAGGATTCTGTCTGTTCGTCCGTTGTGCTGTACCTTTCATTAGCATATGTTGTTCTTTTTAGAACACAAGATAGCGTGTGCAGGTAAGCTGGGCCATGAGTACAGTTTTGCGAAAAGCCCGTTGAGAGCAGCGAACGCGCCGGATGCGATCGCGAGGATAATCCAGCGCGGTTTCGCGGCTGGTGCTTGTGTTGGTTCGGGCATTTTTGAGGTTTATTTTATCTCTTATGGATTGGAGAAGATTTGGCGTTGTACTTGGGTCGGACAAGAGGTGGAATCGTGGGGATAAGGTTGGCTGGATGGAGCTTGTGCCAAGTATCAGATTCCGCCGGCGAGAGCGAATAATAGATTGAGCGATGGAGATCGCCAACAAATATCGAAGCCAGACATATGGTATGTGGTAATTTTGACATTGTATGTCTAGTTTATACGTGTTTACAGTTCTTTTCTACAAATGCAACCACTTTCACCTAAGGCGAAAGCCGCTCGATGCGCCATCTATACGACGACTCATCCGATCCCGTCCCATGAAGCCGAACATACCTGAATCGATCATGCAATCGACTACGACGGCCCTGCCAGAACTCTACCGACTCCGGGATAAGACGAACGCCACCCCAGAAAGGTGGGAGAGGGATCTCCTTGGTATCAGCAAACCGCGCCTCCACCTCTTGCACCCTCTTCTCGAGTAGCGCACGCCCATCGTCAATATCCGTCTCGTCGACATCATGTGGGATCTCGGGGTAAACGATGTTATCCTTCGAGTCCTCGCCAGGACCGAAGCTCTTGCGTCGCCGGCTGACAAGCGTTTCCGGCTCAGCAGCCCAAAGGACCTTGCTTTGCCAGCTAGCCCAAGCTCCGATTTGGCTCCCACGCTCCCTCGTGCGCCAATAAAGCTCACTTTCTTCTCTGCTCAGCGGTTCGACCATTCCCTCGATGCGGACTTGACGTTCCAGCGCTGACCAGCAGAATGTGAGCGCAGCCCATTTGTTTCCTTTCTGTTCCAGGCCCAAGTCTTTGACTAGGGGCTCATCGACCCCAGGAACGGGGATTGCATCCGGAACATTGCTCTCAGTTGTGCCGTCCACGCTAGCTCCGAAGACATGTCCACCTTTCCCCTCGCGACTACCCCAGTTGCTATATACCGTCCAGCCCCTCTCATCAAGCTCCTTAAGGTATACGACACGGGCACTCACGCGTCCAGATGGGAGAGATGCAGTCGCCAGAGTGCATGTCTCTGGTGAGGACGATGGGCTTAGCCGTGGATCACGGAACCAGGCGTGGAATTGATAAAGAGGGTTGCTCGGGTGCAGTTGCGAGATGGTGAGCGGGGGATTCCGGATAAACTGATGTGCCCGCGCAGGATGTGAGACGACCTTGTTATCCAACGCAGTCGTCGGTGTCATCGTCTCTGATCGGAGACCTTCTGCGACGAGTCGGGGAGGGAGGGATGAGGCAGGGACGAGGATTTCGGAGGCCGGAGTCTGAGTCTCGGAGGTGGCTTCAATATCGCCGGGCGCAACTGCAGATGATTAGGAATCTGCTGTATGTGCTAGAGTAATGAATTTTAGTGCACGGCGTTTACGTACAGATCAGCTTCTTAGGCCGGGGGTGCTGTGGATTTGACGAATCCATGGCCGATGGACGGAGCGCGCTGATGTGATACCTATGACTAGACGAGGTGCGACGAACGAAGAAATGAGCGGAATTGGACAGCCGTGCGTGCCTCATAGAATAGAAGGAGAGGTGGGCAGCGCAGAGAATCTCAAAAAGCACGCGAACGATAATAGAAGGTGGTGACTGTCCGAGAGAAGGTGGGATGCAAAAGACAAAGTGGGGGATGTCAGGGAACATCGCGGATCAGATGACGCATCACCATTTCGCAGCAGAATTAACAGATGCCAAACATTAAACTACCAAATCAAGGGATAGGTTTTAGATATCAAGTACGTCTCATTAGTGACGAGAGTTGAGAGTATCTATCGAACAACCAAAGGAAAGAAATCAACATCAGCCCAAACTGTGGTATATGTACACACAAATTCCCGAACGCCTTTCCCCCCGCTATGATGCTAATAGTATGTCCAACGAAAAATGTAAAAGCCCTTGGCAATCAAGTCGCCTCCCAATCCTGTGCAGTAATCATCGGGCTGGAGAGCGAGAAAGACCGGGTCCAGCCCTGTATTAATGCCATTCCGTGCAGTCCATATAGACTTTTATGTAAAGAAAAGAGGCAACTTTTATCGTCAAGAAACCGAAACAGCCCCCTTACAGGGTAGCTGTGACTGCACCATTGCTAACAAGATCAGCGATCTTGTGGGCCACGGCCGAGGGATACCCACGAGAGAGCATCTCCTGCACCGTGCGAGAAGCGCTCGCATGGTCGTCGGCGGCCAGATATGCACGAGTCATAGCCTCGTACGTGCTGGGTTCCCGCTTATCGATTCCAATACTGTTGTAAATAGCGCTGGCCTTCTGGAGGTTACCCTCTGCAGCCCATCCGTGGATAAGAGTGTTGGCGATGTAGGCGGTCATCTCCACTCTGCGCTTCGCCATATCGTCAACAATCGATTCGGTCTGTGCGACTTGGTGGTTGGCCACCATAGACTCGAGGAGAGCTTGGTATAGGCAGGGCTGCACGTGCACCTTGGGGTTGGAGACAGCGGACGTGAAAACCTTGAGAGCCGATTCCATGTCTCGCATCACGCAGCCTTTGGCGTGGATAAGCGATGCATAGTGAACAGCCTCGGGCTCCTGCCTTGAAGCCTTGATGGTCTCGAGCACCTTCTCAGCAGCCGGCATATCGACAGGCTCCAGAGAGGCGTGTGCATCGATAAGGAGCTTGTACGTATGCATGGTGGGCCTGATGTTGCGGCTCAGCATGCGCTCGTAATAGGCCAAAACCTTGCTGCGGTCGCGTTTGGTGTTAAGGAAGTACTGGATCATGGAGTTGTATGGTGCGGGCCGAGGCTTGTAGTTCGGCATGGACTCCATCTCCTCAAACATCTCTTCAGCGAAGCGCTCATCACTGACCCGGCAGAGCGCGTTGACAATGGTGCCGTAGGTGACGCTAGTAGGACGGACATTGTTGGCACGCATCTCTGCAAAGTACTGAAGGCAGTCATCGATACGACGGGCTTTGCCGAGCTTGCCAATGAGAGCATTGTACAAGAACGAGGTAGGCTCGACGCCCTCGGCTACGGCACGGTGGAAGATCTTGAGTGCCTCGGTTGCTTCATCGAATGTCTTGGTAGACTCCTTCAACGTGGTGATATACAGACCGAATGTGTTGGCCGAAGGGGCAGAGCCGAGCTCAGAAAGCTCGTTGTGGTACTTGGAGGCAAGTCCACGGTCTCCAAGGGTCAAGCAGGCGGCAACCATGGCATCAAGAATTGAAGTCCAGCCATACTTGACAGCCTTGTACTGAGGAAGAAGGGGAACATCACGCCTGGCCATGCTCAAGATTTCGTGCACAAGATCAGTACGGTTGTTCTTGGCAGCAGCACCGATGAGTTTGGCATATGTGATGTAGCGAGGGTGTCGACCAGCGCGGCGCATGTTGCGGAGACGGTTAAGAGATTCGTTAAGATGAGATTCGGGGCGACCGTGGGTGCTCTCAAGCTCTTCAGCAATCATGGCCGATCCCTTAAAGTCGGTGGCATATGCATATGGGTCGAACGAATCCTCACTCGGGGCAGAGCTCATGCTTGATAGCTCAGAAACGGGAGTGTGAGGACCGGAGAGATAAGTGGAAGGGCTAGAGGTTAAACCCAGATAGCTGTGCCATCGGCTTACCATGTCCGGTCGGCTAGTGAAGAGCTTGTTGACTGCCTGGTCGACGAGGCTAACGGTAGCGGAATCCATAGCAAGTCCGTTTGCCAGGGCAATATCCAGCATATGGGAGAAGCGTATAGGATGGGCAGCGTCAAAGGACATGGCGCTGTTGCTGACCAGAATACTAGCCTGGACCTGGAGAGCCAGGGCGAGGTCACGAGGATTGAGCTGAGAGATCTCGAGCGGACCAAGGAAGGCGACAGCGTGTTCGGCAACGGGCGCAATGAGACCGCCATTCTCAATCATCAACCAGAGAAGGGACATGGAAGCTTGAGGCGAAAGGACAGAAGCACCCTGGACAAGAACCCGACTGAGAAGATGAATGCTCTCGTTGATATGTTCACGGACAGAGTTTGAGGAAGAGGCGTTGCGGATACGTGCAAACATATTCCGTGCCTCGACCAGGGACTCATCGGTGCGACCACTCTTCAGAAGAGCAACGGCATACATCACAGTCGGTTGAACCATATCCGACGTTGCCTGACCCACAGTGCTTAACATCAGCCACAGGGAACGGGCAGCTGACACGTTGCCTTCGCGGACGTGCAGGGCCAAGATCGAAACAGCAGGCTCCTTTCGCGTCTCTACGTCCTTGGGGAGAAGATCGTATGCTTCGGAAGCGATCTTCAAATTACCGGAATCCGCCGCCGCTATGCAGATCTGGGACATGGCCTGATTGAGAGCCCCATCGTGCAACCGAGTCTTGGCTTGCTCAAGGGCCCGCTCATGGTCACCCGATTTAAGAGCGTGTTGCACCAGAGCATCATGGATAATGACCGACTCCAAAGCCTCCTGCCGCGTTTCACGGTTTTCAGTAACCTCGTCAAACGAGGAACGGATCCGCTCGAGGAAACGCATCGCATTCTCCTCTTTGCCACACGACATATAGGCCTTGATCAAGGAAGCGTAAACCTGGCCATCCCGACGTTGAATGATGCAAAACGTGCCACTATCATCGGAAACTGCCAGCGACCGATACTCGTTGTAACATTCAACGGCGCTCGTCAAGTCGCCAGCGGCAGCGAAGGCATCAATCATTGAGGGGAAGATCGAAGCGTGGGGCGTCACTTTGTGAGACTCCATGTGTCCATAAACACGAATCATCGCCTCAACTTTGCCCGCGTTAGCGCAAGCAGTGATCAAATGGCGGTAGACATCGAGGGGGAAGACAAGGTCCGCGTGTCGAGAAGTCGCGGTGCTGAACAGCTTCATGGCGATTCCGAGAGAATCATCCTCGGCTAGGATGGTTTGCTCGAGCTCGCTAGAGTGCAGCATAAACTTTCCTGGTTCCTCCATACCTCCAAAGCGGACTCGCTCTTGCTCGAGCACTTCCATAGCCTTCATGGCATCATGGGTGCGCATCACAAAGAGCTGAACCAGCATCTGATAAGTCTGTTCATCGGGAATTACCCTGCGACGAAGCATGTCAGAGTAGACATCGAGGGCTTTCGGAATCGCTTGGGACCGATCATCGTGGAGCTCGATAGCCGAGTCAAGCAAAGCATTGTAAGCACCGACGGTCGGGGTGAGGCCATCCCTCAAGATTGCCGCAAAAGCACCTGGAATCTCAGCGAACTTTTTCGACGATGCCAGCTGGACAATGTGCTCCGACGCGAGCCGTGATTCCTCGGTGGCGATATCTCCGACCGCAGCCACATCTTCAGGAAGATCGGGGAAGGCTTCGGTGGCGGACGCATCCTGCGACTCGGATGCTTCCTCGGCTTGAGCTTGCTCTTCCTGAATCTGGATCTCTCGGGCGACGGCCTCTTCCACTTTCGCGCTGACATCAGCGTTCGCGGACGCCTTGGTGAGATGAGGAGAACCGTTATTGAGATCTGAGCGAGCGTTTGAGGGTACACTATCGGCGGGGTTCTGTTTAAGGGCGGCTTCTTCCTCGGCGGTTGGCTTCCACCCCAGCTTTCGCTTCAACTGCAACTGTTTCCAGTCGCTGTCATCACCGGTTTGTTGAGCTTGCTGCCACGCTGCATAGTAGGCAGCTAACCCTACGTCTCCTCCTCCAGAACTACCTTGGCTGGCCTTGGCGCCAGCGCCAGAGGAGCTCGACGGCTGAAAGACATGTTGTAACTGGGTGGTACGCGAGAATTTTGCTGGGTTTGCGGCGGTAAGATGGTTGAGGGTAGTCGAGGACGCGTAGGACGACTGCGAGGCAGCGACTACTGATTGAGCATAGCCGTGAGTGAAGGCTTTGGTGAAACTCTGGCGCGCGATGTGAGTAAACGGCTTGAAGACCATTTATCTTGCGGGGGACCTCTTCATCAAGGGGAAGAGGTAGTACTGGACAGAAGATTGTTAGCCGAGTCCGAGACTCTTTCGAGATGCGGCGAGTAGAATTACCTTTGAATTTGGGGAGAGATTATGATGCAGGTTCATTTGACGACTGATCGCCAAAGAACGCGCTAGGGACAAAGAAAAAGGAAGAGAGGAGTTGGTAGGAGAAGGACGAGGAAGTCTTCTCAACGACAGATGATGGTGGATGGAATGTGAACACACGACGAGAAACGAGGGATATTTTATGAGAGGAGAAGGCCCAGGAACGATCTGGTGTCGCGTTGGCTCGACTCAAAACGGCTTAGCGCGGATCCAGAATTTCCAGAAATTCAATCCAGTCCGTTGACTCCGTACTTTTTTTCAGCTGGAACCAATCGTCACCTTGACAATGATTCAGGGGATGTGATATCAATTTTGCTGTTTCAGAGTGGAGCATCCCTTTTCTTGAATCTCAAACTTGAGAAGGACGAACTCTTCATTTACGATTGCATTTGGTGTAAACAGATACAGGTTACTGTGTCCTAAGAGCAGGCGGCAGTACACTTGCGCAGCGAAAACTCTGATCGCGAGCTGATTCCCAATCAAGGAACCACAGAACGTCACTTCGAGAAGACGCGCCGGAAACTCCTGGGATTCGGGTCACCTGGCCGCACAGCCCCAGATTTGCAGTCGCGTCCAATCGGCAGGTCACTTTGACTGGAGCCTTAGGAAGAAACAGGAGCTGGAAGTTTGGATCCCTGGGCCCTGACAGGTTCTGACATGCCGGGCCTTGGAGTGACTCACGCGTATTCCGGGTCTTTTTCTTGTGCTTTTCTTCCTTTCCTTCCGCCTCGGAGTTTGCGCTTGCCCTCCGCCCGTATCACCGCCGCCGGATCTCCGATACCCGAGTCGCCGATTGCTGCCTGCCGTTGTGCCTGAGGCATTTTGCCTTCCACCTTGCTCCATCGAGTCCATCCAGAACTTCATGTCTGGAGATGTTGTCAACTGGTCCAAGGTTCATTATTGCTCTAGAACAAGCCCGTCCTGCCACCGCAAGCCGTGATTTCATCAGCGACCGTAGACTATTATTCATCAAACTACGGCATTTCACATGCTCCAGGCCGAATCGGGGACTTAAGATACGAACTCTGAAGCGCAGTCAGCAAGGAGCTTTCCCGTGAACCGCGGATTCTGCCGTCGAGATTTTCATGATCGTATGATGGAGGTGGGAGTTCAAAACCAATAGCATCCTGACGAATACTCGCTGGATCAACGCTGCTAGGCCTGTTCCAGCGCGGCGTACAGGCCTCAGTCCTCTCGTCCCAGATACCCTTTGCCCCGTTCACGTCAGGCTTTGATATTATCGTCCCATAGTTCCATTTGTACGAAGTAGTTCGGATACTGACTAAAGCCCCCTATCTTCTGAGATTCTTGATTTCTCATGAACCCAGGCCACAGCCACATACACTGGCACTAGCCACATTTCGTCAGCTCCAGCCACAGCAATGGCGGGCACAACAATACTCCGTCTCGACATCGGAGTTCGAGATTGGGTCGATAGATCTATCCCGAGCGCCAGCTGGTGACCTGAGATACAAAAGGCATTCTGATACGTGATGCCTACTGTGTATCTTCCCAAATATTCTTAATCCATACGTCTTATCCACCACCAAAGCCCTTCGCGGTGTGAGCTCTTCTCAGCAAACAAAAGACAGCGGGGCTCCAGAGTACCTTTTGATGCCAGCATCGGGAGCCCGAATTGCCCGGTACATCTCCAGTAGCAGTGTTTTTGCTTCTTTCTTTCGAGTTACTAAGCCCGATTTCTAGTTGTTTTCTTTCTAGAACCCAGATCTCGCATGTTTACACTTCCCTCCCGCATTTCAGAACAGTACCACACTCAACAACAGACGAACCCCTCCCCAAGTCCACCATGTCCTACAAATCCTCCGCAACCACCGCTGTGTCCGCGCCCGGTAAGGTTCTGCTTACCGGCGGCTACCTTTGTCTGGACCGCAACTACACTGGCACTGTCTTTGCTCTCGACGCCAGGATCCATGTTGTCGTTGAACAGCTGCGAAAGGGTCACCGGAGATCTGATTCCGAGACCGCTGAGAATGGAACAACTGGGATAGATAAGGATAATGAGGCTTCAATTGTTGTTCGCTCACCCCAGTTCGTCGGTGCAGTGTGGGAGTACGGGATCCAGCGCACTGAGAACGGAGGCGGGATCAGGGTCGTACAAAGAAATGAAGGGTAGGACATCTCGATTTCATGGTTTGGGTGTGGCTAATAGCTCTAGGCGCGGAAACCCTTTTGTTGAGACTTCTTTGAATTATGCCTTGACTTACATCACCTATGTGGCTGATTCGAAGGACTTTGGCTCGCTTTCCATCACCATCCTCGCCGACGACGACTACTATTCTGAGACTGCATTTTCAAAATCCGCGGACCGCAAGGCCGGGGAATTCGTAAATTTTGGCGTCCCGCTCTTTGAAGCGCACAAAACTGGTCTCGGCTCGTCCGCAGCCTTGGTCACGTCCCTGGTATCAGCTCTGGTAATCCACCGAACCATGCAGCCGGATGACATCGCTGCGGCTCGTGATAAGTTGCACAACCTAGCGCAGGCCGCTCATTGTGCCGCCCAAGGCAAAGTTGGATCTGGATTTGACGTTGCTGTCGCTGTCTATGGCTCCTGCCTTTACCGCAGATTCTCGCCCTCGATCCTTGAATCGATTGGTGATGCAGGTAGCCCAGGGTTCGACGAGAGACTCTTCAAGGTTGTGGAGGATGCCGACTCAGAACATCCCTGGGACACGGAATGTCTCGATTTCGGTATGACTCTGCCCCACGGCATGCAGATGGTCCTCTGTGATGTGGAATGCGGTTCTCAAACTCCATCCATGGTTAAGAAAGTGCTTGAATGGCGAAAACAGAACAAACAGGAAGCCGACCTTCTTTGGGACGCTCTCCAGTCCAACAATGAGCGGCTCGTCCTCGAATTCAAGCAGCTATCACAGAACCCAGAGAAAGGTTTCGACGAAGTCCGCAGTCTTATTCAACGCTCCCGCAACCACATCCGCAGTATGACTGCTAAGTCCGATGTTCCCATTGAGCCAAAGGTACAGACCGAGCTTCTCGATGCTATTTCCGAGGTTGAAGGAGTCGTGGGCGGAGTCGTTCCCGGTGCCGGAGGTTACGATGCCTTGGCAGTTTTGATCAGAGATGAACCCGAGGTTATTGAGCGACTGAAGGCGCTTTTCGAAAACTGGGAAAGCAAGGTCGAGGACGATTTCGGGGGCAAGATCGGCAAAGTCCGCCTTCTCGGCGTACGCCACGGCTCCCTGGGCCTCGAAAACGAAGGGCTCGAGCAATACAGGGCTTGGTTGTAGACGCCCTGCATACCTGTTTAGCTCAGTCTCAGACATCCCGCTCACTTAACGAGTTGTATGCTGCGTAAGTAGCCCTCGCTGTATTGTGTACCTCATATTTAGCTCACTCGGAGCTCGATGTTTGGCTTTGACGTTATAACGCTTTCGGGCCTTGTTCCTTATGAGAAATGACTGTTTACGAAGTGCATGTTTACTAGGGTAGTACCCGGCTACTGCCCTGATACTCAACTACTACTAGTAATACTACTACTATCTACACTCACGGGTACTGTTCTACATAGATACATACCTGAGTCTGGTAAGAGAAATACTTAAGTGGGAGTAAATGACTGACTGAAATGTGAACTGGAAGATGAACTGGAATCTGTCGACACCATTCAGGTGTTGCGGAGTGCCGCGTCTATCTCATTTGGGGCGGCGCCTATCTAAGACATCAGTCGACATCCTGGACGTTATTCATTTGGTGGTAAACGCACTTCGTTTGTAACCTCTAAAAAAGGACGATGTATCTACTAGGGTTATCCTTGAATTCAACAGAGTACTGGCTCTCAATCCCCTACATAGTTGTTAGTAGCTTCCACAGAATCAAGTTATACTGATTATTGGCTGTAGCGCTCTATGAAAGCACTACTACAGGTTGAGTTCAAGAAATTCTTTTCAGATTTTCTAGTTTGACTCCGATAGAGGGGAATACTTCGAGGACTTCGATCCTACCTATCTCTTCGCTGGTGGATTTGCCAAGCCTGCCATTCATTCAGCCATCAAGTCTGAAGCTAAATTAGGCTACACCAAAGTTGAGCTACTGTTAGCTACGACAAAGTGATAAATCATTCCTCCTCATAAGGTGCCTCCTCCTTGTACACATCATACTTGTACTGGCTCCCCGTATGATCAGCTCTCAGCCCAGCCTGGCCCTTCCCATAGACCTTCTCACGCGCAGTAAGACCCTTCTCCGTCGCCTCGGAGTAGATACCTCGTCGACGGAGTTCTGGGACAAGAAGATCCACGACATCCTCAAAGGTTCCCGGCGTGGTGACATATGCCAGGTTGAATCCGTCCAGGTCAGCCTCCTGAACCCAGCGTTCCAGCTCGTCCGCCACCTTCTCGGGTGTTCCAACGGCAACAGGGCCCAAGCCGCCGATAGCAGCTTTCTCGGCGACAACGCGGGGTGTCCATCGCGGGACATCCTCGCTTGTTGTGGTGAAGTTATCAAGGATGCTGGTTACTTTGTTTGCTTCGAGGGAGTCTGCGGCTGTGATATCCTGGTCCAATGGGATTCTTGAGATATCGATACCTGTCCATCCGCTGAAGAGCACAAGCCCTCCAATAACAGAGGCATACTTCTTAAGTTCTTCGAACTTTGCGTTTGCCTCTTCCTCAGTGCGGCCGAGGATAGGAGTGAAGGTTGCAAAGAACTTGATTGATTGCGGGTCACGGCCTTGCTCTGCTGCCTGCTTACGGATTGCGGCAATTTTAGGGGCAAGAACCTTGGGGGAGTGACTCGACACAAAGATTCCCTCTGCGTGCGCAGCGGCAAAGCTAGACCCTGCTGCAGAAGTGCCGGCTTGGAACAGGAATGGCGTGCGTTGCGGCGAGGGGTCAACAATGTGGCGCGAGTTCACGGAGAAGTATTTGCCCTTGTGGTTGATCTGCCGCACTTTTTCTGGATCAACGTACGAGTCGTTTTCGGGGTCTGGGGATACGGCATCTTCCGCCCATGATCCTTCCCAGAGCCTGCACACATTAGCGATGGTCCAGCGATTGACGGAGCTGAGGGGCATACTTGTACAGAACACGGAGGTATTCATCCGCCTGTCTGTACCGCTCATCGTGCTCAATTGGGCTGTCCAGCCCGATAGCCTTGAAAGCAGCCTTCTTCCATGAAGTAACGATGTTCCAACCGATTCGGCCGTCGGTGAGGTGGTCCAGAGTTGAAAAACGCTTCGCTAGAAGAAAAGGTGGCTCGAAGGTGGTAGACGCTGTAATAGCAAAGGATAGGTTCTTGGTCACGGCAGCCATGGCGGAAATAGGCTGTATCGCTGTCAGTTGAATCTCCTTCGTCCATAGCTCACGCACTTACGATGGTCGGGTCTGTGACAGGCCATTGTGCCGCTCGCCTGATACACTCATCGAGCTTCCCTTCGTAGGTATCATATCCACCATAGGTATCAGCCAGGAACAAGGCATTGATACCACCTCGCTCAAGCAGTTTCGCCAACTCGATCCAATAGCCTAGCTTGCGCTTTGTGGCTGATTTGTCGCTCGGATTCTGTGACATGGGTCAGCCCGGGCCATTGATTATCTTGTCAATATGAGTATATTTGCTCATACCTTCCATTGCCCAGGAGACAAATGTCCAACGGTAGACATATCAAAAGCATTGAAGATGATTTTCTTCTTGATGCCATTTTGCGGGCCGTTCTGGCCGTTTGTAGAACCGAGATCGATCTCACCCATCTTTGCTCAATGAACTGACGACAATAATAACCAGCTATTCTATGGCTCTCTTCATCTTTTTATCCTCCGAAATCAACCCTCCGAGATCAAGGACCATCGGACCATTTCGTCGAGCTTCGCTACGAGCCCCGCGACAGCTCGCCATAGCTTCGTCTCATCGCGCAAGCACTGCTGCCAATTCACCATTCATCAGGTACTCCAACAAGTATCAAGGGTAAGATCTTATCATTTCGCCATCGACCCCGCACAAAGCGCAACTGAGGAACCTTGACAGACTCTCATTTGTCATTTTCTTCTTGTTTCAAAGGGTATGGTCAAGAGTTGGAGGCTGTTGGTAAATTTGTAGCCCAGTAGGGAAAGGCAACGAGGTCTGAGAGGTGGGAACCCCATGTCACCATCAAAGCCTCCATTATTGCGTGACACTTAAGCGCCACGCACTGTATTGCCAAGCGAGCACGTATACACCTTTCCCAACAGAGATCGCCATGCCACGCACGTGATCGATCTGGTTTCATCTTTCATGCCTCGCTGATGCCTAAGGCCTACAACCGTCAACATTGAGCATCTCCGACCAAGTCGCAACTCGCCTTCCAACCTCGAATATTCCGCCATGCTCGAAGAACGCAGCGGGTGGGAGCCCACCTGAACAGCTGGCTGATACTTGTCGCAACGCAATATGCTGCATCGAGGAATACTGAGATCAATATGAGATCTATCTGATCTATCTTACAGAAAGATTCACGCGGACAAGAGCGGTTCTGGGCTCCCGGGATACTGGCCGAACGGCAAGCTATCCAAGATCGCGGTAGTAAGCGAGGTGTATAGTAATATCGCTGATTCCGATGCTGGCGACGGACACCCCGAATCTGCTGCAAATGCAGAAACAGCAATATGCTTCAAACAATGTGAGGACAACATTGACGGCATTACGAAGCCATGAAACAACGGGGAAGTTCGAGCTGTCTGCTCCCTGATTGTATCATCTATATTCTGATCGGGACTTGTTTGACCTCTCCGATTCCCACCTCGGGAATATCCCGCCTCCCCGTTCCTAATGCAGTCAGTGATGGGCAAGTGACAAAACCTACGAGGTATACGTAAACAACACGACCCACAGACCAGGAATCACCCCAACACTCCGGCCCCGCGGCATATTTGTGGGGTAGGGCTGGAGGTTGTTACCCTGACGCGCTCCAGTACGGAGTAAATGGAGAGGGTTACGGGGTTGCCTGATCCATCCGAGTCGGCGTGTACGATGCAGAGAAGCTGAGCGGGATCTTGGCGATCGTCCCTGGAGCCCCGTGCTCGGGAATATTGGCTGGTCACTCCGGATCTAAACAGGAAGTGTGGGCTTCGTTCCTCCAGTGCATTTTCCGGGTGATGAAATCGGGAAGATGGCAGGAGGAGATCATCGAGAACTTCCGCCCCGTGTCCTTGGAGTAAAGCGCTGAGGATTGAGTGGTATAAAGGCGGGTCTCTACCATCAACATCCACTGTCTATCAGCCAAAAGAGTTAAACCGAACATTGCATCCACAATGAAGTTCACTCATCTTATAGGGCTGGGCCTTCTGGGATTCGCACAAGCCAGCCCAACAACTACGCCCGTCAACCCCAGAGCGTCTACTTCCACGAAAAATCTGCTAGCACATCTGGTCCGGATCGCGAGCAATGGCACGACACTCTCAGGTCAACAAGAACTTGAAGATGCGGACTGGGTAACCGACAATGTGGGCTTCTCGCCCGCGATTCTCGGGATCGACCTGATGGACTACTCTCCATCAAGGGTGGAATTTGGTGCTTCAGCCGCATCCATCGAAGACGCCATCTCATATGCCGAGCGAGGGGGCATCATCACTGTCTGCTGGCACTGGGGTGAGTTCAGCGCACACAAACCGAGATTTTTAAGACGTAAGTACTAACATCTGACTCTATTTAGGATCCCCTTCTGGAACGTACAACACAACTGAGCAACCATGGTGGTCGAACTTCTACACGGAAGCCACCTCGTTCGACCTTGCGTCAGCAATGAACCCGGCCTCGCCCGACTACAAGCTGATTATCCGCGACATTGACGCCATCGCCGAGCAACTAGCCCGAGTAAAGGACATTCCAATCCTCTTCCGGCCCCTTCACGAGGCCGACGGTGGCTGGTTCTGGTGGGGTGCAGCTGGCCCCGAGCCCTGCAAGGCACTCTACCGACTCCTGTTTGACCGGTTAACTAAAAAGCACGGCCTCAACAACCTCCTCTGGGTCTGGAACTCCAAAGAACCAACCTGGTACCCCGGCAACGAATACGTGGATATCGTCAGTGTTGATATATACGCGGAGGATGGGGACCACTCGTCGCAGATTGCCGATTACCAGGCACTCCAGGGCTTGACGGGCGATTTTGCGAAGCTTATTGCCCTCGGCGAGGTGGGCAACATTCCTGACCCTGAACTTATGCGCAAGGACGGCGCACATTGGGCTTACTGGGTTACTTGGAATGGGGACTTTATTCGGGGGGAGACGAAGAACCCGATGGACTTCAAGGAGGAGGTTTATTCTTCCAGGCTTGTTTATACGTTGGATGAGGTCCAGGATTGGAGTCTATAAGTTGACGTCTTGCGTAGGATATGACTGGGAGCGCATATGGAAGAAGGTCCGAAGCAAAAATCAGCGTCTGTGATTGTGCTTGTATGGGAATATGATGACATTTGACTCGCAGTAGGAGAAGCTATACAGGCGGTGCTTCTTCCGAATGAAGAGATAAAACTAGAACAGAATGAAGAGAATTTAAAGTGGGAATCCCAAGGCTCTTTCTCATTAATATCAATCATTATTGATAGTTAGGACACTAGGATACTAGGGCAAACCAGGCATGATCTCATCTGACCTTTAAAGTAAGATCACAGTGTCTTAAAGCCACGGTTTCTCATGAAAACCCCACGCACAGTCATGGCATTTCCATCGTCACCCAGAAAGAACTCCATAAAATCTATTCGTATTCTCCAGTCCCTTTTGAGGACACATCTCGGCCGATACCCGACATTTTTTTCTTCTCCAAAATGGTTCATTTTAGCTTTTTATTGCGTATCAAGCCACACACAAAGCCAAGTCCGTCAGCCTGAATCAGTCATTCATTCAGTCTTGCTCGGCTCAACAGATGTCACGACTGCACTACTGGATTCTGGATCCCTCGTCTCATCTGAGTCGCTTGCTTCTGCGGCATTTCTTGCCTTTTCTCGCTTGCTGTAACCGAGTTAGTCTCTTTTTCTTGCTTTGAAAAGAATGCTTTCGGGTATACATACTCCTGGCGGGCAATAAAGTATTTGATGACATGAGCCAAGGCGATGAGACATATCGCATTGCCTAGAACGAAGGAATAACCCTTGGTGAATCGCGGTCCTTCGACCGTTTTGAACACGAGCAGCGGAGTCCAGGCCGTTGTCGACTGTGCAACGGTGTTGAGGATAATCAAGGTTATGGAGCGCTCGATCGGTGAGTACCGGAGCTGTTCGTTCACCCATCCATATAGTACACTTGACATGGACACTGCAGAGTAGGTCGTGATAAAAGCAAACCAAATTGCTGATTCTTTCACATCCCAGACCACCAAGATGGTGAGGCCGATAATATTCCAGACGTGGGCGACAGTGATAGCCCACGCTGGTCCCAGGACAAGGTCGGATGCGAAGCAGATGAAGAGGGTGTAGAAGATTCCCAGAGCCGGGGAGATTGCACCAAGCTCGTTTAACCGGCTTGTTGAATAACGGTTCAGGCTTCGCAACCAGAGTAGGTAGCCGCCTGTTGACGTGTTGATGCTGCCGTTCCAGAAGAAGATATCTAGCAGCAATAGCGCCCAGAACTTCCAGTTTTTGAGCACATTGACCAGTGACCTCATTGTCCATGTGCCCTGGAAAGTATGGCCTGCCCGCTGAAGGCGGGCCTTGGATAGCTCGATATCTTTATCGTTAATGACAAGTTTGTTCGGTCTGTCGGGTGTCCCTGGGAGAATAAAGTATCCTAGAATTCCAATGGGAATGGTGATGACCGCGCAAACGATGTACATCCATCGCCAACCTGCTAGGCCATGTACTCCGTCGAGTCTTGCAGACGTGCCTGCTTGGATTAGACTCGCTGTGAGAGTGCCAAGTGTGAGTCCAACATAGAAGCAACCGCCTCGGCGCGCAATCTCGTCTCCTCGGTACCAGGCCCCTATGATGTGTGAGTGTGTGCCTCTCATTCGTCTCGAGCAAACCTACCAAATATGTAATGCATGCCGGGGAAGAAGGCCGCCTCAAACCAACCCACGAAGAATCGGTAAGCCATAAGCTCGCCAAAAGACGTCACTCGATATTGCAGCAAGGTGAAGACACCCCACATGATATCCAGGAAAGGAATAACCCATGACATGGGGAATTTGGTAAACAGGTAGGCAAATGGTAGCTGACCTACTACGGCGCCCACGGTGTACATGGTTTGTAGTCGAACAAGTTCATTTCCATGAAGATTCAGGTCCTCCCGAAGACCGGAAACATATGCATTATCTGGACCCCTGTCAGTTAAGATCCCGATATTTGCAACTGGGGGTGTGCATACTTATGTTGGCTTGGTCAACGTACTTGACCCAGTACGCCAGAAAGGCGTAGGGAACGATCAATGCATCGAGCTTCAGGATGAGTTTTCTCTCTTCGGGAGTATCCTGGTCCGCGAACCACTTGATCTGGTACCATTTTTTGCCATCACGGACGGTGGACATGGTGTTCAGCGCTTCAAGGGGGATCTATTCATGATTCTCGCATCAAGTACATAAACCAGCGTCTTTATACCAGACTAAAGCTCGCGAAGATGCCACTCCTTGGCCATATTGCGTGCGTCTGGGCAGCCCAATGGCGATGTGAGACCAGTATCAGCACTCGTAGAGATTTCCTCCTGGCAGCTTGTGGCTTCGACCATTTCGTCTCCATTAAATCTCTCATTGGAGGCCAGGAGTGGGTGGGCAGGAGCTTCGTTATGCAAACGCACAGTTGTGGCCAAGGATCGTGTCAAGTGGTGGAGGTAAGGCGTGCTTGGTCTAGTGCTTTGACATTCGCATGGTGCCCGAAGCTAATGAGGATTTGCAGATCCCAGTTTCGTCCTTATCTGATGTTTACCGAGCTGTTATTTTAGTCCCTGAAGCGCTATCGCCGAAAACCTACGGAACCTGCTAGGCTGCCATGTGTCGTTGCCCCCGTCCGGTACTGGTCAGACGCTCCTGAAGAAAGGGCGTACTTTCCCTGGGCTTAACGGCGCTACCAGGTCGAGAGATCTTTAGTGTTTCGAGAGAAAGATGTTGTGAGAAACTCAGGGTTCAGGTTACATTGCTTTCCAAGGGGCTGGACAGGTGAATCCTCGTCTCTCTGTTCGTCCAGTGTGGTTTGGTTAGGATAGAAGGGGTGATGCGACTGCCTCAAAGTCTGCACTAGGGCTCTGTCTTCCCGAGCCAGGGCATCTAGGCGGGAGCCTAGGTGCTCCTCTGGGAAGACCCGGTATACTGTAGTAGACATATCATAAGAAATCAACACAAAAAGCTGTTCTGCTGCTTCAGTCGTCTGCTCATAAACCGGAGGTACGTCAATCCATTCTGGAGTAGACCGATTTGGGTTGACTGAAGGGTGAGCATTGATACGCTCGACAGGTTCCTCTACTGCGTTCAGGCCGAGCAGAGCTTCAACTGGCCGCTCCTTCCTCGAAAAACAACACCGTGTCAACCGTCCTGATTGGCTTAATATTGGTGATGGGAAATAAAGTTTTTGACCGCGGCAGCGGTAAAAAAAAAACTCTATTCCCGCTTGGGTCGCACAACCCGGGTGGAAAAAAAGATTGCGGATAGCATGTCCTGGTTTCGATCCAGGGACCTGGTTACTGTTAGAATTTTGCTGGTTTGAACTTGCTAAGATGTTAAGACGTACCTCCGGGTTATGAGCATAGAAGTATATAGGTACCAGGTAGCGAAAAAAAAAAATAAAAAAAAAAAAAAAGATAGCATGTCCTGGTTTCGATCCAGGGACCTCCGGGTTATGAGCCCGGCTGTGGCGAATTAGTATTTTATTTAAACTGTGGAGTCACGTGATTCTTACCGCTCTTCCCCTGAGCTAACATGCTGATTGGGTGATAGGTTGGGAACATTAAATGCGACATAGATAAAAAGTTGAATTTTTAGGTGGCTGCCTGCATTCGCTTAGCACGGCAGGATTGGGTACTAATAGTAAGCTTTCGGGATTGCTGATGAAGATAAATATGGTGGTGGTCTAATCACGCTCTCAAAAATATACGTGCACCTGGCTGGGATGTCTCATACACTTGCCAGAGCAGCTTGATTATCAAACCGAGTCTGTGAAGCAAGACGAACCCGCGACATGCCAAAATATATTTTATATCATATAGGTAGATTAACTGGGTCAACACCACCCACCTCTCAGGAACGACACAACCTAAATCTATTATTTTTTAAAGCTACAATGGAGGCATTTCACCATGACGATATAGCGAGTCAAAAAAATCCCAGCCTCATCTACAAACCATTTAACGAAGTGGAGCGAATCTCCGCCGCCTGACCGCAGGCTACCTACCAAACGGACCTTCGCTTTCTCCGCATGTGATGTCATAGAACCGGCCCGAGGTAGCGAATATGATATCGAGAGTGATACCAATTGCGGTGTTGGGAGCAGAAAAGGACGGATCAAAGCCGGGCCGCCAGCGGCCGAGGTTTTTAATGTGTTTTGGAGCTGCCGTCATTTTTGCACATTATATACAGGCGCTTGTAATGTAGAACAATATAAGACGAAGCTCTGCTTTTATTTTTCTGTGATTTAGTCCAACAACTCAATATTCCATGTATATTAACGCCTGTAGATGGAGTTCGGTTGGCCACAAATATGAAACGACCAGGGTTCTCCTGAGGTCTGAGATAGGTGCCACCGTGATTAAGTAGATAGTATTGCACTGTCATCGCTGAACCTATGCGTCTGGTATCTCAGAAAGCAACAATAAGCGCGTGTTGTGGTCGTTATGGTAGGTATCAATAGCCCAGGGCACATTGTTGGAGAACCTGATACACTTCCAATACTCGTCGTGCAACGGTAAATGGCAAAGACCTTTCAGTGCACCCCTGGGTTACCGTCGCTGGATGGGGACAAATAGCCCATCGATGGAGAAATCTCACTTGAAGCTGGACTACGGTGTTCCATACACCAATAAATCAACGAGAAGGATGCATCCTGTCCAGTCTCTGGGGTCATCTAACTCACCATTTAGAAGTTGATAGTATGTATTCAAATACTGGAACTGACAGGCTTGCAAGGATCGCATGACTTTTACTATAGTCGTCGAAACGTTCTGCGGAGGCCATGTCATTAACTACCCTAGTCAATCAGGTGGCACGGGGCTATGTGGCTGGCTCCGTCCCATTTCACCGGGGAATCTGATGCCATAGGGGACTGAGAAATCTCTGGATTTGAGGAGAGGTTTATCTGAAGTAAATGGCGTTGCGGGGCAGCTGGCGGAACAGGTAGTTTCGATATGGCTTGGATGAGTCTCGAATGTTTTGAAGAGGCACGCTATCAACCAACCAAGCATGTTAGCTCAGGGGAAGAGCGGTAAGAAATCACGTGACTCCACAGTTTAAATAAAATACTAATTCGCCACAGCCGGGCTCATAACCCGGAGGTCCCTGGATCGAAACCAGGACATGCTAATCTTTTTATTTTTCTTGCAAATATGCGCCATGGTTTCATTGGGCTGATTTATTTTATTTTATTTTATTTTTATTTATTGTTTTTTTTTTTTTTAAAGCAGCCTTTCTCAAGCCCCCGTCAGAAGATTTGGGTCGAGCGCCGAAGAAAGCTGTCGGGTCCAGATGGTTGTTACTCTTTCGAGGTGGCGATGCGACCACCTGGGCAGTCCTGGCAGACATTTCCCCCCACAGGAACAAAATCCAATCGTCCTCAGTACCGAGCTATTCGAACACGCCAATGCCCGGCCAACCGGACTCTAAGAGCCAATCCTTATCCCAAAGTTACGTATCCATTTTGCCGACTTCCCTTGTATAGATTTCTTCTATCAATCAGAGGTTGTTCACCTTGTGAGACCTGCCGCGGTTATAAGTACGACTTGGCCTGAAAACTATTTCTTCCCGCGGTTTTTCAAGGGTCGTCCATCAAGGGCGCACCGGATTCTGCGAAGGTGCAGGGCTCTACTAGCCATGGAACCCTAGCTCTGAACAAACCAATTTCAGGGTGGTAGGCTGTCAAGAAGAAAGGAGAACTCTTCCTAAACAATCCATGGTTGGGTTGCCCACTCCTGCAAATATCTAAATACACGAACCCAGCCAGGGTTGCTAATCTTGTTAAATGATTATTTGCAATGAACTGTGATGATAGTTCGAGATGATGTCGCTTGGCGGTTTATCTTCTTGAAAATGCTAGTCGGATTTTACAGCGCCTCGTTATGAGTGCCAACCCGTTGGGTATTTTCTAAGACTAAGTGTGGCTGGACGCAATTCCATCCTATCTCCGAGGGGGGGTACATCATAACCTGCCCCATGTTCCAGCGTGAATGTCGCTTTGATGGGGCTTCTGTTATCAACGCACATGGGGATAATACAACGAGAATGTGTCGACAGAAGACGAACTCTATAATAATCCGATATCTAGAGAATATATCCAATGGGGTTTGAGTTATCTTCGTCTCTGTGTCACAACTAAGCTTTCGGACCGGCTTGATACAAGGCTGAAGGCAATATCCTTTGATACAATTAGTGTGGTCTGAGAGTAGAATCCAAGGTAGAGAATGGCGGGTATCCAAATGGGCCAGATACTCTTCTTCCCAGGACAAAGCTCTCGCGCAGAAGAGCACCATCTAACTCGAGTGTTCTGGAAGGGTATTGAAGCACCTTCCTGAGGTGGGTTCAGATCCAGAGAGGACTAAGCGCCTACACAACAGAATGCCTTCGCGGAATGGAGCGGCGTACTAGAGCTGGGAGGGACCCAATTCTTGGACTGAGCTCACAGTCTAACTACTTCGAATATCCGCGGCCCTTATACAGCACATGATGGGCAGGTAATAGCTGCATTATTTCAAGCTGAAGAGAACTGAGCTCATCCGGGTTATCGACGTGTTGATGAACCAGACAATTATGAAGAGCGCGACCAGTTCCTTCCAGACTTCATTCTGAAATGTGGTAACGTTATCTACGAGTGTATGGAGATGCTGCGAAGCCATTCGGCTGTACATGCCGTTGAAAATTTGGTTTTATTATGATTAAGGTTATTTTGCGACTTCCTGTTTCCTACACTCACGTACCGCAAAAGGGACATCAGAAGTCAACTATAAATAGTTTGCGCCTCTCTCAAGACGTCGAGGGAAACATAGACACAGCTTATATGGTATTGGGTATTTCATATCTCCCTGCGCACCGCGTCTCATATATGTAGAAGATATATAATTTACTTGCAAAGTGATCGGGTATATACCCAGCCAAACCACTCTCTTGCTGGGGGCATGATTTTGACAGGCCTAAATCAAGGAGCGACTATCGCAGGAGCTGAACTATATATCGTCAACGACTGTACGCGGTAGCCGCCACTTATCGATTTCCTCTATGCCATCTCTCAAAGAACTTATGACTCCTGGCAACCAAGCAGACCCGGGCGCTGTATCTGCCACTAACTGCTCTCGAGTTATCCGCCTACGAGGTTTGCGGCAGCAGATACAACCATATCTCCAGGTTACTCAGCAAGACGGACGTTATGTACTCTCTGTAGATCCTTAAAGTCATGCTCTCTACGTAATTACTTCAACGAAGTATGTTGTAAATGCCTGCTATCTTGCTTTCAACAAGTCATTAAGTCGCTGTTGCCCATTGGAGCCATATGAAGACCCCCCCTCTCCATACGCTTAGTTCATATGGAGCTGTATAGAACGCAGCAGGGTCCAGGACAGTTTGGAAGGCTGTTAGTCCAGCTGTTGGTCCGTGAAACTCTGTCGGTACCGGTCCAGCAGCGTAGACAGACGGGTTTGCCGTATCCTGATTGGCGTTGTAGGCTTGCGTGTTAGTTTTGTGCTGGTTCCACGACTGCTGATGGCTGTAACTACCGTAGTTCTGTTGTGGCGGGTTTTGGTTTTGCTATGAATCTGTCACAGCGGCCTGATCGCGTAGAAACCCTGCGTTATTGCCATATGCTTGCTGGGCGCGAATTTACGGATAGGTTTGGTTCACTGGGTAACGTTAGTACGGGCTTTGTTAGTTTAGATAGCCTTGCGGTCTGGGGTAGTACGGCGTAGCGTACGGCTGCGGGTAGAATGGCTGTTAGTACGGCCTAGGGAAGCTATTAGCTGGCTGCCACGGGCGCTGGTAACCATTGCAGGGACCATTGGTACCATTGTAGGCACGGGAATTGCCGTAGGTACTGGAACCATTAGAGCCAGAGGGTCCAGAGGCTCCTGAAGGCCCAGAAGGCCCTGCCATCCTGTTCTATCGGATTTTAGCTTGGTGTTCAAGTTGTTGGCGCGTATTATCACTCAGAGCGTTCTATTGAAGTTGGCAAGCTAGTGGTGCGAAAAACGGGGAAGCGCTAAGATCAGACAATGAACTTTGTTGTTTGGATGGACTGATGGTACGCCAAACTTCGTCAGAAGGTTGCAAGGACAACAGACGTTTCCGAACTATAGGAGGGTCGTTGAGGGGATTTTTAGAGGAAGTATCGCGGGTCTGGTGGAGCAGTCGTTTCAACGGGAACGGCCGTTGTAACGGGAACAACTGTTTCAATCCAAGGGACAGGTTAAGACGCTGGCAATGACGGTTCAGCCGGAGCGACCACCTGAACAACAGCAGCAACTGTAAAGACGTTGTCGGGATTCGCTAGAACTATTGGCTTTGTGGGAAGCACCAGGGCTTTGCCTTTGCCCGCAACAGACAAAGCGGACGAAGCTCGTGACCTAGATTGCAAGCAGGAACGGGTTCTTCTAAGCGGTCGCAATGGTTAACAAAGTCAGTAGCAAGGGCGTTCTCTGAACTCTATTCAAGGAAGTCACGAGTCTGGTTGATCTACTATGACGTCACTAAGCTGATAAACTTAGATACAGCATGGTTAAGGCAGGAACAGTCAAGGTCCCAGTTAGCTAGATACGTGTTCTTTAAAGATGCTAGTTGTGACTCGTGCTCAGCAAGGACTCAGCAAGGTATCTGAAGTAGTGAACTGTAACACCGTCAAAGTGGCTTCTGTATGGAGAGGTTGATGTATCGTCATAGGCTGACACCTAGTGTGCAAGCTCTGCTAAACGCAGCTGGGGTCTGGTCGGCATCAAGGGGTCGTAGGGAAGGGTTTGCAGAGCTACCAGCAAAGCGTAAATGTGATAGGAAAGAGGTGTCTAGCGGCATGCAGGATGGTCAGGGAACCGACTAGCAACACAGGAGCCACAGAATGGTCAAATCCAGTTCTGAAGCCGTAAAATGCAAGGGAATAATGATTCAATAACAGAACAAGATAAGGTTTGCTCTTTTGGACATGCTACCACTGTCGCATGACGAAGTCGTTGTGAAGGTGAATGCTATTGAATTATTCAATCCAGGTGCGGACGTTAACTGTGATGGACCTGGATGTCTACCACAAAGCCGCGAGCAAAAATGTCCACTAAGCATGTTAGCTCAGGGGAAGAGCGGTAAGAATCACGTGACTCCACAGTTTAAATAAAATACTAATTCGCCGCAGCCGGGCTCATAACCCGGAGGTCCCTGGATCGAAACCAGGACATGCTATCTATCTTTCTTTTTTTGCTGCCAGGTACCTATATACTACTTTACTTCCATGCTCATAACCCGGAGGTACGTCTTACATCTTCTTTAAGTTCAAAATAGCAAAATTCTAACAGTAACCAGGTCCCTGGATCGAAACCAGGACATGCTATCCTATCTCATCTTTTTTTTTTTCCTGTTTTTCTTCTCCCTCTTCATAATTCCATTCTCATTCTACCCTCATTTACAAAACCCCCGAGTACTTGCATTTTCATTTGCAACACTCTGTAAAAGGTTGTGTGATCCTTGAATGCGGATTTCTAGCCCTGTGGCTTGGGGGCGCGAGCATAGGGCACGCTTCGGCTGGTGACTCATCAGCCACATATGGCGCAGCGGCAGCCCCTGGTCACGTGGCTATATCGACGTCATCTGATTGCGGCTGAGCGCTCTTGTCCTCGTAGGCATCCATCATCGTCATTTGTTATCACCACCGCTCCTGGGACTTCTGAATTCTCGACTCACCCAACAAGTCAAGGCTTTACAAAAAGACCACGCCATCGTTTCACTTTTTCCTGACGAGAGCCCTGAGAAACCGTCAATATGTGTGGCTCTGACATGTTTCTTGCTATCCTCGCGATATTCTTCCCGCCAGTTTCAGGTACGCCAGACCCCTCCCCAAGTCCTTGTTCGTTATTGATTTCACCCACTAACTTCTGCCTTCAGTCTGGATCAAGTTAGGTATCTGTACAGCCGACTCCATCATCAACATTGCCCTCTGCTGCCTCGGCTACATCCCTGGTCTTCTTCATGCCTGGTACATCATCCTCAAATACCCTGAGCCGGACTATGACGACCCGTCATACGAACCCGTCCCCAACCGGAGGGGAGATGTCGAAAACGGACATGTAACATACTACTACGTTTCTCACCAGTCTGCTCCAAGCCAGACCCAAAGAGGTTACGGCACTCTCTCCTCGCAACAAGCCTCAGACTCTCAGTCGCAACAACAGAGACAGGCCACTCCTAAACCCCAACAGGAGCAAGGTGCAGCTGGTAGCAGCAGCCAGGGGCATCACGACGCCCGCCCTCCTCCTACCTACGCAGAAGCCGTCAAGGGCGACAATAAAGTACAGAACCATGACTAAGCCGCCTATCGAAGAAGCATAACTACGGCATACCCTCATTCGACTAGATACCCCAACACTCTCTCTGTTCCTGCTGAACCTATGACCCCTGAACGAACCATTGCCAATGAGCACTGTGATGTATAATGAGCTGCTGTTTGACCCTTTCCGTTAATTCTGCTTTCGAAGCCTGCTTGTGCTTTCGATGCTTTTTCGTCGTATGAATACAAATTCTGTCTTGACTTCATTCTTATAATGTGATAGTTTATACCGATTGTTTCATGGATAAGCAAACCACAGGCATATTACTAGAATCTAAATATCCTTGAATTTGACGATCTCTGAAACAGTATCAATGATTCAATCGAAAACGTTGCCTGTAAATCGAGGTTAGGGCCGTTGTCGGACGCCTTCGTTCTGCAATCTGCACCCGAAGAGCCGCCCGAGCTTTCTCCGCCAACCTTGGAACGTTCCCGTTGACCTGTCCAACAACAACCCGACGGTCCTTGCGACCTCGCGCAGTCACCATGCAGTCGATGCCATTGTTGCTTAGGCAAACTTTCAGAGCGTCACTTAATGCTTCACGGACCTCCTGCCCGCCACGACCGCTAATTCCTTCGGCCCAGATTCCCAAATCTCTTCACTTCCCCAGGGAAGCACGGCGAGGTTTCTCAGTCTGCCTACGATGCCAATTCCGAACCCAACCTTCCCTCCTCTTAGACGAACCGAAAAAGACGACGAATGACGAGGCTGAGGATAAACCGATAAATGGAGGAGAACCCATACAACTGCCGGGTCCTACTCTGCAACCACACACAGATGCGGGGGCCCCAACTCCGCCGCCAACAGATACGGTACACTCACAGCAGGGTCAGGAAGAGACTGAAAATGCTGGCGCTGGCCAAACGGAGGCAGGTGGTCTACCGTCATATCTAGAGAACCGACGGTCGCAATTCTCGAAGCAGTTTACGGCTATGATGGACAATTTGCAGTCAAATGTATTCATGGCGGGCCAGCGGTTGAACGACCTGACTGGATATACTTCGATCGAGGCCTTGAAGAGGGATATCCATGAGCAAGGTGGGCTTCAGGAACCTTAGTAGTATTCTCACAGAAATCTCGCTAACAATTCTTGTCTATAGAGGAACGACTCCGAGCGGCCCGCCTTCAAGTCCGAACTGCGAAAGAAGCCTATGCAGCCGCCATTAACCGACGCTCGGCCTCACAGCGCGAAGTTAACGAACTCCTACAGCGCAAACACGCGTGGTCGCCGGCAGACCTTGAACGCTTTACCCATCTTTACCGCAATGACCATGCTAACGAGGTTGCCGAAAATGAAACGCAAGAAGCGCTGTCGTTGGCTGAACGCGAGTCAGAAGAGGCTGCCGCTCAGCTTACCAAGAATATCCTATCGCGATACCACGAGGAGCAGGTCTGGTCGGACAAGATTCGCCGTATGAGTACGTGGGGAACCTGGGGTCTGATGGGAGTAAACGTTCTCCTGTTCCTGATCTTCCAGATCGCGGTTGAACCCTGGCGTCGGAGACGACTTGTCAAGGGATTTGAGGAGAAAGTTATCGAGGCCATTGAGAAGGAGAAGGTCCTCGTCCAGGCTCATCAGCCTATATCACCCATCAGCGAGCCCGCTACTGCAGTTACTACACCCGAGGTCACGGCTACTACTGAGGCCATCACTGAGGCCACCACTGAAGCTTCCACTGAAGCTACAACCGGAGCAACCACGGAGACACCTGGTCCCGTCGCTCCTCCTGCAGAGGACATCGCGCCTGAACTGACCCGAGAGGCTACTGTTACTCCTATTTCAACAACCACCGAAACCGATCAGCAGCCCATAGAGAACGTGTTGAACGGCGTTCTAGAATCCTACAAGCCTCCACCGCTACAATTTCCCCCATCTCCCACGACAGTCGAATCATGGCGTCAGTATCTTCATGATCTTTTTAGCGAGCGTTCCATCATCGTTACCCAGCGTGATCTTTCCACGGTTGCGGTGACCAGTGCCGCAGCTGGTGCCGCAGTGATGGGAATCGTCATTGCCCTGATTCGACCACGGTAAGCCGAATCTAGGTATACATATGTGCATCACCGGTTTCATGTATGATCTTGTACACTATCTTCACTTTACAATATAGAGTAATTCAAAAGATGTCGTAACTCCTGGCGATGGGGTTATTTTTAGATCTGCTGAATCGACTCCGTACTTGCTCAGGTCCTCAATCATACCTTCACTCAAGCGCTTGCTCAGCTGCTTCCTTCTAACTCAATTCCTTACTTGCTTAACTACCATCAACGATGCGCTATGTTTCCCGGTCTAAGCACAATAATATCACCCCCTCGAAGAACGTTCCTGAGACCAGGAAGCCATAGGTAGATTCGGGTTTCATGAGCTTTCCTGTTCGACCGACAGTGCTCAAGTCCGACAGATCAATAATAATCAAGATTGGCGGAGTCAATTGACGGCACCAGCCCCGGTATTTTTAGCGGCTCCGAGATGGCACAGAACCTGTCCCGCAGAATCTGAAACAACGGCGCTGGAGCACCAGAATAACAGAATCCTGGTTCGAGCAAGGCACAAAACTCAAAAACCTTGCAGACTTGTGATGGTCCTTGCGAGTTGCGGAGCTCCGAATACTGATATCAGAGATCAACCTGGACTCCGAGAGGTCCACCGATCGAAGGTTCGTGGGAGAGTTAACAAGCAGAAGCGATACATCTGCTGCAGAAGTTTTTATACCGTGCTGCTGGTCTATGTTTCGCTTCAAGATCATGATCCGATGTATCGGCGCGGTTGTCGGAGCATCGCTGACAGTCCGCCACGTCAATTGATCTTCGTGTGAGCAAAGGGCCTCAAAAAACGGATCACCTCTCCCGTAAGCCTCGCTTAGCCGCATACAGATGGCCCAATCCTAGATGATTCAATTGAGAGACCGCCGACAAGCAAGGCTTCTTCAGCAAAGGGCTGGCTGATTCATTATCCTCCCTGGCTCGCTGAAGGAGGGACTACGTAGAGTTCGCAAAGTCGAACATGATTGCTGATGCAGATGAGCTGTGTAACTGCTTTTTGTTGTTGAACTGCCTGAACAGATTAGCTCCTCACTAAGTGGAGGCTGGTTTAATTGGCAACCCTCCCAGCCGTGCATCCCCCCTTTTGAAGAGTTTTGAGTCAACCTTGCTGCTGTTGCGCTGCATCGAGCTGCGAAGCTATCGGTTGCTTCAGTTTTCGTCGCAAGAGGGGCATTAGACCTTGCGTTGAGCCTCCCAAGCGAAAGTTCTTTGGAAAATCGACCGCGGGTTCCTGAATCCTTTCTGCATTGGGGAACACACGCGAATCCCATCAGGGAAATCACGGGCTCCTCTAGGCCTTTCTTTAATTATCGCGACTACTCGTCCTGGGCCTAGTCCTTCCCCGATCAGCGCCATCTTGTGTTGCCATCTCCTTGACCTCGTCCTCCATCCCCTTTGCCTTTGCTGCGTGGTTCTCTTTCTGCAGCCGTCTTGCACGGAGCCCGGTCACTCGTTTGCCTTCACTTTGATATTTGACCACTTTCGTGGATTTCCTTCTTCGATTCTTCCCTATATAATCCCGCCCCTTTTCTTTTCTTCTGAATTTCACACTCCTTTACCGCCTTGACGCGATCGTTTCCTGACACCCGAACCTGTCGTTGCAAGGATATTCGGACTTAAGCCAATGGGAATGATATAGAGACAAGAGGACCGATACAACATGACAGAGCGCTTAAACGACCTCGCGTGCTAGATCGATTCCCCCAGCTGCGGTCAATTGAACCATCCCGAACTTCCAGCAACACAGCTCGCCGTTCGCGCGAGAAGATTCAGCGCCATGTCCGGCACCTGCATCTCGCTGTCAGGCTCGACGCAATGCGCCGCCTTTAATGTTTCCTCTATTTCCACCAACCCTACTCTTTTCACTGATTTGTAAGTTGATATCGGATTAAGACGGCAGAGTTCAATGCACTGATTCCTATAGTCCTTTTCTACGAAATGTCTCAAATCTGGAAGATTTTGACCGTGAACTCAACAGTTACGTACTGGGATCGTATGTTGAAAGCAAGTGAGTGTACACCCAATCCATATTTGGGACGACTAATTGACCTCTTTATTCATAGATATTCCGTCTTTCTGGGTTGCCAAGGGATCGACCTCTCCAACACCAGTGACTACTATGCACGCTACACCACAAGTACCATATGCAATGGACTAGTGCAAAGGTCTGGAGATGACTGCGAGCTCTCGGAGGACCAGCTACGGCCTCTCTGCGCCGATGATTGCGTGCGTATGCTGGCCATCATAGAGTAATTCTCACTGACAGCGTTAGGCGTTGATGGCTATAAGCGAGGGAGATATTGTGGTTAGCGATGAGCTCTGCCCCAACAGGCGGAGCGACTATGAGGACCAGATTCGGTCAGATTTCTCGGTCTGCACGGGACCGGTGAAAGCTCTTTCTGGAACATGCATTTCGGCCGCCGACAATGAGCCCAGCGAATGTGGCTATCGAAACAACGTCATTGGACTATGCAGATTTTGCCAATATAGCACCGTCAATGCGACTGATTCCTGCTGCGTAAATGCGAATGCCTCAAGCCGATGCGAGAATGTTGATATTCCCGACTCCTCAATATCCTTTGTTCCCACCTTTACATCAACATCCGACCCAACTGCAGACGATGACTCTGGCGACGGCTTATCCGGTGGACAGATAGCCGGGATTGTGATAGGTGCCGTTGCTGGATTTGCTCTTTTAGCCGCGTTGATCGCCTTTGGTTTGATCTACTTTTACCGACGAAGACGCGGGGCCGGAGATGACAGCTCCTTGAACAAACCCAATCCGCAAAGGAAAGGCTCTCCTATGCAGCAACCTGGAACTCAGCCCAATTTTGCCGCCGCCCCTGGACGTGTCGCCCGCATGTCTGCTTTGCGCGAGGTTCCTAGTTCCTCCCCAGGCCGCTCGCGTAACTCTACAAACTTCTTTGGAAGCGCCAAATATAGTGACTCCTCCGACTCCGAGGGCTTTGCGAGCCCAGGAGCAATGAACAAGAAGATTCCACCTACCACCGGAAAGCGTCAAGGATCCCTTTCCAGCAACTCTGTACTAGCGGGTGCGGGTAGCGACACATCTCCTCGATCTGGTACCATCGGGCAATACTCCTCTCCAGAAGGATTGACCAGTGGTCAATCGGAGCAACTTTCCTCTTTCCAGGACTATTATTCGCAGGACGACATTCATCCCGGCGACAAGGTTGCAGTGCTATGGGCGTACCAACCGCGAGCTGGCGACGAGTTCGGCCTAGAACGTGGCGAGATGCTGAAAGTGATCGGCATATGGGACGACGGATGGGCAACAGGAGTTCGCGTGCCCGAGAGTGCGGAAGAATATGAGGCTAGACATCGCGAACAGCGCGACAGTGGTGTTTCCAGTGGTTCGCAGAGAACGTCTCCAGCCCCGAGCGGCGAAATCAAGGCGTTCCCCTTGGTTTGCGTTTGCCTTCCCCAGCACTGGAGCAAGATCATTGATGGTGGACAAGGCGACGATAGTCCCTGAACACCAGCAGATAAACATGCTTCTTTTCCTTGCTCAGAGCATCCTGTTTACGCCTTCATGATAACGCCTTTTGCCCTTGTCTATGATTTTGCGCAGCAGTGTCCTCCATTGTCCAGTTGGGCCGGTTTCTCTCACCTGACCGACAGAACTGCCTTTGCTGTCAATAGGCAGCGAGATGCCAAATCTCGCGGTCTGCCTCCAGCATGATCACCGGTCGGCCACCGTCCACCGTCCTCAATATCCCCTGGATGTGTCAGAGACGTCGTTTTCTTTCCTAGCGCCTACTTTATATACCCACTTCTTATGCGGTCAATATGCTCTTCTTTTGTTAGACATGCCATTCTCGCGGTACATCTTCAATCCGCACTCTCAGCACGGCACGCGCTTGAAATCACCGATCTCGTGCCCTGATGCGCATCATTCCAGAGAGGACTTTCTATTCATCAGATATCAGTGGCAATTTTTCCGCCTCGATCTTGTCCGTTACCGCTATAATTGGACTTCTTTCGTACATATTGATCTGTGTACGCATGCTTAGCTTTTTAGACCTGCAATCAAAGATTATTCAAACTTCGGTCAATCTGACCGCTCATCCCGCACAGTAACGTACTGATAGGCAGCATTTATGAGGGACTTCAAAGCAGGCTGCATGATTACTATGAAAGTGACTTTGTCAGAATTATTCAGTCGCCTAGAATATTGTGGCTTTGCTTTGGTCTTACGACAGCGAGATCACGTGCAGCTAAGGGGCTCCCCCCCACGCAAGCACGCCTAAACTTGGAAATGCCCCTCCTCTAGTATCTCCATCTCGGTTCCCACCATCCTCTTACCTCTCTCGCTCTCCTCCTGACCTTTAAATTCCCCGGTTTCCACGAGCAACTCGCAAAGACCGCTTGGTGTCTTGTCTTAACTTCTCTTTTCCCTTCTTTGGTTAGTGAAGATTCCCCGGAGAGTTTCGCTCCCCCCCCAAATTCTCCCCCTCCACGCATATGCAATTCGCGGGACCAAGGGTCGAGCAATTCCCGCTGACGTCGTTTGCCTGCAGGTTAAAGCGTGCCTCACAAAATCTTCGTCTCCTTCGGAAACAATGTCTGTATGTATTCTGCGATCAGTTGCGCCTCCTATCTGCTTGCCATAAACTAACTGTTTGTTTGTTTTTGTTCAGCTCGCATCTGGGTATGTTGATTCGTGTCCTCTCCCGGCATTATCCGCATAACGAAATCATACCGGCCGCTTTTCTACAAGGTTGTAGATGCTGACCGATTGCATTCGCTAGTGTTCAAATTCAGGATGAGTGCATCAACGCATTCAACAAGTTCCGCATGACGGGCGGCACAAAGGGTGCTAAGCCCAAGTTCATCATCTTCAAGATCGCCGACAACAAGAAGGAGGTTGTAGTGGATGAGATCTCGGAGGACCAGGACTATGAAGTTTTCCGCACCAAGCTCGAGGAGGCCAAAGATTCCAAGGGAAACCCTGCACCCCGTTACGCCGTCTACGATGTCGAGTACAGCCTAGGTGACACTGAGGGCTCTAGGTAAATCATGATCTTCAGCACGTATGAGGGCAAGGCTAACCTGTGGCTTCTTCGATTGCAGGAGCAAGATTATCTTCATCTCTTGGGTGCCTTCCAACACCCCAACCCTCGTATGTGTCTGGTCTGGTTATTGTGACGATCAAGCAATCCGCTGACAAGGAGAATAACAGTGGTCCATGATCTACGCCAGTACCCGGGAGGTTCTGAAGAACGCTCTTAACGTCCACAACTCCATCCATGCCGATGACAAGTCCGAGATTGAATGGAAGGCTGTCCTTGCCGAGGCCAGCGGTGGCAAGGCCAAATAGATAAATGGCGTCGGCTGGGTCCGGGCCAATGACTTTTATGGGCGCGGGTTCTTGCGCTACACCTCTCTGATTAAGCTTTGACTTTTGTGGGGTGCCGATAACTTTCATGCACACATCTAGTTCAATATCAGAACGTTACGACTTGACCGAGAGAGAACCGTATCAGTTTTTGGCGACCGTGGCATTCCCTCCGCGAGCGAGCTTTTTTGAGGGCGCATTTTTTTTCTTCTCTTCTTCGTTAGCGTTCGCCTGTACAGAAAACTGCTGTCTGCGGCGGGGTCGACTTCCGCAGCGTGCTGTAGAGTAGGACACAATATCATCTCCACACAACGGATCGCGAGTCGGTTTTCTGTTGATCGACGGCTGGATGGTGATTAGAAGGGTATTAGTAGGCATGTGCGCGGGAATGATAAATAGGCTGCGTGACAATTGGCGCTAAGCTGGAGTATCAGAGACAAAGAAAATCAGCAGCATTAAAGATAAACACAATAGATTGGGCAGGGCAGCCATAGTAAGAGTGACGTTCGGGATGAGCAGGAAGGGGGAAGAGCGTGGTCTGATGCGGTGGTGGAGAGCCAATCAGAGCGGCCGCAAAGCCGACTAGCTCCTCGTCCGGGAACTCGAACTTCCACAGTCGAACGTCGTCTGTCTCTTCCATCGCGAGTTTCGATCCGTGTCCCTTCGTCCCATCCTCATCAATTCCGCTCGGTCCTGAGGACTTGACTCTCTCATCTCCAGGAGAGCAGTTTTTGATCATCAATTCATTTTTAGTCGCCCTCCGGCCCCTCGCACACACAATGTTCGTTCGCTCCGTCACCCGGGCTGCTGCTCGCAGCACGGCCATGCCGATGCCTGCCACTCGCTCCTACCGCACCGTTTCTGGCCCCATGGCTTGTGCCAACGCTCGCCCTCAAGTTGAGCAGAAGTCCATCGCTCCCCAGCAGATCCGCGCCTCCTCCGAGCACGCCATTGCCAATCCCACACTCGCCGGTATCGAGAAGCGTTGGGAGGTCATGCCTCCCCAGGAACAGGCCGACCTGTGGATGCAGCTGAGGGACCGCATGAAGGTTGATTGGCACCAGATGACCGTCCAGGAGAAGAAGGCTGGTATGTAATCTCGCGAACGCACTCCTTGTTTTCAAGGTCTGTTTCAGGTTTTCGCTGACCTTGGTCGTCTCGATATTAAATAGCCTACTACATTGCCTTCGGCCCTCACGGGCCCCGCGCTCGCCCTCCCAAGGGTGAGGGTTTCAAGATCTTCCTGAAGGTCACCCAGCTCACACTCGCCTCTTTCGCCATCTTCTACGCCATCCATCTGTTCGCTAAGCCCCAGCCCAAGACCATGAGCAAGGAATGGCAGGAGGCCAGCAACGAGTACGCTCTGGTACGTTTACCCTTGCCTACCAAGTGCTTAATCATTTGGTGCCTATTGGGCTTCATTTCGCGGCCAATTGAGCACATACTGACGGTTTGTTTTCCCTGCAACAGCGCGAGAAGATCAACCCTCTCTACGGTATCAGCAGCGAGGGCTACGAGGGCAAGGGCTTCGTTCAGAGCCCCCCGGCTGAGAAGTCATAAATTGATGTATAGAACTTGGGAGAGTCAGGTACAGCAATTGGACATGCTGGACACGACGCGCTGGAGCCGAGCGTCCAACACACAACACTCCCGGGCAATGCTGGCTTCGCGCCCATTGATCGTGCACACAATCATTTACCTGTGTCTCAATTGTTTTATCAACACCTGCCGAAAAATACCTGTGTCTCGTACTGTGCCATAATCAATGTATCTCCTTTGTGTCATAGAATATTTTGTTCCTATACTGCTCTGCTGCTTCGTAAATGGTTCCAGCAACGAGACTGTCATTGCACTACCTCAGAGGTCTAATACCCTTTCTTGTTAGTTATTTTATAGTACTAAATCGCGTCCATAGCCGAAGCTTTGGCATGGAATGCTACGTAATACATAGGTAAACCCGCAATTTGGCATCGCGCATGGTATAGCTTGGTCAGTTGATACTTCAGACAAATTATGATAATGGTCTGCCTACTAACAATTGTCATACATAGATAGAATTATGTATGTTGCCAACGCGCTTTCACAGCTGGATTCTCCATCACGACCTCGAAGGCCTCGTGAAAATTCTGGGCTTCCATTCTTCTCCGGAACCGGCTAGAGCAGCTCCTTGATGAAGCTTGACACGGAGCAAGAACAACGTTTCTTCGAGAGGAACTTTCGCTTCATACTATCAGACAAAAATATAGTACCTCTATATGATGTTTATACTGTAGATCTAGAAAAGCTGAGCTTTGATGGAGATTGTTGCGATTGTTCACCGGGAGTTCCTTGCACCCGGACTGCCAAGACCTTGAAACTCCTCATTTTGAGTTCCCGTAACAACCGGACGGGCAAGCTCGGAGTCCTCGACGAAGCGCGATGAGCAGCTCGAGATGGTTCACTCCTGTAGGAATAATTGTTTTTCAATATCTTAAATCTGAAGAAAAGATAATAGCTTCGAGAAAATCAAGCTCCCAGCTCGATCAGACCTGTTCGTTTCTTTTTGCAGCTCGGTACGGAACATCACGGGACCCGTCGGGAAAAGCCCCGTACAGGCTAAGCCGGCCACATTCGTGTCCCAAGTTCCAACCTCACCTCAACTCTTCCCTTTCCTCCTCCTCTCTTCCTCTCCCATCCTCCTCTCCTTGACCTCATCCTATACCCTTTTCGCTCTTCAACACCATCATAATGTTCAAGAGGTTTGTTCCACTAACTTGTATTTTTTCTTATTATCCTTCGCGCGCTGACCCGTGTTTTTTCTTTTAAACAGCGGTCTGGCCCGGACCTTCGGGAGGGCTGCCTTTGCTCGACCTTCCTCCGTCGCACGCCGCGCCCTTCAGCCTACCAAGCTCAATGGCCTTCCTTCCCTCGCTAGGTTCGCCAGCACCGAGGCCGGCTCCGTTGGCAAGATTCACCAGGTCATTGGTGCCGTCGTCGACGGTATGTTCCTCGAATTCCGCCCAATCCTTGCCCGTTGGCGGCTGCGCGAAAATCTTTTCTACTATCGATTTCATCGCAACAACCATCAACAACAACCCAATACCTGTCTCAAACCACGATATCTGACTTGGAACTACAGTGAAGTTCGATGGCGAGAAGCTTCCCGCCATTCTCAACGCCATTGAGACCGAAAACAACGGCCAGAAGCTGGTCCTCGAGGTTTCTGTACGTATCCGATACCAGCATCCCCGACCGATGACATCAAGTGCATATAACTGATCCATTACAGCAACACTTGGGTGAGAATGTCGTCCGTACCATTGCCATGGACGGTAAGTCGCCCTTCTTTTGGAGTCATGGACGTGAATGAAACGCGTGCTTCCGCCCTGCCCTTGTTTCCACCGACACGAGCACGATGTTGATATGTCCCTTTTAGGTACCGAGGGTCTTACCCGTGGTGCTGCCGCCCGTGACACTGGTGCCCCCATCACCATCCCCGTCGGCCCTGGCACCCTTGGCCGTATCGTCAACGTCACTGGTGACCCTATTGACGAGCGTGGTCCCGTCAAGGCCGCCAAGTACGCTCCCATCCACGCTGAGGCTCCTGTCTTCACCGAGCAGTCCACCAGCGCTGAGATTCTCGTCACTGGTATCAAGGTCGTCGATCTCCTTGCCCCCTACGCCCGTGGTGGTAAGATTGGTCTCTTCGGTGGTGCCGGTGTCGGAAAGACTGTGTTCATTCAGGAGCTGATTGTAAGTTTATATAAACCTCGACAAGGGCGTGGGCCTCTCTAACGCACTTGCTTTCTAGAACAACATCGCCAAGGCTCACGGTGGTTACTCCGTCTTCACTGGTGTCGGTGAGCGTACCCGTGAGGGTAACGATCTGTACCACGAAATGCAGGAGACTGGTGTCATTCAACTCGATGGTGAATCCAAGGTGTCTCTTGTGTTCGGTCAGATGAACGAGCCCCCAGGTGCTCGTGCCCGTGTCGCCCTTACTGGTCTGACCATCGCCGAATACTTCCGTGACGAGGAGGGTCAGGATGTGCTGCTCTTCATTGACAACATTTTCCGTTTCACCCAGGCCGGTTCTGAGGTGTCTGCCCTGCTTGGTCGTATCCCCTCTGCCGTCGGTTACCAGCCCACTCTCGCCGTCGACATGGGTGGTATGCAGGAACGTATTACCACCACCACCAAGGGTTCCATTACCTCCGTCCAGGCCGTCTACGTGCCCGCTGACGATCTGACTGACCCTGCCCCCGCCACCACCTTCGCTCATTTGGACGCCACCACTGTCCTGTCCCGTGGTATTTCTGAGTTGGGTATCTACCCTGCTGTCGACCCTCTTGACTCCAAGTCTCGTATGCTCGACCCCCGTATCGTCGGTGAGGAGCACTACAACACTGCTACTCGCGTCCAGCAGATGCTCCAGGAGTACAAGTCCCTCCAGGATATCATTGCCATTCTTGGTATGGACGAACTTTCTGAGGCTGACAAGCTTACTGTCGAGCGTGCTCGTAAGCTCGAGCGTTTCCTGTCCCAGCCTTTCACCGTCGCCCAGGTCTTCACTGGTATCGAGGGTAAGCTGGTTGACCTCAAGGACACCATCAACTCCTTCAAGGCTATCATGAACGGAGAGGGTGATGACCTTCCTGAGGGTATGTGATACCTATGACCTATAACGATATTCTGATGCTAACTCTTTCAATAGCTGCCTTCTACATGGTTGGTGATTTCGCCTCCGCCCGCGCCAAGGGTGAGAAGATCTTGGCCGAGCTCTCCAACAAGGCCTAGATGTAATATTGTTTTGAAGCGCCCTTTTTCCTTTTTGTTAGATATGGACTTCCTTTTCTCAGTGTTCCATTTTCCGTCGATGCGTGTACAGTACTCGAATTGAGAAGAAGGAAGTTGAAAAAGACAGAGGCCCATCTTCGATGCATTATAAAGGGAAAGAGCACTTGCACAACAACCCTCGAACCCCCCTTTAAGTTTCTGGATGAGAAGCGTCCAGAGCTTGTGTGACAATATATTGTGCTCATGTAAGTAAATTAAATGACCACACCCGGCCTTATACCCTCGGGCTGGGAACAACAATCTGTACTCATTTTTTCTTTTGTTGGATTGGAAAATTTGGTTTCTACATCATACTCTGTGCTCTTTTCTTCGTAGCTTGTAAACATTCTGAATAATGATAATATACCTCTCAGTTTTCACCTCGATGTCATTCTCATTAAAGGCTCATTTTACCTTCAGTCGGTCGTCTTCAGCTTTCGAGTCAAAATCATGCCCCTTGTATGATGAAGAGTTGAGCCGCCGACATTGTCAATACCTTTGATACGCTTCATTGACAAGGGAGGCATGACTTGTAAACTTTGAATTTCAGTCTAGCAGCAAGGAAGTAACATGCATGTGGAGAGATATCCATACACGATATCACTCCCATGTTGAGAACAGCAGGCAAAAGAAGACAACAGTCTTTCCGAATCATCGGGACGACTTGATTATTTTAAATGAACTCAATGGCAACTAGTAGATTAGATGATATGAAATATATGGCTACGCAGTATCTCGTGCCCCTTAACTGGCGTCATGATGTGATGGACATTGATTGATATATGCCCATCGAATGCGTGATCAGGAGTCTTCCAACGCTAGGACCTACATCAACAAACACTGGTTAGCACTGACTCGCTTAAAGAACGGCCAACTGCGGAGATAACTTACCAAAGCCGTCCTGGTCGGAATATAGACCTGAAGGAAGTTCCTCCTCCCATTCCACTCCATATCAGTCGTAAAGAACCTCGTCTCCTTGAGGTTTCTTCCCAACCCACCAAACTCCTTGTCATCGGTATCAAGCACAATCCGATACGTACCGGGTGTCTCAACGCCGACCCGATAATCCGTAAAGCTATTGGTAGGATGGAAGTTGAAGATCCAAAGTAGACCGGCGCGCTCAAAGACAAGGACCTTGTCGCCCTCGTGCTTGAGGCTGATGTATGCCTGCGGCGCGTGGAGCCAGCCGTACTTCTCTTCTGTCGTCTGCATGGCGCGGTCGAACTCGTTGAGGAATCTGTAGCGGAGAAGGCTGTCCTCTGTTAGGTTGAGCTGGCGGCGCGCGTACCAGAAGGAGTTGTTGTTTCCGGCGCGCGGGAAGTCGAGCCATTCGGGGTGGCCGAATTCGTTGCCCTCGAAGTTGAGGTAGCCCTCGCCGCCGAGGGCGTGGGTGACGAGGCGGATCATCTTGTGGAGGGCCATGCCGCGTTCGATGACTGGGGTGAATTCGGTTAGGACGGACATGTGGGTGTACATTTCCTTGTCGCAGAGCCACATCATTAGGGTCTTGTCGCCGACGAGGCTGCGAGTCGTTAGCAAGCTGTTTTGCAGCAGTAAGTTATGATTGTAGATACGTACGCTTGGTCGTGGCTTTCTGCGTAGGCAATCGTCTTCTCCCCGTGGCGTCTGTTTGTCAAGGTGAAGGCGAGGTTTCCAATGTCCCATTCGATGTCTGATTTCTCCTTGTGAAGCTTGATGTACATATCAGGGATAGCCATTGCAAGACGGTAGTCGAATCCAACACCGCCGATGCTGTGTGGGAGACACAGCGCTGGCATTCCCGAGACGTCCTCTGCTACTGTTATACACTCTGGATAGAGACGATGTAGCATCTCGTTCGCGAGAGCGAGGTACATGACGCCGTCGTCGTCGACCGCTGGCCCAAAGTACTCGTGATATCCGCCAGAGAAGCCGCTGTCATTTAATTAGCGGAGTCAATAAATGTTAAATCAGAGTCACCTACGTTCCAATACCGTGATGCGTGTAAAGCATGCTGGTAACTCCGTCGAATCGGAACCCGTCGAAGCCATATTCCTCCATCCAGAAACGGAGATTGCTAAGGAGGAATCGTAACACTTCATGGTTTCCGTAGTTGAATAGCCGACTGTCCCATAGCTCGTGCTGACCCTTAGGGCCCGAATGGAAATAAAGATGGTCACTACCATCGAACATATTCAGTCCGTCATCAACATTCTTTGAGGCATGGCTGTGCACAACGTCGAGAAGTACCACCAAGCCCATGCTATGCGCGGTGTCAACGAGCTCCTTAAGATCTTCAGGGTTTCCATAGCGACTGCTCGCTGCGAAAAAATTGTTGACCTGGTAGCCAAAGCTGGCGTAGTATGCATGCTCCATAATAGCCATGAGCTGAATAGCATTGTACCCCAAGTACTTGATCCGAGGAAGCATGTTGGCAGTAAACTCCTTGTAGGTCGCGACTCTGGTGTCCGGAGAGGAAATGCCCACATGAGCCTCGTAGATTCGCAGACTTTCAGGCTTCCGAGGGCGAGCATGCTGAAGCTGATATTGCTGTTCCCGGGGCGGATTCCAAAACACGGCCTCGTAGATGGGAGACACCTTCAGATCCTGTACAACACGCTTTATCCACGCGGGGATTCGGTATATTCGCTCTCCGCTGCGTGTAACCATAGTGATCTGATCGAATGTGAGAACATGGCTTCGTCAGCACAATCGTATAACCAAAATCATACCTTTACTTTGCTGTCGTGCGGAATCACGGGAACACCGTCCTTCGCTGGAAGAGTAACCTCCCAGGTACCAAAGTCGTTCTTCGACATGAGATTGGCCTTGTTATCCCAATTGTCTGCCAGTCTCAGTAACAGATCACCGGCTAATCACTCCCTCAAGACAGGACGTACTAAAGTCCCCGACCAGCGCAGCTTCCACGGCATTCGGAGCCCATTCTCTGTAAGTGATATCGCCGCTCTCGGAAATGTTGAAACCGTACTTCTCGTAGCCCTGTTGTTCTCGAGAAGACGAATTAGCTGGCCAAATTTGCACAAATTTTGCGGATGTAGAGATTGATGAGATTGATGAGATTGACACTCGCCTTGCTGAACCTATCTAAGCCTCCCTCTGTCTCATCAACGGTCTTGATCCAGCTCTCGACATATTTGTATCGCCGCTGAATAGCCTCCCGAAAAGGCTCTAGCCACGGATCAAGGTCGATAATACCTATAAGACAAGGTTAAAGAGCTGTAGGACACGGAATTGGGTCGCTGAACCCACCCGTTCCATCAGAAGGAGCTGAGGAAGCCATCGGTAATGCTGAACAGCGCGATAAGCTGCCTGTGTCAAGCTCGTTGAATCTTCTGCAATTAGCTTTCGAAGAAGGCGAAACAGCTTCCAGATGATCAGAAGAGCGACTTGTTTATTCCCAGGCGAAAGATATGAAGATTGAACCGGATGGAGGAGAAAAATGGGTCGAGAGCTTCTGTTCCTGCGGTCGAGACGAATGCGGGGGGTCCGTGTCCGTATCGCGGGTGACATCACTCCTAAGCTGTTCCCGTTATCGTTGGCGTCTCGCCTCCCAACCTCCTTTTCATCTGCAAACCTGCATCGCATTGGCAGCTCAACAACTTGCCAGGGAAATGATCGCGCTTGTCTGACCGGGATCTGGTTGGCGATAATACTCCGCCCGGACTAGGTGATTGGTTATTTTGATTATGGCCTGCATTGTGGCGAGAATTAATGCTTTGGATTATAGCGGGTGGAATGGGCTAGATTCTGAGGGTTTCAAAGGTACGCGTCGCTCGCTGCTCAACAAAAGCTTTGACCTGCAGCTTTTCTTGCCTGATGGATACTGATACGATGCAGAGATAAATAGATTGATTGATTCGTGACTCTATTAAAGCTCTGCCTGGGCTGTATCCCGAAAAATATGTACACGAAGAAAAGGCTGTACAGGCTCGCCGTATCATGAGAACGGTATAATTTACATTCGTCAATCCGCCGCTGATAACCTCAAATATGGAAAGGAATATCGCTGAATGAAAGGATAATTATTCGGAACGCTGGGCAAGCGATATAACGTCAGCTTAAGTGCCATCAAGGTAATTGAGAAAAATCTTGACTTACTGCTTCTTAGAGGTTGTTACCAAGGGTGGCAACGATAGAGCCGACAGACTGGCCGACGCCAGCGAGTCCGAGGCCGGAGACAAGGGAGGCAACGGAAGGAGCGAGCTTGACGAGAAGGGCAGAGCCATCGGCACCGACGACAGTGATAAGATCGTGAACGGGCTTTCCGAGGTCCTTGGGGAGTTCGCCTACAGAGCTGGCGCTGGCAACAACCTCACCAACGGGCGCGCCAATGGGAAGACTGAGACCAGAGACAAGAGCAGCAGCCTCGGGGCTGAGCTGGAGAAGGAGGCGCTCAGCGTTGGTGCCGGTGACCTCGAGGATATCCTGAACCTGAGGAGCAAGATCCTGAACAATCTCGTCGCGCTTCAAGTTGTTGCCAAGAGTGGCGACAATGGAGCCAACAGGGGTCCCAACGGCGGGGAGACCAAGGCCAGAAAGGAGACCAGAAAGGCCTCCGGAGAGCTGGATGAGAACGTACTGGCCACCCTCACCGACGACGGTAAGAAGGTTCTCAGTGTGAGGGCCGAGGCCCTTGACAAGCTCACCAACAGAGCTCGCACTGGCGACGATGGAGCCGACGGGGCCGCCCAGAGCAGGGAGACCAAGGCTAGATAGAAGGCCAGCAACTTCAGGGCTGAGCTGGATCAGGAGGCGCTCGGCGTTGGGGCCAGTGACTTCAAGGACGTCGCGAACCTCAGGGCCAAGGTCCTGGACGACATGTCCACCGGAGGCTGCAGAAGTGACCTTGTCGGTAACGGAGTCCAAGTTCAGAGGCAGGGCCGAAGTGACAGAGTCGACGGTGGAGGTAATCTTGGTAGGAGCAGCGACCACTGAGGTGGCAAGGGCCGCGAGGGCAGTAATGAAAGCAGCCTTCATTTTGAGGGTAGTATGAGGTAAAAAAAGAGCGTGGTAAGTGAGCGACTGGAGTGGGCAAGAGGGAGTAAAAGAGTGACTGGCTGATCAAGAAAACATGAACCTTTGAGCGAGATACTGCCTCTTATATACCGTGGGGGGTAGCTAAGGGGTTGTATCTCCACGGTCTATGATGATCTTCGCATATCTTTTGCGAGTGGTACTTTGGAGCGGTTCGGACTCATTATTGCTAGCTGGCGGCCGAGCCCGAATGCCGATTTCTAATGGATCAACGGTACAGAGTGCAATCTTAATAGGATTCATGTACGGTTCAGGTTGTGGATACTGTAGCTCAGGCTGCAAGCAGGGCCGAGCTGTTCCTCGATTTTCTTAGGGTAAGGAAGCCCGAGTCCCCGACATCAGAATCAGGTACATACTCCGAGGTAAATGGGAGAGGCGTTGAAATTCTACGAGAAAGGCTCAGCAAAAGCAAAAGGACCGTTAGACGGCCTGCCACGTTGAGGCGCCACGGCGTCACCAGCCTCAACACTGCGTTGAACTCTTCATAAGCACGATCCGTATTGAGATCTGCATCCTCTTTTCAGGAGCATCGCTGGACCACAAGGATACGGAAGTTGGAGTCAATGTTGGATTCCGAGCGTATCATTGGGCCGCTGTAGTTCGGTATTTGTCGAATGATGAATCAAAGACTGCCGATAGTTTGGTTTAGTTCAATAGCTCAGGGCGATGTTCCAAAGTTCAACAGGAGCTGGTCGGATATCCGTTGACCTGGACGCCGAGACTCCCAGAGGTAATCTCCTCCGGCTCCACGTTTGCTGATCATCGATCAATTGTCCGATTCCTTGGCTGAGAAGCCACGGCTGCTTTCGCTGAGTGGAGTGTGCCCGAGTAGCGTGAGATTTGCCACCAGGTACCTTGCAGCTTGCTCCGAAAGCCAGCACAGGGCGATATACGTACCAGCAAGAGTTGAAGGAAGTGTGCTCCTGCTTCAGCCTTCTCTCGAGAGCCCACATCCTCAGGCAAACCCTAAAGTAGAAGAATAGTGAAAGAAAATTCAACCTCTGATGACGTCGCAGTCCAATATAAGACCGGCAATTAGAAGTCAACCCTGAAAGGGACCGCTGATCTTGCTCATCCTCATTTCGATCTGCCAAGCAGCCTGGCATGCGCCATGCAGGGCAGAGCGTTTCTGGGTCCGGGGAGAACTTGAGAAGTACTCCGGAATAGTCAATGTTGTCCTAAGAAAATAGTAATTGTCGGGATACCCAGCCCTTCTAGCCTCGACCCTTTGTTCACGGTCAATAATTGGTGGAGTCTGAAGTCCTTATTTCGCTCGAATTTTGAAGCTGTAGGAAGGCGGGAAACAATTCCGTGGGTCGAAATTTCGGATGGATGGAACGAGCACTCGCTCTCAGGCTTCAGCTCGGCCGCTGGACGCTGGCAGTGAAGTTTGTTTGTGGGACGCAGTTTCCTCACCTTGCCCTCACTCGGCCCTAAGGTATGATATCATCGTGCCTGCCTATCCCTTATGCTTAAGGCTGCAAAAGTTCGTGGAACAACATTGGACTATTTTAGTTATACGCGCAAATCATTTCGGCTTCTATTGTATGATATCCAAATTGAATTAAAGACTATAAATCAGCTGGTTTGTTGGGGCGTGCGAGCTTCTTTGGCTTGCTGAGAAAGGGAAAAGGACTCCACTCTGCTTCGTTCTCCGGAGTACCTACTCAAACAACCCTCCATACCCCCACCATACTATATGTTTAGCAGAACATAGAATAAATGTGACAGGAACATGAGAAGAAATATGGGAGAATATATGAAAAAGGATCTTGCAGCTTGGATAAAGAAGGCTTCAACGTGAGTATATTGATTTCTTGAGGTTGAGGTAGGTACTGTTCTGGTGCGCTCAGTATGTATCTTCTACCCAATGGCAGCACATCCCCCCAGCGAGCCATGCAAGTCGTCAGCAACAATCTTGTACTTCCAAATAAACCGAGAGGCCACTAAAGGTCAAATACGCAATGTGGTTGTACATGAGCAGACATATCTCTCTACCAAGGTATTTCACGAGTTTATACTTACTCTACTTTGAGCCCTCCAAGCACACCTATATCGAATGTACTGGTTCTAATAATAATTCTTCCCATCGGTCTACTACTAAATGTGCCTTGGCCGGTTAGACCCTCGAGGCTTCTTCTCTACCTGGTTTCGACGCTGCTACCTCAGTATAGGCATCTGGAACGATACGCCGCAAACTGAGCATCACCCTTTGACCGGATACTACCGCCCTGACATCAGAACTGACCTGGCAAGACGATCGATGCTAGGCTTGCTCTAGTCCAAGCCCTACATCCATGATCCAGGTACCGATAATTGCCGGTTCATCCTAGTCTACCTGAATCTGCCCATCATGAGACCTGATAGCAATCTGGCTCACTCTTTAGAGTCGACGGAGCCCAAAGCAATGACCGTATTTCCTGGACGAACCTGCAGCCAATGAACAACATTAAGTATAGCTGATATTGAAGACCTTCCCGTGCTTCCCGCAACCTCATATACCCATAAGCAAGTCCCATACACCCAAAAACAAAGCGGATATGCTCAACCCGTGCCCGAGAACGCTCCGTACCGCAGATTATAGAGGGAGTACTAGCGATACTCGTCGGAGTATAAGCAAAAAGTTACATAGCATGTCCTGGTTTCGATCCAGGGACCTCCGGGTTATGAGCCGCATTTGTGTAGCAGGATTTACAAGCAGTGACTCGATCTGGGAAACACATAGCGAGTATAACTTACCGATGATCGTGGATAATCTCCGACCTCCGGCTTGCAAGAAGAAAACAGTCTGCGAGCAACGTTACATCGATCGGGTTGAAATTGCAGAATAATACTAGGCGAGAGATTCACGACGAAAGGTTGGTCCGATACCCTCCAGACTCCTCCGACTGCGAAAACATAAGTCATTACTCAACATCTGAACTTACCTGAGTACCGCAATTTGAGAAATAAGTGTATCACAGGTAGACCGGATAACCAATCCTGCCTTCGGAAGGTACATTCCAACTGCGTTGAATTAATAGATGGCAACATATATTGACGAAAAATCCAACGAATATATGGCAAAAGGTGCTGCAGGCGTAGTGCAAGAGATATTGCGAAAAGTATTCCAAAATGTATACTCCAATATAGATGGGTTTGACTGAAGCGACGGGTACTAACGAACATGTTAGCAGGGCTATATCTTTGTGTGGTATCAGAGCTTTCCCAAGCACTTGTTTCTATGAAACTGGCGAGGCAATGCGTCGGTGACCCATAACATTACTGGGCGTTGATTAGCATGAAGCTAATCTGTCGATCCAGGGAGATTTTGATAAGATCCCCAACTTAAAATGTTCAATCTGTAAATTGGTCAGTCAGGAGGGCCAGTTGGGTTACCTCTATCGACCGAATCCCCTCCACTAGCGTCGTCATCGCCCTTGGCAGTTGTCCGGGCCCTCTTCGCTAGTCGCACTGGCGGCACTGACGACGGATCCGGTGCGGGATCGACATTCTGCCAGCCAAAGTGCGCACACTTAGCAAGATACTTCAAACCTGCCTGCTCATAGCACACTCTGTCCTTCTGAGGAGATCTACCCTGAGCAGGGTACAGGAAATTATGTATCGTTCTATAGTGCGTGCGGAGCTTCGAGGGCGAGGAAAATTGCTGGATATAGTATTAGCTGGAAAGTATAGGATAATAGAACAAAAATCCAGGATAGACTTACGTGAGGGTGACAACAGCCTGGGTATCTGCACCAGACCTCATCCCTATAAATGACACGCTCAGCCTCCGGCAACGATATATCCACGGGGGGAAAATTCGCTGTGTTGGCCTTGATATCATAATAGGATGGAGCGGCGCCGTCTGAGCTAGTAGCCTCTTCCGTGCGGCGTTGCGTTCGTGTCCTTTTGGTACCACGAGATGCACGCTTCGGCGCAGGGTTCCCAGCTTCTTGCTCAGCTTGCTTTGCAGCTTGCTTCGCGTTGTACCCCGGGTGCTCTTTGCAGATTATAGCCTCAACATGGTCGTCCTTATGATCCTTGCGACTAAACTGTTCACCACAGTGAGGGCAAAACAAGTTCTTTTGCTCAGATTTAGTAGGATGGACGCTGTGAGTATGGCTATTAAGCCGCGCGGAGGTTCTGAAGGGTTGTTCACAGATTGGACATGGCCACTTATCCTCCGTGTCAGGAATTATGTTGCAACCTTCGCTCTCTTCCTTGAGCCTTGCATTGTTCTCAGAGAGGTTCATCTTGATGATGCGAATCACGTTAACCTTCCGGCAGAATTCAAGAGTGCTATGGGGCAAGACCAGATCATTGAACTCTCCCTCGTACTCATCGCTTAGCACCCGAAGAGCATCTGGCACAGAGACTTTGCGGAAACGCCTTGGGGTCTCCACAAACATCTCTAGAGTGATATTCACCTGATCGACATATGGTCCAAGGAGGTTGGTTAATGCTACCGGACTGGTAGATAGACCATCCCACCCATTAATAACCAAGACGACAGGGCGATTTTCACTCTTGCCTCGCTCAAGGATCTTGCGAATTGTAGTGCGGGTCTCTCCCTGGCCACTGAATGGCCGGTTCGAGCTCTGGATAAAAACCCAGAAGAAGACAAGATCTGGATCTAGCAGCCCAAATTCCTCTTCATATACCTGACGAGTATACTCGAGACTCCTCTTGAGAAAGGTTTTTGTGGCTTCGGTATCACCTTTAGAAGCACCAGAAGAACGGGCAATGAAAAGGTGGAGAGGCTTGTTTGCTTCACTTGACATGATCACGAATAGAAACAGTGGATAAGCAAGTTCGATTAAGACTCAAGAAATCAGTTGATTAACAACAGCTCAATTGATGCAGTTCGATTCTCGCTTGGGAGAGAGAGGAAAGAGAGAGAGAATAGCAGAATTGACTTTAGAGTTGTGCTCAAGGTCCTGGGGTCACGCCGACCACCTTCCCAATCAGGCGATAGCATATCGACTCCAGAACCATCACAAATAAAGAGAACGCTTTCTCAAGTATGAGACACTGGTATAAATACCTGCAACTTACTTCGGTCGAATGGACGTAAATAGACACTAATAATTTAGGCCTTGAGGGTTTCGGTATGGTTAGATCGTATATGTAAAGAGAAAAAGGGTAGACTTGGTAAACCATCATCTTCTATGAAGAGTTTTGCTTGAAACCAGGCAGCTGGGCAGCTACCTAGGTTAATCCAAGGAAGCTGAACCCCCACAGACAGCTCCGGTAACGAGCTAATCAAGTTTTTTTTTCGGATCTGTATGACACTCTTGTTTAACCATTGCACTCTTCACGGCCCACGGGATAGTCTTTGCCTCGCATCTTTTTGTTCTCTGTATGTGGCACCAAGTAAGATCCCTCGGTCATTCCTATGTTTCCCACGCTTTCCTCAAAGTTTCATGATCAGGTGGCCCTTCTTGAGCTCTTGCATAGCTTGTTGAACGAGCGCATCATCTAGTATAGCACGAGCTGTATCGCGAGGAACTCGATTTCAATGGAGGATCGGACAGGCGCGTTCGAAAGCTCGGTGCTCATCCCATTGCCTGTAGGCGCACATCCGACTTTGTTTGCCGCATTTGCATCTAGGGAATGGAACAGTGGGTTAGCTCAAAGTTTTATAGTGCTGGGTAGACAAAAAACTGACACTCATATAGGCGCAGCCGTACACCAATTCGAGTACCTCGTCAATAGGAGGAAGTCGTAGATTACCCCAAAGCAGGGATCCAACTGCCCAATGCTCCACTTGCGAGACCAAAGCACAATCGTGGTGACGGGTGACGGGTTATCCACTACTCCCTAGCCTGTGACTTATACATAAGCGCATATTGACGACAGTTCAAATCATGGCTCGTTTCTGTGCGTCATGGTTGGCCGCCGCGCAGAGACGAATGTGATTAACCAACGGGAGAGACATTGTTAAGGAAGAAGTAAATGCCCTTGGAGACACTTATCAATTTAACTTTGCTCCATCTTTCAGTATCTCATCATCTGGCAGAGCGGGTAGCCCGGTGTACCTGGACGTTCGAGAAATACGTCCGTCATTGCCCACGGTCAATGACTTTCCTGCTCTGATGCAGTCTTCTCCATAGCGGGTAGAGTTTCGAGTAGTTGTTCACCGTTTTGTCCGCACATACTGAAGTTTGCGAACCGCTTCTTTGGCCAGTGCAACTCGGGCGACGCGGAAGCTAGACTCGAGGTGACTGCCAATAAAGTTCAGTTAGCTTCTGTGATTTTTGAGGAGGGCTCTGAGTGGAAATACATTAGAGACGTTGCACTTCTCGTGCGGAAAGATTCCTGATTCAAGTGGAGGCTCAAGCGGAGGAGGCTTTGTGGGATTTGACTGATCCCAGCGCATCCCAAGTTTGTGTTGCTTCAAAGTGTCTTGGTGGTGGAACAAATAGCTTATTAAGACATGCCACACGGAAGGTCACTGTAACAATTCAGTAGATACTGAAGAGAACTTCCCTGAAGTGGGCGCTCTCTTCGTGAGAAATTGCAAATATTTGTAGATCTACTCAACCCGTAAGTGCCAAGCGCTGCGATGACGGTTCGCGGTTCTTGTGCCTGAGGCACTAATCCATTAAGCAAACCAAGGGCCGACCATACATCATCGTCGAGGATCTAGCTCATTATAAAAAACAAATATGCCAGCAGACTCAATCATGTATTATTCTAAAATACCCCACGGCCAACATTTATTAATAACTATCCGCCTCTCTACCGATTCTTGACTATACATGTTAAACTCAAATGAAGTAGGGCGCTACCATCGGTTAGCCTTTGCCGAGTCTACTCCGGAGTAAATACGATTCGATCTGGGAGGCAACGAGCCCCACGTGGGACCCGCGTACCTGACGTGCCATAGTAACCTGATACCAACTTCAAACGTTTTAGTTATTGCCCATGTCATACACAAGCATTGCTTTTAGTTCCTTTATATTAGTCACCTGGGTTAAAATATGACACTGCTAGGTACAGCTGCAATTCAGGGACTGAGGTCCCGTCATGCGTTTGGCACGTCCTGGGCCATTCAAACATATATGCAATGTTTTGAGAGCCAATGTATGTGGGGTACGGAATAGGCATTCAATCTAGAGGCCTTTAATCAAGTGAATAAAATAAGCCCTGGGCCCTGAGCCCTTAGAGAAGATTGTGTGTGGTGGTCACCTGATGGGCGGAAATCGAGCTACAACTCCTGATCTCCTTCGTTCGTAACACCTCTTCCTCCACAACATCAACAAATTTCGCCATGGCGGAAAAAATGTAAGTAATTCATCTTGATCCGATTCTTATCAGCATCTTCTTCTATTTTATCGTCATCACCACTGTTTCCTTCATCTCTATCTTCCCCTTTACGGCGCTCTCAGCTACGAAAGGTGTCGAGCTCACCACTGTTCCCTTCATCTCTATCCTATTCTTCACGGCACTCTCAGCTACGAGAGGTGTCGAGCTTACCACTGTTTCCTTCAACTCCATCCTATTCTTCACGGCTCGCCGAGATATGGGGAGTAACAATGCGGAAATTGACTAACACATGTGATAGGATTCCAAAGGAACAAGTTGATCGGTCAACTATCCAATCCCTAATGGAAACAGGCAAATTCGTGATGATTTGTCCTATTGCTCCAGTAAGTACCACAACCCTGTCTATCCTAATACGAAGCCTGTCTGTGTCGAGAATGGTATAGGCTAATAGACCTGGCATAGGTACCCGGAGACAATTCCTCTATTGCAACATCGAGTCCTGCGAATGTTGGCACAGAACCGAAGAAATGGACCGAGAATGCGACCGCTTCAAAAAAAATTCAAAAAAAAAGAATCTCACCTCTACCTCGGAGACTTCGATTACCAGTGCCGACGCAAAGCCGGTGAAACGTTCTGTGGATAATGAGGAAATTGTCAACCAACTTCCGCAAGACCGCAAAAAGAAGAAGCTGAATGCCTCTCAGCTGAAGCAGAAGAGAAGATATGTGACCAAGTGGCAAGGAATACTTGACGAAAATTCGGGTAATGGTTCTCATGTAGCGGAAGGAGATTCGGGCGCGAAAGGAGCCGAAGATGATGACCAGTTTGTAGTAGCCGTGGACGGAAAACTCGCTCTTGACGAAACTATGGACGACGACTTTGAAATTGATGTATCCAAGTAGTCTAGTACAGAATGTGACATTGTCTACAACCGTTTGAAAGACCTGATGATCTCCATCAGATTTGAGCCACCAAAGACTGAGTAGAAGTTCTTGTTCTGCTCCACACCGAGAGCTCCCATTCCCATTCCCCCACCTTCCCCTTTTCCTTGTAATGTATCACCTTTTTTCATCTCTCTTTCATCTCTCTCATCTGGCACGAGCTTGAACCCAACGCCACCATGAAGAAAAGGCCTTCCACCAAACCATATGCCAAGAGAAGGCACGCAACAATGGCCTGCGTGTCTTGTCGCGAAAGCAAAGTCAAGGTTAGTCAACAGCTGTGTTTCCTTCAGAACTGCCTTGATGCGATTAGAGCCGCGAGCGTCAAATAATCCGCTAATTGAACAACTACATACAGTGTGACGGGGCCGAGCCAGCATGCTCCAATTGCGCCACTCGGAAGCGTGAATGTCGGTATCAAGCTGTTGATAAAAGAAAGTAAGTGACAGAGAATCTGGGATACGACAACTCCAGCAAAGCTATTACTGACTGTCTAGACTTCCTTTACGCGTTGCAATTGAACTGCTACTGAATAGAGTGGATCAGCTATGCCACTTTATCCAGGATAACGGCCTAAAGCCTCCACGAATGTCGGCAGAACGAGATTTGGCACTGAGAAATATACTTGAGATGCTGGGATTGGCCGAGACAAATACTTCTATGACACAGAACGCAACAGAGGCACGGGTGTCCGAATTTCAGGATGCTCCTCCAGCGGCGAGACCAGCCGCAGTTTGCCCTTCTTCGAAACTCGAGCTCGAGAAGGCGAAGCTCCAACAATGTCCCGAGAACCACCTCGGGGCGCACTCAGTGAGGCTTAGGCAGACCAAGAGTGTAACCGCTTTAGCAACCGTCGACAATGAAAATGCTAATCTCGATTACCTAAACTTGACTGACGCCAACCCGATTGCTGATTCGGCGAACTGTGACTGGCAACTAGGCCTTGACGCAGTGAACACACCTGTCTCTCCGCACGGCCATGGCTTCATTGACTCCTCGCCCCCAGAAGCTCCGTTGGGCACCGCGTTCAAAGAATTATCAGGCTCATTGGAGCCCATGATCGCCGATGACGAGAGGACACTGGTAGACGGTTATGGCAGCGCAGAGGATATAGAAGGTCTTATTGATGAGCTTTCCGACCGAGTTGGCACTCTGCAAGTCGGGCCTGGGGGGATGACACAGTTTTATGGGCCGACTTCAACGTTCAACCTCGCCGATATGCTGAGCGCGACCTATTCAAAGACACACTCCACGGCTCAGAGCGATGCTTTGGAATGCCTAACCCGTCTCGGCGCTAAGAAGAAGGTCCCCGCCGCTCTCGAAAATCACTTAATACACCTCTATTTCTGCTGGCAGGACCCATCCTTTCATGTGGTAGATCGGGTGATTTACGACGAGGCAATGGCTAAGTGGTACTCTATGGAAGACACCTCTTTTTATTCCGAATCGTTGAGAAATGCCATGTGAGTGAGGAGGCGAACTTGAAAGTGAAGCCGCCCAACGCTCTAATTACTCGATTAGGTGTGCGCTAGGTGCTTGTTTCGAGGCCCGTTATCATCCAGATTTTGTCACATTTCCAAAATCTCTTGTTGAATTCTTCGGCGAACGCGCAAAGGCCCTGCTTGAGATGGAGCTCGACAGTCCCACAATAGCAACTGTTCAAGCCTTGGTGATTCTGAGCAACCTTGAGAGTGGGGGTGGAAGAGATGCGCGTGGGTGGCTATACAGTGGTACGTACCTTATTAGATTCCTGGATTATAGGCTCGACTTACCACTTTAGGAATGGCAATCCGCCTTGCCTTCAACCTTGCGTTGCACCTTGATATGTCATCTTACATTTCAAGCGGACTTATAACCGCGGCTGATGCGGACTTACGCCGAACTGTCTTCTGGGCAGCCTATACTGTTGATCAGTTAGCATTCGCTACTCCGTATTCTGGTGCGCACGCTAACACCTTATAGTGAGCTAGGATTTCATCTTGGAAGACCTTTCTGTACAAACATGGAAGACGTGACGGTAAAGCCCCACAGTGGCACCAGACGGCATCAACACGGCGAATGGGTACCATACGTGTCGCTCAGCGCTATACATATTGGCTCTGGCATGCCTGACTGCATAGACAGTGTGCGCGAGAGTCAAATCACTCTCTGCGAGATTATGGCACCGTGCGGCTATCTCCTGCAAGTTTCTAGCCTTTTCGAAATGGCTCTGTACGTCGCTGACTATCTATCAGATATGGAACCTCGAGTATTTCCAAAGTGGTGCTCCAAGAACAGAATGAAAAGACCGTTGCAAAGCTTCTCAACTGGAAAGAATGCCTTCCTCCGGTCTTGCGAATCGATATAGGGGACCAAAACACCCCGTACACTCCGCAAGTGATGCTATTGCAGTAAGTTTGGCATAAATAACCGCCAGGTGACTTTTCGTGTGATTAACTCTCAAAAGCATGCAATATTACCAAAGTATGATCTATGCTCACCGACCCTGGATGTCAAAAAGCCATCTACAACCTCAACCCCCAAAGGGTCCGGGTCATGGACATGCTCGGGAGATGTGTATTCAGTCGGCTATCTGCATCGCACGGATTTTGGAAATGTACGAATGCAGATACACTCTTCGACGGATTCATACAAAAGCAGTTGCCATTACATCTTCTGCGGTCCTCCTGCTGCTCTTCGCTGCCGTGGCACAGTACTCTAATGGACGGGATAATATACTGGGCCACCTCAGCACGTGTTTTCGAGCTCTGGATGAGTTCACTATAAGCTGGCCGAGTGCTAGCCGTGCAAAAGACCTCTTGCTGCGGCTTCAACGGCGATGGGAGGTACGCACACGTCCAAGCAAGAGGCAGCCCAATCTAGACGATGCTGCCTTTCCACTGACAAAGCCATCACCATCCTCGATTGAGTCTTACGGCCCTTCCTCGAGAAGTCACGACACGCCGTCTGGCCACCAAATCGAGCCGCACGGCGACATCAGTATAGATGCTGATATTGACTGGATGCTTATGCCTGATGAGCAATGTCGATCGGGTAATCACGCTGCGGACCTGTATTCCTTGCTCTCAAACCCGGCAATGCATCTGGAAGGATGAAGCTTATGCCGGCAAACCCGGTAACCGGATTCGGATATCTATTCATTCGGCGGCTCACATTCATTGTTTCGTTTAAACTCGGATTGGTCATTTGTGGATGACCACTTTCTTCGAACCTCTAAAAACCCGAGCGTTACCATCCAAGGCCAAATCGTGGCTACATACGACATCGGCTGCATCATAGGCGCTCTAGTATCCATGATCTGGGGAGACAAACTAGGACGGAGACCGTGCATCCTGACCGGATGTTGCATTCTGATCGTCGGTGCTATCCTCCAAACGGACGCATACTCACTAGCACCCATCATACAGTCGGAAACCGCAAGGGCACACGAGGGTGGGAAGCTCATCGTTCTTCAGTTGGTGCGAAACATTCTCGGAATAGTGACCAGCAATGTAAGCTCTGAGTGACTTAAACTTTGTATCAAATGACGACGCATACTGACTTGATAGTGGATGAATTTTGGCTTCACCTATGTTTCCAACTCCTCCATAAGCTGGCGCTTCCCGCTAGCGTCCCAATGCTTCTTTGCCCTCATTACCCTCTCACTCGTCTTGCTTGAGAAATATTTACCCGAACTGCTTAGGAAGCAGGACTGGGTGGAAGCGCTCCCGTAAACCAACTACTCGGCTCGCCTCCTAGCTCGAACTCGAGTGTCCCTCCGCTGGCGAAGATGTCATTCCACTCCAGCCAGTTCTTCCTCCAGTCCTGGCCATTTACTCGCAAGCGCTGCACGTAAATGTTTGAATCACCATTTCCATCACCGCCAGTTGAGGTTACTCGTAGCGTCCTGCCTCCGCCCAGATCAATGCTCAAAGACTCAAACCATGGGGAATGGATGAGGAAGGTCGTTTGTCCTGTGATAGGATACAGTCCGATCATATTCCAGAGAAGCCATGTCTGCATAGCACCCGCATCGCTGTTCCCAGGCAGGCCGGTAACGCCAGTGTGGTAGTGGCTTTTGGCTACATTCCGGGATTGAGCGACCGAGAGATCTTGCCGGTTAAGGTAGTTGTACAGGTATGGAATATTGAACATTCTAGTTTTGGAGTTAGCTGGGCTTTTCGCAAAGGACGAGACATCACTCACGGTTCATTCGTCGGATCAAAAATATTCTCAGAGAATATCGTTTCCAAGCGCTCAAGCATGGTCTGCTCACCACCGGCCAAGTCGATGATATGCTCCATGTCGTGGACACTTGTCAGAGAATAGGCCCACGAGTTCGCTTGGTAGTAGGGATCAGCCCAATATCCACTATTATGCAACGGGTCTGTCGCAATAAAACCATTCGTGTCACGAGGAACAACAAACCCAGAGAACCCTAGGGAAGACTGATTTGCGTTCCAATGATTCCGCCAGTTTCGGGATCGGTTCAAGTACTTTTGAGCATCGTCCTTAATCCCAAGGCCGGATGCAACCTGGTATAGGCCAAAATCATTGCAGGCGTACTCGACAGCGCGACTGACGGCGCGAGAAAATCTCGGAGTAATGTACCCTAAGTTGAGCCAGTCTGGCAATGCGCCGCGACCTTCTTTGGTAGAAGAGTCAGGAGCCATGGGATCGACGGGCGAGTTAGGGGGAGTAACTTCAGCGTCCTTCACCATTGCACGATACCCATCGTCCCAGTTGACAGCACCGCGGACGCCCTTGACATACGCATCAGCGAGGACATTATCGGCATTTGACCCGCCTTGGGATCGGCCGTTATAGTTTGAGGATCGTCCGTCCGGGAGGTAGCCATCGAATCGCCAGATGTCAATCAGCGAGCGGATCTGCTCCTCGTATGCAATCGGCTGCAGGATTTGCATGAGAGCTGTTGAGCAACGGAATGTGTCCTGCGCATACTGTCAGTACCTTAACTACAAGTTGATAAAAACTGATGCGCACCCAGAATGTGAAGATATCCTGGTAGTATGGCTCATCCGACTCCCAGTTAGGGTTCTCGCCGGTCTGATTCGTCGGAATCAGATGCATGAAGTAGAGGGATGAATATAGGAGAGTCAAGCTGGTCTCGTTGGTGCTTGTCGTTGTGATCTTGGAAAAGACCGTGTCTTCCCAGTCCGAAGCTGCGTCGCTGACAACTGATTCGAACTCTGTTTCGGCTGGAATCTCATTTTGCACATGCTGACAGGCTCGATCCGAGGAAATCCACGAGATGCCCACTCGGGAGGTTACGGTTCGATCGTCGAAGGAGTATAACCCGCCAACTCTCGTCGAACCAGTTGAAGCAGAGGCTGACCCGCTGTCCTGCTCAACGCTACCGTCCTGATCGGTCCCAGTAAATGTCCGGTTGCTGACAATGTCGTTGTCAAAATAGCCGCCTACCTAACATCAGCTCAGCGAGTACGGGCAAGTACCGGATTGGATACGGACAGAAGTATATCGCCCAGTTTGGCGACCTATTCCACCCATTGTCATAAATTCCTCGTCCTTCGTAATGTCCGTCAGGCAAGATGGTGAAGTTGCCACCCTTGTATCCCTGGCTCAGACCCTGGCCTCGAAACGAGGGCAGAACGTGTGAAACATCAATAAGGACATTGTTCTCGGTCGAATTCTCTGGGAATGTATAACGAAAAACGCCAGCATGTGAAGATGCGCTTAACTCCACGACGACACCCTCTCCCGTCTGCGCTCGATAATACCCTACAGACGCCTGGTCCGTCCCATCACGGGGTATTGTTATGTTCGAAAGAGGGTTCGTGATGTTCCCCACGAGAGGTAGCTGCGAGACAGTGCCATATTTTGGTGCCCCGCCCGTTCCTTGCTCGTGCATCAAACTGAAGCCGGAAAATTCACCCGTGGGCAGATAGCCCGAGTATGCATCAGTGTTGCCGCTGAGCAGATCAGGTCCCAGCTTCACCATTCCGAACGGTCTGGCGACACCAGGAAAGTTGTTACCGCCATTTTCGGTTCCTAGACTGAGGTATAGTTTAGCATGCGCTCGCCATAGCTGATCGCGAAGGACACTCACAAAAGGTTCACATGTGATCCCAATTCCGCAGCCTGAACAACAGCGTGGAAGTGGGTGAGAAGGAGCGGAATGCTCCAAGAATTGAGTCTCATAATGAGAGACCTCGCACTATTGAGCCCCCTGCTTAGAGTCTGCTTTCGCCGCGTACAGTGGGCAGTGTCCTACAAAAGAGAACTATAATCGAAACAGCAATTTGCTCAACGAGGGGTCTCAGCAACCCCGCGCGAACAGGATTTTACTGTACTTATACTCAAAGGAATGTACTCCGAATTGAAGGAGAGATAACGAATAAATCAACAAATGACGAGCTCAAACTCGAGTAACCAGTGCCATCCTCGCGTCAGACCCCCGTGGACATGCTATAACAGTGTTAGTCTGCTCGAGGCATGGGATACCAGCGCATGCTGGGCTCACGGGGAAACAGATGAGACGGTCATTGGACTGGGCATTAATATGGAGATTGGAGTAGATACACCGCGGGGCATGCCATGCCATGGGAAGAGCGAGACATTTAAGTAAGAAAGTGGGTAGAGGAAGATCGCCGGTGGTCAATCTCCCATTTTTCTTTCTTTTTCGTCTTCCATTCCTTCGAATCATTCCGCCCACTTATACCGGGACGAATCAGAGAATCAGGGCCAAGAGTTAATGCAGTAAGGGGGATCCTGTCGAGGGGCCGAAGCCATTGAAATCCAAGTGATGGTAAACAAGAAAAACCCCGGATACATACCCGCGCCCATAGCGCTATTTGTGGCATCAAACATGGCATTCCAGATTCAACGCAAAAACAACCAAACAGACACAATAATCACACCTCACAAATTCGCTGAACCGGAACTCCCTTCTTGCTCTTATTTTCGCTTCCGACCCTGGACTTTGACACTGGGTCCCTGACCCATCGCTGCACCTGAACCTGCAACCCATGGATTGGCATGTCACACCCGCTCCTGGTACAACCAATGAGATCTTGGTGATGCGCACATGGTCCTTTTGCAGGAGAAATTGGGGGAACACTGATTAGACTACGGGTTTGTGCGACCGGTCTAGTACGCAAGGAGTATGAGGTGTGTTGATCGTGATGCTTATCAATGACCTTTTGCATCAAGTGGTGTGTTTGTCGCTTGAAATTTGTGAGGGGATGACTGCGCGGGAGTTGGGGTTGAGTTGGTGGTGAGGGTGTTAGATTTACAGGAAGCTTGGTGGGATAATTGCCTTACGCAAGCTGTCGAATACGGAGGCCTATCGGGACACACCTGCAAAAACGAAATTTTGGTGTTCGCGGAATTTCATGCTATAGATTCTGCCATGGAAGCTACTAGTGCCACGCCCATTCTATGAGTGACTATATGAGTGACTATATGAGTGACTATATGAGTGACTATATGAGTGACTATATGAGTGACTATATGAGTGACTATATGAGTGACTATATGAGTGACTATATGAGTGACTATATGAGTGACTATGCAAGTAATTAATAATACTACTACTAGCAGGGTCTCTTATATATTTAATATAGTCACTTATGTAGTTACTTATAAAGTTACTCATGGAGTTACTGGCGCAGTTACTTATATATTCACTATATATATATATTACTTATATAGTTACTGGCACAGTCACTTATATAGTCGCTTATATAGTCACTCATACAGTCGCTTATATAGTTGCTCATATAGTTGCTCATATAGTTGCTCATATAGTTGCTCATACAGTCGCTTATACAGTCACTCATACAGTCACTCATACAGTCACTCATACAGTCACTCATACAGTCACTCATACAGTCACTCATACAGTCACTCATACAGTCACTCATATACTCGCTCATATAGTTGCTCGTACAGTCGCTCATATAGTCGTTATGCAGTCACTTATGTAGTCACTCATGCAGTGACTATTAGGTACATGGAAATAGAAGGTATAGGGTGTAGTACTAATAGATTATTCTTACTAATGTAGTTCAAGCAGGCGGTTGGTAAAGCGGTAAACATAAAAAAAAGTTTTTGCAGGTGTGTCCCGATAGGCCTCCGTAGTCGAAATAGTATAATGGACGACAGGTAGGACTCCACTTGGAGGTTGCTACTGACTCGGTAAGCCATCATGACTATTATTAGGGTATCTCAACAAGCTTGCCCTCATAAGCTTGTTAAGGCTGGCTCGGTTTTGCACGAGGTGTGCAATGAGTGATGCATATATCAGATTGTTAGCATGGCGAAGTAATTAAGTATAAATGAAGCATAATGGCAAGCCTGTAAAGTGAGATAAAGGAGACTCCATGCTATTTTGAGGATCCGACCACTCCACTAATGCATAAATGACCATCTTTTACCCGTTTATATAGCTTGGCAAGCAAGAAGTCCGGTTCCGTAACGCATCCTGGACATCCTTCAACTATGTCCTCGGCTCAACGACCCGATGCAATGTTTCCCTTGACAAAGTTCGCTGTTCAAATGCATATGCCATCGCAATCAAAGACTCCTCGCTCCACTTTGGTCCAAGAAAACTAAGCCCTAACGGGACCCCTGGTGCTGTGTTGACAAGGTCGCCGCGCTCGTTGTATTTGACGGATATCTCGGCTGGAAATGCTTCGAATGGGACTGTGATGACCGGAGAGCCGAGGATCCCTGGTATGTCGCCGGCCAGTTGAGTAGGTAGGATAACAGCGTCGAGGTTGTCGCGCGACAGTGCCCCGAGGAGACCACCTTCTTCGCCGAGGTAGAGAGCTTGTCGGTACATTGTCCAAAAACCCGGGGATGTATTGTTCATGCCAGCGAGGAGTGCCATGTCCCAAAGGTCTGTGTCCCGTGCTGGATAGTCTTCTTCAGGGCTGTTCCGGGTGAAGGTACGGATATCTGAGAGGCTCTGGAGGTTGTTCGGGTTGCTGTTTAGGGCCGAGAGGTATTTTGGTAAGCCACTTAGCATATCGGCCGCTAGGGCCTGTGCTGGGGCTGAGCTGATTCGGTAAGCGTCGTAGGCTGTGAAGTTTGCATTCTCGATGATTATAGCACCAGCCTTCTCGATCTCTGTCACAGCTCTCTCGAATGAAGACACAATAGGGATGGCTGCCTTGTCCAAGATACTAGGCAATACCTCAATAACATTTCGAGGGACACCTATGCGCTTCCCCTCCAGGCCGCCCAAATTGCAGGCCGCGGCATAGTCAGGATAGTTGTTGGAGAATGGTGACGCCAAGGTATAGTTATCCTTCTCGTCCTGTCCTACGATCGCTTGTAGTACCATTGCTGCGTCACGTACTGTTCTCGCCATGGGTCCGATAGTATCCGCGCGCTCGCTAATGGGAATGGCCATATACCGGGAGGTGAGACCGACAGTCGGCTTGATGCCAACAATGTTGCTCTTTTCGCTAGGAAGAAGAATACTACCACTCGTCTTCAGTGGTGAGATCCATTAGCGCTGGACGCGCAGTGCTGGAAATTCGAAATACTCACTTCGGTACCGAGCGATGCAAATGTAAGGCTTAGATCAGTAGCCACGGCGCTGCCACTTGAGCTTCCTAAAGGATCCTGTTGCTCATGGTACGCAGCGTACGTCTGACCTCCTCTTGCATTCCAACCGTTTGACGGACGCCTTGACCGAGTGTTTGCCCATTCCGACATACCCGTCTTGCCGAGGATAATTGCACCGCTGTCTCTGAGTTTCTTGACCACCGTGGCATCGGCACGAACCTTTGATCCGACAAGCGCGTAAGAGCCAGCTGCGATTTCCGGATCAGAATGCTCTATGTTGTCGGGTAGCTGTTAACCTACCTGCTGTCTCCATCCGATCATCTGTGCCTATAAGGTCCTTGACGAGAATAGGCAGGCCATGTAGCGGGCTGTTTATCAGTGGGTTAGTCATATCCAGAGACCAAGTCTACCTTGTATGCATACCCTCTTGTTCTCCCTTGCCGTCTTTCGATGTCGAGTTGCTCTGCGATTCTCAACGAATCCGGATTGACTTCTAGCACTGAGTTGACTCTCAAATTGACTTCGCTGATGCGTCTTATATAAGCCTGTGTCGCAGATTAGCACCAAGAGGTTAATCACAGAGGTAGGGGTTTGACCATAACAAGCTCCACACTACTAAAGCATCCCATCTGAAGTCCATTTTGGAGGTCACTTTGCGTGGCAGCTAGGAGGGGCGGAAGGGTACATCCCGGCAGAGCAGGCCTCGATTCAACGCAAACACTGGAAAGAAGAAATAATAGTAAGCAGATGCCATTGAGCAGAGACATGGTGAGCAGGAGTTCCAGAGCTCGAATAGAAGAGCGCGTTCTTGCCGTTACACATTGTGGGGTGAAGGTGCAGGTATTTATGAGAATCCAGACGAGATTGACGGACAGCTGCAGGAGATGAGAGACATGTCTGTGTCACGGGACAATTTGAGATTCTGGGTCGTCGTTTGAAAAGGAGGCTCAGTCGTGTTTGCGATGAGGGTGAGAATGATGCTGAGACGGTATCTTGCTTGAGCGGTCAGTCCGTTTGCTCCTGCATCGCGAGCGGTTCTTGCCCAGGAGTCTGGCAGTTTTCCAGTTCGCCCCGGATAATGTCTAACCTGAGAAATGCTCGTCTTGAGCATTCCGGATTATTAAACGAAGGATGAAATAACCCGAGAGGACGGGAGGTACTTCGTATAGTGGCGAGACAGTGTCACATCGAAGGTGCTATATATAGCTAATCTGGGCGGTTGGGATTAGAATCCAGCTCAAACGAAGTCAGGAGTTCAAACAGAGGAGATAACTAGTAGACTTTCTAGGCCAACAGTTCCAAGGATCGCTGGAATTAGTTTATAGCTTATGAGCATCAAGATTCGACGCTGGCCTATCGCGTGTGGTCAGGTGGAATTATGCGGAGACTTGTGCAGTGCATAAGCCCCCACGGTACGAAATTATCCACAACCTGTGTTGATTTGACTCTCTTCCCTTTCACCCTCCCATCAAGGTTCGCTTCGCCCCATCAAGGTTCGCTTCGCCCCATCAGAAAATTGCGATTTTGCAGGAGACTTGAAAACCCTACGTCCTGCAGATTTATCATCCTGCTTGAAGAGGCCAAGCATGCTTTTCGATGGCCCAGCAGTCAGCGCTACTCGGGAAAGTGACCGGGGTCAGATCCAATAAGAAGCGCACCTCCGACCAAGTCCTCGCCTCTTCTTACTGCTTTTGATGGCTGCCCCTCCCATCGCCATCGCCAGTCATCACGATGGCAGCGGCAGAGCACCCCAAGCGATTGGGCAGAATGGCCTGTCCCTCGACAAAACAGCCTTGCCTGTCACATGATGGTAGCAGTTCTGGAGGCTGAACTCGAGTCCTTATCGCCATCTTGAGGAACTTGAACCTGATCGCATCTTCTTCCATCCCATCCACTGCGGTATAGCCATATCACTATCAGATGGTAAGTACCGGACCGCCTCCTTGAATCACCCCAGGTTCCCGGTCCACCGAGGCTAAAATCTCCAGGCGACTGCCCACCTCGAATTCCCCTTCCTTGAGGAGGTCTACACCCCACAGGGCCCTCCACTGATTGAGTAAGCCTCACGGTCCACTTTTGCTTCGCTTTTTGTCGCTAACCATGGTCGCTATTGCCAGCTTCGTCTTCGTCCACGGCCTGAACCCTCGTGCACGACATGACCATGCTTTCAACACCTGGACCCACGAAAATGGCACCTTCTGGCCGCGAGACTACCTCCCACAGGATATTCCCAACACTCGAGTCTTTGTCTATGGCTACAACTCGACAGTCACCGACGCCAGGACCATGTCCACTGCTAGCATCAAAGACCATGCGAATACTCTGCTGAACTTGCTAGATATGGAGCGTAACGAGCAGCTAGTACGTTGTCAGAGTATGCGGAATTCAGATCGTCTACTGACTCTCGCGTTAGGGTGTGAGGTCTCCGAAAATAATCTGGATTGGTCACAGTCTAGGAGGCTTGGTGATTAAGCAGGTAATACCCGTTCGTAACTCTCAGTCTCGTGGAAGCAAACTCATCGTCAATAGGCTTTACTTAATGCGCATGAAGACCGAAAGTACACTGCGATCCGCACCGATACCTGTGGTCTCGTCTTCTTCGGCACTCCGCACCGGGGAGCGAAAGGCGTCGAGCTAGGAAAGATCGCCGCCAATGTGGCAAGATTTGTCTCCAAAGGCCACGCCAAAAATGATCTCCTGGTATGCCTCGAGGAGAATGGCCTCTTCACCAGGCAGATGTCCAGCCGATTCTCTCACCAGCTTGAAGACTATCAAGTCGTCAGCTTCGTTGAGGGCAAAGAGGTATTCATCGGCGGCGCCGGGCCAACTTCAGTCAGTCATGTAAGACATACAAGGTCGACTAGATGAAATGCGCTGACTTGAATAGCTTGTCGTTGACGAAGAGTCCGCCATTCTGGGGCTACCCGGATCCCGCGAGACTCGTTTAAAGCTGGATGCGGACCACTCGCAGATGTGCAAAGTCGGCAGTCGAGGAGCGATGTACAAGCTGATCAAAGGCAATATCAAACAAATCGCTGATCAGGTCCTCCTTGCCGAGCGCGGATTCATTCCAAAACCATCGCCGTCTCCGAACCCCGGCCCTCCCTTACCACCGCGAATGCATACGAATAGCAGTCTGCCATACCCTGGGCCCCCGCGTACACCAGACCCGAACGAAGCCCGTGTCATTGGAGTGCTCTTCAAACCCGCTGACAACGATCCGAGGTCAATTCAGGTGGCAAAACTCATGAACGAATGGAAATGGGATGATGCAAGGAGAGTGCAATATGCCCTTTTCCAGGAGCACTACCGATCATTGGGCCAAGACCACTATAGCAGTTTGCTTGCTGGGTACTATCTCGCGAGTATTGAGCTTGCATCCGGATGCCTCATAAAAGCGAGAGAATGGTGCGAGTGGGTCTGTAACAACTCTCAGCGAGTCCTCGGCAAGCGACACGAGCTCGCAATGAAGTCAGAGAGCATGATGGGCGAAGTCATCATCCGTCAGGGAAACCCGCAAGAAGGCGAGTCGATCTGTGCCAATGTGCTTGCTCGCCAACAGATGACGATAGGCGACGATCATCTAGACACCCTGGAAACGCGTCGGCGAGTGGCGGCCGCTTATGGCCACATGAACCGACGCGCCGACGCCATTCAAGCAGTTACAAAGTACAGCGAAAGCGTTGGACACCTCCTCGGGCAGAATCACATACTCTACCTCGCAAGCGTCCTCGACCTGGCGGAGCAGGTGCTCTCCCACCGACTAAACAACACTGAGGACATCTTTGTCAGACAAAGCACCGGCAGCGACCCCCAGGCAGAAGCCATCGACGCCGTCGTCAAAGAACTCACGACCCGACTTGGCCCGCACCACCCCCTCACCATCCGTGGTCTCTGGATGAGCGGCGCAATGAGCGCCCTCGATCCAGACGCCGGTCCCTCCGCAAGAGAAACTCTCCGCCGCGCCCTCACCACGTCAGAAGAATACCTTGGCCCCGAGCATGCAGAAACAATGAACATCGTCAGCGTCATGGGCGTGATGTTCGCAATCCGCGGCTCAATGACTCAGTACGGCTACAACCCTTTCATCCAGGACACAGAGGCCAATCTCGAACAAGCGCTCCCATGGTTAGAACGGTCTCTTCGCTGGACAGAATCCCGCCAGGGCCTCGGAGCCCCAGACGTCCAAAGCATTCTCGGCCTCATTGCCAAGATGTACTTTCAGTCTCGGAGATACCCACAGGCACAACCTTACTACGAGCGCCTCATCGCATCCTATAAAGCGGCCGGTACTCCGGTCCCCGAGGATATTCAAAGCACTTATCAACTCGTTCGGATGAATACGAGGTTTTCGTCGTCCAACACTATAACACAGGCGGCGTTTGGCGGAGGAAATGGGTTTGGATCGGGCGGCAGCAGTGGCTCAAACCTGATGGAGATCATCAGGTCATTCAAACGGTTGTAGACAATGTCACATTTTTCAGCTTTTGTACCTGGTATACAGAGCTTGGTTGATTTTTCCCCTTGATTATATACTTGCTGCATGGGTTTGTTTTGTTTTGATCCGCATCCAACGGGGCGGACATTGCGATGGGCGTTGTATATGGAAGCGAGATGACTTTTATTTAATGGATGATGAGTATTGAATGTCTGTTCAGTTTTAAACTGTAGCTGCGCGGTGTACGAGTCTAGCATCGCGAGCGGGTGACTACCCCAGAATATCTACACCAACAACAGACACTTTCCAACCCCCTTCAAATAATTTGTAATACTCGCAACCCCACCCACTCTCTTCCTCTCCATCCACCCATTCCCAAAATACGCTAAGCGATTCTTTCCCTGCCCCCTTCACATCTTAAACACAAAATCCTCCCAGCGGGGATCCCGACTAATCCCCATCCGATGATGCGCCGTCCCGGACCAAGCTTCATCCAGCCATTCCACGATTCGCTGAGCACCTTATCGTCGAAGAAGCGCCAGGCAATGGCGTTGAAATCAGTCGTTGCTTCGTGTGAGGGGTGGATGGAGGCATATCCCTGGCTCTGTACCTTTCGGATGACCTTGCCGATGTAGAGTCGCGGAGATTTCGCACTGCAGCGGGACGGCCCCGCCAGCGGAGTATGATTGCGCTTGGAGGACAGCAAGCAAATGCGGCATGTCCGGCGCCATGACTCCAAAGTGTGTCTTCGGAAACCCGATGGGACCGTCCGGTGCCCATTTTCGGGAGCGATCCGTACCGTTTTTGCCGATTATTGGAAAAATAGCGAGAAGAATCCGTTTTGGAAGCCCGTGGCCGCGATTATGGCGTCGACCAGACAGTGGATGTTATCTGCGGTAAGGATTCCTGTTGCGGTGATGCGCGTGATGGGCGTGTTGATGTTCATTACATCTGGGATGATGAGGGCTGCGGGTTCCCTGGCGACGGGGGTTATTTGCTTGCAGCCGGGTGGGTAGTTGAGTAGAATCTTCTCAAGGAATTCGTTGTCGCCGTTGACTCGGGTGAGCATTGTATCGAGGTATCGAGGCGTTTTGCGTAGACGGTGTCGTTATCTTTACTCCCTGTGATGTAGTAGAACTTTAGGCCGCCGTGGAGGTCCTTTTTGAGGTTCTGTCGGAATTCGAGGTAGGCCTTGTGGTCGTTCTCGAACGTGTCTTTCTCTGCATTTGTAAAGTTGCGTCCACTGGGGGAGTCCAGTGTTGCACCCACAAAGCTGTCTGGAGCTGTCTGCGAACTTAGGTGTAGTCCACTGTTTCGAGCGACTTTCCACCCTCTCCAACTTCTTCCTCATCCACGAGTCATTGAAAGTTGCCGCCACGTGAATACTAAGCTCCATATGCCAGAAGCTTTGTGATGGGAACATTCTTGTCGACACGAGGCGAGAGGTGTAGATAAAGGGCAACCGAAGTAGTTTGGAGGAGATTGTATTTAGTCCAAGTTCGCCACACAACGTACTTTTCCCAATGGGACTTCTGAACAACCTCCGCTTTGACGGCCCCCGCTGCTGTGGAGGTTCGTGCCCATGCAGATGCCGTCGACGACAATCGTGTGTCGCGTTTCTCGGTGCTTTCACGCCAGTCGACCAGAAGAAGATAATCCAAAAGATCGATCGTCGTATCCTGATTACGGCCGGAGCTATATACTTGGTGAAGCAGGTTAGCAAGATTCTGCACGGCACCCAGGACATCTTTGATAACTCACGCTTGGCTTAGACTGGTGTCAACAGAGTAGCAAGTGTAGAAGTCCTTGCTGTCAACCAACCCACGAACATTTTGTTACAGCTGAACTTGACATCTTCTGAATGTCTCCGACTCTCATTTCAAGAATCTCGATGACGAGCCCTAGGGGCAGGTGGCGTGTCATCGTGCGAGAGTAGGTCTGCGAGCGGAGTGGAGGTAGATATTCCATGCGATTTAATGATGCAATTCGCAAGAGAGACGAGACGCAAGAAATAGGCCGCGTAGGTGATAGCCAGGATGATTGTACTGCTCGTAGAGACTTTGAGATTAAAGCTGTTAGACATGTTGGATCCTAAGTTCTAGTTGCTAATTACTAGTACTGCCCTATTTCCGCTCTATACTAATAGGCCAAGTTAGGGATATGACCTGCAAGATCCATGCCATCTCCAGGTAAACCTGAATATTCCCCCTAAAGTTGAAAGTTTTCAAGGAAGAGGTACGAAGAAGCGATGATTGAGAATTGCCCATATAGATTAATTAGCTTGATTAGCAGCAAATCATAACCAGGGTATTTGGTAGGTATAGTTCTTGGGTCCTGCTCCGTTTTCATACTTGTCTCGTTGCCATTACCTGTCTAAATCTGCCTAAGTATATGGGTCATGTTTAATATCAGGGCCCAGTGTGAGGAGGTGGGATTTGTTGGCACGACGGTTTCGTCATAAGACTGTTCTTCGTCCGAACTATCGTAGCTTTCAGGATCAGGCATATGAGCCTTTCTTCCTTGTGCAATTAGAGTATGCGAAGTTCTCGAAGTAAGAATAATACCATGAGTTGACAGCAGGGGTTATAAAGCGAGCGGCAGCCCACGCTACAAGGCAACAAGCCTGGCCATGCCCCTTTGACTGATCACCCATACCCAGGTATGGGCCGTGTCATGCGTTGGATTTGGGACTTGGAGGTCGCAGAACCTTATCTTTGGGAGGAATGGGGGTGTCGGGGAACCAAAGTACGTTCGTCAGGCGCAGGAGGCGACCACTGATGTGGCGCGCTTCGACAGGCGGGCAGAAGGAGAGAGGAGGCCACGCGCTGAGCACTGCCTGGTAGTTAGGGCACTTATAGACGTAGATCCATGAAGTCAGACAGTTATGAATGTCCTGCTGCCCTGTAACGTGTTCCCCTGGATATACTATGCTGGGAGCCCGGATGTTTGTCAGTACTTGCCCGAGATGGTCCTCAGCAGATAGCCCCGGACACCTGGTGTTGCGGTGACATCCAGTCAATGTTTGAGTAGACGGCTGCTTTCCACATCCTGTCTTGAGTTTGCCTGACCGGTCCGTGGTCAGGTCAGGCTGTCAAATGAGGATGTACAAAGTGGGGGACAATGCTGGCAATGTCAGATGCACAGTTTGACGGAATCTCGATCGACCCTATTTGATAATGTGCAAAGAGTTCTGACGTGATACGAGACCCGGGTGTAGACCAAGCCTAGCCCCGGCATGATCGCGTTCATCGTCGCTGCTTGGTTGCTCAAGCGTGCCTTTCTCCCACAACCCGTCTCAATCCTTATCATAGTTGCCTTGGAGATCATCACGTTCTCCATCATCCCCGCCTCGCGGGCTCGCGGCGCTATATACACAGCTTCGTTTGGGGATCCATGTTCTCCGCGTGTTTCGATTCCATTTTGCGCATGGCGAACCTCGTCTGTCCGGGGAATGGCTGGGACTGCCTTTGCTCAGGGTTTGCAATCCAGTGTAGGGCAGCTCGGTGGCGTTATCGAACCACAGATATTCAGGTCGAAACTCGCAGCGCATGATGACCGAACGTCGTACGCGATTTGCGTTGGGGCGCTCGGCGGCTGTTTTCTCTTCAGCTGTCTTTCATGGTATCAGACTCGAAATATGGAGTGGGATATTCATCGAATTCGTCATCAGAGGATCGAGGCTGAAAAGGAAAGCCGATTGTTCACCCAGGATGAGGTGAAATGCTTCGACGAGCGGAAACGGTTTACCAAGGGGTTGGAAAAGAGCGAGGTTGTGGACGCATTGAAGGCGTCAACAAGACGTAGACGACTAGAGTAGAATATTGTGGTATGAGATTTTGAGCGCAAAGAATCTGGATTGATAATAGACTTGACACTGGTGAAGTGTTGCAAGTAACTCGGAAGTTGACAGTTGTGGACAGGAGCTCTGGGCTTGCCTGCGGCGGTTGGCTGATAAGCTGATATCCTGAAAAGGCTTAGCGTTGATTGCGATAAGAGTGCGGGACTGGACGTTGGCGCAGGTGCCCATCCCTCCCCTCCATGTTGTGTATGAAAGACGTCTTCCATACGAACATCTCCCTTTTTAGCTTTGCATGGAGGATCTGGACGACAAGTGCGCTTCTTTGCGCTCAGAAATTGCCGCAACAGAAGCGCAACTAGCGAAGCTCAAGCGTGAACTCCAAGAAGCTGAAGAATCAGCAAGAGTGAGCCGAGCCACGAACAATGCCCAACCTGCAACGAGTGGCTCCCGACGGGGGAGAAAGTGGCCGTTACTTGAAGAGGAATACAGAAGATATGGCAGACAAATGATTGTTCCCCAGGTCGGGTTGCAAGGTGAGCCGCCCACTTCCAGTTTGTCGAATTCAAGGACTTAACTAACAGTTGCTTTTCACATACAGGACAACTCAAACTCCGAGAAGCGAAGGTGCTGTTAGTCGGCGCAGGAGGGCTGGGATGCCCGGCCGCACTATATCTCGCTGGTGCTGGTGTTGGTACACTGGGGCTCGTTGACGGGGACACGGTCGAGTCTTCGAATCTTCACCGTCAAGTGCTGCACAGAAGCAAGAATGTTGACAAGTTTAAGGTCGACAGTGCAATTGAGTATTTGCAAGAGTAGGTATCCATTTATTGTACTCTACTACTTACGACAATGCTGACGCTTTCGTCTTGTTAGGCTGAATCCGCATCCAACGTACATTGCGCACCGAGCCAACCTCGCGCCCCAAGAAGCGGCTGATATCTTCAAGGATTACGACCTGATTCTCGACTGTACGGACAATCCTGCAACCCGCTACCTGATATCGGATATAGCTGTGCTCTTGGGGAAACCGTTGGTGTCAGCGTCCGCGTTGCGAACTGAGGGTCAGCTCATGGTATTGAACAATCCTCCTCGGCCACCAGGGGATAAGACGGGAGGACCATGCTATCGCTGTGTTTTCCCCCGGCCACCACCGGCGAATAGTGTTACAAGTTGTGCAGATGGTGGGATACTTGGACCAGTGGTCGGAACCATGGGCGTTCTGCAAGCATTGGAAGCAATCAAGTTGCTTACGCGTGAAACAAATGAGCCTACACCACCGTCACTGCTCATCTTCTCGGCATATTCTTCACCACAGTTTAGGACGATTAAGTTACGGTCCCGGCGTCCTAACTGTGCAGTGTGTTCCGCCGAAGCGAGCGTGAATTTGGAGAGCGTCAAGACGGGTTCAATGGACTATATCTTCTTCTGTGGAACCGCGGGCCTGGAAGACGCGCTCTCTCCGGAAGAGAGAATTACACCATTGGAGTATCGTGAGAACCACAGCAGTGCGGACAGGCATATCATCGATGTACGGGAAAAAGTCCAGTTCGACATTTGCAGCTTGGACAACAGTATCAACATTCCGTTCTCTCAAATTCTCGCTTCGACTGCCAGTGCAGCTCCGAAGGAGGACGGTCCGGAACCGCTTCCTGCATGGTTGCCTGCTGAGGTTGCCGCAGATTCGAACAATCCAATCTACGTCGTATGTCGACAAGGCAACGATTCGCAGACTGCGGTTAGAAGGTTGAAGGACCTAGGATTGGATCGCGGAGGCGAACGGCTGATTGTCGATATCAAGGGAGGATTTCGCTCCTGGCGAGAACAGGTCGATCCTGAGTGGCCTGATTACTAGAATACTTTCGTAGACTCAAGTAAAAAGAGTAAGATATGACTATATAAACGAAGTGGGTATATGGAAACTGCACACAAGGGAATCGGGAAAAAGCAAACTGTGTCATGAATCATCCTATGATGCTGGCGTCTCCTCCAACCACGACCAGTCTATCAAGACTCGCCCTTCCGCCAAGTCCCCCAACTCCTTGAAGACAGTGGAAGACACATCCAGGTCGTTGGTGTTACACCCAGGGCCTGCGCGGAAGAATTAGGTTAGCGCCATTCATGGCAACTAAAAAGTATCGCAAAAGGGGGGCCAACTTACATCGATCAACAACCGCAACATCAACGGTTCTATCCCCTCGGCGTATCCTTAATTTCTTTCCGCAAATTGGATTTGTATTCGGATTGGCCGAGATCATGGTGGCATCAAAGAGGACGTGCGATATCGCACAGATCTTCTCAGACGCTGTGCTTGTAATCCCGCACGATCCAAGCCCAGGGTCGTAGTATGTAAGGTCGCCAGTATACGGCCCGCCGTTGGATGTAGGGAGAGGAAGATTTGAGGAGCTGTCGTCGTCGTTCGAACTATTGTTAGCATTGCTATCATTGCCATGGAGTTCTTCTGATGATCTACACAGAGAAAAACGGGCGATTAATGGAGGAAAAGGCAACAGATAGCGACGCAAGGGGTGGGCAAGTGCAATGCAACGCAATTGCGAATTGCGATGGAGATGTGCGACCCCGGATTCCGGACTGATGGATTTTCAGGGACCAACTTACCCCTTTCCATGACGTTGCGTCAACCCCACAGCGAGGCCGATGATGAGGGCGAGCAGAACGAGTATCGCCGCGAGTGCGCCGAGGATAATGCGTTTCTTCTTAGTCGAGTAAATGCTCCATTTTGTCTGTAGGGCGTTCCATTGCGATTGTCCCGGCCATTGTCGGGGTTGATGGAGTCCTGCTGCTGCTGCTGCTGCTGTTGGTTGGGCAGCAGGCGCGAAGATGATGCCGGGTTCGGCGGTCGATTTTTCGAGGTCGCTGGAGGAGTCTGTTAAAGGCACTGGCGCGACAACGACGGTGGGAAGCGGTTTTCGTTTGGGCACTCCAGATGATGGAGCGGTTGGTACTGGGGTAGTCATTTTGGTTGTGCTGATGGTGGGCTCATAATCTTTGGTGGTTGTGAGGCATGACTGTTTGCGAGAAGGAAGAATTGGGCAGCGGGTGGTTATCAGAAAGAGTGGCGCTTGATGGCAAACTGTGCTGCAGGGGAAAGACCGAAAATGAAGGTTAAGTTACCCCGTGGCGGTCCCTGACTAGTCCTATTTTCTCCTAATTAGTAGCAATTGAGGTTATTGGTCTGTCAACAGAGTCTGTCATAATTCGCGGGGTACTCCGTCCTCCTGTTCTAGACCTGCTCCTGGCTAGTACAACAAAGGACAAGGGTTCGAGTCATTTGTGATCTTTCACTAGGGACTTGTATACACATTGTCTGGCAATGGTCTCAGTGAAATGCTATATTTTCCCAGCCGACTGGTTACCAGTTACCGAAGACCCGAAGTCGAACTTTAATCGTGGACAAGCCGCCACACCATCGCTCCTTCCCTTTCCGACCTCCAACCATGACGACTGTCACCGAGCTTCGAGATTTGAACAAGTCCTTGATTCAGAATATTCGCATACGAATTCCGTCCACTTTCTCCACGAATGCTCTGATCAACCGAGGCAAAGGATCTGATCGTGGAGAACTTGGCTCTTCTTGGCGCAGTTCACTTGCAGGTAATTTTTTGGCCCACATCGCTCAAAGCTTCACTCCGCAATCGCCTCTGCTTTCGTCATCCCTGTTCGATTCCTTCTGCCTGTGACATCTGTCACGTCAGTCAAATCAGGACCCAATCCCCAGCGCGATCCGTATATTCCATTGCAAGGTGCACGTTGCCCTCGATTGTTCCAACGGCGCTGAGATCACGTGCTATACACTATCGATGAGGGTTTGGTTTGCGATCATCCAGCACATATGACTTAGGCACTGAGAAATTGGAGGAAAAGCGGAGGATTTCTGGTTACAGTCTCGCCATGTCCGACCAATCTACTGCGCGGGAATCCGCATTCGAGGATGAAATGGAGGGCCAGGATTCCAATCGACGAACTATCATCGACAGAGTCAAATCGGCCTGGAATAAGACTGGTTTGGATCGACAGTCGATTCTTTTGATGATAAAGTAAGTATCTCACCTCGGCTGCGCACGGATTAGATTAACCATGTCTATAGAGGCGCAATTGCCCCAACAATTGGTCTCGCCATGTAAGACCCTGGCTTTCAAATATCGACCCAGTGGTTTCTGACAATTTGAAGTTTCCAGGCAGATTCTATTGCGGTATATTTCACGACTTCTGGCTACCTGATAGCCATCATCTCGGTGCTAGGATTTTCGATTATGCCCCGGGCAAAGTTTGTGCAAATGATGGTGCTCGACATACTCGCAGTCTGTGTGGCGGCCGCCGTTGCTATGCTCATGATGTATGCTACGGTCAAGGCACGCGAACAATCGACTGATTCGGACCAGTCCCTGACAACTAGCTCTGGTTTCGCGCCATACAATTCGTCTGCTTCGGTGACTAGTGGAGTCTTTCTGTTCTTCCAAACCTACTTGGTTCATTCGTTTCGGGCCAAATATCAGCAGTTTCAGTTCCCTGTTATCATCTACTCCATTGTGGCGAACGTCACCTTCTCTTTTGCTCCGTTGCTACCTACCATGCCTGCGGCGACATCAATGGTCCGTCGAATCCTAGAAGCAGGGTTGTTGGGATTGGGGCTATCTACCGGAGTGTCGTTTTTCGTCTTTCCCCTCTCTTGCCGAACAGTAGTGTTCAAGCAAATGGAAGGCTATATCGGGGCCTTACGCTCTACTCTCAAGGCACACACTGCTTATTTCGAAGCCCTGGAGAGCGATAATGTCTTCGGTCGGACAGCGACCTACGACTCGACAGTGGAGAAGATTGACAAACACGGCAAGGTATATACACCTGAAGCAGCGACAATTCGAAAAGCAGTGCAGAAAATAACCGAGCTTCACGGAAAAATGAGTGGTGATTTGACTTTTGCGAAACGTGAAATCGCGATTGGTCAACTGGGCCCTGATGATCTTCAGTCCATATTCCGGCATCTCCGCCAAACTATGATACCTGTGGTCGGTCTCAGCTTCATAGTTGATATCTTTGAGCGACTCTCGGAGTACAATAGGTGGAACGAGCCGATTGACCCATCAACCGTTATATCGGTAGACCTCCGCGACCGCGCGGTACACGAGTGGAATGAGATCATGAGCGCAGTTCATGACCCATTTGTTTCTATGATTCAAACCATCGATGAGGGCCTCCAGCACGTTGGGTTGACTATGAAGTTGACAAAACCTCCAAAAACAACCAAACCTGCGTCAGACCCCGAGGCATCCGCGAACCCACTCCCAGGTGACAAGGGTTTCCGAACTCACTTGGAAAAGAAATTGTCTGATTTCAAGATCGCTAAGCGGCTTGCCTTGCGCGCATGGAGCGAGGAAAAGGGCATCACTCTTCCTCCTGACTTCTTCGAGCATCCAGCGACGGCGCATCTGGAAATGGAAGACCTGCCTATAGATGGGTCCGCCAATCGAGACCGAGCGCGGAGACAGCTATATCTCTTTCTCTATGTATGTTTCCACCCCCCCACACTATCGGGACGCCTGCTGACCGTATTAGATGGACCAACTCTTGGCTTCTGCTGGCCACACAGTTCTTGACTTTGTCCGATACGCCGACCGAAAAGCTGAGAGTGGAAAGCTCTCAAGGACCCGACTCATTATTCCGGGTAGTAAACGGCTTCGCAAATGGATTCTGAGCATCTTCAAGACAGATGACTCTCATGGGGAGGATCACTTGGGGGATGTAAATGCCCATAATGGTGTGCTCCAACTCGGGGAAGCGTACAGAGCCCGAAAAGACCCAGAGCACCTGCCTGCGACAACGACATTCGAAAAAATCGGTGACAAAGTTCGACGAATACCCTCAATGCTGCGCTCACCTGAGTCGGCTTACGGGTTTCGAGTTGCATGCGCCACCATGACTATCGCCGTCGTCTACTTCATCCGAGATACCCAGGAATTCTTCATCAGGCAGCGCTTTGTCTGGGCCATTATCATGGTCAACTTGAGCATGTCTCCAACGTCTGGACAGAGTATCTTTGGTTTTACCCTCCGAATTCTGGGAACTATACTAGCAATGGTGCTCAGCTTCCTGTGTTGGTACATCCCTGGGCAGAGAACTGCTGGCATCCTCGTTTTCTTCTTTCTTTTTGTTGCATGTGCGTTCTACATTCCGGTTAAACAGTTCCGTTTTCGAATTGCAGGTATCATCACCATCATCTCCACCGCCATGATAGTCGGATATGAGCTGCAGGCCCGCAAAATCGGAGAACAGAATGTGGCCGCAAATGGGCAGACGTACTATCCAATCTACCTTCTTGCGCCCTATCGGGTGGCGGTGGTGGTAGGGGGAATAGCCGTGGCCTTCTTTTGGACCTTCTTCCCTTACCCAATCTCCGAGCATTCCGTTCTGCGGCAGAATCTGGGCTCGAGCCTGTACCTTCTTGCTAATTACTATTCAATCATCCACGAAACGGTGACTGCAAGGATGCGAGGTGATGAAGGGGAGGTCGCACTCAAGACTGCGGCGGGAAAAAGACTCCTCAAGGCACGAAACAAAGTGTTTTCGAAACAGATGATCATGCTGAGCAGTCTTCGTACGTACTCCGAGTTCCTCAAATGGGAAGTGCCTATTGGGGGTCGCTTCCCCAAAGATCAGTATGACCGCATCATTACTTGTATTGAGAAGTATGTTGCTGCTCGATTCTTGTCACCAAATCCAGGTCTCTGAGCTAACTTCCTGTGCAGTATTGTCAACTACCTAAGTCTTCTGGGATACGCATCAGACTCGCTCAAACTACTGGGAAACGATGACGAATCCGACTCTGCTTGGCTCAACGATTTGAAAAGATTGATTGCCAGCGCCCGGGTTACAACCCACCAAGTGACTACTGTTTTATGTCTCCTCTCCGCAAGTCTCACAAATCAGCAGCCTTTGCCTCCTTTTCTGAAGACCCCTCGGCCATATAGCTTCTCAAAGCGTCTGGAACAGTTGGACAGGAGCATTCTCAGCCTTAGGCATATAGCTGAACCCGGTTTTGCAACGTTTGCAGTTCTCCAGATCTCCACAAGATGTATTGTTGGCGATGTCGAAAGATTGATGAAGTAAGTTGAGTGCACGAATCGGTGCGATTCCTTCTAACATGGTGTATAGGGATGTAAGGACCCTCGTTGGAGAGCTTGACTTTTCATTCCACGCCTTGAGTACTCGACATGGCAGCCTATCTACAGCCGATGTTTCGCGAGCACCGTCACAGGCCCCTACAGAACGGAACAAGCTCGACTGAGCGGTATATACATATAGCAAATGCGCATGTTGGAAATAGAGAACCACAACAATTGAAAGTCTTTCTGTTTCATTGTGCTCTTAGAACCCTGGCCCTGCTTTATACTGATGCTCCCAACTTGTACAGATACACCACTGGCCACTAGTATAGGAGTTTCCGAAACGCCTGTTACGTATTGGCCCTGACCCTGATTTACGGGGAAGGTGTTTAGGATGATGTTGTTACCCGCGCTGGTGCGATCTGTGCTCGCATACCAGACGCTTACCGCAGCGAATAGGATTGCCGATTGAAGGGGTGTGCCATATGCCCAGCGTGTATGGAATGCTTAGCCGTCGCCGCTGGGAGATGGTGCATGGTTACGTCCTTCCGGTGTATTTTTTTTTGCCTTTTTGCAATAATCTCCGACCAAGTTTTGGTCGCGCAAACACACGATGAGTGGGCGCAGTTTGGAATTCAGGGTTGACTAGCTGCGACTATTTGACGCGGAACCGCCGTTGCTTATCATTCTTCGAGAAGAGCTCTCAATGAAATAAGCCGCCGTCGAATTCTGGTGGAATTTCTGCCGGATGAGAGTGGAAGCTATCGAGGTCGGTCATGCCGAAGACGGCTTCAGGGCGCAGTTGCACGAAAGTGTAAGCACGCAGAACTTAGTCGATGTCATCGACCTAGAGGAGAATCCGTTCTCCGACTCCGATTCTGACGCTGAAACCCTCGCCTGTGGACCTGGAATCAAGGACTGGCTTGTTTTGAGCTGCGTCTCGTTCGTTGCCATGATGGATGCATTTCATGCGACAATGATGACACCCGTCGTACCGGTATGTTTAGCTAGTCAGTCTACCTTCCGTGATGCTCAACAAACCGAGTCTTACTTTTGCAGGTCCTCTCAACTGAGTTTGAACGACCGTTTCGGAGCATCCTATGGGTGGACACGTCGTACCTCCTCGCAAGCGCCGCAAGTCAGCCAATCTTCGCCATGCTGTCCGAGGTATTTGGCCAGGGACCAGTCCTCATCGCGGCGGTCGTGATAGCTATAGCCGGAACCGGGGTATGCAGCGGTTCAATGGGTATACCGAGCCTGGTCGCAGGACGACTTGTGCAAGGAGCCGGCAGTGGAGGTGCCATGGCCGTGTCGCTGCTGTTAGTGGCTGATCTGATTCCGTGCACACAACGCGTTCGATTTTCGGATTATACTTGCCGAGCGTGGGCTTTAGGAGCGATGCTTGGGCCACTCTCGGGAGGGTTCTTTGGCAAATATGGAAATTGGAATTGGACGTTCTACTTCAGTTACATGTTCAGCACTTTGAGCCTCCTTGTGACGCCATTTGCGATTAACCTCCGCGAATGCACGAGCATATCCCGACGCGCAGCACGTGAGATGGATTGGCTGGGCGCAATATTGACGTTTTTTGGGATTGGTTCCCTTCTGCTCGGGGTCAGCTGGATGGGCCAGAGACCGTCGGATTGGGACGACTGGCGCATTCTAGTTTCAAGCTGCATTGGCGGGCTGGCAATGGTCGTCTTGGTGCTCTATGAGAGCGTGTGGGTGGCGCAACCCATGTTCAATCTTGGAATCTTCAACTCGATTTCCACGGTCATGTTATATGCCGGAAATTTACTTCATGGGATTCTGGTTAGTTGATTTATGCCCCATGGTTTACTAGTGCTTGCTAACCGTCCAATCGATACAGATTCTCTCCCACCTACAGAATCTCTCCATGTACATCTTTCTTGTCAAACGATTTCCTTCGCCCCTTACGGGCGTAAGTATCTTGGCCGTCACCGGCCCAGCGTTCCTGATACTTTTGCTATTGGGTAAGGTGCGTCCCGGTCGATACCCCTTTCGTTCACGCTGGATAATCCGTGCTGGCTGGACGCTAAGCATTCTTGCCACCGGGTGCTTTATATTTCTGAACCACGACACTTCGACCCCGAGCTGGGTATTTACTTTCTTTGCGACCGGTCTCAGCCACGTCTTACTTGCGTTTGGATATAATAACTGCACCCATACGGATTCTCTTATGCGCAAGCGCGAAGAACAAGTGGAAAGTCGAGACACGCGACAAGGAAGAGGGAGCAGCCCTGCATTCGCCATACTCATGCATTCGGTCTTACGGACATGGGGAATGTGCATCGCAGTGCCTGTTGGCGGCACGATTGTCTTGACGCAGATGGCGCAAGACATTGATCGAAGTTCTATCGACTCTTCCAGCGGGCTCGTTGGGCAGGTCGGAATCATACTATCCCCGGATAATCAGGAAGAGCTGGGTCGTCTCTTTCTTGATGGTTTTCGGGTGGTTTGGCGGTTCTTCCTCGGTGTATCTGCACTGGGCGGGATTTCTTCCTTGTTGATTCGGTAATAACCTCTTCGTTTGTACGGAACTAGAGTGGGGATATGCAGGAATGATATGGCTAGATAAAGATAGATTTGAGAAAGATTGCTTGTTAGATGTTGGATCCCAAATAGCGGTAATAGTAGCTGTTGGAATGGTCCAGCCATGACTGGTCTGGTAGCTCGTGGTCGCCAGTCCCCAGGTACAAGCTAATGTCCACCCAGTACGTCGACCCCTTCCTCTCGGCCTTGAAACCAGTTTTGCAACGCGTGCAGCCCTGTTTGGTAAGCTCTGCATTGATACCCGTCTTGACTGCCTCTTCAATCTGGTCAACATCAACATACATGTGCGGACAGAGATGTATAAAATAAGCTACCACCTGGTAACCCACCGAACGAGTGTTCCTCAAGCGTCCGACAGAGACATTCGAGTCCGTCCATTGATGGCGCACAGCTATGACAAGCTCATTGTCCTCGTGGATTCGGGCCACTACCCTGGTCCTGATCTTGACATAGACGTTATACCTCCGTATAAGCCTGTACTCTCTCGCAGGATTATCCCGCCAGATATCGACAGTCCCCTGCTTCTTCGCCGCCGCAATGAGCCCCTTCTTCTCCGGAAAGCTCACGACGACCCCGGGACAGACATCGACAACCGTACTGTACCTGCCCAGCCTGCAGTACCGAGACCTCGCCGACCGGAGGTGCAATTGCCTAAACGAGAAATGCTCCACGCGGTGTAGTTTCAAGCAGCGCGAGCAGTACGCCCAGGGGTTATTCCTCCCCTGTGCGAGGAGACGGAGGAACTTCTGGCGCGTGGTGATTGAAAGGCGGTCAAACTGTTTTTTGTTGTAGTAGTAGCCATCCAGCAAGTCATAAGGTGTGCGGACGGGGAATCGGAGCGAGGGGTGCTTGAGGGAGTCCGAGAAGAGGTTGGCGAATGCGTGGCATGTTAGAGCGAGGCATGCGATGGGGAGCGGGTCGTGGTTGAGCTCGTCGATAATTTGTAGGATGAGCTCCATGGGGAGGTCGAGTATGGTTGCGTAGGTGGGTTTGGGGCGTTTGAAGGCCTTGAATTTGGAGAGGGAGAGACAGGATCGCATGGTGATGGCGTCTTCAAAGGGAGGTTTTGTCTGGAGGAGCTGAAGACTGATATTACCACATTGGCTATCACGGAAGCGTCGATGGGAGCTTTTAATAAGAGGCGAGCCGGAGTTAAGCAGGCTGGAATACGACCCCTCCTTTACATGGAGCGGACCCGGCGGTTTGGGAAGACATAGACTTTGGGGAGTTGGGCTTAAGGTTCATGGAAGCCAGCCATTACTGGTATGAGGGATCTAGTTAGGTCTAGATCTCGAGAATCTATAATGGACTCCGGATGGTACAAGATGTGGTGCTTCGGCCAAATTGGTTTGGGGGGTGGGGGGTGTGTGTGGGGGGAGCTCCTACCAAATCGAGCTGTCAGGGCTGCCAGGGACGGCTCTTGCCCAAATACGGGCCACCGAGAGTGAGGTTCCTTCCCTACTGCAGCAAGTATCGCGAACAAGGAAGGAGCGCTGGAGCCCGTCGATGGGCATCAAAACAGCCTCTTTTCCCCGGTTCCTCTCGCCAGCCTCTTCCTCGTTCTCATCCATACCCATTCTTTGACCCTTCACGCCTAAACTACCTTTGCGTTATCACAACAACGTATCATTATCTCGTCAAGATGCATTTCTTACCGTCCCTCATTGCTCTGCTTTCCGCAGCCGCCTTCTCTCTTGCTGCTCCAACTCCGAGAGACGAGCCAGTCTCTTATCCTCCCTTGCCAGATGGCCTGCCCAACCCGAGCCCAGAGCAGCTTCAGAAGATCGAGAAGGAAGCCCATGGCACACTTCCAGGCCTACCTCTGCCCACCAACATTAGCGAAGCAGGTGCCGAGAATCTGCAGCTGATTGCCTTCAACCAGCACATCGAGGTCGCCTTCTTCGACGAGCTCATCTTCAACATCACCCACAAGGTCAAGGGGTACGAGCTTCCGAATGACGTCGAATTGGAGTTTACGCTTCGGAGCTTGGAAACCATTCTTGCAGTAAGTGTCTCTCCACTCGAAAGTAGGGATCGAGACCTGACTGTCATCTAGCAAGAGAAGGTGCACGCCTTGACAGCCAACGAGGCTCTTCGACGCTTTGGCAGACAGACCATACTGCCATGCGCTTACAACTTCCCTGTGGCCACATTGCGGGACGCCATCATCCTGGCTGGCACCTTTACTTCCCATTTCATCGGCACACTTCAGGACATGACTGAGCGCTTTGCGGCAAACAACGACAACGCCTTGACGGGTCTGCTCGCTGCCACAATCGCCAACCAAGCCACACAGCTGGGCTGGTTCAGAGTATTCCTTGACAAGTACCCCAGCGAGGCCCCAACATTGACCAGGAGCGACGTCAACTTTGGCTTCACCTATGCCCAGACCTTCGTTGTGCCCGGCAGCTGCCCGAACATCCACGAAATCAAGCTGAGGACATTCCTGCCCTTGGAGATCATCACATTCCCAGCGTCTCGCACCAGCAAGATCAAGCTCTCTTGGACCCACGTTGTCGATGACAAGAAGGAAAATACCCTGTGGCTGGCCTATGTCAACCAGTTGAACGTCCCCACTTATGTTCCGCTACAGGTCATCTCTTGCGATGGTCGCAAGACTGTTGCTGTCGCTGTTTTCCCGTATGACGAGTTCCTGCTCAACGGCTTGACAATCGCGGCTGTTGTCGATCGACAGGGACCGTTTGCTAATGCTGTCGCGGTGGCTCAATCGACTCTCTATGGCCCGGCACTGATTGTTGTGGAGTAAGGGACTGTGTATTCCTAGGTGTGGTATTTCTATATGGACTGTATGATCAAACTTGGCTAGCAGGCTAGCCTTTCTCATTGGTATTAATAGTACAGTGGAAATTGACGCGCACGATGTTCACCGAGCGTAGTCGTAGTTGTACCTAAGGTAGTCCATCCGAGCGGTAGGTACAAACTAGAGAAGTGAAATGATCTCCCTGTTGCGTGGGCCAATAGAGGAACTTGTTATTGCCTGTCGTGCGAGGCTTAGATGGTGCCGTGACCGGCGGAAGCAGACACGCTGGCCACAACCTCAGAGTAGGCAGAGGCAGAGGCAATGTTGTTGCCCTTAAAGTTGGCGAGGAAGTCGGTGTCAGCCTGGTTGAAAGTGCCAGAGCTTCCAAATCCGTTCATCTCACAAGTGCGGCCAAGGTATGTCGAGCAGACCTCGTTCGCAGAAGCCGAAGGCGAGGAGAAGAGCTGTCCATCAATGGGATCCTCCACAACAGTGCCGATGTTCTGGAACACATTGCCCTCGGCAAGAACCATACCACCAGAGCCAATCTCGAAAGCATGGCCGGAGTTGTCATACCAGTAGTTGTTGACCTGTCAGATACCCCATTAGCCTGCCTTGCCTTAACCCCCTCAGAATAACACAAAACAAACTCTCTCTTCAACACCGAAGAGGAGATAGGAGATAGGAGATAAGGAGATAGTCCGGAAGGAACATACAGCATGCAAAAGCGTGTTCCCCTGAACCTTGGGGGCACGTCCACTGGTGTGGTAGATGTAGTTACCCTTGAGGGTGACGAGATCGTTTGAGCCGTCGAGATAGATGCCCCAGTAGTGGTAGCCGTCGCAGGTCGCGGACCAGGAGGTCTCGCCGTCGATGAAGGAGTTGGAGATTGTCACGCGATTGTCGGCTTGTGTGCCTAGGACAATGTGTTGGCGGCCGATGCGGGCGGTCTGGTTGTTGAATAGTTAGAATGGGTAGATGGGCAGATTGGTTTGAGTGTAAGGGGTAGGATAATGGTGATTGGGGTTCGGATTTGGTTTGTATGAGTGTGTGTGCTTACAGTAACGTGGTCAATCCAGACGAGGTCAACGTCGTTCAGGGTGATGGCGTCTCCACCCCAGACGTACTGGGGGTTGATGTCGGTGATTGCGATGTTCCTGGGAGGGGAAAATGTGAGCTCGTCGGTCATTGCTTGTATATCCCGCAGGAGTGAAGTGGGAAAACGGATGGCATACTGGATAATAATGTTGCTAACACCGCTAACAAGACGCAGACCCTTGCCCTTGATGACACCGGCGTCGCCCTGGCCAAGGATGGTCTTGTCGGAGTTGACAGTGATACCGAGGCTACCGGCGTTGTCACTGTGGTTTCGTTTTAGAAAAAGTGAAACATGTAGGGGCCAGCCGAGGTGGCTGGCTGAGCAAATGTAGCCTTGATGGAATGGAACATACTATGTAACAGACACGGATGGAGCATCAGGTTGATAGTTCGTGCACCAGTCGTTCTGATTGATGGCGACCTGGCACCCGGAGGCGGTTCCGTAGGGTGCGCAGCCGGTCTCGGTCGTTGTGCCCTCGCTGCCGGTGAAGTCGAAGCTGGAAGCGCATTAGAAACCGAGGATTGGTAGTGTGGTTTGGGGAGGTATACGTCTTGGTGAGGACAATGACACGCGCCTGGTCGTCCCCAAGGTACGAGACCAGCTCGTCGATGGAGTCCGGGTAGACGGGGTCGGCGCTGCCACCACCGGTTACGCCTTTAGCGAATCCTTCTGCGGCTCCGGTGACGCTGATGGCGGTGACGGTGCTGCTGAGAGCCGCCGTGGCGAGGGTAAGAAGGGAGACCGATCTCATGGTGAAAGGAGTGAATGGACCAGCCGGAAAATAAACAAGGAAACGAGGAAAATTCAAAGAGAGACTGAGTTGGGACACAGAGGTAAAGATTTCTACGTGAGCGGAGGGGCTATGGGTTTTATATTCTGGTTGGCGTTGAAATAAGATGTTTGATATTAGGTAACGGAGGTGCTAGTCTCTTGCTTGTCCGCCAGGTGCTGGCTTATATTGGGATCCATTATATGGTATCAGATACAGAGGGAGGAGCCCGTAGGGCGAGGAGCGTTCTTCACGGAACACCTTTGGAAGTTGGGACGATGGAGCGCAGATGGGGCGGAGGAGATTGGCCGCGTTTCAAGATGTCCACTAATAACGAGGTCCGGCACTTGGTGTTAGTTCCTGGTAAACAAGCAATTCCTCCGTCTTGGCAAAGTTGAGATGGTGCTTGACGCTCTTGTCCGTCTATCTTGCTGATCTGCCGAGTTCAACAGCTATGACTGCTGGAAAAATTCTGCGACTGTGTTACTGATCGTGGACCGCGCTGCAAGAACACTTCAGGCGACGGAGTTTGTGCGGGGTTCGCTGACGATCCGGAAAGTCGTCCATGTCAGAGACAGAGACAGAAACAGCTCCCAAACCCAAGTCAACTCCTCGCCGCCAGGGGTTCTTCACCTCCTGGTTGACGTTATCGAAGATTGTGGTGTTGATCCACTGTGGATAACAAGTCAGCCCGTCTGGTCCACAAAGTGGCTCTAACCTTCATATCTGATAATATGTTGAAGAGAACCATGAGAGCACTTTTTTAAGAGCTTGCCTCGATATTTGTGATGGAGCAGTGTCATAATCTAAGGTCCCGTCAAAGCCCAGCGGCCCGGAGTAACCGTCAAGCTTCGTGGACGTCAGCCATACTGTACCTGAGACGGCGCTAGACTGGGAGGTGCCACTCGATACCTCGTCGGGGGAACACCAGTCGGGTTATTTGACTGAAGAGTTGAACGCGCAATCCAGGCTTCGAAGGGGTGAGGTGACCGTGTGATGAGAAAGACTCGACGGTCCAGACCCATAACGCATTATTTCCTAGGGCTGTCGGAGAACCTTCCGAGCGTTTCGGACTGGTCTCAGACTTGTGCCAGGGAAAAAAGTGAGGGACGGCACAGCCGGACTGTTGTTGCCTTGATGCCTCACCAGAACCGGCTTCCAGCCTGAGGCTGCTCAGCGTCTGGAAGGAAAGTTGATGCCTGAAATGGCTTTATGCCTTAGCGGATCACATGAGTCGCGGCACGGCAGTTCGGTAGTCTTCCTTTCGCCCATTTCCCGAGTCGGGTTCCAGGCTTTTTGCGGAGGGGAAGGATGCAGTTGGAAGGTGAGCAGACATATCAGGCGTGCACAGACACGATTTTGATCCAAACATCGGGACCGAATGAAAAGTATTTGTAGAAGCAGACTGCAGTAAACATCAACAGTCGGCGTTGGAAGCATGCCTGGAGCAGTGGCCGAGGGAAGATTCAAAGGCCGTGTCCGCCCGACGCTTGGTTTTAGCCCGTGCGTGATTGGCGGAAGGGGGCTGAGTCAGCGCAGAGCCGACCGCCAGACCCGAGGTTACCTTCTGTGGCAGAAAGGCGAGCTCTTCGTGACGATTGAACATCGTGGACTCTTGATCCTCGCTTCTTCGAGACTCTGTTCGGTCATTGCCACCGGTGGACTTTTGTTTCCGGATCCTCTCCTCTCCTCTTTCCTGTCCTGCCAGCTGCTCGCTACATTGACCCTGTTCTCCTCCTACTGCTCTCCCTTCGCCTTTTCGTTCCCAGGTTCGGATTGAAGGAAAAAGTCACAATGGCCTCTCTTCGCACAACTTCGCGCCTTCTCGCCTCCTCGAGGCCGCTCTTCCGTCCTGCGACTTTTGCTCGGACATATGCGACTGTCGAGTCTGGTGTTCAGGTGAGCAAAATTAATCGCATTGGCACTTCAACTTGTCGCGTTTGCTAAGACTGGGAATGTGTGTAGGAACCCGCGCCCAAGGTCAAGAAGTTCCAAGTCTACCGCTGGAATCCCGACACCCCCTCCGAGAAGCCCAAGATGCAGACCTACGAGCTGGACCTCAACAAGACCGGCCCTATGATGCTGGATGCGCTCATCCGAATCAAGAACGAAATCGACCCCACCCTGACCTTCCGAAGGAGTTGCCGAGAGGGTATCTGCGGAAGTTGCGCGATGAACATTGACGGAGTCAACACTCTTGCTTGCTTGTGTATGTGATTTCGTTGGCTGAGGAAGGATTGGAACAGTCGAGTTAACAACCGGACAGGTCGCATTCCCACAGACACCGCCAAGGAGTCTCGCATCTACCCATTGCCACACACATACGTTGTCAAGGATCTCGTGCCCGATTTGACCCAGTTCTACAAGCAGTACAAGTCGATCAAGCCTTACCTGCAGCGCGATACCCCCTCCGAGGACGTGAGTTGATCGCATTTCGCAGTCGATTGCTTGAATACTTACATTGTCTAGGGACTCGAGTACCGTCAAAGCCCCGAAGAGCGTAAGAAGCTCGACGGCCTCTACGAGTGCATTCTGTGCGCCTGCTGCTCAACCTCCTGCCCCTCGTACTGGTGGAACTCCGAGGAGTACCTCGGACCCGCCATCCTCCTCCAGTCCTACCGTTGGCTCGTCGATTCCCGTGACGAGAAGACCGCCGAGCGCAAGCACGCCCTGGATAACAGCATGAGCGTCTACCGTTGCCACACCATCCTCAACTGCACACGGACGTGCCCCAAGGGTCTCAACCCTGCGCGCGCGATTGCGGAGATCAAGAAGATGATGGCAGCTCACTAGAGTGCGGAAAATAGAAGCAAAGCAGAAGATCAAAATCGTTTCATTCTCTTCCTTCTTTAGCATTTCTGGTTGCCATTCCCATGTACTTTCCTTTTCTCTTTTGTCTCGTGATCTCGTTTTATTCCCTGTTTTGAGGCCATTTGACGTCGGATGTTTCAATAGGTGTAAATGTGTGAATATTCATTTCTAGCAATGGTGGACGAACCAATCAACCATATTCAACTTACGCATTGTCAGATTCCGCAGTCTCTTATTATGTTTTGTTGCTCGACAGATTCAGGTCATGTGATACTATCGATGGGCTGCAGTGACGATCGCGTCGATCAGCGTTGGACTACCGAAACCGTTGACAAGCCTCTCAGGCTCTGGCTCTGACAATCAACAGAGACAGGCTGCGGATCTGGTTCGTATATCTGTGGCTTGATCAAGGTCAGATGCACTCAGGGATTGTGATGCTACCCATGCATATCACGTTACTTTTGTGGCACCCTCCATCGCTTGTCCAGGATCAGTTTGTCTGTCGCGGACATTTATCACCAATCATTTTTTTCAACCTGCTGCATGACCGTTTTCCCTTCTGATTGAAATAGCAAGAGGCTTATTTTCCTTGTGATCAATCTGATCATATTCTCGAAACAGTGATCACCCTATTTGCCTGCTAATTCTTCTCTCAAAATGTAGAGCCCGATCCCTGGTGTTTCAGGGATACATGATTACATGTCGCGCAGGTGGCTCGTTTTTTTGCTTCTTCCGCACTGCCCAGGCTGCTATGAAAATGATACACTCACGAGATAACGTCGGTCGATCCCCTTTATATATTTGACACGAACATGTTCGACTCCGCTAGAGGTCAAGATCGAGCTAAACCTTGAGATCGATGGCGGACCGAACCATGGCGCACTGGCGCGTTCTGGCTGCTGTTGGGATGATGAACTGGGGTGTTTATTTTAGTATGTCACGAGTATACTCCTGTGCACTATTGTACTGATACCCTGCTGACCACGGTCTAGTCTACGACATGCCAGCATCTCTGTCGACCCCTCTGTCAAAGCACCTCTCGTTTTCAGATCACCAGACGGCATATCTAGTATCGCTGTTGTACTCGGTCTACTCAGTCCCAAACACCGTCCTCCCCTTCTTTGCTGCAACGGCCGTACAGCGGTTCGGGGAGAGGACACTCCTCATCGGGATTGTGTCCAGTATCGCACTAGGACAGCTGCTCTTCGCACTTGCCGTGCAGACAAAGATCGAGCTCGGGATGATTATCGGGCGCGCATTTATAGGTCTCGGAGGAGAGGTGGTAGCCGTTATTGGATGCGAGATTATTACCCGCTGGTTCCAGTGATTGCCCTCCTCATCTTGCATGTAGCACTGGGGTATGCTAATTTCTCTGTCACCAAGACACAACCGCCTCTCGCTAGCCCTCGCAATCAACCTCTGTTTGGCACGATTCGGAAGCGTCTCGAACTCTATCATCATACCAATCCTGATCGAGCCGTACGGCGTCGTCACAGTGACCTGGCTCGCTACGCTCCTATCGCTCGGCATGCCAATAATTGGCTTGATTTCCCTCCTCACAACCCCGGATCCAGCGACAGAGGCAGACGAAACACTGCTCACCCCAGAGAATCCGGACACCAACCTCCCCGCCAAACCCATTTCGGCAATCTCCTCCCTCCGCCACTTCCCGCGAGTTTTCTGGCACTTGGCAATCATCTGCCTCTTGAGCTACAGCTGCATCAACACATTCACAAACTCCGCGCAACGCCTGCTCGCCACGCGGTTCTATGACGGAGACCAAGCTGCCGCGGGCGAGGCAGTCAGCATCCTCTTCATGCTCTCAGGATTCCTCGTTCCGCCGTTCGGATTCCTCCTCGATACTTTGGACTCGAGGGGGTACCCGCACGCTTTGATTACGAGTAATGCGCTTCTCTGCCTCGCGCATGGGATCTTCTTGACATGTTCGGTTTCGAGTCCCGTTGTTCCGCTTTGTCTTCTGGGGGCTGCGGATGCGCTTTTGGGCGTTGCGTTTTGGGGGAGTGTTACGCGGTGTTTACTCAGCTTTGCCTCCCAGAGTCATCTCGAACCACAACCTCATGTCATCTCCAACTGCAGTACATCGTATAAGGATGAGCCCGACCGACTGCTCTCTGGCGGTCTAGATACCACAGCCGTCTCCATCGAAGAAGTTGCCAATCCCGGCATACTCCCTATGCATGGCGAGGCAATCCGAACCCTCGGTCTAGGGATTATGACCAGCTTGATGAATATCTGTACAACAATTGTCCCGCTATTCCTGGCCGTTGTCGAGAATGCAGAGGGATTCATGGGGTTAGAGGTTGTTTTTCTGACCTTGGCGTTTCTAGGGTGTGTGGTTTGTGTGAGGTTGGCGTGGACTTGGGAGCTTTAGTGTGTCTGAGAATGAGGATGAGGATGGGACACTAAGTCTATAGATCTATTGATTTTTCGGTCCAACTTTGACTCGCGCTCGTTTCCACGACGGAAATTCGGAACCCCTAGGATATATATATAACGAGTCTATACTCCATACTTGCTTTCGATCGCCTTTCCATTTAGCACATAAACACCCGATCATTTCCCCTTCTTTCCCTCTCCTTGTTCACTCCTGGCCCAAGCATCCCAAGCCCTCGAAACAACATTGATCGGAAACGCCATCTCACCCGTCGGATCCCCATGGACCTCACCAGCAGTAATCATATCGACAATCGCAACGGCCACATACCCACCGATCCCCGTAAAGACATGCCACCAGCCGTGCAGCTCAAAGAGAAAAGCCAACGGTGTCCCGACAGTTCGTCGCACGTCGAGTAGATGCCCGCAGAACCACGTGTCGACTAGCCAGACGGTGTAGCCGAATATGAAGCAGACTGGGTTGGTTGTTAGTTACGAAGGCCGTTAGGCTTTATGGATAGGATAAAACAAAGGGAGGCGTACAAAGCCCAAACCTCGAAACCCCGCGAACCTTCAACCGAATTCCCATATTGGGAATCTGCTGCGGAATCGCCTTCATCGTGCGCGTCGTGATGAGAAGCACGGCCAGACCAAATGACACGGCATGAAGCAAGAACTCGTCCATGACCATGTGCACGACCATGACAACGGTAAAGATCACGCCGAGGATCCCGCCCACGAGGCGCGTGTACTGCGCGCTGGTTTGGAAGGTTAGGATGCGGTAGAGGAGCGGTGTTGTTAGGAGGTGCATTGAGAGTTCGTCAGCTGATTAGATTATTAGTATTGTACAGAAACAAAAAGTTGCCAACTACGATTGCACATAATCAAGAGGAAAGAGTAATGAGAAAAGGAAAAGAAACATACACATCTGCGTATGATACTTGAGCGTCATATGGTACCCGCCCGAACAAACGCCGACACCAACCAGCCCGAGATACGGGATACAGCGGGAGAGCGACGCCTGTCCGCGGCGGCGCAGCTGAACGAGGCCATACAGGCCGAAGAGGCAGTAGACGCCGCTGCTGAGGGTGTTGATGAATTCGGCGACGTAGCGGGTGACGACGTAGTCTTCTTCGCAGAAGCTGGCGAATGATTTAGCATGTTAATATGGGTATGGGGATCCAGGGGAGGATATAGAGGGTTTACTTTAGATACGAGGTCTGAGGACCCCAAAAGGGCTCGATGATTGACGAGTCCATGGCGGTTGATTGGTGAGGAGTCGTGAGGAGGAACTTTGGGGAGGAACGAGGACTGGAATTCTCAAGTGGCTGCGGAGACGCGCGGACGCTGCGAAATTGGCGGCCCCACTTTATACAAGGGACAACAATGTGAATAATAACAGGATTGTGACGAGTCAGCATTGGTTAATAACAACCAAGGCGAATAATGCTACACTAGTCATGTATCCATTGTTATGCAGCATCCATAATATACTACCGCAAAATATCGCTAAGCAGACACAGGATATCTCCCTGAACTCCCCAACATGTCCATACACCTCTCGACAGCCTTTTGCATCTCATCGGTGACCTCCTCCAGCAGCCCCGTCAGCGGCACATTCCCGGCCTTTTCCCTCTGAACCCGAATATACTCATTATTCAACACCTTGTTGATATTCACCTTGCTCACCCCACACTCGATGCACTTGCGGAAAATCTCCTCGGTAAACGGATCCGCCCCATGCAGCACCAGCCGCACCCTCTCGCCAACCCTCTCCTTGATACTCTTCAACCGCTCGTACTCCAACTGGATACCCCGGGGTCCATACTCGCCATGCACGTTCCCAAACGCCGGGGCCAGCCAGTCAATCCCCGTATCCACAAACTCCTCGCTCTCCTCGGGCGTCGTAAGCACACCCTCCAGATCAACCGTATCCGCAACCCCATCCTCCCCACCCTCAATCCGTCCCGGCTCCGCCTCCGTCGCGATCCCCCGTGCGTGACAATACTCCACAAGCTCCCTCGTCAACCGCAGATTCTCCTCCTTCTCATAGTGGCTCATATCGACCATGATACTATCGAACCCGCCGAGGTCCGCCGCCCGCCGAATCATCTCGGGGGTCTGCGCGTGGTCCATGTGGACGGTGACGGGCACGGAGGCGTTGCGCGCTGCTTCGGCGGCGGCGTGCACGAGGATCCCGTCGGCGTAGTGGACGGCCCAGGGGAAGAGCTGGATCATTGCGGGCGAGCGCTTTGCTTCGGCGGCGCGCACGGTCGCGAGGATGCCTTCGAGGTTGTAGACGCACATTGCGGGGATGGCGTAGTTGTTTTCGAAGGCGTGGTTGGTTATGCGCAGGGCGCGGTGGTTGGGGTCTTGGAGGGGCATTTTCACTGTTTGTCTTCTTTTTTTTTCGCTCTTTTTGGGCTTCGTTCGATGAATTGAGGAAAGGAGGATAAAGGAAAGAAAGGAGGAGAGGTGGTCAATTGAGGATGGATGGCAGATGGGGAGTGCCTGGCAGACCCCTCCTTTATACTCTCCACTTCCATGTGATGTGCGCCCGGAGTTGGTCCGACCAGCGTCACGCCGGTGAATGGTCCGACTCGTCGTTTTATCCGACATTTGGCAGAACAAGTACCTTGCTCTCTGCAATTATCCTAGTATTCGAGTCGAGTGCGCTCCGAGGGGCCCGAGCGCGCTCCGAGCATTGGGCCTTGGGCCGATGCACTGCGCCGAAAAGTTGCTCGGAGCTGTGGGCGGGAATACGAGACAGCACAGTAGAAAGGGCACAAGATGGAGGTTGAAATAGCAAAAGACATATCATCATTATACATGGCTATGATACTATTTACCCATAAACACGAATCACACTGGTACTGCTCTGTCCGCCCGACCCATGTCTCTGCGCCTGGAACAGCACGTTCAAAGCCGCATTCCCCAGATGCAACGGGCAGTGAAGGTCTCGCGCCTTTTGCACTACAGCCTCTAGTTTAGCAGCAGCTTGACCCACTGTAGGCGAGCCTTCCGGGGCTTTATCCCCGATACGTCCTTCAATCATCTCCAGACCCTGCTGAATAAAGATCTTGCTGGCGCCGGCAGCTTGACTGACAAGCCCGTGGAACTGCGCGAGGTCGACCTTGAGGTATCGTGCGAATGCGACCGCCTCGGCCGCCGCGACAAGGTTGACGCCCCGCATGAGCTCAAGGACAAGCTCGGTGGCGGCTTTGGGGTCGGCGCTGGGAGATACCTCCGAGAGGGGCTTGGCGTAGTATTGTCGGATCATCGCTGAGTCGTCTTTGGGGCCCCAACCGTGCACGAGGGCAGCGAGGTAGGCTTGTTCTGCGGTCGAGCAAAGAGGGGTGGGGAATCGATGTTGACGGGCGGAGCTGGTGATGATTCCCTGCAACCTTGTCAGACTGAGCAAAAAAAGAAGAAGAAAGGTATCGTACAGCATCCTTCAGAATAATGGTCAGCGCACTCGCACCAGGCGTCCAATCCTCCTCCACCATCCGAGGGAATCGGTTCTCGTGCATCCATGTCCACGCATCCGAAGCAAAGATTGCCTCGGCCGTCGCCCGAGCATCCAAGCCGAGATGCGCTGCGAATCCCATGGCCTCGCTAGCACCACAGATGTGGATTGCTGCGAGGACCTGGTGAACCATCTTCATGTTGCTGCCTGCACCGATGCCGCCTGGGACGAGATATAGCTTATTCTCATCCGACATTTCCTGCAAGATATCGCGGGCAGCGTTGAGGGCTTCGTCGGTCGCGCCGGCCATGATTGAGAGCGTTCCGTCCGCGGCGCGCTTTGCGCCGCCGGAGACAGGGCTGTCGACGAAGAGTATATCGCCGCGACCGCGGTTTTGTAGCTCTGTAACGACGGACTGGGCATCTGAGGCGGACACGGTCGAGCACAGCATGAGGACTGCGTTCTGAGGGAGGTCTAAGACTGTGAGCTCAAAATCACGAAGCAAACTTATTCAAGTACGTACATTGCACGATACTGTCATCTCCAAAGAGAACAGACTGCGCTTGCGGCGCAGAAGCGACCATAACAATGTAATACTTCTTACCCTCAGCAGATTCACGGAGCGTAGAAGCAGGAATACCGCCAGCGGCCTTGAACCGCTCAATAGAAGCAGGGAAAACATCGTAACCATGCACAGGGTAGCCTTGCTTGACGAGGTGGGTGGCCATGCCAAAGCCCATGGCTCCAAGGCCAACGAAGCCGATTGAGGGTTTCGACATTATGATTTGAATTATCGCCACTGACTGCTGAAAGAGTGCGAACGACCGAAAACCTGGAATGCTGGACGCGATCGGCTTAAGAAGCGAGACGACTGAGATGTGGAGGCGGGGAAGTGGGATGCGTGGGGGGTCGGAGTTGGTCCGCGCAGCTATTATCCACGATCCATTCGGACGTCGGGCGACCCCCGGGCTCGGGAGCTCGGGCCTGAGTCTGGTTAAATAGGTTTTGGTGAAATTAATAGTCGGCTTGTCATAATTTCGTATTCGTCTCAGCGCGCATTGTTCGTTGAGTAGTAGCCGGATTAAACCATGCATCGGACACTGAGCGAGTAAGTGGAGCGTCTGCACCACTGACGTTCGGTATTAGGCTAAATAGCGACTCAAACGAGGGGCACATTGATCTAACCCAGAAGCGTGCCACAGATGGGCATGGTAAAGAACTTCACAACCTGGTCAAGGACGTCTTGCACTTTTCTCATCAAGCACAAACGCTTGATTAAGTTTACCCCACTGGGGACTGGTGCGCTATATTTGATCAAGGTAGGTCGATTCAACGTTGACACAAGACATCATAGGGCCGCTAAAATAGTGAACAATGTATTCGGTATCAAGAACATACTCGGTCGAAGGAATGACGAACATCTGGTCGAGACGGAGCTTTCACATCGAGATGCAGTCGACAGACAGAAGTCCACTGCAAACCCATGGCAAACTCCCAACACAGTTCGGATTACCCTAAGTATCATCTGTCATAAAAACTGGGCGTGACGAAGATCTGACCCATATTGCTGAAGTCTTCACTCCACGGGGCAATTTGCCAAAGCCGAAAGGCTCCGAAGAGTATATCAAGGGCCGGATGGGTCGATTTGTGTTGACACTCATCCCCAATCGTCATGAAAGAGAAAGGATAGTGGACGAAGACGTGACGAACATCTGACCGAGGTTGTACACCTGGACGCGGTTAGCGGACACGGAAATCTACTACGAGGGGCAAGAATTCCCCACCATCCTGGTCAACTTACATCCGGGTCCGTCTCGAGAAGACGGCAGTAGTGGACGAAGACGTGACGAACATCTGACCGAGGAGCATGCCCCACCCCTCCTGTCCCCGCTGGGGACGACAAAGAGCCCCGGGGCTCTATGACAGAACGATTGCCTTGTGCCGTTCCTTTGGCAGATCCTCATATAAGGAGGCACCGTTTTGTGGCATAGTCATGCGCCGGCGTAGCGAGATCTGACAGTTGCATTCTAGTAGTCTGAGACGAGAAAGAGTCAGTCGATTCGCAAGCCCAGCAACGAAAACTTCTGGGGATTGTTTGGTACCAGGAGAACACCCAAGCCGTAGAACGTGCACGATGGGCGGCATATTTCAACTGGGACCGAGCTCGTCGTCGACCCAATCTAGAAGAGGTACAGGTACGGCACAGCAACACAAGAACGTTCGATCCCCATGTCGAGGGAGTTGTTGCTATGCAAGAACAGAGCGTGCAGTGATGGCTGAGTAGGGAGATTGTTGACTGGGAGAATATGAGTCATTGGAGAAAACACGTCAGTGTGAAGACTGGAGAAGAGATCTCCATCAAGTGAATGGGAGGAGGAAAGAAACGGCGGCTTCCAGAAGAGTAACACATTGTTGATTGGTGCCTTGACGCCTCAGGCACTCAGTAAGTCGAAGGTTTCAGGCAACATTTGCATCGCCAGTTCCAAACAATCGACATCGCGCGACCAACTCATCATTCGCGCCACACTTTCATTAAAATAATGGGTTCTATTCACACTTTGGCGCTTCCAGATCTTTGAACACGCTACCCTCAGAATTGCGAACGCAGGGAGATGACAGCACGAAGCTGAACAGCCCCAATTGTGGCGAGTCCAGAGGAACGACGATCCCTTGCATCGCCATCGCTGACGTTTTCGTCCACAGGATTCCCCTATCTACTGCTAGCCCGCTGTGATTCAGCCAAGTCGTCCGAAGTTCCAGGTCCAACGCCCAGCCTGGGCACGTCCGAGATTGGCATGATTCACCCGGTTCTCTCTGTAGGAAGCTCCGCTTATGAGCTCCGACATATTGTATGACGCGCGACACGAGGACGAATGTTGTTCAGCCAAAATTGACATGATGCGCAGAGGAAATTCAGAGAAAATGCTATTTCCTCGTGTAACCTTGTTTGATCGTCTTTTGCGTAGCCCTGTGGTGGCACTTGATTGCGGATAGGCGCCTGTGTTTTCCAACACTGAACAGCCCCAATACGAGCCTTTCCAGAACGGGTCAGATTCGAGAAAAAGAGATGGCGATCGGGAAACCTGTCTTGGCTGAGCATATGCTTGTCTGTCATCGCCACCTGGCATTGGCTGTCAGGCGGTGGTAGGCGCAGCATGAGCTATTCTGGAAACAATGCAGATCTCACAAAGGATGTATCAGCGGAACCATATAAGATCGACGGACGCATTATTTTTGATCTCATTCATTCAATTGTCTGCAACATTTCATCCATCAACCTCTTGAGCGCTCGACATCATCGCCGAAATGTCGGAAAAAGCGAGCTACAGTATGTCGTCATCTATACTTTCTCTTCAGGCCTTGACTGACAGCTTATAGATCCAGCAGTCGAGACACCGGCTCCTCCTAGCTACCAACAAAACCCTTCGCACACTGCTCCGATTGCAGGGCAAGATGCGCAACAGTCGCGCGCGGGCCCGAATGAGGCTCCGGAGATCCAAATGCAGAATTTCCCTCAAGTACATGCGCCTACATCCTCACAATATGAGCACCCGCATCAAGGATTCGATCCTCACAATCCCAGCCCGCAAATGTACCCACCGCAGCCACAGTCGTACTCTATCGAGCAGTCAAGCCGATACCCGACCGCTGTAGCTCTGCACGCGCTCCAGAGAACTTCACAAGTTGTCGACTGCCCGATGTGTGGCCGGAGGGAGATGACTCGGACGGAAGCAGTGACCGGAAAGACAACTCAGTACGTTACCACTTTTCGTTTTCGGTATAAGAGCTTGGCTAATATAGAAGCAGTGCATGGGCGGCTGTCTTATGCTTTTGCGCTTGTATTGGCTGCATACCATACTTCGCAGCAATGTTCAAAGATGTGAACCATATGTGTGGAAGCTGTGGCCATCTGCTCGCGACGTACCACAATAGCGGCCATACGGTGGTCCACAAAACTCCGGAGCCCAAATAAACCTGTCGACCATCGCGCCTTGCTAGTTCTGCGGGCGTTTTCGATTTCAATTGAGTGATGAGATACCTATTATTTACCGAGTTTTACTTGCTATCAATATCGCATACCACTGATTCATACTTCCATTTATCAAAATGAATCATGGCATTTCCCTGAATCTTCTCTTTCTGCCGATCTGTCCGAACTGATCCGAGGCATGGTTATTCATGGCGCTGCCACAGGTCTCTTTGTCCCGCTAGTCCCATGCATGGTTCATGGAACCAAGATGGTGGGACCGAAGCCACAGCCTCCAAAATAAGGTTTGTACAACGATGGCGCGAGGTGGGTCTAGGCTACTTGAGAATTGGAGCTCGAGAAGAGCATAGCATTGATAAACAAAATTTCAGGGTATATATACATCAGAAAGGACAGTAAGAAGATAACCCCGACAAGCGCTTCCACCCAAGAAAAAAGAAAAGAAAAACAGATCATATCGTGTCATATCCATATGGTTCGAAGGACGACCAGCGATCGAGCTACCACAACAGCTCCTTCCCCGCACCCCATTGCCCTACGGGATATACTTCTCCATCCCCCTCCCCTCAAGCTCCTGTATCTGCCGATTCCCCATCTCCTGCACCTGTCTCGAGTTACTCAACTCAGCACCAGATTCCTGTCCCGGAAGCTCAACCATGCGCACCCCGTTCGGCGGCTGTGTATACCCTTGTGGCTGCGAGTATGGCGGGATCGTTTCAAAGACGGGTGGTTTCGGTAGTTCGGCGGCGTCAGGGGGAGTGTAGATGGGTACGCTTGTGCTTGGACTTGTGGATGAGGGCGCCGGTGGTGGGTTCTGGGTCGTGGTTGTGTGCGTGTTTGAGCGGGATGGTGGGGAGGGGTCTGTTGGTGGTGCTTGTTGCGTAGAGGTTGAGGTTGTTCCGCCTGCGGCAGCGGCGGCGGCGGCTGCTGCTGCTGCTGTGGCTGCTTTTCTGCCCGTGCGACGGCCGAGGTAGAAGGACGCTGCGCAGAGGAGAGCGACGGCAATTAGAACCCCGATGACGATTCCTGCGATCGCGCCACCAGAGAGGTCATTGTCGTCGCTCGAGGCGTCTTCCTCTGTGGCGTCAGCGGTAGGTGTGGGCGAGGACATCTGGGTACTTGTCGTCGAAGTCGGAGTGGGCGTCGGCGTCGGCGTATCGGACGTAAAGCCCGCTGCAGTCGCCGAAGCAGGTGGCATGCTGGATACGATAAAGGCGGAGATATTCTGGTTGGCGTCTTGCTTCCACATGCGGCCGCTGCAGTCGAGCCCGTTGCTGCGATCGCATTGGGCGTCGTGGTAGAATTTGACGCACCAGGGGCCCTCCGGGTCGAAGGAGAACTCTTCGCCCGCTTCGTGCCATATTTGTGTGCAGTCTTGTTCGTCTTGTCCGTCGATGACTTCTGCGGAGGTGGTCTCGTTGCGCCAGACGAGGGTCCAGGCGGTTATTCCGGGGATGGAGGTGAGGGCTAGGGATGCTAGCCACAGGGTTGAGAGGCGAGCCATGTGTGTCGCGTTTTGTGTCTCTCTGGTGATTGCTCGAGAGATCGAGAGTCTGGAGGGGGAATCCTCTTAAAGTGCTTCATCCTGGAGCCAAAAAGGTTGCAAAGGAGGCTGAGGACGGGAGCCTCTTATCCCTCAAACACAGGCGCATTTCAACACGGCAGCCATTCCCCATATAGACAGGCACCGAGGAGAAGTGTCTCCCAAGGGGGAAATTCCAAGGGACCAAGTGTCACCCAGAGGCCGTGAAATGGAGTCGAGCCCTCGGGGTGATTCGCCGCATGCTGGCGGCTGCAGATCAAGGGGTTGGCGTGCGGTGGTGATTGGCCGCGGATCCGTCGAATACGAGGTCCTGCCGGGCAATGTTGCATTTTGAGGTGAGTGCTTGATGATCCAAGCGTTGAGGGCGTTGGGTGGCTAAAAACAGTGAAGAGATGTGGATGACCGTCGATCCTCGTATAAAGGCGTTGTGGAGAACAAAGAGTGAAGGTGAAAGGTTGAAGTATCCGAAGAGCTGGAGGAAATTCCCCGACTTTCTGCTGTGGATGCGAGCGCCGAGACGGTGGAGTCGATCCCGCCGCCTCCATCTGTTCCATGTTACATCTCTCGAACTCTCCTTTGAATCTTGAACCATCTTCAACTGATCTTGAGTCTCGAACCAGTCCCTGGTTGCCATGACGTCAAATACTTTCCGAGCTCGTATTCACCACTCATACGCCTCGCGAGTCGTGACGACACGAGGCGATCGGGGATGTACCTGAAGCACAACAGGAGCAAGAGCGCAGCGAGATCCTCCGATACGAGGTCGCGCTATCAAAGACGCGGAATGTCGGATTGAAATATCTACCATCAATGAACGGAGCTCACGGAATGGTTGGCCGAAAGTGTGGTCGTATAAGCTTTGTAGTCGACGCATACATTATACTCTCCTCCACGTCATGACATCCGCGTCTCCCGAACCACCAGCTCCCCTCCTGCTTGACACCTTCACTCTTTCTGCTCGTAAAGTCCGTGTTAGTGTATCTAATGCTCGACGACAATCCACAATCCACAATCCACAATCCTCGCTCGTTGACCCTTGCTGCCGAGCTCGAGTACGATCAATACCGTCGATCAGCGGAGAATATCGAGCCAGAAGCTCTCAGCAGTACGAGGTTTCCACCAATCGTCGCTCAGTCACTGACCACCTTCAAGGAAATGCCTCCCCTCGATTCCATCGCGGTCGCCACACAACGGCACGCCCTTGAGCGAAGAGACTGGGCCAGCGAGAACCCCGGCCCTATCCTGGTTTTCTGCATCGTCTTCATCGTGGCCATGGGTGTAATTATCCTCTTCTTGTACCGGAAATGGATGGCGCGGAGGGCTACTCAGCAGTCCTATGAGTGAGCGATGGCGTGTTTTTACAGCTCATACTGTGTACGGTTACGCCGACAATACTTGAACGATGATAATGAACTTGTCCGGATTTGATCTTGATATCATGGCAAAGAGCTTTGTTGCGAATCGTAGGACCCAGAAGCGTCAAAGCCGTCCATGGCTACATATCATGAGGTGCATACTCGACCTGGCCGTTGGACCTATTCTTTGATTGATATACAAAAAGAATTCACAAACCAAGCCCCGGTCTCAGACACGGGTCACTGTCCAACTCCGTGGAAAATGCAGTAAGAGCGAGGAAAAAAAAAACCACGTCGACTCCTTGGAGAATAACGTCGTAGGAGAAGGCGTCTTCCGAACTCATTCCACTGATTAAAGACTTTGCGAGGGAAACAACTACTGACAGCAACAGCGCTGAATATCATTGTACCAAGCAGACGCAGAATGTTTATGAGCAAGGGCCCTCTTCTTCCCGTCGCAGCGATGCCTATGGAAACATTGCTCACCAAGCCCCGGCGACGAACTCTTGGTCTAGGAATTATGGCCGCCGCGGTTAGCTCTCGATACTAGTCCACCGACTTTCAGCAACATTGCATGCTGAGTCAAAATATTCTGCGATTTCAGCCACACCCAGAGGAGGACCCCTTCGCAAGCTTCATCTCTCCAGGTCGGACCCTTCCCTCAACACATTAGACACCTTCGGCAGCAAGTCATGAATATCCTTCAAGGCACTCCATTCTTGAAATCCCGGCACTGGTAAGGAAGAGCAAGATGTGCCGCGCCAGCTTTGTTGGGCGATTCTGGAGCTTCAGTGAGTGCAATGTTGCTGGGTGGTTCAAAGATAATAGGGCGAAGCACCATGGAAAACAACTCCGAGAGCTTGGATGGAACTAGTTTAATGCAAAAGTAGCAAAGTGAGTTCGTATCTTCGATCTAGGGCAATTGCAGATGGGACTTGGGAGTTCATGGGTATTTACTGCATTCATCTTATTTGTTCAGTCCGATTTTGTCGGTGTCCGTTGTCATTCGGCAGGGTGTCAGCGACCTCGAGTCAGTTCAAGATCGACGCCGACATACGATCTCGGGGTCGCTCATCCGCAGAGTCAGTTGGACCCTCATCCTCGGCTATCCCTCATCAACCGGACGCGCTGTTCCCAATCGTCGGTCTCCGAATAGGACAAAAACGACTCAGCAGTGGCGACCAAGCGCCGGATATACAATCGTCATTCCTCGGTCCGCCCGCCGATCCTGCAGCACATGAAAAGCACGCCTCCGCGCTGCACGAATGACCACAGTATGCATTTGGATTATCCGCGGAATCATCATGATGATGGCTTCACGGCGGGTTATAAGGAACCCCTCTCGGACTGTCCGTATAGTTCGAGTTTCAAGTCTAGGTCCAAGCGCACCAGCTGTACCCCCTCACATATCCCTTCAAATTTAGCCGCTTAATACACGGCATATGCGCCATGGATAAACACCTTTCGCGTGTCATGGTTGGTCTGAAGCAGCTGCCCATCCGCACCCTGCTGGCCACTTTCTGGAAGGACCCGAAACGCCGCTATGGCCTTTCGGCGGCGCTCCTGGCGGCGTACATGCTGCTAGCGCGGTCGCTGCGATTCCGGAGGCTGAAGCGGCTGCGAAGGGTCTATGGCAAGTATAGCACGCGAGAGGAGATGGCGACCATGACGGACCACGATGCGTGGGAGATTCAGAAGACAATGCTTGTGATGGAGTTCCCGTCTGCATCGCTCAAGGCGCTGCAGTTTGCTTTATTCAGAGTAAGCCCCTTCTTCTTACCTCGTATCAAGCCATGTAAGCATAGCTGATAGTGTCTAGACATACGGCATCCCCACAATCTCCGGCCTCCTCCTCCGCACATCGCAATTCTCCAACCCCGCCACCTCCTTCAAACGCTACGCCGACACAGGCGCCCTAATCGGCCAATTCATGGCCTTCGATCCGACCTCCGAGCGCGCACAAACAGCCATTGCGCGCACCAAATTCCTACACACGGGGTACCGCTCCAGCGGGAAGATTCTCGAGTCTGACATGCTCTACACGCTGAGTCTCTTCGCGCTGGAACCGATCCGCTTCATCGCCATGTTCGAGTGGCGCGAGCTCAGTGACCTCGAGCAGTGCGCTATCGGTACATACTGGAAGAGTCTTGGGGATGCGCTGGATATCAGCTTTGCGGTGCTGCCCTCGGGGCCGCATGGGTTCAAGGATGGGCTGCATTTTCTGGAGGAATTGAGGGAGTGGAGTGTCAAGTATGAGATGGACTATATGAAGCCGACGCCGCAGAATAAAGAGGTTGCGGAGAAGACGATGGATGTGCTGCTGTATGCGGTGCCGAAGGTGCTGAGGCCGATCGGGGTGAATTTTGCGAGCTGTGTGATGGATGATAGACTGCGAGAGGCGATGATGTACATGTCCCCAACAGTTCTCTCTCCACAGCGCTGTCATGCTAACCCTAAATCCACAGGTACCCACCACCCCCAGCGATCTACAAAGCCATCTTCTCCTCCCTCGTGACCCTGCGCCGCTTCTACCTCGGCCACCTCGCCCTCCCACGCGCAAACTTCCAACGCATCGACATCTTCACCGATAAGCCAAACGAGTACGGCCGGTACTACGTCAACCTGTACGAGGCGATTCCCTACTACGTCAAGCCGACGCTGTGGAATCGCTGGGGTCCCGGCGCGTGGGTGAGCTGGGCGATGGGGATGCCGCTGCCTGGAGACGACGATGACAAGTACTACCCGCGCGGATTCGATCTGGAGGATCTGGGACCCAAGTACTTTGAGGGGAAGGGGAGGAAATCCGTTGCAGAGATCCGGGAGCAGTTGAAGAAGGAGCGCAGAGGGCAGTCGCCGTTTACGCCGGAGCTGCCGAGTGCGGAGGATGCCAAGTTTGGGGATTCGATGGTAGAGATTGTCAATGGGGATGTTTCGCCTGTTTGATTGTCTTTTATCTGTTTCTCTCAAAGAGATTTGGCCTTTTAGAACTATGCATTGTATGTCGTCATGCGCGCAGGTGCACCCATGGTTCGCGGGCCTGAGGTCATAATTGCCCCAACGGCTCACCAACTTCAATTTCACATCAATTATTCTTCAATTCTTTGGCGATGTGACAGAGTCAATGAGTCGAAAATAGAATGAACCGCGAAAACGACCTCGATGCCTGGATCCTAGGCAGCGGCATCTCCTCCCTAACCGCCGCCGTCCACCTCATCCAAGAAGCCCACGTCCCTCCTTCACGCATCCACATCCTCGAGAAACTCAGCGTCGCCGGCGGCACAACAGTCAGCTACGGCGATGCAGAGCATGGGTACGACTTCCGCGCGGGCGTCCGCCCGCAATTCAACGACATGTGTATGGACACACTCCTCTCCCTCGTCCCGTCACTAAGTGACCCGAACCGGACGGTGCGTGACGAGATCTACCAATACGTCGAGGGGATGGTTATACCAAAGGCGCAGACAAGGTTCCTTACACATACGCCGCATGGGGTCGGACTGGGGAATGGGAGGAAGATGGGGCTGGGCGTGCGCGATCGGCTCGATCTGTTTAAGCTTGCGAGCAAGTCGGAGAGGGCGATTGGGCGCGCGAGGATCTGTGATTTCTTTGGCGAGGGGTTCTTTCGGAGTGGATATTGGCTGTCGTTGGCCACGGCGTGCGTTGATTCTTCCTCTGCTTTCCCCCTCTTTCTATGGGTGAGATGTGCTGATGAGGTGGCGTATAGATTTGGCTTGAAGCCCACGCATTCGGCCGCTGAGTTTCGGCGATACCTCCATCGATTCAATGACTTGCACGCCCTGAATGATCCGCATGTCCTTGACTTTGGGAAGTACAATGTCCACGAGTCCATCATGGTCCCTGTTGCGCGCTTCCTGCAAGCACAGGGTGTAGACTTTCGCTTCAACACGACAATATGCGACATCCTCTTTGCTCACGACAACCCCGACGATCCCACCGAGCCAACGAGGGTAACAGCAATCCAGATCTTACCTGCCAGAGAGAGGGGCACCTCGATCCGCTCTCGCGATGAACAGATCATCCGGCTGAGCCCCGCCGATATAGTGATTGTGACACTTGGCTCCATCTACTCGTCCATCCTGACGGGGAACAACACACGCTCTCCACCCTGTCTCGAGCGCGTCCCTACAACCCTAACCATGCCTGACGACGCCGGCAACGATACCTCTCCAGACGAAGACTCGCCCATCGACTCGGAACTCGACGAGAATTGGCTCCTCTGGCTCGAGCTCTGCACCAAACACCCGAAATTCGGCAACGCGTACAACTTTTGCACGCGGATACACGAGTCCCGTATCGAGTCGTTCACAATCACCTTTTCCTCGCCGGAATTCTTCACTCGGCTCGCGGAGACGACGGGCAATGACCCCGGACCGAATACGATCCTCACCTTGCGGGACTCCTCGTGGCTGATCACACTCCGGATCCCCGCGCAGCCTGTGTTCCCAGACCAGCCGGCGAACATTGAAGTCTGCTGGGGGTACGCACTCCACCCGGATAAAGTAGGCGACTACGTTTCGAAGCCGATGCTGTACTGCTCCGGCGAGGAAATCCTAACTGAGATCCTGGCTCATCTCCGCTGGGAGCCCGAGCAAATTCTAGAGAATGCGATAACCATCCCGTGTATCCAGCCGCGGGCTGCGTCGACGCTGCTCCCGCGGGATCCAGAGGATCGGCCGACTGTGATCCCCAAGGGGATGCACAACATGGCGGTGATTGGTCCGTTTGTGGAGATACCGGACGAGGTTGTTGTTACGACGGATTATAGTGTTCGTGGGGCGCAGATGGCTGTTCGGGGGCTTATGGGGTTGGGAGGGAGTGTGAGGAAGAGCAAGAAGGCGAGTGCAATTAGTTTGCTGGGGCTGTTGTAGACATTTTGAGTTCATCGTATTTACAGGGCTATTCAGCGAGAAAGTATGTGTATGTACAATAAACAGGCTGAGAGATCTGATCTTGCCAACACCAGCATTCGTAACCACAGTGGCAGGCACATCCGGAACCCCATAATGGTCCATCAGACTGTCCTTGACCAGCGCAAACTCATCGAGCACCGGCTGTTCAACCAACCCAGGCCAGCTCCCACTCGCACTCCGCCGGTTCCACTCGCAGATATACCCCAGACTCGCCGTGCAAGTGCCCGCGGCGTCCACCGTGGGCGTATCATAGATCAACGCCCCGGAAGACAAACCTGTGACTGCCCCTTGGGGGAGAAGGTACGTACTCGTCTAGACTCGAGGGCGTCTGCGGCTCGGCGTCGCCGCCGCCTGTTGTGCCTGCTGCGAAGCCAGAGGCGGATCCGACGACCTGGGCGTTGCTTGTGGCGGAATAGAGGAGGAAGGTGAAAAGGGAAGTGAGGGCTGCTTGTTTCATGTTGCCGGCTATCTTGGTTGCTTTGGTAGGGTCGAGCTGGGTTGAGTGTAGAGCATGATGTTAGGGCAAGGTTATGCAGCGCGGATTCTTGTACCTAGAACTTTCCCATCCCCGCTCCTTTTCGAAGAGTAGTCCAAGTTCATGGATTTTATTGACTTGGCTAAGCGGAGCGGAGTCGCAACCGTTTCGAGCAGCGGAGGTATCGACGAAATAATGTCCCCGTGCTGAGCATGTCCTCACTATAGAGGAAGGACATCCATCTCAGACGCACGAACGTCACATCCGGACTCGATTCATAGATAGTATCTGCACACACGCCCAAAGTTCTTCATGGGAAGATTAAATAGCCTAAGCCGTCTCTAGGTTTGTCCACAATGTCCGGAGTAGATCAAGTGTAGCTTAATAGGGTAGTTTTCCTGTGGTTCCGCCAATCAGCCTGAAACGCCGACAGGATGCATGGAACGGCCATTACGGGGAGGAGTCTGGGCGCGTCAGAGCGGGCTGTTTTCTTATTGGAAACAAACCCGATGTCTGCGGAGAATGCCTAGTACGCACAGTCCTTGCAGGCCCTGGACGAACTTCTTTGATCGACTGAGTCAGTTGGCTTGACACTTTCCCAGGGCAATGAGTCGGCGGAGCCAGATAGGGTAGAGAGAAGCTCACCGTGCTTTTGTTTCATGACATCCTGAGTGACTAGAATGTAGAAGACAAAGCCAGAAGTAGCGGCTCACCGTTACGACTGTTGATAGTTGGATCCTCGACCCGAGCACCGCGCACGTCTTCACGAGGGTTCCGGGCTGCGCAACAGCCATCTATCCCAAATGACAAGAATTCGGACAGGATGCCCGTCTTTGTGACCCTGATCGTTGTCCCTTTGGACATTAGATATGCTATATCCCCCACCTTGATTCCCTGCGCCTGCGTCTACCCTATACCAAGACCCTTGCCTGTACCCAAACCCGTACCCTGACCTTGTACCCTAATGTTATACCCCAGACCGACCTCTACTCCTCATTCCCACCTCTGATTGTGCACCCTGCACGACTAGGGATAAGACAGGTATTGAAAATTGTCGTGCCGCAAATGGAATCATTGCAGTTGATAGCCTCCATACAGGAAGATGAGTGCTTATCGGCGCCGATGAGAGCACTGCAGAAGGCCAAGTGAGCGAAAGATGCTTGAGTAAACAAACCCTCTTGGTATTATAGCAATAAAATCATCAAAAGTTACACACAGTCTATATTAGTGATATACAACACAACCCCTACTGAACCCACCCCTCCCTCTTCATAACCTCTCCCGTCCACTGCTCCAACCTCTCCGCAAGCCTTGCATCCTTGGCCGCACCACTCTGCCACCACGGCTCCCCGCACCGCCCAAAGACGTCGAGATACCCCCCAGCCTGCTCAGCCTTCATCTCCGCACCCGCCACACAGAACAAACTATTCCACGACCCCTTATCCGCCGACCACACGAGTCCAAGCATACGCGCAATCGCGACAACCCCGACAAAACTCGACCCAGACGCCTTGTCCACAGACGACGACAGATTCGTCTCGACGATCCCGGGGTGCACGCTCGAGACCCAAATCTCGCCTTCGCCGGCGCGCGCACGCTCAGACCCCGGCCCGTACACTGCATGCAGTGTTTTCGCGTGCAGGATGTTCGCGAGCTTGCTCTGCCCGTACCGCGCCCAGACCCCGCTCTCGCTTAGCGCGGGGTCGTCGAAATGGATCCCGTCCTTTGGCGCGGCGAGGTGGCCCGAGGATGTGATGTTGACGATGCGCACGCTACCGGCGGGGGCCCCTTTCGCCGTGCGCCGCAATACAGGGAGCAAATGCGTGGTGAAGACCCAGTGCGCGAGGTAGTTTGTCTGCCACTGCGCTTCGTGGCCGTCTGTTGTCATCTCAAAGGGCGTCGCCATGATTCCGGCGTTGTTGACGAGGCCGTGGAGGGTGGTTTCGAGGGTGAGGAAGTGGTTTGCGGCGTGGACGACGGTGGATAGGTCGGTGAGGTCCATTTGGAGCAGGGAGATTTTCGCGCTGGGGTGCTTTTCTTTGATGCTGTTTATCGCGGCGGTGCCTTTTTCCGGGGAGCGCGCGCACATGTAGACGTGGGCGCCGTGGGCCGCGAGGTGCGAGACGGTGTAGAAGCCACTGGGTTTGGTGAGATTGGTGATGTGCAAGGTTGTGAGAGTAGTGAAGACGGTACTTACATTCCGGAGTTGCCGCCTGTAACTATGAAGACTTTGCCCGTGAGGTTGGGGAGAGAGTCTGGATGGAAGGTCATGTCGAATGGATATGTGAGTTGAAGTGGAGGTGTGATGGTTGGAAAGACGATGCAGGGTCTTGGATTGAGATTGTTCTGTTTGATGATAAACATATTGTATTGAAGGAGTCGCTGCAAGCTTTATATTGTTTCTCTGGTCTTAAGCAACGATAAAGTCCGAGATACTTCCATGCGCAGCGTCTTAACTCCTCCCGTAGCCAAGCACTCGATATCGTGAGCCCAGAGCAAGGAAGCCGCATGATTCTTCTTGCAAGGGTCAAGGTAACAGACTAATCATGGTCAGACTGGTGACTTGGCATTGTGAGCAGGCTGCATGACGCTAGGCCTGCCCAAGTTAGACCCCAGCACTCACTGCTCAGTCTGCGCCCCAATGGAAGCCATCTCCATCTCACCTCGTCGATTTATCTCCGGCGTCAATCTCCTTGTCGTGAGCATCCTGCATGGACCGCCCCGAGCCACCGGTCAGATTCTGCATCATCCATCGCGAATTCCGCCATCACCATCACCATGAATAATACGCCTCAGTCGGTAAATCCGGTAGTGCCGCACATCCAGGTTGCTTTGATGCCGCAGCTAGTCGAGGTACGTCCGAAAGCCGCCCTTCCATTGTCGAGACGGCGTGACATGCTCACTGCGTGCAGGCGATACGGAAGGATGACGATTGGACTGGGACCAAGGATGCTGCAGCGCGCAGGCGAGCTCAGACTCGGCTTAATACAAGGGCTTATCGTAAGTAGATCTCAAGCCTTGTCCTCTCTTCCGTTTAGTGCCAGTCCGAGCGGACCTGCTCATCATGGTCGCTCTATGCCATTATTGTACCTAACAACCTAGTAGGGAGACGCAAAGCCCGAGAAGCAGCGAAAGGAACAGAAGCCACAGCAGCGAGCTGTACTGGCAGTGCCGCCACAACTGCCCCTCAATCCAAAGTAGAGGAAGCGCTGGTAGAATGTTGGGACATATCACAGCAGTCCGTCGCTGTCGTCGCCGCACCCCGCATGAAGCAAGTATACAACGCGCGAAACCCCTTGCTGCTCCCCCCAGAACAAGACGGACGTCGAGATCAACAGCACCGATTCAAAAACACCATCTTCCCCCTCTGCCTGGATCACCTAATAACCCTCGTCCAATACAACGCCCTCCGCGCCCTCGCCGCAAACCGCGCCCTGACCAACCAACTCCTCACAACGCCACTCCTCTGCACCGACGAAGTCATCCACGTCCTCCCCTCCCCCTCCACCCCTCAACACCTCCACACTCTCCCAGCATCGCTTCACCCAACACATCTCCAGCAAACAATCCCCCACGGCGACTGGATCGACCTCTTCCCGAGCCCCGAGGGCCGCGACAGACTCATCCGGGCCGCTGGGACATTCGACGAGGACGAGCTGTGGGAGGATTGTATTGGGGGATTGTATGAGGGGTTTCCGGACGATGAGATGTCGCGTCGTGGGCTTATTGCGTGGTCGCCGCCGTGGGATGTGTCTGGGTGGGAGATGTCCGAGGGGTTTGTGAGCAAGTGGGGGTGGTTGTTTGCGGGGCTGCCGGGGATGTTGGAGGCGACGAATCGGTGGAGGGCGCACAGGGGGGAGGGGCCGTTGGTTTGGGAAGTTGAATAGGTTATTGACATTGAATGGAATGTGCAGCGAAGTGAGCTTTTTGGTGCCTAGCGACGTTTTGAGTCAGTGAACGGGCTATACACACAGTATCCACCCCATCCAACGCGCTACAGATCCCCCCCGTAGATTGGACTCCTATGAAAACCCATCTCGCTGTTGGTATAGTGAGCCTGAACACTGCGCGCCTTGGACCCATTAAAACACGAGACGAGCATAACCTAGCAGGGTAAGAGGGAGAGAGAGAAAATGTGTGTGTTAACATGGTGATCCAGACATATAAGAGGGTATTTAGAAGCGAGGGCAATACATACCGGCGCCACTTGATGCTCCTTGTAAACAATCAAGCTCAGGCGGATTCACATGATCCCAATGGCAATCAGAAGTTCCGTACGGAGAAGATCTGCCCCAGCCGGATGGTGGTGCATGGGGGTGGCCATAATATGTGGCGGCGGGTCCGTGTTCATGCTTAGGTCGTCTGAGTCGTCTTGTTCCCGATACCAGACCGAGTCTATCTCCGTGCCCCACGAGGCGAGAGGGTTGGTATTCCCGCCGGCAGCGAACACGCGCGGAGTCATAAAACAGCTCTTGAGTCTTGAGTGATTCAAGAGATCTAGACTATACTTAGTACTGCGCTTTCCTCATGAGATAGTACTAGGGCGAGGGAGGGGTAAAGTGAATATAGCTACATATTGTCAAAGCCTGCGAAGCCTAAGTCATGGGTAAAATGACATAAAAGTGAAGGTAAGATCCGTTAAAAGTGAATCTTAAACGGACAGAGAGTTTCTAGGCGTAACCGATGGAGATATGTTGAGTATTGAATCAGTCATGGCCTAGTATAGAGCTGCGACCTCAGCTTCCTTGACAGATCTAGTCAACGCCTCAAAGGCAGAGGCACGGTACCTTTTTTGTCTTACCTGCCCTTGCACCTAATCCTAAGGCCACCCCACCTGTCCCAGCAGATCTTTATAATAATCAAGTTAAGTATTGTACAAAGCGTTAATTACAAGGTATTATGCTAAGCCTTGAATAAACACTAGACGAGACGATTCACATTCAAACCCTCAATATCCCCGCATTAGAAACCCACTTGATAAACCGATGAAGCTGATTCATATCATTGTCATCAAAGCGCGTGAGAAGCAATCCCAAACTGGAACTGGACTCGGGTTCGCTAATTGTCTGCGTCTGCTGCACGCTGATTATCATCGCCTGCGCCAGTGTCCAGTATTCTGGTGCATACTCCATAAACCCGGTGCGCTTCCAGCACTCGGCTGGTGATCCAGGGTTCAAGCATGCGGGATCCATTGTATCGAGTGATTCGTGCTCGGCCCATATGAGTTTCCAGTTGTTAAGGCCTTGTTGGATTGGCAGGATAGCGGCCTGTGGGGCGAGGGTATTTCGGACGTGGAAGAGGAGGGTGTGGAATGCTTGGTACGGAATTAGATGAAGAGCCGCGGAGAAAAGGCATGTGGTACTCACCGCTGACTATCATGAAGATATTCAACTTGCCCAGTCGAGCAATGTAGTCACGTTCTGGAGCGCTCAGATCGCCCTGACACACCCTGAAAACCAATCCTGTAAAGGAGTAGGCCGAGATCGGCATCGTTTTGTCTCGCTCAGCAAGGTACGTGAAGCAGTCAGTTGCGGTAGTTGCTTGGAAGCAGCGCTCCGAACAGAGAGGGTCGATGTTAAGCTCTGATACCGACACTTTCGGCGGCGTATTGTTGAAGATGACAAAGGCCGTGTCGAGCAGAAAGATGTATGCCAGCGTCCTAAGGGAGTCAGCCGGTGGCCTGCTAACTACCGAGCGGTCTACCTGTTGAACTCCTCCTTTACAATGAACCGATCCCAATTCTTCTCCTCTGTCATCAGCTCATGATGGCTGCCCGGGGCGAATCCTAGTTCGCGACCGATCTAAAATGTTAGTACTCCAGAAATGTTTGCCAAAGGCGAGTAGGCGTACCGATGTCACCATACTAAACCTGACCCGCCTAATCCGTCTCTTGCTGTTGGCATCCCCCTCCCAGTTCTGCAATAGGCACATCAAGTACGCCGCCTGAAGAGCCCTCACCGCATCCCGACGAATTGTGAAATCATCCGCGGTTTGATCACCCGTTGATACTGCTCGGCGAAAATGCTCGTCGGCAAAGACCAACTCTTCGGCGCTGTCGAACCAAAGCTTCGCATTCCGCTGTATCCCCTCCTCCGGCGCGAAGCTCGCGCCAATCAACGTCATGGATAAAAGTAGGGTATGCGGTGCGTCGTATACGTCAAAGGTCGGTTTATGGATGATGGGGCAGTTCGGGTACCAGAATGACCAGAAGTATGCCAGATATCGCCTGACGTTTGGGGGACTGAAGAACTGGACACAGACTTTTTCAATAAATGGCGACCACGTCAGGTTGATCGACGACCCAGGACTTGGATTGGATGCAACCTCCTTCAGCGCATAGACAAGCTTGTTGGTGATTGCGGCCAGCGGATCAGAAAGCCAGTCCCTACCAATTGATAATCGTCGAGACATCCCAGTAGACACCTCTGCGCTCCCGTGTGACGGTAGGGACAGGGGCAGAAAGTCTAGAGATATCGACATGTCTGGATCCTTGTCTGCCAGTACCATCTCAGTCACAGCCGCTGCCAGTTCTCTAATCTCGTATTCTCTCATGCATTCAAACGAGCTGACGAAGCCGGTGACGCTGGTGAACTTGTCGAGGAAATGAAACCTTCCAAAGGTGAAACTCGTAAATGCCGAGGCCGAAAGACCAATGACTGAATCGAAAGGCGCTGAGTCAAGTTGGAAGTTGGGAGAGAAGTCACTTTGAATGAGCGATGTGAATGCATCCGACGGCGTCGAATACGTATCAAATCCCGTCACAAAATCCAAGATGGACGTATCAACAGCAGGCGAAGAGTTACTGTCGGCTCCTCGAGTCCGGTCTGCATATTGATAAGTGCATTCATGATTCTTCGCATGGCATGCCTCACACGGCGAGCTCTGGCTACACGCCTTCTTCAGGCGGACACAGCGATCACAGGCTCGGCGCTTCTTTGGGCGCGGAGCAGCAGGCAGCTGAGGTATTTCAGCGCCAGCGTCGACTCGAGACTTGCAGGTGCGCCAGTGTCGTTGCAAAACATCACTTTCTCCGTCAGTTGAGTTGCAAGGTGGAGCGAATGTCCTGGTATACCTTCTCTTGAATGATTGCGTACAAAACGTACAGCGATAAGGGCGGTCTCCACGGTCTGCATTATTCGACATCAGTTGACGGTCGGTTCCAAAGTTGGGTTGGACATACGGCACACCCGATGGCGTTCAAGGTGCTCCTGACGACGGAAGGAGGCAGGACATTGTGGGCAGTAGTGGCGCGATTCCGACATGGAGAAGTGTATGGGGCAGGGAATGCTGCCTGGAGGAGGCCAAGTTCCCAGATGAAATTGCCAGCCTGGGGTTTAGCAACAAGTGCGGGGTCGAGCTGGCCCCAAGATTTGCCAAATCGGGGACAATGTGTGGAGTCCAATTGAGGCATTGCAAAAGATGCGGTCCACTGTGGGGGGAACTCCGATTTACGAGCGGCGCCTCCCCCACTGCGACTATTGATGAAGATCGCACTCTTTGCCTCATAAAGCGGAAAATGTCCCGTGCGGTCCTCCGTCGTTCCGCTCATCCATCAATCCATGCACGAGAATGACACCAACAAAATTCAAGGCGGCTGTTCTACTTGTAAGTTTTTCCCACGCGAGCAAGAGCCACAACTCACCAAAGAAGGAACCAGGCCCGCAACCGACGTATGCAATTGAAGAGCTGCCAGTACCAGACCTCGGGCCTCTGGAAGTCCTCGTCAAGCTCTCCGCAACCGGCGTCTGTGGAACAGACCTAGCGCTTGCCTCTGGTGTTCTCGGACCAACGTGCCCTATCCTAGGCCATGAAGGCGTCGGTCGCATAGCCAAGGTGGGCTCCGCCTTGATGTCTGAGGAGGCGATCCAGGTAGGTGACCGCGTTGGCGTGTCTTGGGTGCGCGATGTCTGTGGCCGATGTACCGCGTGTCTAGCAGATGGCGGCGAAGCACGGTGCCTCGACCAGATACATTCGGGTCGGAAGGTCAATGGAACGTTTGGCCAGTATACTGTTGTTCCAGCGCGATATCTGATTCCCCTACCAGATGGGCCGACCGATGAGCAGCTAGCTCCTATCCTATGTGCCGGCGTCACTGCATACAAGGCGCTGAAAGTGTGTGGTGCAACGCCAGGACAATGGATTGGCATCTGGGGAAGCGGTGGCGCCGTAGGCTCCATGGCCTTGCAGTATGCTCGGGCGATGGGATATCGGACCGTCGCGATCGATGCAGGAGACGAGAAAGGGGCGTTGTCCAAGGCCACCGGGGCGGATGTGTACATTGATGTACTGCATACGAAAGACGTTCCTGGAGCAGTGGCGTCATTGACGAGAGGTCACGGAGTGAGTGCTGCATTGGCCATTGCCGGAAAAGCGACTGCGTATGAGGACGCATTGAAATCGGTGGCCCCGTTTGGTACTCTGGTCTGTGTCGGAATTCCACCTCCAAGTGAGCTTGTCAGCTTCCATCCGCTCCTTCTCATCGACAAAGGGATTCGAGTCATTGGGTCGATGGTCGGGACGCGAGGAGATATGCGGGAGGCTGTCGAGTTTGTTGTGTCGGGGAGGGTGACGCCCGATGTTCAGGTCATCGAGTTTGATCAGATCACCAATATCCTCGATCCAAAAGTCGCAAACAACGTAGGGTTGCCCATAAAGAGTCTTTGTCGTGAGAGCTAATCAAAGTAAAACAGGGTCCCAAGTACATAGTCCGGATTCCTTGAACTATGGTGTGATGGCGTTGTTGGGGTGTCATGGGCAGATGGTTGTTTGAGATAGAAAATAGTAGACGGTTATCATTCCGAGTATATCAGAATCGGGGCCATGGGTCGCTCCTTCCTGACGATTGTTCAATTCCGTAACAGGCAACTACGCTCCCTGAATCGGTCGCCCCTTCCTCGCTAGTCCGATATACCACAAAGGAAGGCACGATGTGTCCCTAGGGTGATACCGGTCCATCGCACCTTCCAAGTTTTGATGCTGGGGATATCGGCGATAAGGATACCCAACAGGCTCTCATATCAAGCCATCCGTTACGCCTCTGTTGCACTCTTACTCTCGCATCTCCACGGTGACCATCACGGATCGGTCGTCGCTCCACCCCCGCCTCCTCACGAACCACACTTGCGGGTCTGCCCCGAGAATCTGGGGGAGTTCCGGTCGGGAGGATTACCATCATCTGGATACTGCAAGGCTTCTTGTAGCGGACCATGGTTTGGATTCAAGTTGATCGAAGCGGAGGAGACATCGGCGCTCTCCCCACGCGGGCCGAAGATCCCAGGATTGCGGGGTATATAACGCATGAGAGTGTCCAGCCTTGAGCGGGAATTCCTATCCTCTCCAGACCTTTTCATCAAGTTTTGGCAATTTGAACTGTTTCCACAATGGCATCTTCCGTCCCCGCTCCGCGAGCCCTCCCCCCGAACACGAGTCTCGATGCCTTTTCGCGCTTCATCACCGCTGCTCGAGCCATCGTCAGCCCCGCAAACCTCCGAGTAATAACTCCCGACACTGAACTTGTCGACGGCTCCTACTATGAGCCTCCGAAGACCCACGATCCTCACCACGTCCTCGATCAGGACTACTTTGTCGCGTCAGCTGTTGTCGACCCGCGCTCCGTCCCCGAAGTCCAGGAACTCGTCCGCCTAGCAAATGAGTACCAGATCCCGCTGTGGCCGACTAGCATTGGCCGGAATTCTGGGTATGGAGGGGCTGCGCCAAGACTGAGGGGAAGCGTCGTGATTGACATGGGCAAGTATATGAACCGTGTCCTCGAGGTAAATGTCGATGGGGCATTTGCCGTCGTTGAGCCGGGCGTCACCTTTGCGTCGCTTTATCAGTATCTTGTTGATAATGGGTTGAGTGACAAGTTGTGGATTGACGTACGCCATGCCCAATTTTTCTGTAAGGAGCCGAACTAATAATATGCGTAGGTACCTGACATCGGAGGCGGCTCCGTGATGGGAAACACCCTGGAGCGTGGAGTCGGATATACTCCTTACGGCGGTACGTCGTCACTCGTTACCTCTTGAAGACCCGGCTGACAGACTAGATCATTGGATGATGCACTGCGGGATGGAAGTCATTCTCCCCTCGGGCGAACTCATGCGCACCGGCATGGGTGCCCTCCCTCAGAATCCAAAGACCGGCTCCAAGCACGACCACGAAGACGAGGCGAACAAGTGCTGGCAACTTTTCCCATACGGGTTCGGTCCATACAACGACGGTCTGTTTTCGCAGGGTAATGTTGGTATCTGCACGAAGATGGGAATATGGGTACGCCGTCTTTTCTTATATTCATGGTGATCGGAGCTAATATCATGAGCAGTTGATGCCGAACCCCGGTGGATACCAGGCGTACATGATCACACTGCCTAGAGACGAGGATCTACATAAGGCTGTCGATATTATTCGGCCCCTACGTGTTGTATGCATAACCTCATCCCTGGTCATCATGCGATCATACTAAGTAGAGACAGCAAATGATCCTTCAAAATGTCCCTACGCTCCGCCACATCCTCATCGATGCCGCAGTCCTCGGCTCCAAATCATCCTACACCTCGAATATCAACAAGCCGCTCGATGATGCCGAGCTAGATGCGATCGCAAAGAAACTAAACCTTGGCCGGTGGAACTTTTACGGCGCACTCTACGTACGCCGCTCCTTGCTCCACTCTGAACACCCCAAAGGGCTAACAGGTCACTCAATAGGGCCCTGAACCAATCCGCAACATTCACTGGAAACTCATAAAGGAAGCCTTTTCCGTAATTCCTGGTGCCAAGTTTTTCTTCCCAGAGGATATCAAGGAGAATTGCGTGCTGCATACACGCGCAAAGACCCTCTCGGGTATACCGACCTTTAATGAGCTCAAGTGGATCGACTGGCTCCCCAACGGCGCACACCTGTTCTTCTCTCCGATTTCCAAGATCTCGGGTGATGATGCGATGTTGCAGTACGAGGTTACGAAGAAGCGATGTACCGAGGCTGGACTTGATTTCATCGGAACATTTACAGTCGGGATGAGGGAGATGCGTACGTTCCTTTTCTTTTTTTTTTTTTCTGGCGAACAAGTACTAACCACCAGTCCAGACCACATCGTTTGCATCGTCTTCGACCGCAAATCCCCGGAAATGAAGAAACGCGCACACTGGCTGATCAAGACGCTCATCGCCGACTGCGCCGAGCACGGCTGGGGCGAGTACCGCACGCACCTGGCGCTGATGGACCAGATCGCCGAGACGTACAACTGGAACCACAATGCGCTGATGCGGTTCAACGAGACGGTCAAGAATGCGCTCGATCCAAAGGGGATTATCGCGCCGGGGAAGAATGGCGTTTGGCCGAAGAGTTATGATCGGAGGGTTTATAAGTTGTGATTGTGATTGTGCAGTAATTTGAGACTAGGTTAGGAATACGTTTTATGGTTTACTAGTATGAGGAGTGTGATTTGTATGAGGTGGGTGGCTTGGTGAGAGCACCACCAGTCCAGGCGATCTAGACCGCATAATAAGGGCAGTTGGTGGTCGGCAATGCGCCCCCCGCGTTTCGCCCACCAAGTCACCTGCTTCGGGTTTTCCCCGCACTTTCAACCACTCTCGCCGTCATCAGGTATCAGTTAAATTAATCAGCTACAGCTCAGCTCGATCCCTTTAATCTTAATCCCAACCTCAACATCAAACAGACACTGCTCCATCATTCCAACTTCATCCAGGGAGGCCACCCGTGGCTCCAGCTGGACCCCCACAGCCGCCCACAATGACTTCGACGTCGACCTCCCTCCTCACCCTCCCCAACGACATCCTCCTCCTAATCGCCGAAGCCACGACGCGAGAATGCGACCTCAACGCCCTAACCCAAACAAACACCCACCTCTACACCCTCCTCATCGACATGCTCTACAAAAACAACATCCGCCACCACAACTCGACCGCCCTCTTCTGGGGCGCGCGAACCGGCCAGCTCCCCACCGTAAAACGCATGCTCGCCCTGGGGGCGGATATCGAGGCGACGCAGAACCACTGCACGCCGCTCGAGGCGGCGTCGTGCTCGGGAAGAGAGGAGATGGTGCGGTATTTATTGTCTCGGGGCGCGAATTATGGGTTTTGGAGGTGTAGGCCGTGGACGCCGCTGTGCGCTGCGGCCGTTGAGGGGCATGCGGGGGTTGTGCGGATACTGCTGGATCGCACTCTCCCGCCTGTAAAGGACCAATGCGAAGATGGGTCGGGCAATCGGTTCATCTGCCGGAATAAGCAGGACACGCTCGTGAAAGCAATGTTCCTAAAGGATCCCTCGACGGGCCAGGATCCGCGGATCGAGTACTCGATCGCGCTGTTCATGGCGATAGCCAGTTCCGAGGATGAAGTCTGCAAGGTGTTGATTGAGAGCGGGAAAGCGAATCTCGATTACAAGGATGGCGGGCAGCGGACGGCGCTCGAGTGGGCGTATACGCATCGCCGGTTCCAGACGATGCAGATCTTGCTAAAACACGGCTCCGATCCGAACGTCGCGGGGCGCCAGAACCAGACGATCCTGCACGATGCCGCGTACGCGGGGTGTATCGAGGTCGTCCGCATGCTCGTCCGGAATCCGACGACGGACGTGAATCTCAAAGACCTGGAGGGGTTTACCCCGTTGCATGCAGCCGTTCGCGCGGGGCGGCTCGAGGTCCTGAAACTCTTGCTTGCGCGCAGCGACGTCGATGTGAACGTTCGGGACGGGTCGGGCCATTCAGCGCTCGTGCGCGCGATTCGGGATCTGAAGCTAAAGATTGTGCGGGTACTCGTGCGGCATCCGGGGATTGACCTCGAGGCCAAGGATACCCAGGGGATGACGCCGCTGTTTGCTGCTGCGAGGTACGATTATCTCGATTTGGTGGATTTGCTCTTGGATGCTGGGGCGCGCATCGATGCACGGGCGGATAATGATGGGCCCACGGACACGTTCGCGTACACGCCGCTCATGCAGGCTGTCGAGTGCAATAGGATGAAAGTCGTCTTGCGACTCGTCCTCGATCGAAGGGAGGAACTTCATACGAAGAATGCCCTTGGCTGGACGCCGCTCTTCTTCGCTGCCGTAAAGAGCGAATGGCAAATGACCAAGCTCCTGCTGTATCTCGGCGCCGACCCTCTGGTCCGCGACACGGAAGGAAACACGGCCCTCCTCTGCATGATCAAACGCACGCGGTACCAAGCCACAGGCAGCAAGGAAGACCGCACAATCCGCCTCCTCCTCGAACATGGAGTGGACCCCAACGTCCAGGACAAACACGGGCGCACCGCGCTCTCCTACGCTGTCGAATACCGCAACGACCGCGCGATCGCGACGCTCCTGGATTTTCAAAAGGCGGATGGGGTCACGACGGATTCGTGGGGGCATCCGATCAAGTTGTGGGCGCGGTCGAAGACGGAGGAGGAGTTTAAGCAGTTGGGGCAGAGGGCTTCGATTCCGAGTGCGTGGTTGTTGGGGCATGGGATTGATATTGGGTTGCCCGGGGCTGAGGGTACTGGGTTGGGGTGCGAAGAGGGGGATTCCAATTCGGGGAGGGAACAGGCGAGTCGGACGGTGAGTAGTTCGGTGCCGGTTGTGCAGTATTCAATTTGACGACTGCGGATGGGGTAATAGTGTAATATGAATGTAATCCGGAGTATTCAAATTTATCATCTTGCTCCAGGGCAGTCCATCCAGTAAGGGCGGCTATACACATATGGAGGCGAGTCCCTCCACTAGGCGTGTACTAACCGACAGTCACGGTCCAAAGTTCGTAAATAAGAAATCAATTCCGCCTTTAGAATGTCCGTGAGGAATGGTGCTTGCTAGGGCAAGGTTACCACAGCTCCAAGCGTCAAGGCTATCCCCGCATAGGCAATTGAATCGTCTAGAATACGCTCATTAACTGGCCGTATGTGAGCAAGTTAGAGCAGCACACCCTTCTATTGTCCTTAGTAGCTTAACAAGAATAGTAATCACGGGCCCTTTCCGCCAATGTTTGTATGGAAATAAGAAGTGGCCGTTAGAAGCGGAGCTGCATACAATAATTTCCATCTGTACCTGCATATGTTATAGGGTCTTATTTCAAGTATTTGAAACGGTCAATCAATAAGAGAGCTTTGTCTTGTCAGGATGTCGCCTGATTCAACTTTCAGGGGTTGAAGCTCATACGATGCGCCAATTTCCTATCCCGGCGGCCACTGATCCGTCTGGGCTGACTTGGGCTAGTACGCGGTATATTAACAACCACAAAGCAGTACTAGCGGTAGAGTTCATCTTTTCTGTGATTTGAAACAAAACAAGGTCAAGATGGATCTCATCCTCGATATACTCGACACGTTCCTCTTCGACCAGGTCTACTCGACCCTGCTTCCCGCATCGGGAGACCCACACAATGGCAACTACATCTATAACCAGGCCATTTCCGAATACATGCCCCTCGAGCCCTCACGATGGGCAGAACACAGCGCCCTCCAGCGTGACAACATCTTTCGTCAAACAATAAGCCTCTTTATCATTGCCTGGTGCTCTCTCCCTTTCCCTCCCATCTTATCCACACTCCCACCAGCTAACAATGAACAGGCTCTTCGGCACCTTTGTCTACCTGACAACCTCAACCCTAAGCTACATCTTCATCTTCGACAAAAAATCCCTCACGCACCCGAAATTCCTCACGCGCCAGATCCCCCTCGAACTCCGGACCGCCCTCTCCGCAATCCCGCTCATGGCCGCCCTCACCGTCCCCTTCTTCCTCGCCGAAGTCCGCGGCTACTCGAAGCTCTACAGCACCCCAGCCACCGCCCCATTCCCCCTATACAATATCCTGCAATACCCGCTCTTCATCGCCTTCACCGATTTCTGCATCTACTGGATCCACCGCGGCGAGCACCACCCGGCCGTGTACAAGTGGCTGCATAAGCGGCACCACCGGTGGATTGTGCCGAGTCCGTATGCGAGCTTTGCGTTTCATCCCGTAGACGGGTGGGCGCAGTCTTTGCCGTATCATGTGTTCCCGTTCCTTTGCCCGTTGGAGAAGAGGGCTTATCTGGCGCTCTTTGGGTTTGTGACGGTTTGGACGGTTTTTATTCGTGCGTTCCCACCATATTTGTTCTGTTCTGTTCTCTTTTGTTTTGGCGCGGGACAGAGCTCTCATTCCCTTGCTAATTCTAATTCTTTTTGCTTCGCTTTGGCAGACGACGGCGAGTACATCACCCGCTCGGCGATCATCAACGGGTCCGCCTGCCACACGTACCACCACCTGTACTTCAACTACAACTACGGGCAGTTCACGACGCTGTGGGATCGGTTGGGCGGGAGCTATCGCGAGCCCGACCCGGATCTGTTTGATCCGAAGACGAAGATGGGGAAGAGGCAGTGGGAGAAGCAGGTGAAGGAGATGGAGGAGATTGTTAGGGAGGTTGAGGGGGTTGATGAGCGGGAGTACCTTTATGAGAAGGGGGAGGAGGAGGAGGTTGAGAGTGAGGGGGTTGGTAGGGTTGGGGGTAAGGGGAAGGGGAAGAGGGAGTAAAGTGAAGAGAGTTTGTATCAAGACATGTATAGCATAGTATGGCTAATTTTTAACAGTAATTGTGACACTTAATTCGGATAGCTGGGGACGATAATGTCGGTGGTAGATTATGTAAAGTAGATGCGTATGTTTGATGTCGTCTATATTGCGTGAATCGTAAGGCTTGGTTGGATTTTTGGTCGGTTGTCATGAGGAATCGGAATCAACCGAGGCTACAAACTCATCGACGGCTTTCTCGACATCGCATTTCCTAAAACCTGGTGATCGCCCGAGACAGATAGCACCTCGCACCAGCCCTGGAAAAATTAGCAAAAGCAAACACAATGGGTACAGTCGGCATACTTGATATCAACCTCGTCGCCCCGGTCGCGTTCGGCGCCTTATCCCCCAACCCCACACTCGTAACCGCGGGGATATACGCCGGAAAGACAACCTCCCTCTCTCGCAGATACCCCTCCAGATCGCCCAGATCAAACCATTCATCGTCGAGCTCGCGCTGGATATCCGACGGGAACTGCGAGAGGTCGTCCGTTATCGTCGACGCCTTCTGCGAACGGTAGAACGGGTAGTGCCCAGCAGACTCCGGGGTGTAATGTGTCCCAGCGCCGCCAATCTGCAAGAACGGGATGTGGTCCCAGTGGTCGAGAGACTTATGCCCTGCGCGCGCGAGCAGCCAGTCCTTGAAGTACTCTGCGACTAACGCGCGCGGCATCAGGCTGAGGAGCATGCGAAAGGGCTTTTCCAGTCGGCGGAGGGGGACGGCGGGGTTTGCGGTAACGAGGTACGCTTGGTAGCAGCAGGTGACGTGGAGGCGGTCGATGAATTCGAGAATGTCCATTGTGTCGGCTTCGGAGGTGCTGGATGAGGGGGATGGGTAGATGGAGAGGAGCTTCTTCTGGCCTGAGCTGCCTGGCAGCTCGAGTTGGGTATCTGAGTTGCCGTCTAGCTGGTGAATAGCTGGTAGAGCTAGGCATGCCTGTACGGTGTTGCCGAGCGGGCGGAGTAGATCCGGGTACGTGTCCAACGCGCCCGACCGGACGAGCTCGTCGCCAAAGGAAATGACGGCTGTGCTCATCTGCTTGACAGCGGTTTCGAGTTGGTTGATGCGATCTTTGAGCGAGCTGACATTGGCTTCTTTTCGCGAGCGATACGCCCGCTGCGCCATACGGACTTGCATGCGACGTCGCTGCTATTAATTAGCAGATACTCGAATCATACCGGATGGAAAACGTACCTCCTCCGCATCAACACCCCCGTTCTCAAACACCTTTCGTGGCCTCCCGCGCTTCCTCACCGCATCGCCATTCCCAGTCTTGGTGGAGTGCTTCGGCGGAATGGGCGCGGCAAGAGCCGAGGCATCCCCAACCGGCAGACCTTGCGAAGACTCATTCTCCAGCACAACGCCCCCATATAACTGAACGGGGTTACTCTGACCAAACTCCTGCTCCGGCATCTGTACCGGCTCAGGCATCGGATACGACGAAGCGGAGAGCAGCAGGTCGAGCTCGGGATCCGCCCACGCACTTGCGCCGGCGCCGTCTGCCGTCGCCAGCGCTTGCTGGTGGTGTCCGACTCCGGCCCCCGGTCGCAGTGGTGCAGGTGGGGAGGGGAATCCAAACTCCCAGGGGAGCAGAGGGTCCCTGGGGTCTGTGGTTACTCCCCAGTTGAGGTTGTATAGTTGTTCAGTTTCCATATTGCGATGGGATTCTGGTAGCTGCTAGGGAATTTTTGATGATTAGAAGACACGAAGTCGGTGACTCGACGACTCGTTGATTCTGGGGCGTCTTTTGGGGAATTTGTCAGCGGGTTGGGCGTGGCGTTGAGGCACGTGATTGCTGCGCTATTACTCAGCATGCCTCAGCTGCTGTGCTTGTACGAAGGAGACACAACGTCATTCATCATGGGAGAATGCTTGGAAGTGTAAATTTTCCAACTTTGTTTCCTTTGCGTGTAACATGCAAATGGGCCAGTTAGTCAAAGAATTTGTGGGTGTTTCGCTCTGTGAACGACAATATATCTTGCTGCCCTCAACACACACTGTCTACACTCTCCACCATGGAGGGACGCCCTCGAAAACATCGTGGAGTTGAAACACTCTCAAAGGATAACGAGAAAATATAGAAAAGACTATAATTCATGAAGCTACTTAATAACAATACAGATAAGACCAAGGGGATGTTGGTCGAGCCGTGAAGACTCGGAAGAGGTCGCATGAAGATTTGGCTGCTCCTTCCCACCAACACCAGCCTCAGAACCTTTCCTCGTCTGCCCTTCTTACCCATTCTTCTTTCAACCGCCATTGTCTCCCATGAAGATGATTCCAGTTCTTTGCCAATTGCTCCCATGGAACGTAAATACTCATGCAAGTTTACCTCATTGATTCGCCCACACTCGAGCGCAACTTTCGATCAAAGACCCTAGTGATAGCCACTCATCGAGGATCGTGCTGTCTCTGACCAGACACGCCACAGTCTTGACCTGAGGAAGAGCCAGCAATTCCACCAGGAGGTGCGAGCCCACAAAGCCCGTTGCCCCCGTCAGGAATACCCGGCCCTCCGAATCACATTTCCCGTCCGGTATAGCCCGGCCCTTGCGGTTGATATTTCGACCAAGAGCCATATCCTCAATCCAGGGTTATACCTCTACTCCTGCCATGTCGCTTCGCTCCACTGCTTCACACATCTCCTTCAAAGTAGAGCACTCGAAAGGGGTAGTCACACGGATCGAAGCATTCATAGTCTGTTTGATGCGAGCGAGCAGACGTGCGACGAGCAGTGATGTGCCACCTATTGAGAAAAAACTGTCGTCCTGCTTGATGTTTTCTGGGTTCATCCCGAGAACCTCGCCCCGAAGCTGTTGAAGATGGCTCTCGCGGCTCTCGTAGTGGGTGCTGAGCTCCCTCTGCCCCTGCATGGTACTTTCCAATCTTCCATGTAATGTTGAGCAAGTTGACCGCGATCAACCTTACCATTATCCGTCAGGGGCAACGCCTTAGCGATCTTTACACGGGGGGGCATCGGATACGGAGCGCTTTGCTTGTATGCTGCGTGTACCGATGCCGGATCGATGACTTTTCCATTGCGGGGTACCACATATGCAACCAACGTGGAGACACCCCCGGTCTGTTGCTCGGCGACTCTCAGCGCAGCTGCTGCCGACACAAGCCCAGTGTTGAGTAGACAACGCTCGACTGACTCCAGTTCGACGCGCTGGCCGCTAATCTTGACCTCATTGCCCCGGCGCCCCAGGCACTCTAGCAGTCCGGCAGCGTTCCTCCGCACGAGATCTCCAGTTCGATATAACTTTCCTGCACAGAGGTGCTTTGCGCTTATAAACCCGGCCGATGTCCTCTGGGGATTGCGAAAATACCCGCCGGAGACTCCTACACCACCAACCACGAGCTCCCCGATTTGACCGTCAGGAACGCATTGAAGCTTCTCACCCACGATAAAAACCTGGTATCCACTCAGCGGGCGCCCGATTGGTATGCTGCCTGCTTCTGGATCAGCGGCCCAGACTTGGTAAAACGTCGTGTGTACCGTCGCCTCTGTCGAGCCATACACATTGAACAGCCGTCGCGGCGGGCCATGCCGGAGGATTTCCCGTACAGTCGCGACATTCATGGACTCCCCGCTAGTGAAAAGCGTATCGATGCTAGCATACACGGTGGAGTCTATGTGCGTGACCATTGCCAGCAGTGACGCGGTCTGCCATAATACATTGATACAAACACCAATCAACACCAATCATAACGAGGGCAACTGTGAAGGGTATCTGACCAGTTTTGACATCAACCCATTTGTCAAACTGTCTCGTCCCCGGAGCACCAAGCAGCCAGAGTGACGGGGCCATCAGCAGAAATCCCCTTGAGACAGGGAATTGCATTCCAAAAGTGTCCTATAGCCACCCTGCAGGGAAAATGAGAATTATGGTTGGCAGTTGGAGGAGAAGAAAAAGAATCCCAGCCTGCAGGCTTTGCCAGTGGAAGGCCTGCTTGATGTGCAGTGGGATCGTGGCCTCGAAGCTCGAAATCAGGATCGTGAGCAGCGTTCCTGCGATTAGAGCTGTGGTTACGCGTCGCTTCTGCAGCATCAACTTGTATATCGTGGCTGAGGTGGCGGGTGCGGGATGCGAAGAATGCTGTTCTTCGGGGTTTCCTGCGAGCGAGTGGTATCTTTCACGCACAGGCGGGAGAAGGGCATCTGTCTCTCTCTGATTGTTGACGCGTTGGTCGTCCTCCACTGCATCTGGGCTCTCCTGCTCCATCTTGACCGGAAAATTGTAGGGCTCCAGAATGAACGACTGAAGGGTCATACCCACAATCAAGACCGGAAACACAGAGAGCCAAGTTAGCAAGTACGAGACCGAATTGAACAACGCGGCTGACACGACCGGCCCTGAAAGGAGCCCGGCTGTTAGGAAGAGCATGCAAATTGCCATGACTCTCGCGAGCTGGTTCGGCTCGACAGTTTCACCTAGATCGCCATGCCCGCGATCTACAGAACGTAGCTGGCGATGGTTTGGATGAGGCGGCCGATGATGAGACCGGCCACTTACCGGTTTTATGTTCAGGTCAGCCTGATTCTTCATTGCCTCCCCTATCCGTTTTATGTCTTACCTGTAGTAGCCCACGCGGTAACAGTCGTTCCGACAACGTGGATGAGATACGCCGACTGCATGAGTGTGTTTTTGCGACGTGTTCGATCCGAAAGATAGCCGACAAGCGGAGCAATGGCGATTGACACGGTTGCGTTCATAGAAAGGATTATGGAGGTAAAGAGCTGGGTGTGTGATGGATCGGCCTGTAGGCGGCCCTCCAGGATATCCGGTAAGATGGGGAGTATGAAGCTGAAGACGAAGTAATCTACGCGGCACTTTTGTTAGAATCTGCAGACAGAGACTCAAAGACCGGCTGCCTGCCTGTTAACATGGCTATCGAGATGGCTATCACGATGAGCAGCTGTGAGGATCGCCAGAAGTAGCCCGCGGGCTCCATGGGCTCGGTTGTGAAGGTCATTGTGATGTGGGTATCTCGACGACAGTATTTCCTGTAGGATTGAATGATGATACAAAAGTCGCGGGTTAAAGCCTAAGAGATAAAATATTGAGCCATGCCTCGCAAACCAAACGACTGTCGTCTGATGGGATCGCCCCCCCGCGGCGAACTGTCAGAGATCGTCCCCACCCGAAGAGATCGACCAGAACTGGTGCGTATACTGCTGTCTGAGACACGTCGAGCATCGCATCTCGGATACTCGAATGAAATCGAGCCACAATACTCTCACGTCAGCCCGATGCTAAGGACTCGGGACATTTCACAATCCACTTTGCATGAGCACGTTACTCAGCGAATGCAATCGTGCTTGTGATCACGTATTACATACATGAGACCTGTTTGAGCTTTCTAGAGATGTCTCCCTGTATGCTGCATGTCGTGCAGAGTGCGGGACTGTCGGGACATGGAACGAGTCCTTGATCTTGATCAGCGCATAGAGCTATCCCAGTGGGCTGGAACCACGTCGCGCTCAGTTGCGGATGAAATCGAAATAGCTCTGGCAAGTGGGAAGGTCTTTCTCACCCCTCCCCAGTATTTGGATTCGGTTCGCTGTACAACACGAAGGCCAATGCACATACACTCCCCAGGCAGCCTGGGGAAAGAGTTCGTCAAGGTCACACTGAAAAGCAGTTGCTTCTATATCGGGCTCGATATCCTTTAAGTCCGACTAGGAATATCCTTCATATGGCTGCCATTGACTCTAGTTCTAGACCTCAACTTTCCAGCTCTCGCTTATCTTTGTTATTTTTACTTTTATTCTCGACTTCGCCGTACAGGCTCATCCGTGACGAACCTCTCATTTACAGGGATCAACCGTCTTTCGGTGGAGTGCACGGATCACCGCGCTGGGATACCATCATATCTTCCCAGCTAACCGGAGGGTAAACAGGAAGCTCGAGGAGCTGGTTTATCATCCGGGAAATAGGTCTGAACGCAGTTTGTCCAAGACCCATATGCTGCCTATCATCAATTGACCTCAGATACGTTTCATATCCTACAGCCCATCCAAAATGGCGCCTTCCAGGCACCATGACACTGGTTTGCAGTACCTTACGCCTGACGCTGCCCTCGAAGACATAATCCATCTTATGAAACGTAATGGCGCCGTGATGATCCGCGGCCTCGTCTCCGTCACGGACCTCGACCAGGCATACGATGAAGTCAAAGCCAGGCTGAACGTGGATCGCGAGTGGGAAGGAGAGTTCTTTCCTAGTGCGTCTTCCTTTCCCTCTCTTTTCTACTCCCCCTCTTCGTTCCTTCTTAAACAGCGAGCAGAAGAAACCAAACGCGTCAACGGCCTCATCGGCGCGGGCCCAGCCTACACCCGCACCCAGGCCATGAACTCCCTCTTCCAATCCCTCTGCACGGCGCTCCTTACGGCCCGGAGCACATTCTGGTGGGGCGACATGCGCAAGGAGTCCGTGTCGAAACCGTATGTGACGGCCGCTGTGGCAATCCAGAGTGGACCCGGCGGGAAAGCGCAGCCGCTGCATGGGGATAGTTATGTGAATCATCGCATCATCGCGTTAGGGATGAGGTCGATGAGTTGGATGATGCTCGTGATGCGCGCAGGGAGATTTCGATTGGATGCTGGTTGCTGGGTGTAGGGTTACCAAGGAGAATTGGAGGACGCAGATTGTTTTGGGAAGTCATTTATGGTACTTGCCCTTTTCTTTCTCTCCTAATGTCTCTCTCTCTATTATGCCCTATTCTCTCCAGGAATCTAACTTGGATCCTCATCGCTAGGTCAACATCCCGCCCAACCGCCCCAGACCCCTCGCTGATACTAACCCCAACCCTCGGAAAAGGCGAGGCGCTCCTGATCTTCAGCTCGGTAATGCACGGCGGAGGCAACAACACGACGACGGGCAACTACCGCCTTGTATACTCGACGTTCGCCGCACACGGATACCTGCGGCAGGAGGAGAACCAGTTCCTTGCGGTCCCGCTGGACGTCGTCAAGACGTATGATCGGGCCACGCAGCAGTTTATCGGCTACTATATTAGTGAGCCCGCCTGTGGACATGTCGAGCAGATGGATCCGATTTATGTGCTTTATCCAGAATTGCCTGGTGAAGGGGACCCGAGGGATTTTTAGGGCAGTTGGATTTTGGCTGTCTGTCTCTTTATATAGGTACCACTCAGCAAGACAAGGTCCAATGCATACTGGCTTGGTATACGTTTATGTTCATTATCATGTACTTGTAGCATGACAATCCGAACCACACTTTCAAACTACATAGGCCCTCCTCCCTTCCCTTCTCAATCGTGTAATCGAAAGGCACTACATTACTCTCAGACATGCCACAAAATCCTGTCTATGTATATTCAAGGCGGGCAAAGCACACCTTCTCTAAAAGCCATCTCCGCAGAGAGAGACATTAGACAAAACGGCGAGAGCCCAAATATGAAAAGGGAAAGGTCCATCACTGAAGCTTAGCAGCGCTCGCTACCACAATTCGTCGTCGCTCGGGAGGAACAGACCGGACCAGACCAGGTCCCTGGCCTAAATTGATGCCCTGCCTAGTTACCATGGTCCTAACAAGGCCTCTTACACTTATTGTTGGATCCTTCATGTTTCCGTAGCAGGAATATAGTAATTCACTGACCGTTGTTGTCAGGGTACAGCCCCCATTCTCTTCCTGTCACCGAGTGGAGATGGGAGATTGCCGCCTACAATCGGGACCTGGAATGCTCGAATCGCTTTTTCCGTTTGTTCACATGTGAGACTATACAGAATATAACTGATAAATGCCTAATTATCGCGAAAACGAGCCCCGAATTACTAGAACCACCCCATTATGATGTGCCTGTAGATAAGGATCTGTCCAGTCCAGGGACCTGCAAGTCCGGCGGACACCCCGACATGGCTATCCTTGCTCCGAAGTATCTCCCCACTCAAGTCTAATTCACAACTTGCCCTGTCCCGCATTCGCCGGAACACTGCTCTGAGCAACGCTATACGCCGCCGCAGCCGCCACATTCTTGCCGCTGAAATTCACGAGGAACGCCGTATCCGCCTGGCTAAATGTTCCCGAGCTTCCAAAGCCATTGACCTGGCAGGTATGGCCCAGGTACGTCGAGCAGACGGCGTTGGTGCCCGCATTCGGGCTAGTGAAGAGTTGGCCGCTGACGGGGGATTCGACGACGGTGGGGATGTTCTGGAAGACGTTGCCCTCGGCCAGGACCATGGCCCCCGAGTCGATTTCAAAGGCGTGGCCGGAGGAGTCGTACCAGTAGTTGTTTACCTAGTACACATGATTAGAGAGGGGGGTTTCTAGTGGATATCTTTGGTGAGACGAAAGAGGATCGCGACGACTTACGGCGTGGAGAAGAGTGTTGCCTCCAACCTTGGGAGCGCGGCCGCTCATGTGGTAGACGTAGTTGCCCTTGAATGTGATCAGGTCGCTGGATCCCGTCAGGTAGATTCCCCAGTAGTGGTATCCATCGCAGGTGGCCGAGTACGAGCTGACGCCGTTGAAGTAGTTGTTGGAGATGGTCACGCGGTTCGAGGCGCTTGTTCCCAGGACGAGGTGTTGACGGCCGATGCGCGCAGTCTATTGCCACTCCATTGTCAGATATACGAGAACAGAAGCAGAGCAGAGCAGGGATGGAATGGCTCACCGTGACATGATCAATCCAGACCATATCGGCGTTGTTGAGTGTGATCGCATCGCCTCCCCAGACGTACTTGGGGTTGAGGTCCGTGATGGCCACATTCCTGGATGATTTGTTAGCTGACACCGCTCATGGAGAGAACGAAGCGACGGAGAGTAAAACATACTGGATGATGATGTTACTTGCCCCGCTAACAATCCGGAGACCCTTGCCCTTGATCACTCCACTAGACCCCTGACCGACGAGACTCTTGTTGGACTTGACCGTAATACCAAGCACGCCGGCGTTGTCACTGCAATTTTGTCCAGTTAGCCAGTGCTTACTGTCTGCCGAATGGTATACTTACTAGGACACCGAGGCGGTGGGAGCATTGGGCTGGTAGTTTGTGCACCAGTTATCCTTGTTGATCGCGAGCTGGCAGCCCGACGCAGTCCCCCACGGGGCGCATCCAGTGCCCGTTGTGGTCCCTTCGCTGCCCGTAAAGTCAAAGCTGTGTGTGCAAGTCAAGTCAGTATGGGTCTCTGTCGATGAACAACACACAACGTACGTTTTGGTCAGAATGATGACCCGAGGCGAGCTATCCCCGAGGTACGAAACCAAGTCGGCAATCGTGTTGGGATACACGGGGGTTGCGCTCCCTCCTCCAGTCACCCCCTTGGCGAAGCCTTCCGCGGCGCCAGTCACCCCGGCGGCACGAACGCTGGTAGCGGCCAGCAAGAGAAGCGCAAGAAGCTTCATATTGACTCGGGAGGGGATTGGGTTTGCTCTTCTTCTATTTCTGGGAGGGATCAACGGAGGATTCCCTGGGAGTATTTATACGTCTCAGGTCGCCTCACCATCGTGCTTGATTCTCGGCGAAGAGTCCCAGACAGACCACTGCCGTGCCAGCCCCGCCCTGTGACCCGCGTGGCGTTTGTCAGTTTCTGCACGGCTGCCTTGTATATATTAAAGGCTGGGCTGATTGGTGGGGCGGAAAATTTATCTGCTTCAAATGCTCCTTCTGCCCACTCCGCCGGAGGTTGTCTCGTTGGCAAAAGGGGTTCGGGCAGATCCCAATAGGTGGAAATGATTGTCGTCAACTAATCCGGGGTGCATACGCCGGGGAAATTCAAGTTCTGCAGCCCAGCCTGTGCCTGGTCGACAAGCACCACCCAGAATTTCTTGTTCCACACGCTGTTGTTCTTGTTCTGATTGCCAAGGCAGGTTTGAAGTGCTTGAGGGAGCTAAGCCAGGCTTCCATCGTTACGAGTCAGGGCCGCCGCCCCTTAATGTTTCAGGACAGCCGCGGCCGGCCGGTAGTCCCACTGCCGAATCCGAACATGTTCGGTCTTTTCCAAGGGTCGAACTCGTCTGTGGTTCAGTGCTCATGAGCTCTCAGCTCCAAGGCAGCGTGGAATAAATGGCTAATGGGTTGGGATTTTGGGATCATCTTCGTGTATGTCGACCATGGTCTTTCGGGGCCAGAGTGAGATTTCTAAAATATGGGCGACACTTGCCACTAAATAAGCGGTCAAGGTAATCTACAAGTATGTATGTTGGTATTGAGTACGAGTACGAGGCGGATAGGTACGAGCCAGACTACATGCATGGGCAGTGAGGTTCCATCTTTGCACCACTAATGACTATCCACAACGTTATTAAGGAGAATGAAAGGGGTCGGTCTAGAATACGCCGCATGAGATTGTGGACCTCGTCATGGCCGACACTCGGGCGGGAGATGGTGAGTCTGTCAGTTATTCTGCATGGTGGCTGACAGGCTCAAGGGCTTACAAGAGAGACAGACTGACAGCGGAGAATATGGGACTGCGAGAGCATGCTACCATCAACCGCAACTGCTCGATTGAACGGCCCGTGAGGTGGTTTCTCTTCCACGCATGACTATAAACGGCGACAAAAATGGACCTCCAGTCAGGGTAGAGCCATATAATGACATCAGGGTTAAACAGAACTCTTTAGCTACGGTAGGCTGGCCAAAATGATGGCTCATGATCAACCTCAAGGGATATAGATATACTCCAGTAAGATATATATCCTACCTTTAGTACTCGCTCGTCCAATCAAGATAAATCAAAGATGATGTGGGTTATAAAGCTATGTCTGCACTTTGTGTAGCGTCTTGGCTCCTATATCTCTCAGCCTCCAAATCCTCTCCAATGAACCCTTAGAGTTGGATATTCATCGCCGTCTCATCCACTGCAATCCAATCCAATCCAATCCAGAGTCTCAGCCCTCACTCATTCACCAAGGGACCTAACATGCAAATCACGACTGCTAAATCCAGACTTTCAAGCGATTTTAGAATCCCATCAACCATCTGTGCACAATCTGTTTCATTGTACCCCTAAAGGAGACGACGAATCCCCGCTTTCCCCTCGGCTTTCCTGGGGCCCCGCATAAGCTGGTTTCAGAGCTGACAAAATGATAGGCGGGATGCACTGAAACATTGCTTACCCTGGATTTAGGAAAACACCGGTGGGACCAAGCGCCTGCTTCCTTGTGTGCGGAGGAACTTGACTAATGGGATGACTTGAGTGTAGTTTAAATAGCCCCCAGATTACTAGCGACCTGCAATCGTGGGGACCTGAAGCTTTACCAAGCTTTTTCAACAGGCTACGGCCTTGCTCTTTTTTTTTTTTTTTTATGACTTGTCAGCGTGAACGTCAGCGGTTGTTCGAGAGCATGGTGGTCTGATTGGAATTGACTCATAAGACGTCTTCCATATCAGCCAAGTCCTTGACAAAGTAGTCGAGTGGGCGTGAATATCATGCATTAGAGCACATACAATAGGACTGATTGGGTGTTGCCATATCAACTTTTGGCATCTACTCCTCGGGCGACATCCCGCGACTCTAGAGGTTACCACAATAATCAGTTACTTGGAGTTTTTTTTACTATAAGAGCGGTTAACAGTATCTGGCGGTTGTGACTAAAGTGTGTGATGTGTCTTGGCTATTGCAGCTGTGCACGACTGGTAATGGATAAATATAGATCTTGGCTCTAAGTCTGTTTATGATGTCTTATCTGGCTTGGAGTTAGCCCCACTTTGGAGATTCACTGCATGAAAATGTTGATTCCTAATCTTACAGCCAGGCTGAGGCTGGGAAGAAGCCTGTCTACCAACCTCTGGGTCCTGGCATAAACCAACTTGTGAGTGTAGAACATCACCAACAAATTTTTACTAATAATCTTGAAAAGTCGAGGGCTGTCACCAGTCCTCTTTTCTAGATTTTCCACTCCAAATTCTAACTCCAAAAACTGCTGCTGCACGTGCCCTCATTGTGGAGCTCGCTTATCTTAGCTTTTCTTTGAGGCTCACAAAGTCCGGACAAGAATGATGATAGGCGAGTATAAATACATTACTGGGACACGAACTAGTCGAAATGCGAAATGCGAAGAGCCAATTTCTATCTAGCCCAGTGATTGACAACCGTTTCCTTTTATTCCTTGATGGAACTAAAAGCCCGTTTCTGATCTTCCATATTCAAGCCTCTCTCAACAACAGAGATCAATCTACCCATCCCTCTATAATGCCTCATCTTTCGAGCAATATCAATATTTGTGCCGGATCAAGTACACCAGACTTCGTCTGATCATCATGGCGGAAACGCTCGCAACGGACTCGTCGCTTCCTGAGCCAACCTTCATCTTCCATCCACTAAGCGCCCCGCTTATGACGACCAATGTCTCTCCGAGTCCGAGTCTGGGGTATCGACCCGGGAACAAGGATTTCATGTTTGTCGAGTTCCAGCTGGGCAGTCGAGAAAAGGCATTCATTGTCCGGAATTTTCACCAGAGGAGGAAGCAGGCTTCCATCGATCGGCTAAACGTTCGACCTCTGTCAAGGACGCGCATCTCATCGCAGGATGAACAAGCAGCTGCCGGATACGCAAATGCCAGAAACCGGAGGCTTATCCAAACGAGCTGCGAGAGACGCTCGTTGTCAACCTACCCCAGCCACAGCAGGTACGGGGATCCCTTCTCCCCATACGTGAAGCCCATCGCGGCGAGGTTGAATATGTACTTGCATCACTGTACGTCAACATCCCATCAATCCTGTTTTGATGCCATCAGGAAGAAAGGGAGGCTTATGTTCAAATACCCTGAAAGTCGGCGACCACGTTATTTTCGCCTCATACCCTTTCCACGCCCCCGAGATGCAACTCTGGTGGATGCAACACGCAGTCGCGTCACCGGCCATGCTGCAGACATGTGCGTTCAGGGCAGCCGAGCACAGGGCGATCCTGCAATCCAGCCAGGGGGTCTCGGCCCAGGTCGTTGAACGGTCGAACAGGGACTCTATAGGGTTTCGGATCATGGCGCTCAAGACGCTCAATACGCTCTTGCGGGACCCGGCGGCAGCGGCCACTCAGTCGACGGTGCTTCTTATCAGTTCGCTTGTGGCGAATGAGGTGTGTGATCTGTTTTTTTGGAAGATCCTATTTTTAGCTAGGCTTATTGAGTGTGTCTAGGCTTTTGGTGCGAATTCCGAGGCGCTGCAGACTCATCTCGAGGGTCTGCTGACGCTTATATCCTTGCTGGGGGGGCTGGATGCACTCGATCATATGCTACTTTCCACAGTCTATCAGTATGAACAGAGCTATTTCTACCAATGACCCCACTAATTCAACTCCAGGGGCTTCCTCATCATCGCGGCCCTCCAGAACACGCGGCCCCTCCTACCAATGTTGCGCAAATTCCGGCACGCCATCATCCACGAACCGAAAATCTTCGGCAACCAAGAGATCGAATACGACTGCGAGATCCCCGCTGCCCTGGAACCCCAAGCCCTCGGCAGCCGCTTCACGACAGCCCCCTGGCGCGAAGCGCTGCACCCGACCATGAGGGGCCACCTCGAAGCCTTTCGCCGACTCATCCGCCACTCTGAGCTCGCGAATAGATTTCCCAATAACGCAGGTATTGTCGCTCCCACGGACAACGACCTCTTCGTCGTCCTCCAGCACGACCTCCTCTGGACGCACTTCGACCAAGGCACACCTCACAACGGCTCCGAGTTGAACGAGCCCCTCCGCCTCACACTAATCATCTACCTCTTCACTCGCATCTGCGACTTTCAGAACCTCCCCATGACCCAGGTTATGGTCGAGACGCTCCGGCAAAGTTTGTACCCAGTAGTAGTGGAGGCGGAGACGGGGCCGACGATGGATACTGGGATGTTGCCACCACCACCACCACCACCACTCACATCCCTCGTCCGCACCGCACCAGACCTCCTCTTCTGGATCCTGTTCATCGGCGGGCTGGCCTCGCAGGGATACAGTTCGCACGCATGGTTCGTGCACCACCTCGCCAGTCTGGCGCTGGAGTTGGGACTGCAGGAGTGGATGGGTGATGTGCGCCCGCTGCTGGGAGAGTTCTTCTACACGGGTGGAATCAGTCAGGGGCAAGCGGAGACTGCCGGTGAGGATCTGTGGAGTGAGGTTTTCACTTATCTGCATGCGGAGAGGTATCAGCATACTGCGCTGAGACCAAGTAGGTCACAGTAGTGGTAGTAAATGAAGGTTCTTTTGCCTTCCAGATTCGTCACGAGGGACTAGGAAGGTACGACAGGGTAGCTAGCTAGGTTGCTCCTTCCTCGCATGGCGGCCTCAGCTGGTCGCACTTACCGTCCCCATGTCTGCGGCTGCGCCTACCTTATTCGTCCTCGACGAAATGGGAGCGCAGTGAATTTCAAAATACCCTACAGATTACGCCTGCCGAACCATGCCCATATTCATCTAAAACTAGATAGTTTTTGGTTTCAGGAAAGGTTCTCCAAGGGAGATCATGTAGATAGCACCCGGATGACTATACTGCCAGGTCAGGTTCAAACCTTCCCACCCAACCGCGCAATTGTTTCCCTCAGAATCCGCACGCCCTCTACCAACTGCCCCTCATCTACCCACGCAAAACATAACCGGATCATATCCCCATACGTCCCACACCGCGAGTTACCCTCTGGTAAGGCCGACACTGCCCCGTCACCGATCACAACGCCATCCTGCCGCGCAGCAGCCACAACCTCGGCGGAGGTTAGCGTGGGAGGTAGCCGCAGCCACAAGAAGAAACCACCGGCAACGTGGTACTTGTCCTCGATGGGTGAAATCACACCGACGGGACTGAGGTGTTCCTTGATTGCGGTCGTAAGGAGGGAGTGTCGTCTTGCGTAGGCGGGGATGAGCTTGTCCACGATGTGCCTCGTCATAGCGCAGGTGTCGTCACCAGCCGGTTCGAGCATTTCGTTGATAAAGGTCGACATCATGTGTGAGGGGGCGCCGCCGGAGTGCGTTGAGCCTCTATTCTTTGTTAGTATATCTGGTTGAAGGAAGAAACGCGGGAGGGATTGACGTACGCCTGCGAAAGCCCATATGCAAAAGCAGGCGTCCCCTCTGCCCAGCCAACGCGACATCCGGGACCGACGATCTTGCTGAAACTCCCGTTGCTCATGCAGTTCCCGAAATCATCGACGGGGCCGCCGTCGAGCGTGCGGTCTATATCGACTAACCGCGGTAGAATGTGTTTGAATGAGTCTGCTGGAGACGCATCCGTCGGGAAGTGGATAAAGTCGTAGACGTCGTCGGCGATGATCAATGCGTTGTACTTGCGTGCCAGCCGGATGAGAGCCTCTCGGCGCGCCAGGCTCATGATTCGCCCTGAAGGGTTGGAGAAGGTCGGGACGCAGTAGATGATGTGCCGGTAGAGTTTTCGGTAGGACCGTTCGGGTTTAAAGGGCTGAGTCGTTAGCCGTCAGTTTCTCATGCTCCGAAGCAGAACTCTACCTTGGCATCGGAATTTGAAGACTGCTCATCCTCCTTCAGTCTCTCCTTTAAAGACTCCACATCGACCCCCTCCCCATCCTCCGGAATCCCCCTCAACCGCCCCGCAAACCCTGCATCCTCAAAAACCCGAAAGGAAAGAAAATACGCCGGTTCAACAACAAACACACTCCTCGTGACAACGGGGTCTGTGAAGACCTGCAAGGCACACGCAAGATTCTGGCTCGCGCCGCCGGTGATGCATATCCGCTCGGGCTCAATCTTCGACCCGCCCGCAGTCGCTACCGTCGAATCCGGGTGATAGAATCGCGAGAGCCATTGCGCGATGTTTTTTCGGAGGGGGAAGTGGCCCTCATCGGGCCCGTAAATCATACCCTCGTGCCAGATCGAGGGCGTTGACAGGACGGTGTTGGTTGCATGGGTTAGTTGCTGGAGGGGAAAGAGTGAGGGCGAGGGGAAGCCGATGGAGAGGTTGATTGGGGTTGGGGCAGGAGTTGCTTGGAACATGGTGTATATGCAGATACGTGACTCGACTCGCGTTGGGAAATTAGATCTCTCTCCCTGTCGATGTCTTGTCTCTGGGGGATTTTATGCTCCAGCCGCTTGTTCAGATTGCGCGGTTTCAATTGCCCGGCGCGGTGACATTCCCGGTTCCAGAGGGCGGATTCTTGTCATGGCAAAAAAGAATGCCTTCTTCTCCAATTCACCGTGAACTTGAGGCTATATCTATTAGCCAGATCGCTTATCAAGCCGTTTTTGGCTGCTGCGCAAGTCCGCACGGTGGGGAGAAAAAGCGGCCGAAGAATGGACCAGACCATTCCCACTCTGGGCAAATTGGCGTTGGAACCAATCATGAATCAGGATTCCAGGAGAGGACCCGCTAAGATGGCCGCATTTATCATTATGCAACCGACTCGGTTTCACCACCACGCGAGACTGACTGCATCTTGCCGAGCCCACGGCATGATACATGTCCCAACACGCAGCCACCCGAGATGCATGTCTCAAGACACCATCGGAGCACATCCGCTGACTCGGGCGTAAATTTCAACGTCCCCCCACCAGTGTCTCACACGCAGCGGCAACCACAACCGCAGGTGCAAACCCGAACGCAGCCACCCGAGCGCCGCCGCGACGGGTGCACGGAATGTCGCCGGAAGAAAGTCAGATGTGACCTCGCGACACCGGTATGCTCGCGATGTACGCGGTATCCCCGCGAATGCAAATATGTTTCGAGGTTTGTTGCCATGACCGGTGGGAAGAGTGAGGCGCGGCAGGCGGGACAGCAACGGCGCAAAAGTCCCGAGATCTGTAGCCGGGTTGGGGCTGCGGCTCCGAGAGAGATTGCAAGTCAGAGGGAGAATATCGAGGAAAGTACGAGTGTCACGCCGTCAACGTACATGGCCCGTCTGCAGGCGAAAATGTCCATCCAGGCCATCGTCTCCGAAACAACGACGGTCGTCTTCCCGCTCGCCTCGCAGACCTTCTTAGACCGACTACTCTCTTCTGCAATGGAGACTCCGCATCTCCTCTTTGCAATCCTCGCCACTTCAGACAGCCACGCGCGCCGCCGCCTACCCATCTCAAGCCTCGAAAACACAACACTAGACTACACCAACAATGCCATCTCGGGCCTCCGCGCCGCCCTCTCCAACGAGCGGAATTCCCATCGCGCAGTGGAAATGGCCATGACGGCCATGGCGCTGTGCACGAATGACGTGTGTAATGGGAACATTGACCTCTTCCGAGTTCATCTGAGCGGTGTGCGCGGGATGCTTGTTTCAGGATTGGTATCTGGACTGAACAAGGATCCGTTTGCGATGTATCTGTTCAAGTGGTTTGCGGCGCTGGATGTTTCGGCGGGGATGTCGCTTTTCCATCAGAGTACTTTGCTCCGTGGGGGGTTGTATCGGTCGTATCGCGCTGCACTGCCTTCTCTGGGGGATGGGGTGGATGATATCTGCGGCTACTCGCTGGATTTGTTGCCTATTCTCGCCGAGGTTGGAGAACTAGCGAGGGAGCGATACACACGGCCGGACTGTCCTTGTCTGCTACAACGAGGCGAGGCCCTCGAAAGTCGGATAGCTGCACTCCACACCACCATCCCCATCTCCACAAACCAGACCCTCTCCGAAAAACAACCCGAACTCCACACTGCCCACTCTGCATTCATCCACACAGCCCTGCTGCACCTCCGCAGACGCGTCTACCACCTCCCCAAATCCGATTCTCGAGTCCGAAGCGACGTCACCAACATCCTCAACGCAATCCGCTCGATCCCCTCAACATCCACCGCAAACATCCTCCTCCTCTGGCCGATCTTTAGCGCCGGATGTGAGACGGATGAGACTGCTGAGAGGGATTTGGTCGACCGGCGGATGGGGGTCATGCAGGACATGGGGATGGGGAATTTTACGCGGGCGAGGAGTGTCCTCAATAGGTTTTGGGCGGCGAGGACCGAGGTGCGCTGGGATGTTTGGTTGGCGGAGGAGGGGGTTGATCTTGTGTTGTTTTGAGGGATCTCATCCAAGGATCTTGGTGTCTTGGGTGGCTGTCTTTGCTACGCGTACAGCAGTCGGGTGTGTGATGAGGTGCTTGGTGAGATGATGGTCGCTGGCAGCAGGTCTCAGGTCAGCTTATCAATTGTTGTCGGCGGTGCGCGGAGTGCCGATCCAGAGAACGGAAATAGACGCAGATCGAATTTCCGTCTACTCGATTGGGCATCTCTTCTAGAACATAATCCTAAGCGAGCAATGATCGTTGTGCAGGATAGACATTGGCTCGGCGATGCGAAATCAGGCCGACCACCTTCAAAGTATAAAGACCTCCCTCCTACAACCGGGGACAGAACAAATCCATCATCGACCGCGCCACTTCCACCAACCAGATCCAATCAATCAATCAATATGAAGCTCACCTTGGCAACAACCCTCCCCTTGGCCGCGGCCGTCTCCGCTCAAAACGCCCTACGCGTCGAACCCCTCTCCGTCAAACTCCTCTCCGAGTCCCAAACCGCCCGCATCGACTTCACCGTCGTGGACCTGCGTGACGGACAGGGTGGTGCTACCACCACCTGCTCGACTGCTTGGTACTTACTCTTCCCTTCTCTCCGTCTGTGCAACATTAACAACGATGGACAGGACCCCACCCAACCAAACCATCGGCCCCTTTGCCTGCACCGACGACGCATTCAGCTTCGCGTTCCCCAACGGGATCGCGGACGTCGAGGCCTTTACGCTCTCTGTCACGCACCTGAGCTGGACGGGGACTGCGGCGCTCAACACCCATGCGGGGATGGCGGTTTATGGGTGCTTTGAAGGGGATCAGCCCGGGGTTGAGACGGATTGCCATTTGTTGCGGGGGGGGCATGTTTATTTGACCAGTGTCCAGGTCTAGGTCTGCTCATCTAGGGAGTAGAAGGGGTGGGGAAATGGCTCAAGGGGGTTAAGATAGGGATGAGACGGGGATGAGAACGAGGCCAGTTTGTTGGGTGTCCAGGTTGGAAAAGAATGGAGAATACATTAGTCCTATGGATGCTCTAACCCCCTCCCTACTCTCTGGTCCATGCATCTAGAGTCAACGCCACACCACATTGCAAACAAAGCCCCCACAATTATACCGTCCCCTTCCAAGCATCATACTTGCGATACACATCCTTCCTAAATACCTGCTTCAAATCCCCCGCAACCCCCGCATCAAACGGCAATTTCGCCTGCACAGCACCCACCCCACAAAGCCCATTCACCCGATCAATAAACCACGCGAGCGTCATCCCCCCGCCCCACGTCAACGTCCGCTCCCCATACCACCCCGGCACACTTTCAAGAGTAAGCAGTCCGCCCAGTCCATACCCCATCTTCGTACCGGGATCCACCCCCACGCGGAAGAACGCGCCCATCGGGCTTTTCAAGGCGGCTTGGTGCCCCGTTGCGGCAGAGGGGGAGAGATGGTCCGTGAAGATCTCGTCAACGGTTCCAGATTTTAAAAGTCTGCCATCATCCGCAAGGATCGACTGCAAAACCTTGAGAAAACTCTCCGCAGACGTGAATAGCCCATGCCCGCCGAAATCCCCGTGCGTCCGGAGATTCATCTCCCCGCCGCCACCGAGCACCGCGCGGCCCAACGCCTGCGGGTCATCCGGGTTCAGATCGATGAGGTTCGCTCGAAGGTCGGCGCGCGTAACGGGGTAGAATTGTGCATCTGATATACCCAGCGGAGTAAATATCCGCGCCTGCATTCGTTCCAGCAGCGACATCCCCGTCGCCCGCTCGATGATCCGCCCCGCCCAGTCGAGTCCCGGCCCGTACATCCACGAGTCGCCCGGGTGGAAGGCGAGCGGGTAGTTGAACATGTCTTCGACGGCGAGGCCATGCTGGGACTCGCGATCAGGGATGAACTCCTCGCGCCAGCGCGCGATGTTCGCGTCCGTGAAGTGGTATACCAGGCCCGACGAGTGCGTGAGGAGCATTTCCAGCGTGATGGGTCGGACCGGGTCTTGGAGGATGGGTTCCCCCGTCTCCTCGTGGAAGCCCACGAGGACTTTTTTGTCGGCAAGTTCCGGCGCGTGTTTGGATAGGTCGCCGGTTAGGCTGAGGAGGCCGTCCTCGACGCATTGCAGGGCCGCGACGGAGGTGAGGAATTTTGTTGCGGACGCGAGGAAGCAGATGTCGCTTGTTTGTAGTGGGAGGGTTGTCCCCGAGAGGGTCGTCCGCGTGCCGATGGCGGTCTTGTAGGTGAATGAGCCCGTTGTGTTTGTGGCGCAGATGATCCCGCCAGTGATTTTGCCCGCGGCGATGGCGGCTTCGTGGGCGGATTCGATTGTTTCGGGCATTCTGAGAAGAGAGGAGGGGTTTGGAATTGGAAGCTGCCAGCTCGAGAGTCAAGACCGCATTAAGTAGCAAGCTGGTGCGGGGGCAGTGGATGGATGCGACTTGGCGCTCGAGACAAGATTCGTCCCAAGATCTATTGGCGTCCTCGGCAAGTCTGGGCGCTGATTGGTGTGCTTCATCGCTCGTTCTAGTGCTGACGCCCGAGTCATGGTTTTCAGTGTGAGTCACGGTTTTCAGTTTGAGTCACGGTTTTCAGTGTAGATCGACTATCGATCGGGCTATTCTGTTCGAGCTTTTGCGTATCAGAGAGGGTATAACCGGTCTATGTTGAATAACAATCAGCACACGCAACCGCAAGAAACGATGGTGACTCACAGTAGTATGTGGTCGAGGCGAAGAAGATTCAACCGGCAGTCCACAAGTTCAGGTTGAAGCTGCCTAATACAAAAGAGGATTCGAGTCTTGGTCCGTGCTATGTCTAAACAGAGATTCGGTCATTCGGCCAGCGCGATCTGGGTCGAGCATACTCATCGGCAATCCATGGCAGGGAGAGCAGGGAAACCCCGTCACCATCCATGCAATGCCATGTCCCCTCAAGGCCTTTGAGTCTGACTATAAAAGACGCGATCTCAGCTTCCACATCTAAAGGCAGTAGGCAACGAATTCCGTGGCAAGATAGAAAGCGCTAAAGGCGTTCGGGTCCGGGATCTAGCTCCGCAGTCACCTGCTGCATTCGTTTCTAATTTCAGTAGGCACTGTCTATTCTCTGACTGCCTCGGCACTTTGAATTCAATACATTTGACGTGGCAGCGCGGACAGTGAACCAAGTAAGGCCGACCATCGTGACGCGTCTTTCCTCGGCCTACCTTGGATTCACCCTCCAAGCGCTCACTCAATAAGTATACTTGTAGTCCGGATGCCGATCCCCAAGCACACCCATCTGCTCCTCAGGAGTAAGCCCTTCCAACCCCCTCAGAATCTCCTCGCGGCAGCTCTCCTTCCTGGCATTCAAATGCCTCAACAACCCAACCTGCACAACAAGCCCAACAAGCGGAATCACCGTAAGAGCCAGGTTAAACCTCGCGCCGACGTTATAATACGGTGCCGAGCTCTTCGGGTAGATCCACGTGCTCATCACACCACCGGAGCTCGTACAGGTAAACCCCAATGCCACGGCGGTTGCGCGACGGACGTGCCCCGCGGAGTTGTTGGGGACCCACGAAATGAGACAGGGGGCTGCGGCGTAGATGCCTGTGACTAGGAGAATTAGCGCAGTGTAGCGGACTGCGATGGTGCGGCCGTTGAGCATCATTGCGGCGCCAATGAGGGCGATGGATGTTGTGGCGAAGGCGCAGATTCCGCGTTGGCGGTAGCGGTCGGCGATGTATGCGGTGACCATTGTTACGACAAACGCCACGGCGTAGGGAGGGACGGTCATGAGTTGTGTACGCGTGTTGCCGTAGCCCATTGCTTTGACGATGGAAGGGGAGAAGTAGGCGAGGCCGAAGAGGCAGGTTCCGCTGCAGAAGAGGATTGCCGAGACGAGGAGGACGTGGAGGTCTTTAAAGATTGAGAGGACTTTTGCTATGGTGATGGGTTCTTCGGTGAGGAGGTTTGAGTCGAGTTGGAGGCGGTGCAGACAGTGAGTTTTGTGTTGTGGTTTGAAGGTGAGGACGTCGGTGGGTGTGTTGGGGAGCATCGCGTAGGAGAACAGCCCAAAGCAGACGGTGAAGAGGCCCTCGAGAATGAAGATCCATTGCCAGCCTCGTAGCCCGCGAATGCCGTCCATTTGCTGGATTGCGGCGGCGAGAAGGCCGGAGAAGGCGCCGCTCAGCGAGGCCGCGGAGAAGAACAGGGCGATGCGGACCTGGAGTTCATGTCGCCGGTAGAAGCCGGAGAGGTAGAGGACGATTCCTGGAAAGAGGCCACCTTCGCAAAGGCCGAGGAAGAATCGGCATGCCACGAAGCCGGAAAAATTGCGGGCTTCGCATTGCAGGATTGTGACGAGACCCCATGCGGTGCACAGGGTGGGGAGGAGGATTCGGGGGCCGATCTTCTTGAGGACGAGGTTGGACGGGAGCTCGGCAGCGATGTAGGGGATGTAAGTGACGGTGATGGCTAACAATTAGTACAGTCGCTGTGTAGAGGTGCAGAGGTGCTCACCAATCTTGTATTGATGGTCACTGAGATTGAGATCTCTGTCCAGACCAGCCTAGACCGTCAGCTGCATTCACTGGCAAATGGAACCATGCAGCACTTACCACGCGTGCATTCCCAACATTCGCTCGATCCAGCCAAGCGAGGAGATACAGAATCAGCGTCATTGGCATCAGAACCAGATCAAGTCGACGAAGAGTCTCGCGATCGAGCTTGCGCTCCGCCTCGGTCGGGACATCCTCGACGAACAGGTCCTGCGGTTTGCCAGTCTCGTTTGCAGCCATGATGGTGGGATGGCAATTGCTGTGAGTAGAAGGGCTACCATCTGGGCACCCGCTCTATATACCCTGAGAACCCCAGCTGTGGATCCTACGACCGTAACACGTCGAGGTCATGCCAAGCTGCCCCAGAGCCGACTTTCGACCCCGAGAGTGCGCGAGTGGGGTGGAATAGCTGGGGTACCTCCCCACGGGGAGACTCGGATAGATTCATCATTCGAGTCGGTGACAGTCCACAATAACATGGTGAAAGAATAATCATCTTTAGTTTCGGCCGCCATCGTGTCGGCTGAAATTCTCGGTAGTTGAGCGTATCCGGTGTGCAGCTCGTTTCTTGGCTCCGTTGTTTGATCCCCAGAGGTCGAATTTACCCCGCAGTGTAACGGTGCCCATCATCGTGCTCGGTCGCGATTCCGATCGAAAAGTGAGACGGCGAATCGGATTCCATATGGGGTCGGAGGACGGGACCAGTTCCGAGTTTCGAGGGTATTCAAGGTAGGACAGAGCTGCAATCAAGATGCTGAGCAGAGTAAAAACTCACATTGCTCCCTGCAGGAATGGACATGTTGGAAATATAACTCTGCAGGGTGCCAGACTCGATTGTTGAATCAGCATCAGTCTGCGGAACAGGACGGACTGATCAAACCTCGTCTTCACGAAATGAAGACCGACATTTACCTGCATTTCGCGGTGAGGCTGGTGGGGAGTGGGCTGACTGGCGGTGTCGCTCACTGCCTCACACGGCCAGCCTCATCCGACCGTCATCTCGGCTGTTCCTCGGTTAGGGGTTGATGACTGAGGTGTTTATTTTGGTGCCTTGTTAGTCAAGGTGTGGAATCTAATCTAATTCAAGATGACCAAGGCTGCCGCGATCGAGAATCTGTGATCTTGTAGATCAGGCAGGCAGGCGATGGAGTCATGGACACCCTGGAGGGCGATGGCAGGTACAGAGATGAAACGTCCAGGGCCAGACAGGGCAGTCAGCCCTGCGGAAGTAATCTCCACAGCAGGAGCCACTTGTCCGCCTTACGAGGACATTGAACCTGACCAGGGTGCAGTTGCTGAAAAGCCCTCGCAGCACAGACAGCTCTTCCATTTCGCTTGGCCCCCACTCTCATCTCCTCAGCCTCAGGCTCCGCCTCCTCGCGAAGGATGCGCGGGCAATTTCTCGCCAAATAAGGTGGCCCGGGCTCGCTCAAGCGCTGTTGGCTTGCATAGCCCCCAGGGAGCGATGCTGTGGGGATTCTTGACCGCAAGCCCGCAAAGCCGCAATAGATGTCGCCATGCGGGTGATAATTATAGCTGCTGTATATTAGACTCGGCCATCTCAAAGGATCCTTGCTTCTCTCTCTTTCTTTCCTTTTTTTTTCTCTCTTCCTTTATCTCCATCATGTCTGAGACGTATGCAAAGAGATCCTGGTCATGTTTGCGAAAATGCACTACCCTCTGTCTTCATCGTACACTTCGACCTCGCTAGCTGGTGCGTCTGACCCAGGCTAACCTGATCTTCTGCAGGGTCAGCAACAAGCTAACCGTGTCCATGTGTAGGCGAGTGCAAGAAAGCCGAGCGAATCCTCGACTCGTTCATCAACCCCGACCTTGTCTCACTTGACAAGCAAATCCCGCGCAAATTCCTCGAAAATGCAAAGGTAGCTTACCGACTTTGAACCTTCCCAAGCATGCACGCAGACTAACCAAAAGAAAACGAACAGGGCCTCGTCATATTCAGCGTGTTTGAACTCGGCATGATGCGCTCCCTCCGCTTCGGCTCCGGCCTCGTCGTCGCCCGCCTGGCCAACGGCACCTGGTCCGCCCCCTCGGCGATCGCCACCGGCAAACTCAGCTCGCGCGGGCAATTCGGCCTCGAACACACCGAATACGTCTACGTGCTCAACACCGACGCCGCCGTCGACCAGTTCCTACAGGCAAAGACATTCACATTAGGTTCCGGGGGCGTCTCCATCGCCGTCGGACCGTTCGGACGCAGTGCGGAGCTCGCGGGCGAGTCGTACGAGGCGGATATCTTCGCGTACTGCAAGACGCGCACGGTGTTTGGTGGGTCGACGCTCGAGGGGGTTACGATCGGGGAGCGCGTCGATGCGAATCGCAAGTTGTATCAGAAGAGCGTGAGCCCGCGGCAGCTGCTCCATGGGGAGGTGACGCTTCCCGCAGAGACCTATCCGCTCATGAAGATCTTGCATTCGCCGCTGTTACGGCCGGTCGCGAAGAGCGTGGCTGCGTCTGCGTCTGCATCAGCGCCGGCAGCGGGTCTGGCCATTATTGTGACAAAAGCACCGCCAATGTCTGTCGCGACAGATGAACACTCTGCGCCATCGCCATCGCCATCGCCATATCGCTCGCGCCGATCCATGTCTGCGTCCTCGCCCGTACAAAGTCGACGCCAGTCATCCGCCTCGTCCTCGCCGCTGGAAGGCCCCCGGTTCTACGAACAGCGCAGGATGACGAACCCACACCAGATCACGATAGAGATTACCGATTGCTCGAATGTGGAGCTGCCGCGCAGTTTGACAGAGAGTCCAGAGGCCGAGAGCCCAGAGGCACGGAGCCCAGACGAGGCCGTGAGTCCAATGACGGAACGGAGCTCGCTGGATGGAGAGCCGGATGGCCAGTCGGCGACACATCCCGCTGTGCTCAAAGCCGGGAGACGCACCTGGAGTGGTCCCTCGACTGCGGATTGGAGTCGGCATGATCCGTTGCAATTTTGATTCATCTTGTATGCTCCATTGGTAGGCGTTTCCAGTGGAACTGATTGTGTCGCCTGGTCGTGTTTGCGACCGGCTTGGAGATAGACGCGAGTTGCATTATACCCGAATTTTATTCATTCTTGGACATGATGGTCATCCTCGTACGCTCTTTTGTAACACAAAGCCTTGTAGACTTTGGGCACAGAAGGTCAGATTGAGCATCACTAATGGCGCCAGAAACACAGACAGATAATCTCGAGCCGCGAGAAAGCAAACAAGTAGCACTTGATTTGTAGCCTCAGGCAGCAGGCTAAGACCGGACATAGTGAGGTCACGTGCTGTCAGGGGCACAAGGATTTCGTCGGCCATAGCGAAGACGCGATGACAGTGAGATATCGATAGCCCTTTCTCTCAGCATACGCCGATGACGACCCTGTACCTCGGACCAAGGCCATGACGGCTAGCTCTAATGGTTCTTCGAGCCGGCTCTCAGGGCCTAGATTATCGATCGGTGTTTCAACAAGCCAGATCAGATCAAGATACAAAGAAATGGGAACTCTAATCTTGGTGGTGGTGGGGTGCGCTGAAAGGAGGGATGGATGAAAGAAAGCCACAAGTTTTCGCCCGCCTTTGTCTGCGGATCCTCGGATGCCCAAAATACAACGCAACTGTAGATCCGTGTGGCCAGACGAGAAATCCGAACTTTTTCTCCCCTCCACCGTGCTCAGACAAGAAGAATGGACCGGGCGCTCGGGCACCGTCCCTTGATCCCCAGGCCTGGTCTGGAAACTGCGGCGATCCGCGGGAATCGACTCGTCGAGTCTTTGATGCACTCGCCAGTGGTAAACCCATCTTGCCTCCTGGGGCATGATCAACGGCGACCAAGTGTAGTACGACACCGCTATTGGACGCCCCCCGTACCTGATATACCATTTCCGGTTCCATCGATGCATGGGTGGTGGTGGTGGACTATTGAGATGGCCTGGTCAATAGGCACCGCCGGACTCGACAATACGAAGGATTACACTGGCCTGGGATGGTGGTAGGGCAAGGCCTCGACGGTATAAGATGGATGGCTCTGGGCTGCTGGATGGAGAGAACAGAACACGTACTCATCACTGTTATCATCACCATCATCTTCTTACCAAAGCTCTTCACCATGTTCCTCGTCAACTATCTCACCCAGCCGAAAATAACCTTCCCGGCAAGGATCAACTACCAGTTCGAGTCCCAGATAGCACGTCTGCTCGACGAGGCTGGCGTCCCCAACTTCATGTGGGGAGAGCCATATCTCGGGACTCTGGGATCCAGCACTGCGGGTTTCGTAAGAGATGACTCGTCTCCATGCTCATGATCCATCATCGGCTTACAGGAGTGTGCACAGGGGTCCAGGTGGGCAGTCCCAGACCATCTCATCGACAAGGCCGGCGAGGCCCTCGCCAAAGCCTCCTTCCCCCCCTGCAAGCACGGCCGGGAGAAATGTCCCATCTTCGACAAGCGGAGCACCCACCCGTACCCAGATCACCACTTCCACACGGACCTCACCTACCCAGAGGCGTGGCCCGATTTCCCCATATGCGTGAACCTGTACAAGAAGTCGCGCCTCTTCTGGGAGTTCCCGGACCCGACGCTCGGCCCGCCGTCCGCAACGGACCCGTACTACATGCTCGTGGGCGACCCGCGCATCCGAACCGACAATTACATGGTCCGTGGCAGCCGCGGCCCGAAGCCAGCGGACCTCTATCCGGTCAAGATGGCGGTCCCCGCGCGCTACACAGAGGCGATGGTTCTGCTGCAGCTTCGGGATGCCTGCGGACAGCGCACGATGCTGCATTGGGAAGTTGAACTGATCTACTTGCTCGACCCCGGACAGATCCTCGGCCTGAACCTGGATCTGCAGGATCTGCGGCCGGCGTTTAGGGACTATCTTGTTGCGGACAATGTGGATGACTCGGACACGGGCCATCGTCTCTTCTGCCGACTTTTCCTGGAGCTGAAGAGGGAGAAGAGGATTCCTCCGCCGGAGAGGCCCTGGGAGGCGGGCATGGGAAGAGAATAGTCTCAAGTTTTGCAGGAATACAGCATTCCGTTTAAGCAGTCTGATCTGGAGTAGGTCCAGCCCGGAATAGGGCACTTTTGTGAATACGTTATGGGCATCGGCTTGGTTGCTTTCCATCCGCGATGTATTCTCCCGTGTGACTGGGCTCCCTCTCTTGCCTGCGCGCGCTTGTGTATAACTACGAAACACCAATGATCTAAATATGGCCCTCATGGGTACAACCCCTGTTCGGTATATTGAGAATGACTGATAAGATAGATTGTATACGTAGGAGAGTGACTAAGCGAGCCTAACTGCCTGGGCTTATTATGAAAGGGGCAAAAGCACGTAGCAGGGCAAAATTCACATTTCAAAAACGAAGGTCAGTGCAAAACGAGTGAAGAAAGTTGGAAGATACCAAACAAATTGCGGACATGCGAAACACCACAAAAATGACTTAGAGTAGGAACGAGATAACGAGGTGAGCTATGAAAGAGTGACATGGCAAAAGTCGCCGGCTGGTTCGCACGGCTTCGTCTGAGTAGGGCAACCCCACCCCCACCAGAAAGCGACCTCAGTACGGGAGTTTTCCATCCCATGTGGGCTTACGGAGAGCACGTCTCAGTTTACCGCAAGCTTCGCGACCGATCAGAAGCCTTTGCTCTGGGGTAAGCAGCGGCAGGTATTGGGTACCAAGGAAACCCTGAGAAAGGATCCAGAAGTCCTCCGCATCCTTGCGGTTAAGCGCCCGGACGCCACGGTAACCACAACTTGCCGCCTTCAGGGCAAGGAGTTCCTGCCTGGACGCGATGGGGATTGCAGCCGGATCGATGCTCGTAATGGATTGAGCATGAGCAGGAATAAAGGGCATCTTGATGGAAAACAGCTGGTCAGTACTGTGTGGACAGGCGAAGGTGATATTGAATTGCGGGTAATCTGGCACTACTAAAAGCGCAGAACGAGGGAGGACCATCAAAGCTCACCTTCTCGGCGGGAACGAAGTCGATCTGGACCCAGCGGCCTGTGGTTCGAAACTTAAAGATGTCGGCAAAGAATTGACAATGCTCCGGGCGATCTCTAGCTAAAGCCTTTTTTATCCCCTTCCCGATTTGCGAATCAGACAGACAAAAGTCGATGTCCTATATGGTGCGGTGTTAGCGAGACTATGCTGGATGATTACTAGGTGCATCATTCCTACCTCGGTCACACGGTATGGCTCATGGCGCAATACGGCAAGGCCGCCAACGGTGGCTATGGCCGTGTTGTTAATGCCCGGGAGTGCAGTGACCGATGGAGTCGTCTGGTCTAAGCGAATGAAATCGCTCGCAACTAGAATTAGCTCTGAAAAGCTCCCTTGATGGGGTGCTGGGTAGGTTTCCGGTATGGCCACCTCATCCAGGGACTCAGCGCGGTGCCGCCTAAGGAAAATGGCGGCGAGGAAGGCGAGGAACACAACGAGAACTGGAGGCGTGATTAAAGCCATTGGAGCAGTAAGAAGGGTACAACGAAGCGTGAATTAGAAGTCTGGGATGTATCAGGAAAGCGTGAAGATCGTAAAACTTGGAATTGAAGCCCCAGGTCCGGATGTCTCCTGGGTTTATATAGCTGAGCTGCAGTTCTGACCCTTGAGCTACAGTGCTCTTTGTGCACGAAAAAGCGACCGTCTGTAAGCATCACGTCTACCTTCCTTCCAATGCATGTCTAAGGATTGGAAAATTCCAAAGGGCATCTAGCGCCGCAACCTCGTGCGAGCGGAGAGAAGATCCCAAGCTACCAGGCGCAGGGGATTGTGGGGTAGTATGTAAAAAGAGGGTTGCGATTGGTGTTCGTGCGAAGCAGAAGAAAGTCTCTGCTCCTCTTTGATGGGCTGGCAGATACGCCAGGCTGGGAAATATTCCAGACTGTTCTGCAGGCGTTTGTCAAAGAAACCTAAAGACCAGGGGCGGTGGAATGGAAGCGAGAGGAACTGCCACGACAGGAAGATTTAATTCAAACTCCGTGTTGCTGAAACAAGCGAGGACGGTCATTAGCTGACCATAGTAGCGTTTACGTCATGAGCAAAGGGTTGGAAAGAGTCAACACACCAGGCGAGGAGGCTTGGCTGAACACAGAAGCTTATAGCAAGAAGCACGTTCCCGAAACATGTCGAATTCTAGGCCCGGCGGAGAGCGAGGAGGAGAACATCAAGGCGGTGAGACAGACCACGAAGAGCTTCTGGTGTATGGTCGCTTTCTCAATCCAGTGGGTTGGAAAGCCTGTGTTGAATGCTGTTCGCAGGCGGACGAAGAGATGTCGCCTTTCCAGGGACGGTGGGGAGGCAATGGCCAAACGGTGATCGCCAAGGCAGAGCTGTGATGACTGAAACAGGCGCCATTCTGGCCAATCTTATAATACAATTCATCACGGTTAGAGTTCCTCCAAATTCGGGTAGCCTACCACGACCGACGGGTAGCGACTCAGGGTTCAAGATCTCTTAGCCCGGAGAAACTGACCAAGACAGCCAACCACGTCATCCTGTGGATATCGCTGGCCCGTATTAAGTTTGAAAGATGGAGAGGCGTCGCCCTCTGTGGCAAGTAGGTTGCGGAGATTTTGTGGCCCCGAATGCAGAATCGAATCTGAAGCTGTAGGAGAATTCTCCAATTCGCATGCCAGGCCCGGACGAATTGCTCTAGAAATCAACGCTACATCAACGGATATCATCAATACGTTCAACGAGGTGGGCTGTTCCCAATTCGATTGAGTATCTTTGGGTGGTTGCTTGGGGCCGCCGAAGTTGTTGGGCGCTCGATTGCCCACGCAGCAGGCTCTGAGCTAGCATGTCTAGGATCGGAAGATGTGGTGTCTTGGATGAACTGAGTTGGAGCTGAAAGAACGACGACTGCCGGGTAAGACGTCGAACAGAATAAACTTCCACCTCATGCGCGACCCCGAAAGAGCGGTGACAGCTCGTCTGAGGTCAACTGACGCTGCTTTCTCCTGATCAGAGCTATCGGATAGCTCAGAAAGGCAACACTCACTTTGTATATGACGATAGAGGGCCGAAAGGTACCCCGGCAATTAGCAACTCGGTGGTTCCTGCAGGGGGACGTAGATCCGGCGAGCGGCCCGATCCACGATTCCACTGACAGGGACGAACTGCAGACGCCTGGTGTGATTGGCTCCAAGGGAAAGAGCTTCTGTAGCAGATGGACGGCTGGGATTAAGGAACCTCAACTGGCCCGGGGGCTGCGCGACTTTGCAGCGAGCGATCCCCACACCACCATGTCTTGCAGCAGGCAGGAGTTCACAAGAGTTGTTGCAGGAAGCGATAATCTGCCACTCAAAAAGTCAATAACGCCCAGCATTAGAATTCCATTACGTCACTCACATCGCAAAGCTGCACAGGGTAGCTGCAGTCCCCCAAAGTCCAAATATGCGCGCGCGGTCTTTTGACAGCAACTGCCCGAGACACTCGCTCACTTTGGCCAAAAGGAGGGCAGGATCGGAGAAGCATGATGAGAGCGTTTTGAAGATTGGAGAACGGAGAAGTGGGAGACGAAGCTAGGTAGCACAGATGGAAAGGCGTCGAAGGCATCTTGAAGTGACCGCGATCACTGGTGCCTTCGAGCCTTCGAGCCTGAGGCATCAGCCGCTCGAATTGGGCGAGAAAGTCACGTGGGTTTCTCACAGCTCCGTGTTCCGGCCTTGGTCCGTAAATCCGCTTACTCATTCCCGAGCTCTTTGGCCGGCCCTGGCGTGATCCGAGTCTGATTGGTTTGGAGCATGACAAGTTTGTAATTTGACAGGTTTGGTGGGTCTGATTGATTAATGATTAGAGTGTTGAGTGAAATAGATGATGCGGGATTTGCTTCATAATACGCTATCTTGCTGACAAGCATGGGGAGTGGGCTGGTTTGAAAGACGCCCATGGAAGCGTTCCTGAATTTCTAATAACCCCTGCCCGCTTACCAACCGCCCCATCGGATCCAAGATGCGACCCGCTGATTGGCCACCCGCCGGATGAGAACATTTCGAGCGCGGAATTGCCAGTCGCGCACCTGCCGATGGTCTGCAGCATATAAATGTGGCTCCTCCAGATGGAGAGTCATCTCTCATTCAATCTACTGCTTCGATCATCCAGACACCCGCCTTGACAGCCTCTACTCATCCACAACACATCCACCAATTTCCCGACCAAAAGCAACCCACCGTCACAATGGGATCCACCAACGTCGAGTTCAAGAACCCCGCGACCGCCACTCTCCTCGAGGCCGTCAAGGCCCGCCGCACCATCTACGGCCTCAAGCCCGAGAGCCCCGTCTCCGACGAGGTCATCGAGTCCATTGTCCGCGATGCCGTCCTGCACGTGCCCAGCTCGTTCAACACCCAGACCTCGCGTGTTGTCCTCTTGCTAAAGGACGAGCACAAGAAGGTTTGGGACATTGCTCTGCAGGCTATGGAGGGTCTTGTTGCCGCCGGTGCTCTGCCCAAGGAGGCGTACGAGGCTCACACCAAGCCCAAGCTCGAGGGCTTCCGCAACGGATACGGAACTGTACGTTCTCTCGCCTCCTAGTCAATACGCACAATACTAACGAATCACGAATAGGTCCTCTTCTTCGTCGACTACGATTCTCTCAAGGACATCAAGGAGAAGTTCCCCACCTACGCCGACAAGTTCGACCCCTTTGCCCTCGAGTCCAACGCCATGTCCCAGTACCTTGGTGAGTACATCGCTTCCCCACGAAATGACGAGGAACTCGAGCTAACAGTCGCAGTCTGGACCGCCCTTAGCTCTGAAGGCCTTGGCGCCAACCTCCAGCACTACAGCCCTCTGATTGACGAGCAGATCCAGAAGACCTGGAACATCCCCGCCAACTGGAAGCTCGACGCCCAGCTCGTCTTCGGCACCCCCACTGGGGCCCCTCACGAGAAGGCTTTTGCTCCTCTCGAGGACCGCTTCAAGGTCTTTGGCAAGTCCGCTTAGATTTAGAGCATAGATTGTTTTAGCGAGATATGATGGCATGAATATGATTGGTATTGCATGATTTACTCCGAGTTACACTTAGATCCGGTTGGAATTGTCAGATCCTTAATCTAGTACACGAATGCAATCACCATAGCTTAAATCTCGGTGCCTATCGACTACATCCAATCAAACAAGAATCGCCCATCAACCTCGCCGATCCAACCCACGAGGCCTCTAAAAATAATTCGCCCCCCATAAAACTCTTTCAGCGACCACGTCCCGAGCCAAGCTTTTATCTGCCCCACCCGTATTCGTTTCAAGATTGCCCAAAAGAGTATGTAGATCAAACGCTCAAGACTGATGAGAGTATAAATGAACGTAGGATAGTCAGTCCAGAATCCAAATTCATCTTCTTAACCTCTAATTCCCCTTTTACTCACAGACTTTGCTGTATCTACAGAATCAATATACATAATGGACTTCACCTTCCACGAGGGCGTCAACGGCTCAGACCCCTGGGTCGAGTTCTACCCTTACAATCCCTCCCTCACAGCCGGCTACGCCTTCATGGCCATCTTTGGCATCGCGACCCTCGTGCACTTTGTCCTCATGTTCCCCTATCGTGCTGCATACTTTACCCCGTTTGTGCTTGGTGGGATATGTACGTACTTCGCAGCCCCCGTCCCCCCCGCTCTCGCCTCTTTTCTTTTCCTTGCCTTCCCTTGGCCCTTCTACTCCAAGCCCACAAGCTAATATAAAGATAAATGTAGGCGAAACATTCGGCTACTACGGCCGCGCCCGCGCACACAACGGCCGCACCGAAATCGGCCCGTGGGCGCAACAGCAAATGCTCCTCCTCTGCGCACCCCCGCTCCTCGCCGCAAGCATCTACATGACCCTGTCGCGCCTGATCACCTCCCTAAACGCCGAACACCACTCGCCCATCTCCCCGAAAAACCTAACGCGCTGGTTCGTCCTCAACGACGTCATCTGCCTGCTGACGCAGCTCGCCGGCGCGGGGGTGCAGATCTCCGGCGACGCGGGGCTGATGAGTATCGGGTTGAAGATTGTGCTGGGCGGGCTGGTGTTTACACTGCTTGTTTTCGGGGTGTTTGTGTGGATCGTGGCGGTGTTGCATCGGCGGCTGGAGAGGGAGCCCACGGCGATTTCGCGGGGGGAGGGGGCCGGGTGGAGGGTGTACGTGTGGGTTCTGTATGGGGTGTGTGCGTGTATGGTTGTGCGGAATCTGGTGCGCACGATTGAGTTTGGGTCGCCCAAGGGGTCGGATGTGAGGGAGAGGGAGGTGTATATCTACGTGTTTGATGCGGCGCTTATGAGTGTCATCATGGGCGTTTGGTGTGTGTGGCATCCGGGGAGGTTGATTAAGCGCGCGAGGCGGGAGAGGGTTGCGCAGGAGGGGTTGGAGATGTTGGGCAAGTAGATGGGCTGCCTAATTCTATGAGAGCTACCGGGTTGTCTGCTGTGGGTGTTATGTGTGCGTTTGTTTCTTCTTTCTTTTGTTCCGTGTCTGGTTATAGCTGCTTGGGGTGGAATTCATGGATGGTTTCAATAAGTAAGGAGTACTGGGGTTAGAGCAAAGAAAGATTAATGGGTATTTTCTCAAGCAGGCAATAATATGAAGATCTTGCTATTCATCGAGTCAGCGACTTGTTTCAGTAAATCGGAAAGATATCAAGAGAGGCTGTGGAAGAATTCTTGGTATACTAGCTGATCTCCCTATATTGTACCTCACTTACAATTGCTTAGAGCCTGTCCATAGCAACTTTTCAAGGTATCAATAGAATCACAAAACCTAGTTCGACACAACAACCCCCGGCCACTCAACCCACCGCCGAAACCCCTCGGGAAGACACTCTCGGATCCCCGACACAATATGCGCATCCCACCCTTCCATAAACCAAACACCGCGCATATACCGCAGCAGAATCGCCCAATGCGCCAAGATAACCAACGCAACCGGCTCCCGGCCCTCCAGCCGATCAATCATCACCGCAGGACGCCGATACGTCCAGCCCATGGCAAACTGCATGAGTTCTGTTGCGTCCTCGCCGGCTTTGACGCTTTTACACGCGTCTTCAAAACAGCAGAGGAGGTCGTCGACGGCCGCGAGGTAGAAGTCGCAGTCTGCCCTGGTGATTTCCGTTGTGACGAGGAAGCGGACTTCGTGGAGGCGGGCTGCGTGTTGTGAGAATTCGTCTTCGAGTCGTGCCGTCGAGAGACTATTCTTCTCTTGCTGCTCCTTCACCAGCGGCTCCAAATCCCCCGTGAAGATCTCGTCCTGCTTCTGCGCGAGGATCGCGCGCACCCCGTGCAGGAGAACCAGCCACTCTGATTTCCCGCCTGCACTGAAAACCAGGAACTCGCCCTCGCGCGGCCCGCGCGCAAAGTACGCAAAGCAGATGAGCACGGCGGACATGTAGATTAGCTGGCAGTTCTCGCTATCCAGTGTGTCGAGCGCGAGGACGGAGGTCACGGAGCGTACACCAAATGTGAAATGCTGGTCTGCCTGCGCTATATACTCTTCGCGACGATCTGGGTGGATTGCCGCGAGGTGTAGCGCTGCGAGGGCGAGGATGAGATGTAGGATTGATGGAAAGGAGATGCCCCATGCTGGAATGAGAGATTGCCAGAGGCGTCGCGTGGCGGTGGACTCCTCGCTGAAGCTGCGGTATGTCGTTGTCGTGAAGTGGTGGAAGAGGTGTAGGTCGCCTAGAGAGATTCCGCCCTTGTCGGGGATGGGAGGGATGTCGCATTGGATTGCGGTGGAGGTGGTCTGGGCTGGTGGTTCATTCGCCTGTGGAGAGGGCGAGGCGACCTGCTGGTACTTGGACTGCCGGAATTGATACCGTCGCGCGGGGGGTGTTAGAGATTCCGATGCTGAGCGCGTGGTAAAATCGCAGTCTATTGAGTGTTGGAGACAATTCGAGCATGTTGGTTTCTTCTCGTCGCACTGACTTGGTGGTTGGCTTCATTAACACATCCACTCCGTGGAGAGGGAACGTACCTTGACACGCCTCTTCTTACAATTCCCACATCCAAGACGCGACTTGCGATGTGACCGTCTTGATCGTATCTTCTGCAGGTTATCCGTGTCGCTCATAGTTGGTCGATGAATGTGTCCAGTGAAGTTGCTGAAAAGTCTTCGTATTCGTTCCTTTTCTACCGCTTGCGTAATCCTGCTGCCTGGGGCATCCGCCGATCTTTCTGTTTCATTTTTAGATTTGCTGGACCCCTAGATTTGAAACTCGACAGCCTAAATGCTAAAGTCATGATTTTTGACGTCACGGTCCGCCGGGACCGCTATATACATCTGCATACGGATTCAATCCTGCTCTCACGACTCCGTAACCACACGTTGCAACGCCTGGCACATCCTAGTGCCAAAAAAGCTTCTTCTCACGGCTTCCATCTGAACTTCTTCCTGCGATTTATTCAACACCTTACAATCCATATAACAGTCATCGTGCGTCGCTAATCCTCGATTTTCCTTCTAATTACATATGGGATAGCTGAAATACACCCCACCTCCTTGCAAGGAAATCTCTCTAACGTGCTTGATGCTGGCACCATTACTCCAATTTCACCTGATGAACACGAGCCATATGATCTCTCAACTTATCCTTGCGCGAAAACGCTTTCCCACACAGACCAATCTGGCATGGGAATGCCCGTGGCGCAACGTGTATCGTCTTGATATGCCGCATCAGGTCGATTTCCCGCCGGAATACGTGGGTCGAGGGACAGTCTTCCCATTTGCAGGTGAAGGCTGTTTGCTTCTCTTGTTTCTCTGGGCTGAAATAGCATGGAATCAGTGGATGCGCCAGGTGAGGATAATGGGAAGGGAGGTTTCAAGTGACCTTGTCGGAGTTGCCGACTCCTGTTCCGGCCACGACAATTGTCCATCGGCTAGTACTCGGGGGCCCTTTGGCGAAGGCGCATCTTGCCCGCTGCTGTCGAATAAAAACGCCGTGCCTCCGCTGGATCTAGCGGGTGTGCTGAAGCTGAGACACTCAAGGCCTGTGCCGTAGGGATGTTGTGCGGAAACGGCATTCCCGGTGGGCAGCATACACCACGTCGGTAACGGCGTCTGCGTCCATATGTTTGAGGTCGCCGGAGGGTGGAAGTCAGAGCCGTATGCATTTGCGTTCGGTGCTTCCGTGGTTGGGCTCCAATGTGTAGATACTTGGATCCATTGGAATTCGGGCGTGTCGGCCATATCGAAAGAATGGTCAAGTATACAAGAATATACAATGTAACTTGACGGTTGAGACTTCGACACTCCTAAGCTGGAGGTGCCGTCGAAATACTCGGAGTATATATACTGGTGCTGGGCACCCTATCCATTGCCGTGCCTTCAATTGCGCACCATTCTAGTACTACACTCTTTGCGCTTTTAGAGCGCTATCCTGCCCCATTACCCAGGAAATGCGCTATCTCGTAAGAATGTCAGCGAGGAGTGGTGCTCCGCCGCCGAAAATGCGAGACGGATGATTGGCGCGATGAGGCTCAAGACAGGCATGAGCACAGCTGTGCTCATGCAAGTTTGTGTCACGTTATCCCAGCCGCACACGAGAAACGTCAGCGCCCAGTAGGCCTCGTCTCCTTTTCTTATTATTTGATCGCGTTCTTGGACTTCATCATCCACAAAATCCTCAGGCCATCAATTGATCTTCCAAGCACGCCTGTCATCATTATGAGACCTGCAGATTCATCAGCGGACAAGGGACAGGTCTCCCAGCAGCTCCCGGAGCCTAAGCAGTCCGAGCGTGTTCAGAAACATGGCAACCAACTGGCTGAAGCAGAAAGAGCGTCTGCCGAAGGACGTAACGACCACAAATACACCTATGATTCAATACTTGCCGGGAGTCGACAATCAACACCCCGTACTGGGGATTCGGAGGAGCGTTCAACGAGGGATACTTGGAGAGAGAGATCTGGTGCTAGCGGTAAATCGAAATCGCTGTTGCAGGAGCTTTCCCTCTCTTCGCATACCACGCCTTCTATGGCTACCTCGGACGATCAACTTTCAACTGACCTCGGTCTCGCGTCGATAGAAAGCATTTCAGATGCCTCAGCTAAATCGAGAATGGAGAGGCACGACTTGGACTGGAAGAGGCATAGTGTATGGGTGAATACAGTTGCTATGCTCAGGGAAGTCTCCACGCAGTTCAGAGATCTTGATGAGCGGTATTCGACCTCAGCATCAGAAACAGAACGAATGGAACTGCACGAGAAGCTAGTCAAGATCTGGGAGTCGGCATATTACGGATGGGAACGGATTGGAGTCTGGTGCCAAAACATACTGCAAGACGACACGGCTGTCCCCAAACTACGAGGGTTTGATTGGTCTCAGGAGAAGAGGGAATGGCGACGACTCGAGCAAGCATACGAGAGGCATCTACAAGAACATAAGGTATTTCAAAAACGTACGATTCCATCCCTGCCTGTGCTACTTCTGTAACTGCATCCACTGACGTTTACCAGGGCTCAGGAAGGACCATCAGCATGCGCCCCAAGATTCTGGAACAAGGGACAGTGTAGGCGAAAAGGGGAAAGATCAATCTACACCATCCCCGCCACAATCTAGAGAGCGCCCTAGACCGGCGTCTTCCCATCACCAGATACCTCTCGAGTCTGCTTTTTGTGGCCATGAACAGGTCAATGCAAGTAACCCGGGCCTAAGTAATGATGGCTATCGGCCACCATTGGCAACGTGTGAAGCACAGGCAGTGACTCCCGTAGCACGACCCACCAATGACCATGAAGCTGTCACTCGCCGGTTTCCACATTCAATATGCTCTGATCCTCGAGCGTATATCTCTTCAGATGAAGAGGATTTCGCAGACACGGACTGCCTTTCAATAACCGTCGATTCGGAACACGATATTGAAATGGCTGTGGCCTCGGATGCGGTTATTGATTGTGCCCTTGGACACATTCTTCGCGAGTACCGGGCAGGCAAACAATGCGGACAGACGGACGATAGCGGAACAGGAAATCTGTCGTACACGACCAAGTACCGCCATATCGCCCACCTACATCGCTTGGAATGAAACATGGTCGAAACGAGGAGACGGCTACTGACGGTAGCAGCTCGTCATTTCCGCTCACCAAGAAGCGAAACACAGGGCAGGAACAGCAAAAGGCATTGGCATGTCCCTTTTGGAAGAGGAATCCTCGCGAATATAGGAGGTGCTTCCGATACAAGTTGAGTCGAATCAGAGACGTCAAGCAGCACATTCATCGATGCCACCATCCTCCATGGCGCTGTATGCGATGCGGAGAGATATTTCCCAGTGAGGAGACTCGCGATGCACATGCGAGAGCGGATCAAGCCTGCGCAGTACGCCATGTTGTACACGATGATCTTTCACTGTCCCAGATGAAAGCCCTAACTAGGAGATCAAACCCCAAATATCCCGTGGAAAAGCAGTGGTATGCAATCTGGGACATTCTGTTTCCAGGGGCCGAACGTCCCGCTTCGCCATATATTGACAATGTGCTATCCGAGGAGATATCGTCATTCCAGGAATTCTACCAGACTCGCGGGCCTGCGATCCTTCGAGAAGCACTCCGAGAATCATTTATGGATAACACTTCCATGCAGGAAGTTCAACAGTACTCCGATCTGGTCCTTCGTGCTGCATTAGACAGAATCCTCGATGAGTGGCTGTCAGCTCAGACAGACGATACATGCCCATCGAGTGCGCAGCCCGCTACGAGCGCGACACTTTCACCGTCTAGCGAAAACAACGTTAATACTTCATCTTCGGACAGCCAAATGGCCATGACAGAATCAGGCGGCGCCGGTAGTTCCCAATATGACGCAAGCAAGAACTGATCCAGGGAGCTCCTCGTTCCCGCTCACGTTTGATCCCGTAGCTTGGCTGGATTCTGCAGCATGGAACGAGTCATGAGTATGACTCCTTGATGGAAATCTCGACAGAGGCTTACCGCCCGGATCGATTGCAGTCTCTTAGTCCGAATAACTCGATGCAATAGACGGGTCTGGGCTCCTGCCGGGAAGATACAGTTTTCACAACTGGCTGAAACCTTATACACTTCCAACGAAGGTTCTCGGGTTAGGGTTCCATCCCTCACCACGCACGCATAATCCAGGTCTTGCTCAATTTGTCGCCTCCCAGTTTCCTGAAAATTTAGTTCCCACAACCATGTGTTCCACCTTGTATCTCTCCTCCACACCGTCCGTCCATCATTAAGCCTCACTGATCCGGGGGTGCTTACAAGGCACATCCTACCCCCCAGACCGCGAAAATGTCTCTCGTCGACGGCCTCAAGGACCTCGTCACCGACATGTCCAGCAGCATCGCCACCCTCGTCCGCAACTTTGACCAACAGCGCATCGCAGACTGGGACGACCAGCATCACCTGCATGCGCGACAAGACATCATCGCGGGCCTGATGACCATCTTCGACAAGATATACTACACGCCGGATCCCTACGTTACCAGCGAGACCGCACGCGACCTCGGCATCTCGATAAAGCACCTCAAGCTTGTCGAGACGGGCGACTACAAGAATGAGCACTTCGAGTTCCGGCCAGAATTTTTCAAACCCATGCCGATGGGCGCCTATGAGTTGCTGCCGATAGACGCCTTCGATGTCGGTACGACTGGGCTGATGAAGACGCTGGATGAGTACTGGGACGAGGCTGAGAGTGGTGGGAAATGCGGTGGGTTTACGCAGGCGAGGGCGGTTTCGGATTTATTCAGTTGCCTGTTTTCGCTCGTCGAGAGGATGCCTGTTGGCTCGGATGACGACTTTACGTTGCAGCAGTGGTCTGGCTGGGTGAGGCGGTGCGTACACCCCATATCCTTCCCCGACCCTTACCAAAAGCACAGCGCACTCTAACTTGTTGGTGTATTAGATGGCCCAACCGAACCGTCCAAGGCAGAAAGTACATGCGCCCAAGTGGCCCCAACACGCCCGAAAGCGAAAGCGTGACGCTCTGGGACGTCCGATTCGGAGACAATTGGGTTCGCGACGACAGCCATCCGCACCGAACCGTCATCCTCGAACACTCGGTTCCTCCGCACAAAGGGCTGCTCCGTTCCGAAGTCCTCACGATCATTGGACTCATGCGCGAGCGTCTCTCTGCTCAGACGCTCATGGAACACAAGGTTGCTCCCGTACGTCCTTGCCCTCTACTACCCCTGCCCCTTCACACGTCTGCCCCCTCCATCAGTCAATCTTGCTAACCACTTGATGCATGGGCGTGTCTAGATCCAAATAATCTCCTGCATGAACGACTACCAAGCCCGTATCCTCCAAGCAGATTTTCGAGACGGGAAACTGACGATATACAAGAGTTTGCTGTGGTCGTTCGCAACGCAAGAGGAGAGGTTGGAGAATACGTCGCTTTTCTTGCGGTATTTCGCGGCGCAGCCGGTTGGGGATACAACTTTTCATTGATTGGTCCCTTTATCCGTCGCTCGCTAGCTATTCCTCGTCTTTTTGGTGTTCGCTGTTGTTGTCACTCCCTCCATTGTTGTCGCCCTCGTCACCGTTCTACCTTCCTTGATCTCCATGTATGAAGCCAGTTGGGGAGTCGCATCGCAAATCCTGCCTACGAGTCCTCGCGCTCCCCCTCCTGCTTCTTCCAGCATTGTCCTCTTGTTCTTCTTTGCTTTATTTTCCTTTCGTCGGAGCTCCGACTATCGAGCCTTGGTGCTGCCCCTACCTTCTCTCCAGATCTTGCGGTCTTGCGGAACCTCGTGCGGTTAATACCATCAGATACTGGGGCTGCTCACGCACTTTTGATCACTGCATATTTGGTTCTATGCTTTCTGAGGCTGCCTGCGCTCCGTCGAGTACTCATGTAAAGTCCTCCGTCATCCTTTTGGCTTCTTGTTTTTCGAATTCTGCTTCCGAGGTTCCTGACTCGCTCTTTTTTTATAGGGGCTTATTTCTCTGCTCGCCCCCCTCTCCAGCCCCCAGAGTTCGTCTCGCATTTTCCTTTTCTTTTTTTTTTACCCCTGTCTTCGTACAAGATACCCTAGAATGTCGTTAGTTCTGTTGCATGATACCCGTGTGATTGCCCCGCCGCGTCCATTCATCCCAGAGTCCGGGCCTCTACCCTTTGCCCATGGTCGTTTCAAAGTTGGTACCACTAGGTTGAGAGAAAGATGGTTATGGTTTCTTATGCGCCGGGCAATGATTCCTCTTACTTGTGTGCGTTCAAGATACCCATTGGTTCATTCATTGCTGCTAATCCCGCCGCAAATTTGCCGTTCAGATTAGCTATTAAGTAGAGATAGAATGGGATTCGTCGAATATTGCTTGCTCTAATGCTTCCGTGGGCAGTCAAGTTCGCTTGACCACTTTAGCCGCTACCAGATGTGATTTGCCGTATATGCAATATTGAGATTTACTATGTTATCATTATTAGGGACAGTCTTTTGGCAAATAATACAGTATACACACGAAGAAGAGGAGAGCAAGTCAGTCTACCCAACCAACGGAACCCCCCTAATCCAACGCCTGGGCCTCACACATCTTCCTATACATCCCGCCCCGCAAAAACAACTCCTGATGAGTGCCCATCTCCTTGATCCTCCCACCAAAAAACACACAAATAACATCCGCATCCTTAATCGTGCTCAGGCGATGCGCAACGGCCACCGTAACGCGGTCACCAGCCTTCGCCGCCTCCTCCAGCGCCCCCTGGACAATCTTCTCGCTCTCCGTATCGAGTGCGCTCGTTGCCTCGTCAAGCAGTAGGATCTTCGGGTTCCGAATCAAGGCGCGCGCGATCGCGATGCGTTGCCGTTGCCCGCCGGAGAGTTGGGTCCCGCCTGAGCCCGCGGGCGTGTGGATTCCCTCGGGGAGACTGGAGACGAAGTCCCAGGCGTTTGCGGCGCGGAGCGCGGATTCGATCGCGTCGTCGGAGACGGTGTTTGTTTGGGGGTCTTTTTCTGAGAAGAAGGGTTGCGTGTCGCGGTTGAATATGCCCAGTGCGATGTTCTCGCGGATTGTGCCGTGGAATAACGTTGGTTCCTGTTGCACGAGCGCAACGATGTTGCGGTAGAGAATCGGGTTTAGGTGCGAGAGGTTCCAGGAGGAGTCGATTGTGATGGTGCCCGTCGTGGGGTCGTAGAAGCGCTCGAGCATGGCGATCATTGTAGATTTTCCACAGCCGGAGGCGCCAACGAGGGCGATGAATTGGCCTTTGTTTATCTATCAATAGTCAGTATATTTGTAGGGGACCTGGTGAGGGTGCTTCGTACCTTCAAGTCTACCCCCTTGAGAACTGCCGCCTCGGGCCGCAGTGGGTACGAGAAGCGGACGTTATCAAGGGCGATTGACGAACCTGATTCCGGCTCGTTGTCGCGGTTTTCAGGCGTCTCGCGTACCGTGGGTTCAAGCCTGTTGAGCCAGAAGATGTAGTTGGTCGCATTGATGCCCTTGGTGATGCTCGTCGAGAACTGGAAGAGCTGCGCGGAAGATTGACCAGAGAAGAACACGCCTAGAAACGCAACGAAAAAGTCGTACATGCTGACCTCTCTAAATGAGAGCAGTCGGCAGCCGTACCAGAAACCGAGTGCTTGGAACCAGTACTCGATGCACTGGGTCAGACCAAAGCAGATCATGGTGCTCGCCATGGGTTTGAGCGAGGCCGATACAGCAGTGTCGAGTTCGTCTGTGTACCTTCGTAGGATGGTTTCTTCGACAGCGAGCGATGACACGGTTCGGATCGCATTGACAGCCTCGGAGGCGATGGACGAGCTGGTAGCGTACTTTTTCGTGGTATTTCTATCGAGTCGTGCATCGAGTTTGATCTTGGCTAGGCCCGCACCAACCAGAGGGGGAAGGCCACCGAATATCACGACGAGACCAATCTTCCAAGAGTGCGCCAGCGAAAGAAGACTGCAGCTGAGCAGATTCAATACGGCAACCAGGATCAGAGCAATGTTGAACCCCATCAACTCGAGGATAGACATCGGGTAGGAGTCGACATGGCTCACCAACGCGCCAGTGCTGTTTTCTGGCCGGTCGAAAAACTGCACATCCTGTCGCAACATGTCGTTGAAAATGAGTCGCCGGAAATAGTGACTGAGATGTTGTGCCACGGTATTTGTAGACCAGCCCATGGCACCGTATGAGATGAGGCAGCCGGCCGCCATGACGATGAACATGCTTGCAAAGAAGTTGCCTTCGTCTCGCATTTCGTCGCCGGTGAGTTGAAAGACGTCGACGACGTTTGCCATGAGAATAGCCTGGCCGGGGAAGGTTGCTGCGCCACCAAGACAGGCGAGGAAGACGACCAGATACGCCCAAGACAACTCTGGACACTCTCTCACCAAGCGTACAATAGCCATGAGTGTCCCCATTTGCTTGTGATTATCGTAGTTATCGCGTTCCTTCATCGACTCGATCCTCCCACGCACAGACGTTGCGTAGCGGCTGAGTCCCTCGGTCGTCTCGGTGGCCTCCAGCGGTGCCTCATCTTCGGTGGTGCTGTCTTCCTCCTTTGTCGCTCCATCCTCTGCAGCGGCGACATTCAAATTCTGGACTTTAACAAGCCTCGCGTAAGCGCCGTCGTCGGCAATGAGCGACTCGTGCGTCCCCTGTTCGACGATCCGACCTTTCTTCATGACGACTATATTATCTGCTTTGCGGATCGTAGCGAGCTTGTGCGCGATAACGATCGTAGTTCTGCCTTCGGAAGCCTTGTCAAGCGCCTTCTGAACGATCCCTTCGGCGTGCGGATCCAGAGCGCTGGTCGCCTCGTCGAGTAAGAGCACCTTGGGTTGCGAGACCACACTCCGCGCAATCGCAACTCGCTGCTTCTGCCCGCCAGAAAGCAATCCACCGCGCTCTCCAATCAGTGTGTCATAGCCATCAGTCAGTTCGGTGATAAAATCATGGGCATACGCCATCTTCGCTGCCTCCTGCACTCGCGCCAGCTGCTCCTCCCGAGGTGCATTCTCCCAGGGCGTTCCAACGAGTCCGTAGCTGATATTATCAAAGACACTTCCTTGAAAGAGAACCGGCTCCTGCTGCACGAGTCGAACATTCTTCCTCAGCCAGTTCAAATTCAGCGTGTCGATCGTGTTCCCGTCGAGCTTGATTGTCCCCGAGTTGGGGTTGTACCACCGCTCGATGAGCCCGACAATCGTGCTCTTTCCCGATCCGGATTGTCCGACGAGCGCAGTTACCTTTCCTGCAGGGACTCTCAGGCTGAAGTTGTCGAGGACTGTGATTCCCGGGCGTGTTGGGTAGGAGAAGGTGATGTTCTCGAGCTCGACTTCTCCGACTGTCGACTCGGGTTTTAGGCCGTCTGTGCTGTATGGGTTTATGGCTGATTCTCTGTCGATTAGTCTGAAGAGTTGTGCGGCCGCAGAGGCAGCTCTAGCAAAGTCGATCGAATACGGAGCGAGCGTTGTCAGGTTAATTGAGGCGATGACGACCGACATCAGGACACTGGCGCTCAGCGTTAGTTTGCGGCCTTCGCTGCTGGCGTTGACTTACATGAAAATATCACCCGCCGAGTCGATCTCCCCTCCTGCCATCATATTGATCCCCTGCCAGAACGCGAGGCCAAAGCCAAGGTAGATGATGGTATATTCGGCCGAGAAGAGCAGACCAAAAAGAGGCGAGATCTTCCTTCCAACCTTGTGTGCCTCATTCAGATACTCGTCAAACTTCTTGACCAGACTCGCTCGCATCCCGAACGCATGCACAGCCTTGACGCCCGCTAGCACACCCTCCGCAAACGAGTTCGCCTGAGCATGGATCTCCAATATCTTCGTTTCATGCCCAGCCTCGATAGCAGCCACCGTTCCCGTCACGATAAGAGTCGCCGGCGCGACGCAGAGGCAGATGAGTGTAAGCTTCCAATGCACGACGAACGCGATGATGAACGCCGTGAAGAACGCCGCTAAGCCTTGAAAGAGCAGTCCAATCTTCTCCGCAACACCCGCCTGTATAAGCTTCCCATTCGACGTGGCCTGCGCCGCGATCGAGCCTCCGGTCCCAAAGTCATAGTACGCGACCTCTTGACTGAGCGCTGCCTTGAGATAGCTATGGCGGATATTGCGAATGACTCGGTACGCCGCGTACGTGAGGAGGACGTTGTACGTGTATGAGAGGACGAAGCGCGCGATACCCAGGTACACAAAGTACAGACTTGCTTGTCAGCATCTCAGTGAACCAACACGTCTTCGAAAAATCAGGAATCATACGCTAGCTCAGAGACCTCATCGCGAAACTCTCCCGGCGTCGCCTGGTCGTTGATGAAGTCGGTGATGACCGTGATGAAGCGGCCGAAGATGAGGTTTTGCAGCGCGATACCGGCACCAGACGCGGTGGCTGCGAGGACAGCTATGGCCTGCAGGATTAGTTCGATCCGTCCGGCGTAGCTGAAGATCCGCTTTGATACGACACAAACTCTCAGTATACGTTTGCGAATGCCCCTTGTAGCCTGGAACCCACCTTGTAAGCACCAAAGCTGGCCTCTGCCTCTTCGCTCTGCGGTGTTGCTTTTCCTTTGTCGGCTTCCGAAGGCGACTCGTCGTTTCCCACTGTGATTTTCTCCTCGAGCACTTCAGACCCCATAGTGTCCAAGGCGACAAGAATGTCGCTGCCAACGCTGCTGAGCGAGAATGAGCGCTCGAAACTCAGCGCGCGAGAACCTGGGGCTGGCAACTCCCTAAATACGAACAAGGGAGCAGAGTAAAAACCTTGCGTCGATGGCTGATGATACGACGGCTGAAACCCATCTTTAAATGTCCGAACGCCAGGGATACCAAAGTTTCACGCACTCGTATTCCCTGGCTGGGCATTTCTCGGCCCGCTCGTCACCTCACCCGACTGAAAGAGCGATCAGTCTCGGCGCCAAGTTGTCTCGATCAACCTCGCTCGTATGGAGGCCGCGGGCTCCGAGAATTTGGTTGGCAAAGCCTAGACTCCGAGGCGAGATGAAGGATGTGGCAGCGCTGGCGTCCTTGGGGAGTGAGGAAGTGCGCGAATCAGCAATGGCCGGGAAATCACTCGACGTCTTGGCTGACTCATTCAGGGTCTTGACTCTTTGGCCGGACGATGCACATACTCGATCCGGGTTAGTCTCGCGAATTGGGTCTTATTTGACATGTCTCATGGCTTGCTGCTAGCTAGATACTCGCTAGGTAACAACGGTCAAGTTTCTGCCTAAGCGCCGAGATCTGGGCGCAACCCTAAATCAGAACCTTCTCGAGAGCAGCAAAGCTCGGACTCGCCTTGAGCGATTCCTCCAGCGACGTCAGGGGCTCATCCAATAGCTATGATCCGCCACGTTAGTCCCGCAGTATAGTACCCACCCGTACTCGTCTAGACTATAGGGTTACATACCTGATGCCCCTCCTCAATCCCATCCTCAAAAAACCCAAACTCAACCCCAAACGCAATTACTTGCACGAGATCCTCCCGAAAGAACTCCGGTGCCCCCTTGGCCGCAAGCCCCGCCTTGAAGTCTTCCTGGGATATCACCTTCAAGTCAACAGCGACCCCATTCCTTTGCAGAATCTTTATAATCTCTGCAACGCTATAGTACCGCTCGCCGAGGTTATACGCGCGCGACAGCGTCTTCGCGGGATGCAGCAGGATGGCCTTGACGTATTTTCCCACATCCGCGGCGGGATCAATAAGGGGGAGCTTAGAGGTTAGGCTCATTGGCTGGGGGAAATACATCTCATAGCGATAGGGGTCGCTTGGGACGGGAACGAGAGAGTCGAGGAGAAAGCTTGTGTATGTTCCCAGCCGGATGATTGTGTGTGGGATTTCCAGCGAGCGGATGTGCTCGTCCACGAGCGCTTTGCCGTCAAAGTGCGCGGCTGCTGTGTATTTTCCGTTGGATACTGGGGGAGTTAGTCCTCGTCTCGATTGTAGTATTATGAGAATGTTCAGGGTGGAATATTTCTCACTCTTGCTAATATACGGCAAACTGCTCCAAACAAGGTGCTTGACGCCCGTTTCCTACAGACGCAAGTCAGTAAGCGATGCCAAACCACCCCCTCCATGGATCCATCCTGCTGCGCCCAGAAACAAGCGGGAGGTGGTATACCTTGCAAACATCCGCAACATTCATCCCCTGCCTCGTCTCCCTCGCCGGCTCCATATGCTCAGCCATATTCGTCACGAGATACACCGCATACGCATCCTTTAACACAGGCCAGAGGGAGGATTTATCGTCCAGATCGGCCTATACGCCCATCAACATCCACTCCCTCATGTACACTTTCTCCCCAAAACCTCGAAAAGTAAACAACAGAGATTAGGGCAAAAGAGCTCATACCTGAACCAGTTCTGCACCCAGCTGAGCAAGCGCAATCGAAGCAGCCTTCGACGGATCACGGCTGACGGCTCGAACGTGGAATTCTGCGGCCGTGGAGGGGTCAGACAGGATGGCTCTTGCAACGGAGCCGCCTTGGTTTCCTGTTGCGCCGAAGACGGTGAGGATTTTCTTGGGCATACTGGGTGGTGTTTGATGAGTAGGGAGAAGTAAACTTCGGGAGGATTTGGAGAATATAGCAAGGGATTGTTGTTGATGGCTGTAGGTAATGTTGGAGTTGGGAGATGGCATTATATATACTTGTGGGGGAGCGCAGGTCGGATACAGCTCGGAAACCAACGGGGACTTTCAATTCTGATTTCTAATGCAGTATACTCACATTCCCATCTTCCTACTGAGATATCAAGCGTAAAAATGATTTCAAAGCACTCTCGGAGCAATCTTTGCAAGTGTCCATGGAGTAAATCGAGCGAGATCAAAGAAACTCGGGCTCTGATTGGCTCGCTCGCGTTAACTACCGAATGGGACTAGCGCCTTCCACGACTGACTGCACTTTGAGCTCATCGCGCCTTCCTCAACCACTGCTCTCAAGGGGTCGCTCTTTCCTTCTTTCCCCCTTAAATCACCGGGGCGACATACCGCACCTGCCTCTCACGCGAATTTTGCTCTCAGGGATTAGTCCGTTTATCCGTGACGTCATGGTCCGACGCGGAAGGCTGTCGAGGGGATGCCAGATCTGTAGGAAGCGGAAGATCAAAGTTTTTGAATCCCCGGAATTTCTCCAATACGTTGGTCAATGAGTAGAGTGACTAATATGCATAGTGTGACCAAGTTCAACCTAGCTGCACGCAGTGCCGGAAGAGTGGCTGGGTGTGTCCGGGGTATGCCGATTCCGTGGAGCGCATGTTTCAGTATCAGCAAGTGGATTCTATCTCTATCATAAAGCCGGTCAAGATCCGGGTTAATGAGACGAAGGATGTGAAGCGTAGAGCGACGCAGATACCAGTACCAACTGGTGCGATGGTCAAGACCACGCCGATATCGCTATCTCTATCTCTACCGCATCTGCCTCTCCCAAAGGGAGTAACACTGTCTCTCAATGACCGCGCAATTGGCTATTTCCTACTCACACACGCGCTCCGCGACACGGGCGAAATCCGCGGCTGCTACGAGTACCTTTTCACGCTCCCCATCATCACCTGGCCGGAAACCTCCAGCTGCCTGACCGCCGCCGCACTCGCAGCCTACGGGAACGCGCGGCACAGCGCCGAGATCCTTGAGCAGGCTCGCACGTACTACGGCCGGAGTTTGCGGCTCGTGAACGCCGCTCTAGCGGACCGCGCGAAAGCGTCGCAAACGAGCACGATGATTTCGGTTCTCCTGCTTAATTCCTTCGAGGCGCTCATGTCGGAGGGTCTGGAGTCGATGAGCTACAGTGATGGGCATATGAGGGGGGTGATGATGATTATGGCCCTAAGGGGTCCTGGGCTGATGGAGTCGAGGGAGGGTGTGCAGGTGTTTTTGCATATGTGTCGGTGTCTGATTACGTATTGTATCATGAGGCCGGTGGAGGTTCCGGTTGAGGTATGTGCTTTGCGCGAGGCTGCGGCGAGGTTCCTTGATACGGAAAGTCCGGCTTGGGTGCTCGAGGAGGTTATGATCAAGCTGGCGAAATTTCGGGCTGAGGTCGAAGCTGGCGGGATCGTTGAGAGTAACAACATCATCGACATTGCGCTCCGATTAGATGACGAATTGTCTCAACTGACAAGTAACCTGCACGGACATGGGAAATTCGACACAGTCCGAACCCTGGACGCGGATCCCTCACTCCCAGGATACAACCATGCCTACCCCGATATGTGGTATGCATACATTGGGAATTACACCCGCACCTGCCGCTTGATCCTGCACAGGATTATTCAGGAGGAACTCGAGAGGGGCGACGGATCCGGTTCGCTTAGAGGGAGCCATGATCTACACTCCCAGTCACGGTTACAATCGCAGAAACTGATTCAGGACATTTGTGCCAGCATTCCACAGTACCGTGACAACATCCGCCAATGTGCTAGCCCCTCAGCGATTGAAGGAGCCGTTCCCGGCATTGCCGGTGCTTACTTTCTCCTCTGGCCGGTCATGACCGCCGGACACCTCACAGAATCGGCAGAGCTGCGGGATTGGATCATTGATCAGTGCCGTTGTGTCGGGCGAATGTCCGGAATTCGCCGCGCCAATGCCATTGCGGGAGTGTTGAAGCGCGGAGAAAACATCTTTCACGCGCGCCAGCAGATCACGAATACGTTGCAATCAGAAGACGGAGCTGGTCTTCCCAGTCGGCGGTGGCTTGAGGATAGTGAGCAGAGCTGGTGCACACAGTGAAGCCGGCATTACTCGAGAACCCTAGGAACGGAGATCCATCCCCCCAGTTGCACAAGTCGAGGTCGTGGCAGTTACGGCAGATCAGAGCCATCACCTCGGACCATCCATCATCCTTTAAACGCTTCCGACATACGTTGCAGGCCATGGAGTATCGGAGATCCTCCTCATTGATACCTGACCTGGCCGCTTGCGTGAATACGCTACGTGCTGCATCACCGTTACCTAGGTAAACGAGACATTTCGCCAGCTTGTAATAGTCTCCAGTCTGGCCGATCAAAATGCCAGTCGCGAAGCGGACGACGCTATCTTTCAACTTTGCGGTTTGTGTCTCTTCGTCGGTGGGTATGTACGTGACATCGCAGCTGCTTAGCAGTCTGTTCAGTGTCTCTCCATTGGCGGATGCCAAGTCTAGAGGGGTACGGCCGTAATCGTCGAGGAGCAAGGGATCGGCACCATGAGACAAGAGGAGTTCTGCAATCTCGAGATGTTTGTTGGCAACAGCTGCATGCAGTGATGTATAACCTTCTTGTTCATTCCCGACTTCGACGCCTCTCTCGATCAGCATCTCAACAATGGCTACGTGACCGCCTTCGACTGCCATCTCCAGGACCGTTCGGCCAGACCGTGATGGGATCAGATAGTCAGTTTCGTCCTTTTCATGCTTGAACAAAATTGCTTTGAACGCTGTGGCGTTTCCAGTCATGGTCGCATAGTGCAGCGGGATGCGGCCGTGGTTATCAGTCACAGTGACATCGGCACCCGCATCGAGAAGCATCCCCAAGATATTCGCGGAGCCATGGCCTGCAGCAACATGCAGCGGACTCCGCCCAAAATTGTCCTTGGCTGAAAGATCCGCTTTGCACCGCAAAAACAGTTCCACTGCCCTGGTGTTGGATACCGAGACTGCCAGCAGCAGCGGCGTGTTGCCTTTGTCGTCTGCCGTGGATAACGAAGCACCGGCCGCAAGCAGTGTTTCCAGCAAATCATGTCTCTTCAAGACAATGAGCGTGTGCAACGCACTGAACCCACCCCTTCCTTTTCGGTCCGGGTTTGCGCCGGATTCGAGAAGGGTGTGTATGACATCCGGCGGACTGAATTCCTCGAGAGCGATCTGCAACGGCGTTCGGCCATCGGCGGTCGTCTGGTCGATATTCTCGCCATACAACTGAAATAGTCGCACTGTGACCATGTTCCCTGATCGTGGGGCCGTCAAACCGGAGAATTTCTTCCCGACTGCATGAGTACTGGCACCGGAATCCAGGAGGAATTGAGCCACCTCGTTTCGCCCATCGACAGCGCTCCCTCGGCTGTTCTCGGATTTCGACTCAGCCCCAACCTTGACGAGCATTTCCACTGCCTGCCTATGGTTGTTCTGCGCCGCAACGATCAACGGATGGTTGGACCTGCGATGGAGAGGAGGTACTGTGGCCCCATAGTCGACCAACAACTGGATCATGTCACAATTTCCAGATTTGGCGGCCTCGTGAATCAGTGTATTGTCTCGAGACAGATCGAACCAGGTTCTCTCACCCTCCTCGTCCGCACTCGGCTTTGGCTTTACCCCGGCGTTCTCCAACATGAACCGAACGACAGGCAAATGGCCAAAGTAGACTGCCAGCGACAGTGCCCGCAGGTATAACTCCTGTCTGCCCGCACTTTCTGTACCCATAAGCCTCACCAGCAAGCGTATCACATCCAGATGCCCGTGTCGCGCGGCGAGTACAACCGGGGGCTTCCCCTGTTTCCCGGGCTCCAAATGGTTCGCTCCCGCCTCAATAAGAATAGAAACCACATCACTATGTCCGCCTGCCGCAGCGTAATGGAGCGCCGAGAACCCGTCCACTAGTTTGTTGACGTCTGCGCCGGCGTCCAGAAGCTTCCGCGCCCCCGATGCTCTGCCATGTTCCGCCACCCACGTCAACGGACTTTTCAGACGGTATTGCTCGGTAAATGTGTACGTGACGGCGAGACGATAGAACCGGTCGTGGAAGACGCTGGCCAGATGGCGGCAGGTTTGGAGGAGCGCGTTCAGGTCTCTGAGGTAGAGGAGCTCGGCGATCGATAGGAGGATTTCGGTGGGGAGGCGCGCCAGCGACCGGGATGAGAGTTTTGGCGTCGACATACTGAGCTTGGAAAAGCTTAAAGGGGTCTTTGGGACCCATCGTCAAGCTTCTCTCGCAAGGTGGGAAAGGAGGGGTTCCAGATTGGAGGTTGGCGAAACACGAACTCACGCTAGTCTGAGCCCCACGATGCGATTGGACGATGCGGTCCTCAGCGTTTGCACACCACCAGAAGCACTTAAGAGCGCGTCATCTTTCTTTCACTTATAAGTCTGGACTTGGTCGATGGCAAAGCGGGTTCCTCAAGCAAATATTCTGTTCACCATGCATGGGCGGAGAATACGCGCCCTCTCTATGGACGAGACGATTGTTCCAGTGTGCTACATCTGTTCCGAGAGTATACAAGAGCCCGGCATCCCTTACACCGGGTGTACGCCTAGATACGTCAAGAAAGGCTTACCAGGATCAAAAACCCGCGGATCAGCAAAGGAATTGGCGTAACTGGGAATGGTATCGCTACTACCGTGCGAGTGAGTCCTTCGAGCAGATAATATTTGCCAGGATCGTTAACCACGCGCGCAGTTTTGTTGCACCCGGAAGAGGACATCTGCCACCTCTCCGGCACATCTTACAACTATTCGACATATGAAGAAGACCAAGACTCATCTTTTCTGAAAGTTCCCTGGGACGAGAAGGCAACTTCAGGTCTCCCTGGCAAGGTGAAGCCCCCAACTCTTGTGGCCAAAGCCTTCCTCCTCCAGGTTGGAGCAGAGGCTCCCAGAAATGAACTTAGTGGAGTTGCAGTACACTATCGCTGCTGGGAATTACTCTGCACTCACCCGATCTGGACAACCACTGGGAAGGATATAAAGGCCCTGCTATTAGCGCTACAGCGAAAGAGTGAGGAGGATTGGGGGTTTTTGTACGGTTGGGATGACTCTGATTCCGAGAACATCCTTGGCAATGATCACTCTTCTATTGATTCGGAAGTCTTCATGGAGGACCCGCCAATGATGTGGGAGCACTCGGGTAGGGCCTTTGTCCATGATCATATCACTGGGACTAACGGGTATCGATCTTCGCCGGACAGACCCTTTCTTCAATAAGCATGTACAGGGCCTGATTTACAAGGCCAAACGGGTCAGGACCGAGCAGCTGCCACAAAAGATAAAGACCCGACTGGATGACCTGCCACTGGAAGTCCTCTGGATGAGTTTAGATCTGCTTCCCACTCAGGACATTACCGCGCTTGAGAATGGTACCTGCTGGTACATGAGTGATGCGTATTGGCGATCGCGGACCGATGCAAAGCTGTTTCATGAGCTCAGGGGCCTCCCTGATGAGGAACTGAATTGGAGGTTTCTGTGCCTTGAGCTTGAGACATTGACCATCAAGCGCAAATCTGATTTCTATGGCCGGAGATGGGTTTTGAAGCGGTTGGATGACTTGATGGAGCTTCTCCCTTCGCCGAGGGGATCGAATGTGTCTTGAATTTAAAATAACTACTTTGACAGGAACACAATTAGTCACAAGTCAACCCTGACAACCCCCGGTGGTGAGAGGAAAGTAGATTCCTGCGGGTTGTCTTCTGATTTGTTTTGAAAATGTGGTCTGTGTTATTGCTGAAGCACAGCCAGAGCCTACACAGAAATGATCCTAAATGCCACTATGCATCATCAAACTATGCCAGCGTTTGATCCAGGTTTGATCTGATTAATTATACTACCATGTTTAGCCCTGGGAGCCAGCCCACCAAGATTATGAAGGGATTTTCCCAACTCTTAACAGCTGCTCTTGTTTGATCTGGTACCCACAAAAAAAATACAGTAACACAACACAGCCCATTGAACTGCTGGTGCTACAGGTAGTGCTGTTGGTAAAAAACAGCTGCTGCGTCACCTGCAATCCTTCCAAATACTGCACATTCGAGCAGTGACGATCCGCCCAGTCGGTTCTGGCCGTGCAGTCCTCCTGTTACCTCGCCTGCAGCCCAAAGACCTGGTATCGCGTCACCCTGCTCATCGAGCACTTGGCTGTCCGCGTTGAATATGACACCGCCCATCGTGAAGTGCAACACAGGCGTCACCTTTCCAACAAACGCAACAGAGTCTGGCTGGACGTCTGTCAAAGTCCAATTGCCGAATGCTGTTCGACCAAGCTTGTCTGTCTTCTTCACTGCCACGATATCTGCGTACTCTTGGACTGATTCAATGGTTGATTGGCCCAGTTCGCCGAATGTTGTCTTCCGCATCAGTCCCTTCCAGAGATAAAACTGCATATGCGAGTCCAATGCCGTAGCCGCCCCCTCGTCGAGAAGGAGAGTAACCTCCCATTGGCGAAGGTCACCTTCCAGCGCATTGGCAGACCGAGTAATCACATCCGTGACATGCTCCCGAGTCTCCAGCTCATTGACAAACCTCTTCCCGTTACTGAGAAGCAAAATCCCTCCCTCGCCCCTCAGCGCCTCAGCTGCGAGGAACTTGACCGTCGCCGACAGATTCTTCTCATCCACAAACCCTGTCGGATGAACCTGGACCTGCTCCATATCAATCAACCCCGCCCCAACCTCCTCCAACAACCCCTGCGACCCCTCCCTCGCCTCATTCGTCGACGGATAGCCTGCAAGATCAGGCCGATACTTCGAGACCATCCCGCGAATATCCCCCGCAAACCCGCCGCTCGCAAACACAACCGGTCCACGAAGGACATGCATCCCATCTTCTGCCGTATACTCCACCCCGACAACCTCCTTAGCCTCCTTCAACACCTTGGTCACGGTGGACTTGGTCTGTAACTCGAAAAACGGATTCGCCTTGAGCGAATCCAACAGGGCACCTACAATCGCCGCTCCCGGCGGCTTCCCTTTCGCGCTTCGATGGGTGCGCGCTCGACTGTGCCCGCCGAGCTGCGCGACCCTACTCAAATCAACCCCGAATTCATCCGCAAGCCAATAGACCGCGTCCGCTGAAACCTTGGTCACAGTGCTGATCAATTTCTCCCTAATCTCCTTCTCTCGTGTTTCCGCGCTCGCAAACGCCTTTCCCGCCGACTTGACCGTGTCCGCATAAAATAACCGTTCATCGTCATCATTAGGCCCAGAGGGAGTCTGGAACCGCGTCGGCGCCCCATTTATCCCCGAGGACGCCTTGATACTGTTCCCGCCAGGCCTCTCCGCGCGATCGAGGAGGATGACGGGAACATTCTGCTTCGTGAGCTGTGTGGCGGCTGAAAGGCCGGCTAGGCCTGAACCGACGACGATTACTCGGTTTGTCGGCAAAGGGGGGACTGGTGTGCAGGTGGACATTTTGAGGGCGTTGATCATTTCACGCGAGAGGATTCGCATTGCATAGTAAGAAATATTCTGGGTTTAGAGGAGGCGTGGTTGGGACGGCGATTATATTTAGTATGCCTGTGGTGGGGAATATGGGCTGATGCTCGGGCTGCCGCGTGTCAGACCACTTTTGAGATTGGGATATCACGGGGTATCTGGTGTACGTGTGGTCGCATGGACAGCAGCTTAATATTATGATTTTCAATCCTTTTTTGCCGAGTTTTATTCCCGAGATGGTGTTGTGTAAAAAATCATTCATACCTAGGCTGTTAATGACGTCCTTTAGTGATCTACGTAGGGAACGCATGGCGCGGAGTGGCCGAATTCCATAGGCGCAAATAAAGAGACCAAGTACATGCGGGGAACGCATAGCCAGTGTATACTGCCGGCCACCGCTTTCCCTAAGGGGATACAGGCTTCGCATCTGTCTAGCATAGCCAAGCTATGCTGTGGTCCCTGGACTCCAAAGCTAGTCCTGTCGACGCACTGCAAAATATGGACGAATACAAGGGCATATTTAGCCAGCTGGATCAAGAAGCCCCTGGACTAACTACAGAGGCTGTACTTACAAGACCAAGGACGCAATACTGGCAACGAATGAGTAGGTACTCTGCAATTATCCTTCGCTTGGTGAGGGACTTGAAGAGAAGACAAAGCAGTGTCTAGCCCCCAGTGGCACAGATGGGCACAGATGCACGTCGCTACTCTAGCGGACCCTTTGCAAAGATTCTCATTACCTCTTCCACAAGTCAGAGGCGTATCGTCATACATACCAGGAACAACAATGGCAAAGCAATTGGCAACGCTCACAAGGATGGAGATGACGCCGGAAAAGCGCAGGAGTGATCCCTGGCGAAGATATAGGCAGCAGTACCGCATGGGGTCCCGAGAAAGGAGTGTTCGTCAGAACCAGCTGCAGAAACGCGCAGGACTGATATAAATGGTCCTGGCAGCGATTACCAGTGCCGGGTGGATTGAACACTCACATCCCTCAGTGAATCTGACCGGAAATCCATTCCCCATGATCACCGTCATGCCCCCCGAAGATGATGTGTGTTAGAATGAGGATACCTACGGCATGAGCCGACTCAGAGCGAGCCATGCTCGTCATCATGGCCACAACCAGCGCGACCAGAAATATGACATAGTTCTCCACTGATCCCTTCCGGATAACGGAAAGCAAACCTGAAGGAGAGTAATCAAGAGAACCTCTCATATCTTTCGGGAATACTCGCCACAAGGAGACGAACTTACTTGCGAGCCATTGAGTATATACACCCAAGCGCATACCGAGTCCGTAAATGTCTGAGTTCCCCTCGAAGCCGCACGCGTTCGCCTGGTCCGATGAGTACTGTAGATGGACGGCTTTGACCTGCAGAGAAAAACTATCGGGTTTTAGATGAGATATAGGCTTACCTTTGAGTTTAACACTTGATGAACATAGCGAATCAGCCTGCCACCTTCTGAATATTGCTGTGCTATCACCGGAGTGAGCAAACATAAAGGGTTACACAGCATGACGGTGTATTGACTGTTGATTGGATGTTTCGAAAAAAAAAAAAATAAAACTCCGAGGCCACTACTCGATTTGCTCATCGTTTCTTACCCATGAAGCCAGATTTTACGGATTCTCTTCCCTGCTAGTTGCCTCATTTCCCCGAATTTTGGTTTGACAGAAGTGGAAAGGAGGGTTCGGCTACTAACTCGGAGCTGAAAATCGAACTCTCTAGAGCCCCTCTATAAGATACAGAAACATACTGTTGGAAAGCAACGAAGAACTGTGTGACGAACCTCCGTAAGACCTCCCAATCATCACGGAACCTCTTCTCCCCTGCAGGCATCTCTTAGATATATCGATTGCGGAGTCAGTATATTAATTTTTTTTTTTTCTTTTTGGATCCTTCAGGATTTTGCTTTACAGTACCTGTTGTTTTCTTTTCTACTACAGCAATCATAGAGAACACGTCCGTTCGAGTGTTACCCACCCAAAGGGAGAGCAAGATGGACTATGTTTAGTATAGCAGGTTTACAGTTCTGGGAGAGCGTGTTAACTGATCTGTCTTGCAAGGTTTGATAATTCAACTCGCCCGGTTGTTTCCCAAGGTCTGGCACTAATTCCAATGGGTAGATCTAATAGAAATATGGCAGAAGTAAGATAGCTCTTGAGATGCGATGATTACCTGCAGGAAGACAAATCCCTGTGAGATCTATATCAGCACGATCTACCTGGACGTCCTAACCAATAACAGTCGATTGCTTACATGGACCCGTGTAATCAATATGTCCGCCCAGAATTTCGCCACCCCTCCACGTCCTGAGATGCGGGCCAAGCGAATCGGACCCAGCCACATCCCCGGAATATTATTCCGCTGACAGCATCTGTCAGCCCACCTCAACCTTCAACCAAGATGTTCCATACATCATCGAAGAACGCAGTGGCAACAACCAGCTGAGAGATCATATTATTAGCGCGAGAGACGCTGCCAGGCAGTGCTACTCCGACTGTCTACCTTGTCCCTGCCACGCCGTATCACGGGTCGTACAGTCGAACCGGAAGCATTTTCCTACAGTCACACTCATTTAGGTACGGTTATTGACTATGCAGCCACTCGCACCGGCAGGCGAACCCCCTGCCACGACGACATCAATAAATTTAGGGATCTGGAGGCGAACAAAGTCGACACGGGCATGCGACAAATGCCGCTCCTTGCGGAAGCGGGTAATCCCCCCTCTAATCTCCTCACTTGCTCACTGGCTAATAACGACGCCCTCAGTGTGACGGCGCAAAGCCCTGCAGCAGTTGCACGAGCCTGCGCGTCCAATGCGAGTACTCCAAGGTCGACGGCCGCAGTAAGGAGGAGTTCAAAGCGCGCATCGGGGCCCTGGAGAAACGGAACCAGTATCTCGAGGAGCAGATTGAACATCTCAAGTGCAACCAAGGCGCGGGGCAAAATGATACGTTGAAACGCAAGAGACCCTTACGCGAGGAACCGTCCCCTGCAGATGTCCAGGAGCCAAGGCTTCGTAGTGCTTTTGCTTCGGCCAGCGCAGCAGGGCAACAGCCCGACAAACAGGCCGACAAAGTCGACCAAGTGGACGACCATGGCCTCGAGCACATGTTCTTCGCAGCAACCGCAAACCACCCTCTATTCAACTCACTGAATCCACTATCCAGCTCCAGCGACAGAAAGATGCGCGATCAGCTACCGGACGAGAACCTCACACGCTATGCCCTGGATGCATTCTTCCAATGCGCCGCGACACTATTCTACGTGACGACCGAGGACAACGCGACGCGGCTTCTGGACAAGGTCTACCACACAGACGACGCTTCGATCCTCGATATCTGCGAGCTCTCGGCGCTCGCCGCAATCGGGAGCTACTACATCATTGACAAAGTCGACGATGCTGCGCGGGCACGGTATTTCTTTCTCGCAACGACGAATCTGAATGAGGCGGTTCAGGCGTACGATATCCAGGGCTTGAGGATTTTTATATGTCTGTGTATGAGTTGCATTATGGATAAGAGTTTGAGTGCCAGGTTGTTGGTTAGTATGTTTGTCTTCCATTTCAGTTGCTTGAGAGGATTGCTAAGTATTCTTAGTGTCTGGGTTGAATCTTGCCAGGGCACGCACAGAGGCGGAGACTAAAAGGACTGATTCGAATAGGCAGGATGTGCTGGAGTATAGGCGGACACTGCAGACGGTGCTATTCTTTGAAGGGTACGTACCCAGTCTCCCATTTCATGGGTGGGTGCTAACGGTAGTAGATGGCTGTCCTGGTCCCTGGGCTACCGAAATTGCCTAAAAGAAAGCGAACTCAACCTGGTCAGCCTTCCAGCCGACCTCCTCAAAATGCTTGCTATATTCTGACAGCACAGCACAGGTCCGCGAAAACATCCCCCAGAGGACAGATTTTAGCGACTTCAAAGCCTTCACCACCTGCCTAATCCAATACCACATGACCAAGCTCGCCTTGATCGGCTCCGAGATTCAAAACGAAATCATCTCCTCCCCACAAGACTACTGGAGCCACGCGGACCCACTGTCCGTGAAACTAGACCTGTGGTACCAGGAGCTCCCACCGGAACTGCATCTGGCGGCGCTGAGCAGGCTCGAGGAGGAGAAGACAGTGACGGAGCTGCAGAAGAGGGGCACGTACATGATGCATCTGCTCTATATTGATTCGCGGCTGCAGTTGTGCTGTCAGCTGCTTAATGCGGCGCAGATGACGTGGCGCTCGGATCCGGATCCGTTTTTTCTTCAGACGCTCTGTAGGCAGGTCCCGGAGGCGTTTTTTGATACCCATACGGGGTTTGCGATTCAGTTGGCGAAGATCCTGCGTTTGATGTTCACGAACCAGGCTATCATGACACGATGCTGGGTTGTCATGTAACGTCCCCATCCCGTTTCCCCACCGCTCCAATTACTTGACATCTTGATATTCATTCATAATTGTTAGGCGCTCCGCATTCGACACCTGCATCGTCCTCCTCCTCGGCGTGTGTCGCAAATACTTTACAGCCTCGGGAACATGGGATCTGTCCGAGATCCTCAGCCACGTGGACACCTGTTTCCAGGTGCTGTGTTTCTGTGCGAGTCATGATGTCGCTGCCAAGCGCCTGCGCGATCTAATTGGGCCTGTGCATGCGCAGCTTAGACGCATGAGTTCGAGAGCTAGTGGTAGGACTGGAGACGTGTCTGGGGATATTTTGAGAATTATGGAACAGCAAGAACAACAGCAGCAGGAGCAGGATCAAGAGCAGGATCAGCGCTTGGAAGAGACAGACGGAAACAAGATGATGATAGGGTACTTGTTGGATGGGAAAGCGAGCGAGGCGCTGACGCTTGTCGGCATGACGCATAATTTGCTGAAGTATATGCCGCCGCATAAGTGGGATATATGGATCTAGCTAGCTACGTCTTGTTTGATGCCGCGCGCGCGCGACTTGATCTGACGATTTTGTCTCGTATTCCACTTGTAACTACCTAGTTGTTTTGGCTACTAGTCCCGGTTCATGTCGCGCAAAAAAGAAAAGAGCCACTTCAAGAGAGGAAGCAGCGAATCCCTGAACTTGTCCTGCCTCAGGAGGGCCTTATCACGAAAGTCTACTTATACTTTCAAGTGCACTTTGGAAAAGCTGTGATTGTGCCTCACTGCCAAAAAGGCAACTGGCTTTTCCGGAGTCGTATATCCAGGAAGCCACTTCTGACCTTGGTGGGCCGGCTCCAAAGGATGTATACTTCGATCTTAGCACAATGGATGCCCCCATTGGCTGCTTCGAGATCACGTCATCTCGGAAACTAGGTCAGAAGCACCCGACGGTACGCCGAGCCCCACAACTTGAAGCCGGGTTACGGTTAGCCTATCCATCGATTCCCGAGAGCCTCGTCATATATGAACTCCCAGTCGCGACGTCTACGCTACCAGCCACAGAAGCTTGAACAAGTCCGACCACAATGTCTGAAACGATGCAAGCAATCCGCCTCCATCCCGCGCCCGCAGTCTCCGAGCCCTACACGGCATCCAATCCAGCCCCACCATCAGCCCTGTACCTTGACACCATCAAAATCCCGAAACCAACCGCGCCAGGCGAAGTCCTCGTGAAGATCAAAGCATCGACTATCGTCCGCGACGCACTTACTTGGCCTGAGACATACGCGCACGAATATCCCACGATGGGGAATGACCTCTCTGGGATTGTCGTCGAGGTCTATCCCTCCTCGGATGCAAACTCAAACTCGGACTCGAACTCGAAATTCAAGATCGGCGATGAGGTATTCGGCATGACAGCCCCAGACCGCCCAAGAACTTGGGCACAGTATGCGGTAGTCCGCGAGACGGAAATAGCTTCGAGGCCCCGGGGTTTGACGTGGGAGGAAACCGCGGCCCTCCCCCTAAGTGGCCAGACGGCGTTCGAGGCGTTGTTTGTTCGCGGAGGTGTATCCATTCCGAGCGACGTGGCGGCGATGCATGAGAACAAGGGGAGAGAGTCGCCGAAGCCGGATAGCAAGAAAGTCCTCATCACCGGTGCCGCTGGTGGCGTTGGCGTGTACCTGGTTCAACTTGCGCGATGCGCTGGGCTGCACGTCACAGCGGCCACGGGTTCGAATGCTAGGAATGAGGAGTTTCTTCAGTCCCTGGGAGCGCATGAGTGTATCGAATACCCAACCCTCAGAGAGAGGAAGGATGCGTACGACCTCATCATCGATTGTGTGGGTGGCGAGCCACTGGTTGACGCGTGGAAGGCCGTCAAGGGTGACGGGAAACTGATTACGGTCGATTCTCGCAGCTGGAACTTTCTCGAAGATCACGCAAAACAGGGGGTACGTCGTGATGGTGTTGAGGCGTTCTTTTTCATTGTGGAAGGGGGATCAGAGAGTTTAGAGGCTCTCGCTCGGTTTGCGGACTTGAGGTTACTGGAGGTATTTGTGCTCAACGTTTATCCGTTGGCGAGGGCACGGGAGGCGTATGAGTATGGAAATGGGAGATTCACGGGGCGTGGGAAGATTGTTTTGAGTGTATAGAGTGTATAACGGCAAGATGTTGTCAAGAGAAAATTATTCTTCGGGTACTAAAAAAGGTGAAGTAACCAAGTTGATGTCCCGTGTTCTCGAGCCGTAGAAATGGTGTACCTTCCTGTTTAGTACGAATATATCTCGCTCGTTTAGGGCAGGCGCGATGGACTCAGGAGAGGCAGCGCTGGGTCGCGCCTTCCCTTTATAAACGTGTGTGCATCGTTCCTTCCTAATTGAGCTCCAGGGGATGCCTTCCGTTTCCGGAACCACTATATTGTCCTCAGAGATAAGGCAGGTGTGATGGACCTTCGGCGGACAGCGCCCCGCGATATTCTTTCATTTTGAAGTGCGTTGGGTCATGGCCGTACTCTTGGCTAATATATACCGCGTCATCTAAATCCTACGAAGTTGTCCGAAGCCGAGCATCAATAATGCCATTGCGAAATGGGAATGGGGTACAGCTTGGTTGGTATATATAGGGGATATGGCAGTATGCATACGGAGAGCATATCCCTTATAACGATGGCTTGCATGCAATCTAGCATAGCAGAGGCTATCGATCTGCAATATCCTAAGGTAATATAAAACTGAGCGTTCATGATACATGGGCGTGCCCAAGCAATAAGAACATCCGTCTGCTAGGGGAGGAGGTATATGAACTGTCTTGACCAACCTACCTCCCTAACGCCAAATCCTATTCCCTTTGATAAGACCCAGCAGCGCATACAGTCCGACTCTGAAATTTCGCTAGATATCCACTCCTCTGACCGACTTATCTGCCCCTTCGGCTGCAAAGCCAACAAGATCTCTGCGGAACTATACCTCTCTTGATCACAGTGAAACTATCTTCCCTGGTGCTTCCCCTTTCTCTCACCGGCGCCAGCATAGCTGCCGCACTCCCCGGCTTCTCGACCTACTCGTAGAGGACAGGGTCAGCCGCTGCTGTCTGGGCGAGTCAAGAGGGAACCTCAGCTTCGACTGCCCCTGGCATGGGCGCGACGCCAAATGAGCGCTGGGGTCTCCCGACGTAGAGCTGGAAGGTCGCTGAAGAGGTTGCTCAAGAGCACTCCGGGCGCGGTATCGAAGACGAAAAGGGATCGGCTCCTGAGAAGCGCTGATTCTGAGACTACCGCTGCAAACGAGGAAGATGACAATCCAGATGATGTCTCTGGGGCTGAGAAGCGTAGCTTTCCTACTTACATTTGGCGAGTCTCTGAAGGTGAATTCAGAACGAGGACAAAACCGAAGACTCCGAGGTTGCGTACCTGAAAGGCGTGGGTGTCCAGCCTACAGCTGCAGAGTGAAGAGTGACGAGGGTGAGGCGGGACTGAAGAGGCAGATTCCGGTAATGTTGAGGAGAGCAGCAAATGGTAGATGCCTTGAAGTTATCCATGCCTAGTGCACATGTGGTGAGAATGCCGAGATGCGGCAGCCGTCGACGGAGACTAAGTGAACTACGGTGTGGATACAACACTCAAAAGTATTCTTGCAGTAAGGAATACAAGCATGGCCTGTCAGTTTTGAGTTAGGACATCGTGGATGTACCCGGAGTTGAAGCTGATTACCTCGCCAAAAAATGATGTATGCCATGAGGCCTCTGGAGTTGGGGCTTCAGACTACAAGGGTGTTCAAACTGACCGTGCAGGGACTTTCAACCAATTTCACATTTATCTTCTATATCATAATCATGTCTCATAAGACTCATTCATCCCCTATTCGCCCGTTCCAAACCATCCCACACCCCATATATACACCACCCCTCACGCAAGAAATGCAAACCAAACCGTGGATAGCCCTTCCACCTTTCACCTAAATCAAAGCCGAATCCACCTCCCCATCCACTCCCCCACAACAGCTTTCGCCTCATCCACAAGCCCTAAGTCCAGCAGAATCTGCGTCGTCCCACGCACAGCGCTATCCAACGCACTGAAGATCCACGCGTGCGTGTAGCTCGTGTGCTCGCCGATAAACACAGTCTTGAACTCTGTCTCGTAGTAGGCGGGCAAATATAGGTCTTGCTGGCCGACGAAGGGAGACGCCCACGCGCCCGCTTGGTGTTCGTCTGTTTCCCAGCATTGGCGGTTGTAGATTCCTAAATGGAAAAGAATATGTTAGTGGGTGGTTTGAGCGGTGGGAATGACGGAAGGGATGTATTTACCGGTGAATTGCTCCGCAGCAACGTCCCCATGGAACTGCACCATCGCGCGCTGGACGATGCCGACGTAATCCTCGTCACTCAGCGCCGCAACCGATCTCGCCGGTGTCCCGCTCGTATACGACGCGAGGACAACGCCCGGACCTGACGCGTTCATGTTGAACGAGGGATAGCAAACGGATCCAACACCAGGAACATCCACTGACCCACATCCGCCGAAGATCGGATTCTCTTGATGCTCCCAGAACCGGGTCTCGTAGAGCAGCGAGAGCTTGCACGAGGGACTGTAGTTCAGCGACGAGATGGCGCGGCTAAGCAGCGAGCTGTACCGGGGTAGATCCCACAGGCGAACTTTGCTGAACGGCGTCGCGACAACGGCATAGTCGTACTCTGCACTCTCGGGAACAAGGTCCAGTGGATCTTCGCGCCAGTTGACAGCAATCTTCCCCGTCGTCTCATTGTAGCTCAGTCCCTCAACCTTGCGTCCGAATGTGGTCTTGTTGACGATGTGCGGATAGAACGCCCTGGGCAACGACTCCAGCCCCTTGTCAATCGTCCGCCATTCGCTCGCGGAAAAGTACACGTTATCGTAGATATCCCCCCACATCGGCGAGTTGTCGCTTCCAGCGACGTAGTCGCTGATGTTGTCCCCGTAGCCCAGGGCATACCGCAGGTACCCGGCCTCGGACCAGTGGAAGAGCCCGTTCTCGACAGCGGTCTTGTGCGCGCGGAAGATGTTGTCGGCGACGGTTTTGGGCGAGAGGTGGTCGTGCGACAGATACTCCTCGTACGCGTCCTCGGCTTCCTCGGCGAGGGTCTGGTTCTGCGCCGCGGCGCTGTAGACCATGTCGGGGTCCGCGGCGACATCTGCGGCGCTGGGGATGCGGCCATTCGGTAAGCGACCCCCACCGGCAGACGCGGGAGTGTTCGGGTTATTCTGGATAAAGGGGATGAAATCGACCCGGAGTTCCGGATTCTGCTCGGCATTGAGCCTGTTCAGCGTGTCGGCAAGTTGAAAAACCATCTTGTGATCCTGGATCTCGAGCGTCTCGTTCTGCTCCGCGTACGTGATCGACACGGGGAAGCGCATGGGCCCCATCTCCTGGTACTGGTATTCCTCGGGGGAAGTATTGTTGAGATACTGTGTGCGGATTCGACCGCCAACGCGCTGTGAGGATTCAATGATGTGCCAGTTGTGGATGCCAACAGAGTCGAGGAGGAGACTTGTCATGAGACCGCTCATGCCGCCGCCGATGATTGCGATGGAGGAGTTTTTTGCGCTGCTTGATACCGTTGGGTCGGTCTTGGCCGACATGTATGCTACGCCGTCGAACCAGGGGCCCATTGCGTCGGCGTAGTCGGCAATCGCGTAGCTTTCGCGTTTGTCAATTGCCGTCGCAATGGAAATTGGTTCTGAGCGCGCGACGAGGGATGAGGTTGAGGACGAGAACGCGTGGAGGCAGTGCAGGTGCGGTGCGTCCGAAGGGGTAATCCAGACGAGTCTCTCAGGCCGTGCATCGCGCTTGATGAAGAGCGTGCCGAGGGAGTGGTGGTGGCTGGTTATGCTGGTGGTCTCGCAGTCGCCGTAGAGGATGTGTAGATCTCCTTCAAAGGCGTCGTCGAGGAAGTCGAGGTGGATGTTGTGGAGGGAGTCGGCGATGACATCTGGGACGCGAAAGTTGAGAATCTCAGCTCGTTTCTGGATGCTTGCGCTTGAAGCAAGGGAGATTGGAAGGGCGAGGGCGACGCCCAGGCGAAGTGGTGTCCGCATTGTCGCGACAAGATATACAACGTCCACCAAGGCCTCGGAGATGATCAGGATGGTTTTGCCACTTACAGTGAGCCAGACGGCTCTACTTAAGCATTTCCCGGTCTTCTAGAAGCACTACAATGGCACTCTCCTCAATGATACCAACCGCATTTACGTAAATCTCCGATTGCATGGCTTACACCGCGACATCGTATTCTTGTTATCAGCATCAAATCTCGGCCGTTATTGAGTCACTTCTCCAAACACCTTCTAAACCTGGTTAGCCGCATGGTATCTCGGAAAAAGATGGCGGCGGGATGTGATATCTTATCAGTCGAGTGACAAGCTACAGTCGTATCTATCGGCTGAAGAGCTCGTTTACGGCGCTTTATCGGAGACCCGCTGTTGGAGTCCCCAGAATACGCCCACATCGCGTGCACCGGTCCGCTTGGCAGGTGGAGATCTCGGCCAGAGTGACCAGTCGGTAGCTTGCGGGAGAGACTGTGTTGGAGAAGGGCGTGTCGTATCTTTTGCTTTTGTCGGAGATAAGAGGAGAGCAGGAGATGTGGTATTATTGTTTCTTATCGTCGATAATGTACATTCTATAATCTGAGACACGGATTTGAAAGTCGCCCGCCAGTTCGTACCCCTCCTTCTTCTGGAACCCAGTACGCAAACATGATGCAGATAATGATGACGTTGGAGAGAAAGTCGTTGATGCAGCGCGGATCAAGATGCCGTGTCACCTCACACAACAGCCAGCAGCCGCCTCTCCTGCGCGAACCGCGCCAGCAAAAGGAGGAAACTGCCAATAATCAGGCTGACCCCGGAGTAAAGCGACAGAGCCAGGTAGCCATACGACCCTATGAGCTCGCCGCTGATTGGGACACTTGCCATTGCACTGCATTTGTCAGCCCTGGGTTCAAATAGGAATTCAGCGGCGTCAATAGCTTACGAGAAGGAAGCAGCAGCCATGACCGCGCCGACTGTCAGGCCGATGGTCTGAGGGGTTGAAATCTGGACAGCGCAGACTTGCTGGAGGGAGAGGATGGCCTGTGATGTATGTTAGCGTCGCCTCAATGGATGATGATTGACTTACACCAGAAGTGAATCCGTAGGCAGCCGACCAGATCACCAAGCCGGCAACAGAAGTCGCCTTTGTCCAGCATAGTGCGATGATCCCAGATACAAAGACTGCAGGGATGCAGAGATTAAACCTCCCATACTTGTCTGCAACGATACCAGGTATGATTCGGCCAAACATGGATGCTCCGTTGACGATCGAGACCGTGTAGAAGGCGAGATCGTCCGAGAATCCCTCGTGAACCGCGTACGAGGTCGTGAAAAAGAAAGGAGAAAACATTCCAAAGTAGGTGATGAAGAAGCCAAGGCAGGTGAGGCGAACCGCGGGTCGACTGAGCACGGAAAAGTCCGGTCGACGCTGTGGTGCAGGTTTGGCCTCTGCCGTCGCAGATTCGTTGTCTGTTTGAGCAGCAACCGGCTGAGCGTTGGGTGCCGGTCGACAAAGGGTGCAGGTAATCATGAGCAGAGGAATCATGATGAACCCGACAATCCGCATGGTCCAGCCGAACCCCAAGCTCGGTTTCTTGAGCAGTTCATTGATGACGATGGGCCATACCACACCCCCAAGCGACGAGCCAGCAATGACAATACCGATCGCAGCAGCACGATTGACCTTGATGTACTGCCCTACGACAGCAACCATGGGAACGACCAGGAGAGACATGCAGATGCCCATGAGAAAGCCTTGAGCGAGGATGAACTGCCAAAAGGCGTGGCAGAGAGACGTCATCATAATCGAGAAGATCGTGCCCACTGAGCCCACGAGTAATATAACCTAGCTTGTTAGCTTGATTCGTTGGAAGGATGATCAATGAGTATACCGTGGGCCCAAACAGATCCATCAACGACCCGGACACAACCGACCCGAGAAAAATGAAGAAGATGCTGACACCTCCGAGCCAGGCGACTGTCGACTCGGATTCATCTTTGAGCTGGTGCTGGAGGTAATATTCTTGGAACACACCAAAGGAGTTGATGAAACCGACTGAGCAGAAAAGTGAGAGAGATGCGCCACAGATGACCCCCCATGCTCTCGGACTGTGGCTGTCAGCAAGAGGATACAAAACTCAGGATTCCTCTCCGTACGTGTATTCACTTGGAGTCTTGGGCTGCGACAGGGATTGGTCTTGCTGTTGCATTGTGAAATGAGGGTATATTATTCGGCTGTTGGATTGGATTGAATGCATAGTTCAGTCAATGGCTCCGAATTGTGGTTTATATCTTTTGTTGTTGCTGAAGAAAAGATGAGCTGACTGCCTCCCGGCGCTGGCCGGACACTCCGCGGAAGTCCCAATGGGGCAGGTCATGACTGCCGTTCCGAATGTCTTAAAGGTCTGCCTTCTTGGTGACTGTTAATCGAGGAAGATGGCATCAGCGATGCGATTCAAACCATTAGCCTCGTGATACTGATGACAAGTGCTAAGCAGTGAACAAGGAGACAAATTTTGTTGCTGAGAAATCGTGTTCATTCAATATTCCCCGATTCGGGAGGCGCAACACGTGATGATGATCTTCCAAGCGAGAAACACTTTCTCTCCGCAACCTCGCGCCATGAAGCGAAAGTCGGCACCAGAACAACCAAACGCGGCGCCAAAGCGCGCTCCCAGACAGGATCCCGTGTCTTGTGAGTCGTGTCGCAAGAAGAAGCTCAAATGCGATCGCCAGGTACCGTGCAGCAGCTGCGTCACGCGGCGACTCAACTGCAGCTTCACCGGCGGCGCCCGCTCCCACTTTGCTCGCATTGACCCGCACCCCGAGAGAGCACTGCAGACGATATTCAGAGTAGCTCAGCCTGAATCTACTCGCGATACCAACTCACGGTCGGTCGCTGCGGACTCGTGTACCCAGAGCAGAGAATCGCTGGTGACTGCGGAATGGCTGGAACACATCCACATGGGCGACCGCGTCCCCGCGGCCCTGTCTCCCCAGTTGCGAGCGGAGCTTGATGAGAGACCAGAGCCAATACCTCAGGTTTCAGGGACGGCGGGCAATTTGCTATCTCTGATGCCCAGAGCTTGGATTCCAAATGCGAACCCGGCCACTGTCGACCTCATTCAACACCTTCCTCCGAAGGAGGACACAATCGGACTGCTGAAGTACTACTGCTCTTACATCGATTTCCTATACCACATCATCATCCCAGCTACCGTTGAACGGCAGATTGACGATATCTACCAGTGTGTCGAAACCGGTAGACCCGTCAACTGCAGCTACCTCGCTCTGGTATTCGCAATCTCAGGTTCCGCCACCTTCGTCCAGTTCGCTATCGAATCCTCTGCGCAGGCCGCTCGGTGCACTCACCAATTCATCTTTCTGTGTGGCGCGGCACTTGTTCAAGCTAATCATACCCACTACCCGACCGTCGAGGGACTGCAGGCCGCCGTGATCGTACAACACCATATCTCCACAGTCCACTGCTCTGCATCAATACGGGGCATGTTCTCGCTGGCGTCTATCGTGACCCAGGCAAAAGATATGATGTTGCATCGGGTCGACACTGTGCAGGCCAAGAATGCCCGGGAAACAGAAGCATATGATCCTCTCGAGCTGGAGACAAAGCGGCGACTGTGGTGGGACATTGCATCACTCGACTGGTACGTATGGCTTCCCGATGACGATTCATAAATCTAACGCCATAATAGGTTCCTTGGCTTCTTGAGTGGCCCGCAAGAGTGGACATATCTCGTAAACCCCAACTTTGCATCTACGGATAGGCCCATGGATCTTCCAGATAATGCGATCGGACGCCCAGACGCGGGATCTACGGCGACTCCATCAGACATGACCTACTTTCTCGAACGGCTGAGGCTTTCAGAAGTCTGCAAGACCATCATTGACACAATCGGCCATGAGCAGGTTAGCGGGAAGGAAGTCGACTACGCCAAAATTCTCGACCTTGATCGACACATCCGAGAGGCGCAAAGCGAAATACCGGACGTCTTCCGTCTAGATGCCACCTCGCGAAGGCGATTCCGCGCTCTATACCACGAGCAACCGACTCTAGCATGGCAACGCTGTATCCTGCAACAAGCATATTATTCCCGTCTCTGCCGCCTACATCGTCCATTCTTCATCCGCGGAGCTCGCGACGCAAAGTACTCTTACTCACACGTTATCGGCATGACATCGGCAAGAAAGGTCCTCGAGGTCAACCGCATCATGGACGAAGAGGACCCGCGATACCCACCTTCCACTGCCGTCGTCTGGGCAATTATGCACCATGTCTTCATGGCCGCCGTCATGATGCTGCTGGACGCCTGTTACAACCCAGATGACATACTTGGAGAAAAGCGCAAAGAGGAGGTTCTCGATGCTTGTCGCAGACTCAGCAGGGCGCAACAATCTTCGTCTCTGGTACGGGAGGGAATCGATGCAATGATGAGCGTTCTCCGGAAACAATACAGGGGTGGCAGACTGCCCAACGAAACCGCAGCCCCGGCACCTGCGCCGCAAGGAGACTCGCTCGAAGCCCGGGACGCATCGGCATACACGATTCCACGCGCACCTCAGCAACCAGCTCAACCCGGCAATCCTACTACTTTTACCTCGTTTGACAGTCCTGCCGATCTATCGGGTAGGGATTTGGAGGGTATATGGTCCGATCTTATCGATCATGGGGCGGATTTCGAGTACTCTGGTGAGGACTGGTCGGGGTTATTCAGTGATCTCACCAACGTTCCTATGCCGCCTTGATATCTTATTGCTTTTTTGACGATCAGGGAACGAAAGCTGGAAGAGTTTGGCTAACGAATAAGTGTACGAGTATTTTGCGATTCTTTATTTAACGTACAGAAGACACTCAATATACCCAGGAGGAACGTCATATTCTTTGCAACCTGCTGTAGATTTGCTCTCAGAATACCCAAGACTCCCCAATCGTCCTTCCTGCTGTTCTTCCCTCTGAAGTCTTCGAATAAACTGACAGGACCGCGCTGCCCCCACGCAACCCATGGATGTCTTTCAAGAGGACAACCAAATCCACGTCGTAAGCGCACTCTACCAAGTCCATCAATCCAGGATCTAACCATCGCAGCTCTTGCTCGGAGTAGCATTGGCCTCGCAAATCTCTCCCTCTCTCCTGGCAGGTAGCAACTACCGGTATACGCCATCCGTTCGAGCGGGACGGTAACCCTGAGCCATAAATGTGACGTCAAAAACGCAAAAAAAGAAAAGAAAAAGCCAATTGTTGAAACTTGAAGGAAGAAGTGTCAAATCGAACTGCTAAGAGAGTGGTCTTTTATCCCTTCCTCCCCGGGACAACTGATGCGATGTTTGCGTAGGTATGCTTCGAAGCCGGATGCTCGAGGAGGCAAAGGCACAAAAGGCGTCACACTTCACTGCCTTGATAGACCCATCGGTGCAATGGCAATGACCTATCCCTCCTCGCAAGCGCTAGAGAGCTCAAGTACCAAGTCGCCAGAAACAGAAAGTCACCACGTAGAGAGAGACAACGGGACAAGTGCCGGGGAAGAAGCAACGCTTCCTTACAGACCTCCCCCTATTCATCAACAAGCTACCAACAATCCTGAAGGTACGCCGACCAACAGAGCCATCTCACCTCAGGCTGCTTGACTCAGTGTCGTTGCCCCTTAGCCGAGCTCGAAACCCTCCCCAAACCCCTTCGGACTCGCACACGCGTCCCGGTCATGCCACCACGGCATAGACTTCCGCAGCACCCTGGATTCAGCCGCCAAGGTTTGGACAGCAGCTCGACCTTGCCCCTCACGTCATCGGCTCGAGAGCCTGGATGGCTCTTTTGCTCCAAACCGGAGCAGTGGTTCATGGGATGTCTCTCCGCTGAGGTTGTTCGCTTCCATCTCGATGAACCATGGTCGAGCGGCGAGACACCACTCACTCACTCTCGACCATATCGTATGCAGCAACGATATGAGGATTGGGATTGGGACTGGATATAGCGGTGAGATAATATTACCCTGGCGCACCGCCCTCTGTGTGTGTGTGTGGAGGAGCTTGCTGTCTTTGTGGACTTGTAGAAGTGCAGTGTGGAGAATGTGCCACTACCGGAGGCCACTCGAGAGCACAGAGAGACGGAAGATAAGCTTGGACAACTGATCTCAGGCTAAAGCAGAGGATTATAAGAATGGGGAGTGAAGGACTGATCTAAATGGGTTGCTTCGAGTATTGTTGTGATTTAGCCAGTAGTCGAACCGCAGCCGTGAAAGCTCGAGCGGACCGGAGACTGAGTGCCAGATGTGTGTGAGGTATACAAAATACAGTAGTCCAGCGGCCTCGGTGAAGAGTCGATCTGCATGGCGTACGCAATGAGGGCAATACTGCGAGATTTACAGAAGGCGTCATAAAAGGAAGTACCGACCGGACTGCAAGTCGGAGCATCTGAACCCTGGCCAAAGGCCTCATACTTGTTTTTTACTAGGCAAGCTCAAGGGACTAAAGCAGAACAGAGCCCAGGGGCAGGCGACTTTCTTGCCTTCTGTAGCAGTAATCCTAAACTATAGAAGGCGAACTGGCAGCTTTAAACAAGAAGTAACGTAGTAAATAGCATAACGAAGCAACGTTGAGATATCAGGCTGAAAAGGACAATGGTCCTTAGTGAAACAAGCTCAGGCAACCAACAACCACCAACTTTCCACTCCCGTCTCTACGCTCTTATAATAGCAATGAAGGAGAGCCCTCTTCAAGCCTCGTAGTACCAACAAGCTCACTCGCCATGTAACCGAGCAACAACGGAAGATTCTCCTCTCGGCTTTGGGGACTGCTAAAGTCGTATAGTGGACTTTTGCCGATGATAAGATCGCTCTTCGTAAGGTGTGCCTGAAGTATGCGAGCTCTGTGGCTCTTGAAGCACGAGATAACCATGACCTAGCGATTCTCAAAGATTAGCTTCTCACTCCGATATTGCAAAGCCGAAGAACCAAGACGTACCGGAACAACATGATGATCCTCAAAGTAGGGAGACTTCATTCTTGTGAGCATGAATCCAAGAATCGCTAGCAGTTCTCGACGGTAGAGTACGTCTTCTTCTGGGACAAGATCGTGGCACATGGTAAAGACAATGTGCGAGCGTCCGTCGCCGACCCGGGTCCAACAATAGCCAAAGGATTGGAGTCCAACCGCGTCATTTAATTGTGCATAGGGCCAGTATTTCCCCCACAAAGTGTCTGGGTCCAGTTGGTCGTCGCGAATTGCACTAGAGTAGACAACAGTTAGCTCAGAATCGCCAAGTGGATTATAGTTGGACTGACCTCATTTTCCAGCCGGATAGGTGAGCCAGCGCGGACGATCCCCTTCCTCGTTTGCGGTTGAGACTCGCAAAATAAGCAGTAACGTTACTGCAGGCATCGTGCGGCTCATTGCCATACCACAGCTGATCTGAGTGTCCGATGGTGTATTTCGTCATGCTATTCACGGTGTCGAGTACGTTGCACGAGGGCTTGAAGAATATTTGGTGGTCATAATCATCTCCTTCAATCTGTTCGTCCGCACGCAGTGGAAGATCGTAGACCCCGATCCTGAGATTAGCGCCTCCCGTAATGGCGATTGACTCAAATTGTACTCGCTCAACTGCCAGGAACAGCTTCTTGAGGCGTAGCTGGTTGAGGTCCTTTAGCGTGAGTCCCCCAGTGTCGGGAGTGTGGGCTGGGCGCTTCAATAACGGATCCCAGAAACGAATGCTGAGCCAGGAGCCGAGAAAGGCACCGAGAACACTGTTCCCTAGGCATGTCGAAAGACTGAGCAAAGCTGCAAGGAGGGACATTGGGTGCGGTCGAGCAGCTTCGGTGCGGGATGGGTTGAAGGGACTGTGCGAAGGGACGTTTTCAAATTGAAGTCTAAGTCGATGTTCAGGTCAGTGTTTAAGCGAGTGTGGCCTGGGAATAGAGTTGAACCTTAGAGTTGATCAAGCCTGGTAGCGGAACTTGAATCCGCAGACCCTGGCCACTGATCATAAGCCTTGCCACTACTTCGTTCGCCGCACTCAGATCCTGTTTTCGTGTGGAGCCATTCCGAACCGACAGCTCGGCAGACACTGGGCTCACTGAGATTGCAAAGTCCATAGTGTCCCCGACCCTCGTTCGTTCCAGACACAAATTTGACATCCGGGAGAGTTCCACACCCTCTCAACGTAGTATAATATCACATCTCTGGTGGTTCCCGATGACGAGCAGGTGCCAAGGAGGCAAAGCTAGACTTCAGATATCGTATCGGCACGGGGGAGGTAGGTTATATGCAGCGGGGTTTAGTCCCGTGGGCCAGGGCGTTATTTCTGAGACTGTCTTCAAATCCGCGCTGTCCAGATAAAGATGGTAAGCTGGTCTGCCCAATCCAGCGGTGGAGGTTGAAGCCCTTACCTAGTGTGCAGTCTGCTGACTGCCTCAAAAGGAATGAACGTTGTCAGCCCGTGAGAAAGTTCTCATACGCGTCCCCAAGTTGTTCTGCAGATAGCCGGTGCGAAAGGCCCCGCCTTTGTAGCGCCATGACCTCGTTCAACTGGTACGGGCTCTAGCTTGTCGCCTGCTTCGCAGTTAGACGTGCTGCTATAACGGCACCGTCCTGAACTTGCCAACTTTCCGTACCGATTGCGCCTAGGAAGAACCATTTCCAGACCAGTGTGCAGCCACGCCGTCTGCCGTCCGTGGCTCTCAAGGACCTAAGAGAAGAATTCCCCTTTCTCCGTCGCTCGGGATACCGGAAGACCTTTGTTGTGACCGGGGAGAGCCCGTCGATGCCAGCGTTCGACGACATCGGCATTCTGTAGCTGTCTCCAAACTCGGTTCTGAACAGTACAGTCGGAGCGCATAGGTGGTTGTATTGATAAAGGGTAGGTCCCGCAGGTCGAGACTGGAGTCCTTGTCCATTTCTCGCGCTGGTTCACATCCAGCTGACTCGAAGATATGGGCGCGGCGATTCGAGGAATCGGCGAACATCTGAGGCCATGGACAAGAGTCAGACAGGTGGGTGAGATTTAAACAAAGCAGATTCAGCACGAACTTACTAGTACGCTTTGAGCCCATCGTAGCTAGCCGTCCCGCTGCTCCAAATCGATCAAGATGGCGGCCGCCCGCGGAGCTGGTATCACGTTCAGGATGGAAATAGGGTACAACGAGAGTTTGAGGAGTATCTTTTCATGCAATACCAGGATCAGACAAAATGAAGCAGTCTCGATTAGACGTCAGAAGAATTTGAACAGAATTGAAGCGGATCACGTCGCCGATTGAGAGGTGATGCCTCGCTATCAGGAAAGGAAAGAGCCCGGTCCTCCTGTCTGCTGCTGTGGCACCGCAGCCTCAGTCCTCAGGCTCGCCATCGCCCTCTGTCAAGCCGGTATTCTACTGATTTTTTTAATTCCCTTGGTTTCCCAAAGTGCCTATCGCTCGCGTCTCAGACTTCACCTGTCATTTCGTCCCCTCTCTGTAAAGATCTGTGAGAAATCCGCTACTGCATAGCGCTGAATGCCAGCTTAGCGGACGTCTTTTTGAATGATGTCTGTCAGGTGGCCGCTTATCCAGGGAGCTGAGGGGCTTGCGATGCAGCCGCTCTCAGACTCACAGAACACTGGCGATCCCAGGCGCCTGCAATGCCACAGTTGATCGACCAGGGGAAGAGCCAATGACACCTGCAGCGCCTATTGAGTCTCCACTCATTAATAGCCAAGATCAGCTTGAGAGTCCCTGCGTCTGATCGAGCTGCAGGTCCTTGTGAGGTCTGGTGGCTTGTTGACCAATGAGCGTTGCCCACAGTTGTTTGCTATCGGCCCCATCGTGCTGCAGCAAGGCCCTGCTCAGAAAAGGGCCTTCACGGTGAATCTGTTGACATTCACTTGAATTGGATTGCTGGAAATGGATTCGCACACAACTTCTTTGCCTATAAATCGTTTCGTTCCCCTTCCAGTCTTCTACCATTCTCTCCTCACCTGTCCGGTGTTCTCCTCTCCCACCTCGAATATCTCTTCGTTCTCTTCCTACCCAGCCTCTGTCAACTTCTCCTCTCAATACATCTCTCACATCATCAAGATGAGTGGTACTGAGGCAGAAGGCCACTCCTCCTTCAGGAGCCTGGCCGAACTCCCCCGTCAGACCGATCCAGCGAACGCACAGATCAGACCCGAGGTCTATAGGCAATGGACTTTCGCGGCCGAGATTGTAGCTGTGGCATCCTCCGACCATTACGATACTGCCTTGGTTGTCCGTGATGGCGATGAGCAAGTTTTGACCGTGGGCTTCGACCTCGCCGTGGACGACGGCATCGAAGATCTCGTCCGAAACACTTTCAAGACCGGTTGCACTCTTTTGATTCTCAACGCGCACAAAGTCGATATCCGCGGCGGAAGGGACGTGACCGGCATCGAGGTCAAGGACATTGGTCACATAAAGGTGAGTTCATCCAGTCTTTTCTTTGGTCTCTGCCCCGCAAGAGAAGAACATTGCTAACGTTGACTCGGATAACCCAGGTCTTGCCCTTCTCCCTTGCAGCCGTGACTGGCATCTACTCCAAGCTGCTCGATTCCACCTCTGTGGAGGATGGCAATCGCATTTGCAATGGATGCTCCCGGCGTCGTCGCGGACTCCATCCCTGCCCTCTCTGCAGGATGGCTTACTTCTGTAACCGTGTATGCGGTCACTTCTTCTACTTCTCTGATGTTTGGGACAATCACTGACCTTGGTGTGCTTCAGAAATGTCAGGTCACTTCGGCCAATTCGCGTGCCCACGCCCGCGATTGTCGCATTGCCAGGGATCCTGACCTTGCTGACCTTCTCCACGAAAGCGTGCTTCTTCGGTTCAGGAGTGCCAAGTTGATTCATGTTTAGGGGCTTACGACAACATGGCATGGATATGGGCAGTGTTTGATGGTGTTTACATGGTGTTAACTGTTCCAAATGGTGTTTTGGCGGCCTGTGTTTTTCTTTTGTCAAATGCTACGATGAGTGAATTTAGACAATGATACGATTTGTACCATAGTGCAGTTTTCGATTCTCGAAAGACCAAAAACAGAAAGATAATTTGCCTCGCAATCTTGCGTCCAACTCCCTTCTATCTTGCCGGGTTGCTTGAATATTCTACCTCTGCCGCTGCAATGACGCAAGGGAAGATAAAATCTAATGGCTTCGACGATGCAGCCTCGAGTGTCGACGATGCGGCTACTCGGCCTTATTTTTGTCCCTCGTTTTGGGGATTCTTTCCAAATTTGCCTTGACACAGAGCAGCCTGTACCTGCACGGCAGATGTTTCGAGCGTTGATTCGCCTCTTCGCGTGTCGGAGATGGATTCCGCTCTGGAGCCATGTCCCCATTGCGAGGCTCCGCTGGTTCGCAGTTGACGGCTTTTCTCCTGTCTATACACAGTAAACCATTGTTTTAAGAAACTGCGAACTTTCTTTGTGCTTGTTTACTGTTGCTCTACACGAAGAAGTACGACTCCAGTTTGGTCGATAGAGGCCGCCTGAGCACAAGGCCTTCCGCCACCTCGAGGGCGCCATTTTTAGTAATAGACCTCCAGAGTCAAAACCAGTCCGCGACACCACATTTGTTTCTGAATCGTCAAAAGACCCTAAGCGACTGTTATTTACGTATGGGTACAGTCACTGATTCGGCAGTGCTCTCACCTCGCTGCTGCAGACACGGCTGTCCTCCTCCGCTCCGCTGCCATTGGGCGGAAGCTGGGAATTTACCTTTTTGGCGTCAAACCTTTCTTGCAACAAGCTTTTCATTGCTTACCGGAAACTATAAGCCTGACCGCCTGTGATTCCATGAGGTGCTTTAAAAGCCTTCCTCAGATTCTTGCCTGCCTGTGTATCTGCAGCCCATCTTCCAAACCTCCAAAGCCATCTCAAGACTTCTATATTCGCTACATTTACAAACCTCTTTACCTGTCTCCATCACTTTAACAAGCTTCTTTGCCATATTTACCATTTTCACCATCCGCTTCATATCAAAACTTCATACTCACACCCTCGAAGCCTCCAGCACCTACAACCACCATGCCTTCAGTCCTATCCACCATGGTGCAAGCCGCCGTCTCGCAGCAGCTCTACAAGGAAGTCTACGATCTCAGCCTCGACTTCCCCATCTCCCAAAACCCCCGCTATAAACCCCACACCTTTACAGATCCCGCAACCGCCACCGAAACGGAAACCGAGCCCGCCAAAGCACACGACTACCCACTAGAGTCCGAAGAGAACAACCAAAAAGACCAGGTCCGTCCCTACAGCGCTCTCCCGCCCGCCCGCAACGAACAGCCCGTTAAGCCCCTCCGCGGCCTCAACAAGGGAGCACGCGGGTGGTACTGCTTCCTTGGGGAGATCGTCGAGGTTTACGTCACCGACGACGGGAAGAACTGGTTGATCGAGGCCGCTGATAGGGATCGTAGCCGAGTGCCGATTGTCTTTGCCGATACCCGGGATAACGATGAGCTCTTTAGGGCCTTTGAATCTGCTATACAGCCTGGTCATGTCGTTATGATCCTTTTTGCTAAACGCCATAGGTTAGGAGAGGGGGAGGATTCGGGCGAGTGTATTTGGGTAGAGAATCGCAGGGAAGTCAAGGTATGTCTGGCTGTCTTGCGTTCTGCTCTTCACCGATGCAAATGGGGTAGATAAGCTGACTACATCGTCCTATCAGTTCTTCGAGACTTCCGTTGAATACCTCGGTGACCTCGAGCGCCTACTCTCGCAACATTCTCGTGGTGCCCAAGCATATCGTCGGTTTTACCAGTGCTTCGGCTGCAGGATGTCCAAGTATCCCGAGGAACTCATCCCCTGCCCGGATTGCGGAATGTTTTGGTTCTGCGACAAGGTACGTCGAATCCACCTCACTACTTACTGCCCCGGTTACCCTTCCTACTTCTCCACTCACTGCAACATTATCATCTTTCTGATACTAACCCCTCACAGCCCGCCGACGACCACACTACAACTACCTGCCACGAAATGGCCCTCACCCACCGCGATCATTTCGACGTCTGCAGCTTGCTCGGAGACCCCGATGTCTACCGCCTTTTCTCCGGTCGCCATCGTATGGTTGGTCGATTTCTTTCTCCTGTTGTCAGACAGAATTTCCTTGTTGGGTCTACTTGAATCTTCTGTTGTCTATTGTGCCCTGTTCCGTCTTTCTGTGTCTTTTCCTGTGTCTTTTTCTTATGTCTTTTTACTATAACACCGTTGATCGGTTTACTATTACTCCTCTCTTGAGACAATATTTCCTTGTTGGTTGAAGACGCTTTTTGTATCAAACGTCATGTCTTCATCTTCTTCTTCTTCTTTCTATGCCTATTCTATGGCTGTTTCTTGTTTTCTTTCTTATGCTGGTGGTGTATGTGACAATATGATATATGCCATCTGGGATGGCTACTGACCGATTCCATCCTGTTATTTTCTCCTTGTTTTCTTTTCTGTCTACAACGACATCGTCTTTGAGGGTTTTTTGACTACATGTATTTAATAGAAAATCAAACACCGGGTTGGACCGCATACCAAAACCAGTAGAACCTATTCCTGCGTACCCTTTCCTCTTTGCAATCAAGTCCCACACAGGACCGTCCAAGAAATAGAATCACAGCCTGGAGTGACTCCAGAGCTTGAGATTTGACATAAAAAAATCCTAGGATCGGTAGAAACTGCCCCGTGGATGCCTGTATTTGTTTGCTATCATATCTGGAATCTAGCAGGAGGAATAATATTGCAATCGACGACCTTCCAAAGCAAGAAGCTGGTCCGATGGAGGCCGCCGGGTTAATATCTAAACCATCCACTGCAAGCCGAGTTGGGCAAACCGGCGTTGTAACTGGAAACCCGAGCGCCATGCCCATTTCCCTTGAGCCACCTCAAGATTGTTTCTCATAATTCCTCCTCCTTCTCTCTATTACTGAGCATCAGGATACGTAAACTGGCATGTGCGATACGAACTTGAAGCGCTCCCTCTGTTTCTCCGCCTCCCTGTTGAGACAGTGGGTAGGATTACGCCTCCTTTCCTCTGCCACTTATCAGTCAGATACCTAGACTGGCAGCCGGGAATGGAGATTCCAGTGCCGTTTGAGTTTTCCTTCTGCCGTGTGAAGAAACCGTTCAAACCTAACCCTCCCTCCTTTGCTTCGCTGCTGAGCTGACATAGTCGCAAACTGGCATCTTGGGTCGGTATTCAACGCCGCCCGCTTTCTCTTCCGCCGTGTCAGATCTTTCACGATATTCCTCGTCCTTTTCCTTGCTACTTTACTGGCGGAGATATCAGTAAGCTGGCATCTAACACTGGGAACCCAAACACAATTTCCCATTCCCCACCGCCGTAGCAGAAGCTTTGTAGATAACCCTTCCGTACCTTTGTTTCTCAGCAGTCAGAAACGTGGACTGGCATACGGTTCTGGGAATCCAACTGCCATTTCTCTTTCTCTTTGGCCTCGTCGAGACAGTTCCCGGGCTTGCCTCTCCTCTCCCCTGCTCCTGAGCAGCCAATTATGTAAACTATATTGCTAGACTAGAAAATCAACCGTCGTTCTCTTTTCCTTGGGTCGTGTTTGAACCCAACCCAGGACTACCCCGCCTCTTCCTTGCTACTGCACAGAGGAATCAGTAAACCGGCAACTGGGACTGGAGTGAACTGACGTTCCCCTTCCTCTCCCGGTCAACCTGCCAGGCATCGACAGATCCAGCAGAGTGAATCTCCCTCTCGACAAGCAGAAATTAGAAATGCTAATCATCAGGTGCCCTTTCGTAATGTCCACATTCAGAACCTGTTTGAATTTGGCCAGACAAGCCCCACCACGATGTCTTGGTCCAAGATCACGCTGTGCAGCTGGAATTACCAGCCCCTCTCTCAATGGAAGCAAACTCTTGATTTCGATCCTCTTTCGGATTTTAGAAAATGAATTTACGGACTTAGACGGCAGAGTGGCGTCATTCAAGCTCCTTCCAGGCTTCTATTCACCAATTGTTGTCTCCCCCGTTTCGATCTCGATCTGGCCTCGCGTGGCCAGGGACGACACGATCGTCACCTCTAGATGTTGATCCTCTTCTCGATCTTTAAGAATTAAATCTCCCAATTTAGATCCGGGAATACTGTCACGTAAACTCCGTCTAGGCTCCCATTCACTAGACCTCCCTGTCTCCCCGTTTATATCCCGCGATAGCCGCGCGTCTCGAGTGACAACACGATCAGGGTCTCGACTTTGCTCCTTACGCATCTGTAGACGGTGAATCTCTGTAGCTAGGCTAGAAAATGGCGTCATTTCAGGTCTTCTCAGGTTGCTGTCACCGGACCTCGCTGTCTCCTCGTTTCGACCTCGCGAGATGCTCGCCTGCTCAGTGAAAACAGGACTAAAAGCATTGTCTTAAGATCTTGCTATTCTCGTAGACTTGCAGAGATTCACTCTCCGTAACTGGACTGGGGTAGCTTCAGGTAGACTCTCCGACATCTCATTCACCACGTCTCGCTGCCTCCTCGTTTCAACCTCTCGACAGCCCCGCGCGCCCAGTAACTACACGGTCACCACCTCACGTTTCCTCTTCTGGATCTCTCTAAATTCTAAATCTCAATCCCTCCTTCACTGCACGCTTCCCTTGGCGCGTGCCCCGCTCTGTCCTCGCTCAGGCCTCCCTAGCAAACAGCACAATTGAAGCCAGTCACCTGGACCCTGTTTCCACGATCTTCGCCACCTCTCTGGACCCACTCTCTTGAGGTGAAGAAGACACATCCTCGCAGGCCAAAGGGACAAGACGAGGCTGACGAGATTACCGTATCGAAACGGCGTGATCCTGTTGCTGTGTATCTTTCCCCCTTTGTTTTCCCCCACTATAAATACCTCCTGTTCCTCTCTCACTCTTCAACTCTCCTCTCCTCGAGACTTCTCACATCCTCTCTCCCTCTCTCCTACACACAGTTTCTACTTGACAAGCTCATCTGTCTCTCATAACATACTGTATCAAGTACCTGTCTCTATTAAACTTCAAGTCATCATCTCAGAGATGCCCCGCTCAAGTGACGAGTCGAGCCTGGCTCTCCCCCTCCCACCAGTCGCGACTCAATCTGCACCACCAGCAGACAATGCGGCAGTTGAATCGTCAAGCTTAGCTCTCCCCGATGCTCCAGCTGGGACTGAATCTGCAACACAACCCGAGAACCTCACAGTCGGATCGTCGACCCTCGCCCTCTCTCCTCCTCGAGATGGGATTCAATCCGCAACACAAGCTAAGGACACTGCAGTTGGCTCTGCCAGTGCTCAGGCAAACGCGCAGGAAACCCCATTCAAAAACTGTTGCGTTGCGATCTGCGGCCACCATGAGCCACTCAAGACAGGTGAGCTGGTCTCTCCTCTTTGGTTCCCTTCATAACCCTCTCACAGCCCGCGAAGGTGAGGTGAGCATCGCTACTGACACGACTTGTTCCTTTTCTAGACGCTCTGAAGGCAATGGTCATTGGACTCGGTGCGAAGTATTCGAGGATTGTGCGAGCCAGCACGACCCATCTGATTACGACCGAAAGGGAAATAGACAATGAGGCCAAGCAGGGTGAGTCCGTCCGACTAGTTTCTTCCATGATATTGCTGGCCCAGCGGTTTCTTGGTGCCACCTGATCAGTTTCTGACGTGCTGTACACAGTTGTTCGCTCTCGGGACGTCCAGACCTGCGAGGTCGTGTCTCTTCCTTGGCTTCTGGACTCAAGGGACGCCGGTCGCCCACTGCCAGCCAGCCGTTACCGTCTGGTCAAACCGACTCCTCTCGCAGCCGAACCAAACACCAATGAAGCAATTGCCCCGCGTCATGGCCAGGTTGCTCGACCCGAGACACACGAGGATGAAAGCGAGGATGCTCCCGAGAGGCCAAACAAGCATCGAAAGATCAGACATGCCCGTGATGAGGCAGAAGTCCAGGCTCAGGCTCAAACTGTCGCTGCTACCGCAGAAGCCCATCCCACCCCTGTCCCGGAGCACGCTCAGCCCCAAGCTGCTGTACGAACAGCCTATGCCGTTCAAACCGCACATTACGAAGCAGCCATCAACAACTCCATAAACAATTGGCACCTACCAGGATGGCGTTCAGCCGGGCCCCAGCCTATTCACCACAACGTTCACGCTGCAGCGAATTTGACCGCGGTCCCTGGACCTCAGCCAACTCGCAGTTACCACAACCAGGCCATGCTGAACCCGTTCCCCGCGCACCATCCAGAGCCGGCATGGCGCCAGGGCGCACAGCAACGCATTCACAATCACAACGCTGCGGGCAATCGAATGCAAATCCTGGGAGGGCCACTCCACCCTCGTTTCAATGGGCGGACAGTCTGGCCGCAGGGTACACACCAGCCCTTTTACTACTATGGCGATGAGGAGAATCACGTTCCGAACCCTGTCCCTGTCCCTGCCCCTGTCCCTGCCAACCCATTTGCGCGGCGTGCCTGTGAGTACCCCTATCATATTCCCTTCTGGTCCCCTTCCTTTCCGTCTCGCTTATGCTCATTCTCTGCTTATTTATTGACTCCTGACTGCTTATTCCCGTGTGTGTATCATGACTTGACTCCAACTAACAATATCGTCGCTACAGTCGAATGGCTTCGCCAAAACCGCGATCGCAACCGCAACCAGTGAGGAAGATAGACGCCGCATTCTATTTTCATTGAACATCCGACCTCGGCCGCGTTGTGTTCTCATCTTGGGTTGCGGTGATTGACGTGTTGTGGACGATATTCTGGTTTGTTCCGGACTGGGCTGCGATACAATGAGAGTTGGATTAGGGTTCTGGTGGGGACGCGACCAAGCTCGGACTCCCGACGCTCGGGCAGCTGCATGAGGCTTCTCCACTGCATCTCGAACTTCAACTTGAATATGGTATGGCTTCGCTCTTTCCATACCTTTGCAATTCGACGAATGCAATGCTAACGCGCCCAGAGAAGATCTCAACTTTATTGTGTTTTTCCTGTTCGACGTGTCCGGTCCGCATTCCGTTCCCGACTGTATCTGTATCTCTTTTCCTGTTCTCCATCGCGTCGCTTTTCTCTTTTGCCCTGGAAACTGAACTCCGTACCAGCCGGCTTTCATATCTATCTACGTGTACACTTGCGACGACGGTGATGATAATGTTCCCTTGGCTTTGTTGGTTGGTTACTGCCGAGCAGGGCTCCGGTCTTTTTTTCATGTATTGATTGATCTGCGATGATCTCTGGGATGTATCATACGGTAGCAGAAAAGAAAAAATCCGAAAAGAACAAAAAAGAATCAAAAACATTTCAATATGAATATCTCGCGCGTTGGTTTTGGTATACTTTGGATAGTTTATTGATCGACGACAATTTCAACAGCGAAAGGTAGCTTGATGGACGGCGAACGAGTATACAGCATAACCACAGACGCTCACCAGACACGCACGCTAAATAGACAATGAATGTATCACTTTTCCCGTTCAAATCCTGCCTTCTGCCTACCCATCCAAAAGTTGAACATGCTCGCAGGCACTTGGGCGGTGGGGGAGGGTGTCCTGGGTCCCTGCTGCCTTCTTCTGCTGAGGCCCGTTCCTCCTGAAATTGATTAATGGCTTTCGAGTAGGGCAGGTGCGTTTATTCGCCGCGTTGGTCGCTCCGTCCTCAAATACCAAACGGCCTGACAAGTCGAGGTAGGCGCGATGGACCACGGATCACCGTCCTGACCTCAGCCCAAGCGCTATCTACCATCCAAACTCCACAATCCACTTCCAAGCTCTCGACAACGACAGCAAGCTCCCCTCCTCCGATCCAGCCCAGCCGAATCTCAGATCTTACTCCCCCAATCCCATCGATACCCCAGACACGCCCACCTCGCGGCCAGAAACATCCCCATCGCCACAACGAGCACACCGCCCAACCAGACAACCACCATGCGCGCGCCGACCTTCTCGAGCATCTCGCCACCAATCGGTATACAGATCAGCGTCGCAAAGGAAACGAGACAGTAGAATGTCCCGAAGCGCATCCCGATTTCCTTCGCAGGGGAGATCTGGCGCACGCAGACGGGGGCGAGGCAGATGAAGGAGCCGGATGTGATTCCGTAGAGCGCGCTGAAGATGTACAGGGCGATTAGGGAGTGGCTGAAGGGGTAGAGGATTGTGAAGATTAGGATTACGGCCATGGCGATGAGCAGGATGAGGACGTTGAGGCGGCCGTAGGCGTCTGCGACGCGGCCGGCGATGAGGCGGCCGATGCAGTTTGTTCTGTTTTTGTTAGTAGTTGCGTTGATTGGAGGAGTGTTAGGTTGACTTACACGTTTAGAACGACGAGGAGATTGACGCTGGAGGCTGCGCTGAAACCCTGGCCGAGGACGTAGGTGGGAAGGAGGCCGATGAGGGCGAAGACGACGAGTTCGAGGCCTGCTCATTAGCATACATCGTCAATGCAAGATCTCAAATATCGACGTACAGAAAGTAGCCAGCGCCATCCAAGTAAACCTCGCATCTTTGAAACAGCGAATATCAAACGCGGCCTTTAACCGCCCATTCCTCGGCAGCCTCGACTTGACAAGAAACGATGCGATACCACACATAACAAGCACAACAAGCGCAGTGATGCGCATACCCCATTTATAGCCGACACTGCCAAACGTGCCGCGCAGGATATATGGGAAGATGACACCCCCCAGACCCGACCCGGCCATGGCCGTCCCAATCGCCATTCCTGCCTTGGCCTGGAACCAATGTGGAACGCAGGACATGCCGACGTTACTGATAAGCGCAGCACCAATCCCGGCTAGAAACCCGAAGCACAGGACAAAGTGCCAGTACAGCGTGCACTCGGCCATGAGAAGGACACTGAGGGAGTAGATCCCCGTCCCAGCGGTGACGAGCTCCTTGGGGCCGTAGGCGTCGAAGAGAGGGCCGACGAAGACACCGAGCCCGAGGGACGTCCAGACGAAGATGCCCGAGATCCAGCCGACGTCGCGGCTCGAGTAGCCTTCTAGCTGGTGGGTTTCGAGGTAGGATTGTAGCACGCCGACGGAGTTCATCAGGCCGTAGGAGGCCATGAGCAGGAAAAAGGAGCCCAGCACGACGAGCCAGGAGCGGGTGCCGCCATCGGGAAAGTCGTCGTACGGATCAGTGGTCTCTGCTTGTGGTGTGCTTACTCCGGAGGTGAATGGATTCTCAGTCTCGTTGCCGGTCGGTCGGTCGCGGTTGATGGCCGTCGACGACTCGGGGAGCTCGTAACCAGACGAAGTATACACCTGAGGGGTCTTGGCCGCTTCCATATCGGCCTCGCTGTTGATATGTGCTTGCTCGTTGCTCTCTGTTGTCTGGCGGTCGCGGTCTTTAAATGGCGTGAGTCAGAGTTGGAGTAGCGGGGCTTGCGCCCTACACACTTCCATAAAACGCCTCCGATTGGAAGGGGTTCGCTTTCCCCATTCAGTGGCTCGATTTCAAGGTTAATCCTGGCCATGTTCCCGAAAGGCGCTTCCACTGATCGACTCCAGACCGGGTCCAGACCCTGGCACGCTCCTCACCTGACACAGTTGTGCGTCTAATTCCACCATCCACACTATAGAATTTGTCGGCATCGGGTGCTTTCCCGACCCTCCATCGGGGTCGTCGGGTTGGATGAGATGTCCACATGTCATCGACCGTCACACCGCTCGTATACATCATAACTTGGCAAACTACCCCTCACACTGCATATTGAAGTTGAATCCACCAATTCCCTGAGACATGGCCTACGCGATAACTCTGTCCCTTGATGCGAGATTCACGTTGTAGCTTATTAAGAGTCGCGCCCTTTAGTATGGCTCACTTCCGCCGCATATGACCCAGACGTGCGGCCAGCTTCGTCGGGGACATTCGTGTCTTGGCCAATTCCAAGTAGGATCTGCGTAGTGTCCCTACGCTCATTTGCGTCGCTCCTCCAAGTGGAGTATAGGTCCTTCTCGCTACAAACGTGTGTCCGAAGCGATATTTCCACCGTGTTTGGCAACACAAGTATGCGTATCGTACGGTTAGGGCTGGAAATCCATTGCGGCGATGTGTTGCTCGCTGGCAGCTCGACAAGCCGCTTCTGGTTTCTCTGAATCGCTGCGTGGATGGCGCATTGAGTGATACAGTGGAACTGTGGCGCTTTATTTTCAATGTTCCTCCTCTTCCACGCGTCAAGTGGCCCGATACCGACGCCCGGATGGCCGTTCGTCGCTGCACCGACCAAAAGCGATCGCTCCCCCGGAATCGCAACCGCGACAGCATCTTTGAAGTCGATCAGAAGACCCCCTTTATCCGGATACTCGCATTGCGTTGCCAGAACGAAAGATTCGTCATCTTGCGGCGCGCACCTTTAATCAGGCTGATAGTTGAGCTCGAGGGGGAGAACCACACGATCCCGTCCAGTATCCGCGCCGGGACGTTGCCGGGAGCCGCTGGGTGACTGATAGTCTGTCCGATGAAGCGTCAGGACTGGAAATATGCAGCTCTGGCGATATGCGAGAGGTACAGAGACATTTGAACTGGGTTTTCAAAGGCAGTTTGTGCGTCGCTGTGATGAGACCACAGACGGCGCGCTCGGGTGCCACATTGGCGGCAGCGGTGGAAGCGGGCGCGCATATGTTGATATAATGTGATGTCGAGCCTAAAGGGCTATCTGAGGGAGAGGTTGCAGACGTGGTAAATTTGTGCGGACAAAAAAAGAGTCGACAGTTGTGGGGGAGACTTGAGCTGCGTCCCGTTGCGGATCAGGAAGGCGTTCGGGACAGGGAAGCAGGCATTTCTGGGCTGTGGAATCTCGGGAGAGTGGAGAACGCCGCAAGAGGGGCGCAGCTCGAGATGCTCATTTGAGATGCCTGGCGGAGGGAGTTCTTCTGGTTCAGGTCAAGATCAATGGGAATGGTAAGATCTGCGGAAGGGGAGACTTGCAGTTGGCAGTTGGAGCCTGCTGCTGCCTGTCCCCGGGATTCCTTGACCGACTTGGCCCCCCTCAAGCGTCCACTCAGCTTCAATCGTTCAGATGTCCCCATTCATCATATTCTGGGTGATCTTCCAATCGTGTTCCGTTTCCAGCCTCGAATACGAGCCTTGACGCAATGATTATCTAACCCTCGTATCGCGACGAACTATATCAACCCGCTGTCATCAGACAAAGAACCATCCTCCGTCAATATCAGCATTCTTTCTCAAGGCCTCAAAAGAAAACGAAAATGACCCCCAAACTCATCGCCATCGCCGGCGGCACCGGCACAATCGGCTCGTGGATCGTCCGCGCGCTACACAACAGTCCGCTGTACAAACCCATCATCCTGTCGCGCGCAAACGACACGAATAAACCAAACACGTCGGCTACTACGGCCATACCCGCAGACACAGACCCTGCTACAAAAGAGACCTACGAAATCGAAACCCGCTACGTCGACTACACCTCCCTCCCCTCTCTCACAGCCTCGCTCTCAGGAATCCACACCGTAATATCCGCCCTCCTGATCCCCAGCGAGAAGATGGTCGACTACCAGGTAAACCTGTTGAACGCATCAATCGCCGCTGGTGTGAGGCGTTTCGCACCGAGCGAGTTTGCGCTTTCGCAGGAGGTGCATAAGCAGGTTGATATCGATTACGCGAAGATTGTTGTTTGGGACGCGGTGCGGGCTGCGGTGAAGAGGGACAATATCGACGCCGCGGCGTTTCCGTGTGGGATGTTTATGAATTATCTCGCTGTTGGCACGTCGACGGACGTAGCTGGTGAGCGGAGGAGGAAGAGGGCCCTTGCGGGGTTTAGTGAGGGCGCGTTGATGTTCCACCCCCGTCCGGCTCCTGGAGAAGGAGGGACGCCGTGGGTTGAAGTCCCGCTTACACCGGACGGCGATTTCCCCGATATAACGATGACAGATATCCGCGACATCGGAAGATTCGTCGTCGCTGCGCTCGGACTTGAGGAACCCTGGGGTGGGCGGGAACTTGGAATGGCCGGTGAGACGAGGAATCTGAGAGAGATCATTGGGATTATGCAGGAGGTGCTTGGGGAGGAGGTTGAAGTTCGGACTGTCACGAGAGAGGAGTTGCAGAAGCGCTTAGATGCCCTGGATCAGAGTGATATCCTTCCCAGGATCGATGTGCAGTATACCATGGCTTGTGGGCAGGGAGGATCGGTTATCAAGGGTGTTCTGAATGAGCTGTGTCCGGAGGTCAAGCCGGTTAGCATTCGGGAGTTTATGGAGGAGGCGTGGGGGAAGTAGCTCGCACTAGCGTTCATCATTCCAATCAATGAGCCTAGCTAGAAACTATCCAGACTAAATCGATTTCTAACCCTGCACCTGCAAAATCTCCGTCTTAGCCTCAGTCTCCTCGGGCCAGGCAAGCAAAACGACCTCGTCCCCCTTCAATTCAAACCCAACCACAACGGAGCGCTCATTATTCAGCGCAAGCTCATACTTGCCCGGGTACAGAACCCGATTCCCCTTCTCGTCTGTCCTTGCCACACTATCAATCGTCACCGGTACATTGAAAACCTTCTCCTCACCAGCTTCAATCGCACCCAGCCGATCGAATCCAACAACCCACTTCTTCGGCCGTGGCTCCGGGCCCGCGGTGGTGTTTGCAAAGACAAGACCTGTATAGTCTGATGTTGTCTTGCCGGTATTCCTGACTGTAACGGTGAAATTGAGCAGAGTCGCCTGTTCAACGCGACCGTACCCATCATGAGAAGCCGTCACAAGCTCCTGGATGTCCAGGACACCCCCGTCGGTGGCGTTGGCACTCTCCGCGAACGTCGTATAAAACAGCCCATGCCCAAATTCATAAACAGCCTCGCCCGTATACCACATATACGTCTGCCCGGGGTTCCCACTCGTCTCATTCGGCCGCAGACTCATATCCAGCGCCGAGAACGTCTCTGCATAGTTCGCGGGGTACTGCGTCGTAACGAGTCGGCCCGCCGGTGCTCGCTTTCCAGTAATGACATCGGCAATGGCGTGGCCGCCCGATTGCCCGGGGTATCCGGCCCAAAGGAGCGCGTGGACGTTGGGGTTCTCTTTGAGGGTGGACGAGTCGATTTGGCCGCCGCCCAGGGTGGTCACGATGAGGGGTTTGTGGAGTTGCGAGAGTTGCGCGATGAGATCGAGCTGGTTCCCCGGCCAGGTGATGTTGTCGCGGTCCATGGCTTCGGCCTCGATGGTGTTGTCGATGCCGCCGAAGAAGAGGATTGCGTCTGCGTCTCGCGCGGCGGTCAGGGCGGCGTCGAAGCCGGAGTCCGAGGATGACGAGACGTTTGTTCCGAATGCGTAGTGGACTTGCAGATCCGAAGATTCAAACGCCGCCAGCGGGCTGATGAGGTACGGAGCCGGGCCAAAGTAGTTGCCCTGCAGTTCGGTGGTGACATTCGCCCAGGGCCCAATGACCGCTACGCTCCGGATCTCAGGGGAGAGAGGCAGCGTACCCTCTGCATTCTTCAACAGGACAATCCCCTCCACCGCAGCCTCATACGCAATATCCCACCCGTCCGTCTCCAGCACATCACCCCAGGAAATATCCCGATACGGCGCATCGGGCCCATCAAAGTACCCCGCGCGAATGAGACTCGCATACAACCTCACAACCCCGCGCTCAATCTCCGCGCGCGAAAGCATCTCCTCCGACAGGGAGTCCTCGAGATAAAACTGATAGCTCGTCCCACAATCGATATCCGTCCCCGCGCGGATCGACGCAGCCGATGCAGCCGCCTCGTCGTCTGCGTACCCATGCGGGTTCCACACGTTGTACACGGCGCCGCAGTCTCCAGAGACGTATCCGTCTTCGACGAAGGCGAAGGTCTCGCGGAGGAGGGTCTGGAGGAAGAATTTGTTGGCGCACGAGGGGAGCCCGTTTACGGCGTTGTAGGAGCACATGACGCTGCGGACGCGCGCGTCGCGGGCGGCGGTGATGAACGGCGGCATGTAATACTCGCTCAGGTCTTGCTGCGTGATCTGGACGTCGTTGCCGAGCCGCGAGTGATTGCGCCAGGACTCGATGTCGTAGCCCGCAAAGTGTTTTGCCGTCGCGATGATCTTCAGGTTCTCTTCTGAATCGGGGCTGCTCCCCTGGAGAGCCGTGATGTACTCGTATCCAAACACGCTTGCAAGAAACGGATCTTCACCCGGTGTTTCCTGTCCCCGGCCCCAGACGGGGTGTCGGAAGGTGTTGATATTCGGCGAGTAGACGTCTATCCCTCCAAGCCCCGCATTACTGTACGCACGCAACTGCGTCGAGACAATCTCCCCAATCTGCTTGATCAGTGTCTTGTTCAGCGCCGCCATCGTGCTAATCGGCATAGGAAACGAGGTCGCCCAGCTGAAATCCCCTTGGTCGCGGAACGTCGCCCGCCCCACACCATGCAGCGCCTCGCCCCAGACCTGGTAGTTTGGGAGATTGAGTCTTGGGACCCCGAAGCCTGTGTTCCCCGTGTTGTTGACGAGTTCTTCAAAGGTGAAGAGGGAGACGAGGGCGGTAGCGCGCGCGTGCGGGGACGCGGAGCGGTCGCAGACGAGGTTCTGGGAGAGGGGGCCCGATGTACAGTCTGGGAATGACATGTTGAGTTTTGCGAGGCATTGTGGGAAGAGGTCGGGGTTTGCTTCGACGGTGTAGTCGACGAAGGAGTGGTTGTTTTGGGCGGTGATTGTTGAAAAGAGGGCCGGGAGGGCCGCTAGGGATAAGAGGGGGCGCATCGCGAAGGAATTTCGGTTTGCACCTTGGTCAGGAGATGAAGTAGACGCTGGTGGAACGAAGCAGGTATTTATATTTTGTCCTGAATCGTTGGAGAGCCGGTGTATTGCCGATGGAAGAAGCTGGAGTCTCCGCGTCTGACGGAATAAGCATCGTCGGCGTCGATCACCGATGAACGATGCGGGGGGCGGGCATTTAGCCTGAATTGTCGTTGCACAGATACCCTGCCTATCCGGATATCGACCACGTCTACGGGGTATGAATTTGCGTTGCTGAGCTCTGTTATACTGTACGTATGACCGTCTTTTCGTCGGTTTGATTCCGTCAAACCCACATATGGTACGGTCTCAAGCCACAAACGATCCCGGTGGCTGACGGTTAGGCAGAGCTTGGTAATCAGGATCAAATGCCTTCAGGCTAAATGACCAAGGCGACGATCGCACCAAAGCTCCAGCTACGTTACATCACCGTGCGTACGCCAGGACAGGTTTACCCGGGTGGCTCCATGGGGGCGTCCGGGTATACTTCTGGGGGAACTCCGGCGGGACAAGCAGGTTTTCTGGGAGTGTCCCATAGTTTGAATGGATAATTTCCAGGTGTTCTGCATTGTACATGTATATGTATAGCAAAGACGATCGCAGTGAGGGAGCACCATATATACCCGCGTAGTATATCCAATTAGATCCTCCGTCCACGGTATATCCAAAGCCATCCAATATGATCCAATCATTGCCTAACAAACCTCTCCCCATGCCCCTTGACCAACAAACTGCTATCCAGCACCTCCCCCGTGGCAGAACCCACAAACTCAATCCCCAAATTCCACTCGTCCAACACACTAACCCTCGCAAACGCATACTCCTCATCATCCGCAAACACCAACCCCTCACCACTCTTCTTTCCAACCTTCACAAGCCCCTCGATGTTCCCCGCCGCCCCGGCAACAATATACACGGGTGCCTTCGGGTCTTGCATACCCCGTGGATCAAGGACTCCGTTGTAGATGGGAAGAAAGCGCTGCGAATTGTGCACGTGCCCGAAGATAGCGAGGTCGACGCCGTAGGCATACAGTATATCCTCGAAAGCTTCCTGGCACGGTCCGCAGGCGAGGCCGGCCGTGTACCACGGTCTATGGCCCGCAACGATGACCCAGGGTGTGACTTGTCGATCGACGCTCGCGAGATCCGCTTCCAGGAACTCGAGCTGCTGATTCTGCGTCCCAAAGGGACCGCCGTTTAATCCAGCCGATCCACCCTGTCCGCTCGGCGCAGCTTCAAAGTCCGTTTCCGTGTTTATCATGACGACGTGCGCCATGCCGTATTCGAACGAGTACCAGAAGGGTGGCTGTGCGAGGAGGCGCGCTTTATTCGCGAGGATCTTTGCGGTGGTGTTGGTTGAGAGGGAGGGGAATGCCGTTGGCATGGTGTTCCCGAAGCGGTGCATGAAGTCTGTAAAGTTCTTTTGCCCATCGGGGCAGAGTCCCGTTGTATGTGGGATCTCCTGGCAGGCGGCCTCGTGGTTCCCGGGGGACGCCATGTATGGTTTCCGGCCCGCAATCGGCGCGAGCTGTTCATAGAAATTCTCGAGGATGGCCTGGTAGGCATTTTCGCCGTCGAAGAGATTATCCAGCGACAGGAACCAGTCGTCCGCGTACGCAAAGTCGCCCGGGTGAATGATAAACTCGTAGTCATCGACTGTGTTCGCCAGCCGCCCGATTGTCGTATGGTTCAGCGCGGGGTTTATCCGCGGAATCGTATCTTTCTTCGTCTTGTCGCCTTGTATCGTGAACCCGTCTTCGCCATAGACGCCGAGGTCGATGACGGCGTTGAAGCTGAAGGGGGTCCTGTCGCCCGGTGTGCGTGGGCTGAGGAAGTGGTCCACTGTTGAGTTTGTGGAGACGATCTTGTAGTAGTATGTTGTTCCTGGTATCAGGTCTTGAAGGATTACCCTGTTCTCGTAGGTCCGCGAGGACGGGTATGTAGTTGACATTCCGACCGTGCAGACCTGGTGGTCGAGGTTATCCCTCTCGGTCCCGAATCGGACGCATGACTCGTCCAGCTGGGTATACGTGTTCCATCCAATGGACACAGCTGCAAGCATTAACTAAAAATTCATAACAAAGACAGTGGTTCCTCTTACAATTCAACCCATAAACCGCCAACCTCTGCTGCACCGGCGTCGTTAGATCCTCGGGCAGGGCAGGATAATGCGCCTTGGCAATGATAACCGCCGCCATCAAGGGAGCCGTCTTAAACGGTGCAAAGAGCTTCATCGTCGCTGACTGCCAAAGACTCAGAAACAGCGCGGTCACTGCCTGCCAACGAGCGGTCAGCGCCGACCACAGGGTCGACGCGAGGATATATAGCCCCGTAATCGTGTCGGACATATTGATAAGCGCAGTGAGAATAGATTAAATGGCTTCAGCAGCCCATTAAGAGCAATCTGTTTGGGCACGCTGGCGGTCGTCCCGTGCGATCTGCATCTAAAGTGCGTCTGGATGGGGGCGAAGCTCGTCAGCGGCCAGCCTCGGCAAGGGTGAACCGTGAGGGGACGCGATGGGCCGGGCTAGCGTGTCTTAGCGTGCGCATGCTTGGCTTGTTGGTCTTGACTGGCCAGTAGGGTTGCGATCTAGTAATGGGATGCATAAAGGGCCCACCGAGTTGTGCATCGCTTATCGATACGAGGTGAGTCCAAAGGGAAGCAGGCGGACAGACTCGCAGAGTCGCATCGTTGTCGGAAGCCATCCCATCGTTTGGTGGGGGACGACAAAATCAGCAAGAGTATCTTTTCTCTTGTATTCTCGTTGATTGAAGATCAAACCTCATTTGCTGGATCTTATTGCAAAGCTTTCCTAGCTTGTTGCGTTGTATTGTCATGTCAGATATATATATATAGCCGCTATACCCACTCACGGGAGGGCACATCTACACCTATCGCAGGGGGCACAAATTGTACTGTGCGAAAAAGCGAACCAACCAACTAGATCACGTTTTGATCTCCCAGTTATCAAAATCGCCAATCACAAAGGCTGAGGGTGGTGCTCGACCACGTCCAAAACCTCGTCCAAGCTTCTGACAACCGCGGTGGGACGCAACCTCGGAACCGCAGCATCCATCCACCCCTTCCCAGCACGATCAACCCAAACCGCATTCAACCCGACGCTCCGCGCACCCACAATGTCAAACGGATTCCCGCTGACGAGCCAGATATCCTCCAGCCGCGACGCCTTGCCGACTTTCTCGGCGAGATGGAAATACGTCGCGGGCGCGGGCTTGAATTGTCGGACACTCTGGATGGAGATTATGTCGGAGAATACCGAGGCGTGTGGGGAGAGGTCAGGGGAAGAGTGTACAGAGTTTGAGACCATGTTTTGCGTGCCATTGGAGAAGACGACGGGGGTTATGCGCGGATTCGAGGCGAGCTTTGTTAGCGTGGGTTTGACGTCGGGGAATGTAGAGAGGTTGTCATAGGCTTCCATCAGGGCGGATATCGCATCGTCATCCAGAGTTTCGCCATGTTCGGCAAGAGCGTGACGGAGGGCGTTGCGCGTGATCGTGGAGAAGGATTCGTAGACGCCTGCAGGATTTCAATGTCACTTTTGCTGACAATAGTGAAGACAGGGCGTCGCATACCCATGCTCGTCAGCCTCCACGTGTATTCCAGCTGATAGCGCCGCCATAAGCTCGAGATGGAATGGGCCTTTTCGGGGAAATGCGACGCCAGCTGCTGAGCGATCGACTCGGTGGAAAGCAGAGTTCCGTACAGATCAAACGCGAGGACGATATCTCCGACCATTTTGATTTGCTTATAGTCAATTTAATCGATTGTTAAATCGCAGCGCAGAGTTGATGATGGAAATGCGGGGGCTCGGTCCGAAACCTGTGTTGTCGTGCTGACTTACTCCGCATCTGCAACCATCTCAGTCTCGTGATCTGCCAGACATCCGAGCCCTGCTGACATCCCCGGATAAGAACGCCGTTGCAATTTAAGGTTAAGCTTTTTGCAATCGGAGGTTTTGTAGGCGTGGATCAGGCACCGCAACTTCGTAGCCACGGGGTCTCAGTACGAACAGAGCGCGGCAATATGGCCTATCATGTACCGAAGAGATATTGTTAGCACCGACTTTCTCGGCAATTGTTCGCTGGAGTCGCATGACCCGGCGGAGAGCCTACTCCGGAGTACTCCGTAGTAGCATTACGGAGTATTGCATGGAGCCTCCACTTGGCCGAGCAAAATGTACATTTCGAGCCTCACCGAGGTTAGGAGGAGTTGCAGTGTTCAGGACAACCACGACAAGCGTTGAGACCAGGGATTCGCGAATGAGATTAGAAAATCGTGGGCATCAAACATACGACATCTGAAAGACGTTATGCTGAGCACATGGTGTCGATCATCACTGAATTCGCCACGAGTGAGACCTCACTGCTGCGACACATCGGGATCGACACATCGGGATCGACACCGGGTAGCCAGATGTCCGCTACAATTGTCAAATGATCGAGATAGCAAAGGGCGAGGAGGATATCGCACGATTGAAGAATAATGCACTCTTGTAAAGGCGATCCCGAAGATCATCCGGAGGACCCCGTCCGCAGGGCTCCTGCCTCGTGGACTTTATGAAGATGAACCACGGTTTCGCACAAGCCACCACGAAACTTTTTGTCGAATTCATTTCCGCTGCCTCCGTGCGGGGACGCTTTATGAGGACTGCCGACTATCCACCCAGCCGGCAAAGGGTATTTCAGGATGGTATATCTGCAGACAGATGGAGCGGATGGGACAGGTCGACGGATGCCGCGCGGCAGAACCACGGAGTCGTGCCATTCTCAGTAATAGACCCCGAATCATTGATCACATTAGGTGGCAATACTTTGCCAGTACAGGACGGCTTCATCAGACTCACAGACGAAGATGCCAGGTGCGAAGCGCAAAGGGTAGCTGGAGCTTGTAAAGCATTATGCACATGTCTCCAAGTTGTCTACAACGTTGTAGCGCATGGCTGTGCAGTGCTGTGCTCCGAAAGGCAACATGCATCGAGGATTGGTGGATCGCCACCTGAGGATCCAAGGCCAACCGGGGCTGATGCCGCAGAATGCCCTCTTCTAGCGGGGATCAATGCTCTCGGCAGGCGGCACAGGAGAATATCATTGGAATTATCTTCGTGGCGAAGAGGTTGATAAACAGTGGACCTGAAGGAGATGTGTGCACAGTCGGCGAATGGAGGGATGCTCTGAGTCGGGTGAAGTCGCCCGGGGATGGCAGGCTTGGTCAATTCGACAGCATTCGGGTCGGCGTGTTCAGAATCCATAAAAGCATTTCGTTTCCAACGGTCCGGCACTGTTACCCTGAAGGCGTGATTCGCGGAGAGGATTGTTGACAGGAGAGAAGAGGGAGAGTGTGGGGCGTGCAGAGGCGAGAGAAGCGGCGGGTCTGACAGCAACGAGTCTAGACTGGCGGACTAGTGGTCGCTGGTTGCTTGCCGCCCGCCTTCAAACGCATCGGCCAAAACCAAGAAAAAAACGGCCGCTTCCCCCCTTCCTTGATTTCTTCCTTTCCTCCGCACTCCACGTCCGAAAATGCATCCAGCATCCTGACGGGATGTCCACGGATTGTTCCCATCTGTCTCCCTGCGATGCAGAGCGAGAGAGACTGAGAGAAGTTGCAAAGTGGGTATCCATCTAATCGATCTCCTTCCCGGAACTTAACGCTCGGATCATGCTGATCGCGCGCCTGCAGGTATTATTGCATCGTCGATCGTCGCTCAACCGCCGGCGACAATGACATTCAACCTCTCCAGGGCGACCAACAGCCGGATAACGACAACAAACGACTCTCGCCGGATACCGCCCTGACAGCGCTTGCCCGCCTCGGTGTTTTGCAACTCGGCTGCAACCGTGCGTTTGTCTCGATCATTGATGAGGCCCATCACCATGTCATCGCCGAAGCCACCGCGTCCGTTTCGCTTGGAAATGCCCACAAACATCAGAATAACGATGGATTATACTTGGGGACACGGTCGCTACACATGGGATGGGGAGTGGTACCGCAGACGATCAAATTCTTCACCAACCGGAATCCCTCCACGCCGATCGAGACGGACAATTTGATCGCCAACAGCACGCGATATGTCGTTCGCGATTTCACAAAAGAGGAAGCGTACAAGGACCGACCATACGTTGTCGGCTGGCCGCATATGCGATTTTATGCCGCAGTTCCCGTTAGAAGCCCCGGTGGCTACGTATTGGGATCGTACTGCATTATCGACGACAAGCCGCGGTCGGACTTTGGCGATACCGAGGTAGAAGCTTTGCAAGAGATCGCAGATGCGATTGCACAGCATCTGGAGACTGTCCGATTGTCGCACTGCCATTGGAGAACCGAAGCGCTGGTCAAAAGCCTGACGACTTTTGTCAAAGACCACGCCGAGTTTGATCCCACCGAGCCATACAAACCTGCAGCTTCTCAGTCGCTAAATGTTTTTGGCACGCAGGCAGGGGATAGACTGTCTAAAGCTTCGGATGATAGCCATCTCAATTTGTCGAGTGCCGCTTTCGACGGCGAGGGATCAGAAGCCAACCTGGGCCCGCTTTCTCCCTCCGAGGGAACGGCGGAGCTTACATCGCTCTTTTCAAAAGTAACTTGCTCCGAACAGACCGAATTATCCGCTCCTCCCAGATTTGAACGATCGATTTCCGCTTTGTCCTGGAACGGGGACGAACCAAGAGACCCCATGAGCCTGCCGCGAAACGCCCCGGCTGTTACCGACAGGCCCACGAATGACGCCCAGGCGTCGGCCACGGACATTGCAAACCGGATTTCGAAAATATTCTCTCGAGCAAGTGTCCTCCTTCGCGACTCGATGGATTTAGATGGTGTCCTATTCGTCGATGCGTCCCGGTGCAATGGGGGAGTGTAAGCTACCTTCTTTCCATCCACACCTCACATTGCCTTGCTGATAAATGTAGTGTCCTTGCGAATGATACTGGAACATGGGAACCATTGCCATCAACGCTAAATCCAGGTTTTTTGGCCGATCCCTATCCGAGCCCGGTCGATATTCCAGGAGTCGGCTCGCTCTCCAAAGCAGCCGAGGATCCATGCGTGTTGTTAGGTCGTGCGCTGCGCGACACCACCAGATCGGCTTATCCGCAATGCGATTTCAACATCACTGACAAAATACTGGACGACCTGATGGCAAATTTCCCGCAAGGCCAGATTTTCGACTTGAGCGAGTCGAAAAATGAGGAATGGTCTCTTCAGGCCTCTGACCCGGTGAGGGATCTCTGCCGACAGCTCGCATGCCACTTTCCAGACGCTAGCTCTGTCCTGTTCTCTCCAATCTGGGATTGGAACAAGTCTCGGTGGCTTGCGGGAACCCTGGTATGGACGAGCAATACCTTTCGTGCCTTGGGAGCGGACGAGTTGCATTACTTCAAAGTTTTTGGCGACTCGATTATCTCTGAAGTGGCTCGCGTCGACTGGGCAACGACTCAGAAATCCAAGTCCGCTTTTATGTCATCGGTCAGCCATGAGTTGCGATCACCGCTGCACGGCATTCTCGCCAGCGCAGAACTCCTGGGAGCCACCTCGCTGCCGCCGCAGGAACAGCACCTGGTGAACATGGTAGAGGCATGCGGTATGACTCTGCTCGACACTCTCAACCATTTGTAAGTTCACTTCTTCGAATACTAGACTATCGCTGACTTTGATTCAGACTGGACTTTTCTGGAATCAACAACCTTACTTCGTTGGAAGATTCTCCTCCAGGTGCTCCCGATGTCGGATTGACCAGTCTGGAGACTACATTCGACCTCGGAGATTTAGTAGAAGAGGTTGTGGAAGTTCAATACACTGGCCAGACATTGCCAAAAACTGCTGCGCATCTCGACCAGAGCCCAGTCTCCCCTTCGCCAGACGACTTTGACACTTGCAAAGATGAGGTGTCGGTTATTGTTCGCGTCGAGGATGCACCGACCTGGAAAATCCAGTCGGTCCCTGGTGCTTGGAAACGGATTGTGATGAATGTGCTTGGCAACTCCTTGAAATGGACAAAAGCCGGTTTTGTCGAGGTATCTCTCTCAAAGGTGAGGCGAAAGAGGGATCCGTTGCATGTTTTCGCTCTTCTTTCAATCACCGATACTGGGTCTGGAATTGCTGCGGATTTTCTCCGACACAAGCTATTCTCCCCTTTTGCGCAAGAGAATTCCCTATCCGAAGGACTGGGTCTTGGGTTGAGTATTGTGCGGCAGCTCGTGGCTTCCCTTGATGGTCACGTCAACGTCAGGAGTGAAGTGGGTGTGGGCACGCAAGTGGATATATTCGTACCAGTTGAAATGCTTCGGGAACCGCCGTCAATTCCTCCGTCGCTTCCGATGATTGACGAAAACGTTCAATCAGGCCCCCCGATCCGCGCCTGTCTTATTGGATTCAACGACTATCCCGGTCTTGGGGAAACGCCAACCGGTATCTTACCTCCGGAGTCGAAACGGAAGCTCGCCATCAGGAGCTGCCTCACTGCTATCCTTGCAAAGCAGCCGGGCTGGAGTGTATCGTCGTCGGAATCCTTCACCAACTCAGAAGGTGACGTTGCGATCATTGAAGAGGCAAAGTTCATGGATATTATCAAGAATGGACCGTCATCCCTCGAAAATGCGCGAAATATGGGTTTCAAGAAGATATTCATCATGCTCAACAGCAAGACGCCCGATCCGCTGCCTATACAGTATTCGAACGTCATTCGCGTTTCCCAGCCGTAAGTGTTAACCTGAACTTGAGAAGCTTGTATCCATGCTGATGATTTGCAGTTTCGGTTGCCGCAAGTTCCGACACGCAGTAGTTAAAGTCCACGAACTCCTGCAGAACCCGCCACTTGAATCACCCTGCATAGTATCGGAAACCCTCCCTTCCCCCGACGCCGTCAGATCAGAGCTTGTGCCAACTCTTCTTGCGGACGTTACGCTCAGTCAACCCCCGCCGGTATCACAACCCAAAGAACCTATCCCTTCGATATTGCAAGTTCCGACACCCTTGCATCTCCTCATCGTGGACGACAACGAAATAAACCTCAAGGTATGTCGATCCTTCAATCTCTACTTGATGTGGTACTGATATGCTCAGATCCTGGCAACATTTGCTGGCAAAATCGGTTGCACCTACGAGACAGCGACGGATGGCTTGATTGCACTCAACAAGTATAAAGAGTCCCGGCGACGATATGATCTCATTCTTATGGGTAAGCTCGATCCCTACTGATCTTGACGCTCGCTAACAGCTCTTATTAGATATCTCCATGCCAGTCATGGACGGTATAGTGTCGACAAACGAGATTCGCTTGTTCGAGGAAGAAAGGAACCTCCCGAGGTCGCGCATCATGGCTGTGACAGGGGTGGCCTCGACGGACATGCAGCAAAGAGCCAAAGCTGTGGGGATTGATGACTACCTCGTCAAGCCAGTTTCTCTCGTTGCCTTGAAGAAGGTCATTGCTGCTTTATGAACTGTTATTCGGTGTTGTGGTTGGACAAGTGTGATCATCGGCATTGCCGATGAGGAGTTGGAATGTATCTGGAGTCCGGCAATATACGCGCCGCGACGTCCTTGAGATTTTAGCGACGTTGCCACGAATATGATGGCAGCTTGGCGCTTGCATTTAGCAGCACATCTGGGGCGGAGTTCCGCCCGCCTGATGATTTGTTTGAGCTTTGTAGATATCCACCAATCAGCGATATATTCAAATTTATAGCTGTCTTTTCCTGATACCTCAAGTGATCTTCATTGCGTGACGCGACTGGGACGTGCGTCTGACAGTGCCCGGCGGGGGATAAGATGCAGATGCAATGACAGTGTGGCGTGGCTCGATCCTTACCCTAACTGGACATACACGGCGCGACACGCGCGTTGGCCCCAACAACCCTTGAGGCCAATTCAGAGTCATCTCGCGCCGTCAGGACGTTTTGTCCTATTTGAATAAAATCCATTTCCCCGATCCTTTCGCTGATCTTTCTCTCCCCAACTTGACTTGGCAGCATTTACTATCAACTATCACCCAAAATGAGCTGGATCCCCGATCCCATCCTCCACACCCTCTACGGAGTCCGACCAGCAGCACCACCCCCGCAACGCACAAAACCAATGCAGATCCTCGCCGTCGGCATCTCCCGCTCAGGAACCGAATCCCTCCGCGAAGCACTGCACATCCTCGGATTCAAACACACACACCACGGCTTTGACACGATCCTCCCCCCGTATGACCTTGAGGAGATATACCGGCTACTGAAGAGGAAATACACACCAGGGAGTCCGAATCTCACAGCAGAAGACTTCGATACGTTTCTGTGGGATTGCGTCGGGGTGTCTGACCTACACGCCGCCGAATTCGCACCCGAATTGATCTCTGCGTACCCGGATGCAAAAGTCATTTTGAATACGCGGAGGGACCTCGATGCGTGGTATACGTCCATGGAAGCGACGATGGGATACTTCGATGCGAACCCGGTGGACTGGGATTGGGTCACGTCGTGGTTCTGTGCGGAGTTGTTTTGGGTGAGGCAGTGTATGTGTCGGACGCTTATGCCGCGTTTCTTCGGGGGAAGCTTTGCCGAGAATGGGATGGATGTATACAAGGAACATGTTGAGATGGTTAGAGCCCTGATGAAGGTACGAGGCGAGCAAGGGAGGTTGCTCGAGTGGAGCGTTGAAGATGGATGGGGGCCGCTATGTGAGTTTCTGGGGAAGAGTGTCCCGGAGGGTATCGCGTTCCCGAGTGGGAATCCGCCGCAGGCGTGGGCGGAGAGGATTGCGCGCACGACAGAGGTGTATCATCGGCGGGCAGTCAGGAACATGGCGCTCTTTGGGGCGGTTGTTGTGGGTGTTTTTGGGGTGGGTGTTGCAAGATGGGGTGGATAACTTTACCTACGCTAAAACTGGAATCATCTCCTATCTGCCCGAAGACCCGTCTGTTTAGTTACAGGACTCTTTTCCACCCTCAAGACTTGTACATCTAGATTCCGGCCACAAGAACAGCCGCTGCCCCTGCAGCCAACAACCTCGCACTCCCCCAATTCCCGTAGCCATCGGCACCGCCCCATTAACAGAGGTAACCGACCCCGCAGTGATAGTAACAGGATCCGTCTCGAGCGTAACATCCGGCGGAAACGTAAATGCGGAGCTTGTCGATTCGTCGCCGAACTGACCGTGCCGCGAGGTACTACATGCGATTGTTCGGTTGGGGGTGCCGTGGGTTGCGCACGTTGCTGTGTAGAGACTGTATATTACAGCCAGCCTGATTTAGTAAAAGTAGTAGTATCCCTGAATGCAGACGAGGAGGGGGAGGAAGGACTATGGAAAGTGGATTGGATTTGGTTTGTCTTTCTGATTCGCCTTGGTTTGGTTGGGGTTTGCAGGCATACTATGTGTTCACGGTCATCTGGTACTCGGTGACGTTCTCCGCCGCGACGACGGTAAGACCCGGCTCAATCTGGCAGGGTGGAGGTCTCGTTGCCGTCGCATTGGGGGCGCAGGTCATGTTGTATGTTGTTGCTGTTGCATCCTGGATAACCGACCCCTACGGTAACCTTCGGTGGTCGCGCCTTAGCGCGACCCCGCCAGCCATCCGGTCAGGTCAGCCATCCGGTCAATTATATATATTGAAGCTATTCAAAGACCTGTATCTCAACCAATATTAAAGCAAATATATTAAAACTAGGTGTAATTAAAAGCTTCACTCTTCTGCTATCTACCGGGATTGTCGCTACCTCTTTAAAGCAATTCCTCGCCTGATAAGGTCGTCTATTAGAGCCATTATCACACCACGATATCTTATCCTCCACCTCTTATTTTCCTTCTCCTCGTTAATTTTTAACTTAATCTTCTTTATATTAGCAACCTTAGTACTAGATACAATGCCTCCTTTGCGTAAATGGCGTTTAGATAGAGATATTTGGTCTGCGTGATCTCTAGCACCTTGCGTAAAGCGCTTTAGTTCCACCTCTATTATCTCCACGTATGTAGCAAGTTGCTCACTACCATGAAGCATAGCTTCTAACTCTATACGCGATCTTTCTTGAAGATTCTGTATAGCACGAAGTCTTTTACTAAGAGAGCGGAATCTAGCTATAGTCTTTAGTGTACTACCTACTAAATTATCACTATTATCGCTCGAGCTGGGGGGGGGGTCTCTAGATGCGCAAACTCTAGTATATTGCGTAGAACAACCTCTAGATTAAATGGCTATATACTAGTATCACGAAACCCATGCTGGATAGTGCGCTTCTTAAGAGTTTTATAGTGAATTATCCCAAGCGCATGAAAAAACTCCGTCTTATTAATGTTCTCGCATCTAGAATATGTTGCATTAATAACAAATTCAGAATGCTAGTGTTTAAAGGCATGAAATACACCTACATCGAGCGGCTGTAGGATATGGCTTATATGCAGAGGCAAGAAGAAGAGGATAATATGTTATTCCTCGCAGAATTCAACGAACTACTTCGTATAGTGAGATCCGTAGCCATCGCATATAATAAGCTAGTAGGCCCCCTTCTAGTACTTCTTTATATCGCGCTAGAAGCGTTGTATCCACTAAAATGCTAGTTAGTTATTAATATAGCTAGAATTAGTAACACTAACATGAAAGTTATTAATTTTAGTTACTTTGAACTAGCCGCGTAGGATGCATTTACCAGCGTAAATAATAAATAGAGGGGCGTGCTAACTAACTACATTAACTACCTTAATAATAGTCACATATTCTCGCTCTAAATTAATGCTAATATAAGGCTTCTTGGTCTTTATATCCCATGTAATAACCTATTAGTCCTTGCTAATACTAATCTAGAAGCCCGTCTCGTTAAAGTTCTAAATATCCTCTAGTGTAATCCCGTACTTTAGTATAATATTCTCTAGCTCCTTAAACTACTAACGTAGAAGCTATCAATCTTCTATATACTTGCGATTAAGTTTAATTACTTAAAACCGTCTTTTTTTATATTGTGGATGGCGTTAAAGCTAGTGATAAAGCCATTTAGGTCTAACTATTAGTAGAGGGGTCTCTAGATTAGTATAACTTACTTTTAGGATTACATTAGCTACTGCCTCGATCATTCGCTTTAAAGGTTTAATCCGATATCGCTCCAAGGTATCTAGGTATTAATAGAGGGCCTTATCCTGCGTTAAATTAAGCTTTAGGTTAGTTAGTGCTTGATTCTTTAGCGATAGTCGGCCCTGCCAACGAGATTAAAGCGTTGTGCGAGGAACATTAAATTCTCGTGCAGCTTTCGAGATATTAGGTTTTTTCTAAGTTTTTAACGCGCAGATGGCCTGATCGATTTGATTTTTAGTCTCCGGATTAAATTTGACCATGTTGTTGTTGAATAATTACGCGATAAAGGTAAATGGTTGGATTATTCAAAAAGTTGACCGGATGGCTGACCTGACTGGATGGCTGGCGGGGTCGCGCTAAGGCGCGACCACCGAAGGTTACCGTAGGGGTCGGTTACTCCAAGTCAGCTTTTGCCCGAGGTTCAGGCATTGCCCTTCTTCATTTCTCCTCTCCGGTTTTCTAATCTGTTTCTTTGCAAAGAACAAAAAGGTCAAGGACGGTGTAAGTACATTTTTCATGATAGACGCGACAACAGCCTGCGAGGTCCAAAGACCGCCGAAGAGTAGCCACATATCGGTTGTTGAGTATGCGGCTGTCTCTCCGGTTGGGGTAGATGTGTTCTGCGACAGCGAGAGGCTAGCGAGAGCCAAGGTCAAAATGAGTGCCCGCCTTCGAAACATTGCTGTAGGGGTTGCCTGGGACGAGAGTGGTTTCGTGGGAGATTGAGATCCAGCGTTTTGCAGGTGGGCCAGGGGAGACCTTTCAAGTAGGAGCAGGAAGAAAAACACAGAAACTAAAGCCCAAATACAATTTCCAAAAAGCCATCGCGGAGACCGAGGGAGCCTTGGGTTCAAGTACACTCCCAGGAGCTGGACCCTGGTAGCCGCGCACGCAGTCCATCACTGTCCGTGCGAAAGTAATTGTCCTCCTTCCTGACTCGAGGATGTGGGGTTTTGTCCCCATTGCAATTGCTTTACAGAGTGCTTGGAGTCGTGGTTCACTACTAAGGAGCAGCAGAGGTTCTGGGCGAGCGAACTAGTCTTACATCTATATGCTCGGGAGTCGGTGGACTCCTAGAATCCCGTTTAAGAGTGCCGAGGCAAATAAGTAAACATGAGACTGGATCGGACATCTAACTGTAAGAGCATCGATTTCATTTTCTGATCCTATCCATCATTCTCCCAAATTCTCTCTTGCGGCTGGGCAATCGCTGGGTTTTGATAGCGATACACTCGCAAGAGCCTCGTGTTCGTACAATGCGGACCCTGGAGGCGCGCGCAGTAATTCAGAGGAGCGTCTGCAGATGAATCAGGGACAGATCCAATGCTGTGCTAAGAATGGATCAGATTCAGCCCTGCCCGATCGACTCCATCTTTTGATCTTCCTCGGGCTGCGCCACCCCATAGCCCCATTCAGCCGCAACCCCACATCACACCACTAGTCAAGCTCCGACTCTACTTAAACAACGCCATTCCCGTCCAACCCCTCCAACTCGTATCTCACACCTCCCAAATCCACCAAAATGCCCCCCTTTACAATAACAACCACCGGCCACGCCAGCATCGCGCGCCCCGCCGAACGGGGCACCCTCCGCCTCAGCATCGCCGACAGCGGCGCCGAGCCCAAAACCGTCTCGTCCAACGTCGTCTCCTGCACAAACACACTGAAATCGCTCATAAAGCCCCTATATACGCGCACGGCCTCCGGCGAGATAGCCCCCGACGCAAAAGTCACACACTGGTCGCTGGGCACATTGTCAACATACTCGTACGCCGTCGCAGACCGGCGCGATCGAAAGAAGATTGAACAGCGCGTGTTCCACGCGAGTACGAACATGGAAGTGAAATTCCGCGATTTCACCGCGCTGGCGCATTTCGCGAGTGAACTTGCGGCGCTTCCGCTCGTTGATGTCGACGGTGTGGACTGGGCGCTTACGGAGGTGAGTAAGCGGGAACTTGCACGGCGCGTGCGATCACTTGCTGGGCGGGATGCGCTTGAGCGCGCGGAGGACTATGCGGGGACGTTTGGGAAGGATAGGGTGTTTGTGAGCGAGGTTGTGGAGGAGGGGAGGGGTGGCTATGGTGGCGTTGCGTATGGGGTTGTTTCGAGTAGGCGGGCTGGGGCGCCAGGGGGGAGGCGTGGTGGGGATGGTGATGGGGAAGGGCGAGAGGGGTTGGAGTTTCGGCCGGAGGAGGTGGAGGTGAGTGCGGAGGTTACGGTCAAGTTTGTTACTGAGTAGGAGAATGAAGAGATATCGAATAGAGAAGAGGCTATCCGATCGCATTTTATGTCTAGAACAATGCTCGCTATCTAAGGAAGAGTCTATGGAAGATACAGTACATCAATGAAGCCATCAACCAACAAATCACCACCAGCACAGAATTCCTAGATCTTACTATCCAGCATGACATCCAAAGACTCTTCCCTAATCTAGCTCTTGAGAAATTGCCCCATCTCCTGAAGAGCAAAAGCCACATGCGACTCCTTATCACACTGAGCCTCCTTCTGCCTCTGCAGGCTAAATGACTGAAAGATATCAAGTGCATCCCAGTTTCCGCGGAAAAGAGCCTGCACATCAGCGTCACGGAGAATCTTGCAGATTTCTTTGTGGTAGACTTTGTTGTAGCCTTCGTTCTGGCAGGCCTGTATGTGATTGTGGTCAGTATTTGTTTCGGTGATCGGGAGGAAGGAAGGATGTGATCAGAGAGAAGGGGAGAGAGGGAAGAGGGGTATATGAAGGAGGGTGACGTACATCGGTGCAGTACCAGAAGAGTCGGCAGCCAGAGCACCGGTGGAGTGAGGCCTTCCGACGTAGACAGCCATTGCAAAGCCCCTTGGCGTCTTCGACGGAGTTGTAGTGCAGGACGTTGCGGTTGAGGTTCATAAACTGGTCGATTTGGATGGGGAGGGTCTGCCAGATATGGAAATCAGTAACAGTAATCTCTCCTCTCTCAAACCGGCAGTAGAACCGGGAAAGTGAGTTGTGACATACCTTGACCTTTGCAACATCATCCACCTCAACACCAACACTCCCATCCTTGAGGGCTCTCCTCGCCGCACCAAGGACCAAAAGCACATTTCCAACACTCAACCCCTCGCGCGGGAACCCCTCGACAGCAGCAGTAATCACGACGCGAATCCGGCTCCCCGTAGCATCCTGGACTTCGAGATCGGTATGGTACTCTTCACTCTGCGAAACCTTGATTATCTCGGCGATGAAGCACCATTTCTTGGTTTGGGTTGAGGGGCCGAGACCGAGATCTAGTGAGGTGGCAGACGAAGAGTCGGTGCAGGTATTGCTCGCAGTGGTGGAGGTGATTGCGGGGAGGAGGGTGGAGGTAGGGAAGCGGGAGAGGTCGCGGAGGCTTGCGAGAGGCATCGTGTGGATTTGCTGACAGACAAAGAAATAGAGAGCAACCTGAAGGAGGGACAAGGAAGATGGAGAGGAGAAGAAGGTAAGGGGAAGGGGAAGAGAAAGGTGAAGGGTTGAAGAAGAGAAGCCATGCGGGTGGAAAGGCGAGTTTATGTAGGTGGTAGCATGGTTTTGTATTCTCAGGCTTTTTCTTGCAAATGAACTGGATTGAGTGAATGTGTAAAGGCAGAGAATGAAAGGGATTGTGCGTCCGAGCTGCATTGCCAAAGGCCATGCATGATCAGAAAAGGAGAATGGGCAACTCCAAATGGACCAAGATCTCAGCGCGAGTCTCTGGTCTTATGCCTGTACCCTGTACTGATGAATCATGGATCATTGCTTGTCTTTTTACTTTGTCCCACCACATCAGATCTTCTAGACCTGGTATTCCCGCTTCCTAGCTTGCCAGGCCGAGCCACAGATTCGTCTGCTTCTAGCTCTCGAGCTGGGTAAACCATATTCGAGCCTATTGAACCACTGACAGCATAGTTGAATACCGACTGCAAAACCCAGTGCAACGTTAGGGATATATACCCGCCATAAACTCGCAATTCATTGCTCCTACAGCCGTATAACGGCCAAGGCTATGCGGGGAAGCGACCAGATTCTTCACCAGCTAAACTATGAATGAGCAAATCTTAGGGGGATATCGGCATTAGAACGAGGATATCTCTACACATTCATCTACATCACAAGCCCCACATCTATATCTAATTCTTTTGCCCAAGAACCTCCTCCGCAGTAGCAACAATGAGATCAAACGCCCGCCGGATATACTTTTCCTCGGCCCGCTCATTCGCACTGACGACGCGAATGGCATAGATCCCAGACATGACCGTCGACGTGATGAAGATCTCGCCTCGGGCGTTGATGAGCTCATAGACCTCCTTCGTAATGCCATCGGCCTTTTCATCAGGCTGAGGAAGAGCCGACCCATTCGCCAACACTCCATTCCCATTCCCATTCCCATTAACCACACTCGACGCCTTGATGCGGAAAACCGTCAATCCAAACGCAGGCTTGGTGATGATCTCAAAGAGATCAGATCTTGCGCGGATAAGCCCCGCAAATGTCTCCCCAAGCGTGATTCCCTTCCGGACATACTCCTTCAACCCCTTCAGCCCATAACTCCGCATAACGAACCAGATCTTCAGCGCGCGGAACCGCCTCCCAAGCGGGATAGACCAGTTCCTGTAATCAATGACCTGGCCCGATTCGGAGAACGGATTGCGCAGGTACGCCGGCGTAATATCGAGAAAGTCGGTCAGATCGTGCCGGTTGCGCACGTACAGCAGACTCGCGTCGAAGTTGACGAGCAGCCACTTGTGCATGTTGACGTTGAAGCTGTCGACGCCCGAGGCAAAGTCCTGCGCGATATACTGCCATTCGTCGGCGATGAGGGCGGACCCCGCGTATGCGGCGTCGATATGCACCCAGATTTGCTGCCACGAGGGCTTTTCGCGCAGCACGGCGAGGATCTCGGCGAAGCGGTCGACGGCGCACGAATTCGTCGACCCGAAGCAGAGCGTGATGTAGTATGGGATCATCCCCTTGGCTTCCAGCTCGACCAGCTTCGCGCGCAGCTCGGGCCCCGTCAGCGCCATGTCATTCTCCAGTCCGACATCGATCGTGCGATACCGCGTCCCCGCGAGCAGCGCCGCTTTCGCGGTACTACTATGCGTCTGCGAGCTACTCAGCGCAACGAGTTTCGGGCGTAGCTCCATAACCCGGTCCTCGTACTCTTCACTCCCCTCCTTGAGCCCCTCACCCTTGGCTAGGGAATGGACCCTCCGTTCGCGGGCGGCAATCATAACTGTCGCCACGGCATCACTCGCACTCATCTGAATAACCCCACCGCCCTTATTCTCCGAAGTGCTCAAAAAGCAATCGGGGAGTCCCAAGGCCTGACACATCCAATCCATAACAACCGTCTCGAGCTCCGTGCACGCGGGCGAGCACAGCCAGTTGAACGCGGGGGCATTAAACGCCGCGGAATACATCTCACCGAGGATACTCGGGTACGTAACCGTCGCCGGGAAAAACGCCATGAAGTTCGGCGACTGCCATTGTGTCAGGCCCGGCTTGATCTTGCTGTCGATGTCGGCTTGGATGGCGCTCCAGGGCTCGGGGTCTGTTGGGGGTGAGGAGGGGATCTGGGGGCGCAGGTAGCCTGGGGTTATTGTGGGGAGGACGCGTTGGTTGGGGATGTTGTCGAAGTAGCCGATTACTGGAGGGGTTTGTTAGATGTATGCGAGCAGTTGAGGAGGGGGGTTTGTTGAGTGTGTACTATCGTCAATTGCAGCGTGCGCTGCTGTCCGGAATTCGTCGCGGTCCATCTTGAAAGTGGACTCGGAAGGCTTCCGAGGAGGGAAGTGGGATATCAATGGGTACAACTGCGAATTGGGTTGAGTCTCGTCGAGTACATAAACCAGGGAGAGACTGAGATGTATATGAATCTCGTTCAATGATCAGAAATGACCGAAACGAAGGGAGAATGAATGAATTGAAAAAAGTGAAGAAAAATCTGGATGAGGGGAACCGAGACTCGAGGGGCGCGAGGGGCAATTTATCGATAAGAGAGAGTGTGGGGTCCTCGTCAAAAGGCGCGAACGCGCACCCGTTCCGCTCTTTGTTCCGAGGGCTTTCCGAGCTTTTGTTCAAAACTAGATTCATATTCCACGAACAAGCAGTTGTACACTATTAGAGTATTGTTAGTGTTTTTCTTGGCCAATATCTCTGGAGAAACAACCGCTAATTGGGTAGTAGGCTGGGAACAAGTTGCTTCACTACGGGTTGCGTGCAGGTTAAAGGGTGATCCTCGTATGCGTACTGGGGAGAAAATATATCTTGAAGACGGAGCACGTACCCACCACAAGATAACGTGAGATCTGCTTACAAGGTAATTTAAGACCCATTTTATTTCCAGCCAGTCCGCAACCAAGCCCTCCAAGGTCTGGCGATTTTCTCTTACTGCTGCAGGAGTACTCTGAGTTCTCTTCTTCCCTTGCTGAGAGGCACCAGAACCAGCACAGATTCATCCAAGTTCAGATTATATCCACGACTTCATCACTTTGAGCACTTACTGGATTAACAGAGAATCCCCGTCATGGCGAACCGACCTCGTAATTTACTTATGAAGGCAAGAGTTGACCATCGTGGGCCGATAGCTGGCAAGTCGCTCGATGAGTCGCCCGGAGGCTGGAATAACAAATGGGCGATGGTGAGGACAGGGCAGAGGAAAGCTATTGCAGATTCGGTCGAAGGAGGATTTAAACAGACTCTTGAATACTCTTACAAGAACAACCGAAGGAGCGATGTGCGCTGCCGGGGTCGCACCTGCCTGTCGGGCCGGCCTCAAAGGCGGTTGTCTTTTCACCTCAAGGCCGAACTCTCCCTCTCAACTCTTACAACCTCCACCGAACACAGTCCTTTACCTACATTTATTTAGTTACATTCAGATACCTTATACCTTAGCATTTACCTTCATTTACGAACCTCAAACCTTCATTCTTACTACGAGAACCAGCCGCGCCAATGTCTGACTCTGACGAATACTCCGACGAAAACCCGACGTGGACCGAAAAACCCCGTCGCGATGGAAAACCGCACGGAGAGTGGAAGGTGTGCCCCGGATTTGAACCGGCGGAGAAGATGGATGCGTGGTACAACGGTGGACGCCCTCTCTTCCCCCGCAAGGAGCTCCAAGAGATCCACGACCAGCTGCGACGCCCGCTCCGCAACGGCAATCTCATCTTCGTCAGAGGATTCGACGGACAGTGGTACGAGTATGTCGTCCGCACTGGAGGTCGCCAGGAGCACGACGGGAAAACATACCGGTTGAGCAGGCCGCAGATCAGCTACACGGACTTTGAAACGCTCAAGGAGAAGGTCGACCCCGATATACTGTCCCATCTCGATTGTCCATGTGAAGCAACCCGAAACCCATCGCGTAGGGTTCATGGAGAATATCCTCCGCGGAAGGAAGATGATGGACGCTGTGGATCATTGGGAAAATCACCAGGCCTTTCTCAAGGTGGAGTTGACCTTATTAATGATGAACCTGCGGCGCAGGATTACAAACATCATCGGTCTGGCTTGTGGAACGTTTGTGGGCGGATCGGATCCGAAAGCCAGCCAAAGGTCTACGGTCCAGCATGCGATGCTGATATTGATACGCAGGCTGTTGCAGGCCAGCCATCTCGGTCCTAGAGAGGTTCCTTGCTACGTTCAAGACCCGGCATACACCCCGGCAGATCGTATGGTCCTCGCAGAAAATAACGTCGAGACCGTGCAAGACCCAGGAGGCTTTCTGAAGATGGACGATTCCTCGCTTGTATTCTGCTGTGAGCCTACAACGTGCGTCAAGTCGATCGTTGCCAACGTGGCTCGACCTCTTGTCATCATACGGGATACGGTAGTAGGCTCCCCGTATTGCACTGCAGAGTACGTATCTCTCTCATTCTTTGTCGCTTGACTGGCACTGGCAGGAGTTGGGACCCCGATTGTCCGCGAGTCGTCGCGATGATGAAAGACTACAATGCCTTGGACTTTCCAGAGGATGGAAATTTCGGTGACATGACAATTTATGTGAGACGCGACGCTCGTTATAAGAAGCTCAAGTAAGTTTTGCTCTTCATTCTACATCTGGACCCTAATGCCCGCACGTTGATTCGTCTGTCTACGGTCTCAAAGGCCACTGACGAAGACGCATAGATTTCACCGCTGTGGTAAAGACTTCTTTCGCAGTGCGATGGACAGCACATGAAGCGGTACTATCGGAAACTGCGTTGGATGGCCCACCTCAACTGCTAGCTATGTAGATCAATAGATTTTTAAAGCAAGTATTCTTCCGTAGCTACATCATATCTTGTAATCTCAATAGCAATAGAGCCTCCATTCAACGCTCCCATGACCCGAATCCACAAAGGCACTAGAGATGAAAACCAGAAGCCCTCACTGAGGCAAGCGGTATACAAGGGACTTTGTATCTCCAACCAGCCCGCTAGGGAAATGAGACACAAACAGCTGCAGGCGACTACTCCTGACCCCTGCATCATAAAAGTCGTAGAGATTGCTCTTCATAATAACAAGTCCTTGTTCGGTCATATACGCCTGCAAGAGGCAAGCCTTGTATCCTTTGAAACAAGAGAGGGCATTGATCTGGCAAGAATTCCAGGGCAAGATAGTCCAGGCTAGAGTTTATTTTAGCAAATAAATACTTACGGCCATTACGCAGCGATCCTTTAGGGACGTCGCCTTGAACAGCGTGAGCATCACACTAATGCCTAACAGGACTTCGGCCCGAAAGAGGTCCTTGGACGGTAGACAGTGGTTTATCATTGAGAGCAACACATGGGGTTCGTGGCCTGCGGAGAGGTACGCTTCCCCGATGTCGATGACCCACGCGCCGAGCGTTGGATCAATCGTTCGCGCTACCGAAACTTTCCAGCTCCACTCGCAAGACAAGCTCGTCGAATCCTCTGGGTAGCAGTTCAATTAGTCCGCGACTATCTTATAGAACGAGAGACGTACAAACCTTCCTATCATGCCGCAGCTGTTGGAAGGACCCGACCTCCTTGCCATCGGGGCACGTAAGTGACCGAGTGTCGCCGACTGGGCGACGGGCCCTTGTGCCGAAATGCGGAGTTGGGTGTTGTCACTTGGAAGGCCTGGCGAGTGGAAATCATAGAGCGCGCTTTTCCTCACGATGAGCCCGCGCGACGTCATCAAGGCCTGTACGAGGCGCGCATTGTATTCGCAGAAACAAGAGAGGACCATGATCTAGTATACGGACACCCAGGCTAGTCCTGGATAGGAGCATTCTTCTGAGTATAGAGTCACGGCGGAATTGCGCGATGGCGCTCCAAAGACGGGACCTTCATCCTGCGCAACATAACGCCCAGTATGATCATTAGTTCTGCTCTCAAGAGCTCTTTGGGGGCGAGGCGGTGGGGAGTAAGCGGTTTGAAAACATGCGGTTTATCGTCTCGAGATACATAGGCCTTGCGGATATCGACTGGCCAGGGGGTGAGAGGAGAGTCCGCCGCGTAGCCCAATAATTCGTACTCGGGGAGCAAGACGTCGTCGGAGAAACCGCTAGGAATGTGTGTGGTTAGTTGGTTGATAACTCCTGATGAAAAGAAATCTGGAGAAATGTGGTGGAATAGTGACGAACTGATCGACCATCCCACAGGGATCAGGCAGGCATTTGGCCCTTCTCCCATCTGGCCAAATGAGCGCGTGAGCCGCGTATGCGGCTATCAGCTTGCAGTGCAAGAATCTACAGCGCCGGTAGAGTCCTTCCTCGCCGTTTCCCAGGATATTCTGTCCAGCTGCAAGCGTTCTCGTGTCACGCGGTATCGGATATTTGGGTTCCAGAGATTTGAGCCGCGACATGTTATATGGGTGGAAGAAGAGTTTTGTTGGGACTATCGCTATCGTCTTTGTTGAGGGTGAGCTGCTCGACTGCAACGTGGAGTTGTTCGGCGAGCGACGGGTCGATTTTTCGCGCGTTCGAACGCCTCACCTTCTCGAAGCCTTTGCTTAACGCGAGGAAACAGTCATTCCGCAACCCGCATGCCCTTTGAGTCATCGTCATGATCATCGTACATTCGCTGTGTTGAGCGAGAAAAGGTGGGGAGGCTTGAGGTCAATAGTGAGAGTAGACTCGGGAGGCCAGCGGGCTTGAAGGTTTGGAGTAGCATGGGAACAAGGTGCGGCAGTGAGAAGCTTCTTTAGGTAGTGTGGTTCCCGAACGCGATCTGTTGCGGTACTGCTGCTTTTGTGAGGTTCGTGATAGGAGTGCAGACTATCCTCCGCGCCGCGATCCTCCACCTTGGCCCCTTCCCACAGCCCCTCTTGGCAATCCAGGACTCTCCGGCTATCCGCATCGCGCAGATCAGACTTCATCTCTTTTACGCGGTCGAGATCGAACGGTTCGAAAAAGACATGCCGGTTATGGGTATGACTGTTTTCCGTCCGAGACTTGCTCTCCACCTCCCCTTCGAGATCCAGCCGTCGGATGGCGATATCGACCTCCTCGGCGTATGAGAAATTAATCTCTGTCTCGGGGAGGCAGCGCAGGTCGGTGAATGATTGGAATAGTGCGGCGCGGCAGTCGTCGCGGACTCTGGCGGTTTCTTCCGCGTGGAGCTGGGCCTGGCGGCAGCGTTCTTTCTCCGCGGGGAGGAGGCCGTGGAGGGAGGTTTCATTCGTTTTGAGGGTGTAGAGGGGGGACATGGTGATGGTTATACTGATGCTGATACTGACAGTGAGAGGCGGGTGATGCTGGCTGTGATGACAAGGTGGGGTTGCGAGTGGGAGTGTGTTGCGAGTCGAGTACGGATGACGAGGATTCTGAGCTGACGGACGAAGAGCCTACAAGGCGGAATGAATCAATGGCTCGGTTGAATATGCTTTGCGCAAGAGGCCTCGTGATGGTGCGTCCTCCATTGACTCACCGCGGACGATGGCGGGATCTGCAGGGTTCAGCTAGCGCAGGCTTATCTGGAACCTTAATGTGACGACGTTAGCCCTATCCGATGTCAACTTGGAGTTACAATAGGGAGGGTGCTAGGATCAAAGCTTTCAATTAATTTCTGTCGTACAAGTACATTCCGTCTCTCCAAACCATAGAGCGTCCCAGCGCGTAGTACAAAAAAAAAACAAAACAAAACACCTTCATCCCGACCCCAATAACAACACATACCTAGAGAAAACAACAAAATAAGAAGAGAAGTCTCCGAGAGCGAAAGACTTTCTTGGATAGGAACAACAGAAACCTCCCTGACCATCCTGAACAAGACACACCGAAACGGACAATAAACCCTCCTAGCACAGAACGCCCTCATGCTAACGACGAAACCTGCCGGACCAAAATACCACGACACAGACGAGAGTCCTCCCACCTCCCTTGTAGAACGAATTGACCAGCAACAAGACAACCAAACACCGACGCTTCCAAGTTAACGTAAAAGAAATCATCATTGCAGGGACAAGGTATGGGATCGTAGTCGTAACGTGGGACCGCCTCAGGGGTCGTTCTTCACAAGGAAGGTCGACGAGAACTCGCGAACGTCTTCCCAGTTGCCAGCAAACACGGCACCGACGTCGTCGTCCTGGAGCATTTGACATTGGAGGTAATGCCATTTGAAGTTCATAGCCTTGGCCCTGCATGCCTAGAGGACAGGAGGCGTACGTTAGTACGTTGAGTAGAAAGGGAAAGAAACCGAAACGGGCGTCGGGAGCGAGGCCAGGTAAGCAGAATGCAAAGAAAAGAATGCCCAAGAACCAGAACAGAAAGAGAACCCAGGCTAGACGTACCTTGTCGCAGAAGTAGACAAGCAGACATCCCTCGCAAGGGGGAACCCGCTCTTCCTCAGTCCCCGTTTTCTGGCAGTAGAAGCAAACGTGGTGACCGTTCTTCTGAGTGCGTGCTTTGACTAGGTGTTTACTGGTGTTCTTGAGATACAGCAGCGCGTAGGGAATGACCTGGAGGTGTTAGTGAGTGGTGTCAGAAGAGTCCTGTACCAGAAACTAGGTATAAAGCTGCAAGCACCCGGCGAACGCATCGGAAAGAAACACACCTTTATCTGCTTCGTACCAACAACAGTGACCCCGAGCTCCCCATTCGGAAGCTGGCTCATGACAGCGTCGCGGATGAGAAGAGCATCAGTTTCCCTGACTTTGTCCAGGGGGAAGGTCCAAGCTTCGGTGCCCTGGAACTCGATTATCAGGTCGAAGTGGATCTTTTCCTGGTCGAAGACGCGGAGGAGTGCTTTGTAGCCCTCGATTCTCTCGACGGAGACAACCTCGACGGCAAGGAACCAGCCGCGTGCTTGCCAATGGCCCGGCGACAGTACGAGGTCGATCTCCGTGGGCAGAGTCATGTAGGTTGGGTACAGGAGGTGGTTCTTCATATCGCAGTCCATCGCGATGAGTGATGATGCACGTATAATACAGAGGGTAATGAAAAACAGTAGAAGTACACGTCTGGTAGAGGGGTTTGAGATAAAGAGAAGACTGTGAGAGTCGCGGAGAGAAGAGGGAAACGAGCGAGCGAGCGAAGAAGGTGAGAGGTGAGAAGGTGAGTTGAGAAGGTGAGTTGAGAAGGTGAGTTGAGAAGGTGAGTTGAGAAGGTGAGTTGAGAAGGTGAGTTGAGAAGGTGAGTTGAGAAGTTGAGCTCAAGACCGTTTTAAAGTGCGGGGCAAGAGCAAAACAGATGGAACCTCGAGTGAATTCAAGTCCAGAGGGGTGATCTGGGTGAAAAGTTGCTAAGGGCTGGTCATTGGCCGTTGAGCGGGGAGGCAGCCTGCTGGTGACAAACAATCCGCGCATTCTGGCTGAGATTCACTGGGCTGGAAGCTGGCTACGAGGAGATCCTACGCGTCGATCATGCGCTTCAGAAGAGCTATAACTGCCGTTCAAATCCGTATCTAGTACATGGCTACGCTTTGCCGTACCCTGGACTACTTGGATTATAACCATAGGATCAATTATGAGTCTTGCTGGGTGTGGCCGAAAAGGGAAGGGAGGGGGTAGGAACCAGAGAAAGTGGAGGATCCCATTTTCCGCTCCGCCCCGCTGTTCGATTGCTGCCATCCCTAGGTTATTTATCGGTGACAGTGAGTGGGGCTGGAAGTTTCGGTGACAGCTTGATGGAGGGGCTGGCTCTCGTGGATTCCTGGCTGCTTGCCTCGATCTCGACTTGTCGAGTTGTCGGTGACGGGTTCAAGCCAGTTTCGAAGTGAAAGGGGACCTTCAGGAGATCCATATCACTTGCCAGGCGCAATGACTGCATTCACTCCTGAGATTCTTGTTGTATTCGTCGTGGACGGTGATTTGGTCGGGAAATTCTGGCGGCTGTTGGGGGAGGGGTGTCTCAATCTCTGTTTTGATCACCTGGGCATCGAGTCGTCTCTGAGAAACATCGCTGATTACAAAGTTGGACTACCTTCTTACGGAATTCAGATGGCTCAGCAGATTGAATGATTGTATTTACTTGCAGGGAACGTTGCTGTATCCGTAGATGCTGGTGGTTTCATCTGTGAAGCCCGGTGAGAGGACCAACGACGGTGTTTCGCCAGTCATGAACACCCAGGGCCCGAATTCCCGTTGTAGAATCTTTCCAATTACAGTGCCAGACTTGTCTTCAGCGACTATACATTCAACTTAGAAAGGACATGACTTCATTCACTTCCTAGAGTACGTATTTCTGTTCGATGGCGGTGCTCATTTCGACTGGCAAGCTCACCGGCTGCGTCCAACTGTGTTTTGGCAGTTTTGAATATCAAGATCTTGAATGCTCTCTGAAGAATCTTGTTTTTTTGGGAGTCCTAAATACTTTTGCTGGGCATCCAACTCAATATCTAAAGGCATGAGTTTATTCACTTGCTGGAGAGCGTAATTATATTCAAAGGTGGTGCCGGTTTGGCCAGGCATGCTCAGCAGCTGCCCGATGAACGGTCCCTGGAACTTCCAAGTTTGAACACGTAGAGTCTCATATGTTCCTACATTTTCCTGGGAACCAGGGAGAAGAGTTAGATTACACAGAAGATCATATTGAAATACTAAAGTACATGATCATAGTAGTGTACAGGAAAGTAGCTGTATGCCGATCCCAAAGTACACAATCCCAAGTTCCAAGCGTAAAGTACACAATTCCATTTCGCGAGTATCCTCAGACGTTATCCCCTCAAATGATAATGACCAACATCGCTCCAGTCTTCGCACGACATTGTAAAATGCATTGTAAAACTCCTCCGATATCTGCCCGGATATCATATTTCCAAAAGCGCCAACAATACCCACGTCCATGTCCATTCAAATGTGTCCTTGAACCCCAACTCCAACGCTCGATACAAAAAGGGACCAGACGTCACAACACAAGACTGAAACAACGCAGCGCCTAATCCCTGGGACCAGTCTGTGCGAGCATCTGGCTCTCGAAAAAGTTGATGTTGTCCCACTCGCCATTAAACATGTGGTGGATATCCCAGTCGCGGAGCACGTCGCACTCGTCGGCATGGTCTTCTTTGAGGCAGCGCTAGTAGGTAGGAAGCATCAGTTAGCCGCTGCTCGATTTGGACACAGAAGGGATAACAAAGGTGATGAAGAAGGTGGTGTGGGAACCGGAGAGTATACGTACCTGGGTACAGTAGGAGAAGAAGCGACACCACATGCAGTGCTTGACCTTGTAGCTCTTCTTTCCGCAGTTATAGCAAATCTTGTTCATCTGCTCACTGTTCGCCTCGATAATGCGCGTGCGCATGTTATCCCAGTCTCCGGGGAGAGCATGCAGGACCTAGGTAGGAAAGAGACAGGAGTGTTAGTTGGATGAAGCACCGAAGAGGAGAGCCAGGAGTCGAAAAGGAAAGCCTACCTTGATGTGAGTGGGATCGGTAATCTCAATACCCTCAGTTTTGCCATCGCGCAGGGTGGTTCTCTTGGGGTTGAGGATGACCAGGGTCTCGCACTCTTCTTCGAAGTCGAAAGGCAGGAGGTAGTCCTGGAGCTCGCCGAAGCAAAGCGCCAGTTTGAGGGTCTCGCCGGTCTTGTCCTTGACTTCTATCTCCGACCTATAGTGAACAGGATCGAGGATCTTGACGTATTCGCAAAAGAAGAACCGAGGGGTGTCGGATTCTCCAAGCTCGAGGTAGGCTGGGGTAAGGGAGAAGCCTTTAGGGAGTTCAGCGAAGCTGGGGAAGGCCTTCGGGTTGCTGAGGCACGCAAGGTCTTTGTAGTATCCCATTTTTGAGGATTTGACTCTTCAAAAGAGGCAGGGGAAGATGTAGATGCTCAGAGATGTAGAAAGGAGTCAAGACAGCTCAGGGTTGTGGTGGAGAAGAGACGATGTTGAGGGAGAGAGGAGAGAGGATGTGTTGTGTTGGTAGAAGAGAGTGAGAGAGCGGAAGATAGAAGATCTGGGCTTAAATAGTCGGACTTGAGTCCCGGAGGTAAAGACATTCACTGGGAAAATCCTGATCTGGAGGAGATAGTGAATTGAACAGACGGTCCTGCTGGATCTACGCGGGTTGCCTGGCAGCGGTGGCGAAGATAGCAAACAAACGCGTGAGGGAATTGCCTCGAAACCTGTATTCAGTACGTCACGCGCGGCTTGAGACGTGCCGGCAAGGCGGCAGTAAGAGTGTTGGCAGAATTGAGCAGGAGAGAGGACAAGGCGAAAGGAAAAGAATGGAAAAGTCAAAGCAAGAAAGGTGGAGGTGGGTAAGAGGGAGAGCTGCGAGGCTGACGGGAGCTGTAGAGTGAAGCCAGCGCGAGGAGAACAGAATGGGCTCGTAGAAGTTTACCATTCTGTCAACCTAGGCAGAAGACACGAATGGACGTCTAGAACTGTCCTTCTTTCGTTACCGACATGCCGTGTGATTCCTCGACAGCTGTTGCTACTCAGAGCGGAGCTCTAGCCCGCGGCCGTGCTAATGATTTGAGCCTTGTTTGGGAACCCAGGTACAGACGCCTACAGTACTCAGAAGCCATGAGAAACAGATCTAAGCGTAAGGAATAACATCGTATCTAAAGGCAGTAGGGAAAGCTGCGAAGTTGAACCGCAGCCTCATATTGGAACCAGTTCGAGCAGACCAGAATGGGCTCGTAAAATCCCACTATCCTGTCAGCTCAGTGAGCAGACACCGAATATAAATCCCAAAATAAGGTTATATGGTTTTCCTGTTTAATTCTCAACGGCTATTGCTTCTCCGGACGAAGGTCTAACTCTGGCACTCTGCAAAACTGGGAGCTCAGCTTGAAGCCAACGGGAGGAGAACCGGATGGGCTTGTTGAAATTCTACGATTCCATGGGCTGGGTCACCAGATAATGAATGTAACATCTAGGCCGCTGTTCTCTAGTTGGCACCGTGTAATCATCTACGGTTGTCGTTCGTCAGAAGGGCTCTGCCCCGCGTATAAAACTGGCTTCTGCGATAGTTTGAGCCGTGTTTACGTGGCTACGGATGGGGGATCCGAAGGCTCCAGAGGAAGTTCAATGACCCGAGGAGAGGGGGAAAAAGCCTTTGCAATGGTGGAATAGCTATGCTGGACAACTCCTCCGGTATCCCACTTTGCCTGGAATAGAAATTCCAGCGACTGGTGCACCTGGCGTAGGCTAGTTGTAGGGACTGTAAATTCTAAATCGAGTAGATTTAGCTCAAAGGCTTCACAGAAAGATTAGAATAGGTCGAAGCCCAGTCAGACTATAAACGCGTTCTAAAATGACGTGGCAAGGTATATAGACAGCGTAGGTTAATAAGGGAGTGGTCAGGGAAGAGGTGCAATTGCGATAATATCCTTCATTTGACCGTACGAATCTGCTGGCAGAAGCACGACATCGAGAAGCTATGCACAGTCCTGCAGAAGAGACGCCTTGCAGGGCTCGAACCACCAGTTCCATTCGCCAGGCCATGACACGCACACCCTAAGTAGGTAGGCAGATCGCTGAAACAGAACCCTGGGTCGGACCTTCCTCGCAGAACATGGTATCACTGGAGGAAGGCACGACCCTGGCTTCGCCAACCGCTCCTTCCTAAGTTGATCGTCGAGCCAGTCGCGCCTTCCGCATCGAGCAAAAGACATGAGCGGGGCTGAAGAAGGAAGGAGCGACTCCTCTCCCAGCTCGTGCCTGCCGGAAGTGCTCAGATGGAAATCCGCTTCTACCTTATTTGGAGACCAGGTCGTTCCTTGCAATCTGTCGGAGATAGGTCCTGCAGTCCAAAGAAGCAGCTGATAGCACCAGTTCCGGCTGCGGATAGCGAGACAAGAGCCTCGCGAAGAGAGCAGCATCAAATCTGGTCTTTTCCCGAGAGTACGAACCGAGATATCAGTCCCCGAGAACTGCCATTCCTCTAGGTGTTCCTCCACATTCCGTATCACTCCATTTCGAATCGCTCTCTCGTTGCAGGTAACTGACTCGCGCAAGGAAAGGGGCCCGAAGGTATGCGAGCCGTAGAGCCGTAACGCGACTGCGGATCGAGCGGGTATTTGGGTGTTGGCATCGGCCGAGGGTGGCTTGACGGGTCGTTATGCTCTCAGCCTGCCGAGTTCAGGTGGCCTGGTCTGCGGAGAGGGCGAGGTAACCGCCTCGGAGCCGATAGCACGTCTCAACACATCTGAGTGTCTTGCATCTGTGTGCAGAACTGCCCGTAGTCCTTGCCGACGCGTCTCCGAGCCTGGAGTGGAGTGCATTCCCTAGTCCAACTTAGCAAGCGAGCTGTCCCAGCACACATAGCCTGGATATGACAAGAGATCAGGGCCCAAACATACCGAGCAGCAATACCAACAATTGTTTCGGCAGCCGGTATACGGAGAGGAGGGACACCCGGGGGGCGAGTCGGCTCGATCTGAGGACAGGGAAAGCTTGACGACGGGCAGGGGGAACTCGATTCCTGGGAATGGGTTACGGCATTAGTCGAGGTCAAGAAAACTAGAATCGCAAGGGGCTTTCTGCTGCTCAAAGGGGCCATTAGCGATCCTGTCCATCTCATGACGCGAAGTGGGCGCTCTCGACTGTAGAGGAAGGGGCTCAAGAAAAACGGGAACTTGCCAATGGGGCCTGACATCGAGTTGAGAGGTTACAGATCCATTGTATTGCGCGCTAGGACCTGGTTTCAAGATCACAGGCAGCCAAATGACAATGGGACTGATTTAATCGTTGGAATTTGAAGGTGGGAGAAATAACGACGGGTAACTAGTTGATGGGTTTGATGTAACCGGCGTTGAGGGACGCGCTATAATTTCAAGACTGAATAGCATCGAGTGGCAATTGGAAAACACAGCTTGTGCTAGAAAGCAGAGTAGCAAGTACCAGGATGAGCAAGTGCGGCGCGGCGTCGAGCTGAGCTTCCTCAGCGAAAACCAGATCATCTCGAGAATGCCTCGCTATATATCCGCGGAGGAAAGAGTCTACGGAGAAAACACTGCATATGGCCAAGTGAAAGGCTGATCAACAGCTCATTTATCGACAGTTAAAACTATCCTTAATTACATCTGATGTCCGACACCTCCTCCGGGGCAGTGATCTCAAAATACAACACGCGTCTTCCGACATCTACAGAACAAACGAGATCCTAATTACAAAAGAAACATCTCCACACTCCACAACACCATCGCTGCGATGAGAAAAGAACTTGGTTGCAACCATCTACAGCTCGCCCTCACCATCCATGTTGCGAAAGAGCTCAAGCAGTTTTTCCATTTGCGCGAGCATGATTCGGATCGGAATCATGGCGATCAGCACAAAGATGACGGTGGCGAGGAACTTGACAACGTCGTAAGCGACACCTTTCCAGATGCTCTCCTCGGGGCGTGGGGGGATCTCCTCGACATCAGGGGCAAATCTCACACGGCGACGATCGCGGGCCCGGGTAGTGGCAGGGTTAATAGCGTCCTGGCCGGGAGCACAGAAATCGACCGAGCCATTGTCTGATGACAGGATTAGGAGTGAACCAACAGACGTAGACACAACGAAGCTAGTCAGGAGGCTTACCGTTATCACCGCGAAGCGGCACACATGCGAGCCAATGCGCAATCAAAGCATGAGTGGTGGTGATGGGCTCATCGTGCATGAAGAATTGCCTGGCGCGTTGGCACATTGCACCGTCATGGTTTAGATACAAATGACGGTAGCAAAAGTAGAGGGGACAGCCAGTGCAACGTGCACCATTGTTGGCGACTGGGTCTCGCACGAGGTGGCCGAAAGAGGTCGGATCACGGAGTGCACACTCCTCGCAAACGTGACAGAGGACCATTGCAACGAATGCTGAGAGAGATAAGTGAGAAATTTATTGGAAGCTGATATTTTGGGAAGATGAGGACGAGAAAGAGGAAAGGTGTGTTGGTGGTGGGAGGAAAAGAGGAAAAGAAACGTCGAGGAAGAGCGGACAGGGCAGTCCTCTTTATAGCCCACAGACTTCTTGATGTCTTCCTTTTTTGGAATCTCTCTGCTCTGTGTGAATGCAGCCTTCACTCTCACCTGCGAGGCAAGCTGGTCTCGGGTGTTCTCATTTGTCACCTGCAGCAGAGGTCTCGGTCGAGTAGGCGGGCCTGCAGCTGGAGGTGACTGACACTCCAACCTGGCAGTAAGGGAGTTGGCCAATCACCGTGGGCGGCGAAGGGCAGCCTGCACAGAAGATGTGTGAGTGGGGCTTGCTTTGTTTGTTTGAGCAGGCATGGAGGCTGGCTTATGAAAACAATGTGAGTGTTGGTGATTGTTTTGAACAAGCTACGTCATTGAGTCTGGTGCAGCGCGAGGGCTCAAGGAAGAAACCGACCTCGTTAGGAACGCAATTGTGAAGGACAAGGTAGAGGGCAAGTGTGGACGTCAAAGGACAACGTCGAGTCTACTGCAGAAAGAAGAGGCTTGACAGATGGCAGACAGTTGAAGTAGATATGATGCCTTACCAGACCTTATCGTTGATAGATGATATCACCAAACCAGCGTAGAGCATTCTGCGTTTAGTCAGTAATCCCTAAATGTCTACAGCATGAGTATTCTACCTTGTGAGGAATTACTCCGGCGAAGCTGATCTTGGCTTCTGTATTGAATGGCGGGGCGGAGCGTCATGGATTACGGAGAAACAATTCCGAGACTTCGTCTCCTAGTCTCCTCCTAACCTCATGATGTATTCAGGATTCTTGACTCTGATGCTCATATCACTTCTAGCTATTTCAAGTGTTTTTTTTATCGATATACCTTGCCACCCACGAGCACCTCATTGGCGCGTCGCTATTTCGACGGTACGCGCAAAGGGACACCGTCGACCAGGCCCTCGTCGGCGTGCCCGAGACTCGAGACTGGCATCCACCGTGATATCAAGGCGAGAAGCGCAGTCAATCAGACGCTTTGAACTGCGAGAGGCTCGCGAAGCGATGACCGCGAATCAGCCAACTTCCCTTCAAAGACGCGTGATGGAGGAACGATGAGGACCATCGAGACAGCACACAGTGGCGAAACGGATGCCGGTACGACGAACTCAATACCTTATATTTGCTACTGTTGAGCTTGCTATCGAGATAACATGGCTGCTGATGAGAATTTACACTGGTGTGTGGCTCTGGCGCGATGATGGTCCACTTGCTTTCCCCCCTCGCAGCTTTGAAAACCATCCTGGGACTACAGACAGAATGCCTGATACCTGTTGTGGTTGAGCTACCTTTGAGAGAATCTGGGTGCGGATGGGACTGATACCAGTGTGTGGGTTTCGCGGAGGTTGTGATGTTACAATGGTCTATCGGCATTCTCTACCAGCCCGAGTGAGTTCTGACAATCCACCAGCGCAGTTATAGCTACGGCTTGGGCGCCGGCTCACTAGAGTCTCTCAGAGCCAACACTGACTCGCTTATCCGTCAAAGCTGCTCGCTGTCGAAAGGAAGGCGCACATCATCTACAACTCTGAACACAGTGTGAAGCATTCCGTAGGGGACAATTGATACCTGATATCTTGCAGAGAGGGCACCGGCGAGGTATGAATATCTTCGCCCTCTCGGCATTTAGCTTAGATAATGCTGACATTGAGGACTCCTAGACCGCGTCGACCTTCTCATACCTTCCTCGAATGCATCTGCCTCTTCCGAATTCGCCGCTCTTTCAGTCCTAGCCCTTGCGCCGATTACACAAAGTCTCTTTCCGACTCCATGCTGATCGTCTCACCGCAAGCACGATGGCTGCGTGCATATTTCCTTGCATGAGACCCGCAAGTCTTGTCGGGATGCCGACCCGAGACACGCGGTGACAGTCCCCACTCGCTATTCTAAAATTATTAGCTTATAATCTAATAGACTATTATTAGTATCCTAATAATATAGTAATATAGAGTAGTTCTTTATATATAAGAAGGAGGTAATAATAATAGTATTAATAAAAATTCTATAACTATAAGAGAAAGTTTACTCCATAACACTGGTTCATGGTAAGTTTATGGCCAGAAATAGCTACTATTATCACTATTTTAAGCTTAACTTTTACCTGCCTAACTAAAACATGGCCATGCTAGATTAGGGTAATAATACCTACTTTACCCTCTTACCCTAAGTACTCAGGGAGTACTCCTAGAGTACTCCTAGATTACTCTAGGTCTATACCTAGAGTACTCTAGGACTACCTCTAAGTACTCCTAGTTTAAAATAAACTTTTTATAGGGCCTTATATCCTATCTCTAGTAACTATTTACTTTATTTCTCTAAATTATCTACTTATTCTTACTACATGTTATTATAGTATATATAGTAGAAAGCCTCTAACTACTTATAGTACTTAAACCTTTATTAAATAGGCTACTTATTTTTTATTCTTATATTATATAAAGTTCTACCTCCCTTAATATAAATCTTATATTTTAGACTCTTACTCCTAGATTATTTTAATTACTTTATTTACTTACTCTCCTCTAGCCTTTATACTAAAAAGTATTTCTAATTCTACTATAATTATACTACCCCTCTCTAATTCTAACTAAAAGTATGCCCCTAGGCTAGAGTATTATTATTAATATTATTAGTAACTTCTTAAGAATAGTATTTAGAGATAGTATATAAAATCTATTTAAAATAATATCTAGGGTATAAAGAAGAAGTAGATAAGGTATAATATTGCCTATATTTTTACTTATAATATATAAGTTTATTAATACTAGCTCTCTAGATACTATAAATTTCTAGGTAAAAATTAGCTTACCTACCTAGTTAAGGTAAAGAAAGAAGATATTATAATTTTTCTAAAATAGCTACTTAATAACTATAGTATTAAAAATTTAGTAGCTTATATAAAAACTAGTAACTATAGTACTAGTTATACTATAAAGTAATTAATTATAGTCTTTATACTAAATACTATTAAGCTATTAATAATATTAGATTTATCTCTTTTATCTTACTATTTCTCTATAACTAATTCTATTATAGTATATAAGGGGAATATTAGTTCCTTAATATAAACTTAACCTAATAATAGAAGAAAAGCCTATAATAAATATAATAATCTATATATTATTCTAAAATATTACTAGGTCTAATCTACTACTCTATACCTAGATAGCTATTAAATAATCTAGCTAGCTTTTCTTATATTAGTTTTAGTCTATACTACTAGCTAACCTAGTATATTAGTCTATATAGATTAGAATAAGTAGGCTAATATCTCTTATTTCTATAGCTAGATTAATTCTAATAAGATTATTAAAGATAAGTAGATTAACTAGGATTCTCTAACTAAGGACCTTAAAACCCTCTACTAGGGCTAAATAATACTTATTATTTTACCTAATCTAGGGGGCCTACATGACTACCTTACTATAGAAGTTAACCTAAGATATATAAAAGGCTATTAAAATAATCTTAAATAGTACTATACTATCCTAAATAATTTTTATATTCTTTACTAATTTCTCTAAGTAAGATATTCCTTATATCTAAAGTTAAAGAGCTAGTATTTAATATCATTCTTCTTATTCTTACTCTAGTATTTATTAATAATGCCTTTAAGCTAGAATTTATCTAGTCTATTAAAGACCTATTTATAATCTATATTCTAGAGCTATACTAATCACTAATCCTAAAATTTAAAAAAGAAAAGCTAAATATTCTAGTATACTAATAACCTATCTTAACTATATTAGATATAGAAACTAATAATATAAAGCCTTTACTTTATTATACTTACCTCTTATATCTTTAGGTCCTAAGCCTATATATGGAAAACTAAAAGTAATAAAACTATATAAATTTTAATATTATACTATAGAAGTAATTAATAGTAGGTAGCTAGTATATTCTTTTCTTTCCTAATTACCTACTACTTTTACTTAAAACTAATATAATAGTATACTTAGGGGTTATATTACCTATACTACTTTAATAGGTCATGGGCTATATATATACTAGTATAATCTAGAAGTATATAAATCTATAAGTATAAACCTATATTTAGGTAGTAGTTGTTAGTATCCCTTTAAAGAATATAATAATAAGTATATTAAGTTACTAGAGCTAGTATATTAACCCTTATTGTTGGATGGTCGAGGTCATATAATAAAATATATATTATATATACCTAGCCCTTGTATATACCTAGTTAGGTATAGTGTGGCAACTATAAGGGTATATATAATAAAGAAGGATTTGCCACTAAATGTGGACTTTGATTTTTGATATTTTAGGATCTCTAGTTTTAAACTAGATACATGAATAAATCACTTGCTTTTATACTTTTAATATTTGTTAGTAGAATTCTATAGAATTATAAAATTCCTATTGATTCATAAGGAGATTAGTCTAGATCTTCTATATTTGTAAGAAGATCAATCGAGACCATTCCTTATTTTCATGTGAATATAGATACCTTATAATTGAGGCATTAATATGTGCCTCAGGTATCTATCTTCTAATATTATAAGAGTTAGTATTCATGAGAATTAGTATTTACAAGAATTAGTATTTATAAGAATTAGTATTTATAAGATTATTCTTTCCTTTACCTTTATATCTTTCTTAATCTACTTTATAAGTGTCCCTTTCTAACCTTCTTTATAAGAATCTTTTCTAAATAATTACTCTAACTCTTTATTTATACTTTACTTTAGCTACTTCTTCTATACCTTCTATACTATTATGCTTGCTATCCCCCCCCTCTAATTAGGAGGAGTCCCCTATAGGGGGAATTTAAGTATATATTACTCTTTCTACTCTTTATAAGAGCTTATATAGGCTTTATAAAGCTTTATAACTTCCTTTTATAACTATAGTTACTAACCTT